TCAACGTCGAACTTTGTGCCGTTGTGACTATCCAAAACAACATTTGTTAGAGGAAGTATTATTTCGAGTGGTTAGCAGCAGATAATGTTTGTGTAATATAGTTGTTTATATAATTGTAATGTTATCAATATGCTGATGAGTATGAGTATCCGTCAGGCGGACCTTAATCAGCCATTTCGTTTTGTTCTACATATTGCTGCTTCAAACACTATCGCCTACAAAAAAATCTTCCTTGCAAAAACTCGTACTTTTTCTAAAAAACAGAACAGAATTTTTCTACAGAAAAACTAACACCAGATTCGATATCTTCGACTCCGATCACCCTTCGGCCGACTCTTACTCAGCAACCAAAAAATTTTTCATTGCCTAAATAGTAATTAACTAATTAGCTGTTTGAAGTCTCGAAAAACTAACATCGGATTCGAGATCCTCGACCTCGGTTACCTCATCAGCGGTCAATCTTTGATGACTATAGATAAATTTCATTGATTTATAATATGCTGCAATCTGATTGGATTATGCGAACAAACAAACTTCATGCATTTTCATGACTGTATTTATATCGCTATAACCCTTTCTTTCAGAAAAGGGAATTATTCAATAAGTGAACGAAGTTTTTTGTTTCTTCCACAGCTGAAAGAATTACAAAGTGTTCAAGACCATGATAAATCATTTACCGTCATATAAAATACTTGAGTCATCGATAGGAAGTTATTCAAAGCGTTGTTGCGAAACAGACGAGTCATTAGTGCCCACATATTCAAAGGTTGCTTGATAAAATATTTTCTTTACTTCTTCGCTATTGATTGCTTGTTAATGTCGATTTAATTGCTTGACAAGATTAATTTGAAAGCTTTTATGATAAATTTTCTCTTTTCCTCTTCCTGATTTATTTATCTGATTAGAAAGAAAAAGTTAGTTACTTCTCGGGTGAAGTCACATGAAGTAAATGACAAAAAAGGAAAACAAAATCAAATGCTCTGGTTTATTTTCGAATCAATTTTCGGAAAAGATTTTCAGAGGAAGTATACACCGGGGGATACATATCATATTGTTAGTGTTATCAAATTTGCTTCATATATTGGGTAGATCTTTCTCTCTTGATTCAATAGCTATTGTGCAATTTGAATGTCTCGCGTTACTCGTGCCAATAAAAAATTTATGCGCTTTTTCTGCTGTTGAAGTCTGTGTCGTCTCCACGGACTCAACAGCTGATTCTCAAGTGCATTCTGGGTTCGCGCCCATCGTCTCTGGAGACGCCTTTGTCTCTCTTCCAATTGATGTAGTTGTAGAAATCCTTCCTCGGGATGGCCTACAGGTAATACTGGTGGATCAATTAGGCGTATCCGTCTGTCAAACCATTGTTTAAACAGTCGTTTTTTTTGCGCAAACAGGTTAATAATCCTGTTCTGCATATTGTTTTGATGATCTATTCCTATTTTTGAGCGAGAAGAAGATATGAAAATAGTACTAGTCGTTTTCTTACTGTTCGTAGAATGGTCTAATCCATTGCCTGGTCCATCTGAATAAGTTCTCGTTCTTGCTATGGGTGACGATGATCGCCGTATCGAACATAGTAGTGAAGACATTGTACTATTTGATCGTCTTCTTATTATCGACAGATTGCTNTTCTGCATATTGTTTTGATGATCTATTCCTATTTTTGAGCGAGAAGAAGATATGAAAATAGTACTAGTCGTTTTCTTACTGTTCGTAGAATGGTCTAATCCATTGCCTGGTCCATCTGAATAAGTTCTCGTTCTTGCTATGGGTGACGATGATCGCCGTATCGAACATAGTAGTGAAGACATTGTACTATTTGATCGTCTTCTTATTATCGACAGATTGCTCTAGCGCAGAAACTTGATCTGTTTCTACACAGTACCCACGGATACAGAAAATAGAAATATACTACTACCAACAATATGGACGAACATGTTATGCTTATATATACACAGGCGTACATTATATTTTGGAAAAAGCCTAACATATCTTTTCCAAGTTCTGTGCATGAGTAATACAACGTTATAGTTATATTACTCATATAAATGGCAGATAAATAATACAGGTAACAAATAGAATGACCAATGAGAGAGGGAAGAGAGAAACGGATATAGAAACATATATACATCTCGTTATACGAGAGCACATATCGGGCTTTACAATCGGAACGCAATTACGTTTTGTTTACAAGCTTTTTGATATTTCCTAAAAGATAGAATATTGAGAGTTTCGGTTCTTTCATCAAAGTGACGCATCTCTGCGCCCTTCGGCTATTCCTTTATTTTCGAGTCAACGCTTTATTTGTAATTAAACAACCAGTTGACAGAAAAGGAAAAAACACGGAACGAAAGGAGAGGGAGAGAGAAGAAACAAACAACAGACAAACTGGTTATAAAGCTGGCAGGAGAGGAAAGAGATGCATCACTTATGTCTTATGTCTCGTAGTGAAAAGAAAAAAAAACAGTTTGAAACGTTGCAGTGTTGGTTGGGTTCGAACGCGATGTGTTGGAGGGTAGCGCAGTGGTAGCCATCTTCGAAGGAACGTCGACGTATATGTGCAGGAACGAGCCGGTGTATACGTTGATAATCGTCTTTTCTTCGTTTTCGACCAAACGTTTTGTACGTGATTCCGGTATAACAATTTTCGTACAGATTTGGGCGACCTAAGAATGATCTATGTTCTCGACGCTAACGTTAATAGTGGAGAGTGCTGTTTCACGCTGTCGTTAATATAGCGTGTAGAATGGACATAGCTTTCGTTTGATTTTGCTGAGCCGGGGGAAAAATTCAGGGAGAAAGTCTCTCAAACCTAGGGAGAAACTAGTCTTTATACTAATTTTTCTGTATTCAGATGTACCTTTAATGAAAAGCTTTAAATATCGCGTTCTCATTTCTAAGAGTTTTCTTTCAGTTATTGTACAAATAACTTAAAGAAAATAAAAGTCGATGAAAATAAGTAATTTTCTCTATAATTATTAATGACATAAAAATATCAGAGTATTGTCTATCGATTTATATTCATTTACTTTTCATTACTACTGCTATCATCATCTTTTTTTCAAAAATATTTTGATATTACGAGCTTTTGCTCGTCCAGGATACATATAAAAGCGTTGAACAGTTTTTTTTAATCTATGTCCATTATCGTTGTTATTTTCGTTTTCTCTTTTAACTTTCTCCCTCTTGTTCCGATTTTCTCTTCCTGTCTCATAGGTAATGTAAGTTTTTAGAGAGAAAGCAAGAATCCAAGAAAAACTTTTGGGAGACAACCACCCACTTTACCTCCCTAATAGTACGCACTGTTTCCAATTAACAAAAGAGTAATTCTTTTAGTCATATAAAAACAGCTATGTCAATCCTAAAAGAAAAAGGTTTAAATTCAGAGCGAAAAGAGTGCGAATCTAAAGAGAAAAGAGTTTGAATGCAAAGAGAACATTGGACGAAGAGATAACACACATTACTAGGAATTATTGACGGGTGATGCAGCAAGCAGTTCTCTCAACGTTTATAAAAGAAACTATATTGTAATAGTGAGTACAGCAACTTTATTTGTATACGACTATAGTTACGCTCACTAAAAGATAAAAAAGAGTTATGTTCCTAAAATTTCCAGGGAGAAAGCCAATATATAGGAAAAAAATTACGGAGGGGAAATACCGCCCCCCCCCCCCCCCCCCCCCCCCCCGCCCCAAATGGATGAATCCGAATATCGAAGATGTGTACGTCACGTATAGTCGTCAACTGTCTTCACGAGGAGAGACAGAAAGATGATCGGGTTGTCTTAGAGATTGTCGTCATAGTCTGTGGAGTGATGTGTTGCCGGAGATCTGCTGTCGACACGTGAGACGACGCAGATTGTCCTATACAATTGGAGCTGGTGTTTTGTCATAGTTGGTCTGCGATGTCTTGAAGGCGTTGGAGGAGCGTTTGATCTTTGTTTGATGGGGCTGTGTTAATAGGCTTGTGGAGCAGTAATGTTGCATATTCTTTGATTTTCAGCATTTTGGATATTCGGTGTACGTATTCGACANTGAGCGAGAAGAAGATATGAAAATAGTACTAGTCGTTTTCTTACTGTTCGTAGAATGGTCTAATCCATTGCCTGGTCCATCTGAATAAGTTCTCGTTCTTGCTATGGGTGACGATGATCGCCGTATCGAACATAGTAGTGAAGACATTGTACTATTTGATCGTCTTCTTATTATCGACAGATTGCTGTGGCGCAAAAATTTGATCTATTTCTACACAGTACCCACGGATACAGAAAATAGAAATATACTACTACCAACAATACGGACGAACATGTTATGCTTATATATACACAGGCGTAAATTTTATTTTGGAAAAAGCCTAACGTATTTTTTCCAACTTTTATGGATGAGTAAATACAGCATCATCAGTTATGGCTACTGATATAAATGTCGTATAAACAATACACGTAAGAAATATGATGATCAATAATGAGACACGGAAGAGAGAAGCATATACAGGATGATGCATCTGTGCGCCCTTCGGCTATTCCTTTTTTTTGAGTCAACGCTTTATTTGTAATTAAACAACCAGTTGACAGGAATGGAAAAAAACACCGAACGAAAGGAGAGGGAGAGAGAAGAAACAAACAACGGACAAACTGGTTATAAAGCTAGCAGGAGAGAAAAGAGATGCATGACTTACGCCTTATGTCTCGTAGTGAAAAGAAAAAAAATACAGTTCGAAAGGTTGCGGTGTTGGTTGGGTTCCAACGCGATGTGTTGGAGGGTAGTGTAGTGGTAGTCATCTTCGAAGGAACGTCGACGTATATGTGCAGGAACGAGCCGATGTATACGTCGATAATCGTCTTTTCTTCGTTTTCGATCAAACGTTTTGTACATGATTCCGGTATAACAATTTTCGTACAGATTTGGGCGACCTAAGAATGATCTATGTTCTCAACGCTAACGTTAATAGTGGAGAGTGCTGTTTCACGCTGCCGTTAATATAGCGTGTAGAATGGATGAATCCGAATATCGAAGATGTGTACGTCACGTATAGTCGTCAACTGTCTGCACGAGGAGAGACAGAAAGATGATCGGGTTGTCTTAGAGATTGTCGTCATTGTCTGTGGAGTGATGTGTTGGCGGAGATCTGCTGTCGACACGTGAGACGACGCAGATTGTCCTATACAATTGGACCTGGTGTTTTGTCATAGTTGGTCTGCGATGTCTTGAAGGCGTTGGAGGAGCGTTTGATCTTTGTTTGATGGGGCTGTGTTAATAGGCTTGTGGAGCAGTAATGTTGCATATTCTTTGATTTTCATCATTTTGGATATTCGGTGTACGTANTGTGGAGTGATGTGTTGCCGGAGATCTGCTGTCGACACGTGAGACGACGCAGATTGTCCTATACAATTGGAGCTGGTGTTTTGTCATAGTTGGTCTGCGATGTCTTGAAGGCGTTGGAGGAGCGTTTGATCTTTGTTTGATGGGGCTGTGTTAATAGGCTTGTGGAGCAGTAATGTTGCATATTCTTTGATTTTCAGCATTTTGGATATTCGGTGTACGTATTCGACAGAAGTATAGATCGGTAGGCCGAGGGCAGCGCGAAGCGCTTTGTTTTGGATGATTTGAAGCTGATCCCATACTTTGTCGTTTGCTGTTAGTAAAACTGGATATCCATAGTTCATCACTGGTCTTACAATCGCTTTGAAGATGTTTATCATCGTCTTTTGGCTAGGTTCTTGCGCTGATTTGGCTATGTATCGTAGACGACTAATACTTCCAGCCATTTTCGATCCAAGATGTTGAAGGCGATTTTTCCACTTCAGTTATTTGTCGATAATTACACCCAAGTATCGGGTTGCATCCAGAGGTTTGATGATAGTATTTTCGACTTTGACTTCTACTGGAAGCTTGTATTTCTTTCTTGAATGAAGTCTAAAGTAGATCATCCCGATCTTTGTTGGCTGTAACTTCAGCTTCCGCGATTTGCACCAATCGGCTATCCCTGAAAACTTCAGTTCCTTTAGCTTACTTTTTCGACAATTATGGCAATGATGCGGCGCTAAACGCGATGATGGAAATCGGATAAAAAATCGAAGGCGACCCGTTCACTGTTCATTTTTCTATGAAAGATAAATTCATTGAGAGAAATATCCTACAGGCATTTAGTAGTCGATAGTTTGATCTATTCAAAGAAAAGAAAAAAAATCAAATTCACGTGTAGTTTGTATTAGCGACTTGATTTATCAATAAAACGCGATGATGCTCTCACAAAACGACGACGTCTTCATACTTTCTTATACAATTTTCTCTATCAAAATATGTTCCAATTATAAAGCCAAGTTTATATTCGATATCAGCGCCAAAAACTACATCGATAGCGTAGAGTTATAGAAAAACATATGAAACTCGAATTTTTTGCCAAGTTTTGAGCAACAATTATGGTGAAATTTCGAAATAGTTTAATTTTCATATTTATCAATATAATGCGATGCATTCGACGTGACGGGTAGGCCATATTGAATTGCACTACAAGTTCGTGCTTGTTTTTATGACTCATTTTCATGAAAAGAATTTTATTTATATAAGAAAAGATAGAGAATTTAAAGGTCTATAAAATGATATGTGTTTTCGATACTTATCTACTTTCCTACAAATACAGTAAAAGAAGAGTAAAGGCCTTCAAAATCTAGTAGTGTGACCGTATAAAAATGAAAAAGTGGGGATGAAATTTTCAAAAGTTTACATAGATTATTACCTTGAAGAACGATTTTTTATTGGATTAAATCAATCAACAACATCGATGATATTAGTCGGAAATATTCAAAGGGTCGTCGAAGGATTGTTAGGTCAAAAACTCTGATTGGAAAGGTCAATAGCGATTATCAAATGGTACTAGTGTATCAGTACGCTTTTTAGAAAAAACGGACCGTTTCAGGTACTACAATTCGTCGTATATTAGACAAGATCTTGGTCTTAAAGTATATATGAAAAAAGTGGCACCAAAGCTAACTGATCAACAGAAAATGCAACGAAGGTAATTCGGTATTTGGGTTCGAAAAAACATTCCAAAGCAATGACAGAAAAATCTATTTTCTGACGAGAAACGTTTTGATATCAATGGAATGTACAACAAACAAAGTCAATGAGTGTATGCTACTAGGGATGCACAGATTTCGTTCACCAAAAACTGAGTTTAGAACCGAGATTTGAGAGAGATTCGAATGTTCATTATATCCATCACGGAGATAGCTTATGGAAATTGAATGTGAACGTGCTGGCGTAATAATGCAGACAAAAACGGNAAAAATCTATTTTCTGACGAGAAACGTTTTGATATCAATGGAATGTACAACAAACAAAGTCAATGAGTGTATGCTACTAGGGATGCACAGATTTCGTTCACCAAAAACTGAGTTTAGAACCGAGATTTGAGAGAGATTCGAATGTTCATTATATCCATCACGGAGATAGCTTATGGAAATTGAATGTGAACGTGCTGGCGTAATAATGCAGACAAAAACGGACGAGGAAATCATCGTTAAAAAGAAATCACACAGCTGAAAAAATAAAACTATTATGTTGTTAAAATCTTATCCCTGAACAACATTGTTGCAGGAAGATTGTCCGGTGGTAACCGACAGTTCCAGGTCAACAAATCCGACCGAATTCCTGCAAACGGAATTGCATCGGAATCTGACTGGAAAAATTCAGTCGGTTATTGTAAATTTTATGAGCAATCTTTTTAGCTATATTCTATGATGACCTTTAGAAAATCCATGTTTCGGATCCGAGTACGGGATTGATCGATCTGGGTCTTGTCTTTAGAATTGTATTCGAGATCATCTATGAGTCTATGGCGGATTTTAAAGTTGAACAGCTACTTGCTGGTGTTATGAAACAAAGAAAAAGAACAACATATGAACTTCAAGATAAAAAATAACAATTATTAGTATTAATTTTTCATACAGAACCAATTGATACATATTCAAACAGAGCGATAGTTCTCTTCAGTTTCTAATGTTGATATAGAATAAATCTCTGTTACTTCAATTAATTTCTCCCCTACGAAGTTCAATTGTCGTCAGAGTCATCTATTGGATCACCAATTATATTGTAAGTTGGAAAGGGAGAGCGTGGCTGAAAGTGAGAGTGAGAGAAATGATAAAAGAATGAACACGCTCAACCTCACACACATCCTGAAGATCGTGATTATGGATGAAGGCGGTGTTCAAGAAAATATTTTCTCAAAACATAATACTAATTTTGTTACTAGAGACGTGTTTTGAAATTATTTTATTTGCAATAAATAACAAGTAATGCTCATCCTTTGGATTCGCTGACCCTTTTCTGAAAGACTTCCGAATGCTGAACACATTCAGAGACTTCGAAAGAGAAAACACGCACTGCGATTGCTACTAGTGCTCAACTGAATCATGGCACTATGTCACACACTAGAATGAATAGAATTCAAAAGTCTCTTTAGGAATCAGACCGATTAGCCATTTGTCAGTGGATAATTCTCCAGCACTAACTATGTTGACTGAAAAATTCATCGCTCAACGGCTAGTCAGACGGCCACTCACGGCGAACCATTGACCTTTGTCATCTGTTTTTCTATTTTCATATCACGCGCATGGAAATTTTCATAAATGCTTTACTAAGTCACTCATAGACGGATGATATACAGTAGACTACTTGAAAAGTTTGAACATTCGCCTGTGTCTTCCAGCGATAATCCGATTCTTTTCTCTCCTGTCAACAAAATGATACCTTGTCGAATATTTTCATTGAGAAATATCCATTCGTCAAATTCCTTTCGAAACTATCGGAAGCCTGGCAAGGATATTCTAAGCGTACACTTTAGGATTAATCTAGCATTTAAACGCTTAGTCGTTCGTCGACCTCCCTCCGGTCGGTCACTCACGGCTAGCCGTTGCCATGCTGTCTCTGTTATTCCTTTCGCCTTCGATCGACTTTTAAACTGAACGATTGGGTTTTCTTTTATTGTCGCTACTACAGTCATGATCTTCTATTCATTCGACTACCAAAAGAAACCAGATAAGAAAGTCTTATTATATGATTTGCTTCGAAACAAACATCTTTCATAGCGCTGCATGTGTTCAGAATACTGTTTCTACAGTCCGCGCGTCTGTAATTACTAAGATGGAATTCCACCGACGGGTATATCGCTTTACGAACTACTTCTACTAAATTCCCATGAAAGGACATGGCGTATGTAGCCCACAAAGCAAAGATGATACTAAGCTCATAACACTTTTTCGGATTTTTGAATTAGAAACATCATTATGTACAATGCATTAGATCTTTTCGTATAAGTTCTTGAGCTACTATCTTTGTACGCATGACGTCCATGAATAGCGTTCAGCTCACCATCTTCTACAAAAGATTTTAGAACAGATAAAGAAAAATATCTGCTTTGTAAAGAGGAAGGAACAAGCCCAGGCTCAGCGAATAAAACAAAATTCATCGTCAAATTCGAATTTCCCGACGTCAGAAATCCTTCGGTCTACTCTGAAAATGGATGTTAATAAGTCTTGGCTAGTTAATGAAAAATTAATAATTAATTAGGCAACACTAACGTCGGATTCGTGATCCTCGACCTCGATTACACTTCGGTCGACCCTTACTCGACAACGAAGAAAATTTTCATTACTTAATTAGCTAATGAGCTGATTGAAATTTCGAGAAACTAACCTTGGATTCGTGATCTTCGACCCCGATTACCCTTCGGTCGACCCTTACTCGACAACGAAGAAAATTTTCATTACTTAATTAGCTAATGAGCTGATTGAAATTTCGAGAAACTAACCTTGGATTCGTGATCTTCGACCCCGATTACCCTTCGGTCGACCCTTACTCGACAACGAAGAAAATTTTCAGTCCTTAATTAGCTAATGAGCTAATTAGAATTCCGAGAAACTAGCCTCGGATTCGTGATCCTCGACCTCGATTATCCTTCGGTCAACCCTTACCCTGTATATTAATAATCTATGTCTGGTTGACAGATAGTTAATTAATAGTTAATAATTAGTTAAAACTAACCTCAGATTCAAGTTCTGCGACCTCGATTACCCTACCGGTAATCATTTTCTAGCAACTATCGATCAATTTCATTGATTTTAGAAATGCTGATTTCTGATTGGATAGGACAGACAGAATGACAGACAAACTTTAAGCTTTTTAACACAGCATTTAAACGCTGTATAACCCTTTCTTTCAGAAAAGGGAAAAAAATATTTTTTTGCCTCTCCTCAAATGGACAAAGACAAAGCTCTCTCCGACCAATATATAACTAGAAGACATTATACTCTGCTTAGTATTTCATAGTATGAAATCTTACACTATTCAATCTTGAACAATCTGGTTGTCCTCGTTTTCAATTTTCTTCCATACTCCACTTTCGAAATCATACATCCGAATCTTAATAGAATGAAATGATAGTCGTTTATAACGGAAAGATCAGATTCTGTACGGACTGGATTCATAATGGGATGAACTGGCTCGTCTAGATTTGGCATCTCTTCACTAATAATCAACTTTGTTTGCGCCACAGTAATAGCATGGTCCATTCGGAGATCAGGAATATCAGTTAGTTTATTCCATTGATCTTTTTTAGCATCGTAGGCATGTATTTTATCTACAGCAAAGGAGTAGATCAATTGAAAAGCAAGACAAAAATCACTATACCAATAGCCTGCGCTTTGCCATTCATTAGCATATAACCACCTAAATGGAACTCATTAAATAGGGAAGTGATTTACTGTCTGCTGTCACCGACGAACCTGCCGCTAAAATTGACGATTAGATATATCGAGAAATCATTTCAATGAGATACATACTGTATATTTCCAAATCATCTCCATTATAAATACAAATGACTAGCGTACGTGCTCGTGCTGGATTCAAATCTGCATGTCGATGCCAAACTTTTTCTTGGAAACTAAATACTCAGTCAAAGCAAAGATGTTTTGAGAAAGAAAGAAGATGTTAACTTCTTACTTCATTTGATAATGACTCGATAGCATGTCGGTCTCTCCTTAACAATCAAATAGTCATGCGCACTCCCTCAATTCTATGGACATTCCTACCGACAACGATATCAAATCCACCGATCACAATCACTTGATTCTCGGTAAAAGTGACTCCAGGTGCCAAAACAGGATGTGGATACGATGGAAATTTTTCCCAACCGACAGAAAAATTCACAGATATCCAGCATACAATTTTCAGTTCAAATCCAACCTTTATCTGTCTGATGCGTATCCAAAACGAAAACGCTCGAGAGAGACACATTATCAAACGTTTGTCCTCCAATAACTATAATATATCGTTCCGACGGTGCCACACCGAAGGCCACGCGGCCAGGTGGTGGAAAAGATACAATAGGCTGACATTCTTTCTTGTTCTATAATTATTAATTTTAAATGAAAAGAAGAACTGCTTTTGTCTATTTACTGAATACTTACAATATCATATATGAAATCATGCAATGGCTGAGAACGTGTTTTATTTGTAGCATCGAAATCGTAGCCTCCAATAATGAACACCGAATTCGGAAATATTATCAAAGCATAACGACGTCGTTTGTATGGATAATCTCCTAGACAATTCATTTGAGCTGAATATGTAATTTCCGCTGTTTGTTCATCACTCAGATCGACATTAGGTGCAGAAAGCATCACGGAAGGTTTGGCTGACCGGTCTGTTTCTATTAAAACCTAAAATAGAGAGTTAGTCGACGTTCATCTTCCTTCTTTCACATGCTGATCTCAGTTGGCCATGGCCAGGTTTGAAACTTTGTAGAAAATTTGCAAATAATCCTTCACATTTATACATTCCTGACATTGTTAGTTCGTCACTCTTGTCACTGGCAAACATTTCGTAATTTGCCGGGAGTAAATGCTCCATTTTTGGCATTTTCATTGAGTCAAATGAATGAATAAATAAATAAAAACAAACGAAATCGATTCGCGCTCAACATTTGTTTATTTCAAAAGCAAACACAAAATGATCATTGAGAAAAGAGAAAAACAAAGAAGAAGAAGAAGAAGAAGAAGAAAAATCAAACTAACACACAGTGATAAAAAATAGAAATATATATACAAAAAAGAACGACGTCAATAAATGTTCTATTTGGTATGCGGTATCGAAGAATATTGATAATAGTTTTGAAATTGTTGCTGTTGATTATATAAGAAGTATCGTTGCAATGCATGCGGATGTAGTAAGGGCGGCTTTTGATGATTCTGAAATTGTGCCATGTAGAACAGATAGAGATAGTTTGGATCGAAGATTGCTGGAGGGGTCGGAATGGGTTTTTCCGGTACTCGCTCGATCAATGATTCGATGTTGCGCAGATCGTTTTTAACCACTGGACGAGGATTAGTATTTGCACAAACTCGCTTCGTCGTTTCTTCGTCAGTCGCTGAAGGTGAACGAGATCTCTTCAGTGATCGATGATCGTATGAATAAGTTGGTGAAATGATCGGAATCGATCGATGATGAGCGAGAGTCGGAGAACATGTACTAGTGGATGTTGGCGAACATAAACTTGGTGTGCTTTTGATCGGCAGAGAATCATTCTCGTATTGATTATGTGATTCAATATCAATAAATTCATCATTTTTCTCGGATGTATTCTCAAGGGAACGAAAATTATGCAGGAGAGATATTGGTGGCTTATCGAATAGCAGTCTAGTGTTCGTCGTTGCTGTGTTATTGGTAGTTGCCGTTGATGACGATGATGATGTTGCATTTGATGTGAGATCGAAATTGAGTCTTCTAGGGAAAAAAGTTAATGTTTGACAAGATTCAAGTATAATTAGCAAGTCAATTGATTCTAGCGATTGAACATTAAGATAAATATTTATACTATGCTCGTCGAAAGCGAGACAACTGATTGGTAGAATATATCGAAATCGGAACCCAATGAATTTCTAAGTAAAGCTGTCTTGTTGAATCAAACAAACGCGAGATCTTCGTTTTTCTTTTCATGTTCATTTAAAGCCATCTGGTTTTATCATTTTAAGCACAAGAAAAATATATATCTATCAAGGGGTATGCATGAAAAGAGGTGTATTGTCTCTTATTTCTCTCTATCCATTTGCATCCATTATCACACATTGAATATATAAGTGATCACAGTCAGGTTTTTGTCACTAGACAAATGTATTGATATAAATGGACGACGGATCGATCAGAGAGTCAGACAGAGAGTGAGATCGCAAATTGAACGTGACACATCAGACATTCGCACGCACACGTTCAAATCACAACAAAATACACATCTTTCCTTTCATTTATGTATAACGTATATCAAATGATGATAAACGACAAATGAAGGAAGCTACTTTATTGATCGAGATAGATGTTGTGTATCTTCGATAGAGTAATGTAAGTGAGATGAGAGAGCGAGTGCCTCGAGAAAAGCAAAAGTGATAGATGATCAAAAGAGAAACGACAGAATGATGAACTCCACTTCAATATTTCGCTTTACTTTTTTTCTCTTTTAAAAAGATAATATAAATGAAGAGAGAGAGAGAGAGAGAGAGAGAGAGACAGCGAGAGACTATCAGTACTCATTCATTCTATTTCTTCGATACATCTATATGCATCTGTATCTATTTGCATATATGTATGCGATTGCATAAGCACACCTGTGATGTATCGCTTTTACACGGATACTAATCGAAGTTGATCTACCTAATCGATCGCTTTCGTATACTTATTATTCAATGAGAAAAAAGAACCGAAAAAGAATAAGCGATACGCGCATATGTTGCATACGTACCTTTTATCACGCTTGCTTGCTGCTCCATTGTCTCGAAAACCTTTCGCAAAAGGATTATTGTCTATTTTCAATTGGGTAATCTATCAAGCATATCATTACATTAAATCAAAGCAAAGGAGCAAAAAAACGAAAGATATGTCTTACCTTTTCATTCTGATATGCAGTAACAGCAATGAATTGTGTTTCTTTGAATATGAAAGTCTTAATTGGTGACCATGGTATTTTAATCAAGTCATTCGTTTTCACGATGTGCAATCGTGGTTGATAACGATGCATCGAATTGAGTATTGTCTAAAGAGAGAAAAATGAATCATCTTTCTTTTTCTTTATTGTCTGCCACTGGCGTCATAAAATGGCAAACTTGACTTGCACCTGGATGGGTGTTGTTAATAGAGTGTTATTAGTGGAGAGAAAATGAAAACGTCAAATAAGAAATCTCCTTTATCAACACATTTTATGACAAGCAAACAAATCAATTTCTCAAATTGATGTTAGATGAGTAGGGAGGTTTCGTTTTTTTTTCTCGTTCTTACTCTTCCGTTGCTCTTACTTAGTTGGAAGAACAATTCGGTATGCTCTTATACATTCATCTTTTCTATGGCTCATTAGATTCATAAAGAGAATCTTTAAGGTGAAACATAGTAACGATCGATTGTCAAGATAGACAAACATACGGCGACGATATCGACTAAACTGATCGAAACAAAACATTAACTTGTTTATTACTTTCGAGTAAATGATAATGGACGGAGAAAAACGCATATCAAATATGATGATTAATGAACAGATTGTCTTCCTTTCGACTTTCTACGTCGAAGAACTTGAACTTACATAAGAATTTTTATCAGAAAGATTGTTTGTCAATTTCAATTTATGAAACGAAACCGATTTTGACATCCATTGTTCACCTAAACAACTTGTATATTACAATATCGATGAGAGTATTGTTCGGACTAACCTGTGGCTGGTGAATCCGGATGAACGTAGAGACGTTTCGACATTTCGGGATCGGCATTGCCGGCAACCATCCATTTTGAATTATGAAACTTGTATCGATGAGAATCAGCCGCTTGAATATCCATCAAAAAGACATATTTCGCTTGCGGATTCAAACCAGTTACTTTCACTTTAAAAGCAGGAAAGATTCGTCTAGATGAAAAAGAACGCGAACTTTTTTAAAAGTCTCCTAAAGAGAAAAAGGTATATTTTTACCGGCCGCTTTTAGTGATCACCTATAATAAATAAATGATAAAGAGCTAATCTGAAGATAAAAAGTTCGTTTTTACCATTTCTGTTCCGTGTGTATGGAAAGCATCCCAGAGTTGTTTGTTTTCTAGTTCAACTTTGAGATCAGCATCGTTGCTATCATCATCAACTTGATCATCATCTTTATGTTGTTGTTGTTGTAGATGATTATTATCGATCGAAAATGATGATTGATTCAGAAACGGATTAACAAATGACCGTGCTGTTGTTGAGAATATAGAATTCATGTTACCACTGAGTGGTCCAGATAAATTAACAAGAGGTCGGAAACCCATACGCATATGTGTACGTGTGTGTCTGGCTATGTACGTATAAATCTGTCGATATACTCGCTTTGTCAAGTGTGCAAGAGCTTCACGCTTCACCTCGGTTGTTTGTCGCGCTTTTTTTTTCTCTTTTTTCTCTCCTCTCTCTTCTATAGCCTATATATATATATGTATTCGTTTTTGCGTTATCGAAATGTAACATTTCAAGCCAATGAGAAAAAAGTCAACGACGACAAGATCAATTGGACGAATAAAAAAGCCTGCAGAGAAAGAGAACAGGAAAAGTAATGATCAATGGTTGACGACGCTGTATATACAGGTGAAAGTACGAAACGACGAAAAAGCAATCAATAACTGTATACACTGCATCCTCAAAAAGTGTGAGCAAATACTGATTTTCTCTCCTTCATCCTTATTCCATTTGACGAATAAAGCCAACTGATTTCTATACATTTCCCGTCTTCCTCTGCCTTCACTGTACTTGTTGTGTCATTGATACATAGATAGTCTTTTCTTATTTCTCTATCATTACTCATAAAGATAACGATCTTTTTCTAGCTTAAGCATTTCATCGTTTTTTTACGTCATTAACGCTTGATTAAACTCGAGGATAACGTGAAATGCAATAGAGAAAACATATTTTATTACACGAATGCTATCAACTGTGAAATCCGTATTTATATTTTTAATTGTTTTTTGCCACTAAAATCTTTGACGATAAATATGTGAATAGTCAAGTGTATAGACATTGCTTTAAATGACGCTTTTATGATAAGATGTGAATCAATGAAGACATTTCTGTTTGTTAGTGGTCAAGAGCAGCGATTAGAATCGATGACTGATTACCTTTCATTCTCTCGTGTTTTTTTTCTCGTATTTTATTTTATTTTATTCTCTGTGAAAATCAGAGATCAAAGAAAGTTCACGTGCCATCTTGAGAAGACATTTCTCAATCAACGAACGTGTCTCGTAAGTCACTTTTGTGATTTTTCTCTTATTTTATTTTATTTTATACAATCTGATACCGTAGAAAGTGTATCGGATGGGAACGGATCATTACTTGTTAAAAAGGAGGACAAGAAGCAAAGCGAAGCACTGCATCAAACAAATCTTTCCAGCCGCCAGATGAAGTTCGATATAAATAGACATTTCGAACACGAAAAGAAGAAGAATTTGTTTTCTCATTCGATTCATTTGTTCATATTGCCTTGAAGGAATCTTTGATAATCACAAAGTGTATGCAGATTTTCTTGCTTATTGGAGGCAATCATTGTTGATGGTGGACGAATTTTAGGTCCTAGGTGTGAAGAAATAAGATGATGATAACACGAATAACTTCATTTTGTCTGAAGTGTTTAATAGATTCATTTAGATAGCAATAACAACTAGTCTTTTTTTTAGGAGCTATTCATGAAAGAGCTATGTGTTTCATGTTATTCAGTATTTATTTTAAAAAAGAGCAAAAAAAATAATCAATTGAACCAATTAGCAAAGTAGTTCGTATTTCGTTCATGGTTTCCACTTGATAACTTTCGCAGCGATTTGGGCATGTTTTGCGATATTCGGTAGTCGATGTTCAACATACTGATCAATCTAAATATTTTAACAGTCATAATCAAAAACAAATCGGTAAACAATTCGCTTTTTACCAGATCAACGGATTCGAGGAATTGTTTTCTTCCCTCTGGTGCTTCGGCAACGCATGTTATAGCCTAGATGAATTATCTCAACGAGATTGTATTGAAAAAAAAATTGAATTATACTTTAAGTGCATTGACAATTAATTCTGTTGAATCTGTCTTGAGTAACGCTAAGAGTTTTGGTATTGCACCAGCTTTTATTGTACAGTATTTTCCTGGTGTTATGATACAAATTCTAGGATGAGGATACATATCATTTAATAACATTTTCAAGAATATCAATTAGAATAACATACACGGAAAGAGCCAGTGCAGTTTTACTTTTTAATGAGTCGTCGTTCGAATCGAGTAATGCAACTAAACGATCGACTGTTCCAATTTCAACCGCGCGTTCTTTGCCTTTCAGCGAAACACTAAAATCAATTAACATTCAATTTAACTGAGATTTCAATCGGATTCTTCAACAAACCTCAAATGAAATATTGTAAGGGCAGCGAGTGTTTTGATTTTATCGGATGAATGTTGAAGTAATGATGTTAATGTCGTCATCGCGTCCGATGCTAACGCTTGTTCGACATCATACATTAGACAAAAATGAATTGTGTTTAAAATTAATTCCTAGGAAGATGTAAAAAACTAAAACTCGAGATTTTGTCAACAATGAGACGCATACTTTGATTTCATCAAGCTCAATAACTAATTTCTTCAGGAGGGTATCGACGAGTCGAAGTTCAACTAAATTTTGCGCGCCTGGAATCATCAATAAGGTCTTTTCTTCTAGCAATTTCTATGAAATTTTATGGCTTCTCGTACCGGGTGGTGCTTCGCTGTACATGGAGACAGCTTTGTGGGCGTTTCGTCTTACTGAAGCTTCTTTGTCGTTGAATAGAGCAGCTAGACGTGGAATTACATTACAAGAGAGCATCGCTTGACGACCGATAGCATGACCTAAGAATACATTCGTATTGAAAAAGGTCGTTTTCTATATTCTACACATAATTACTTGCAATGACATAGTAGCATTCAGCAGATTTTAACCGACAGAATTGATCATTGTCTTTTAATAGAGCTAGTAGAGTTGCTGGAATATCTATACAAATAATCAGACTAAAATGAATAAATTAGTATAAATATCGATGTAACCTTCTTCGATGCATGGTAATATATGTTCGGGATCATGAAGATAGTCGCACAATGATCGCACGGCACGTTGACGTAATAGGAGATCTTCACTTTTGAGTTCTCGATTCTACAAAACAAGGCACTAGTATATTGTTCAAAAGTAAAGAGCTCTCATCAACGAATTGAAATCACTTGACAACAGAACTACGACATCAAAGATCTCTTCATCATTTACCAAACGTGGAACAGCTCGATTCAGAAATGCAAGTGGTGTTCGTGTTGGATCGACCAACTGAGGATAGTGCGTTGGTATCGTGCTTGATGCCATGTTATTTTTCTTCAAATATTGATCGAAAGAAAAAACTAAATTGTATTATAGACCATTGTAACTGATGCCTTTTTATGCGTTCCCAAGCAACATGACTAACATTAGTGGCATCTCACCACTAATCATCATTGGCTGACGTGAGAATACCAATCAGAAGAGAATGTCATGTATTTTTGTCTTGTTTCTTGGAAAGAATTGAGAGATTACAGTGTATCTTGATTTCAAAGATGAATCCATCGAATTATGTCGTAACAGTACAAAAGCCGACTGAAGTAACAGCACTGGCGACAGGTTATTTTACATCCTCCACACAATTGAACTTAATTATTGCTAAAAATACACATTTTGAAATCTATATCATTGACTCCGAAGGTTTAAAATTAGTCAAAGATGTGTCCATCTATGGAAAAATTATCATTTTGAAATGTTTTCGATTATCCGTAAGAAAATCTTTATGATTTATTGCAAAATAATCATCTCATTTGAATAGAATATGAACAAAGATGTGCTGTTTATTGTCACGGAGAAATGTCATGGAATGATATTAGATTGTCAAAAGACCGATCACGAACCATTCGACATAATAACAAAATATCATGGTTTGTTGGAGGTGAGATATCGATGGCAAACTTGAAAAGATGTGTTCATATCCACGTTGCTTCAGGATACAGGCAAAGAGTCAACTCAAGCACCATCATGTACAATTGACACGAAACATGGCCTGATTCTATGTCGAACGACTGAAGGTGTGATCAAAGTTATCTTCGTCAAAGATCTTGCTTTCAATGAGTCGTCATCGAGAACGTTTGAATCTTGTAATATTAGGTATGTGGATGTGTCAGTGAATAAATTGTCATCGGACTGGTTTGATTTAGAATCGACGAACAGAATATTGTTGATATTCAATTTTTAATTGATTCTCCGCGACCAACATTTCTCGTTTTGCATTCAGTAGGATCGCATTTTGATATTCTTGTCATCGAAAGTCATTTTTCGTATCGACTAGACCAAATCAGAGTACTATTTTTTAAACGGGAATCAACCAGAAGAATATTATTTACAAACATATGAAATCGAATTGAAAGAACGTGAAATAAAAAGACTTGCCTGGACCAAAAAGTTAACACTATCGAAAGCATCATTTCTCATCCCGAGTAAGCTCATAAAATCAACTATTCTTTCTTTTTCTCTAATCATATTTATTTAGTCACACACAATAGTTTCACCTGTCTTGTCATCGGTCGAAATTCTATTGAAATACACAGACAAAATGAACCAAAAGTAGGATTGAAATCATCCTTATTACAAGTAATGGCTTTAGTTTTAAATTCAAAGATGAGAACTGAAGTCAATTTATAGGAAACAACATCGATCATTGGATACTGTTCTATCGACGACAATTATCGATATCTATTAACTGATGATTGTGGGAAGCTCTACTTATTAATTCTTGAATACGAGAATTCGTTAAAAACTTATGATATGAAAGTAAATGAAATAACCTGGAGTTTTTCATCTATGAACTATCATTCTATTTTCAGTTAAATCTTCTTGGTCAAGTTTCCATCAGTCGGAATCTGACTTACCTGGATAACAGTGTTGTTTTCATTGGTTCGCATTTCGGTGACAGTCAATTAATTCGAGTAAAACAACTTCTTCTTTATTAAAATGGAGCGTAAACCTGTGCATTGATTTAGCTTCTTTCTGAACAACAACAACAACAAGGAGGTAATTATTTCGAAATCCTCGAATCGTATACAAACGTTGGACCTATTCTCGACATGTGTTTTGTTGATTTCGATCGACAAAATCGGCAGGTAGGAATGAACAAGTCAATTTTTGTTCAACAATTTATCTGCGACATTCATTTTAGCTAGTCACATGCTCTGGTTATGGAAAAGATGCAACCTTACGTTTTATTCGAACAGGCATCGGCATTCACGAGCATGCTGTTATCGATTTACCAAATATAAAAGGTTTGCATATTACTTTCTTGAACAGCGATCAATCAGATCTTCTTTGCCTTTGAAGGTATATGGCCATTGAGACTAAATAATCAATATGACACTCATCTAGTGGTGGCATTCTTTGATCAGACAAGGTGAGGGTGAATAAAGTCTCGATTATATGTTATCAGTTTCTCGAATATAGATTGTTTTATTTACAAAATGAGGAAATTGAAGAAGTAGAATTAGCTGCATTTGATCTCCAACACCAAACATTATTTTGCGCGAACGGAGCGTCGAATCAGTATTTACAAGTAAGATCTATAACTTCAAATAACAACGTATGCCGCTCTTCCTTGATTTTCAAGATAACAACTCATTCGATTCGTTTGATTGGCAATCACGGGCAAGATCTGTTAACAGAGTGGAAAAGCGAAAGTAATGAAATAACAGTTGCATCTGCAAATACAACACAATGTGTATGCGCTTGTGGAAATCAATTGTTTTATTTTGAAATTGGACCGAACAGTTTGAAACAAATTAGGTAATGGCGAAATATTTAATAAAAGCTAAAGGTTATAATCAATTGTTTCTTACAGTCAATGTCAGTTGCCGTATAATGTTGCTTGTTTGGATGTAGCACCATTGAATGTTCAGGAAGAACGAACTGATCTCTGTGCAGTTGGTCTTTGGACTCAAATATCTATTTGGATATGTCGATTACCAACACTAGATGTTCTTCATAGAGAATCATTAGTATCCGGTAAGATGAATCATTCTTGCGTTCGAACTACAATTCAAATATTTTGTTAGACACATTACCGCGATCTGTCATCATGATAACGTTTGACTCCCGGCCTTATGTGTTCATTTCCTTAGCTGACGGTCCGATTATATACTACTCCCTAGATCGTGAACAGGGTTTATTATACGATCGTAAAAAGGTTTCTCTCGGTACAAAGCCAACAACACTAACTATCTGTCAGCAACCAGCTTCATCTTCAGCATCAAGTCAGTCATCTGATGCTGTATTATTTGCTTGCAGTGATCATCCGTCAGTGATCTCGACAGTAAACGACAAGCTTACTTTCTCATCTGTTAACCTACGCGAAATTGTTTGTATGTGCTCGTTTAATTCGGAATACTACGGAGCAAGTTTAATCTTAGTCACTGATACTGGTGTTATACTTGGTCGTATCGATGATATACAAAAGTTACATAAACGTACACTGAGGTTAGGCGAATCCGTACGACGCATTACATTCGTAGACAAAGAAAAGGTCTATGCGGTTTTAACTCAATCAAGACATGAATGTCTAGCAGATGGTGTTTTACCCGTTAGTAAACAAGCTCATCAGAAAATTGACTGTACAACTAAAATAAAAGCAATTAAAGATATGGCAGCGGAACGAAATGAGAGTGATAATTCAAGTTCAATCGTTATTTTAGATCAACAAACGCACGAAGGTACTTTCTTTCTCATTTTGCTTTTTGTTATTTTCTAGCTTTTCGTAACGAGATGGATTCTACTCAGTGATGTTTACTTGTAGCTCGTATTTCTGTAAAGCTCTTGTGTGGTGAAGAAGCAATTAGTATATGCACAATGAATTTCGTTGATGATTCGACGAGCTCTTACATTGCAGTTGGCACAACAATCGTATTCGAATATGATAATGATAGACAACCAATTGGTCGATTGATTCTGTTCAGTTACAGAAGCAATCAATTAACAATATTGACTGAAAAAGAATTGAACAATGCTCCACATCAAATCTTACCATTTCAAGGCAAATTACTTGTTGCTATCGGCAATTCTGTAAGAAATTTCGTCTTTCTAGTAAAAAATATTATCTCCGTGTCAAATATTTAGATTCAACTATTTGAATATTCTCCACAACAATCTGAATTTATTCAATTATCAAAACCTTACGTCGGTCGTTTCAAATGTTCAGAAGTAAAAGTCAAAGATGATTTTATTCTATTCAGCGATGAAATATATTCAATAACCGTTCTTCGATACAACCCTTCGGGACATACATTTGAAGAAGTAAAACATTTCGTATATATTTCCGTTCTATCGTTACATGTTTAGATTGCCACTAATGCTTCACCGCAACTGACCACCGCGTGCCAGTTTATCGATGACGACACATTTGTTTGTACAGAAACTTATGGAAACTTATTGTGCTATCACAAAAACAATGAATCAACAAAGGAATTAGATAGAAATCCACTAACTCGACTTGGACAGTATCATCTAGCAGAACAAATCAATATATTTCGACATGGTAGGTGTAGCTAATTCACGAGATTTTTTCATATTATTCGAGAGATCATTTGCTAATGATCACTCTTGATTTTATCTAGGCCATCTCGTGACACAACAGACATCAGAATCGATAATTTCCCTTGCAACATGCTCGTTGATGGGTGCGACATCCGGTTACATTGGTCTCGTCGTACAATTGCCACACTCATTATATCGACTTCTTACATCATTAGAAAAGAGCCTTGCTCAACACATACCAAGTGTAGGTCAAATTGAACATAGTACATGGCGTTCAATGAGATCTGATAAACAATCGACTATATCGTCAGGTTTCATTGATGGCGATCTAATTCAGTTGTACCTGGACTTACCAAAGGCAGTTCAAACTGAACTGTTAGAACATCTACCTGTATGTATCTCTATCATTTCGGTCGAAGGGTCATTGTTAATTTGCCTTCCTTTCTAGAATGACAACCAATCAAACGTATCCGTTGAAGAACTAGTCAAAATCGTCGAAGAACTCTCGCGAATACATTGAATCGAGTTCAAATTTTTATCTGATACCGTGTAGGTCTGTATTTTTTCTACCAATTTTTTGTAAATCTTAGAAACAAGATTGACGATATAATAAAGTCAAACTCTTTTTTTATTCGTGACAAAATCACAAATGAATATTGCCCGCATGAATTCGAATTGTCTTGTTAATGATGCTCACCTCCGAAAGTCACAGGTTGATGATAGATCTATAAATGCGAACTGATCAATATAAAAGATATGCATTATGATCATTGATATAGTCTTTTTTTTCACTTTCTCGTTGTGATCAATCAGATATCATTGAAAATTTTGTACATAGATACTACATATGTACGTGTCATTCATCTTCATCATCACCTATCTATTAATGATTGTCCCTATCAAATGTGTAGCACATATAGAAAAAAAATGGGGATGGTTCACTGATTGATGCTCTGATATATTCGTTTCATTTGCAAACTCTTACATCATCGATCTAGCCGAACGCATTTACAACGCTCCTGTGTTACTTGTAGGCACATTCACATTTGGAAAGATGATCATGAACAATGCCGTCAATTTCTATCCAAGAACATACGGACCTCCGTCTTTTCCTGGAATACCGAACAATTATGGCATTACTTCGCCACCTGTTCCACAATTTTACAATGCGCGCTTCCCACACCCAATACCAAAACCGGAACCACAACCAACATCACCGCCGTCTCAACAACAACAGCAGCAGCAACATCAATCATTTGCCAATCATCAACGACCAGTTAGTCAACAGAATAATGAAACGAACAATTCATTTAAACTGTATGATTTAAGTACGAACATGCAAAGTGATATCATTCGATTAATATTTTCGTTTGTTGGTGTTCCTTATAAAGACAAGCGTTTGAAAGAAGATGAATGGATGAAAATAAAAGAGCAGATATCTTTTCAAGAACTGCCTATTTTACGTGTAAATAATCAATTTCGAATCTTTCACTTGCATGCAATTATACGTTATTTAGCACGAGAATTTCATTTATATGGAACAGGTAAACATGAGCATGCTATTATTGATATTATCACGGAAATCGCTCGGCAATTACAAGACAAGATCTTTGAACAAAATGACACGTCTACTCTTGCACAAGACCAATCAGTACAAGAATTGATAACCGATTTCGCACTGAATTATTTGAAACAATTCGAAGAACTTTATACGATATTTGATCGTCGTGGACCATTCTATCTAGGCACACACATATCACTGGCTGATTTAATTGTTTATAATACAACAAACTCTTTGATTAAAGCTAATACGAAATTATTAGAAAATTACACGCGTCTGAAAGAAGCACGTCGACAATTGGAAAAGCACCCTGGCATAGCTAATTTTCTCAAATTAAAACAAATTGATGCGAATAAAACGCACCGTCATAGATCACCACATCCGCATCGCCGTCGAACAAAATCACCAACGCCGCATGAAGGCTCTCACCGTCATCGCCATCGAAGCCATCGGCGTCGATCGGATGAAAGGCGTAGATCAAGCCACCACCACCATCATCATCATTGCCCGTATCATCAACGACAACGATCTAAAGAACCAACAGCATCATTACAGTCGAAACATCAATCAGAAAAATCATTACAATCACCGAGCCTGGTCACCAATGAAAAAGATTCAATAACACCAACTGTACCAACGTCTGTTCCTCCTCCCGCACCACCACTTCCTCCTCCTCCTCCACCCTTGCCTGCTGCCCAAACAAAACAGCAAGTGCCAAGAGCATCGAAATCTCCAAGTGTCATAAAAAAAGACAAAGAGCAAGCACCGCCGTCACACACGAAACAACGTCTTATCCGAACATCAATATCTCCTAGTTTGGCAAGAGCCGAAAAAGGTTCAGTTCCACCAACAGCTGAAATCATTCCACCACCACCACCAATTCTCAAAGACTCGAAAGCTGAATCGAAAGCCAAATAATTGTATTTATTTGAAATTTTATTTTCTCTTCTTTTTACTCTTAAGTTAGATAATAAAATAAAGATGATCGAAGACAAATGTATGAAATGTTAGTGTTCTTTCTCTTTTCGTACTCTACTTATTGATAGCCACGACCGTGACAATCATCACAGATTTCCGTTGATGTTTGCCGACCATAGCCATTACACGAACAGTTTGGTGAATAATTCGACCAGGTTGTTCGTTCTCCACAACGGCATCTATTGCATTCAGACTGCACATAAAGTCTTCCATGACCGCCACATTTCCAACAACGCTCACTAGATCGACCCTTTGTTCGTCTACCATAAGCTTCATAGATCAGATGTCGGCCGACAGCATTTTTTCCTTGTTGACTGTATTCAGCGCCCATCGTTCGATTCTAAAAACAATTCACCGATTACATGACCTCGTATATATACAAACTTTCATTCTTTCTCGTTTTTTTTTCTCTTTCTCGTACATATGATCCTGGCAAATATCTCAATCATAGTGATCTTTCACTGAAATCGAACGTTGGCCTATATTGTGTGTTTATCGGAACTAAACTTTCGATTAGCATGCATGTAGAAATTTTAATCAATGCGAAAACAGCGCTCGATAATCAAATGATAATCTATAAATAGAAGAGTCTCTGATTACAATTACAGACCTGTCATCTTTAAGCTTAAGAATCGTGAGAGAGGATTTTTCGGAATCGGTTTGGTCCTGTTTGATCGAAACGATTCGACCAATTAGTCATTTTTCCTATTTGATCGACGGGATTTTTTTCTTACTTTATCGAAATTCCTTTCGATTAAACTCTATTCTAATAGAACACACAATTGCAGGTATTGCGCGCGCAAGAGAGAAAAATTCACACGAAAATAGACAGATAATAAACAATAATTGATACAAGAATAGATAAGGCCTACAAATGAATAAAAAAAAAGAGAATAAATACGACACATAAACTATTGAAAAACAATTTATCTCGGTTTTTTGCCAATGGTTAAACAAGTTCGTTCTAGAACATTCTATAGTCCGTATTTTCTAGTACATATCACATGATTCATGTTAGACATTAAGGACAACTGTGTTCACCAAAAGATAGATTTTATGTCCACGATTCTAATAGGAGATAATATTCCTTTGAATGCTCCTACCTTCTCTTGTCTGTAAGAGCAATTATTCATTTCATAACTTTTCGATAAAATAGGAAAAAAATTTTGTCGATGAAATAGGAAAATTTAAAGTGTCGATAAAGTAGGAAATTTTTTTGTCGATGAATCGGTACAATTAAGAGGCTGTCGAGGAAACAGGACGATACCTTCGGAATCAAAGTAATCTGTCTGCTCTATTATGACTTCTTTGAGTTGTTCGACCAATCTCATCCGTCATAATTTTTCCCAGTATAAAAAAATGTCGCAAGTCTATCCCTTTGACAACTCATCGCATTACTAATCGTTGCACTTTACACGTTATATAATCATCTCTATTATAGCTGGTATGATTCCATTTTTCTTCATTGACGTCATACCTTGCGCAAGAAATGTGTTTTTTTTATCGTATAATTATACTTAATACTTATTTAGTTGCTCGATAAACAATTGTAAGTTATGGTGGTGAAAAGTACTATGGCAAAGGGAAAGGATGTATGAGTTGCGAGAGAAAAAGGTCAGAAAAGAAAGCATGACGGATTCGTACGAAGAACACACAGAATAATAATTTCGTAGACCTTCTATAGGTCGTCATCAATGGAAATAAAAATATATGAAGCATTTTGACGTTTCTATATACAAGTTGCTGCGATTGCTCATTAGATCAATTTGATATATTGTTGTCCGATTCTCGTTCGACGGAATGATGTGAAGTATTCACAGAGTGTACATGTCATAGCTAAGTTCAATGCTAATCGATTTATTCATATCTCACATATATTGAAATGAATCACGAAAATTTGTGTTCAATCAAAATTCTTTGTCTCTTTTGCCTATCGCAATATCGTAGTGTCCATCATTTTCTTGATTATACGCTAATGTCAATATCGGTATCGATTTCATGGATAATAACGGTTCATCTTGTGGACAAACATCAATCAATGGACATTGACTAAGATTAGTAATGATTTTAATGGGAATTCCAAGCAAATTACTCATTGTCAATGGCAAAATATCACCTAAAATCGATGAATAAAACTTATCCGAACGAAATTTTCGTATTTCATCGTAATAATTCACATCATTTACATATGGTTTATACTTGGTGTCATTTATTTTCCATTCTAAACAAGCTAATTTTCGTAATGTTCGAGCTAATTGTGTCGTATTTGTGAACAAATTCTCCGGAAGATTTAAACGTTGTTTAATAGCCGTACGGAAGTATCGATCTTGATTGTAGAATGTTATTAATTGACTAGCAACAGCAGTAAAAAAACAATTTCCGTCTCCATTGACTAATTGTCGTCGATAACCATAACGTGAAAGATTTAAATTTAATTGTTCGTCAGCTGACAACGGTGTTGGAGGCCGTTTAACCGGAGTTTTAGCTCGTTCTTTTTGTATACACTCTTGAGAAACTTTCTTCACTTCAGACGTTTGTTGACTTACTGCATGAATCGGATAGATGTACTGCGTTTGGATTGGCGGTGAATACGTATAGGATGTGACAGGTGTCGATAAATAAATCACAGATGGTTGTGGCGTTAGTGTATTGAATAATATGTTATGATTTACAGGTTGAATGTAAACATTTTCAATCGTATAGATCATTGGAGTTTTGGGTACTTAATATTTGGTTAGTCAATGTTTATTATAGATAAACGAATACGGTTGAACAGAAAAGGAGAAAAGGGAAGAGTTAGTGTTCCGGTTGAATGAGTAAATATTCGAAATGAAAATCGAGCGATATACAGGGACAAGGTCTTTAAAATCATGTTTAGAATGAAGAAGAGGAGAATAGTTATTAATGATGTATTTCTATGCTTGCATGACATAGTATTTTAGGATGTCAAATATCAAGCCAAAACGAGCACATATGATGAATCATGGTGAAACTTCTGACTAGAAGGAAAAAAAAGCTTAATCATAGTCGATATATAACATTCATTCATTTATCGTTCTTTCAGTTCGGTTCGGATACATGTAGATGATGATGATATTTAGAAACCGATATTCCATTTAGTTATTTGTTCGTATGAAATGACAACGAAACGAATAGATGAAACGATTTGTGAACAATAACCGATCGAGGTAGTTCTTTCTATTCGTCTGTAGTCTCTGTTCGCTAGAACTATAAGAAGAATGATCCGAACAGTTTCGTGTTCACTTTATCGACTATTCGAAGACTATTTTGTTTTGATCTTCTCGAACGATCGTTTGCGCAATTTAATCGATGGTTCGTTGAATAGAATATTTCTTTTACAAGTACTTATTTGATATTGTTCAATGTTTATAGCACTCGCTAAGTTTCGTCTTAGTCCTATTCTTTGCCATTGGTGTTCTTGGGCAAACCAGTGATGACAGTAAAGGTTGTCGATATCTTTCTTTCCTTTTGTTTTTAAAGGAACTTATTGTTAATCCTTTCCTTTTTAGAGGATGCTGATGCCAATGATTTAGAAAAAGGTTATCCATTCGGTCAACTCCGAATTTTAGCAGACGGAAAAACCGAAGAATTAATATCACCAGAGCGCACGTATGTTGCAGAAATGTTTCGGACAAATGTTTTTCGAAATGAAGTTCTCTTGTTTTTGTTTTAGTGAAACTGAAAAATCAGATAAAAAGATTGTTGGTGTATCAGACGTTCAACCATGTTCGTATTGAATTCTATTTTATCATTCTACGAAGTTATTTTTCATATTTTTCAGTACCGTCTCCATGTATCGGCGCTCGTCCATCGTCGAAACGTGCTTTTCCAAAAGAGAAAACAAAATATATATTCTGTCGTGATGAATTTCATTACGAAATCTTAACATGTCCAGATGGTGTTGAATTCAACGTCAAAAGCAACGAATGTGACCTTCTCGCCGAAACGCCATCATTAAACAGATGCGACGTAGAAAAACCATGTTTAAATGAGGGTGTTTGCTCCATTGCATCGAATTCTACATTCAAATGTACTTGCCGATCAGACTGGACAGGTGAACGATGTGAAACACCAGTGAACTCGTGTGTCAAAAAACCATGTGGCCCAAATGCTGAATGTCGACCATTGACAACAAACGATTATGAACAAGATTATGTTTGTGTCTGTCATACATTGAAAGGTTATGGTCTTAACTGTCGCGAAGGTTTGTTGTTGAAGAAGAAAAATCTTTCATTTTGTGTATTGATGATTGTATATCATTGAATAGCTGTGCCAAATCCATGTTTGACAACAACCGAACAATTCTACCCATTTGCATTCAGTCAACGTGCATACATTCAATGTGACGGCGAATTGATCTATTTTCAACCGTGTGGTCCATTACTTTACTGGAATCAAGAAGAGAAAATCTGCGATCGTAAACGACCAGCTAAAATTGATATGCCAGCCTTTATAACAATACCATCAACTAGTATCGCTATCAAGGGCGATCAAGAACAAGTCTTTGACAATACAGATGCACAAAAATTAATTCAACCATCGGCAACTTCTCTCCAACTTCAACGGGACATGTAGATAGAGAAATCGTTTACGAACTCAAAGACTTCAATTGTTTCCATAATTTTTAGGCAATCGGCTCAAAATGTTAAAATAAATAGTCCAGATCTTTTTGGCTTCATTCCAGCCCGAGCTGCCGATCGAAAACAAATATTAGTAACCGTCGATAGTCAGAACGGTATGAATTCTTCTGGTCGATATTATTCATTCTTTTAAATTTTTCAAGGAGTTTCGATTCAAAATTTACCTGAACTCGGACAAAAGACTCAAGAACTTCGAAGTACATAACCGAAATTTTATCTACACTCAGCACTTCTCTACGTTCATTTGTATTCGTATAGATCAAGTATCACAAATGATAAATCCCAACCAAGTCCGTGAAAACATGTTTACTGGATCCAGCCAATGGCAAAGTAAGACTCTATTCGTCTGTCAGACTGAAAAATCTAGGATTGTTGAATATTTTAGTTCCACAAAAAGATCAAGAATCGAGACAGTCACAAGGCAAGTTTAGATATCAATTAACGAATTAATGTGTTTTCTTCTTTTTCTATAGGTCAAAAACAACGTGTATCAGTTGTGTCAGATGGTTTATCTACTGACGTCGATTCGAATCGATTTCGAGCTGAACAAGACAGCCAACGACAACAACAACAACAGCGTACGTCCTTTCTGCGTTTATGTGTTGTTGAGTGTACCGTTTCTCTTCTAGAATTTCAACAAAACCAACAATCTTTTGGTACAAAACAATGGTTAAGTAAGTTAAAATGTAAAGTAAGCTACAGTGCAAAATAACTATTCAATATTAGATAAATTACCAGAAAGTAATGTGCAAAGCTCTCAACGTGTCGCTCTCCGACCACAAGTTCAGAATGGTGAGTGCATCTTTTTGTATCTATGGTTCTGCAAACTTAATTTATTTTCTGCGATTAAAAATAGTTCAACGCAACGAACAAGTTCAAGGTATGTTTGTCTTTATTTTTCTCAAATTAAAGCTTTGTAATCTATGACTATGAATCTTATTAGATGACAGTCAAGAATGGAGTATGCATCTTGCGAAGTTTCCGCAAAATACCGTGCAATTGCAAGGTGTGTTCAAAATTGGATACGTTTATTTTGCAATCGTTGCATCCGATATTTAGGATTTCAACAACAAAATCCTCGCGAACAGCAAACCTGGCAAATGAGACAAAATGCCGCTCCAATGACAGGATCTCAATTTGTACAATCATCGCAGAGTAAGTATCCTCGTTTTTCTTCTACTGCTAATTATCGTTCATATGACCTGTTCAGCCTTTCAAACACAACCACAAGCACAAAGTAGCATTATCAGCTCTGTTTATTCTCAATCTGACTCAATCGCTTTCTTTAGGACAAGCAGACATTGAGACAAGTTCACCAGCACAAAACACAATTCGCGTAGAAGGTTAGTTATAGTCTCTTCACTTCTTCAATCTGTAATCGAATACTTCTTTGTAGTCATAACAGATAAGGATCTTCAGAGAGGTGATCAATCTTGGCAACAACAGACACAACTCTTTGGTACACAACCTCAGAAATGGCAAAGTATGAACACTTTTCAATATCATTAGCTTTTCGTTTTTGTTCGTCATGTCTATTAGATACAAAATCATTTCAAAGAGACGAGCAAACCGAAACACATCGTCCAGAGACAATGACATTTGATGGAAGCAATCGCCTTGAAACAGGTAGGAATACTTCAGGTAAAATACATTGCATTTGTTTTGTCTCAACAGGATATCAACAAATCGCTCAACGTTTTGTTCCACCCGCTCAAACTTGGCAAGGTAAACTATTTTTCTTCTTCGACTAATCTCATCGGAATCTGTATTGTTTCTATAGAAAAACAGAGTTTAGGAGGTCAACAACAATTGCGAGGTACGTTTTCAATTTCACTTTTGAGAAGCAAACTAGTTAAACATAATCTTTCTCTATTTCAGCTTCAATACAAGCACCTTTTACCGCGACAACACCCTTAACAACAACAACAACAACAATACAAACACCACACGTCATTCTTCCCCCACAACGTTTCTCAGAACAACAAAAGCCATGGGAAACCAAATTTCAAGGTATATCGTCATTTGTATGCGTAAATATATGGGCCAACTACATTCATTTCCTAACCTAGCTCAAAATCCACAAGTCCTTGTTGAAGTTGAAGGAAACCGACAAATAAATCCTTCTCGACAAGAACATCACGGACAAGAACAATCGTGGGAAACTCGATTTCAAAGTAAGGCATTAATTTTCTCATTTCCAATCAAATCGTGTCTTGCAGAACAATCACCCAGAAGCCAAACAACTCAAGTAATCGCTTTCAAACCGACACATTGGAAAGGTACCATTTACATTTTTTCTCGTCTTCATTATGAATCTCTTCCGAACTTTCAATAGATACAGGAAAACAAGACACAATACTTCTATCTCAAGGTAAATATTTAAATTCCATGTTAAAATGATTGTAGTAAGTCTTTTTCTCTTTTAGATCAACGACAAGTAGCGACTGAAGATTCTTTTCAAAAGCAAAATACTCAGTTCGTATTTCCTCAACGACAACAACAACAAGGTATGACGCCTCAGAATGCTTATGATCAAAGACAAACATGGTCGAATCAACAAATGCAAAGTAGTTCTCTTCAAATTCTCTGATTGATTACCGAACTCTGTTGATTTTAAGACGGTAGAGTCCTCAAACCTACTGAGCTACGACTTCAACCACAAACTGGTGAGTACACATATCACTCTTCTCTAATTTACCATTCACTCCTCTGCTTAGAACAAGTGACCGGTAGATCCATCGAAGCGACAACACTTCCAACAAACTCAGATCTTTTTCAAGGTACTCTTTAAATTGATGTAAAATCCATGATTTCATGCCTGATTTGCTTTTAGGACATGTTCCACAAAGTTTTCGTGGACAAACTTTATTTCGATCAAATGAACCAACTCAATTCGGTCAACAATCAATGACTGAACAACGACAACAAACGCAAATGCGTAAGTTCATTTCAACAGAAGTCGATTTGAAAAAAATACCTTATTGTATTCTTATAGAAGCAGTTCCAAGCAAATTTGCCAGATCATAAATATATAGTTTTATGCGTTTTACTTCGAATATTTCGTTTTTCGATTTTATTTTTCGTTTTTGAAAACAAAATAAAAAAAAAGATTTATATCAAATATTTTGATCGTCTTATTGATTCTAAAGTTTATCAGATAAAAAATAGAAGATAACTATCCAGTTCTTTCGGAATTTCTAAATTGACACTTGTACAATGCTTATCAATCGAATCGATATTCAGCAAAATCTGCGTTCGACATATTGATTTCAATGGTTCCACTAATTTTCTCGGCTCTACAAAATTCTGTATAAATATCCACAAAATCTGTTTCATCTTCGAATTATGTTTATTCGCCGAGCAGCATCTTGTTAGTAATTTCTTATTGATCGTCTGACGATTGCAAGATTTGAAATACGCAAATATGAATAATTCATAAAGTTGTCGAAGAATGATTTGTTGTTGTTTCCAGGTGATACTATCATTCGATTCCACCAAATACGGCCAGTCACCCAACGATTGACAAATCAACGATTGCAAATAATTGACGATCGTCGAACGGCCCGTTTCAAGAATAATATCCGATAGAAGAAGATTCTTTTTCAGAAGTATAGTCAGAATCTTTGTCACATAGGGAGCGCGTGTCCGTCGATAAGCCTTCGTTAAATGGTGCAATTTTGCGCCACGAGATACGAATAGATCGAATAAGGACGAGAATTTCTGTAAAGATTCCTCATTCATATACAAATTATTCTTTGTGAATAAATAACACGATAAGAACAGATCAAACGAGGTTTGATCCCCAAGAGAAAGCTTGTTAATATTCTCTATTGCGATGTAATTCATCATCGATGGTAGAACTTCATCAATACCCAATTCGCATGCTGCATGGAAGCAAGTCAATTGCTTTGTACGTGTACTTATCAAACATGGATCGATCATTCCATACCGAAGTAGAATATGAATAGCATCGATATTCGTTCGAAATATTGCGTATAATAATGGTGTTTGGTGATCATAATCTGCACTATTCGGATCGATCTGAAAGAAAATAAGACTTCTTGGAAAAGAATGACATTTTGATAAACTTACTCCTGCTTGTTCGATTAAGAAGCTAATTAGATTATTTTTATGTAAGAGTATACATTCATGCAGAAGGGATAAACCATGATATGATTGACGAAAATCAGCACCGTATTCATGAAATAGTCTTAACGTGTCTAGATTTCCATAACGGATAGCACAGATTAATATTCGACTTGTGATATGAACTTGAAAGTCAAGTAATCGTCTGAGAAAATGCAACGATTTGCCACTTTCGATGGCGTGAAATAACGGCGCACGATGAGTAGCATCTTCAGCATCGACGAGATGTCTCTTATGTTGATACTCAACTTCAGCCAAGATATGATTCAATAGAAATAATTCATCTTCATTTGACTCGATTGGATCTCGACAACAACTAAGAAGTTGTTCTTGAATCATCGGAGGATAAATTTTCTATGTGTGTGTGTGTTTTCCTGCAAGATTATATATACTACATGCTGGAAGAAGAAAAACAACAACTAACAGAAGTATTCATGTGACGATATTGTTGTTCTTTTCGCATCATGGTTATAGCCAAAAAAGGCAAAACAGAACGAGAAAAATCATGTTGCTCTACTTTTATTCATCATCATTCAGTTACATGTGATGATTCATATATATATATATCAAATACGCAATATTGGCATAAAATGATGAACGAAAATGATCGGATTTCTCCTCTATTTACATTACATTTCGAAAAATTTTTTGTTCTATTCCACAAACAACAAAAACGGTATATAGAGAGAAAAAGTCAGGATAAAAGAATAGTTTTCGTCACCATACACACATAAATACATAAAAGTCAAAGAAACAAGCGTCCAATTGATAATACAAGATATCTAGAAGATTCTAGAGACTAAAACCAGTAGAAATGAGAAAACGACGAAATGCACTCTATAATCGATGTGAATTATCTTCATTTTGTGGTTGAAATAGTTTTATTTGAGGTATCTTTTGTTCGTCATGATCGACATTGACTATAGAAGTTAAGTTGTCTTTGCCATCAGTATCTTTGACTGTATGTATCATTGGCGTGGATAGCTTTGACGACTGAGCAGAATAATAGTGTTCATTGTCATCATCAATGTCGTTTGTTTTCTTTTGACTAGAGGGTTGGGAAGAAAGAATAAGAGAGTTCGGACGAGCAGGTGAATATGCAGAGCGAGCCCTATAACTTATATTTACATAATCCGACTCGTCTGTTACGGAGGATGAACTAGTTTGATGACTAAGTGTCGAGGAATTTTTCTTTCGTGGACGAAGAAGAACGGGTTGATGTTGAGGCGTCGAAATGGACGAAGTTGGAGTAGAGCGGCCAAGACCGATACTGATCAACATGGAATTAATGTCAAATATAGCACGCGCTATTGAATGTTCATTTGGTGTGGAACACTGCGATGATGTTGTTGAATCTAAGGAAGAAAGGGAAAAGTGTGTAGAGTGAAATCGATGACAAATGATTGTTGAGCAAAGCGATTAGAATCTAGATTAGATTTCTATGTAAATCATGGATTAGAATTAGTATTTACTGGAGAGAAAATAAAATGAATCAGTAGAGCATACTATGTGTTTTAACAAGAACTGACGGTTGCTAATCGAAGAAAAGAAAGATGAAACTGCAAATATTCATTTTTTGATGGAATCTTACTTAAATCATCAAATATTTCTGAAACTATGAGAAGAGATGATAAGATATATTCAATTCTCTCGATGAAAAGTTCATTTTACCTAGTTTTCGGCTGGGTCGATCGATGTTCGATGCGGAAAATGTACTTAATGTTGTAAAATTATTCTCATTGCTATTGTTGTTATTATTATTTGTATTAAACGATGCTGACGACCGTGTATCTAAATACCATTTTGATTCTTTGTGTCGACCACTTGATTTTCCATGCTTTTGCTTAATACTGGATGACAGGGATAATTTCGACTTCCGACTAGATGATTTCGTTTGACTCATTGAACGTGGTGGTTTATCTGAAGTTGTCGATGAATTGTATCCATCGACTGGAAAATGAACTAGAATGGAAAATAAACAGTCAGACGATTTGCCGTTCGATAATTGATCTTCATGCATAGATAGATCAATGGTATAGTTTGCAGAAAAAGCAGTGTTAGAATACGCCAGAGAGGAGTTAACTTTAATTGTTAGCATTTTGTTGATATATACGGTGTTGTTCAATCGGATTTCTTACCATCGTCAACGGATGAAAAATTACTATGTATAAATTCATCTAATAACAGATTTGCGCTAATTAGAAACATAGAATTGCATTTGTCTCTCGAATAATGTGATTATTCTGGTGAAAATCCAAAGGTGCGAATATACGTACAGGTTAGTGTTCGAAGTCGACTCATATTTGGCGTCGATGGTGTACTATTACTTGAGAATGAACGTTCATACGGTGAGTTGAATGACTTGTTCGAAAGGACAGTTATGGATGAATTAGATGGCATTGGACATGAAATAGGCGACGAAGAAGATGTCGATGATGGAGGAATAGTTGGCGAAGAGTTATGATCCAGACTTGGCGGATTATGGCACACAGATATCAAATGACGAAAATCTACAATGAATGAATTGATTTCGGTAGATGATTGTGCAAAATATCGAAATAGTGACTTACTTGTTGGGCTACTGATAACTGTCTGAGCATTAGCAGATGTAGTTGAATGTCCCTTGAGAAGTGAGCGCATGAATCTTCCTGAACGTTCTTGTATTTTAGGTGTTTGATGATTGAGCCGTTCTTGATTATTAGCAGCCATCAATAACTTCAATTCTAATTCTACAATATGCATTTCACGCTCGTGTAACTGTTGTTCCCATTTTTCTAACTGCAATCGCTGATGATTCTGTTCCAATGAGCGTTCATACATCGCTTGTTCACGATCACGAATTTCCTAGAAATGATAAAAACGTTGTTTGGAAAACTAATCTTATTGAACATCATCTTACTTGTTCTTTTTCTTTCAATTCATTGAACATATCTTGAATTTCTAAACGCCAATCATTCTGCAATGATTGATAGGAATCTTCGTTTGATTGCATATAACTTCTTTCAATAATCTGATTGATTTGTTCGAGAAGATCACAAAATTTTGGTCGCTCGTCTGGAAGTGCTTTCCAACAACCTAGAGTAGAACAAAATGAATAAGGCAAAACAATCGTGCGAATATACTTGTCATCAGTTGTGCGAATTCATCAGGGCATGTGCTTGGAATTGGAAGGGAATATTTGTTGGTGGCAATACCAAAGGCTACTTGCATTTGATCGAAACCTTTGTACGGTAATTCGCCTGTTAGACATTCCCAGAGTAAAACGCCAAAACTAGAATGACATGAATGAATAGAAGACTGATGAGTGATCATATAGAAGAAATTCACCTCCAAACATCGGATTTAGTTGAAAATTCACTGTTACGAATACATTCTGGACTCATCCAGGCGAATGTCCCAGCAGCGGACATATTGGATGATTGTAATTGAATTCTTGCCAAACCGAAATCAGTTATTTTCAATGTTTTATAGAGAAGTTCATTATCATCATGACTATCATGGATTTCTTCCAGAATCAAAACTAAACAAAGGAGAAAAAAAATATACAGATCTTTACTTTTCCTGATCATCATTTCCTCACTATTCGAACATTTGAGATCTCGATGAATGATATGTTCACACGCTTCTTCATGTAAATATTGCATCCCATCTGCAATTTGTTTTGCATATTGTATAAACACATTTGGATAGAGACCACATTGACGTTTTTGCAATAGATGACTCAGCGCACCTCCGTGCGCGTATTCCATAACAAGGTAGAGATTTTTGGTGATGGAAGATGGACTCACACCGAACAGCTGAATTATATTTCGATGTTTCAGATTAGAAAAAAGACGAGCTTCGCGTAGGAGACTATCGATGAGAGTGTTTTGCACTGCATCAGATGCACCATCGGGCGTTGTTGTGGGTGAAATTGAACAGAATGAAGCAAGTGACTTAGCTGTTTTGATTGCAACATCAACATCACCAAATTTACCATGGAAGACGTGACTAAATGTTCAAAGATTGAATCGAGTTCTTTTTATAAGCAACTAGCGACAAACTCACCCGAAACCGCCGACACCAATTGTTTCTCCGATTTGCAAATCATTGAAGTTGATAATGCGGAGATTTGTTTGAGAATTAGCGACAAAATTAGCTGGAAAAATACCGACGGAATTCGTATCAATCAATCGTCCTGTCCACCATCCGCGTGAACCTGATATCGATTCATCTGTTGATAAAACTTCCAGCTTATTACCACGTCTAAAGGAAAAATCAGCGGAGAAAAAAATCAACAGTTTCTTTGTCAAACCTTAACGTGAGTTCATCATCCCCATTGCCATTATAATCAAAAATGACATCAAGAATCTTATCAAGATTTTCGTTTACGTCACCGTTTTCATTATTATTATTACTCGACGAAGATGGCGAATTGTTCATATTTGAAGATGAAATACTAATAATATTTGTTAAACACATAAATAAAACACAAGATATCATCGATGAGAAGAAAAGCAAAACAAGTCAACCAGTCTGTGTTTTGAAAGTTGTCGACATTGTTACGAACTTCTTCGTTTCACCTCACATATTTGACTAATCTTGATTCGAATATCTTGAAAGAAATAAAAACAAAAGATAATAGCTCTCATTCATCGAATGCTTGCTTCAAGAAGAAGAAACAGGAAACATCACAATATGAGATGGTGGAATGCGGATGATGTGAATTATTTACGAGAAAATTATTCGCCCAACGAACTGAACAATCCGCTTGGAACCATTGAGAAATTAGCGGCATCTGCCGCGTCAATAGTCGAGCAACACGCACACACTGTTTTTGTTCTTCAATAGGCGACATCAGTCTAGCAGATCTTTCATCATTGATAAATGTAATTATGTAGAAGTAACGTTCACACAGTTCTCGAAAGTTTTCAAAAGATGTTTATTCATTATTAATGTCGAGTTCATTGGAATGTTCTTTATTTAGAAATCAAAACGTTATTTGAAATCTGCTTTCATCTTTTCAGTGACTTTGAAATCGATTCAAAAGAATAAGATACTCAAAACAAAAAGGAACTGTTTGCCGCTGAAATGATCATGAGAATGAAATATTTTATTGTTATTTTCGTCATAAAAGATCATATGACGCTAATCAAATTGTACTGAAGAATTATTCGATAATGATGGCATACAAGTCAAATGTTGTTCCTATATTGACATTTTTCTAGAGATATACTCGAGATTTCATAGTTAGATATCAGTGTGTTCTCAAAGTATTACTGACGCGAACAAAAAAAACTTCCTCTCAAAAAAAAAACAGCTCTATTGACATTTTTGCGATAGCAAGTGCGTCATCAATTATTAGAAACTTTTTTGGCGCATTTGACTTAGTTGTGGCAAAAAGAAGGAAAAATTGAATTTTCCCAATGTTCCGCCTGCCAATTTCCAGATATCTTATATGTCGGTGTAACAACCGCTTTGTTTGCCTTCCTCTCGTACACTTTTGACAAAGATTTTATCGCCTGTTATCGCATTTTATTTGCTAATAACAGTCTTGCCGCCTTAAAAAAGACGGTAATCGGAAGTAGAAAAAAGTCAACATTCATATATCGTCTCACATTGTCACAGTGTCTATACTCTAACAATCATTTTTTGAGAAAGAGACGCAATGTCAACACTGAAAAACGAGCATTCACAACACGTGAACATCCAACATGGGTTGTTGCCACCGAAAAACAGCTCCAAATCCTGAACCAGTGGTATTGCAAGCGGAAAATCAACATGGCAGTCAAGTCGAACAGCAGAGAGTCAACAAAATCATCATAGAACCAGACGTTACTCCGTCAGATGAAGCAATTATTACAAATTTACGTAATAATAAAAGGCATTCAAATTTCCAATTAGTCGATCCACAGGCATTCAATGAGTCATTTATTAAGGAAAGATTTCGGGCCATCAACGATCGTTCATATCAATCTGCAATAGAACGATGGAGTCCAACTTCGCTCTCTCACCTTACAGATATTCTAAAAACATTCTCCGAAGGAAAATCTGTCATCCATCGACACTGGTTCATTTTCTACTGGATTGCATCCAACATTCAGTATGATACTGTCTCCTATTTCACTAAGAACTATCAGGATCAGACAGCCGAAGGAGTCTTTCGAACAAGACGAGGTGTCTGTGCAGGCTATGCCAACATGTACAAATATTTGTGCGATCATCTACAAATGCCATGTGAGGTGGTGAGCGGGTATTCGAAGGGATATGAATTCGATGATCGAGAAGGTGCACCGAGTGAGGTTGACCATGCATGGAATGTAGTCGAGATCGACCATCATTGGTACTTGGTGGAGTCGACATGGGGTGCAGGTCACGTGAATGATAAGAAAGAGTTCGAGCAGAGACTTGAAGCTTATTATTTCCTTGCTCGTCCGAACGAGATGATTTACCATCATCTTCCTAGAAAAGAAGAAGAAAGGTGGCAACTGCTGGAAACACCGATTAGTATGGCGCAGTATATGTCAATGCCAAAACTACGTCCGTTGTATTTCCAGCTGAATTTGGAATTGATTAGTCCATGTAATTTAGCTCATGTTGATTTTGTAGCAGGAAAATCTTATGCCTTGGTTGTTATAAAGACTCCAGCCGATGTACATCTTCTCGCACATTTAAAAATGAATGGTAAAAAGGTCGAAGGTGGCCATCGAATCATTTTCGACAAGCTAAAACAAGTGCATTGCTGCTATTTTGCACCAGCGAACGTAGGTAAACATCAAATAGTGGTCTCTGGAAAACAAGGCGATGACGAGAATGGAACATATCATTCAGTCATGGAGCTAATATTGGATGTGAAACAAATGCCTGCGAAGTGCATAAGTTTTCCGAAAACCTGGAAAAGATTTACTGATTTAGGGCTGGAAATTATGTCACCTCAGGATACGCACCTGATCAAACTGGCGAACGGTGCTGCCTTTGCCCAGATTCTGATAAAAGCGCCTGAAAATGTCGAACTATTAGGAAAATTGACCGACGAAACCGGTAACGTGTTAAGCAATGGAGAGCAAGTGTACTTCAACCGAGAAGAAAAGATTTGGAAATGTAATTTCGCGCCGGATCGCAATGGACTGTTCGAAGCAGCCATTATGGCAAAGGAAAAAAATGACACCGGAAGTTATTGGTCTGCAGTTTCATTCAAAATCGACGCAAAACAAATTCCTTCGCCGAATATGTCATATCCACGAACATGGAAAGAGTTCTATGATCTTGACCTCAAGATATTGGCTCCAATGAATCGTGCCAATGCCGTTTGGGCAAACGATGCATTGTATACCGAGGTGTTGATTCAAACTCCTGACGATGTTCAACTTAGTTGTGCTATACAATACAACAATGTTGAAATTGAAAATGGGGCCTTAGCACAATACTGCCGAGAAAAGAATTATTGGCAACTGTTATTCGCACCGGAGCGACCTGGTCAACATAAACTCGCCGTCTATGGTAAGCGTAATAATGATGGTGAATCAAAATTTAGTTCAGTCGTTGAATTCAATCTCAATGTGACTAAACTGCGACAATCAATAAAATTCCCCAAGATTTACAGTTCGTTCGAAACAAATAAATGTCAAATTTATACACCAATGGAAGGAATTCTAAAGAAAAATTCCATCGTTCCTATTCATTGTGTTATTCCAGGCGCAAAAGATGTTAATATCATAGTCGATTCAAAATGGCTAGATAAGGAAGGTTATACTGATCCTGTTCTTCAAAAACAAATTACAGTCGGCTCAAATGAAGTTTGTATATGTGCGAAATATGATGAAGGTACAAGCTATCAACGCATTATAGAATATACTGTTCAATAACATTTATTGACAAAAGTTACGAAAAACAGACATTGTTCTTTTAACCATCTTCTGATGTGATCGTATCTCTTCTCTTCGTCATAGCCATTTTAACACAAGTTTTCTTGCAAAAAATACAAAAAAATAATACTTTCAGCAGAGTTGTGATTAAAAGAATGGCAAATGTAAATTGATAAAGTATGGGATGGCAGTAATCATTTTTTTCAGCGTGTATATATTGAACACGATACCAAGCATCAATGACCCATACTAAACCGGTGACAGACCAACCAAGTAAGAATATAAAAAGCGATAAATTTATGCACATAATACTACATATGCCGCAACCGACGAACATTGTCGCACGATTTGGATTTCTTCGATCAACATTATCATCAAACACTGTTTTTCCAAATACTCGTGTTATAAGCTGAGTAATGGAGATCAGAATAACCAGAAGGAGAGCGACAGTACCAGCTACGATTGAATAGTGTGGAATCAGTTTGTTTATTGGACAAGCTTGAGAATAACGCCAGCCCATGAAAATCTGTAAGACTGTGAATGATAACGGAGAAATTTGGGGGGTGAGAGTGCACGAAATTCGACTTACTAGGAATAATGGCGATGATGACTAGAAAAATAAAGATTGTAGACGATTGACACAGGTCAATGAAAAGATTTGTCTTTGTACTTGATACTTTCGAAATTCGATTTCGACATTGTTCGCTGGATTTTCTACCTTTTCTCTCAACATCTTCTTCCTGTTTACAATCATGAACCAAATTACTATCTACTTCCATCTGATTTCTTTCGACAATACCTTCGAAATGTTCTCAACAATAGTGAAGAACCTGAAGTACTAAAAATTTTCTTTAGAAGTAAAAGACTGAATAACAACCATTACATTCACTATCTGATTACATATTCTTTTTCTGTTTTCTCTTCTCTCTCTCTCTGATTGTGACTGACAGTTTTTCTTTACTATTTTTCAGAAATGTTTTCCTCGCGTCTATTCCCTATCAATACGAGCATCAGCCATTGTTAGGCATGGTATTCAATCCTATTTTCTTATATAGATGTACTGATAGATGCTAATCAAATAATTCGGTGAAGAAGAAAATAATTCCAAAAAAAGCTCAGCTTTCTTGTCATTCAAACATCATGTCTTCGTACTATTAGGTTTCAAATAATTATAGGGAATACTTCGAATGTATATAAATGACTAGATTCCAAGCAAAACAAACAGAAGTTAGGAAGTTTGATTTTTTCAACTGAATTTAAATTGACTTTGAATAGCGTTAGAGTATCATTTTAATCATTATCTACAATAGAAGATAATGTAAAGACGTTCAAATCCGTTTCAACACAGGTCAAAAAAGCAGTCAAACATCAAGGCAATGATTCTAGAAATACCTTCGGAATAGCAGATGATCATCTATCTCATAGATTAATTCATGAGGTATCAAATAAGCATGCATCGTCTTCGACTAGAAATAGTGTCTAATGATGTATTCGAAAGTGATACTAAGAATACATCCGATATGTTCATTACCGATCCGTTTCCTTCTTCAACTTACGATTGTATAGAAAGTATAGATATGGATCTTAAGATATTAGATCCATTATTTCGTCAACAATCCTGTGACTATACTAGTCATACGCAATTACAAAGTCATGGCAACCTATTGAACTCTGTCAACCGACTAACCCAGTAAAAAACTCATTTGAAAAAGTAGTTTATGAGTAATCAACTTTCGATCGTATACTTCATTCGAACTAAACATGAAATTATTACATCTGCTAAAAGTTCTGATCCCTACACTAGGCTGTATGATTTTGAATGGTGAAACACTTTTACAAACAAATTGAATAGATTAGATTCGAACTCGATTTTATTCGAGAATGTCTATGATGAGTATTCGCTGTAGTTGTGTTTACTTCCTACTGTATAGTCATCTATATCGTTTACGATAAGAACGTCAAGTCGTCGTTCTTGAGTATGATAGCAACTAGAGTTTGAAAAAATAAGATATGAATTAATGTTTTTCTTTATCGGCGATGTCCTTCATTTCTTTTATTTAAAAAAAGGTAACAGACACTCGTATAAATAATACAAAACGATTATGGGTTGTCGAATCTGTCCATGTCAGAAACCCATTTATACTATTAAACCTGTGGATAGAAAAACACCATCACCTCACATAATTCCAGAACCTGATCCCAATCCTATCAATCAAGAAACACAATCACCTCACATAATTCCAGAGCCTGTTGATAAGGCTTCAGACTACAATCCTAGGAAGACAGAACCTCAAATTCATCAGCCTCCAAAAGATATACTAGAGGATATTACCAAGGAGAAGCTTCCATCAAGTGCTGAAAAATTTATTGACATTGTCCCGGCTGATCCAGATGCATTCAATCAAATTTTCATCCAACAGCGCCAGGAAGCAGTGAATAGAACTTCATATCGATCTGCAATAGAACGATGGAGTCCAACTTCGCTCTCTCACCTTACAGATATTCTAAAAACATTCTCCGGAGGAAAATCTGTCATCCATCGACACTGGTTCATTTTCTACTGGATTGCATCCAACATTCACTATGATACTGTCTCCTATTTCACTAAGAACTATCAGGATCAGACAGCCGAAGGAGTCTTTCGAACAAGAAGAGGTGTCTGTGCAGGCTATGCCAACATGTACAAATATTTGTGCGATCATCTACAAATGCCATGTGAGGTGGTGAGCGGGTATTCGAAGGGATATGGATTCGATGATCGAGAAGGTGCACCGAGTGAGGTTGACCATGCATGGAATGTAGTCGAGATCGACCATCATTGGTACTTGGTGGAGTCGACATGGGGTGCAGGTCACGTGAATGATAAGAAAGAGTTCGAGCAGAGACTTGAAGCTTATTATTTCCTTGCTCGTCCGAACGAGATGATTTACCATCATCTTCCTAGAAAAGAAGAAGAAAGGTGGCAACTGCTGGAAACACCGATTAGTATGGCGCAGTATATGTCTATGCCAAAACTACGTCCGTTGTATTTTGAATATAAGCTAGAAATGTATCAGCCTCGTAACAAAGGTGTTGTTTATCTTGAACCCAATCAACCATACGCATTGGTGATATTGAAGACGCCATCGAATGTTGTGCTAAACGCCAATCTAAAACGACATGATGAAATAGTTGAAGGCGGCGAGTCGACTATTTTCGACAAGAGAAAACGTGTCTATAATTGTTATTTTGCTCCTGCTAGCATCGGTGATCATAAGATAAGTATATTTGCTAAGCTGGGTGATACTGATATTGGTTCGTATGATCCTGTTCTCGATTTAACACTCGAAGTCAAAGAGATGATGGTGAGTCCTATAAGTTATCCACGAACATGGAAACTTTTTCATGACCTTGGAATGAAGCTTGTGTCGCCGATGGGAACACATTTAATCAATATGAACAGCGGCGAAAAATTTACTCAAATAGCAATACGTACACCATCTGATGTTGAGTTAATGGGCGAACTTGCTGATTCTGATGGTCAGTCAGTGATGTGTGGCAACCGAGTTTATTACGATCGACAAAAGGATTATTGGAGATGCAGATTCGCTCCAAATAAGAGTGGTATATTCAGTGCGTCGATCTTTGCAAGGAAAACAAGCGATCCTGGCAATTTTCAATCGGCTATATTATTTAAAATCTGCGCTAATCAAATTTCATTACCACCTTTCTCATTTCCAAAGACTTGGCAACTATTCTACGATTTTAACCTAAAGATTCTTTCTCCTGTTAGTCGAGGTATTATTGTCGTCACTAATGATAAACCAACTGTTGAAGTTCGTATGCAAGGTCCTGCTGACGTTTGTCTCGATGGCCAACTTGAAAATGATAGAAAAGAAGCAATTTTACGTGGTCATACAATTCACTATGATAGCGAAAGTGATGTTTGGCGTTGCACATTTGTACCGAACCGAAGTGGCATGTTCGAAGGATTCATTTTTGCAAAGAAAAGGTCTGATTCCGGCGACTTTTCTGCTGTAGCGTCGTATATAATAGATGCACGACAATTGTCTTCTGCTGGTAATCCTCTTGACACAAAACAAATCTTTTATGATTTCAAGTTTGAAGTGATTTATCCAGAAGGTGGTAGTAAAATTGTTCTACCTGACAATAGATCATTCGTGGAAGTACGTTTGAAGACGCCATCCGATGTCGTCCTGATGGGTTCGTTGACAAATGACCAAAACCAGAAGATCTTTGGCGGTCACGAGGTTTATTATGATCGACGACACGATATCTGGTATTGCCGATTCGCACCCAATGAAAATGGCCTCTTTCATGCTACTATATTAGCAAAGAAAACATCGGATGATAGTTTGTTCTACGAAGCCGTGGCGTATCACATTGAAGCTAATTATATTACTGCGCCTGCATTGTCATTTCCACAAACATGGCAAGAATTCTACGACTTCGATTTAAAAATCAAGTCACCACGCTCTCGCGCTACGGCAATATGGTCGGACGATATTCCCTATAGTGAAGTACTTATACGAGCCCCAGACGATGTTCAACTGTCCTGCTCGATTCAGTACAAACATCAAACGGTAGAAAATGGTACATTAGTGCAATATGATTATGAAAGAAATGCTTGGCAACTTCTGTTTGCACCTGAGCATACCGGTGAGCATGAGTTAATGATCTATGCACGGAATGTCAATAGTGGCGATAAAAAATCGAAGTCAGTTGTTATGTTTCCCCTTCATGTAACTCATCTTCGGCAACGGATAAAATTTCCTACGATTTATCCCGAATTTCTGACGTATAAATGTCATATTTATTCACCATTGAACGGTCAATTGATACGAGGTTCGGTAGTGGACTTTCATTGTTATTTACCTGAAGCAATATTAGCTACAATGACGAATAATTCTCGTATGCTTCGAGAGGAAAGCGTTGTTAATTCCAACTTTCAACGAACGTTAACTGTTGGCTCGGACGAAGTGACAATCTGTGCGAAATACGGTCGAAATCCTCACTATAATGTTTTAATAAAATATATTGTCGAATAAATCCTTTCTTGTCCAAAAAAAAATATTCATCCTAATGACAGAACATGAAATTGTGAATGTGAGAGATTAGCAAAGCGATTAAAGTCGAATAAAATTCAAATGCTCACTCCAAATCATAGAAAGTGCAAAAAAATAATATATATTATTGCGGAAGTAGATCTGATTTGGACAGAGTCAATTGGTATTTTCCACTAAATCAGTTGACGATGTTTCGTGCGGTTTGACGGATTCAGATTTGGTTCACCATAGATGATTCGATGATGGACACCACGAACTAGATCGGGAATAAAACGATACACTGGATATTGAACAGGAATTCGTGAAAGTATAACATCTTCTTTCAAAAAATACCTAAGAGAACAAGCAAGAACATCAGGTCACTGAAGAACAGATGAAACTTACTTGAAATCTTCCAAATATCGATCTCGGAGATATTCGGATAGGATTGTCGAATTGATCAATATCATCGAAAGTATCGAAAATAGTTGATACACATATAGTGCATTTTTCGGACTCAACGGATCCTAAACGGAAGAGCAAACTAAGAAAGTACACCGTCTCATCATATATTTTCTTACTTTGTTGTCGTTATTCATTGTTAATTTCGATAATGAATCGATAAATAAATCGAAGTAATCATCCTAGAAAATCAAATGTGTTCATCAAGTTCTTTGACATTTGAGTACAGAACTATTCAGGGATATAATAGACGATAATTATCTATAGAATGAATCTAGTTAAATTGAATAAAATTATAATTAAGACTTTCTTTGAAATCTATCTTTTTTCCTTCCGGAATAGAATACGTGATGTATGGTTGTTGAGAAGGGAAAAAGGAAATCTCCCGTTGCTCTTTCAAACAAAATCGATGCAATTAGACATCAACTTACTTTTTCTTGTTTTTTCTCAAACAGTTCGATAAATTGCTGAAAGCGAAAGTTCTTCGCTGTCCAAGATGGTCGACTAAGAATATCACCGATTTGCCATAGAATAGCACCTGATATGAACATCCATTTTAATACTAATTTGTAGGTGTTCTTAAGCAAAAGAAAACTATTCCACGAATATTCAAGACGATGCTCAGTTTACTTTTAACATTTCATTAGCTATCGAATCGTCAGATGTTGTTGAAGCCGGCTGAGCGGAAAGTATTGTTATCGGAGGTGTTAGAAGACATTCAGCGAGAAGTTGAAACCGCGAACATCTAGAAGAACATTTCATACAAGTGTATGTAGGTCAACAAGTACGAAAAATTTCAAGATCGAGACAAAAAAGCAGGATTAGAAGTCATGCGTGTGAAAATGCGAATCATTTACTTACTGGTCGTGTGTTAAGCGTGCTAATCGCTCGGTAGATGCGAACGTATTGAGGAAAATTTGATTGAACAATTGCATGATTGAGAAAGACAAACTAATTGAACTGGAAGAAGTGCAGAAATTGCAAAGAAGTGTTTCTTTTACTTTAAAGTATTATCGTCGTACTCATTCTTTGATATAAATTGCGAACAAGAGTGAAATTGTGCGATATAATAAACAAATAGGTCCGTATCCTAGAGAGAGGTTTTTCATTTGAGAATAAGTTGTTTGCGAGAATGAGTTTACCTTCCAAAAGAGTTCCTTCACTTTGGCATATTTTTCACATGCATTATACAATTCATCGGTTAATCTCAGCAATTGATTTGAATTATTATGCGATTGTAAGATTTCCGATTTGAGTTCTGAAAATTTTCTCATCGTCAGATCCATGCTAAACAGATATACGTAAACAAACAGCTGAAGAAAAACAGAAGTATCTTACGAAGATTGTAGGCGATCCGCAGTTGATAGAATAGAAAATTGTCGGTTACCATCGTAACGCAAAGTGGAAACAATGATGTGATTACTTAATGCTGCACTTAAAATTTCCGGTATTTTAGCGTTTAGACTGAGAAAATAAATATCAATATCTTTCATGTCATCGTCAAGATCGCCACAAAGACTAAAGATAATCAGAAGAAAAACAAGCACAGATAAACGAAATCAATAAATCATGCGAAAAAGAATTGAATATCAGAAACTACGAATTAGAAGACTAGAACTAAAATCGTAACGGATACATACTAAAAAGTATCTTTTCTTTTCTCTTGCTGAAAAACAAAAACATCAAGTGATGATTGAACGAATGATCCTACGACGCAATGACAAATCATTTGTCTTTACTACCTGTGAACTTCTTCAATCGATGGGCAATAAACACCGGAATTCTCTGCAGTCGTCGAATTCATACTGCTTGTTGCAGAAAGATCGGTTAATGTTGAACGAGCTGTTCCTAGCATGCTCTCGTCATTGTTTTGACGCGGAGTACTTCGTGGTGTATGTAAAGTCCCATAAAGATCATCTTCGTGTCTCTGTAAGACGTAACGATTCAGTCTTGGTGTATCAGTGAGCCAATCTGAGTCGGCATTGGTCTTTTTTTTCGTTAAGGATCGTGCTGACTTTGAGCGTGATGTTGATCGTGGTTCATCGGAGAGTGTCCGTCGTGAAGAAAATAAACGTTGAAAATGTGATCTATCACTACTGAGATTTAATTGATCGAGACGTTCCTGAAATTCTGTTGAAGTATTCGACATGGTAGTTGCAGATAAATCATCAAGTTGATGAAGAGGTAAATGTAGAGGATCTGTTTCATCGATTGCTGACGCCATTGTCGATTCTAGAGACGTTAATGGAGAAAGTAGTGGAGGAATAGCTGCATAGAGTTGAGGTAATGGTGCTTGATACAGATCACGGTTCGATGACGAACGTCTAAATTGAAAAGAAATCTTGTTTTTCTGAGAATTCTGTATAGAGAAGAAATGTTTACCGTGGACTTAAGTTTTCCATGTACGCATTGATATTCTCTAGCGTCAATCGATCGAATAAACTTGGAATTGTTTCCATGTTGTCAACACTGGTCGATTTCGATTTTTTCTTCTTATTCTTTTTGTCCTTACTCAATGGCATGATCACCCGTAAACGCATATGTAATGTATTCAATTTTTCATTTCCACTTAGAAACTCTGGATAATCATCGATCTAAATATTCAATACAAATTCTACTTTAGCTCTCAGGAACTCGATCGAACAAACCATTTCTACACGGAGAATATCACGATAATGAATATACGGTTGTTCAAGTTGAGCAATTTTCGGTGGATTGTCCGTTAGATAAATCGATTCCAGTCCCAACACGATCAAACGATAATTAATCGCACTTCCTTGCCTTTCAATACATGCATCATAACCAAGAAGTTGATCGCCTGGGTCAGATATTAAATATCGAGCTAGTTTAGCTTCGAACTTGGTATTTTTCGTAACCATATATTGTAGTGTATTTCCAGATGTCGTCATTTCTTTCTTTTTCTTTTTCTTTTCTGACACAGGGTTTTGTTTTAGGGAATGTAAAAAGAGTTAATTGTGAAGAGACACTATCGTGAAATTAAAAGGATTAGTCTCGACGTCGGAGGGGAGAAGGAAAACTAACGGAAGAGAAAGTCGTCATTATGATACTGTATTATGCTGCTATCACGCGAGACTCGAGAACAGCAAAGAAACCATTACGTGTTATGTTTCTTCCGTTATACCTTCTTCAAGGTATGAATGTTCTTTACTATTGGCAATTCTTGAAACCAATGGTAAATTCTACAACTGACACGACATTGACATTGCCAAAGTGAAGAAAAAAAAGATTTTCTAAGCTGCCTGGTCACATTTCTCGTTTATTATTTATGTTGACAATGAATGTGCGTCATTTCAGAGCGAAAGATTTTAGCTGTGAAGAAAAAATTCAGATTGATCTATGAGAAGTTCTTTATAGACGTGCTGAAAAATTGACAATAATGAATTCATGCTTGAACAAAATTCTCCTTTGAAATATTCGTTTAATCTGCAATATTACAGTCTAGTACATTGATATTTCGATCTAACTAATCTAATGTACACTTGTAATGAGATGGAAATAATTTGATATTACAACTCTTTTTCTTTGCATATGAATGTTATTTAAAATTCCTCGATGAAATAACATTATTTTATCGAATAGAGAGAGGAGAAAGCGAAGAAGAAGGACGAGATATTCTCTTCAATCACTATCGTTTATGGTATTATGAGTATTGAATCATCATCCTTCTAATTGCCATGAGAAAACACACATCGAAATGTTTACAATGTCAAAAATATCATATAGACAGATTTGAGTTTGTTTTAGCAAGCGAAATTGACTTTCGACTCGATAATATATTTGTATCTTAGATGATGAAAATATTCATTTTCTCGTAAGATGTCTATTTAATTGATATGTCTACATATTTCATCTGTTAGTGAACTATTTGAAGGAAATGATTGAATCTCATGGGTAAAACGAAATCGAAACTGTACTTGGGTAAATTACATGACACATATCCATCAGCGTGTCACTATTTCAATCCAGACAATAACAACATCTATACTCAATATATACATATCTCTAATAGACATTCGTGCGTGCGATATTGATCTTTGATTTCGAATGTCACTTGACTGAGTCAATCATTGAATTATGACTTGTGTGTGTATGCATAGATGAACGAGTGTGACGAATGGTAGTTTTTTTTCCTTTTGACACTCTGTAAAGTGAAAAATCGAAATCTATTTTTTCATTAGGAGATACTCTCGACAAGCGTATGAATCAATGAAATCTCTCCCAAACGACTATCAATCGAACAAAGATTTGCAATTGAACAAGCAATCAAATACATTGACTATTAAAAACGAACTTAACAACGTGCATCGTACAAAAAAAAACACGAGAAACCTTTAAATATAGATGAGACTGATGATAATGAGTAAGGCGACGAAATGAATCTAAGATATCGTTGGAGAAAAACAACTCAAGGTATATACTAAAAAAAGATAACACTTCAACGGCTGATGCGTTTTTTTTCCTTGCTCTTGCTCTGTCTTTCTTTTTTATTTCAAGTATATACAAGCAACTTGGTGATGAAGTAAACTGCAAGTGTCTTTTTACAAGGTTTCATCACTCCCACTTATTCCTATCAAATGGAAGAAATGGAAAAAAAAAGAAAGGTGTCTGTGCGTCTATCTTTCAAGTAGAGATGAAGGAAAAATCTTAAACAAAATATTCTACATCCATTCGGAAGCCAATCAATATTGCTCTTGTCACACGGACAGATTTCTTTCAGATATGTGAACAGCAACAGCGATGAGCTAACAAATCATTTTATTTCTTCTTCTTGTTTTTCAATCTCACGCACTTAACTTGTCTTTTCCATGAAAAGCATGGGAAAAGAATGTGCACATATTCACTCAATTAAAACAAATGCCCATACGGTACGCACTTTTCTCTACATATCGGATCACATCAAAGCAAATTTTCTATGCGTTCTATAATGTACAAGCCGCTGATAGAATAAAGCAAGAAAATACGATGGGCTGGACATCGGTGAGAAAATGATGTATGAATCCCATCCTTGACAATCAAATTCAATGCGTTTGACAAATAAAGACTATTGTTAATAGATTAACAAAAGACGAAGCGAATGAGGCAAATCTTTGATGCTAGAAGTTCAAAACACGTGGCCGAAGAATGAAACCTTTGGAGAACACTGGTTAAATGCTCGTCTGTCTAATTTTTCATTTACTCAAGCGAAATGTCATCAATGAATAAGTCAAGATCAAAAACTAGGTGACGAAAGAGAAAAAGAACGGAAAGGACTTTGTAAGACTTTTTTTCCTTCTCTGTGATCATTGAAATATACATCAATGTTAATGTACATTTGAATAACCAATAGATATATTGAATCTTATCGATCGTCATTGGCTTGTGTTGTCATTTATATGAATATATTTACTCCGTTTTCATTTTTTATAGCAATTAACGAAATAATTTGGTGGTCACGCTGTGCGCGCGCGTAGACGCGTGTATCATTCAATAGAAATCGTTCGTAAAACAGAGAGAGAGAAAGAATGATAACCATTGGAAGTAATTGATGACTAAAGTTATACCCAAAATATCTCACAACTGTTTTTCGTAGACAAAAGTTCTTTTTTATTCTCGAACATTTCTTTTTCGTTAGTGTAACATTATTGCTCCATTTGCTTGGCAGAATTCGCGCGCCGCCGTGTGTGTATATGTAGGGTGTGCACATACAAACATACATAGGAAAGGCTTCTCACGGTATAAAATAAACATCTATCTCTCGCACGCGTTTCTCGTTCGCGAAAGGACGCTATCGAATAGTGGCCAATCAGGTTTTTTCGTCTCTCATTTTCTTTTCGTCCAAAGAAATCGATAGAAAGAGAAAGAGAAGGAGAGAGAGCGCGAGAGCGAAAAAAAATCTTCATCAAATTGCTATTAGACGTGTGCTGCGACGGGTGACATTTTGAAATAGACATATACGTATATATAGACTTACACGCGTAGTTGGTTCGTACCAAACACTTTCTTATTTCTTTGAACTGAAGTATGATGTTAACGTGTGACTATTCCGACGCATCAGAACAAACTTCTCGAAAGGTATGTTCATTCGGAGTTGACTTTTCTTTTCAACACCTTGTTGATTTATTTCTTCGTCATTTCTAGTTTGCTAAGACATGTGTAGAAAAGAAACGACGCGATCGTATTAACAAAAGCCTCGATGAATTGAAAGATCTCATGGCTCTAACCGATGAAGTGAGTTCAACTAAATGTAGATATACATGTACGAAAGAATTCTTCTCTTTCTAGAGAGCAAGATATCAAAAATTAGAGAAAGCAGAAATTCTCGAAATGACTGTAAATTATATTCGAAATTTAAAACGAACAATGAACAATACCGTGGAAGACTATGAAAGTGGCTATCGACAATGTTCAGAAGAAATGTGGACACTAATTCATTCATTACCAAATATCGTTCCAGAACAACGCGAATGCTTAGCAACACGTTGTCGACAAATGTGGTCCAATCGTCGATATGCTCATCATCCGTATCAACGACGTGTACCAATCTCAACTGAATCCTATTCTCACCATCATTCTCAACCATCACAACAACAACAACGGCAACAACAACCATCACCATCCTCGTGTCTCAAAATTCTTATCAATCATTCCACAGTGCCGAATTCCACTAAACCATATCCGTCAGTCTCTTCTTTACCATCGTCATCGTCATCAAGTGTGTCTTCGAATTCTCTCAGTCCATCATCACCCAAACTATGGAAACCATATATGTAAATAGACAATGAGAAAAGACATTCTTTATCACAGTGATGAATGATTTCGTTTTTCTTCTCTCTCTCTCTCTCGCTCACTCTTCTTTTCGTATGTGTTTATGTGTGTTTTGGAATATATAAATTATTCAAACAGATTATCATCTAATAGTCGTGAGAAACGGAAAAGAAAATAATAACATCAAGTTTTTAGCATCTCGAAAAGATAGACTTTCTTTCTCTCTCTCTCTACTCGATCACTTGACAAGTGTTTTAATATCAGTTCCTGGTGAGCAAAATTGAGATAATGATGACAGACGTGTTAAGAATGCATCATGGTCATCATCACTCTCCCTTCCGAATACTTGGAGAGATAATTGAAGTCAAAAATGAAATATACAGTTCTCTAATGCACAGCAAAGTGTGCTTGCACAATCAACTAACACCTAGTTATTGATGCTTATAGTCTTCGTTTCGTTTCATTTTCCTTTTCATATTCAACATCATGATGACCTATAAAAGTTGAATATGATGACAGTCAGCCAGCCAAATGGTTCTATTGATGGGTACACATTACGAATGACGGGTAGGTGTGTGTATATATAATGAGTACTAGTAGTACTTCGTATGTTATTGTTCGTTCATTTTTTAACAAGAACAATTCGTTTGTATCGATACTGATGTTGATAACATGACTACATCACATAGATTTGCTTTGTGAATGGCATAATGATACTCGTGATTTTTCATTATTTGATATTAGCCGACGAGTTGTAAGATACGTCAATATTTTGTTGTCTTTTCATTCTCTGATGAAGTCATCGTCTTGTGACTTGTCTTAACATGCAAGAAAGAAGAGTAGTGATCTATTACATAATTGAACCTGATTCTTATATCTCTATGAAAAGCACGACACACATGAAAGAAGTAGGTGCGTGTGTACATATGCATATACATATATACTCATCCTTATTTGCAAGAGAGCATGTGCTTGTGTGCGGACCCTTTCTCGAAATGACTGTAAATTATATTCGAAATTTAAAACGAACAATGAACAACACCGTGGAAGACTATGAAAGTGGCTATCGACAATGTTCAGAAGAAATGTGGACACTAATTCATTCATTACCAAATATCGTTCCAGAACAACGCGAATGCTTAGCAACACGTTGTCGACAAATGTGGTCNTGCCGCTTTTCATCTACAATATATTTATTGAAATGAACAATAGTGTCGCATGTCTAATTAAAGTAGTACCTGGGTAGTACATGCCCAACTTTTCAATTATCACCTTTCGTCTAAGAAAAGAACAACAACAGCAGTCGTTGTCTGATGTGTACAGTTGAGCTTGTCGTCTTTGAAAATCGATGCGCGCATACGTTTCAAGCCACTACCCACATGTCTAGGGTGTGTTTTGATTGTTTTCTATTCTTTGAGTTCTTTCTTGTCTACATTCACAATAGGTGTGTACGTGTGGTATATGTTTGATCTTTGCTCGGACGGCTGATTAGAGCTGTCAAATAGAAATGAAAAAGCAAAAGAAGTCGACGGTGACAACAACTCTAAAGGGAGTCAAATTCCCAATTTGTCAATAAAAAAGTGCCATAAGATCGATTGTTAAAATATTCTTAAGATGTGTTCATTTTTTTCTCACCAAACTTGACGCTTTTCTTTCGATTTTGTTTTTCGTTGGCAAAACGAATTCGATTCAATAAGGAAATACTTTCGTATTTTCTCGTCGAGTCAATTATCCCTTGAGGGAGGTGACACTTAACAATTATACATTGTCATTGTCGTATGTGTATATACGTTTATAAATGTTCGTAAGTTCAAAGTTATCGGTCGGCTATTGATTTCAATTTTAAAATAATTCTGCCCTCCATCTACACTCCTTCATTGTGTTCTCATGCATGTGAAAAGGAAGTCGAATTTTCTTTTCTGAAGTGAACATACATCAACGTGTAAAAGTATGTTGGTAAATGCGCTCTTATCAATATAACAGCAGTGAATGCACTTGAGTAAGCAGCGTCATTGTACCGTTTGTAGTTTGCATTTTTTCCGACATTAAACTTCAATGTTTTACTAATGTTCAAGTGTCCGCGCGCACTCAGTAGGCGGAGCGCGTGAATACGTATGAACAAACATTTATCGCAGCGGTCGTAGTAGTAATAAATTCACCTGCCTGCTGTTACTGATTCACGAATTCGATGTTTTTGATCTTTCCGATTCGTCTTCAGTTTCGATATTTACATTTCCCATGTTCAAGAATGATGCATACATATATCATCGATGGAAATTTCGACTTCTCTTTGCTTCTCAACATGTGAAACTCGTGCGTACACGTGCAACATGGGGATATATTATATGCGTATATATGATCAACGACGTTTGCCTATAGGCGTCTCCTTCTTTGATCTCAATCGTGGGAATCACATCTTCCGTTCTCATAGTCACATCTCTTACGTGTGTGTATACATAGTGACAAAAGCCGGTTAAGTTTGACCATCTCTCTTGTCACACCTCATTTTGAGTCAAAAGAACGGATATGTGGACAAAGCAGATTAAAAGAACTGAAGGAGATTGGTTATTTAACATGGGATGGACCAATACGGAACGGGAGAGAACGAAAAGAAGAGAAAAGAAAAATAATATTGAACGAACGTATATATAAAATTTTTCTTTCTCTTTTCATATACATCAGTTCAATCTTGAATACGAAGTCAGTTAGTCATTCACATACACAAAATATGTACAATACAAGTGGAAGTGATATGGACATGGAAGAATTGGAATATAATTGCGGTTCACGTAAAGTAAGTCGCATAGTTCTTCTTTGCGTTCTAGAAAACATAATAAATTGCATTGCTTCTTGTAGATTGCCAAGACATATGTCGAAAAGAAACGACGTGATCGTATAAATCGAAGTTTGGATGAATTAAAAGATTTATTATCTGTACATTGTGATGTAAGTCAGAAAAGAAAAGATTGAGGATGAATCTTATCTAACCTTTTTCTTCTCTTTTTTTTTTCTAGAAAGCACGTTATCAGAAATTAGAAAAAGCTGAAATCCTCGAAATGTGCGTGGAATTCGTTAAACAAACAAACGAACGTATGAATAGAACTCAACAAAATTATGAACAAGGTTATCAACAATGTACAAATGATGTTGCCACATTTTTGAATTCCACACCGGAGATATCATATCTCGAACGACAAAATCTTCTTCGCCATCTTTCGTCAGCAAACAGTCGACGTTATCAACCATATCGATCATCGACAACAGCTAGCCGTCATTCGATTGTCAACGAATGGTTTACTCGCTGCGGTGGAAAACAAAAATCTTTGCCCGATTCAGCATCTGAACGTTCGAATGCATCCAGTCCGTCATCAATCGACGAACATAGTGAACGTTCATCGTCTCTTTGGAGACCATGGTGAACTCGTTTGTTGTTGTTGTTGTTGTCATTTTTCATTCATATTCTCGTTTGTAGTATATCGCTTTTTTTTCTAAAATATAACAGACACACTATTTATGTGAAGCAAAACATGAGAAACTGTTTTCGATCATTCTATTAACGTTCATTTTTATCTTAATAGCAGGTGTTCCGCACGTGTATGCTTTTGTACTCAATAGGCGCCATGTAAACCCATTATCAGAGGATGTTCATGACATAATCAGTCCGTTTTCAAGTTGATGTTTCAAACGGTTATTATAAGCATCTGCCCTTTTCTTTTTGATGGAATGTAGAGAATCTCTTCTGTTATTTTTTCTAATTACGCGGAGGATATATATTGTGTATGAATGTTTCGTTGATTGGCCGATAATTACTTGACGAAGAATACATTGTATTGAGACACGTGAAGCCTCAATATCATTGTTTGTATACATGTATATCCTCTCATTAACACTCAAGCAAAGTTCGTATTAAACATACAAAATTATCTCGTGTAAACGATATGATCTCTTAGCTAAATCATCAGTACACGATTCGAATAGCAAAGAAAAAACAACATCGATCGATTGCGTCAGTCAACATACGTCTAATCATCTTGATCAACATACTCGGATCGAATTGATGATATTCGAACTAAAATAATGTTGATTTTTCTCAACTTTGTTATTTCCGTTTTATCAATTTCAACGTCGATAAACAATGAAAAAAGTAACAAGCATATTACACTTCTTGACTTATTCATTCATATCACAGCAATTGAAAAGCTAGCTGTTAGATTTTATCAAAGATCATTATGTGTTGCCAAGGTAGAAACTCGTAAAGTTGTGCTAGACGAAAACCATTGGATTCCAATTCTAATTTTGCTTGTGCGACTGACATTCGATGATCGTCGTACATATTAGGCATCCAACTATCTTCTAATCGATATTCGACTAGAACGAGTCGTCCATGAGGTTTCAATGCTTGGCGTAATTCGTGCAGAATAGCCGGCGGATTGGTACATTCATGATAGGTATCAACCATCAGGATAAGATCACAGGAGTTTGGCGGAAGATTTGTATTGCTGTGTGTCGCAAGAACAGGGATGACGTTATGCGAAAGACCGTGCGTATATGCGTTCATCATTAACTGACCAAGCATATCAGGTTGGATTTCGGTCGAAAAGACGCGTCCATATGGACCGACGAGTTTCGCAAGACGTATTGAATTAGAACCACAGCCAGCGCCGACATCGGCAACGACCATACCTGGTCGAACATGAAGTGCTGAAAGCATATAATCAGGATATTCATACAATTCACGTCCTAGACGCATTATATCATGTACACCAGCAGATGGCATGACTTGGCCGATTAAACGACCCATATAGTAATTTCGGCCATAGAAACTGTAAGGATATGAAAACCAAGACATTTTTACCTTAGTTCGGACAATTTGTCATATAAATCAAGATTCACCAAGCTAAATATCAATATATACATACACACATACCACTTGACATCGACGGTGACCTTGAATCGTGTAGAAAAGAACTTTCGGTTTCCTTGTACATCGATTTCTTTTCTGATCAATCAGATATTTACTATAACGATGACATAAAGTAGATATATTATATACTTTGCAGTCGACACTATCTAAATTAATATCGTCAATGAATATGACTAAACTGCCGCAGACGTTTTATCTTTGTATTTCATGTACCTAATGGCGGGTTTAGACGTTCATAATCATATAAACAACTACAGTGAATAGTTCGTAGAAATGATCTGCCACGTGAAGTAATCCTTTTTTTGAAATTGTAAATAGTACAAAAAAAGAAACGATCACTTATCGATCACCGTTGGATAGAAGTATCTCTGCTCTTTCTTACTAATATCTACTTAATTTACTTTTGTGATTACTGTTGACGAAAAAGTTGCACTCGAAATGGATATCAGTGTAATTTATCAACGAACAAACCATGTGCACATAATTGTTGTCCAGCATGTAATACTTAGTTATAACTTTTTCGATCTTGACAGTGTGATGAATAAGACGTGTCCAATACCGTCGTAGTATTGAATTTCCAATAAAGAGTGTTCGTCGCACTTCGATGTGAAGTTCAGCTTTCAATGTAGGTACTTCCTAATTATCAGTGGGTACTCCCCGCTAGGTTGTTAGTATAATGAATAAGAATCATAACTATAAAAAAAGAGACAAGCTAAGCGGTGAAATGCACATCATTAACAAATAAATTATAAGGAAAAAAAAATGCACAAGGCTATTTGATTCGAAATGTTTAATTGAGTTGATTGATAATTTCTGTAATTTCGGAAAGGATACCTTGATTAACACGAGGCATGTTTGCCAGAGCAGCGTCCGCTTTATCCTTCGCTTCTTGTTTGGTTAAATCACCGCGTAATAATAAAAGTTGAATCACCTGTTCCATTGTTAAACTTGGGTACTTTTTCGCTAAGGTTGCTACTTCAAGGACGATGGAATCTAAATCAGTTTGTTCGAGGACATCGGCTATGTTACTTAAAATATTAAAATGATATTCAGTGGCATTTTCAGCTGACGTTCCATCCCATGCTTTGAATTCTCTATCAAGTAGACCAGCTTCCGAACGCAGTTGTTCGGCACATCGACGTCGTTCGTCAGGACGTTCGAATTTAATCTGTACACTACGTGAAAATAGATTTCGTAAATAGTACGCTAAGACACGTTTATGCCATGCGTAGAACAGATAAGCTAATAAAGGTTTTTTCAAATGTGTCAATTCCGTGCTCCAGTAATCACGCGTTGTTTCAATAATCGTTCCGCAGCACGGTTTCGCTGTAGCACCAAACCATTCTCGTGTGAATAGTCCTTTGAGATATTTTGATGTATCCATTTCAACTTCTTGTAAAATGACATCACAACAATATTCGGCGGTGCGTTCGAACAGTTTGCCCATACTTTCGTACCGATCTAATTGTTGTTGTGACGAACGTGATAGGTCGTCTAGATCATCGCGATCGTATTTCTTTCGTACGATGACCATGAAATTCGGTATCGATTCACAATTGTTAGCATTAGCGACCATTTGTCTGGTGAAACATTCGCGAAACGATTGGCGGTCAGCAAAATATTTTTTCGCATAGTTGTTGATTTCAGCCACGTATAAATCACGGAATTCGTTCACTTTTTGTAGAATCATTCCCAGAATTAGTTGACACGTTTCATCCGACATCTGTTTTGCCATGTCGAGTGTTTCGATAATCATATTGATTAACATACGCGGCATTGTTGTTGCATAGTAATGTTCCGAGGTTAATTCCGCTTCTTTCAATGCATACCAATCCTAAGAGATTGCATTTCTATATGCTAAATGAAATCTTTCGAAACTAACCTTGACTTCCGATGATATGATGTTCGGTATCCATTCGTTAAACTTCTGTTTTCTTTCGTTAATGAACACATCCGTGACTGCTGCTAACATATCTTTTTCTAACAATGGAGATAATTGACTAATATCTAATCGTAGTTCTGGACTTCCCAAACATTCAGCACCTCTACAACATTGAAATTAATTAGCGAAAGGTTTTCAAGGAGCACTCACTGATAATCACGGACAAATGTTACTATAGTATAGACTTCCGCAGTTGTTAATCCCTCGCCTTCGCTTCGTCGTTTCGGATCACATATCTCAGTAAGATGTTCTTTCAAGCAATTGTGATAGTAATCGAGAAAACGATTGACAATATCATATTGTTTTGGAAAACAACGTACGCATGTTTTCTAGAATGAATAAAGTCTTGTTTGTTGCGTACATTAGATGAGTATCTTACAGTAATGATTCGAAAGTCTCGTAAGAATATTTGCCGACACATTTCTAGATGCCGTGCTAACCAGTATTTGTGCTCTTCTCTTGTTTCTAATTGATTTCCTTCGATTCTAAATTAAGATCAACATAGAAACGAAAAACAAAAACGGTAATTGAAAAAGATTTGTCATACCGATCTTTCACACTTTTTCTCAACAGTTCAAAGCAGAGCTTTTTCCATTGTCTCGGTCGATCCGGCGGACTGAATCCAGATAGTTCTTTCTTCTCCATCCAAAATCTGTCTACCCTAAATTCGTGTATCAATATTAAAAGTATTCTTTTCCCAATAACCAATATCTCTACATACTGTTCTTCACGTTCAATAAGTCGTAATGCAGTAACTAATTTCTCCGGGGCACTTATAGCACAATCATACCAGCGCGAAATTCGAAATGAAATCATTTGTCTTAGCTGTTTAACAAGTCTTTCGTAATCAGCAAAATAGCTCGTTACTAATTGGATATCATCAGGTTGAGAATCTTTCTCTTGAACTTTATGTAGTTCGAACAGAAGATAGTTGCGAGAGTTTTCTATTTCCATTATCAATTGATGAGCTTGCAGAAGCTTTTCTTCGGACATTAGTTCATCGGCTTTCTTGACATTTTCAGGTGTTTTTATGATGTAATCCAGATTAGCTTGAGCTAGCGACAATTGTCTAAATTCAGAACGAAAGTGATTTGTTTAGCGATGGAAATCGCATTTGTTACCGATAAGTATTTGCCTCATGACGTAAATCTTCAAGTTTAGATTGTAGGGGAGCGATTTTTTGTAGCTTCTCGTCGGTTTCACGCATAGTACGTTCGACGGTTTTCATATTATCGAGAGAGATTTGTAATTGAGCAATACCAGTTTTGATACTTTCCAATTGGGACTGAACTGCTGTACGTAATTGTTCATCCAGAGTACGCTAGAACAAGCTGTGGTTTTACTTTAGGGTGTTTTTTCGTTAAGAATGAAAACCTTTCGCTGGGCAGCCGCTGTACGCAATTGATCGAGTTTCTCGAGATTTTCCGGCTTTTCCAATTTGGCTTGAATGATTCGAAGTGCATTTGTTTCAGCTTCACGACGCATATCATCAAGCGGATTACTTTCGGAATTTTGCGTACTAGGCGATGTGACACCTGCAAGTAATTCCATGATTCGTCGTCAACCTAAAAGCAAATATTTAAATACACCGGAACATGAAATAACAGGTACATACTTATATCGAAATACGCTTCCTAAATTAGCACAATATGTGAGATATTACAGTAGGGATATGAGTCATCGATTGAACTTGAACGGCTGAAAACGTGATCGAATCGTATGCTTCTTTTTTCGTATAAAAGAAGAGATTGCATAGCATTGGTTGAATTTATGTGTCAGTCTGCTGTCTCCCTCTTTCCTTTCTTCGGTATAAATGCAAAAGAATGTATGCACACACGATACTTTACCTAGAGAAAAAAACAAGCGCAACCCATATAGTCGAACAAAAGCTATACTAACGAGATACTCTGATATGACAAATGCCGACAAAGACCATTTAAAGAGGTTTATTCTTCCTGATAAATATGGATTGTCAGATTTCCTGTTCGTAGTCAATTGAGGTTTTAATTGATGATTTGTGAATGATATTTATTTTTTGAAATATGATAAAGCAAAACAAAAAAATTAGTGAATAAGTTACATGAACTTTTGCTCGGAGAGTATGTTAACACAATCATTTCTGTTCATTGAACAATAACTATCATAAAATTGATAAAGTTATGCTTTTTGAGTTGCTCTACCTTTGTATACGTATCGACTAGCTAACAACGAAACCGATTGTCGTCGAAGCAGTGTTTGTTCTAAACGAAGAAGTTCATCAAGTGCTGCTTGAAAACGAACAAATTCAACGTATGGTAACCGAAGACCGTGTTTACGACAATCATTTCTAAGATGATTGATAATTGTATGTGGCGCATTCATTCGCGCGATATGTGCTAGAGTCAATAAACTTCGTCCATCATAACGTGCTAGGATTTTATTGAAACCATTTAGTTGATTCTTTTCGCACCATTGTAAGACTTCTCGATTGGTCCAAGTCTGAATCTTTTTCCCTTGAACTTTTGGTGGAACTTCCACAGGTGATGGTTGTTGAGGTGGAGGCGATAGTGTGAACGTCGCTTGAGAATTTCGTTTCAGTGGTGGCGATAGAATTCGTGTGCGTTTCACGATTGTCGATAATTGCTGCGAATCTTTTTGAATCTCTGGGAGAAGTTTTTGCGCACCTGATTCAATCAAATTGAAAAATTTCCGTTCGGATAAATTCAACGTTTCGAACCAATCATCGATTCGGTAGGGTTTTTGAAAAATACAAGGAAGGATCTTTTTACAGTCGATCAATGCTTTTCGAATAGTCGCTTGACATGTACAATCATGTTTGGATTCTTCACTGATACAGAGAATAATACAACGTGAATTATCCACTGTACCAGCCTGAATATTATGTTTTCGAAGTTGATCTTCAATCGAGCGAATGAGATGGGCATCTTTCGGCGATGAAACGAGTGCATAATCGAATGGCATAGCGTTTGTATTCGGTAAATGTGGAATATTCTTCGTTTGAATGTTTTCCAAAATGCCCTGCGCGGCTGGATGATCAGCTAATGTTGATAAGTGTTCGAGAAAATTCTCATGTCGTTTCGTCAATTGCTCGATGATATCGGAATGAAACGAAAGTTTCCAAATGATCTCATAAGCAGTGGAGTGCTGTTCGGTTAGTTGAATCAAATTTCGTAATTGGTAGGTTTGCGCAATGAGAAACTGAATTTGTTCATGAATGGTTAATGACAGTAGACTGAAAAGAACGTTTTCTATGTGATTTTTCGAAGAGAATAGAATATCGAGTAATTTCATTAGTAACTTATGACTTATTCGATATTGAATCAATTGATTGTCACTAATGATATGTCCGAGTAGAAGGCAAGCATAGATATGAATTTGACAATGTTGATTTCGATTGGTGACATGATGAAGAAGGATATCAATCAGATCGTTGTTATTCAGATAGCAAGCAATTATTTTTGATTGAATGCACAGTGCATTGAAGATTTTCAGAAGTGGTAGACGAAATACTTTCATGGTGTCAGCAGTCGACTTCACCGATATACCAAGAAAAAACGAAACTAATGCTGATATACATGGATAATCATTGATTAGAGATGTTAAATTCAATTGAGATAAGATACCCAAAGTACAGTAATGTAGATCCGGATTGTTCGGAATGGGTTTGCCATGAAAAAATTCAATTAAAAACTGTGAATAGAGTTCGTTTAGGGTCGCATTTTCAATCTGATTTGCTAGTTGACTCATTGCACCGACAAAAAATAGATGAATTTGTTGAACTTCGGACGTCAGAAGTTCAGTCAAGTATTGTTGGTAATAATCCGATCTTAAGACACGTTCACTGATATCATTGAAGATTGTTTTTTGAGATTGCATCAATGAAAACGAATCAATCAGAATGGCCAAATGACGAAGAAACGGATCATGATGTCGGTGAGTTGATTCTAAAATCGACTCTAAAATCGAGACGATCAATTGAGTCATTTCCGAATTACAAAGTAATTGTTCAATCCGTCGCATTTGCTTTTCGTTCAATTGACATCGTTCAGTCAACAAGGCCATTTTCCGATTGAGATGTCCAACACGTTCAATGAACAACGATGATGATTGATCAATGAAATGTTCATTATGCCATTGAATTAAAATAAAACGCGTTTGTTTTTGTATTTCATCAACATAATTTTCATTTAATTTCTCAATCAAACTCTGATCAGTGCATTTGCAAAGAATCTGTACATAATCATCTAAATACGTCAAATACGACGATGTTGATAAGCTACTCGATGCCAGGATTATTGCTTTTCTTGTGCTTTATGTAAAAGGTTTTACAGAGAATATTTAACGATTGCCAAGACACGATCATAAAATAAAAAGAAGTTATCACAAGATGTGTGTATTCAACAGACAAAGATAAAGATTTAATGGGTTTATAAAAAGACTGTATATAGCAACGAATCTGGTTGACAAATAGAGTTTGATAAAGATTATATTACAAAAGAAAGTTTGCAGGACAAAAACAATTCGTGTCGATGTCACTAGTACTTCTTTCGTGTATTCTCAGGAGAGAACAATTCATTTAGTGATCGACGGAAACCGCGTGATTTGCCGTTTGAAATTTTGTTGTTTCGCATAATCATGCTCGCATTTGTGTATGGCATACTCAGACTGTGCATGATGAATTTGCTTTCGTAGTCGATCCATTACATATCGATGTTGCGTTTCATCTCGATATCGTTTTCTTCCATTTAAACTAAAGGAAACATTGATGAATGTATTCATATAAGACTAATTGTACCTTCGTGATAGATAATTGTTATGATTATCAGTGAATGCACCATTCTTAATCATTCTTGAACGAAGACGATCGTTTTCACTTTGAATCCTCTCCAATTCGTCGTCTCGAAGCTATTCAAATGGAACTCCATCGAATAAGTTCGCGGAAAAGATACGATTTACTTGTCGTGTGCGAGTACGTTCCGTTATATGCGGACGAGGTGTAGGAGCAGATTGATCGATTAAGCTGTGAATGTTTTTCAGCTGAAGTACGAAAACTTAGAAAGATTAATTAAAAAATTGTTTTCGTACGTTTAGTTTAAGCTCCTCTTGATCTCGAAGAAATTTTTTGTACGCGAGATACTTGCTACTGACAGGAGAAGGGTTCGGATGAGATCGATGCATCGATACAATGAGAAAATCAAGTAAATTGTGTGTGTGCGGTATTACAATTCACTTTTTGATTGCGAAAAAGACCTCGTTGTTTGTCTCATGCGAGAAGAAAAATAAAAACAACTTCGCAGTTTTCTTTTAAAAGCTTTTCTTTTTCCGTTCGAAATCACTTTCAGGAATGTTTCACACGAAAAGAAAATCGCCACGAGGAAAAACACACGTTATTCTTTTCAAATAACAAAGAATAGAACTCTCAAAAACCCTTTGGCACATCAAGAACTTTTATGTCGAGTAATTTTATTCAGTTCAGTGAAGGAAAAAACGACGATTAACTGGTTTTCAGATATTAAACATTTGGTGCAAGTAGATTACGAATAACTGGATCGTCTTTGCAACTGAAAAAGAAACACATTCGGAAAACTTATTTCTTAATGCACGAACAACTTCCAGCATTACCCTTGGATAAACTCTGCCTTGTTGATTTTATTATCGCCAGTGTTATCAAGTTTATCAATGATGACTTTTGCTCGTTTGTTTGGATCGTTTTCGCCTTTACGGTCAGTTAAACCAGCACGATCGTACTAAGCAAGTAGATCCATTATTACTCCAAGCGATATTCTGAAAACAAAACTCACTATTGCTGAAATAACATCCGCCAATTCTTCGCGATCAATATGCCCATCTCCCGAGCAGTCGAACCTAGAGATTGAAAAACATTTGATTAGAATCCAAAGAGAAAAGGCTTATGTTGTAATAGCAAACATATCGAATGCAAAGGCAAGTCGTGATTCCAATGCATTTAAATGGCTCATCAGAACAATGACGACTAATAATTCATTGAAATCAATATTTCCATCGTTGTTCGTGTCGATCATTTGGAAAATATTTCTAAAAGATTTGCAGACAAATCAATGGATATGTGTCATTTTATGTCTTGTTTTCTACCCGATTGACTCTTGTGTTTGTTTCGTTGGAAACAATTTTTGATAATATTCCCAAAAGGACTTTTTATTCAGTTGGCCAGATGGATAATGTTCAAGAAAATCCTACAGGGAAGAGCACACACAGTTCGTATAAAATGAAATTAGAACACAAACATCATGCCATCGTCGAATTTCTGCAACAGAAATGTCAAATCAAAATCCTAATTGACACTAACGTTAAACGATTACCTTCTGCACTAATGTTCGATGCTTCAACTAATGCAGCGATTTCTATCGCGAGAAAAGACATTGATCAAAACAAAACAGAACTCTAGTCAAACCTTTTGCATTCAATTCAGTCGAGCTACGAGCTTTTCTGCTTCTCCACATTTTCAAATACCTTTACCGATGTAAATATAACGATGATCGAAATATGACGAAAGGTACAAAACAGATATTTAAAAAGCATACATCATTACGCTTTATTCGACATACGTCAAAAAAATCCTCCTGCGCGAAATCAAATACAGCGGAAAAAAATTTATTCATATTTTGTTCTGTTTCGACAAAAAAGAAACGACTACACGTGTTAGTCAAATAACGACATGATCGTTTCGCCGTTGTAGTACAACGATGTTGACGTGATTAAACGAAGAGATTATCTAACAGAATGATCCACTTGTCAATAGAAAGACGATTGATGATGATCATCATCCGTATGATTGGGTACATTCATTCGTTCAGCTCCTATAACGAAGAAATTCATGATTTTACTATCAACAATGAGAATATGTAAGATTGAACATTTCAATTCAAAGATGAAATCCTTGTATTTCCCTTTTCCTCAGATCTTCTCTATTACACGATAAATTTCATGTTCCTATCCATTTCTTCGGTTCAATTTAATCAACGATGTACATTTTCCTTGGGCACTTGCGAGTGGCATATTGGTCGACGATGGCAAGTGAAAAATCTCGATGAAGAAACAGAAGATAAAGGTAGAAAACCGTTAGTCTAATGAGGAAAACAAAAGCTTCTGTTTATTTGCAGTTTTAACCGCTGTTGATGAAAGTCATATCGACAGAGAGAAGGGTTTTACTGATGTAATCACATCGCCATGGTTATACTTAACTGGTTCGTGTTCATTCACTGTTCGATTGACGTTTCAATTCAATATCGAAAATGAACACGACCAGATCGAAGTTTTTCTTATCAAAACTAATCATTCCCAAACATCCTCACTTGGTCATTGGAAAGCGTTAACTCAAGATCATATCAATGCATCCGATGAAATTGAATCTCTCTGGCGACAGGCTAACCTGACGTTCAAAGCAGCAGACGAATTTCGCGTAAGAATATATCTGTCTTTTGGACGTTTCTTCAGAAGAATTTTTCTTCTAGATTGAAATCGAAATTCGACACTTACCGGAAAATAAATCTACTTCAACAATTTGGTTTGCTATTGATGATATTCTAATTGAAAACTGTCCTGATTGTAAAGTTTAACATGAGTATTTGAACCAAAGACATTGATCTTTGTCTTTTGTAGTTCAAACAACAACAACTAGTACAACTCAAACGTATCCAACGATGACTACAACAGTACCATGGACAACGTATTCACCTTTCTTTAGCAATGATTCCTCATTACTTCGACGTTCATTCTTTCGTTTTCGTTGGAAATTTAATGATTCATCACAGATTGCTACATCGGAAGAATTCTTATCGCCACGCATCACATTTCTTACATTTATCCTCTATATCTTCTACGCATTCATTGCCATGGCATTTTCCATTCTTCTCATTGCTCTTACGATCTTCATCTTTCGCAAATATTGTCTTCTTCCAGCACGAAAGAAGCCGTCATCATCATCGTTTCCAATCATCGATCGTCGTTATCATTCCAGTAAGAAGCACATCTATCCTCATCTGACTAACTATCATAACAGTCACATTGATCAAGATGCTCGAACTGAAAAAACTATGGTAACAACCATTCGACCATGTTACTAAGAAGAACGAAACGAACACAATCCTACGAATATGTTTGAATGTATCTTTTTAAAAAATAGCTATGTACACAAAAACTGAATATTTTTGTGTGTTTATAAATCGAGTGCTTGTGGTGCTGGCTTGGATGCATCGAGATTTTGATGTACTTGAATGATATTGCGACCACGCCATGGTCGATCCAATTGAACAAGAATATAATCATAAACAAATTTATTGGAGATATTCTAAAGAAAGATAGACATAAAGTTATGTGGGCAATGAGAGGAGGAATTAACTTACTTTTTGAACTTTAACACCCACTACGCCACTTCGTTCCTTGCCAGTTAGATAGAATGCTAGTGTCATGCTTCGATGACCTTTTTCATCGAACACTTTGGCACTAAACATTTTTGAGATATACTCTTTCACAACAATCGGATATAAATCCTTACCGGACGTTATTGATACGCATGGAACCAACTTGCGGTGTTGTATGAACCATGATAGGTGTCCCTAATGCATCTTGTACCTATCAAATAAGACGTTCGGCGTTCGAAGTATCAATATTGTACATGCACTTTACTTCAGTATTAGCTAAACACATCTTTGATGCTTCTTTATAAATTCCATTTGGTGTTTCTCTCGAATACAATTCACGTAACATTAAATAACATAAACCGCCTAGTGCTGCAACACCAGCGATAACAATAATCGAATAGCCTGTGTCTTTTGCTGCTTGTTGAGCTGTAGATACCAATCAGATGTCGGAAAAATAAGTAGAAATCAAGAAAAAGAGCTGTACCTTTCTCTTTGAATGTCGCGACTTCAATTTGATTTTCTGTTGTCGATTGAACAACAACATTATTGTCGTGTTTTTTCGAATCTTTCTTCTGTTTCGTTGATGTTGCTAGTCGTCGTTGATTAATCACAAGAACACTGCGAAATAGAGGCGAACGCCATTGATGCTGACATTGTTTAGCAACAAAACAGATCGAAGGTAGAATCATTTCTATAAATACAGATCAAAATACATATACATTCTTTTGATTTATTATGCCAAAAATTATCACAGATTAATTGTACTTAGAAAAATTACTCAAACAAAATCATTGCAATAAAGAAAAAAGTATCATTCATTATGAAAGACATTAAGAATAGGAAAAAAATCTGGATTGGGCCGATTGACCATTCAACTGAAGCGTTTGTAATCAGTGCCGTCTTCTTTTGCTTTCAATAAACCTAGAAGTACAAGATTTAGATCAGTTGAGTTCGAGAGATTTATATTCACCATATTTCATACGAAGATTGTCTGCCGCTTGTTTTCTTTCTTCCGACCTGAATGAATGTAAGAAGAACATAAATCCTTTTTTCGCGAAGAATGTTCTCAAATCAAACCTGACTCCAGCTTCGACTCGTCGCTCTTCGACTTTTCGACTGTATGCATCTTCTTTAGCTTGATCTCTAAAAACGTATGAAATCATAAAAATTGCGTGCTCACTACGCTTAACTCACCGTCGACGTGTACGTTGAATACATTTCTTACGACAACAGATAATAATAACGATAATAGCAATTAAAATCACACCACCAACTGAACCAAGGATAATAAGCCATGTTTGAAGATTAGCTATAAATAGTAGTGCACAATAATCAAAGATTTATTTTTCGATTGCTTTACCAAAACATGTTTTAAACTTTAAGTCAGACGTTGAACATGGTGGATGAGTCGGATAAAGATCGTATGCAAAACATTGTTTATTATTTTGACAAAAAGCACAACCTGATTCTTTCAAGCACTGTTCACAGTCTGAATTGGACAAACGTCTGCATGTTGCATCAGGAACACTCGATGCTAAACCGACGAAAATGCTAATCAAAGTTAAAAATAAGAAACGTTTCATTATCTAAAACAGACATAGATGTCAGCGCGATGAAAATATCCTTTGACATTCTACAAAACAGTTAAGGAATCACTGTTGGCTTTTTACTATCCGAAACGTAATCAATATGTGTAAGCAATGGTGAAATCTGCTCAGCTAGTTCTTTTGTAGCTGCACATAACATACGACGGTGACTAAGATTCAATGGTGCACCTAGAAAACAAAACGTTTCTGCTAGCAACGGCTCATATTCTCATAGTCACCTGTGGGATCACATGTGTAGGCGCCAGCTTCACGGGCAATCAAATCACTAGCAGCTAATATATCGAGACAAAGGAAGCTTTTATGTAGAGAAATCGAAGGTGAAGATTTGTGCTTTTACCATAATCCCAAATATAGGCACCGTATTCAACGTAAGCATCACAAGAACCTTCAGCTATTAAACATAAGCTTAATGCTGCACTACCCATCATACGAATGCTAGAAAAGAAACTAAGTATTTACATACAGATTCATCATTTATCTAGTATTCACCTGTGAGCTTTTTCAATAATCATACGTTGATTTTTACTTTTCGCATCGAGAACAGCTGGATCTCGACTGTATCCATATGCACCAATGACTTGCGATAGACCAAGTTCTACAGAACATACGTATATTGAATGAATTGTTTAGATAAGATCGATAAGCAAAACACAAAACAAAAAGCAAACCACACTCGTATAAATCCATTTCTCATACCTTCTATTGACCTCCAACTATTCTCTTTTTTCATAGATCTTCGTGATATTAACCTGTTTGCTTAGAACATTGAATCGGACGACCATTTTTAAATGCGCCTTTACCACGTACGGCTGAATACAGATGATCCAAGATTGGATTGAACACTACTGCAATAATGACATCTTTATTAATAGCAAGCGCTACACATATTGCTACCATGGGAAACCTATACATGAAGACCTTCTGGCGAGAACAACTTTTCATTTCCTATCAATTACCCATGCACGAAGTTTGTCGTACCATCGATTGGATCAATAATCCATGTAGGATCATCAGTTAATGTTGCTTCATGTCCGGCTGCGCTCGACTCTTCTCCAATAAATCTATATTGAATAGAACGAAATATTTCTTTTCCTCTTTCGTTTCAAATTCGACGAACTTGTGAGTTGGAAACTTTTCTCGTAACTGTTTTATTAAAATCTCTTCAATACGTTGGTCATATTCCGTAACAAGATCAACTGTATTGCTCTTTGTTTCTATACGTTTCGCCACAGAAAACCCTTGAGAGACCACCTAAACTAAAGATTGTACACCGTGTTAATGGAATTTTCCTACTTACTTTACCAGCTAATGATACCAGATCGAGAACAGTTTTGTAATAAACATCAATATCGTGTTCTAACATCTGAAAACATACAAAATAACAATAGCAGATGAATATTAACACATCGGATTTTGATATTTATTCATGAGAAGTTTTAACAATTAGTTTTAATTTAACTTCACAACGAAACGTTGTGGAGAGATCTTTTTCACTTTCAATACTAATTAATTTGATTGCTTCGCCATGATTTTTCAATAGCACACTCTACAATGACGAAGAACTGATTTAGTTTATCAAGTATAAAGAAGATGTTCTACGTACAACATCACGTTTCAACTGTTTAGCACGAGGATAGACTAGAAAAGTCATGTTAAGAACATCGTTGTCATCCAATTCCCATCGATCATTAGTCTAATCGAATGTTTTACAATGAAACATGCCTTTCATTATCAACAAATTCACTTACCAAAAGATAGTTGTAAGGAATTTCATCGGGTAGATATTCTAACATCTTCTCTCGTATACACATTTCAGCGATTTCTTGTGGATATTGGTCAGTGATAAAATTTCGATGAAACATCCACGGAGCTGACTGAGTTCGTGAAAACAGATAATTCTAAAACGAGCAAGTATAGCCATTGGTCTTGAAAGATCGAAACTTACCCGAACGGCTGTTATACCACGGTTTTGCTTTGCTGATATCATAAAAACTTGATTGAAATATGGCCACGTCGAACGTTCTTTTGTAAATAGACGAATTTGAGATAATTTTTGGTAATACAAATGCCAATTCGTTGTTTCTATGAGATCTTTCTTAAATTCAAATGGACTAATGTCTTTCATTGATTTGTACGGAACATGAGGTGAGACATCATCAGATAATTGCTCGATTGTCAAACGTTTCTCTTCGTAACGAGTGATTAAATCTTTCACTTGCGGTTCTTCAAGATCGAGATTGACGTTTTCCAATTGAATATCCAATAGTTTCTTTTCGTATTCTTTCATATCTGCGAGTAAACGTTCCTTTTCGAAATCATTCTCAGTTTTCGGTAAAGGTATATTCATTTCATGAGCAGTTTTCAGAAACAATCGTTCCATATCAAGTTCACCATTGCGATGGTACGGCGAATCCAAGCGATAAGGGATACCATTGAGCGAACCATCGGTTAGAACAGTTGTCACGTCTAGTAACATTCGCTTACGTTTGATCGAGTCGACTTTATTTAGAATAAGAATTGCTTCTTTTTCCGGATGTGCATAGAGACATTTCAGGATTTCTTCATCTAGTTTGAAACGAAGCCAATGATTTGAAACATCATGTACAACACAAACTAACATAGACGAAGATATCGAAATATACAATCAAAGGAAGTTGCTTCGATTTACTTAAATTCGCATCCCATAAACATGAATGAGGATCAAGAATCATTGACTTTTCTAGATTATGCCTAAGTAAGAATGAAAATATAGACGATCAGAATGAAAAGTTGTCTGTTTGTATACCGTTTCTTACGCCATGGTGCAACAAAACCAGGTGTGTCAAGAAAAACCTAATGGTATTCGATCGTGAAAGAATATTTGTTCAGAAACAAATGCTAAAGAAACATTCTTACAATTTGCTTATTAGCATCAGTTAAAACTCCTGTTGTTCGATGACGAGTCGTATGTGGCCGTTTCGATACAGACGAAATCTAAATCATTTAGTTTTGTTTCAATAGAAGAATTTTCTAATCTACTGCGTTAACTTACTCTCCAACCCATTAAACGGTTAACAAATGTACTTTTCCCAGCATTTGGTGCTCCAATAATTGCTACTTTGAGCAATTCTGAATCATTAGGCATATCTGGATGCAGCAACGAAATTGCAGTTTGTTCGGCTAACGAACAAAAGATTGAAGTCACTGACATGCATTCAATGAGACATACCATTTGTGCGTCCAACCAATGGTCTACTTAAATCGAACTTAGATAAGGGAACGATTTTCTCATTTGGATCGGAATCAATATGAATAGCTCGAATTGAAAGGATTGATTGTGTATACATACGACTGCAGGAAGAGATTCGATGTCGTATCATCATTGTAGATTACAAATAAAGTAATCTAAGAAAAGATAATGGCAGTTTGAAGAAGAAACTCGATGCTTTTATAGAACATCTCTCACGATTCAACATGCGCAGCAAAGTACTTAATGCAGTGATTCACAATGTTTCTCTTGGTTGGCTTTTATCAGTGCGCACTGCAGCAGTCGGAGTGTTAGATGTCGCTGGACATTAGCTCTCCTCTTCTCAAGCATGAAATGAAAGACGCGAGTAGAACAAGTTTGTTCCTTATGCAGAAAAGATTTATTGTACAAATTCCGCAACAGGATCATTATTAGTTTCATTAGGTTCAAGTTCTTCAGTTGGCTCTGCTATAAATTTTGGTTGAAGTAAATCCAGTAAGGAATGAAAACGTATATCACGACACGCATTGCTTTGAACAATGCGATTTTCACGTTGTTGTAATGCACATAATAATCGACAGTCAATTGGTGTTTGACGTAGATCAATTGTATCGATAAGGGTTCGATAATTCGCCAAGCAATCAAGCTCGATGATGATTGTATCGTCACGATCAAGAGTTCGGAGAAGATTTTCAATTTCCTCAGAACGAAGTTTACGAGAACCAGGTCGCGTGGTAGTGGTTCCCGTACTACTTGCTGTTTTCAATCGTCGTTGATAATTTGTTGCTGATGAAGCCGTAGATGATTTGCGACTTCTTTCTGAGTTCTGCTCATACAGATTCGATGTTGCTCGTTGTACACTTTTACTTGTCTTGGGACGTTGTTTTACGTGGTTATCTTCATTGGTAATTTCGGAACGATAAGTTGATCGTGGATATGCTGATTGAGCGCGGTTGGCTACCAGAGCATCCATAACTCAGTTTACAATTTTGGAAAGTATGCTGTATGTTGTCGAGTAAAAACACTTTTAAATTGAAGTTTGTTTTTTAGTGGAACAGCTCAATAGTTTCACTTGTACGTCTGAAAAACAGGAAGAGAAATTGAATCTTGTTGCTCTTTTCCAGTAGCAAATTCTCGTTTGAATAACATACTTACCTTTACGAGGGTAAATAAGACTTTCAATAAGTCGTCGAGGAAGAAAAAAAGATCAAACAGAAAAAAACTACTGTAATGATTATTTTAACAATCAAACATGCATCTTTTGTTTGTTTCGCTCTCTCGTTTGCATATTGCCTACATATATAACGTCGACGACAATGTTACTCGGCACTATCAATAGCAACGTCTTTTGTTCTCTCTTACGTTTACAATTCTTTTCCTTCGTCTTATTCTCTTAATTAAAACTCTTCAACAATGAACCCACATAACCCCTTTTTCTTTTTCTCCTATACATTTCTTCGATGTCAAAATCGGAGTGATAACACATTTAACTTACATTAGTAGTGAATTTAACCACTATAATAAAGATTTATTTTATTGTTATTACAGTCACTGTCACATCAATCAATAACAATTAAAGAGTATAAACGATAAAAAGAAAAAGAAAACATTTTATAAATAAAAAAAAAAAGCAGAAAGCATATGAAGTAACAGCGATGAGAAGATCGGCAATCAAATGGCCCCAAAAAGAGACATATTCGCCTATTTGTCGTCTTCGAGTAACGTCATTCTCATTCAAGAACACTTAAGACGAAGGGAGATATACAAGAAACTTTTAGCACTCAAAATATACTCGCACAATTTGTTTATTGAATAAACGAGATTTCTATGTTTAATTAGAATTCAATCAAAGATATATCAAGTATACAGAAAATTGAACGACACGATGGACATGGGCAGTTCGATTGAAGCCATGTGTCTGGTCTTGTTTGATCTTGTCGGCTAGCAAACCATTTACCTAAACATTCAAGACACCACATCGGACGACAGAAACACGTTCGGCATTGGCCAACATCTGGCGCATCGCAATTTTTCACTAGTTTTACATTAGCGTTTGTTTGTAAACATCCAATGCATGTATCCAAATCCTAAAACATGCTAGAATGTGAATGAAAGAATCGATTAGATACGAGTTATACTTGATGATTTAACGGCAATCGATATTTCGGATTCTGGGTGACTTGTTGACGGAAATCTTCGAGAAATAGTTCACTTAACGATTGTCGTACAACAATATTCTTCACATTTTCGATATTCGCCTGGAGTTTTCCTCGAAGATCATCATATTCGCTTGCTCTCAGTCTAAATTTATCGAATAATATTTTAAATATCACTTTTGCGTGTTCACATGTCATGTAAAAATAAATTGCTTGATTAGTCAAACTAATATAATTTTTTTTCTTCGAAAAAATCACTCCATAAGCATGCACTATATTACAATTGTATACCTGATATAGAATGGTTTTATTCTTGGATCGTAACTTTTTATTAATATGTTGAGATATTGAGTTGATAACGAGACTTCTTCGTTGGTTTCTTGTAAGTGAATATCATGCGCTTCGTCTAATTCCACTCGTACGTTCGATTGTTGAGCGATGTTCACGTGATACATCGAACATTTCAATATCCAGGAATCAAGCACATAGCAGCGAACGTTGGAGGATGCTGAGCCACATGAAAACTTATCGTAACGTCGAAATTCTGTATTAATTGAAGATTCAACTGCATGCCATGTTTGTTCTTGCTGTTGAGAATTGGTCTGAATAAATAAACGCAGTTGACGAACAATTGGATGATGAAAACAATCATTTAAATGCCAGCGAATAACAACTAGTGTCGACAGAAGTGGAGTTAACAGACAAATATATAAAACACATCGAAGGATTATTGGTGTTTCGGTAAAAAGACTTTGACAGGCTTGAATGAATCCAGATGACCAATCAGAATAATAGATCAGAAGACAGATGTATCCCAGAGGAAGAAAGCTCTGTACTAAATATTTACTAGATACACGTTTAATATGATATCGTATAAAAGTGATCTCTTCGCTTTCGGTAAAGAAGTATGAAAAGATATTTTGAATAGAAAAACCAGCCGAAATCAGTTCACTGGGCGGTAGGACGATAATAAATGAAATGATACTGTAGAGAAAGGTAAGAATAAATAGTTCGGATGTATCGATCGTTAACAATGATGCAGACATTAGAGAATTTATCTACAAAACAAACACAATCAAACAAATGAAAATAAACACAATCAAACAAATGAAAATAAATATATACGTATCAATCGAATCACAAAATCATTTCTGTTTAAAAGAAAGTAGGCTAATCTTAATAAATTTTAATTAACTGTTCACTTGTTACCGGTTGCTGCGTTGTTGGACAACGATGATAACGGTTGACATAATCGCTAATACATGTGTAACAGTAGACATAACCGGAGCCAAGAACTGCGGTCGGAACATTGCATGGTTGCCGGCAAAGAGGACACTGACGTTTAGCAACCGTTTGACGAGTTGAGTTCGTGTTTGGCAATGGTGGAATGACATTGGTACTTGCCGGTTTCTGTTTTGCATTGTTCGTATTATTCCACCAATCGACAAATTGAATTAGAAATAAACCACTCGACATAATTTGACTGATAAGTGCAAAAAGTCGACCGGTGGCAGTTGATGGCGGAATGACGGGAGATGGCTCTTTCAAATAAGTTAATTTCACACCGGCTAGTTGAAGTGCTGGACTATAATATTCTATTTTACCGAAAGCGTATCCTATGCGATAGAGCCAACAAACACCTTCGATGAAAATCTGCAATGAAATCAAGCATCTCTGGGTGTTTTATAGGCAATCTAGAGGCAAGTATGCTTACTTGAACTTTTGGTAAGAGTTGTGAAAGAATGCGAAATGTTGCACCAGGATTATTAGTATTATTTGCACGTAACTGTTCCTGTAATGATTCGAGTTTTGATTGTACATATGGTAGAAACACAGAGAATATCAATGAACGGAGACGGTGATTTGCTGTTCGCTTCAAACCATAGAAATGTTCACCGATCAGTGCTGAATAGTGATGTAGATAAAGCCATTGAACAATGCTCTCGATTAAGAGAATAAATTCATCTTTATATTGATAAAGGATGCGAAGAAATTTAGAGAGCGGACGGATTTCATGAAGAAATTTTAAAATTTGTCGTAGACAAGGACGTATCAAATCGGTTAAACGTTCTTGTGCAAGTAATTCGAAAACACTAGGTAAAGCAGACTTCGTCACAGTTGAAGACGAAGTCGAATTTACTGTCGTATGAATGTTTGAAGATGACATCGTGTTTGTAGGAACAAAATCAAGAATTTAGAGTAATTCTTATCTGCAGACGATGTGTCTACTTTTGCTTTGCTTGATAGATGTTGGGAAATGATTCACAAGCTCTCTCTTGGTTGATTCCCATTCGTGCACGTTTCTGCAATCATTCGATCAGATGTCACTGTTCAATAGATGTGTCTCTCACTTTCAACTTTCAGTAAAACGTTTTCGAAGAAAAATGCACACTGACACGACCTACTTCTCTATGATCACACGATGCTTGTGTGAATAGGTTTATTCGATAGTTCTTATATTGATAGTAGTACGCTTTGGCTTTGTACGCAACGGTTAACGTTCATCGCCGCGCGACATCTACAATAAATGCATAGATGACTTTTGAAATGTCATTTTACACCAATGAAATAAACTTTTCGACGGAAAGTTGAGTTGCCCGCTGTAATTTCGAACGGTCACGCAGGTTGGTTGCCGGTAAAGTCAAAACGGATTCTTCCATTTGAAATTTCAACCGATGGCACACTTTATGTTCACCATTCGAAAATCAGAGAACAGAAAATAAAATTGAATGCAAATTTTTTTCCAGATATACATTATTTATGCTTTTTTGTACCATAAACTTCCAGAACTTGAGTGATCGAGATAATATTGGATTGATTATGCAGCGTGTGCTGTGACTTTGCTACCATTAGGAATTACACATTTGAGACAACTAATTCTAAACAGTGAGTGGAGTAGTTTTCCACGTATATTTCGTCGAAAGTGATTTTTTTCTCTGGAAAAATTTTAGGTGAATGCATCGTTCAAGTGATTTAACAGATGAGCCGAGCCGTTTGAAACAATTTGCATGGGAGCATTGGGAGAATCAATCCTTCGCTGTTCTACTTCGGTATGTGTACCACTGTTCTATCATTGCCATTCATATTAGGTATTTCTCTTAGACCTGGTACGTATGGTCTTGATCGTTATGTTGTCAAGCGTTATGTTGAACAAGTCCTAGCACAATCCGACCGATGGAAACAATTGTCATTCTATTTTTCTAATATTTCTTCACCAGTTCGTACTTATAACATAACTTCGTATGAAGTCGAACTCATGCAAAAAATACTCGAATATCATCTCAATAACACGTTACATTTACGTCCTATCACTATAACAGACCAATTAATCGAATATGAAGATCTACTGGATTTTATTCGTCGTCTCCAAGATGTTGCCGGCTCATTGCCCAAATCTTCGAGTAATGTTCGTCCCATACCAAGCAAAAAAACTAATCCAGCATCTATACCAAGTATTCATACATCTTACGTTGTACCTCCGTCAGCCAAATCCCTGCTACCATCAATACAGAAAACGAATCCGGTGAAGCCTATACTCGCGAAACCATCGCCAGTCTCAACCAATACTGCGTCAACTTCGTCACAGTCAACTAAATCTTCTAACTCGAATGCACAAGTCAATGGTTATAATACGTCCGATTCATCATCCACGCGATTTTCTTCCAGTAATATTCAAGTGAAACCTAATCTTATATCTCCGCCAAGTACGAACTCAAAAGCAATACAAATATTCTTATTTTTCTGCGCCATTTCTATTTAGGTACAAACACAACGCATCTAACAGCACCTGCATCATCCAATCAATCTAGTCTTTCTATACCATCTGAACTTTGTCCAACTTCATTGTATCATGCTAAGATAGATGGTAGTGGTTGGGTACAAATTAATAATGTTTTCTTGCCGTTCATAATCAAAGATCGTCAACAACTTATTCCATATCAAGTACTTGTTTCATGTAAAATCCTTGAAGTCGATGAATTACGTTCTACACTAACTCGTGCGACGTTAGCGGATGTTACGCTTATGAATCGAATGATTCGTGATTGCAAAATAAACAATGAAGAGATCGCCGAAAACGCGCCATTGATTAACGTTCGCCATGTTTTAGTTGGAACAAAGAATCTGATTTATATTAAAATCTTACCGAAAGATAATCCAACATCCAGAATCAACCGACAATATAAAACTGTGCTTGCATTACGTGGTGGTTCTCTCTATATAACAAATCGCACAGTGCCATTTGTTTGCTCAAGTAATCATTCTTATATTCCATTGAATGCCGTATTAAGTATCTATCCGTATTTACAAAGTCAATTAAAACCGTTAGCACGTGTGCCTCGCACTCACGAATTAGATTTTCTTCAACTTGTCCAGATATATCATGATGAAAAAGAATTACCATCGGATACCCTATTGATTGATTTAGAAGATTTAAATCAAACGCAAATAATTCCTTCGAAGAATATGACGTTACTCGAACATCATACGAGAGAAAAGAATAAACTCGAACAGCAAATAGCTCTACTGAACAATTCACAAACAAGCGCTACAAATAAACGAAAGAGTTCGGAAACACACGAGAATAACCAAACACAACAGAAGATGCGATCAACAGCAAACTATCCGTCGCAAACACCACCATCTATTCCAACATTCATTCGGCCTCCAACGGGCTATTTTCCAGCTCAACCACCACCACCATCATCCTTTACTCCACAATATCAACAAAATCATTGGCTATCATCGAACAACTATGGACAGCGTGGAAGAGCTCGTTGGCACTAATTTATTCGCTGTATATAGATAAATGCCGAGCGTCTATTTTCATTTCTTTTTCTACATGTGTGCGTGTGTCTCCTCAGAACGCTGTAGCACATTATTTCATATGATGGATATTGTTGATCTTGACATTCATCCTGTTGTGTTTCCTATGTTTCTTCACTGCTTCTACTCCTATGGAGTTCTGTGGCTACAATGAGCTGAACGACGTTGGCAAATTCAAAGTTCATACATGTACAACACTTCTTTAATAGATTTCATGAGTTTTGAACTAATTTTTGTTTCTTTTCTTTTGTTTAAAGGTGTGAAAACATAAAACTGATGTCGAGTGTCCGTTCATCAATAAATCACTTATTCATCTGTTCGATGATTTGAATGATTGAACTATGAATACCTCTCAGATATTCACTTTTTGCTGTCTGATATTCAAAAGGCACAGAAATAAGACGAAGTTTCCTTTCAAACGATCTTGGTTTATCTTTTCTTTAAAGTGCTATTCTTATTCTACGTAATATTCACGATGGAATTCACAGAACAGAAAAAAAACAAACAATCGAATATACCTTGGTTGTTTTTCTACAAATGATTCTGATGACTATTTAAATATAATGAACTTTCAAGGATAAAAAAATCAATTAAAGACTTGTAACAAACAGAAAACTTCCAGTCAGTTTTCGGATGTGTCACTTAATGTTACTGTACGAATAGAGTAAATCCAAATTATGAAAGCAGATAACAGATGAACATGAACGCAAGTGAACAGGAAGAAAGGAGAGAAAGAACGAAAATCAAATGAAAACAGTAAACTGAACGAGTTCAAAAGTGAAGGAGAAAGAAAACAGAAGAATAAATAAATAAATAAATAAATATAAATACAATCAGAGCTGTTTGCAGTTTCTATTGCTCTATTTTCGTGACCAATATTTCGGTGTTGGGATATCTGTCAATGTCACTAATTGTGCTTTACCACCAGCCGTTCGATCATCATAATCAAGTTTATTACGTGCAAAAATCAATCGAATATCGGAATGCATATAAAGTTTACCCGTCTGTGATGTAACAAATCTAAACGAAACGGAAATTCGATTTGTGTTGGTGGATTGTGCATTGAAAATTATTCCTACCGAATATGAGCTAAATATCGCAAACTTCCTTTTGATGATGACGAAGATGAAGATGACGTTTGATCCGCTTTCGTATCATCGCCGGTGTTTTCGGGCATGAGAACAATTCGTTGACGAATGAACGTTCGATGATCAGGTGGCATATCACTCAAATCATATAGGATTAAAAACAAATGAACAGCGGTACCATTCGGATTCAATAGAGCTAATGTAATTGTCCCCTTTGTTGGCGTATGATACCCGCGCTTAGGCAAACATTGTAAATTAATAAAACCCTAAAGCAAATAGTTTTGATATTCACAATGAAATGAATTCGACGCTTATTCATACGAGATAGGGCGATGCGGCTTGGTGTTCGGACACGTTGAACCAAAATGTCGTCACAGGTAAAACAACTTGTTTAGGCATAAAAAGGCCACTTGCACCTAATTTAACTGTAAAACCATCGAGTATACCACAAGGAAGAATTTTTCCATGTAGTAACGATTCCTTCAAATATAAGGATGAATCGACTGAAAGACGATAGGCAAAGGAAACCTTACAGTGAAATTACTACGCAAATGATTAAATGATTCCATATGTGACTTTTCACGTGTTCCATTTACACCGGCTTGTTTAGCAATAGGCGTCGACGATACTACTTCATGTTCATCATCCGCTTCGAAGACACTACAGGACAACACACTAAAAGACGAGAACGATCAAGACGTCGTATATGATAGTGATTTTACCTTCGGATTATACGTGGATTCACAGTTCTATTAGCCAAAGGAGAATCACAATGATTTGCTGCTGTTCGCGACGGAAATTTATTCAAATTCTACAAAGAAAATTCATATGTGCTCGATATAACAAAGAGCGTAATCATTCAAGGTTACTTGACGTGGCACCGGAGATTGAATACTGTTTAGATTCAGTCGATTCTGATAGAGTACACGAATTGCTTTTTGTTTTGATCGTTTAAAATCAATATCTTCAGGCTGAGATATCTTCAATTCATTCTAAATGACAATGAATCCATTCAGTCTAATCAATTCTAAAATGATTACTACTTACACTTATTGTATCACTTTCTTTATTATTATTCAGTGGTGGGTATTTCATTTGTACCTTGACTTTATCAGTTGGACTCATAATGAAATGCTCCAGAGAATTTTTCTGTTGTTTGATTGGTGTTTGATCATTGGATTTTTGTTCATCAGGATCGTTTAAAGCAATGTGTAGTTTATCGGTCGCTGTTGACATAAGAGTATTATCGGAAAAAAGGCCATTCGCCGATGTTGCTGCATTCAATATAGGTTGATGATTGAATTCACATGTGCGAAAACGTTTCTTTCGTGAAGAAATCACTGGACAATGGCAAGAGAGTGAATTTTGTAAACTACTATCTGAATCATCATCGTCCTCATCCTCGTCATCATTAGTCAAAGCGGTCGGATCAACGGACACGCCTTTGGGTTGTTGGATGGCGATCGGTAAACTTCTTGGGCGTTTGTTTTGATGCTGTTTTTGTTGCTGCTGTGATGGAACGAGGTTTGGCGTGATAGTGGTTGATTGAGAATCATCTTCAGTATCACTTGATAATTGATTTTTATCATCGTGATTATCACATTTTCGACAGCGAACGGGTGAAGTTAGTGCTGATATGGGTGCTTGAGATAGGAATGAACTTGATGATGAGCTGAACGAAGATGGAGGAGAATAGGCAACCTCTTGGTCGAATGATGTTTGTTTTTGAAGATGTAAATCGATGAATTGTTCAACAAGATTGTGATCTGAATTTAATGGAAGCTTAGGAGATGGAACTGGCGGCGGAGGCATCATGATTGAATCAGGTGATGAAAGAAATAGCTGATCGGATACTGAATTGAGTGACGAAGCTGATGTTGGAACATTTGATTCGTAGCCCGATGATAACGATAGTGATGACGACGACGAAAGAGTTTTGGGAGTCTCAGGCATATTGTGATAAAATGTAAGCGAGGATGAATATTGTGAAGAGGAAGATGATGATGATGATGTACGAAGATCGGTACTGTTCGAATGTGAGTTGAAAGACGATATTGATGAACATGGAGTCATGGATGGATCGGAGTAAAACATTGCTAACGATGCTGCTGATGAGTTAGCCGTATGGGAAGATCTTGATGTCGGCAACAGTAAATGATGATCATCTAAAGCATCTATCGTCATGTATACTTGACAATGAATGATGTGAATCGGATGTGTCTACCTGCAGATGGCCACAGTGAATCTCGTGATTCTTCATCGACAATTGTTAATAGTGTATTGTTCTTCGGTTCTAATGGTCGTCGGTTGAAATTGTTCAGATCATTACAATCAGTTGTTGAGCGACGTGTTGTTATTAGAGCGGATTGGTGGGAAAAGTACTTCATATTATCATGAGAAAATTGATTATTGGAAAACTTATCATAAGTTGTAAAGTAAGATGAAGATGAAGGTAAAAGTTCTTCGGATGGTGTTAATTGATTAATAGTTGGTAATGGTTTCAATCGATGATATCGACTGGCTGTTGCATACATATCGTTTGCACAGCTCTGTCGACGTTTGGACATCATTTTCCATTTCGACGGTTGATGCTGTTGTCTAGCGGCTGCTTCGATTTGAGACAAATCTCGTTCATCGGACAATTGAAGTTCGATGCTTGACGAATGTGCTGAATCATACATACGATGGAGTGAAACGACTCGGTCCGTTGAAGATGAACTAGTCGGTGGTGAAGAAGTATCGAAAACCATTCGTGAGATTGATTGCAATTTGAGTGAAAAAATAGAACATTCCTCGTTATCAACGAGTTATCTAGATGAACAAAGTCGAACAGTCTATGATAAGAACATCATTCAATAATAAGTGATATATCGATAACACTCTAAACTTTCACTTCTGTTTTGGTTTCAATGTTATTTTGCCGGCAGTAATCACGAGCATTTATTTTCTTCTTTTTGTCACTATATTCAATAGAGAAAAAGCTACTCGATAACATGTCATTTGATTTTTTTTCTTATTCTTTTATAAAAAGAACGCAAAGAACTTGATTTAATATAATATTTCTCGATTTCAATATGAAAAAGACTGAAACCTGTTTCTCAGGCACATCAAATTAGTCAATAAAAAACGCGAAAACATCAGGCCGGATGATTTTTTAGCTCTATTTATAAATAAATACGTGGTTTGCATAAGTCGAAAAGAAAAGAAAAACTCCATTCCAAACAAAGTGAAACTATACAACTTAATTCGATTAGAGCCGATTTAATCAATCTCATGTCTATGATCAGTGTGTGATTGTAATATTTGATCGAATCTAGTCGATGTCTTTCAAATGCTTAACATCAACATTTTTTTTCTTCGGAGGACATTTTCATCTATTCTATTGATTGAAATGGTGTCAGATCAAATAAGATTCGCCATCACTTATCAAGAAAAAACATCTGAGATGTAAGAAAAGAAGAAAAATCATCGAATGCTCACGAGTATTAGTTGTCATTCATCGTAAATGAGCAATCGGGTATTGAATAGAAAATGACTGACTGTGTGCTCCCATTCTTTCTTTCCTCTTCTTCGTATTTTCGATTTTTCTCTTTAACAGTTATGATTACGTGTGTGTGGTTTCTATTTAGAAATTGATGGACTAATTTTCTCTTCTCTCGTTCGGCAGTTCTTGTTGCTTTTCTGTTTTTACTTCTATTAAACATTGCTACTACGTAAATAACTCCTAACTGAAAGCAATTATGAGAATATTTGCGAACAGTTGACGACAGTCGTCACTTTTCCCTCTTTTTTCTCCGTTGAAGTTTTCATTCTCTCACCTGTGTATGTACGAAGATTAGTGGTGTCAAATGAGAATGTTCAATAACCCATTGTTGTCTTTTGTCGATGAGATTAATGCTAGAAAAAACAAATCTAATATTTTAATACAATGAACAAAGTTGAAAGGAAGAAGAAAGAGAATAAAAGTGATGTGAGTGTGCAAATGACTGTAAGATGTCACCTCACATTTAGTCGATGATAAAGTGAGTGCATATGAGAGAGGGAGAGAGAGAGAGAGGGAAAGGAATAGAGAGTATACAGTAGACACTCTCGTCGTTGTTACGTACAGACGTTGCAACAAATACATTCTTCTTCTTCTTCTTCTTTGTTCGACATACCGTCACATGCATCATCAGATTTCTTTCTATGTCCCTCTTTCTCTCTTAACCCATCTTTGCTATACGGATAAAGATGACGACGACAACGAATACTATTGTCGTCGGCTGACTGAACGATTCTTTCCATTTTTCTACACGCATGTATTCTCCAATTAATGAGACTCTATTTTTATCTCTTCGTTTTCGTCATCCAGATAAGACGACTGTAAAGTTACCATATTTTTCCTCTATCTATTTTCATTTGCTCACATGGTCGAAATTAGCCTTGAGATAGAACGATAACAACGTTTGTTTTTTGTTATTATTCTTATTGATGGTGATATATATATATATGCGTGTGTGTGTGCTAGAGCTACATACAAAAAAAGTTATTGTGTTAATTCGAATTGAAGCAATAATCAATCAATTTTGATTTATCTACAAAATACGCCGCGACTAACTTTTACATACGTGTATGTTAACTCCATCGATTAGATAATCTGCTGCAAACGCCAGGTCATTTTCTATGTTACTTCAAGTTTGTACACTGTCATTGTCTTTAAGAAGCAATCATCTATACATATATGCATATATACACATGGGGATCGATTTCTTTTGTTCAGAACGAGTGGCCAGAAGAATTTCTCTCGTTCTTCACAAAACAAATGCGAAATGTATTAAGCAAAAGAAGGAAAGAATCGCTTACTAATCAAAACTAAAAAGTTTAAAGTATACTCGACTTGACAATTACCAGCTGTGTTTAGAGAATGAAGGCAACACATGTACACGTTTACTAATATTAGACAAAAAACGAAGAAAGAATTGAGTGCGCAGAAGACAGAAGTTGAAACTTTCTGGTCAAACTAGTCATCTATACAGATACATGTAGACATACACATGTATATCGTTGTTTAGCATTACTTATTACAGAAGCAACAGCAGGATGTATTCTGCTTTCATCGTATATGTTAGGACGAATGGCACCGCGCAAAAAAGAAAGAAAGAGTTCGCTCGAGGCTGTGCGCTCCTCTCGGTTCTCTTTTTTTCTTTCTTCGTTTTCTTATTCACAATACACATAGTTCACAATATCGTCACGAAATCCTTCGATTCAACAGATGATCAGTCTGGTGACGAAAGAATGTCTATCGGCATGATCGAATCACTTGATTCGCTGTAAATCTTTTACCGTTTCAAACGAAGTCAATGGATTGTAAAACCACAAATATCGAAGGATAAACGAATGAAGTCGAATATTTCACTTTTCAATTGTGAAATCAATCGCGTCTGAAAAGAAGAATGTATCTGTACATACATATATGCATAAATATGCACATTGTGTCGAATAACACTCACGACCGAATCATTTGTCGAGTAGAAAAGACAAGTAAGAGTATTATTTTGTGGTTTACCCATTTCTTTCTCTCCTACATTTTGATCTTGCCATATACGCGCTGTTCTATGTAGGTTGGCTAGATGATTACCATATGAGAAATCATACTTTTTTTCATTCTCTTGCTTGTACCCAGTTCTTTTTCTCTCTCTCTCTTTCTTTCTGTATTTTTTCCTCTCTCGAACAGATGATCGATGTTATAACATGAAGAGTTGACTACTAATAAGCTAGTAACTTTCTTCTTCTTTTTAATCGAGATCTCATGACCAGTTTGAATGATAAATATCGACTAATGAATGATTAAATTGTACTTCAATCTTACGTGAATATCTTGACTTTGTTGTTAATTTCTTCGTATAAAAAATATATATGTATCTATCCGATTTGATGTCTGTCGAATTTACTTGTTGCGTGTGTTATGTTAGAAGTGCGAATAAGACACCTTTTTTCCTTCTCTTGCTCTTTTTTTTTCGTCTGACGGTGAAGTACATAAAGGCAAATAAACAGGCAACTAGGCGAACACGCATGCTCTATATATGCATTCAAAGACGAAGATGTGTGAGGAAAAAGAGAGGAGAGAGGAACAAAAGACGAAGGAATAGTAGTATACAACTATGCACTCATGAAAGTGTTCATCTGGTCGCTATGATATGCAATAGATGTCAAGGACGTATCGACGTTGATTTCTTATTGTATCAAAGAAAAACATAGTTCAATGTGAACTCCAAGCAAAACATTTCGATGTTATATCAATCAGAAGTTGACTGTATATGTAATGATTTTCTGAAACAGAAGTGAATAAATTCGGAAGTTCAAGTGTTTCGATCAATACTGTTCGATAGACATGACAAATGAAACCTTGTATCGTCTTTTCTTACCGAAAAAGTTGTCAATATTAATTGTCATCGATTAAAAGTCTTCCAAGTGCGCATGTCAACGAAAAACTTCTCTCGAACTGCAATATTCGACGCAGTGTATCTATCGATTATTAAAATCGAGATGAAAAATTGACCAATTAACCCATGAAAATGGCACGTAAAAACAATTTGTTTTTGTTTTCATTTCTCCTAGATCGGGGTATGCGATAGATTGCGTTGAGGAGGAGAAAAATAGTTCTGATATTTGGTCATGCATTTAACAAATGTCAAATGAAAGCTGACAAAGATATGTAATTAGTTCGTGATGAATCTGCCAAGACCATAAAATGGTCTTATTTTGAATTTTTCTTAGAATATGAATGGGAAAACAATAACGTCGACATCTGCATCTAAGATTGTTTTCGCTCGTTCTCATGTTGCTATGCACAGAATAGTAGTTCGTTAATGTGCCATTCTTTCCTCCAGCTCTCAATAACGAACAATGGAAATAAAGTTACTCGAAAATATCGGATTCTGAAGTGTTTATCCGGATTTTCACAATGGACTTTGCTTAGTTGTTTTATGCGGATGTTGGGGGAAGAACGGCAAACGAAGATTTCGTTAGGAGAAAAAGATTAAGTCTCATTCTCTCCAATTGCCAAACTTTGTTCAAAAAAGGAAGACGAAGAAGGAGAAATGGAGTAGTTGACAGCTATTAATCAGCGAATGTAATCTTTTCTTTTTAGCTCTCGCTCTTTGATTTCATAAGAGACGGAGACTTTTATCGTTTAGATATATATATTATACACTTAGATAACGACAGATTCCCGATAGAATAAATTTTTCTCTAACATGATAGCATGAGAGTGAGCACATTTGTTCATCTCATCTCTGATGAAAGGGTAGAATACACTTTCTACGAGTTGTTGTTCTTATTTCGCTAGTCAATATTGACCGAAATGTTCAATGTCATTTACACACACAAATAGAGCATCACGGTTCGATTCAATCTAGAGACAAAATTTCAATCATTGTATAAGATATCGAAACGTCGAATATGTACTTAATCAAACAGATTTATGTCATTTGAATGAATGATAAGAATTACTTATATCTAACCTTTATCAGTTCTCCTTTCGTTAGTAGTTGCTCGCATAAAAACTAGTTCGATCGATTGTATCGTGCGACAGAAAAAGGTCGTTTGAATAATCATTATTTGATACTCGAAATCTGTTTCATCAGATTAGTGAATTCGAAGGTTAATCGAAAAGTTAGGTCCAATCGTTTACAGTGAACTTCATTGAAAGAAATTACTATGATGAGAGAAGAAAAGAGTATCGAACAAGCACGTACTTTTCCAGCTATTGATATCTAAGTGTAACCGAAATGTGCGCGTCTGAATATCTCAAGATGCTGATTAAATCAATACCATCTAGAGAATGAAAGAACAAGCAGAGAGAAAACGATTAAGTCTGGAAAACCGTTGACGGATTCAAATGATAGTCATACCAATATCGAAATGTTGGGTTTCTCAACCACGGCGATCAGGTGGCATTTTTCCATTTGAACAACATGATGACGATTCCAAATAGAATAACTTGTTAAATGAATAGTAGGACATATTTCATACAAATCTGAAAGAGACAAGATATATGTCTACCGATGTTATATCCCGATTGAATATAAGTTTGAAAAGAAACAGAAAAAAAAACAAAATTTCACACTTCATTATACATGTATAACAGTAGTCATATGACAATCAACAACGAAAAGAAAACACACTGGTGCACTGGTACTACATTGGCGGTAACGGATGAGGTGGCCATGTATTACTAGAAGGCATTGGGCCGCGAAGAGATGGTGCAAACATGGATGGGGGCATTCTGCAAAAGAAGATGAATGCGTATGTTATGAAACCATGAACAGAAAGGAAGCAACTTACGGAGGCATATTTGGTGGTGCCATTGGCGGCCTCATGTAGAAGTTTTGATGTGACGGTTGCACGACGTTTGATTGAGGCGGGGGAAGAGGCGGTAGAGGCGGTAAAGGCGGGGGAGGCAAAGGCGGAGGTGGTGCTGTTAATGATCGCCGAGACAATTCATCGTGTGACGATGCCTAAATGAATGAATTAGAGAAAAGGAGTTTACGTCGATAAATAGTATACATGATGATAGGACATTGTCGAAGGCATTGGTGGAATAGGAGGGTTGATTGGAATACCAGTGTTACTTGAATTCAAATTTGCAGAATGATGATGATTATTACGTGACGAGCGATAGTTCGAATCATCCTCATTTCTTGGCTATGAAGAAAGAAAATCAAACGATGAGATTTCCAAGGTAATTGGTAATCATTTACTCGTTTCGACGACATTGATCGCATCGTTGACGGCGATTCAATCGGCGATGTTACTGCAGAATTCGTTTGTGTTGGTGTCAACATCACCGATGAATTAGTGACTGTTCCGTTTCCTGATGATGAGAGATTATCTTTTGAATAAAGATCAAGATGTTGATGGCAAATATCTAAGCGAAGAAAGATGTTTACAAATCCGAAATCTATGCAGAAAATATGTACCTTCAATAATATCCTTTGTCAAACCGTCGACGAATTGTTCCCACCATTTTTGTTTAGTATTTTCTTTCTTATTCGTCCAATCTGTAATCTCATATTTGGATAATTTACAAGCAAGATATAACATCGCTATTGCAATGATTTCTGGTTCCCATTGCAAACATAATGTCGTGCAATAACTAAATGAGAAATGAATGCGGGTTAATAAAGGCGAACTAGATGACGATTTTTATGCGTACCTATCGTTGACAAATGTCCACGCCATTTGATACATCTGTCGTATTTGTTCTTTATCACCGATGATTGTCTTCACGTATTGTTTCAAAAACGAATACGGACTGACAATATAAAAATCAAATTTAACTGTCGGCAATAAGATGCGTTCGTATTGTAAGATCAAATCTCCTCGTTCATCACCCAACGTTGGGATATAACGCTCACGAGCACCTTCGAGAATTTGCCGTGCTGTTTTCATTATATCACGAATCTTCTTGGGTGTTTCTTCGACTTTGCCAGCTAGAAACAAACAGCACGTTGCCGTTGCCTATAAGTAAAATTCATGATTTTGCTTTGTCGAAAATTAGTATATTTACATATCTCGGATATTGTCGAAATGAATGAGACATATAAAAACGATGAAAAAAAACAGCTCCTGTACCCATTGTTTCCGGTTGTCTAAAAATAATTTAGTTGAAATTCGAGAAGTATTTCCTGTATATAATACTTACAAGCCAAGTCGAAGTCCGAGATCGTATATAAAACGACAACCTTCGCGTCGATATCGTTGTTCAGTGTCGAGATCGACTCCATCGCGAATAGATGGTGTTGACTTAAGATCTTTTTTTTCATAATACCATACTGGCATTGTGAAGGATATTCAACAAAAAGACAAAATTGTGTATAGCACGTCGGGAAGAAAACAAATTGTTTATGTTATTTCAATAATTACGATTGAAACTAGTAAGTACATGAATGTTTCGTATTTCTTATTCTAATGGAAATGAACAAATTCTTCGTCGATCAATCAGCTGTTTACTTATGAAAAAAGAAGTATGTCAAGGTTTATGGTTGGATGAAATAGAGACACAGAATAGATGATTTCGACAAGTGGCGACATCATGCAAGCGATCAATGGATGTAAGTGCGCATGTGCACATAAAAGTTGTTCAATGTGAAAACAGACACGCTTTGACACAATCAATGCGTTATGAAAGTGTATGAATAGGTAACTATAATAGAACTCAACATTTTCTCATATTTTTTATTTTGTTAGCAAATAGAAGATTTGTTAGTGGGAAAAAGTGTTTTCTTTTTTCTGGAAAAAGTTAATTTTCGGCAGTGATGTATGCGATGTAGACTGCTGTTTGACTTCCATTGTCGCTGGAGGTAAATTCCACGCCAACTTCTCTAATATATGCTAGATCTGCTGCAGAAATGGTACTTAAATTGAGAACAATTTGTGTTGCCGAATTGCTGTTCAATTGTGTCAAGCCAGAGTCATACCACGTCCAGGATGATCCTGTTTTTATGTAAAGTTTAGCGCCCATTGTGCCACTGGACGAAAATCCCCATGAAGCAACTCGAGCACGAACCACTAATCGTTGATAACCGGAAAACGTAAATGTTGATGCTTGATTTGTGTACATGGAAGATTTGCTGCCTGAATACAATTGTACATCAGCTTTCAAACTATCAGTTGATGAGAAAGTAAATTCATTAGATTGCCATGGACCACCGTTTAAGTTCCATCCTTGCCATTGTCCAATACCATTAGAGAAATTGTAGATAACGATTGGAGATGTTGAACTACTAGTAGTGCCACTGCTTGAAGATACGGTTGAAACTTGGGTTGAACTTACAGTTGTAGACGAAACAGTCGATGGAGCTGTAGTAGAAATTGTCGTCGTTGTCAGGAGAGTATTGTTCAAAGTCATGTCTTCTCGATTGAGTACGCGATGGTGATTGTAAAAAGCACAAGCATATTTATTTGAAATAGGTGCCCAACCATCATTCCAAGCTAGGAAATAGGTAATATTTGGAAATTTAGTTTCGATGGCAGTTAACCTTAACATATGTCAAAGATATCGGTGAGAAAAAGTACGTGATTTTTTGTTATTACCAACGCGTGTATTGAAATTGATTATTGACTGTGCTTGGCCCGACTTCACCAAGAGCGAACACTTTATTTAAAGTGATCATTTCATCGTATCCATTCATTGAATTCTAAAGAGCATACAATTTTCGTTCGAGCAATCAAATTTGCATTGACTTCCTTACTGGATCGTCTGTGTAAACATCGAGTGCAACAACATCAACGTATGCACTACCAGGATAGTAAGCTAAATGATTTCCTCGACTATGATCTGGCGAGTAGACCCAGAGAACATTGTGTATGTTTTTTGTATTTGTCAAATAGTTAAACATGTCGATCCAAACATTCCTGAATGTTTGTGCATCCTGTTCAATCATAAGGATATATTTCATAGCAGTAGCTGTACAACGATAGATTTTTGTCTACTTACCTGATTGCCCCAGTAGAACCATTCACCATTCATTTCATGGAATGGACGGAATAGAACTGTAACACCGGCCTGTTGTAAATCGTTTAAACCGTCGGCCATTCGATCGAGAAACAAGCGCCATCGTTGTCCAGTTTGTGTTGTTGTATTGATCAAATCAGCAAAATTTAAATTCCATCGATCCTTGTAACCACCACCATTGGATGAAACAGGATTGGGTAAATGCATGTTGACCGTTACCAAACCACCTAAATTCCAATGCGTTTTCAATGCTGAATTGCATGAATAGTTGATCAGATCTTCCGGTGGGGTTTTATAATTCCAGCCGCATGCCCAATCACAACCGAGAATACCTGGAGTTTTACCAATTTGTTGAGTAATTTGATCGATGATGCTTGTACTGAACGTATCGGGGCTGTAGCCGGCAAATTGGCCCGAGAGCACTTTCCCTGGAGACGAATAAATGGTTTCACGTCTCTAAAACTTTGTCGTTTTTAGAAAAAAATACCTTGTTGCGCTAAGCCAGCAAGAAAAGTAAGAACTTGTCTCGTTTTTGCGTTAGCTGAACTGTCAACAGGTTGTTGTTGCGCCAGACATAAAGTTAAAACAGGCATTAGAAAACAGAAGTTGACCGACAGTTGCCAATTCATGTCAACACTAAAAGATTCTGCTCGATATCAATTGAGTATATTTTATCTATTTCCGTCAGTTCTCATCCCTTTATATAGATACAAGGAATATCAACCAAAAAATAGCCGTAAAAAGCCTTGCCAGTAGTTCTACTGGTCGGTAGTCATGCTATGTTTTCAAAATTGGCCTTGAATTTTTTCGATGTACTCACAATTTTATAATATATCTATTGCGTATTCACTTTTAATGTCAAGAAAAAAGAGCTAGATGATAGGTGGACCTACTTGCGTCACTCGTGTATAAGGTTACTAATGATTTGTTTTTACTGAAAAGAGGCGAGAGTACGAGTACGTCACACTTTTCGGCCATACATGAAATCGATCATACTTATAATGATTTTCTATCAGAAACGCACTCGTATTGATCACGGTCACGAACATATGTGGAAGAGAATAACCTATCTTTGTTCTTTTTAGTCGTTCAGTACCCCATTCACGTCAGTGTGATGACCACTGTTGTTCATTTTTGCCTTAATTGACATTTTTTCATCAGTATGATTTCGACCGGTTCGATCTCGATGTGCTTACAGCTTTTGAACTCAGAAGTCTTTTCTTATCAGTGTGACATCATCTATTCATTAAAGCAATTTACAGTGCTTTTCTACCACAATTAAAGATGTCATTGGGTCCAAAAAAAAGCAAAAATTTATTCATAGTTTTCGGTATAAACAATATATTTGGAAACATCAGTTCTTGAAAGAAAACTTCGAACCGAATCCCTGGCAATTTAGCACAAAATGTTCATGACGTCAAAGTATACTTTCTCACACATTCAGTCTGTTCTCATCTCTACTTGCATTCGATTTTGACAATTCTTATTCTTACCTTCTCACAGCGCAGTCAACGAATCAATTCTGGGTATGTCTCAGAATAAAGACAATACTTTTTAAGCATCGATATGAACACACAGAAACAAAAACATCAATGTTTATGTGAGCACTTGAACTTCGATGATTGTTGTTTCATCAGTCGAAAGTATGTCTGTACTTGAAAATCTGTAGTATATCAATTACAAATAGTCGGACACAATAGAGGTCTTCTCGTGCGAAAAGCGCTCGATTTCTTGTTGACAAATCTTTTCAATTATGTATTTCTATTCTATTCTTCTACTCATTTTTGCATTTATGTTCGCATTTCATTTGACGTACTCCTGGGGAAAAAAGACTCCAGTTAAACTAGACGGGTACAAGATCGATGTTATCTTTCAAAAAGCGCTGACTATTTTCCGTTGCAATCCCTACGAACAGCATGTCATACGTGATATAACAATCGAAAAACTTGGATCGCTCAAATGCTCGAATCGGATGTCGTTTTTACCCGACAATCACATTGAGTCCGTCACACTACTTGAGTGGAATTCAACAACAGTTGCCTGTAATAAGAATGTTATCAAAAAAGAGAAGACACACCTGAATATAAAACACAAGCCTAAGAATGCATTCAAGAATCTGAAATTTCGTGTAACACGTCTCGGATCATCGGGTGAGAGCAATGTCGAGTTTGATGACAAAAAATCATACGTATCTTTCGAACATCACGGTGGACAAGCAACGGCGACGAATCCCAACGTTTTGAATGATAATTTAACGACAACGTATTATGCATTTCATGATCGACCTATCCTTTGTCGTGAGCGATATCCAGCATCGAAGAATCCATGTTTAACTACAACTCAAAAGAAGAACTTTACTTATATGTGTTATTATCGAGTAAAATCTTTCGATTGACTTCCGGGTTGAACCTTGTGCTTTATGAAATAGATGAGCTATGAAGATCCACCGACAGTTGCCGATTTCGATAGAGAATTGAAGACTTTAACAGTTAATAATGGTTCGAATGAAGATTCAATCAACGAAGTTTATATGAATAAAAAGCCATTACCAGAAGAATCCTTTTGGAGTAGTCCGGCTAGTGTTCCTATTTGTATAATTGTCGTGATTACCGTTATTACTATCGTCAGTATTAGCAGTTACTTTTTGTGTTGCCGTTCGTCGCCAAGAAAGCGTAGAATGCGCCAACGACGTGACCATAGTGATACATCGATGGTCTCAAATACCTCATAATCATGTTTAGATGATTTTTTTTGTATGAAAATTCGCGCATAATGAATTTGATATATCATTTCTTTTAGTCATACTGTTAATTGATGAAAGTAGACGAAATTCTTGCTAAATATATGTTTCGTTTTCCAGAAACATTTAAGTATAGAACTCACTCGTGCGATTCTTCTCGCAAAACTTCAACGGTTACCATCAAAACTAATTCTATGAAAAATGATCACTGCTCAGCCAACACGAACAGTTCTATGCATCAAATAACGGGCAATCATTTATGCAATGTTTATGTCATCACTCGCACAGCAATTTTAAGACTACACGTAAGATTAAATCTAAGCATAAATAAAAACAAACGTTTGTCATCCATGGTAAATATCATTGTGTCTTATCTTAGAGAAGAAAGGTCACCGTGAAAGATGCTTTGAAGTCAATCGTTCTATGGTTAATCTTTTGAGAAGATTATTTCTTTTATTTCTTGAAGAAAAGTGCAAGGATAATAAATAATAATAATGATTTTTATCCAGAAAACGAAACAAAGAAGTTTTTCATGCAACAATTGCAACAGAAATGAATGAAATTCGTCGTGGAAAGTATAACTAGAATTATATACATGAAGAAAAAGGCCGGAAAAAGAAAACAAACAAAAGTAGCTATAAGTAGAAGAAAAAAAATCGTCTTTCTTTTTCTTTCTCTACAAATAAATAAAGAAGTAATGGAAGAAGAATTTAAATGTATATATCTAAATATGTCTTCATCTTATGTGTGAACTGTATGACAGTTCGTTCTTTATCTATGGTTCGACAAGTTTTGCAGTTTGATTTTTTGATGATACTGTTGTTGCGGTAACATTCATTTGTTTTGATGTTGTTGCTGTTGTTGTTGATGCTGAGGTTGTCGACATGACACGTAACTTTTTAACTTTGGATTTAGTTGTACTTTTCGTGTCATCGGGTTTTTTATCTCGTAAACTACCTAAACGTTGATTTACGCTTTGAGAACCAGCACCCGGCCATTCACAACGTTGATATACATCGTCAAAGACTAGACCTGGCGGACAACGCATTTCAAGTGCACATTGACTGTCGCATTTATAGCTATTAAAGACAAAGAGCAATGACAGCTGTGAAAAATCAGGAACAAATAATGATACATACAACCAGCCTGGTCGACCGGGAATGCCTTTCATTTGTTGAAGGATGTTAAGACCAACGTCAATACATAACGGTCCACCGCGACATGGTGGTCCAGTTGAGCCAGCTAAAATACAGAAAAGATGACACCGGTTATTTCCTATCATCATTGGCTATGAAATGTATTAACCTGGGACAACTTGCGCAGGTGGTTGTGGTGGTTGTTGTGGTGGATAGACTACAACGGGTGTTGTATCTACAGATGGAAAAGGTACTACTGGTGGTAGTGGTTGATATATAACTGAAAATAAAAGGAAAGGATGTAGTTTTCTTTTTCACTTGAAAAAACGCCTCACCAGTTGGATTATTGTCCACAAATAAATTTTGCCCTTGAGAATTAATAATATTGTATGGATTACAAGCTACTTCTGATGGAAGTACACATGTACGTCTTTGTTGATCCCACCATAATCCAGCCAAGCATTGCATCAACATGCCTTCAAGAATTGATTACAAATAAATGATTCATTGTTTCGACTTGTAACTAATCTCACCTGATGACATGCCATCGGGACCGACATATGCATCACATGCATAGTATTTTGAGCAATCTTTTGGATCCGGTGCAAAGCCCGTTGCCGCAAAGGATGTACTACATCGAATAGTTGGTGAGCTAACATACCACTCATTGGACGGAGCACATGGTTGATAACCGAGAACCGATGAAGGGACTAACAGAAATATTCATAGATAAAAATCGATTCTTTTTGTTCTCTTTCATTTTTACTTGATGGTTGTGGTGATGGCGGAATATTGTTTACATTTTGTGATGGCGCAGGAAAGAATGTTGGTGTCAAAATACCGACAGGATCTGGTGTTATGCCGCTGACAATCACTCCGACTGTTGGCACTTGAGCTGATGAGCACGTAGCTTCAATAACTTCTTGTTGCGCAACGTTACCAACGGGCTGTCGATCACGCATAAGATTTGATTTATGTGCAGGACATGCGTAAGCACCTTGTAAATTGCATGGCCAATCGCAGAAAACATTCTAGAAGAGAAAATATTGTGTATTCAAAAGTTTTTAATGATCGCATTTGCTAGTCATACGTCTGGTCGACCTGGTTCGTTCTGATGACTCCACCAGAGTTGATACCGATTAGGCATTGATGCACAAATAAAAGATGCCAATTCACCCGTTTCATAACAGTAATGGAAAACATCGCAATAATTTGGATTAGCATAGAATCCTGTTGTGCCCAGTGGACATGTGAATGATGTTTGAAAATCAACACCCAAGGCAATGTAGCCATTCTCAAGCATCGTACTTGTCAATGAGAATTGTTTTCGTTTGCCGATACTGATGATCTTTGGTCGTAATGTCATTGCAAGTGCGCTTGTATTGTATGGCGATGAATGTCGCGCTCGTGGACATGTCACACGTGACGTGCACGATCGTCGTGATATGTCGAATGCGCCTGGATGTGCGCCTGGGACTGATGGAACGCATTCAAATACTTTTGGTTCACCGTGTCCCTTAGAGCACCATGCAAACATGTTACAATATTGTGCTGTTACATCGGAGACAGGAAAGAAACCTTCGTTACCGCATGGTGATACTGTTGGTGGTATAAACATTACAGGTAAGATAACAAATTCTTGATTATAGAGTAATGTTGGACATGAGTAGGTGGAAAATCTTGTGCAACTCTTCGTATTCAAATCAAATGTCGAGACACCTTCATTAATACCATCTGTACCTGTTTGGCGGCATTGGAATGTTCGTCGTGTACGGCCCGAACAAGCATGAAAGAGATTGCAGAACATTGGATCAGTATGGATACCATCTGTAATGCATTCGTAACCGCTTGGATTGACACTTCGGACTTCAACAGCTTCGAAGTATGCTGATGGTGTTGTATGAGCAGCGAAACGTGAACGTGAGTATGAATATCGACGTTCTTCCGGACAAGTATTCATTGCTGGAAATGGCACACAATCTTTTTCTTTTGAATCAAATTGTGATTCAATACAGAGGTATGACAAAATTAATTTGGAATTAATACATTCGTGGAACACATTGCAGTATTTGGGATCAGCGAAACGTGTCTTAACGCCTTGTAAATTCAATGGACAAGTGAAATTTGTTGGATTCGGTATATCAGAATACATGACCATTTTTTGTGGTGGTGAAACCGTTTGTTCAATTTTTCGATTCACAACCAATGAACAGCCAGGTCGAAGTTCTTGATCTTGTTTGAGAACTTGATCAGCGACACCATTAGTTTTGTCCGATGAGATCCAAATTGTTTTCTTGCACTCGACTTTACATGGCCATTCACATCGTACCAAATAATCTAAACCGCCGAAATATTGTGGATTGCTGGCATTGTAAATTGGACTTTGATGTCTCCACCAGAGATCATAGTTTGCCAACGGTTGACTAGCAGCGGATGGACAACGCTCGTTAATACGCTTGCCAGCAACACAACGATAGAAAATGTTACACCATTCTGATTCGTAGTAACCATCCACACGATTCACACAAGAAAATGTTGTTTTGATTTCGTTTGTTTCATTAAACTTTCTCTCATGTAGACTTGCTGAAGTTTCGTTCGATGTTTCGAGCATTGTATACGAACGAAATGCTACGTTGGGATACATTCGTGTCGTTGCCGCTACTGTTGGACGGTAGAATTCATTGTTTGGGCATTCTTTCGAGTTGCCTTCTGGTGCTACACAATTGCCAGTCGATCGTTGAAAGATGCCACCATAGACATTTGTTGAACGATCAACACAGGCATAAAGGATAAGTTCGCCTTCTTTACAACCATAGAATAAATTACAATAACGTTCATGTGAAATGATATAGTTATCGTTTGAACGGCATTTTGGAATTGGTTCTACACGTTCTTGAATTGGCATCGAGCCGTAATTATGTTGTTGTTGTTGTTGTCCTGGCATAATAAATGGTTGAAAAATTTCACTATTGGCAGTAGCTAATAATCGTCCATAACTAAAAACACTTTTTGTTTTGGGGCACAATGTTGATAATGGTGCAGCACATTGACCGTTTGGTTGATAGAAATAAGATGTTGGTTGATTATCTTCGCCATTTGAGATGCAAGCGTACAGATGGTAATCACCTTGTTTGCAAACATGATACAAATTGCAGTATTGTTCATGTTCGATGACATATTGTTGATCATATTTACATGGCAACGTAGACAGATCGGGTAGACGTGTGTGATCAATTGATATTGAGCGATATAATTGTGTTTGACTCAAATTTAAGATAGAATTTTGACAATTGGAATTGCGTCGTGAGTCACATCGTTCAGCGAATGGATCGTAAATACCTTCTTGTTGAGTTTGACGATCGAAACAACGGAATGTTGTTGGTGTCGTTTGTGTACCGTCACAGAGATAGTAAATGTTACAGAATTGTCTAGACGTATGCAACTGAAAGCCTGAATTGGTTGAACATTGTAATGAATCTGGGTTACGATCAATAGGAACTGAATCGTAAGGATAAATACCACCCAAGCATGGTACCTGATCTTTAGGCATGCATAAACCTTGACTACGATCGAAGAAGCTATCGATACATTCGAATGTTTGGGTTGGTGGTAAGCCGGCATCCGAACATTCATAATAAACGTTGCAATAACGTCGAGTGGGGAATTTACCTGGTTGTGTACAGATGAAATTTGGATCTGGATTTTCAATCAACTTCGACATGGCGCTACGTGCTGGTTCAGGTTCCTGTGGTAAAGATGAGTAAACCATTGCTTGACTATTAAAGATACCAGTATTAATATTTGTATTGACAGCGGATTGGTAGCCAGCACATTCATTGCTGAATAGGAGAGCATTTTCAGTGCGTACTTGTTGAGCTGTTGTTGCCGTACCAAAAACAGTGCCCGAACATGGAATTCGACCTAAAATTAATAGAAGAAGATCTCACTCCTGAGCTTTGACAACGAATGACAGTAAATTTACATGGCCAATCGCATTGTTGAGTTTGTTGATTCCACCAAAGGTCATACGGGGTATTGGTAGCACGAGGACAACGGAAGTCTCGTCGTGTACCGCTAACGCATCGATGAAATACATTGCAATAGCGACTACCGAGAAACACGCCATCAGCTTGACTAATACAACTGACATCAGAATCCACGTAAAATGATCCTACAAAGTGAATAGAGAAAAGTTACTCGTTTCTGCTAAGTACAACTATTGATCATTTCGGTAGACTTACCATCAACATTTCCTGCTTGACCACTTGTGGTTCCAGGTCCGCTGGGTGAGATTGATTGTTGTCCATTACTTCCAGTGCCTGCTACACCTGCACCTTGTCCTGGATTGTAACTACCTGACGATGAGGAGGAAGACGAAGATGTGCAAAGTGATTGTGAGAAAACACTTTCGGCTTCTTGTTGATTTTCACTAACTGTTGAACCTGAATCAACAATGATTCCACCAGAGCTTGAGCATCGTCTGCCAGTTTCACATGGCCATGTACATTGAGCTGTTTCTTGAGCAACGCCTTGTGGTGAACCGTGTTGGACCCACCACAATCGAGCACCACTTGGCATTTTTGGACAAAGAAAAGCACTAGCAATACCTGTATAACATCGATAGAAGACATTACACCAGCGACTAGCATAAAAACCATCTTGTTTTCCTATTCCGATGTGAAAGAGACAGTGAACAGTCATAGATATCTCAATTAAATTCAATATCTTCTTCATTTACCTGTACAACTGAATTGTTCACGAGATTGAATGAATATTTTCCATGGTTCTGTTGGTGCTTCTAAAATTTCAATATTGTTTCTTTTCATTTCTTTCGATTAATTATAATAATATTTATCATACCTGTGGCTAATTGTGCTCCTGGTACAGCTGGAATAGGTTCAATTGCTGTATAATATTGATTTGATTGGCATCCATTTAGATTTCTACTAGCAAATTCACATCTACAATAAGCAACACAACATAAAGAAAGACCTGCGGTAAATTCGGAGTCTTCTTTTTACTTCTGCGATGCATCATCGAAATAAAATCGCTCGCCGATTTGATTACAACCATAGGAACGTTTTTGTTCACCAGCAATACAAGCATGGAACACATCACAATAACGTGTGTCACGCCAGTGACCATCGATACGTCCCTTACAATCGAACGGAACGTTGACAACAACCTTTTGATTTTGCATTGGTGGTGGTAATAGAATAAAATTGGAATATCTTGGATGAAGATTTTTATTTAAGAACATGTTCTTGTCTCGCGGTTGATTTGTATCCAGACCGAATAAATTCAAATTGGTGAATGTTTTCTCTTTCTTGATGTATGTAGATGGACGTTTGCCTTGAGAAGTTAAAATTAATCGATTGCCGCAGTCAATCAATTCTTCTAGACGACATGAACTAACACCTTCTTGGTTAGTCGAATCAAATACTGTCCCTTCACGGCACATATAGACCGAACCACGACCTGCTTGACAATGATAGAAAACATTACAGTAGTTCATGTCAGGAACCAGGACATTTGAAACATCCGATGGACAATCAGGACGAAGTTCACTTCCATAAACCATGATATAGGAAGAGTTGACAAGAGTACCATTTGAAAAACCAGCTGGCCGACGAAGTAAACCTTTACCTGAATAAAAGAAAGAATCAATAGATAAATATCATCGATGACATCATCGAGAATGATTTCAAGTTTTTCAATCTTACCTCCACAAACAACATTGATTGGATAATCACAAATATTCGATTCGGGATTAAAAAGTAATTGGTTTTCACACAAATATTGTTGATCCTCACCATTGTTTGTACACTGATGATATGCATTGCAATAGAGACTGTCAGGATAGAGACCTGGTTGAGTACATCGTTCGATCATGAGTGTATTCGCGGGTAAACGATAACTTGTTACATCATCATTGTCAGTGTCGATATTTCTAGCTAAGTTTGATGCATCTTCCATCGTGCGATAGAAAGCTTTACCACGGCAATCGTTCGGTTCTGGTCGAGCACAGAACATTTTGCCTGATGATCCACTTTTGAATACCGTTGGGTATGGACACATGAATGGTTGATCGACTGTCTTCTCGTTTCGAGTGATGCACACATGAAATATATTACAAATGTTCGGATCACTAGAAAGAAAATGGAACGGCTTAACTTTCGAATTCAAGATACAAATGACTTTTTACCTGAATTTGCCTGGTTGACCTTGTTCACATTCGAAATCTTTGGTTGATGTTGATGGAAGCAGAGAATCAGAAACCATAATAGCAACTTGACGATTGTCATTGTCAGCGTTGCTGCTATGCGTTTGGACCCATTGAACATAGGTCGAGTCACAACCTTCCTCTTCGATATCTAAGAAATGAACAGCAACAAAGTTTTGTTTTCTTGAGAAAATCATTGCTGGTTAACAATACCTAAACAAGTCGCTTTCGTCTTCGAATAAACTTTGGCGATTGGGCAAACGTGTGATTCAACCACTTGGCATTGCGTTAAAGTACAGTTGCATTGATGGTAAACATTACAGAATTTTTCATCTGGATGATAGCTTATTGTTGGAACATTCGTTGTGCCATGCTCTGGACATCGAGTAAATGATGCTACTTCATCAGGTAAATAAATTGTTATCGCCGACAAGACACTTATCAAGCCTGTATTATTAAAAAGTACAGATATCGAGTTAGTGTTTGTATTGAATATTGATGTAAACAGTGTTCTTTAATTTACTTACCAATAATAAAGTTGTGCCTCATCGTCATCTAGACAGTATGTACCTGTGTAGTGAATATGCTTAGCAAAGTGAGTGAAAGTGAACCCAGCTGTCGCTCACTTCGAAAGTTAACAAATTGTTGGATGTTACACGAATTTGTATCTCTTCTATATCTCTTTTTTCTCTGTCGCGTACCTTCTCTCTCTTCTCGTGCGCTCTCTCTCTCTCTATCTTTATCTCTACCGCCTACTTCTTTAGGCGACTAAATTCCATTGGTAAAGTCACTTCTTCTAATTCACTGTCAAATACCACCACCAACTAGTTAGCTTTCTCTCTTTCTCTATCTGTCTCTCTTTCTCTGCATTCTTCTTGACACGATGAGAGAAGAAGGATTAAAGCGAATACAGAGAAATTAATTGGAGAGACACATACACAGATGAAGAAGAATGTCTTCTTCGCTATGATTCTTTTCTGTTTGTTTATTTCGCTCTTGCTTAAGTCTTTCGTTACTGACCTTCCGTACAATTCCTAGGTGTTCAACATTGCCTATATTGCGTACGTGACGCGTCACCGAACAATTACGTACGACTAGCGAGATTTCGCTCGTTTGTTTCTTTTCTCGCGTTTTCGCACACCCGATGATCTTCAATTGCATCATAGTCTTGTCAGTAGCACGGCGTCAACGTCTTAAGCCGACATTTGCCATCCGCTCTTTCTGCATCTTCCTCATTGTTATCGAACAATCATGTAAGATACAAGACGTGTTCACTAGTCTCGAGATGTCTATTTCTCAATTCATCTTCTTTATTTTCTTCAGCACTGTCATCTGCGCTTCATGATGTCAATATTGACGAGCTCAATCTTAGTAGTTCTTCGACATACAGGTGTACCATATGACATGAAATGTATATCAGTCATCTCGATGCCTAAATTGTCTTTCATTTGTTCTCATTGACGTGCAGGTTGACATGAGTTTGTATTGATTCGATTCATTAACAAGAAAAATAAAGACAGAGAGCCGCGATCAAACATATATAGAAAGAATTACTTTTCTCGAAAACTCTGTACTTGAAAGAGGTGACCTTGTTCACACAAAAATTATCTCTCATTATTTGTTCAATTTCGATGGTTGAAAAACAACATCGAGAAGCTTACGACTAATTAAAGAAACCAACAGAAGGTAAAATTTCCTACTAAGACTGGTCCATACTGATCAATCTTAATTCAAATACGGATCGATATTTCAATGACATATCTTAAATACGTGTCAATGTCATAAAAGGGCATTTGAAACAAGCGACAAAAGAAAATGTTGATGATAACTTACTTGTAATAAGATATAATTGGCAATAGATTGCACACATTGTTTGAAAAAAACAACGATAAAAAGAAGAATTAATAGAGAAAACTCGCTGTCGTTTCGTTTCTCTTTTGATTACAGATATTGAATTTCAACTTGTTTGAAGATATCCGTGTTTATGTCCAATGTTGAACTGATCAGTTGAAAACAAATTGCATCGTCTCTTTTTTCTTCTTCGCTTTTTTTCCTCCTATCTATTAATTCATTTTGTTTAAATCCTAACTAGAGCATACTTTATCCTTTTACCTCATCTATCCTATTGTTCGCCATAGGTCTCCTCATTTTCTTCTTCTTCTTCTTTTTTCTAAAATGCCTTTCTCGTTGTCCCAATCTGCATAATCGTTATTATCATCTTGTTATTTCTACGCGATTGCATTGTATATTCTCAATAATTGAATCGTAGGGTTCTTAATCTGACGCAACTAGAGATATTCTATATTGATTGAGCGACGATATTTATACAAGATCAAATTTTTACACATGTAACAATAGAGAAATGTATAAGCAGCTCAATAGGCCACCAGGCATATGTACACCTCTACATCTTCTCAATAAAGTCAAACTCATTCAATTTTCATAAGAGACATGTAAGCTCCTATATTTGCTATACGAAAATAATACTTGGACAATGGCTAATCTGGTTAAACAAAATGGTCTACTGCCTTTTGACATATATATGTCTTGAGACATCTCCTCATCAGCTAGAAAAATCTTCTAAAGAAAGATGTGAGAGTTGCACTCGATTCATTTTCTTCGTCTATTCGCGAGATCTCAATCGAATGAACGTGACTTTCTCATCAATCGATGTGATTTCCTACAAGAAGTTGTTTTGAATCTATCGATTTCGACACAATATGAAACTCATTAATATCATTCTTAACCAAATGAATTCCAACTTGTGCCAAAAAACGATAATTCAAGAGATCTAATCAATCCTTTACCTGATTTACACACATCTCGAATGTATACATCAGCGCATGCGAACAACAAGCTAAATATGCCGAATGATTTCTCCGTCGGATAAACATACTCGAAATTTAAGAGCTCTTGATCTATCAGTAATGAATGTTTGTTCGAGAGATTTTTTGTTATTCATATAAAATCGCATATTAATTACAGAGAAGTTCTAGGCTTTTATTTTTAATTAAACGTCTTCGTTTTTTTTTTGTTCTCTACTCGAGTAATGTCAACGAGGGTTAAATAGTACATTACGTAAAATAAACAAACTTTAAATGCTATTTATTCTTTTATTGTTACTTAATTTTTCTAAACTAACGCACATTTTCTCTATTCGAATGTCGTAATATCAATTCGATCATTATTGTTATCTATTCGTGTACGTGTTCATCTTTTTCTTCGACACCCTTTATGCATTAATCATAAGTAAATATCTTCGAGAATTCGCTCGATTCGTTTCTTTTTAATCACTTGTTATCAAGGAAAAGAATGAAATATTCAATGATGATCATTTCACAATATATACGAGAGATGTAAGAAAGCAAATATCTCGGATTTATTGATAAAAATACGTATCAAGGCTGTTTTGATTTATTTAATCAACGTGAAAGAATGTTCGTGCAGGTTCTTTTTCTTCTTACTAAAGAAAGAAGAGTGACGTCATTGTCGTACATTGATTTTTCAAGGAGTTATAAACAAATAGCAGAGATCGTGTTAGTTCGATACGGACGAATAGCATGTTTAAGTGACGATTTAATCACGATAACATTTATGATAACAGTAACAAGAAGAGTTTACACAAAACTTTGATAATTGTCAATCACAACATGAATTTATCCATCACAAAGCTTTTGTCTCATAACTGAACAAGAGAAAATGATCTCATTATTAAACTTGTTCGATAGAGTCTTCGCGGAAGGAAGATTGATACTTGTAATTACTCCTAATCTATTTTAGGATAAATTAGATGTGAATGTATGTCATTGGACTTTTTTCTTGCTATGTAATATGCTGATGACATTGTCACGCATGATGTCCTTTGAACTTGTCAAGCTTTTCTCTCTACAGGCAATATGATGATGATATAACTACCGTATAGAGACGAAGGAAGGTAAGTTGTACTATATAACGCAAACTGTCTGCTTAGAATCACTTCATTTGAATTGAAATGCCTTTTACTGGTACTGTACATCGAAGTACTCCAATATTTCATTTTCATCCACCGTTGTCACTACACCGCACAGTTGCTCGGTTTCCCATCCGACAACGGCCAAGAGTTGCGCCAACAGTTTTACCGATCCTTCAACCACCTGCATTCTGTAAGAAGTCCGATTTTATCTATGAAGATGGAGAGGACCAACAGCAACATGCGGAAACACACGATCAGCTAGCGATTATGCACACAAATCATACGAAAAAGCAATCGCAACAAATAGCAATTCGCATTCCCGCTTTCATTCCCCAGCAAAATTACCCTAAACAACCGTTATTATGTTTAACTGCTCGAGCCGCCCGTCGAATGGAAGCAAGATATCCGCCGCACTTTTTTTGTATTCGATAACTGAACACTTGCCATTTCTTCTAATTAAATTCTTTCAATAAAATGAATTTTTGGCGCTATCATTCTATGTATCTCTTTCTGATCAATATGTGTTGATTACTATAGTGAAATTTTAACGTCATACAACTCACCGATGTGTTCGTATCAAACGATAAAATCTGATTCAATACACAATTTAAGACGGCAAATATCTCATCTTGATTTAATATTGAATCGAAATCATCGAACACAAAGAGAACTCGTATCGTTTATCAGCAACTTACGTCGACAGAATTCTAATGAACCTCAACAAGCAGCATTTGTTACCGTAGATTCACTGAAGGCACAACATATGATAAAGGAACTTGATTTGCAATTGACAACAAAGAATCAGATAGGTACGTTCGTTTTCTCGATCGATTGATACATTGACAAGATCTTCATATCGTCAAGGATCATCGCCTGTCCAAGATGATGCTGACGAAAATTGTTGCTCGTATGTATCATCAATATCTACAAATGACTTCAATAGGCAACCATCTAGCAAGTTGAATAAGAAATATTCTTCATGAAATTTCATTCTTTTCTCTTTGGAAAAACCTAGACCCTTGCATATACGACAATTTACTTGACCGTATTCAACGTCTTGAACAATATTTGACGAAACCATGCCAACAGTGTCAACTTTCGAATTTGTCAATGTTGAATTCGAATAACAGTGCATCTGATCATCCAGAATCGTCATCACAACCGATTATTATGCAAGGCCATATTCAGAACCAACCAGTAACTTTGTTCAATAGACCCGCAGTTGAATTAGTGAATAGATTACAACATATTCATGACCGACGGTTAGTGACTGTTTTCGAAGATCGAAATTCGCCGACTTGAATCAATCTTTCGCATTTAGCAACTCTTTGGAAAAATCCTACCAGAACGTCGTAAGCTCATTATTGGATCGAAATGAATATCTGTCAGAAATGAATGTCTTGTTAAATAAATACAACGAGCAAATGCATACAATAGAGAATTTGAAGTGTCTCGAAGACATTTTACAACATCAGAATTGGGAAGATATGTATAAATCGATCATACAAATCAAAACACAAGCATTATTTATGTCTAAAGTAAACATCCAGTGCAAGATCCTCATTCGATTGAATATCGCACTGTTTTATAGTTGATTGAACCGAAAGATTTCAATAGAAATGACAATTTCCAACAAGTCTCGAAAATGCTCAATGAAGCATCAGGAGTATTATCGATCGGTGACGTGTCTTCGAAGTCTAACACGAAAGAAATGACACAAAAGGAAAGACCACTGAAAGTGAAACAGCGTAAAAAGAAAAAATCGCCTAACTAAAGACCCGTTGCGTCTATGTTCAACGTTCATCATGCATTTCTCAGCGATATTTGTAGTTGAATTCATTGTTCTTCCGTTTTTATCGCTATAAAAAGCATCCTAGAAATTTCCAGTTCATTGTCACGAATATTTTCTGTCGAATGGTTCTCTTACTTTTTCTACACGACAGGAATTAACAGAAGACTATCTAATCAGGTCATTTTCACTTGATACGTTACGTGTTACAAAGAGAAAAACGTCGATGACTTCTTACGTAGGCTGAAGGAAGTTCATTGCAATGGTTTTTTCCTTTTATTAAATGATGAAATAATAGATTTTTACCTTTGATTAATAGTAATAATAATAATAGTCATATAAAACACAAACGAAAGAAAGAAGAAGAAAAAAGAGAAATTTCAAACTCTTCAAGATCTTTTCGTCATCGATCTTGATCGAAACTGTTTTGCTTCTGCAAGTTTGTAATCAACATTAAGTTGTCGTTGGAAAAAATAGTTTTTTCGAAAGTGCCCACTGCGAGAGAAGAAACTGTTGGAATAAATCAATATTGTCACATTTCAGATGTTGTCTGTCATTGAATAGTAGATTAGGAGGAGTATCATTCTTGCATGACGGGTTTGATGATGATGCTACAACTAATGAGTTGTTACTGTTTGTCGGCTGACCGTGAAGGTGTTGAGTTGGCACGACTGTCGAAGATGATGATGGGAGAGGAAAACGCTGTTGATGACAGGGTCTACCGTTTCGAATAAGTACGGGAACTGCTACACGTCGAGGCGAAGACATCGACGTATCAATTAAATCTAAAATTTGCCCAGATAGATTATGCAGAGTAAAGGAAAAGAGTGGTCCCTTACTTTTATCCAATCGTGAACGTTTCATTTTATAGCGATCTGAAAAACAATTGATTGTGCGGCCTTTACTTTCATCGAAGAATTCACTTACGATTTTGAAACCAGATTTTGACTTGGGTTGCAGATAGATTGATTGCACTTGCTAAATGTTCGCGTTCCGGTGCTAAGAGACGAACAGAACATTCTTAGTGTGATGACAAAAAAAAACGAGATTCTTTTTCGTACCGGAAAGATACCGTTGTTGTCGAAAACGTCGTTCCAATTCAAATGTTTGTTGTTTTGTGAATAGAACTCGTCGTTTACGTCGTTTGGATGTTTCGTGATGATGCGTTATATTGTTTCGTTCTTGTTGAAGATATTTCGATGTTTGACTATCTTCGGATGTTGTTCCACTATCAACAAGATTTTGGTTTGATGCTTGTTGTTGTTCATCATCGTCTTCATTTGATGAATCGTAAAACAACGAAGAAACAGGTGAATGATTATCATCTTCTACAAACAAAGAAAGTCTAGTCTAGGTTTCGAAGAGCAAACTTCGTTTCATCTTACCAATATCATCGGATGAGCTAACATTGATTGTATTCGATGCTGATGGTGCTATTGTCGCTGCTGTTATTGTGGATGGTATAACATCCTTTTTCTCTTCAGTATGAGAGAGCAAATATTGTACAGAAAAATTCTTCATTTGAATATATTAATCGATGTTGATTAACACATAAAAACTGAGAATTAAAAAAACTCTAATCGTGTGCCGGAAAACAAGCTAAATATTCAGCTCTTCTCTTTTTCTCGCTCGCTGCTTATTTTCTCTCAAAATAGGCCAATGAGAATGAGAAAGTTTTTTTCAACACCCAATAGGGATTAATGAGAAGCAAAAGAATATATTCCACTTAGAAGAAAATGGAGAGACTAATCGACATGCATTGAGGAAGTGATGACATCAAGCGTAATTCGAATATCCGTTACTTGGATATGTTCATACATCGATGTGTTTTTTTTTCTTCACTGATGGAAGAAAGAGAAACATTAAGAGAGAAGAGAGAAAGACGAACACCATTCCTCTAGGATGGTGAAGAGTGAGGAAAGAGAAGAAGAATAACATCTGCTTACTTTTCGTGCATGAATTCTTCTAGTGAGCGGCTTTTTAAATCAAATGCAACAAGTTTTCATTCGGAAGTTAACCTATGCTAGTTTCCGTGACAAACGTGTGTGTGCAATAATACACCAGCACTATCACAAATGAAGTGGAAATACAAGGAAAACATGTCTATATATGTGTATATGTGTCGTGCATGTTACAGCTTGAGGCTCACTCTCTATTGACTTCCTGTGTGATGAATACACTACTTTCTACTGCAACTAATGTTAATCTGATTCGTCTATTTAAACGATTCAATTGCTCTCTCGTGCGAGTGTGAACATGTTCATGCTAGGAAACCGGATGTAAGTTGAAAGCTAACTTAACATTTTGTTATAAAAGCATACAATAGTCGATGACAAGTTAACTTATTTATGTATTGTATTTTTTCTATCTCAAGTTTTTTTTTTCAAAATACGTTTTTCTCTATGAATGCGAAACATCACAATAGGCATGATACTATTTGATCTTGATGATTATGCTAATCATGTCTTCGAATTTTCTTCTCGTGACAATAGTATCGAATTGTGTTCACCCGAATTTTAGAAAATGGAACAAGTCTAAATGTACGACGAGCTTGATTTTGATATACCCAGATAAGAGACTCGCCAGAGTGTCAAGATGACATTGTGAAACAATAAAATACTTGACTGGTTATAAGCTTTGTAAAAATCATGATAATTCAGAAAGCTCAACGAAGGTATAATCCAGATAAAATCACCTGCAGCTACCAATAGACAAGATTAAGTGGAAGATAAAAGATTCAACGGAAGCCAACTTTATTTTTTATGAAAACACCTAACGTTAACTTCAGGGTTATCCTCTCAAATATTTCTACGCACTATATGGTATTATTAAAGAAATTCTGCAATTAGCGGCTAATTCATTTATTATCATGTAGTACTCTCATTTCTATGCATGTGGCGGCATCCTTCGCAGTACTCTATATATGATGCCGCTATGTTATATCACTAAAACTAGAACTAATTTGTTTATTGGTGTAAAAAGTAACCTAGATTAGTTTGAGAATGAAGAATGTGTTGGCTGAATACCATGCTGACATCATTTCTAGATCAACCAAACCGATTGATAATAGAACGAACTGCAGTTGTACAACGTGCCGGCATGACGAAAATTTCGTTTATTAACATTTTTCAATTACGATATCCAGAGACAAGCTTATCTTGCCATTAGCTGTCTTGTGTTTTTCGCTTCACTTGACTATGTTCTTTTCTTTCGTTTTATCTTTTTCTTTTGTTTAGTGGAGCATGCCAAAAAGATTCCAGTGATGATGTCATCAATATTCTTTTACATAGAAATCGTGGGTAGAGACAGATAATTCCTTTTCGTTTTCTTCACGTTCTTCTTTATCATCATCTAATGCATCAAAACAGAATTTTTATTACATATCTACGTGATTTAATCGTAAAAGAAACAAAAAGAGTGTACTGTCAATCTCTTGCATGAAAGATAGAAGATACTGTTTCTTTACTTTCGAAAAATGCCCGATGTGAGTGTAAATGCCTGGATATGCGCGATGCATTTTTTCCTGTATGACAGAGATATATATTTGAACCCCATAGTTTTGTTATTCTATTGTTCTGATAGTCTTCATATATATATATAAATACGATAGTATAGTTAAGCATAGCTTTTATTAGTGTCATTTGGTACGAATAAGAATATTGGACCTTTTTTTAGATAGAGAATCTCAATTGCTAGAAATAAATTTTCACATCGATTAGTTATTATGCAGTATGTGCCATTGAGATCAAAGTATAAGATTGGCACTCGACAGAGTGAATTGGCACTTGTACAAACTGAAAGGTAAGCTGATTGAACATTTTTCGATGTCAGGTTTTTCTCACATTTCGTTTTCTTGTAGTGTTATTGAACAACTGCACAAATTCTATCCAAATATTGAATATGAAGTCATTAAAATCAAGACCATCGGAGATAAAAATCTACTAGATCCACTTGCGAATATTGGTGATAAGGGTTTATTTACTAAAGAACTCGAAGTTGAACTTGATCGAAACAACATCGATTTTGTTGTTCATTCATTGAAAGATGTTCCATCGACTGTTTTACCACCGAATATGGTTATAGGTGCTATACTTGAACGTGCTGATCCTCGCGACGCTGTCGTTATTGCTCCATGGCATAAGAAAACATCATTAAGTGAACTACCACATGGAAGTGTTATTGGTACGAGTTCCACACGTCGTATAGCACAATTGAAATTGAATTATCCTCAGTTTACCTATAAGAATATACGTGGAAACATGAATACACGTTGGGAGAAACTAAACAACCGAGAACTAGGATATGATGCAATGATTGCAGCTGTAGCTGGTTTACAACGATTGAAATGGAATGATAGAATTAGTGAAATCATAGAACCCGATCGATTGCTCTACGCCATTGGGCAAGGCGCGTTAGGTATCGAATGTCGACATAACGATATTGACACAATTCGAATGTTATCAGTATTGAATCATGAACCAACAGTAATTCGTTGCATTGCTGAACGAGCATTTCTTCGACGAAGTAAGTTGACTGCTGAATTATTGTAGATACTGACTACTTTTGCTTTCTTTAGTTGGTGGTGGTTGTAGTATCCCCAATGCTGTACGTACGACGTATATCGAGAAAGAACTGGTGATGGATGGCATGTTGTTAAATCTTGATGGTTCACGTTTTGTAAAGGATCATGTAGAAAACTTGGATTTAACTATTCCAATAACAACAACGAAGCATGTGCCAACATTTTTCGTGCCACATTCTGATGACGAACTTCTCTTAGCGGATGATGAAATGCAAGCAGCAGATCGAAGAAATTTGAAACGTAAACGTACAGAATCGGATATTGATTCTGTTCTTGTTCCTCCACCTGCTCAACAACCACCTTCACCACCACTATCAACGACTTCATCAACAGCAACAACGTCAGCAGCATCGACAGGCACTGAAACAGTATCTTTACTTCGTCATTACGCTCACGTATGCGGAGTTAATATAAATGAAACAATCTTAGAAAATGCGGAATTGTGTGGTACAAATCTCGCTGTTAAATTGATGCAATTAGGTGCTGATAGTATCCTAGAAGAGATTCAACAAAGCTCTGTCATTATCCCTACGCCATAGAACAAAACAGTAGATACAGTGTTATTGTTATTAGTGTTGTTTCGTGCATCTTTTTTATACTTTGTTTTTGCTATTTGTTGTGGATTGCATTTTTTTTTGTTTCCTTTAAACTTCAGGTATGTTTCTGTGAAGATTAAAACGAAAAGAAAACAACGCCAACGAATAAAACCAAGTCCTAAGTAAAAGTTCTGTTCAGATAATTAATATCTGTGCTTTCCGCCAAGTAGAAAAAGAATATTCGAATGTCGTTTTGAGTTATTTTTCTTCTTTTTATTTTATTGATGTAAAATAATTATTGGTTAAAAACAACCAATCTTCAAAACAAAAAGCATCTGATCTTATGTAGACATACGTCGTTCTTTCGTGCTTATTGTTTGCTCTTCTTCATGTATTCTAATAATTGATCATGAGCTTGTGTTTCATCACCAAAGTCGCGAACAACACAGCAACTGCAACGAACAACTTTTCGTGCTTTACCGTCCTTGTCTAATTTGCATAAACCAGCCCATTCACCAAGCTTTTTGTTGTCATCCACACGTAGTAAATTGATGTTATGTTCAGCACATAATGCTTCGATCAATTTAACGTAATTCGCTTCGTCACAATTTGAGGCTAACACACAAAGATGTGCTTCACGTCGATCTAAAGCTTTGACTGATTCTCGTAAACCACGTGCAAGACCGTCGTTGCGTGCAGCTGATTTAAGAACTTCTTGTAACGACTTGTTCAAGTCGACTTCATCCGAGCCGCGCGGGGCTTCGTCCATCTCGGTGTCCGACATATTGATATGGATGACGTTTAGAAATCTAGAATAAATAACGCACACTATTATTATTACTAGTCATTATCATCACCATCCCAATGAACAAAAAAGTCTTCGCGTGGTTTCAAACGTGAATTTCGTAGGAAGGTCTTTTGACTATCACATCCGAATTTCTTCTCTTCTTTGTTCGTTTTCTTTGTGTCAAATGCTTCTTGATGCGAAAAGAACGAATAGATCCTATTCAGTAAATGATCTTTGGTATAATGTTCGACGTTCATGTGCTGTAAACGTTGATCCAAATTGGCGAAAGTTTGTGAACATGTTTCCATCAAACAGCGATATGTTTGAATGGATGAGTATGTATTATGTACTTCATCCATATGAAGTTCAAGAAGAAAATAACTGGGTAATACGTAAGAACATTGCGAACATAGATGTTGATGATGAATGTGATTATGAAAATCAAAGTCTACTTGTGAAGTTGTAGTAAATGTACAAAATGGACAGGTAAGAGGATCGTCGGATAAAAAAGACTGAGAAGAAACAGGAGAATCTTCGGTACGACGACGTTTCGAACGTAAATTAGAATCGATTTCCATCTCTATGAAAATCAAAGAGAGAGAAATAAATAAATAAGTATTGTAAACGCTCTGGTAAATGGTTAAATTCATGGATAAAATCCATTGAATACAGATCCCTCTTTCGACTTGTATTAGAATACAAATACAAAATCGTTGACTTTCGATTATGTTTAACTAAATATAGCTGAGAAAGCATAGAAAATTCAAGTAGGGAAGTTCGATATTTTCACTGATAGTGTTTGTCGGTTTGGATAGATGGCGCCACCACATTGCAGATGCTTTCCATAGCGAAAACGCTAATGTGTTTGAAATTTTATTGATGTATTTATTACACAAATGAATGACAAGTATTATTTGACAGAAAAAGGAATCGAAGGAATGTTTAAGATTTCGTGAATGAGAGAAGAGTTCATTTTTTGTTATTGTTATATTGATCGATGAGGCGAACACATACTTCTAACATCGCTTTTTCGCTTGCAGCAACCACATGGTTTTGACTGCATACCAATAAAAGAAGACTTAACGTATAGAGAAAGTGAGTTCTTACTTGACAATCGTACGTTTGAAGGAGACAATCGTTGAATCAAGTTCGTTAATTAGTTTTGAATATGTTTCTAAATCGCTTGTGCTCATTTGTGCTAAATCATTTCCTTCGATTAATTCGATCAATCGGTCACATTGACGTGTCCAGTTTTCTATAGAGATAATCGGTCGAAAACGAATTTTTTCGTATAAGAAATTATGAAAAAAAACCTTTGTTCTCGTCAGTGACATCGTTCAGCACACCCTGGATATTCAATCGATCAAGTTTGCTCGAAAGACATATATCAAGTGTCTGTTGTTTTTGATCGTAATCATTAAATAATCTCACGATCTTACTCAGTGTTTCGCCCTAAAAGTGATGATCATTCAACAATTGGAATGCATTCGAATAACTAACCAATGTTTTAATAATATTGCCGACGATCTTATCGACTACAGCCTTCTTTCTAGTTTCTTGTAAATTGTTGATGTCGTTGATGATTCGGTACGTAGTACGATGCAGTTTGCCAAAACGTGCCTAAACCGATTTTATTCTGAAGAAATGTACATGCGAGTCTGGATCAGTTCGTCTTACGGTTTGCATCTGTCGATTGGACTGGACGATCTCATTAAATAACTGATTTGTAAAGACGATTTGTAAAAGTTCATTTTGGGCGAGAAGAAGTTCGCGTCGATCACGTTCATCGGCAAGATCATCACCGTTCTAAAACAACACTCTCCAATTGTCAGTGTTTCTTGATCATCTCGAACAAACCTTTTTCCAAGCGCCGCTGACGCGTGATGAGGCCACTGGTTTTGCCGGTGAAATGTGTTGAGGATCCTCTCGGACAGCTAAAATACATCACATAGATCTTTTTAGTTGAGATCAATCTATTTACCAGATAATTCGCCAGGTTTTTTCACAAATCCAAATCGTGATTTTTGTGTTCGTGGCACGACATTAACAAGGTCTTGTTCACTGATTGACTTTAAAATGAAGGATTGATAGATAGGATGGAGCTTGACTAACCGCTCACTTTTTTCATTTGTGATACAATAGGAGCTGTCGCTGTCACTGTTGATGCTCTTGGAATGTTGTATGCCGCTAGAAAGATAAATCATTAACCGGTAGGTATAATCGTAGACTGAAACAAACATTGCGATTTGACCATTGCCGATGCTCGATTTTTAGTCACAGGTGTGTTACTTGCCAATCGTTTGACTGGTGCAACTTGTGTTGGTTGTTGAACAAGACCTGCTCGAGTTGGAATACTGATAATTAAAGCAGATGTTGAAAACGCAATTATTGTAAATATCGAATGTAAAACATACCGAGGTGGTTTAGCACCTTGAAACTTCTGGCTAGCATGCATGATAGTCTAGAAAATCTGAATTGAAAACGTAAAACAGAGAGACAAAATGAATGACGATAAAGACGATTTGATAGACAAAACACAATAAACCGCAGTGTTGGATGAGTCATCGTTTTCCTTCGAAGAACAAAGGAACGACGAAGTTGTTTGATGACAAATGGTTTTATTAACTATAGTTTCATGCAACAGTCAAGCTCTATCGTTCGTTCTCTCCCAAGTGTTACTTGTCCACTAGTACAGAACATATCTTTTATATAAACGGAGTACATCCAGCTGTTTTTATTTTATATGTTACATCAGTATCAATTTCGAAAAGATATGCAGTTCTACCATTCAGCAAAACTACCATCTTTGAGACGAAACTGTGGTGTATGCCAATCACCTGCGAAGATCCCTGCTCGTACTTTTTCTTCGTCAACTTCAATGCCTAGTCCAGGCAAATGTGGCACATCAACATATCCTTCTTTGACTTGAAACGGGACTTTTAGATAATCGTAGCCCAATGTTAAGTGTTCTTGACATAGAAAGTTTGGTGTACAGGAAGCAAATTGTAAACAAGACGCGAGAGCAATGGGACCAAGTGGACAATGTGGTGCAACAGCGATATTTCGTGCTTCAGCCATAGCAGCTATTTTACGAGCCTCAAAAATGCCACCACAATGAGAAATGTCAGGCTGGATTATGGCTACCGCTTGTTGTTCAATCAAATCATTGAATTGCCAACGTGTAAACAAACGTTCTCCTGTAGCAATAGGAATACTTGTCGACGACGACACTAGTTTTAAAGCAGCAACGTCACCCGGCAAGACAGGTTCTTCTAAAAATATCGACAGACATGTAAATAAAGCAACAGAACGTTCTAGAAATCAATATGTACCGATAAACATAATATCTATATCTTCAATCATATGAATAAGTCGACGTGACTAGAGAAGAATTTAGAATCAATCGAAAAAACAAGATACAAAAAACCTTTACCACAGCAGGTGTACAACGACCATGAAAATCAAGAGCAACGTCGATTCGTTTATCGACTTTCTCTCGCAAACGAACAACATTATCTCGAATAGTGCGTAGAACGTCTGGTTGTTCAATCATCTGCATCGGCGGAATGGGACATGTTTTGTACGCAGTAAATCCTTCGACATTTTCATTGATACTCTTAGCATACAAATCAATATAGTCACCAGTTGGCTCCATTGATACCCATCCGTACATACGAATACGATCACGTACTTTGCCACCAAGTAAACGCCAGACTGGTATATTAAGACTAAAGAACGCTAGCTAGTGTTTCGAACGAATATAGAATAGGAAAAGACAAAAATACTGTTTGCCCAAGATGTCCCAAAGAGCTTGTTCAACACCGGATAAAGCACTTGTAAGAATCGGTCCATTCCTAAATAAGAAGAGAGCTTCCACTTAGAACAGAAAACACAACGGCAAATTCATTTATTCCCATACCGATAAAAGTTTCCTCGATAGATGATTTGCCAATGTTTTTCAATATCTCCCGGATCCTGTTTTTAACGGATGATCATATAAGCGCACCGGACTCGAACATTATTTACCTGTCCAATTAAATATCGGGCGATTTCCTACACAAAAGAATAGTTTACACAAAAATAACGATTGGTACTAGTCTCACTTTCACAGCTGCTTCCACTGTTTGCGCGCGTCCTTCGACAATAGGTTCACCCCATCCAACCGTACCGTCGTCACACGTTATTTTAAGGAAAAGCCAACGTGGCTTAACATGAAACATCTCCATCTTTTCGATTTTCATCTCTGTGGAGTAGATATACTCACAACTATCGTCGTTTCAACTTCTCTTCGCTAGATTATTGATTAGATTTATATACGCGTTTATGTACAACAGAACAGATGTTCGGTATCAAAAATCCCATTTCGATAAGAACGAGAAAATTATCAAGTGATCAAGAATCAAAAGATGACGTAAAATAGACAGAGAGAGAAAGAGACTTTATTCTGAACAACACCTCATATTTCGACAGAGAAAGAAAGTTTTCGTCGCATTTGCTATACATTTGACGAGGTTCCAGCCAGCATTTAATCTCTTGACAACTAGTGACAGCTATCGACTGTCTGTTCGTTCTCGATTCGATACAAATAAAACATGGATTTGAAAAATCTTGTCTGGTTTGGTGTTGAATAAAAGGCACGTCAAATAGATAAAGAGATTTCTGCTTTTTTGCCAATTTTGGAGTAGAACAAAGTATTACTGAATGGAATTTCCATCTGTTTTAGATTCATATGCAGACTCCAATACATGCTAATCAAGTATTTGCTCTACTTTGTCGAAATTATCGCGTTTCGAGAAATACTCGTGCTCTATGGCAGTTTCAACAAATAGCTGCTTCATCGTTGAACCAAGTTCGAATACCAACAACGGAAGAAATTGTTCGTTTTGTAAATACCTTTTTCCAAACAATTTCTAGCTTCTTTCTACTTTAAAGAAACAATCTTCCGACGAAATTGTTCTTCTTTCCGCAGTTGATCATAATAATGTACCAATACCAGCATCATCCACGATTCTCTGCACCAGTTCAACACGGTTTTCTTATTTTACTACACGTTATAAATTTGCTTTTATTCTCGATATGACTGATTCATGCGCATCGGTTTCTATCGATGGTGGACATGTCTATCTTGAATCACTGACAAATTGTTTATGTGTACTTTTGTATTCACTTGCTCAAACATTTACATTACCCGGTTGTGAACTGAAGTTCCAGCCTGAAATCGATATTTCAGTGTATGTCTACTTTCCATTGCATCGAACACCGAACCACCAAGTACTTATTCACGGTAAGATACAAAGAGCATTCCTTTAATCAATTCTATTCTTTTGTACGACAAAGGCTATCGATTGAATTGGTCAACGCTGGAAAATGTTTGTCGTGATATAACAAATAATTTAAAATCGGCTACTGATATTCTGCAGAAAGCGATGAGTAACGGCCCACCACTGAATACTCATTCTATCTCATCAACAATGGACTCAGATGACAACATCAATGCTCATGTAAATCTACATGATATCATTCTTTTCATGACCAGTCATATTTTCTTTTAGCTCAATTCCGTTTATTTAAATAGTGAATCCTCGTGTGCTATTATCAATATGTTAAGTTATGGTATTACTGCGTTACAGCTAACGCCAGAGGAATCAACTGCAGCATTGGTAATCATCACAGATGGTATTCTCGATGTTCCCAATATCACCGCATTTGAAACAGTGATGCGACAAATACGTGCGCGGATTATCAGCTGTTCATTTGTACAAATTGGTTCAAACAATCAGCGACAACAAACCATAAATAGCAAAGTACTGAAACCGCCAACATCGAGTTTAGGACATGTTCCAAACGAAGAATTATTGAAATTTATCAGCTTATCCACGTTTGGTTCGTTTATACATTTTGATGTTGATCATATCAGTAATGGATCAACATTATTGTTGCGTTTATTTTCAAAGAAAATCGAGATATCATATGCCTGCAAACGACTGCACGAATTTCAAAATGAATTATTATCATGGGGTAGATCATTTCAATACGTTCATTTGCACCTTCCTCTTTCCTTTCGCGTGATTAGGTTTTCATAAAGCAATTAGTGAGTCATCGATTTCATCGTCGAAACGTGTGTCAAGCGGATCATTCAGTGTCGACGATGAAAACAGTCGAAATCTGTAAGACTATTCGATGAATACGGAAAAACTCATCGAATCCTATTTTTCTTCTTTTCATTCATTAGGAAATTGCATGCTATTAGTTTACCCATATCATGTAAATTAGTTAATCAATCAGTACTTCAGACATCACTGGAAAATGTACTCTCATTACGATTACGTGAAGGTTATACTGTCCGACACGTTCAAATTAAAAAAGGTTAAAAAAATCTTTATTCACCTCAGAAAAATGACGTTAGCTTTCAAATCGATCGTTCTAGATGAAATTGAAGTGCATTTAATATTACCTTGGCGATATGACATACAAATCTATTATACAGCTCGGTCCGTTTGGCCATTAACAAAGAGTATTCGAACGGACATTCGTGTTTATAAAGAAGCACCGGTTTATTTCCTTCAAGAATCTAATCAATTAACGTATAGTCAAACATCAAAAGCGATCAATATGACTCGTAATAACCTTGTCCGACGATATAACGATGTCATACAAACGTACGAAACTGATTTTCATTACCTAATCTAAATTTCATTTTATAGTGTTTCCATAACTGACCGACATTTAACACTGATCAATACATTCGCTCAAAACTCATCGTATTATAAAGTACCAGAAACGATCAAACGTGGAAAACCGATGTTTTTCGTCACAGTGAATAATTCTCAGCAGACAGTATTGAATGTTAAGTAAGTGAATACCTAGAATGATGAGTACTGGTTGATTCTCAGAAGAGCAAAAATAGAGTAGAAGTTATGCATGTAGTAACATTCTTTTTACTTTCAAAGTACCGTTATTACATCGATAGCATACTTTGTTGAAATGCTGAAAATGTATATGAGATATTTTTTACTGTTTTAGAGATGAAAGTCTTCAAGAATTTTTCGATTTCTGGCGACCAATTGTCATTCTGGATGGATCATTATGGTATGGAATAAATGGATTTGTTTCATCGATATCGTTTTTTTCTGTTCTTATTTCAATAGGCAACGTTTTATGTATACACATAATCTAACCATCATTCTAGTCAATGATCCACTTTCAAACTCTTTATTCAATATGCATCATCATCTATCACAATCACATACCCAACAGTATTCGAGTGTTTCATGTCGTATCGCCAAGACTGATTTCGAAGCATTTCTGGCCGAATACTTTTCCTTTGTTCTCTTGGATGGTCAATCGTATATTAAATTTTTGACACACGAAAACAATGATAATGCTCCGTATAGTTTTATGCTACTCCGCATTATGGGACAACCACCATTACTCTATTTAAAATTTGCATTTCAATCGAATGCCAGTACAGTCGAACGACATAATGTAAGCGACAGGAAAACATGATCCAACAGCAAACTCATTATTTCTATTTTCTATGCAGATCATGGAAGATTTTCGAAGTAACCTTGTTCGCCTTCGTCCACGCTCACGTACGAAATTGGGTAATGTAAATGAGGGTAATCGTAAGCAGCAAACATCAACACCAGTGTCATCGGTGACTCAACGAACGAGTTCATCCGCATCGATACCAGTCTCAACGATTAGTCAGCGAACAAGTTCAATTACATCATCAGCTCTCACTCTATCACGATCAACAATGACGCCAACGTTAACATCGTGTTGTGTTGCATTAAATAAGAATATTGAACGATTGATACTTAAGTATGTCGTTGGTTTTTTCGAAGGAATATGTTTAAAAACGGTTTCATTCTATTTCCTAGACCAGATCCATTTCCATATGATTTGCTTGGTATACCAAAGCATGATGATGATGATATGCAACAGAAAAATCGCTTGGAATTGGACTCTAAACGACAAGCGCTATCGAAATTCTTCTATATACGTACATTTATTCGTTCATTTGATAGTCTTAAACATCTATCGAATGTTCCGAAACGAATTCCGGATATTATTCTCGATACTTTCATCAGGTAAACTAAAAAAACAGAAGTAAATGATTGCAATCAACCATTCATAATCGTTACTTAGACGACGACTACAAGAAGGTTTTCATTTTGCCACTTCACACAATAATATACATAACCTCGTTCTGGAAGTGAAAATGAATGTATGTCGATGAAGAAAACTTGTCTTCGAGCTCTAACGTGATTATTTTCAGACACCAAAAGACGAATGCACGGAAGAGACATTTCATTTAAATCCTGCTGTTAACTTTTATCCAGATGAACGAGTACAAACTTGTCTTGTACAATACCGAATCTATCCTGTTGAATATGGTCGTGCATCTGATGTGTAAGAATCTTAAGTTATTCGATTAGTGTCACCTGCACTGTATGCTTTCTCTCTTGCAATTAGAAGTCCAACACGGGAAATTCGTGCTATGTCTCTGCGACGCTCTTCAAGCATCTACTGTGATCAGCCAACATCGTACTATTTTCTTACACAATGTTGGGTCGAACCTCAAGATGGTGTTGTGGAAGCTGATTGTCCTGAACTTGAATTTCTCAATCGATGTACTTATAAAGAAATAGTCGATAAGGTTAGTTTTTCTTATTTTTTATTCTCGAATAGGATATTAGTATCAAGTAGGACGGTCTAATCAGACATGTTTTCATTGATCACTTTTCGATCTGAAGCAATTGATTTCACCTCTTAGTGTAATCTCAAGAATGAACATGTCAATCATCATCATGTCGTACTTCACTTTCCTTCTTTGTCTAGTAATTTTAAATAGCATGCAAAAGACAAGTATATCTATGTTTACTTAACAAACGGTAGATATCAGAAGTCAAAGTGCTTGAAAGACAAACTGATTATTACATCTGATTCATTGCTATCCAAAGTCTAAAGTGAAAAATGATGCAATGAATAGGAAAAAATATTTTCATCTTGTCTAATTAATGAAAGTGAACAGGCGATCGAAAATTTTATCTCTTACGTATGTGAGAAATTTCTTATTTCGCTCTAATACATCAAACATTCAAGATAGTTCATATCAATCGTTGATTACTGGAACAAAACGGATTGAAATTCACTCGTTTCGAACGTGAGCAAGCGTTTGCATTTTCAAAATTCATCATTATTATCATCATTATCTCTCGAACGTATACTCTTCGCTTTTTTTTTCTTCGATGAAAAGGTTACCTGTTAGTAAGCATCGAGCATACTTGAGTTTAGATCTTTATCTCTAATTTCTTGGATAAGACATTTGTCGTCAATGCGCTTTTGTGTCTTTAAAGGTATGTCAACATCACGAAAACGGATAACAGTGTTTGCATTAACGAAAGAAAATGTGAAGAAGAATTTTTCGACCAATACGTGTATACCCGGAGAACATATTTCACTCGCCTTTTCTCTCTTTCCCTCTCTCTTATCATCTCATTTCGTTTCGTATATAAAATGAGCAGTTTACATCAAGCGAATTCTCATAGATTCATTTTCCTCTTCGCCAACATACACAAGATCATCACCAAACAATCCGTTCGAGTGTACGCTTAGTTGTATATCAGCTGGAAGATGGATTTCGCATAGATGTCTTCTGATGCCAGATCTATATTCTTCCAGCTCATATCAATAAGTCGCTAGTCATCATCAGTATAGATTCATGTATCTATATATCTAGTGTAAGTCTCATCTTCTATTCTATTTAACGACCTTTACTTAAGCCGAGAGCTCAGATACAATTCGAATTCAATCAGCTTTTAATACTTTGCTGTTTCTTTTCCTTTCTGTCACGACTATTGCATAGATTCTCTCCCTCTCTCTCTTTTTCGATTAGAATGATTGTCGTTTCGTTTTATTCTTCTTTTTCTTCGCTTTTTTCAAGGCATCGATCATTAGACGGTATCTTCCTTATCATCGTATTGTTCAGGATGGAAGAGGAGAAGTAGTAAATCAAATTCTAATTTTTATATTGACGATGTATACATGTTATACGCACAATTTGTCTTTTCTTTCCATCCTTCATTCCTCGAACAAGACAGAGCAAGTAAGAGAAAGTAAAAGCAAATCGAGCTCAGATTGAGTTTCTTGCACGCTCCACTCGAAATTCCCTCATCGTTCTTCATATTATATACGTAGTCAAATTTCGCTACGGAGCACGTTTTACGCGAACACACGAGCAGATTATCAACAGCTGTAAAGTTCAGGGAGAAAACAAAGGCACATCCAGACAAACGAAAAAAAAGGGAGAAAAAAAAACGCGTCAATGAAGGCGGTAACGTATGTTACAACTCTTCCCTTACTCGCTTCTCACTTTTTTTGTGATTACTTTTCACGTTCTTGAGTGAGAACAACAGCCGTTCGTTCGTTCGTAAGTTTGAGCTTGATCATAATAATGATCGAAAAGAGAGAGAGAGATGAAGACCTTATCGCGTGCGAATAGACCCATTTGTTGTTTTTTTTTCTTCTCGATTATATTGTATTTACGATTAGTTGATTCTTTCTTAGCGCGCACTCGACTCGACTAAGTGGAGCAGTTCGTCTCACCCTGAACACCAGCAATTGGTGAGATTCAACTCCTCCACTTCTTTGCAGTCGTTCATATCGACTCTTTCTTGTTTTATTGATGATAATAATGATGATAATTGAAATGATTTTGTATGCAGAGGTAAGCTGCTCTTCTTTAGCTCGCATATCAATGGCTTCAGCGTTCGACACGAAATCAAGAACAATATACGTTTATGGCCTCAATTACCTTGATTGAAACAGTTATCTCGAATAAACTGAGTCCACATGCCATGTCGTACATGAAGAGTTTTGTTTTTGTTGAAATAAAAAGTCTTGTCAATAAATAAGTGCATTTGATTTGAACGTACATCACGTGTCTATTTATCACCGTTGAATACGATAAAAATCAAGTATCGGAATGATAAATGCTGCATTTGATTGATATGAATAACGTCTTGTTTGTTTGATGTATAAAGAAAAAGTTGCGAAGAGTCGAGAAATCTCCATATCTATCTGACTGAAGAAGAAATCGTGTCTGTTGCATGTTTAGATCAACGAAGTCGATCGCGAATGCTTTAATACACTTGTCTCATTCTATTTCGTTAAATATTTACAAGAACGAAATGCAATTTCAACAGGGTATAATTTGCTTATGAACACAAACCTTGACTTTCTTCTAATTATCATACTTTTCAAGTTCTACATCACGTCCATTGAAAATACTCTCGTCGGATACAGTTTCAACATCTTCGAATCACGAGACTATTCTTATACCCTATAACCAAGATACGATTAGTCTCATCCGACGTTCACATCAAACTCACTTTGCCTTTTCTGCTTTCATCGATGGTAAACAAAGTGTTGCTTCGTCCTCATATCGATCGCTATTTTCCCTTTTTTTTGACTTTCAATGTAGATTACGACAAAATCGAACGTGATTACACGTGTAAGAACAGTTCATTACCAACAAAAAGCCTCAATTCAACGTTACTTAGCGTACTCTATGATCGTCTTTGTTCGAAAAATTATGAAAATAAAAGACATCTATTTGCTGATACCATGGAGAACCATAACGCATTTACTAGTACATTACTCCACCGGTCGACAAATTCAAAACTCCAACGCTTACCTATCGGCTTACGAAGTCTCAAATCAAGCCCATATTTACTCTATTTACTCAATTACAATCAACAACAGAACGCCAACAAACCATTAACAAATTTGGAGCAGTATTTGATCGAAATGTTATTTCCACGTTGGAACTTTCTTGTTTCCACTGATGGAGATGAACATGTCTACATGATATTACTGCCAAAAACTGAACGTGACCTACTCTTGCTAAATATCGATTTGAACGCATTAATGCACGACCTTATTGGACAATATACGATGGAAAATACTGATAATGGATTGCCAGTTTATGATGATAGCCGATATATGGTCAAGGTTATAATCGATGAAATTGAAGCATCGGTTGGTCACGAATCAACATGTGTATCACCAACAACTGAACAATCAGATCAGAAAGTCCACAAAGACCAAATGGGTCTGTAAAACAAACGACATCAAATGAACTCTTTTTTCTTATAAGCATCTTTTTAGCTAAATATGCAGGGCGACGTCGTCAACGTCGTGATACATTTACTTCAGCAGATTTGTTAACACCGCATACTTTACATGCACCATTTGCTCACAGTAGAAATTCAACGTCATCGCCAATTCCTATTGTTCATTCGGTCGCTCAACATTTACCACATTCATCATCTCATCCCAATACTATTGGTTGCCGTCGAATGTATTCACCATTAACTGTCGATACAAACAATGTCTTGCATGTGGAAGCATCTCCTCGTCGATATTCGGCGTCGGCTGCCCTTTCACCGCCGAATCATCATTACAGTATTCACCCTCCACCGATAGTGAACGTTATTCATGCATTTCCACAACAAGATTTTTCACAGGAATCTAACAAAAGATCAAGCGATCAACAGTGGCATATTCCGATATTTCTCTACGGTTGCAATAAAGGACGCTTAGCAGCATCGTTACTTCTGTCGAACGAACAACAGTGGGCAACGCTGGAAACTGATGCTTATCATGATTGCACAATCGATGACAGTGATTCAACGAACGATGCAAAAACTGTAATCACGACGACAACATCACAAAATACGAAATTGCGAAAACGAGGTATGTGAAAACTGATGATCTTGTATATTTCTAACATTATTTCCGTAGACAATTCTCGCCGATACGATGAGGATAACCCATTTCCTGATGATAAACAAGTCGAAAATATGCGTGAATCCCTTGATTATGCGTTCGCAACTGGTAAAGTCTATTCTTCTCCTAATCTTGCACTGAAATATCCTTCTACATCTAGCATTTTACAAAAATTGCCTACTGGACCTAACTACACATCGTAATGACATCGATCATGCACTGAATGCGATCTATTTTGATCATTGTGAAGATATTGATTTAACTTCCTTCCTTAAAGCAATGTGTTCACATTTATCCGATGATGAATTACAGTAAGAATCGAGCTATTTTTGTATCCTGAACATCAAACCGATTTTTCTTCTCAATAGATCGGAAGAATCTGGCGTGATTTGCACTCCAACTTCACGAAATATTCACACTTATTTACATGAGAAATTCCTTCACATAATCAATAAATTTTTTCGTCGTGTTTCATCAGATTCGGATTATTTTTATTTCCGATCGAACAAAGACTCCGACGGACCAAGTCGAAATTCTGTTGAGATCGATCGTTTGACAGACAACAATGACGTTTTACCAACATCGGGTCCGTACAAGTTCGATGATACCAATGGAATGGATCATGAGAGTAGCAGTGATACCAATAACGACGATGACGATGAAAGTAATCGAACAGTTTATATCCATGAGAACAATGATGATGAAGAATATGAATTGCAATTGGCAAACACACGCCGTCGATCGGATGAATCCTCAAGTTCGATATCGAATCGTTCAAGAGATTTATCGGCTCGAGAAATTTTCCCCTTATTCATCTGTTTCGATTGCCGACTGGTAATGAAAGACTATGATTATAATAAACAAGTGAAAACAATTCCACTTTGCATAAGTATGTCATTGAACAATATAAAAGTTTTGTCTATTTTCCTCTTGTATTTATTTCATCAAGATGAAATGATAGTCAAACCATCAGAAACGACAATCGATCATACTAGTTTGCGCGTTTCGTTTGGTTTGATGTGTTTAACATTTGGCCGCGAAGATGTGGATACACCAAGCGCTAATATCAATGGTATGGCGACTAACACTCCAACGTTCAACCATCCGCTTCTCTCGGGACGACGATATCAAGAATTAAATTCGATTGATGCTGTGGAAAATGCAAGCACATGCACAGGAACTACGATGGGCGGAGAATTGAATAAGTAAGAGATTGCAAAGAGAAACGAGTCAATTGAATGAAACATTCTTTTAGAAATCCGTTGGATAAACTTCGACTATCTGATGCACAACGGCGAGCAATAATATTATGTCGTCGCGAGGTTCGATAGAATCGCTACTCGGAACACGTGCGAAGTTTCTTTTCTGTAGATTGAATGGCTCCTACGTGATGAGCAGCTTTCGACATATTTCACTCGCCGATCGTTGGATAGGAATTTAATCGAGCAAGTTATTGGACATGTTCAAGCATCTTCGAACATTCAAGCATCAAAGTGTTTATGTCGGTCAATCGATCTTAAATTTGTTCTTGGCATTGATAAGTCATTGAAACCATTTCTTGAGGTAAACTATTTCTTCTTGACTAGAGAGAAAGAAACAATTTCATACATCATATCTTCAGGAACTACGAACTGTTCGTATTCAAGATAAATATGTTTTAACGGAATGTGGAAATTATTATGTTTTACTTGAACCAATGTACCAAGACTCGGAAGAAGCACAACGACGACGGATCTCCGGTAAATTGAAGTCGATGAGTATACGAACAAATCCTATTCTTCTGATTATTTTCAGCGTTGTCAACAAATTCAAGCGATGATCAGTCGTCACTAGCAATGGAAGATAGTTTACCTTCTGATTGTTCGATAGCTGATGATGACGAAATGGAAAAACCATCGACGGATGATAAATTGGATGATTATGTCAAACCGTCGTTTTGGCTTTTCATTGAACGGAAGAAAAAGACTTCGGGACAAGTTGATCTGCTTGAAGTGAAATTTTATCTCTATTGCGGGTAAAGAAATATAATTTTACTGATCTTGATCACAGATTTGTTTTCTTTGATAGTTCATCATCCGATACTATGCAACATTCGGAAGAGTCGAAGAAGATTCTAGATGAGCTAATCAATGAATTCAAACAGTTATGTCGCACAACCAATCAAGTGAGATCCGGTTTTTTGTCGGTGTACCTAGTATTCAACCGTTTTCGTCTTTAGAAATTGTTAATGAGTAATCTATCGGCAACTCGGCTGTGCAATTCGTTATTGGTGCCGCCTGGTGAAAACGATGATTTGAGTTTAGAGGCAGATGCGCCTATTCTAGCTGCAAACTTGAACACTCCACAAGGCGAAGTAATTCTCTTGTTTTTTTTTCCGGCTGTTATCGAAAGATTCATTCTATGTTCATTCAGTATGCTTGCGATGAATTATGGACACATTCATTTCCTTTACATTTTCGTCTGCGTCCACATTTACATGTACAATCGACATCCAAAAGCCCAAGTGGTTATCATTCAGGTGAGAAAAGTCTATATCTCTCTTCCAAGTTGAGATTATCTTTTTATTCTCTTTGTTTAGGCTCACTTTTACGTGAATTGTCAACTCACTTCAGCGCCTTAGCTGTACACAATCGAAAAAATCTATTCGTTTATTGTGGGGAACGCAATTACTATTACATGAGATTTCGTGAAGATACTCTTCCACCGTCAGGACCTAGTTTAGTGGATGAGAATGCAACTGCAAATGACGGACATCATCCAAATAGCGGTGATCTGCTATCACCTCAAATCTATAATGGAAACAATACTTTATCATTGAATAGTTCCATGAGAAATCGTCAACGACACGATTCGGTAAGAAATCTCTTTTCCTGAGGAAATACTCTTCGCTAAATGTAATTTGTGTTTCAGGGCACCTACTGTATACATGTGATGCTCTATGGATTGAAATCTTCGAGTAAGCTTATATTCTATTACCAAATCTGCGGTAAGTCATAGGAAATTTGTGATTATAGTCGATCCGAAATTTGAAACAATAAAGAGTAATCTTATCCAATCGATTGTTAGTCGACTGGAAGATGAAGTAGTGAAAGAACTCGTCAATGCTCTTTATCATTTCGCTATGCCACGTTTGAATCCTGATGATGTAACCGTATGTATTCTTCACTTCATCTTTCTCATCGTTGATTGATACTTTTCTTTCGATTAGTTTATTCGACCGATCGATAGTGAACCAAAACATGTGTTTGAATATAAAATTTCGCCATTGATTAACACAAATGCATTCCTCTACTATTTCCGACGTTATGTTAAAACAAATCAATTTCATCAGCCGCTATTTCTCCCTGTTCTTGCTAAAGACTTGAAAGTAAGATTTTCCTCCAGCATAAAGACTAACACGTGCGAATATTTTGTATCTCAGGACATTATCAAAGATTATCGTGGACAAACATTGATCGTTTACAATAAAACCTTTAATATTCGTATTCCTCGACCAGGTCCGTGCCGAGATTAATCTTTCTCAATAGAAAACAAATTTGTCTTAGGTCTGGCATGGATTGAACTGCATGTGTTGAATTCAGCGAATCGACCAAGTCCATTATCAACAGAAGATCTCACCGATGAATTGACTGTCGATTCCTTGATCGATCTTATTCGCGTCACTGAAATAAGTTCTGCAACGACAAGTGAAGATAGTGAGTTAATCTGTATACGCATTTACTCCAGGAGACGTTCTTTTCAATTAGATACGAATGAAAACGTCCTTCGTTGTAATGTTTGGGCTCGTGGTGGTCAACCAGAAATTGAACCAGTTACCATGTCAAATACTTTATTACAAGCATTCACATATGCTCTGGCAGATTACGTAACAGAGTACAAACTCTTACCTAAATTATACAATAGCAGCGGTCATGTTTATCATCGACACGGATCGTTGGAACCACCACCATCACCTCGTTCAGTCAATACTGTGAAATTTGCCAATGAGACAAGTAGATTTCATTCGCATTCGTTACTACATTCTAATTTTGTCTTACTTTTAAAGCTTTCATTCTCGATCGCAATGTACCAACCGCACGTACATTTACTGCAGATGCAGGACCGACAACGCCAACAGTTCAATCACGACGCGTGAGTAAACCCGTTCGCAATATCCGCTCATATCGTTCATTGATCGCCTCTGTTATTAAATGATTAACGAATATTTCTTTTCGATCGATGTATTATTCTAGCATTCGACGAATAGTACTGCTGGTCTATTTAATATTTTTATTAAATCGAACAAACCCATGGGTTCCTACTCACCCGTTAAACTTCAGGTTTCATTTCACTCATTTCTTTTCTACTAATCTATCTTTGTACAGAAAAAGCACCACATAAACCCTTTTGCTTTTGCCTATAATTATCTCTGGTTAGGCGAGCAAACGGTGCTTTGCCATTCTAATCACATCGACATCTTCGCTATTTATGTCTTTGTTTTTTTCTATCGATTTTGTCGGATTGGTTTATAATTTCAACTCATGTTTGTTTCATAAAATAGCGTCAAGAATCAATTCAAAGCTCAATACTAAGTCATTCGTCTATGGATGAACCACAAGCATTGTCAGTTCAACACGCACAGTGTCTAACATCTTGGTTTCAACATTTAACCACAGAACGTATGACTATTAAAATCTGTTTGATTCTCTTTCGAGCAAATCGTTTTCTAGATCCAAAACTTCCATCATTAACAAGTTCTTCGCATACATTATCAAATCGAATGCTGCTAGTTGATGTGATTCATAATTTTACCTCATGGCTCAACGATCAAAAGTTCATTGCATATAAACATGAATCACTACATGGAATGATATTTCGTTGTAATCAAGAACGAACGTTATATTTACCGGTACCATCATTAGATCAAATGGTATGTGTAACGCATGAGTTTCATTCTTGCGGAATACGAAATGCACATGTGATTTATTTAGCCAACGCGTGTTCCTGGTGAAAATCTCGATCTCATTGTTCTATATCAGAGCACGAAAACAGTCAATGATCTAGTTATCGAAAGTAATGAATCATCACCACAACAGGAGTCCGTCGATGCAAGTAAGTAGAATAGAATTGATGCGAGCAATGATGCATCATTTGTTCCCTTCAGTGGCACTTGCCAATAGTTCTGATATTCCCAAACAAATATTTCTATGTATTATTGCCAATGATAAAAAAGTAAGTTCGAAAAATCTTCATTCGTTCCTGTTTTAATCCGATTGATTGAACATATAGTTAACCATAACATTGCACAATGCACCGGACGAGTTATCCAAGCTGTTGATCAAACACTTTTCGGAAATAATCAGTTGGGCAAATCGCCGTTTGCACGTTTTGAATATCATTGTTACACAAAAGATGGGCTTATTCCGTTATCGATCATTTCATTCTGAACAGCATTCCGAATATAGTCGCCATCATGGACAACAAGGAATAATGAATAAAGTTTGTGTTTCGACGATCTTGAAAATAATCTTCGATATCTTTGTATGTTGTAGCATTCGATCAAAGGAGAGGGTTATGAACTCGAACAAGTGATCAAAGAAACGTTACCACCGAAAGCAGGAAATACATCTGCATCGTGGAGTATTGACTTGCTTTATTGTAATTTAATCGGAGCGTATCCATCACTGTCCAATGATTCTAGTCAAGATCTAGTTCAACGACATGGAACACAACTACTACGATTGAGAGAAAATAAGAAAACTCGTATGTATATTGACTTATTACATTTACTATTTGAAACCAGTTCCATTTAGACATGGATCGATGCACACAACTTGAAGAAGCCTGTTCGAATTGGATACTGACACCAAAAAAAAACATTGCCGTTAGTCAGAATCATCAAAGATGAACTCTGTCTACTTTTCTTCTCTAGGATGACCTACTCACGCAGATGAAACGCCGTTCTCGACTATTAAATATCGCCGTGGTACCCTTACTCTTCTCTCGGCCAGCTCGACACTTTTTCCAAAATGATTTCACACTACGCGTCGACAATGTCCTCTGTTTGGTAAGAAATATCAACTGATAATTGATTCTTTTTCGAAGATTCTATTGAGAACAGTTGTTTCAATACCGTACTTTTCTCGAAGTTCGAGATGTACATATCGTTGTATATATGTTTTCAGGATGCATCTGTAGCAGCAACAGTTGATGTCTCATTGGCAACACGTCTGGCAAACAAACGAAAATCTGTTGCCATTCCAGTCGATTTCGCTCTACGCCGATGTATACAATCGGTTAATGAGGTGTCTAATATTGTTTTACATAGCATTGCTGCTCAAATATCCCTTCTCCTATTTTACATATTTGAAACTACACCTATAACACCTATGTTTTATTTGCATAAATTCACACTGAAGACCAATGTCTTCATTTGGTTTTTTTTCTTATTTCTTTTCTTACTAACTGGTTTGGGCTACTAACTTTATCTTTTCTATCATATGAAAACGTATTTCTCTTATTAGTTGTTACTAATTATCTACTCTTGGAAGAAATAGGCCGTTCAAACTATTTTATAGTTCTATTTGATACATTAACAATTTATTAGTTGCCACAGAAGCAAGCCAATTAGGAAATGTTGTTTTATATAGTATTTCTAGTAGCTGCTCGTGGATATTAGATTGAACAGAAATGAATAACGATGGTTTTGAATGTCTATCTTTAGAATGATTATCAAATTGCTCAAAGTCAATTGATCCGCCATGATTCCAACCCTTCGAATATGAGTACTGAACAGCAACATACCCAAATAATCGATTCGTTCATCGAACAAATGTGTTCGTTCTTACAAGTAGTCTACAAATTCTATTTGATCAATACAAAACCAAATCTGCCGAAGTAAATAATACACATCGGTGATTTCTGCATCAAATCGATTGTTTCATTTAAGGATTAACCAGTCAACTGGTGTTCGATCACCAGTAAAATTGAATTTTCATCGCTCGGATTCAAATCGTCGCGCAACATTACTCGTTGAATTATCATCATTGAACAAAGTCCAACTCGTTCTCCGTTTTCTTCAGTATGATATCATAAAATTTCCTACAAACAATCAAACGTCAGCGACAACTCATCTGCGATCGGTAAGAATAGAAAACGAACGCGTTGAAAAAGATATTTTCTTCTTCCGATACTTAGATATCCAACGATACATATTGGATTCCTGAACAAACTGAACTCGACGCATTTGTATATGATTTTCATCTGCAAACTATTGTTCGTTATCAAACAAATCCTCAGGATGCGAACCTATTCGCGCCAGACTTTTCAATAATTGCATTTCTACAAGATTTTATTGAATACTATCCCAATGCACCAGTCGGATCCAAAACAGCATTATTTAAAAGTAAATTTCGCTTGCTTGATTTCCGAAATGAAACAAAAATCTATTCATTTCGTTTTTAGCTATTATTCATCATACAATTGATGTGAATAAACGAGCAGCCGATACTTATTTATTCAAATACGTACTTGAACATGCCACATCCTACAATATTCAGGTTAAACGACGAAATTCGGTAAACTTCATATGAGCAATCAATCTCTCTCCTTTACTGAATTCTTGCTAATCTTAGGACGAGTATCTATTTGATTGTGATCGCAATGATATCTATTGGATGGCGGCGCGAGCAACTCCATCATCATCGTCAGAATTAACTGTTGTTATGTACATCATCTATACAAATTTAAATCCTAAACAACAGAATCTACCCGCTGTAACATCGTCAGCACTCAATAAAATCTCGATTCCTCCACCAAGTAATACTCGAATAGCTAATAGTCTGAAGAACAACTCGAATACAAATCAAATGCGAGAACGTGCGTCGACGATTTTATTACCATCTGTTAAAGCAAATTTAGTTACCCCAGTTCGACCAAACGCTGTCAGCAGTGACCAAGCCATTGCAAGCAACATACCAGTAGATCGAAATGTCGAATATTTCAAGTAATAGTAGCAAATCAGAGACATTTTTATTTATAGAAATTCAATTTTCAGATCTAAAATAACCTTGATTTTGAACAAAGCGTCATTGTCGCATCGTCGTGAAAGTCTTTGGGAAAAACTAATTGCTACGCGATCGGATAATCCTCTAAGTGGACGTCATGAAGTAATACAAACAATTTTTGCAGTCATATTGCTAGATTATCCACTTCTAGAATGTTCCAATTCACACTAATGAATTTCAAACACTATTGGATTCCTGTGTTGGCGATGAAACCATGGAATTACCAGCAGTTAACACATTACTACAACGAGTATTTAGTAACAAAGAACAACTCGATCGATTGTATCGATTTCTACGTTCGCGATATAGTTCGCAATTTCACATGTTGAATTCAGCAACTGTGACTTATCTAGTAAGCAAAAAAGATGTTCTGATGGCTTGATCAGCAGAGAGAAGAATTTCTCCCAGAACGAGTTTCTCTTCTGTCATTATCTAATTTTGGTTACTCTTCATTTCGAGAGCATCCCACATGTCAACCGAACTTGAATAGATCATTCAGACATCTTCCATGTGACATTTTCAATGACTATACTGAGACAAATTCTCCATGATTACTAGTAACTCAACTTGTTTTCACTGATTGGATCTGGTTGTCTCGAGATATTCTATGAATAAGTGATATCGAATATGGCATTTTCATTTTAGGTTGTCTTTCAATGCAATCCGCCGCAACAGCGCGATGCATTTCTTGTCCTCATCTATCGATCGGACCAGAATAACTTGGTAAGATGAAACCCGTCCGTTGGGAATCATATGCCACATTTTCTTTTTGTTTCTGCAGAAATCATGCTTAGTCAAACGTCAAAATGATGTCGACTGTACGTCGTTTATTGAAACCTTTACTCATCGAATTAGTTATTTTCTTTGGGAGTGTTTAATCTAAGAACAAAGATAAGTTCCTCGATTTTTTAAAATTTCAGCAAGTTAATTGTTTGATTGTATATAAATATCTATGTGTGTGTGTGTGTGTATATGACTCTTTTTCATTGGATAGATAAACAGAAATATAAGAAAAGGATTTTTCTATTGTTAATTTTGTCTGGATGGATATTTTCTTAATTGGGATAATTTTTTTTCGAATTTAGTTTCCTTTTGATTCAATAATTGCAATGTTAAACTATCTTCATCTGCCAATGCTTCGTCGAAAGGTTTCTTCTGAAGAGCAGATATTTTTTCGAGAATTTTCATTAGATCTGCACAGATATAAGCGAAAATTATTGATACACATGGAAACAAAAAATATTTCACTCAATCATCACCTATTTCTTCGTCGACATTTTCGACAACCGGTGGTAACGGGATGTTGAATGGACGTCGCCGAGGTATTCTTCGTTTTATCGACGAACGTTGAGTTTTCGGAGGAGAATCCTCAAGAGTTGACATTGATGATTTGTCAAAAGATTCTTCGATGAGTGTCTGAGAGTAGCATGTCGATGTTGAACTATTACCATTATTGTTTATCGATTCATCTTCATCTGAGACGCCATCTGTAGTCGATCGAATGTCTTCCCCTGTTCGAAGAAAGAAAGTTTGTTGAAAATAGTGTTGTCTCTAGGATAAAGTGCTCTTTGTATATAAAGGTCGATTCCGAGGAAATTCTCAAAACTCTGCGAGCTCTAACGATGCCGGTAGTTCATGAAAAAAGTTTGTTACATACAGGAAACGCTTAATTGCGACAGGATAAACATTAATTTAGAGAAATATAGCATTCTATTTAAAAAAAATTGGAGTACAAAACTGCCCTTATCTGCATTTCCGTTTATAGCACTCAGAAGAGACTGAAGTCAAGGACAATTTTGAAGAAAATCACTTACACTCGTCGATGATAAGTTCTTTCTTCTCCATCGTAGTCGTATTCCTCTCCAGATCTTGTGGTGAGCTACTAAGCACTCGCGGTGATATGTACAACTCTTGGATATCATTTGGCTTTAGATATGGACCTATTTGTAGAGATTGCTGTAGCTTAGATGGTCGTGTTCGTATGACATCCGTTCGAGTTCGGCTCTGTGTCGTTTCTTGTTCTCCTGATGTTGCTGTCCATATCGGAATCAGAGGAGATCTGTTTTGATACGTTGATTTAGATTTGAATTGATTTTGTTTCATCTCATTCGATAGTTTGGTATATTTCAATGTTGGAATACGTGGAGAACGGATACGGTCTTTAATTCGATAGGGTGAGCGTTGATCGGAAACGATCAGAGGCGTTGCCCGATTTCTAAATGTGAAGTTTGTTGGAATTGATAATTGATTTGACGACATATTGAGAGTATCTGACGGTGGTTGACTCTGAGAAAGACTTTCGAGTGTTGGACGATGACGACGAAGCAACAGAGGAGAATGGCGATCAAGTTTTAGTTGGCGATTGCTACTGTTCGTGGATTGATCATTTAACTCGGAAACTAATGGTTGAGAATTCGAAGATGATGGTGAAATAGATGTTATTGACAAAAATGTTGGTTGAGTGTCGACTACAATCGGTTTCCGAGGTGACGGTTGAAACTATTCAAACAATTAGATAAACATCAATCAGCGAGAAGATCTCAAACTTACATCAATTTCATCAGGCTTATTTAAAAATGATCGTATCACTCGTTGTCGCTGAATGATATGTTTCGTTTCCGACTTATAACCACTGGATCGCATCATTCTTGGCGAAGTTCTCATCTGATGACTGCTGTTGAAATGTCCGACATATATTTGGTCGATAGGATGCTCGTTGTTGCTATTGTTTCGTTTCGTACTGTTCATCAGCAGTGCTTCCATGTCATCGTGCAGCATTTGGCAAGTAGCAGTTTGATTTGAATGAAGACTTCTTTGTCCTTACTTTCTTCTATATGACAATCATATAGTTTTCACTTTGCCAATTTCACGAGAAATAAAAGACACGATGACGGCAAAGAAAAAAAATTCTATTTCAAATAAAAATTATTTCCTTTTGTTTTCATATGTCAATGATAAGAGATGCAAAAATCAAGCGGTAAAAGAAAATAATAATAATAATAATAATAGAGAAGAAATTGTTTTTAGATGAATTTTGCAGATTTAAAGAATAAAATTATTTTAATTGACGGAGGCCTTGGCACAACATTGCAGGAATACGGACACGATACTCTCGCCGATCCACTATGGTTAGTGGAAATTTCCAGAAAAACTGTACTTATTTTTTTTTCCATAGGTCCGGAAAAGTTTTGGTTAAACAACCAGACCAACTTGTTAAAGTACATCGCGCGTAAGCATGTATAATATTGAGATATTCTTGTCACTTTATCCGTCAGGGGATATATTTAGTTTCGTTCAAGCTGGATGTGATATAATACTATCAGCGACGTATCAAATTTCGATAGATAATCTGATGAAATGTTGTGAAATGTCACACGAACAAGCGGAAGAGACTATATTCAACTCTGTCACGCTCGCCCGTCAAGCGATTAGTCTGTTGTCGACTTGTTCTGAGAAAACATTCTCATATCTGCTTGTATATAGGCGAAGAAAGAGCACAATGTTTTGTTGCTGCTTCTGTTGGTCCTTATGGAGCCGTGTTATGCGATGGCAGTGAGTTCAATGGATGGTACACAGACTCGATGACGATCGAAGTATTTTTATTGAATGCTTTTTCTTATCGTAAATTATACTTTTAGCAATTTAAAGATTGGCATCGACCTCGTTTAGCGGCCTTAGCACGTGCCGAACCTGATCTGATTGCATTTGAAACTATTCCATCGAAAAAAGAAGCCGAAGCTTTGGCTGAACTATTGAAAGAATACCCGAATTTGAAAGGATGGCTTTCTTTCAATTGTCAGGTACTGAAAAACATTTACGATCTTTTATTAAATAGATCAATACCTCTGTTGACATTAGTAGCTGCGATTTTCCTATATCGATATTAATTATTCAGTATTTTTCGTAAAAGAACATTGAACGCTGAGTGCAGAACAAGGTTCTCTTACCGGGCATTCCATTATGAATGAGGAATCATTGACGTCAATCGCAGAATGAGTTTTCTTTTGTGATCTTTAGAATGCATCAACAACAGCTCTTGGTGAACCCGTTGAAGAAGCAGCGGTATCGGCTTATCTTAAATCTCCCGATCAAATCATTGCTGTCGGTGTCAATTGTGTTCATCCAGCAAATGTCGTACCACTGATCGAGAAACTACGTCCTCTCAATTGTGATCTACTCGCGTATCCCAATTCAGGTGTAATTTGGGATAGTGAAAAATGGTAATAACAACCGATATTCTGCTTTCGTATTATGTCAAATGTATTTTTAGTATTTTTAATAATCAAGGACAAACGTTAACCCCATACATTCGTTCTTATATTGATGCAGGTGTGAAGTATATCGGTGGTTGCTGCAATGTGAACCCAAGCGAAATTGGTGCAATGCGACATGCTATTGATGAATACGTGTCGAAAAAGAATCCATGAACTATTAACTTGTTTCAGCGTATTTGTACTTTAAGAGTTATCGGATGACGCCCATCTGCCCTTACAATATGTGACCTTCATTTACCCTCTAGCTGACTCGTCAGCGTCCTTAGTTATACTCTTCATCCGTAGGCCTTTTTATTATACATATGCATCTATACATCTGACTCATGGATAAAGAGAAAAATACCGATAGACAGTGGGATTTATCTGTCAAATCTAATCTTTTCTTTTTCGATAGTGAACAATCCATTCGCTTAGAATTGAATCGTTCAAGCATGACTGAAATGATGCACATGTTTCGTTTTCTCCGCTTTCTCCCATTCATGATTCGATCAAAAAACGAAATAACTCGATTTTCTTTTCGTATTTTTACGTTTCGATCATATTTTTCGTATAAATAATCACAACAATTAATATTTGCTATCATTTCGAGCATTTGTCGTTTTTCATTCTCTCGTTAACATAAAACAAACGCATTATGGCGAGTCTTTTACGTAAACTCTCCCACGTCTCATCTACGGACGTGAAAAAAGTAACATCAACATTGGCACGATCGAAAACATATGAAAGCAATCTCGTTAAACTAGAGAAACGTCTACCAGTAAGTTCTCGGTATTTTTCCTCACATTGTAAAACTAATGCTTTATAGCTGATATATAAATCTAACCTTTCGCATTCACAGCCGTTGAATTTTCATTTCAATAACAGAGAAATAAGAACCAATGCATGGCTCGTGTAACTGTTTACTAACCCAAACTTTTGCGAGAGTAACTTCCCGTTGCTTACACAGTCGTTTATTGTTTTTCGATGTCTTTAGAGACAAGCAACCGTTCCTGCCTTTGGTCATTCAACAGACTTTGATTATAAACGTGACACGAAACAACTATGTAAAATAATGAAACATTGTGCTACAGCGCATACATTGGATTTAGATTACATTCTTCATTTCCTTTCGTCTTATACGTGTGAGCAACGTATGATACTTGTTCGTGATCTCGAATTTGAATATGAATATAAACTCGTCGATATGGTACTCGAACGACCGGAATCTCCGATACGTTCGTGTACGTTAGCGATGTTAATCGAACCAATTGAATTATATGCACGTGATTTTCACGATCTATTAACATGGAAACAAGTGAATAAAATCGATTATGATATATCGGAAAAATTACTTGAAATCGTGTTAGCATTGAACAATGAAGATTCGAAAAAATTTAGAGAAAATTACGAAAATCTATTTGTCAATCCTGTTGAAAAAGATATTGAACTTGTACAAGGTGAAGGAAACATTATTTCACAATTGTTGATTAATGTTCTCGAAGGTAAACGTTACGAAGAAAACGGACATTCAGCCACAACTGCGAAGCTGATTGCCAAGAGATTGTACGAAGCTGGTGAAGACGGACCGGCAATCGATTATGATACATTTATCAAAATATTTACACGTGACACTTTTGCGCAGTTATCCGCCATATTTGATATCTACGAGGATAAATATGGGCGGCCAATAGAAGAAGCAATCGAACGGGAATTTCAGGGACAAACACAAATTAACTGTTTTAAAGAAATGGTCGAATTTATTCGATCACCAGGTTTGTACTATGCCAAAGTGATACGACGAGCGTTAGACAAAACACCTCTTGATTATGAAACTGTCATACGATCGATCATTGGGCATCAAGAAAAAGATCTATCGGAAATCTGTTTAGAATACTCGAAAGAATACGATGAACCATTGGAAGAAACACTTAAAACACGTATTGATATTATGGAAATCAAACGCGTATTGATTTTGATTGTAACAGATGGACACGATATAGAAGCCGATGAATTGAGCCAGGTTCGATTTGATCATTCAAATAATTCTAGTCCGACTGGCTCAGGGGCTATACCAACGTCAACAGCAGCAGTAAATACGCTTGGAATGAGACGAAATCGTTCACAAGAAGCATTCGACAAATTCGTCAATGTATTTAAAACCATGCGACCGCACTGATCAGATCTTATTTGTATGTTCATTTTCTTTTATTCATTCATTTGTATTCTCACACAATTTATAATAAATCACCAAGAAAAAGAAAACCAATAAAATTCTAAACCTTGAATAAGACAAAACAAGTTGTGTAAAGGAAACAGATACATATTATTGAAAATGCATATGTCGCCTCATGGTGTTGATTGAAGGCGTAGAAAATTATATCGGAAATAAGAAAAAAAACGGAAACTTGATCATTCGACAACAACCAATAGACTAGAACAACAGAGATTAAGAAGCACTGGACTAAGATATTGTTCATTAGATGAGTCTTCGGACTTCAAAAAAGCGTCGGAGATAATAAACTTGACCGAAAGACATTGCTAAAAGAATAAATGCTTCAAAACAGGACCACATAACAACACGAGAATTGGTATTCTCATTGACTAATAATAGAGAGAGAGAGTTAACATTATTTAAACGAGCTGCAAAACAAACGTACTAGAACGATGAATTCGGTCTCGAACTTCCATAAATTCTTGTTCGTGCTTAACGTTGGTTAACGTACCTGACAATTCAGCGATTAATTCTTCGAGTTTACTGTGACGAGCTAAAATTTTCAATGATATTTTTCACCAAGACACGGAAAATCACTTCATTCCATTTACCTGTTACATTATCACTGCCAGTTTCAGTCCCTAACTCAAGCTTAGGCTTATCAGCCACTTCCATCGAGAACATGATCGTTTTGGGTGTCATAGTGGACATTTTATTATTGAAACACAATGTATAATTGCCTGAACAACAAATTTTGAAAAACAAAACCTAGAAATTCTCATGAGAATTGAACTTACCATCCATATGAGCGGAAAATGTTGTCTTTCCACTAGACTCTCGTTCACCATGGTAAACTTCTTTCTGATCGGGTCCTGTGATCTACGAAATCTATGAACATGAATACATTTCGGAACAAATCGAATCTACTTTGACATCAATATCGAGAAAACCACCTTCGACAACTTCGAATGTCAGTAATAACTTGGTGCCAGATGTTAACTTTTCGAAGAAGCACTCTTCTGTATGTGCTTCAACAACGACATAATATCCGTAAGTCAATTTCAGGAAGAGAAGAATAATCCATGATAGAGTCAGAATTTTGTTCGCAATCATCGATGATTAATTATCGAAGAAAAAGAAAGTGTCAACTGAAGTGATCAGTAGCTGTTAACTATCAACGATTGATGAATAGAACAGGAAATTTATTGGGCCACTATCATCGATTTCGAACGACCAATCAAGTGTCTGCGAACTTTTTTCGTCATCGACTGATAACTATTGATTAAATCATCGTGCTTCTAAGGACATTTCGGTCGTAAAATGCGACAACTTCCTAGTCAACACTAAACTATCCATTTCTTAATGAAATTTGAATAGAAACAAATGAGTCATCGTGTGTACCAGCAATAACAGTATCGTTTTCGTGCAACATTCGATACTTGACACATGATAAGTTTACTGCGATTGATTCACGTTTTACGAGGATTTTAGACTGCAGAAAAAAACCATAAGGTGAGCAAAAGCATGTGACCAAAATGTCACATGTTTTTCATTTTCAAGTGGAAAAGCTATCGAAGCGCAAATTGATTTATTGCAGTTGTTTAGCCAATACTCTTAGATATTCATGTGTCATTCTTGAACTTTACCCGAAATTTAACTATTATATATATATAGACGCACGCCTAATATTACGCGCTTGATTAAACACAGCGGAAAAAAACACAAATGATCGAAACGTGATTTAATAATCTCTTTGCCAGCCGACTCTCATCGTACATCTTGCCAAGTTTCTCGATTCCGATTATAAGTACATTCAGGTTTCTCTAAATCCTAACTTTTCATAATCATATTAAAGTGATATTGACACGAATCCTTACAGGTAGGTATATATACATATTTATTTATTCTTGTTTTCGTTGTCGGGCAATGTCGTTGAAAAATAGTTCGAGATGGTAGTCTGCCTTTACATTAATTGAAGATGAAAATGACCATCATATGTTGGTCTTCAGACGTAGCCATGAGAATAAATTTCCTCCTCTATTCTGTTAATTCTTGATTGGTAATAGAATTCAGCCAATGATGATGATTTTGTTTTCTCCGGACAATCGAATAGATGAATGATCCTTTCGATTGATATTCATCCAGATCTCCAAGGTTATAAGATAATGATTATTTTGCCTATTCTAGATTCTTCTATTGTTTGAATGAAAAACAATGATTATTATTATCATTTGCGAATGAGCCAATATAATTATAAGAGAAAAAACACATAGACATCAGAGAAAAATTTTCGCTGTCTGTTTTTTTCTTCTCTCGACTTTTTTGTGTTTCTTTTACATTAAATGTGCACCTTTTCAAATGACAGGTAACTTTTCGTTTGTCTCGTTAATGTGTTGAAGAGAGGAAAAGAAAGACATTTACACCAGATGTGTCTGTTAAATAAACAAAAACATCAGTTGTCTATTGTTTTATTTCGATTTTTTATTTAGTTACTTATTAATCACTTTATCGAAAGATTTGCATTTTTTTCACTTATGATCGATTATTTCTCTTACTGAAAACAAACTAAATGTATGTATTCAATTCAAATCTTTTGATTATTTTACCTTTTCTTTCACGAATAGATTATGGCCGAAGGAGGCGATCTTCATCACGAAAGTCGAGCGAAGTGGCCGATTAGTGCTGATGACTATGAACTCGAAGAAATCATTGGTAAAGTGTATTTTGTTAATATGTACGTTCAGTTTTTCACATTCTTCATACGATTCAGGTCGTGGTGCTACGGCCCTTGTTCAAGCAGCAACGGTAAAGAAGACGAAAGAACGTGTAGCTGTTAAACGGATCAACCTTGACCGCTGTAATACATCTCTCGAAGAACTTTTGGTAAGCTCCAGTCAACATTAAGAATGTGCAAATCGATGGTTGGAACTGTCTTTTAGAAAGAAATACAAGTGATGAGTCAATGTCAGAATGAAAATGTCGTTCGATTTTACACGTCGTTTGTCGTTGGAGAAGAACTATGGTTGATTATGAAATTATTAGACGGAGGTAGATGCAAGATGGAAAATGAAAGAAATGATCTAGTGAGATGTTGTTCTAGGTTCATTACTCGATGTTATACGGTATACAATGCAGCGAGGAAACTGCCGAAATGGAGTCTTAGATGAAGTTGCTATTGCAACCGTTCTACGTGAGGTTATCAAAGGATTGGATTACTTTCATTCAAATGGTCACATTCATAGGTACGAACACACAAAAGAGTCTGCAAACAAGTTTTTGATTATTGATGATGTTCTTCTAGAGATATTAAAGCAGGAAATATTCTATTGGGTACCGATGGTAGTGTTCAAATAGCTGATTTCGGTGTTAGTGCGTTTATTGCCTCCGGTGGAGATATAACAAGAGATAAACAACGACATACGTTCGTTGGAACACCTTGTTGGTACGTAGCACGAATAGAATAATTTATACTAAAATAGTTTGCTATTTTTTATTCTAGGATGGCACCTGAAGTTATGGAGCAACAAGTAAGTTTTCTATTGATTTTCACTCCCGTTTTATTTAACAATTCGCTTTCTTTCGTTTTCAGCCGTCTGGTTATGGTGCGTTCAATTAGGGTGTATTCTTTTTTTCATATGCAATCTTCTTTTTTCTGTGTAATTAGATACAAAAGCAGATATATGGTCGTTCGGTATACTAGCTATTGAATTAGCAACTGGTACAGCACCCTATCATAAATATCCTCCAATGAAAGTGAGTCGTCGGTTTTCCCCCTTGTAATCTCTACTATATTCATCTCGGTATCTTCGTTCAGGTTTTAATAATGACTTTACAAAACGAACCGCCAACACTAGAAGTATGTGCAGAAGATCGTGATCAGTATAAGCAATACAGCAAAACTTTCAGGTGAGTGATCTTGTTTAACTCGTAATGAAAACGTTTGGTTGAAATTTATCGTAGTAAAATGATCGAACAGTGTCTGCAGAAGAATCCTGCTGATCGTCCAACAGCGAAACAATTACTAAAACATGATTTTTTCAAAAAAGCTAAAGATCGTTCGTATATTGCTAAACATTTAGCATTGAAGTTTCAAGATCGTAAGAAAATGGAAGAGAAAGCTGTTACTCGACGTAAACCAACATCGGTGCGCGCTGTTCGTATACGTGATAACGGAGAATGGAAATTTAGTAGTGAATCGGACGAAGAAGGTACAAGTGGAAATGAAGCACTGCCAGGTGATGATGCTGCTCAAAAACTAAAACAACTAGAAAATCAAACAGTCAAGAACATGAGTGATTTAATTGAAAAAAATGATTCCGCTGTTAAATCGGTAAAATGATAATGTCGGACATTTTCAATGTCTACAAAGAAGTGTTTAGAATCAGCCATCGAATGAACCTCCTACACAAACAGCAGTCGATGAAGTTACAGCTGGTGTGAAACATTTGTCGACTGAAAACAGCCAAGTACTCAAATTTACTTTGAGAATACGGTCAGTATATCCTGCCAATCATTGATTTCTATCCATAGAATCCAGTTATCATATGCTAAATACGAATGACTATAGAATATCAATTGATGAGTTGATTTTGAATGTAAATAGAAATCAAGATTTTTGCGTAGCGCGAAGAACAATTCGAACTAGTGTATTGATTCGATTGAATTATTTAGAAATTCCCAAGGCGATCTTCATGATATTAAATTTGAATTCAATAAAGCGACTGAAACAGTTCCAGATGTTGTGTCCGAAATGGTCTCAGCTCATTTAATCGATGAACGCGATGCTCAATCGGGTAGAGAGATCGTTTCATCTTCCTTCTTTCTTCACTTACATTTTCTTATTCTAGTCACGTCTACAATGACTCAACTTGTTGAAAATCCAGCACTTGCAACTGCTACATTTGCTCTCGTTAGTACAAATTGATTTTATTCAATACAATTCACATGACTATTACTTTTAGGCATCCTTTGTGGATCCAAATCAACCTCCAGACGATAAACTACTAATTGGCTTTGCTCAACTTTCATTGAACACTTGAGAAACACGGTGCTCTGTATCTTCGTGTGTGTGTGTGTGTGTGTGCGTGTGTTTGTAAAGCCAAGCTGTTTCTATTCATATCCATATTCAAGTGAAATATTATTTTACATGTTTCATGTCTGTTGATGAGGCGATTGTGTCCTCACTATCTCCTTTGTTCTTTCTAAACCATACTTGCTATTAATTAATGAACCAACTAAAAGAAAGAGAAGATTAATAATATGTATCACTTTTAACCATCAGTCAGCCTCGGCCAGCAGATAATTTCTACTCGAATCTCTCTGTATGTGCACGATTCGTTCTACATTATTCTGTCTTTTTTGTACAATATATATATGTGCGTTCGATTTGTTCTCTTCTACTATTACTACTACTACTATGATTATTATTAATACTTGTCTATGTGTAACGCGTTTATTTTTCACAAATGCTTGAACTTCTTCATTCTTCTTTGATTTATGTTCTATTTATATCAGCGGCAGTCACGAATAATTTCTTTTCTTCTTTCTCCCTCTCTTTGCTCGTTTAAAACCCATATTTCTCTTCAAGAATTAGAAAAACTAAAGATACAGATACAGAATACGTAATCATTTCTCAAGATTTATTTGGTCAAACTTGAAATGTTTGAAGTGATGGATTAGTTAATGTCGATGAAGCATCGCATGCTGGATTCGATGATTGTGTAAGAACACTTTCGGCCGGTTCGACTCGACCGACTGTTGTCGTTGGTGTCTGAGTATTAGTTCTCGGCAAATGTGATTCATACGATGGAGGAAGAGAAGGAGTAAGGAATAATCTTTCCGGTTGTTCGCGAGCAACATACGGCGGTGGTGGACTACGAAAACCACCAGCATAGTACGAGCGACGAAAATGATCACGATTACTAGAAGGTCCCCGGTGAACGTGTGTGGACGTTGATGATAATGATGCTCTGGAATTGACACTTGACCCATCCGAATCACCGGAATGTTTCTTATTTTGCCAGAGAATAATAACCGTTAACAATGAACATGGAATGCTGAGTAGCAGCGCTAGACATATACCTAATACCGGCCAAAACCATGTTGATTTGGTCAATGAACTATTGAGATCGGCTTGAAAACGGAAAAAAGATTCATGTTGTGCTCTAGACATAGGTTTTGAGTAACTTACGTATTTCAGCATGAATCAAAGTTGGATATACGAGCAGAATATTCAAGATTAAAACATAATTCATCGTATAGATATTTCTCGAATGCAACGGCCGAATCGTGTGTTATTCAATTCTTTTCTTTGTGTCGATATATAACGAAGCCTCGTGTATGTTTTGTGAAAGAGAAAAAGAGGAATCTTGTACAGCTTCTCAGTAATAGTTTTACCAGACGAATCGATCGCATAATATTGAATTCGAATAGTCATCAAATGGCAGAATTGCAAACTGGTAGACAGTCGTTAATGAATTTCAGTCGTAAATATGTTGGTACATTTCCGAGAAAGAATCGTCGAGTCGTTTTTTCTTTTATTAATCACATGTTTACGTGACAAAAGAACAAACGATGTAGAAAGAAAAAACAGTTTTTATTTTTAAGGTTATGAATCTTTCGAAGTAGTAGATATAAAAAGAAAAAGTTCAACCAAATGTTTGAATAAACGGTCTCGACAATGAATGTGATCGAAGAAGATTTAGAGAACAGGACGGTAGGTGAAATATCGATGGATATTGATTGGTACTTTCATTCACAAAATTCGTCGAAATATCTAACGGTGATAGTTCAAAATTGAACATCGTATTCTGTATGCCATGACTTGTATTCGTTCTCTCCGGATCATTCGTATTCCAATGACAAACCGATGCATAAGGACAATTTGAGGATGGGTTTAGTGTTTTCATTAAGGTTGAATGAGTTAGTGCACTCATGTGTACAGCCGTGAGAATCGATAGTGTTGAACCGAGTAAGACTAAACTTGTCAACGCAAGATATTCAAGAATTTGTGGAAGACATTGAATACATAAATTGTAAAATTTCATTGAGTCTTCGGTATCGATCTTGTCGACAGATTTGCGAAGTTTTCGTGCTATTTGACATTTGAATAACGTAAAAAATTGTTGAAATTCTTCGTCTGATATGTGTAAATCCCAATTCAACGCAGTTAAAACTTGTCTTTCAATAAAATTAATGCGTTCTGTACTTATGTTCGTCAGCTCAGCTAATTCCGAGTTGAACAGCTGTTCGTCTTCGCCTTCATCAACAAGATATTTACTAGCAAGTAATGTTGCTATTAAATACAATTCTTTCGTTGTTAAGTCATCGATTGTCGACAATATTGATGAACAATGAAGTGAACGTAAACGTTTCATATACAGAAGACTTAAAACAAAAACACACGGGGGAAGATTGCGACTCCTAGAAAAACAAATGATTACATCAGCATAGAACTTCGCTTTTAACCTACTTGCAAACGCTTAGTGCTAAGGCACAATCGAGATTGAGTAAGTGCTGTAATTGTTCTGTTGATCCATCTAGGAAAAACAACAGTATATAAAAAATGTATTCAAAGTTTTTCAGAGCCATGAGTATCCTAGGTTTATGTTGCATCCTCTGTCAAATTGTCAAGAAAATTGATAATTACCAAACTCAGATAGGATGATGTCATCAAGAACGAGATCGTAGTAAAGTGCACTTTGGTAATCGGTGTCTTTCTCACGAGAAATCTGAAATATTAAACAGTGATTTCATTGATAGTTGTTCATCGGATTGAAAAGACTTACCATGATAAGTAATCGTTGAATTAAAAGAATAATAACAATAACAAATCTGAAAGAGAACAAAAGAATCAGTGCCTGCCAGCGATCACTTGTGTACTATTCGTTTTTATTGATCTATACGAGAACAAGTACAAGTTTTATTGTTTTGAAGTAACTGAAGAGAAAATATAATGAATTCAAAAGTTGTTAATTTGAGTCTGATTAGGTTTGAACTGAATTTGATAAGCTCGAGCGAAAAGGAATGGAAATTTAATTAATTTCTTCGACTTGCTTCAAGTATACGTAGAATTTCAATAAATAAACGTGTAATATCAAGATAGATTTCGATAGCTGCCTGAATATACTCTTCTGGAGAAGTCTTGCGCATGATTTGTTGGGTGTCATATACCAAATAGAGGCTGAACAAAAGTGCGCCGCATGATGCCAACATGACTTCCATGAGTGGACTACGAACAAAGATTTGAATAAAACCAGCGGCGCAAAGAACGCATAAAAAGGCAAAGAGACCAGCGCCCATAAAAGTGAAATCTCGTTTTGTTTGAAATGTGTACATAGTTAAACCGAGAACAATCACAGCTGTGATGATAACAGCTTGAATAACTAAGATTTTGTCGAAAAACGAAACAATCGTTCCGATGGTGAACGATTCAAATAAAGTAAACAGCGCTAAGAGAGCAAAGTTCGCTGGATAGTCTAAACGTTTGACGTAAACAGCTAATAAAGTGACCATCGTTGCCAAGAAAATTAACATGAGAAAACCAGGATTATTTTGAAAAAATAGCTTTGTACTCTCGGATGATATCATTATTGCTGAGACAACAGCAACAAGACAGAGTTGAGCTGCAACAATACCATAGACCTTACGTAGAAATTCTAAAATCGAGATGATTATATCAATTCAACTGATCGAAGATGGGTAAATATCAATCTTACGCATGCGAATATATACATGGCATGAGGCAACATTGCTGCCATACATAAAGTCCTCTTCAATTGAGCTTTGTCTCACGTCAGCCATATTTGAACGAATGTAATCTTTACGTTTTTCTTAATCGTATGATTCACGATGAATAATGACGATTAATCTTGGAAATTTATTTGTTGATTGTTTTTTTCCTTGTAGAAGAACAGGACAAACGTTATGATAATATTTATTTACTTTCTTTAGTCATTGAGTTTCGTAACTTACATAGAAACCAATCGTATAACTGTGTACGATAGAGGGCGGCAGAAAGCGAAGTGTCCATATATTTGTATCTTTCATTGTGCCTTATGACTTAGAAAATGAAGACGATAAGCTGAAAACAGATATTCAAAGTAGTTTGTATCCATCTGAGTTCCAGTACTAATTATAGTTAAAATGTACTTTTTTTGACGACGATGTCTTCTATATTGTTACAATATTAGCTGGCAAGGCTAAAACGAAATTCGAAGATGAATATCTAACTAGAAAGACAAGTCTTGTGTGCAGCCGTATGATCTTGTATAATCAATAGATGTTTTATTAGAATACGATAATCACATGACATCGAAAAATATATAAATACGTTTTTCTTTATTACAAAAGTTCAGTTTATTGTTTATGCCGAACTTGACTGCTGGTCATTCATTGTTGCACACGGATTTTGAAATGAAGTTGGTATCGAATAGTTTCGTGGAACGTATGCTACATAATTAACAGTTCTTTGTGTCGTACTTGTTTGACGTGCTCGTGTGATAAGAATGAACGTAGTAATCAGTAAACAAAATACAATTACACAATGAACTATATTTGTGATCTGTAAGACTACTTGTTCACTTCGATCACAATAATCGGAGAAGTGTGAACAACCACCATGTGAGTCGTTTATAGTGTCCAAAACTGCAAGAACTTTGACAACTAGAGTAGCGATTGTAATCAATAGTTGGAAAAATACAAGGATAAATAAATTTGTTAACACATAAACTTGCTGACGGCTGAGTATGATGGTAAGAATACCCAGTGCTATCAAAAAAACTCCATATAACAAACCAGAGAACGGACTGTGAAGACAAAGAATGTGATGAGCGGAGATTTAACAATGTAGTTTATAAAACTTACAAATATGCGACGTCAATTATCAGCCGAATATCGATTGCGATAGCAACTATCGCCAGAATGATGTAGAAAACGCCAGCAACCGTGAGTTTGCTTGATGTGTATGGGTTTATGTCACTGAAAAGATGTTTCCATTGCTCTTCAGCGCTCGATCTTTGTGAAATTGAATGAGTGATTATCGGATCGGCATGCTGCGGTGCGTTGTAGCTTTGTGAGTACGAGTGCTGCATTTATTTTGGTGACGTGTTGTGCTGACACGAGAGAAAATAAAGCTTATTTTTGCTCATTGTTAATCTTACTTCTAGAAGACGTGACTTCGATGTTGGTAATTCAAAAAACAACTAGAAGATACTTCACATTATCTTATCAGTCGAAAGAAACAGACATTTTTTACACGTTATAAGATATGGCGATACAGCACATTTACTTTTTTCTAAATCTATTCGAGCATCAGTGGTCCGCCAGTGATCTTTGTTTGTATGATACAAATATTAATATAGTCATTTAAAGGTATTCCTCACAAAGATTTGAGAAGCAATATTGCAATAGTTAGTCAAGCTATAGATTCTTGTGTTGGACAAGCTGTCACTACAGTTGAGCAGAAACAAGAGAGTTTAGTCCGGACCATTCGATAGATCAGTTCCACGATTTCCACTATGGAGAAAAAGCTAATACCAATCCAAAGGCCAGTCTGTCCGCCAACATTAGAAATAACATCAACGAAACTGATTGTTGGCTGCTGTGCATATACTTCTGTTCGCGCTGATTCGTAGGCAATCATTAGCGAAACATAACTGGATCGTATTTCTGACATCCACGTTGTTGACCAATTGCTAGGTAATGGAATCGACGATTCTTCGACGAATTGTTTGATATCATGCATTAAATAAGATGGCGGCGCTAAGACAGAACTCGATTTGATCAAATACTGAGACACAAAACATTCTTGTGCACAGTCATTACAATAATTCGTCCGAATATCTTTTATATTCATAAGATCTTTTGCTACACGACGATAGCATGGATTGTCAACGTCACAGAGTGAGATATTTACTTTCTGATTTGTACCCGGTAAAATAATCGAACGAGTTGCCCAGCGTAAAGGATTTCCACAGCCACACCTTTCATAACTGAAACGAATCGTTCGCTAGGGCACCTACATTCACAGATGTCCAGATAATAAACTTACGTATAGGCCTGCAGGCAAGCGAAAAAGCAGGGAAGTTGCGAATATCCATAATCCGTATCATGATATTCTTCGAGCAGCGTTTGCAATCGAGCACTTGTCTTATTAGTACACGTTGTATAAGGTTTAGGCAAAAATGAACTGATCTTTTTCACATAACTTAATCGATGATGTTGTCCAGGTGCTAATTGTCTTGAAACTGCTTCAATGTTTGGCATCTGCCCATTGTCATGCACTGATACAACCATACCAATACCTGATTACGAAGTGTAACTGGAGGATATTTACTTTAAAAAAAAATCGCATTTTCATACTCACCATTAGATAAATACGGTACATATTGATGTTGATGCACATAGAATCGTAATTCAAATGAACCGAACGAACCGCTCTCACAGTTCTCCCTGACAGGCTTTTTCAGAGAAGGTTTCAGTTTGGCGTTAAATGTATAACAGAGGCCGTATTGTGATGACAGGAACCAGGTAAAATCAGCCACGGTGCACGGTACATGATTGTACATGCATGATATCATCATAGTGTCAAGAGAGTAGAAATAATCCATTATTGATTCATTTCGATTAACTTTATAAACTATAAATTTGCGAATAAATCGACCATGTTCTTTGGTGATTTCTGTCGCATTAGAAGTACTCGTTAAATTGAATGTATTCGTGTAGTTAAGAAATGGTTCAATAAATCGATCGTATCGCAGTGGAGAATAGTTGCAAACTGTAACTGCAGGAAATGCTTGAGGCCATTCGACGATAAATGAAACAGACGTTTGAGTTGGATATTGAAAATACGCATGAACTGCTTGGAAAATCAGAAATATCATGCAACCAAGACAGATCGATAGTGAAAGCGTTCGAAATACATTATTCGCAAAATTTTTGATATAAACACTGGCAGGTACATCTTCTATTGTTGTATTTAAGCGGACTCTGTCATTAGTTGTGCCGGATCGTTGAAGGTTTTGTTGAGATTTCATGGGAAAGGTAGTTGCAGGTTGATCACTCATTTCATGTTCCATATTGACTGCTTGTAATTCTTACTGCCGATTTCCCAGGTGTCTGGAGTGCCTATAAGTGTGAAAAAAAAGATCATTTTTCTACTAATCAAATAGCTTTAGCATGTGTGTTATTGTTACAAAGTACAAGAAAGTCGTATTGTATGTCTGAATATGACAGCGATCAGGACAATATTTTCCGAAATCGAGCGATAGGTCGTGACAGAAGATCTTTATAACAGGAAATTGTATTGTCATTTGTACTAATGATTGATTCACAAAACAAAAGAATAATAGTTGACATACTCAGAATGATGGCTAGTTTGCTAAACAAACTATTCAATTATTCATGAGTGTTTATACCTGGTGTGAATAAGATTAATGATTATTGCTCGTTTTGCAATTACTCTTCAAATAAACAAACTTCTAATTCTCGAATGAATGCTTGGTTTTCTAACTAAATAGGACTATCTCTCGTCATATATGTATATATCGTTTCATATTGCGTTGCATCGCATTTGCGCATACATGTTCGGCATTAATAGAAATATCTGGATCTCTGGGGATAGTAATGTTTTCAATACTAACAATGGTACTATAATTACAGTGCAATATTCTTTATCATCATGTTTACCTTATTCTCAAGAAGATAAATGTTGTTTTTCTTGATCTGTCAAGTATTCTTTGTTTAACTGACTTGGAAATGTACTCAATTAGATAATACAGATAGATAAGAATTTGATGTCATCACCGCGTTGATAAAAACAGTTTTTAGGATAAAGAACGATGACTAACGCCATCTAAGCATGAATTTCTTGCAGCCAAGCAAATCTTGTTTTTGTATAAAAGCAAACAAGATGAAGGCGCAGAAAAGAAAAGAAAAGAAAAGAAAATACTCGATCCTTCTATCTATCTGCTGACTTTTTAAAAAAATGTTTTTATTGGTCGATATTTTATATTTATCGAGGAAAAAGAGAAAAACAAGCCTACATCGCACCATACCTCTCTTTTCTTTTGCACTCATTTCATCGGATCATCAGCATAACCACTAACGGTGTGACATAGCAGTGCAATATAGGACAGCATTAGCCGAAGTAGAACAATACCAATAAAAGAATGTGTTTCTCCATGGAAATGTCTGCTGCTTTCGCAGCCATAGGTCTTTTTGCATCCTGGTGGATTTGGTCGAAAACATCGAATACCCAACTCGCCAGTGGTGTTTTCTTCTTTTTCACAATGGAATTGCTACAAGCTATTCAATATTTCTTTATTGCACCAAATATCGATTCACCTATTTGCGACACAATTGTGAATCAAGTCTTAACAATTGCTGGATTTTTACATATCTGCTTACAACCATACTTCTGCCATGTTATCAATGCCTCTTTGACCAAAAATGCAAAATACATTGACCGTTACTTAATTATCAAACGCTTATGTTTAATTGGTAAAAATTTTCTTTCCTTCGAATCTAGATGAACACTTCTTCACGTACGTTTTTATCAATTTCAGGTGGTTTCATGCTATTTGGCCGATATTTGTTATCCTATCAATGGCCACAAACAATGAATGGTCCATCAACGGAATGGCTACGTGGTTCGAAATTATGCACATACCGAGGTATGAAATGAACTCGAACTGTTTTGATATGATGAATCCGGGCTCGTTTTTCGTAGGAAAATACCATCTTGCATGGTCGGTACCCATGGCTGATCCGACATATGTCATTCCTGGGGCAGCCATTCACTCATTTCTTATGTTCGCACCATTTTTTGCTTTATATGAAAAGAAAGGAATGGTCATTCAAGGTATCTTCTTATTTGTTTTTGGACCTTATTTGGCCGGTTTAATTACACCAAACTTGATGGAACAAGCATCCATTTGGTGCTTCTTCTCCATTGCCCAAATTTCGATCATGTTGTTCTGTATTCGTGAATCCTTAATTATCAACTGGGGACGAAACAAGAGCGGCCATACATCACTGATCAGTGGCAAGAAAAATCAAACTGTTCAACAGAAAGGTGTACAAGATGAAGATGTCGCTGTATACGACAAAAAACAAAGAAAATTGGCTTAGATTCCACCTTTTCCTAACGTATTTTTTTCTCTCGGTATATTATACGTCAAAAGAATCCTAGATATCAAAATAAAAGCCTTTAGAAGAACAAATCGAATTTGTTCGAAAGAAATTTCTTAGACTTATTACACCATTTATTCATGAAGTAGAGGAAAAACGAACAGAAATCAGAAGAATGATTGTGTCACAATTTTTGACTGTCCAAGTATTGTTTCATTTCTCGTAAATCAAAATGTTCATTTAGAGTCTCATTAAGTTGGCTCATTGATTCTTCCATTGACATATAAACATCATCGTACTCATCAATATCATTGATTAACTCAAGATGAAGCGCCGATATGTCATTTCTTAATTCTTTGAATTCCAATGCGTGTGTTGTTGACGATAAACCTACACGGGGATCTTTGTAGTAGAGTAAAAAGCGTTTGACAACACGTTCGATGACTAATTTATAAGTCAATTTTTTATTTGAATTAAATGATTGTTGTCGATTGAAAATTCCCTGGTGAATGAACGTCTCCGACGGGCGACGGTTTTGTCTGAGATTCTTCTTGAATTTCGCTGCATAATCTTTAGGATTAGTCATTGGTAATACTGGTTTCTCATTAAACGAGAACGTTTTTGTGCTAATCATTTGTCGAATACGATTTATATAATTCATAATTGTCGTCGGTGTTGGCAAAATGTTCAATGGTACCGGTAGAGAATACCCTAGGATTAGAAAGTGACTATTTCTTCGATAAAATTTGACTCTTTACCAGCTCGAATGTATTCAATGTAAAGTTTTGAACGAGCATATTTCCATTCGATGTCAGCACGGTCATCGATATCTTCGATAGTTCCTTCTAACATGGCAATCAATGTGTTAATTAAAACAGTCACACATGTAAACGAAAATAAACCATATATGAAAAAGCCAAGATTGGATGTAAACACATCGTAGTCGGGTGAATAACCGCTAGGATCCGCTTGATAACACGAAGTTGTCTGTAGTTCATAGCCGCGATTCTAACACGAGGGATTAAGTAAACAAAAGAAGTTTCTAGGACTACTTACAGATGAACCATCGCCAATTACTCCAAACAATGAGAAAAATGTGGTCAATAATGTTGATGAAAATGACTGACCAAAATAACTGATACCCGGATATGAATCTATATCTTGACAGAAACCATTACTACTATCATCATCTGTATTCTGCACAGTAACCATTATCAATGGAATAGATTGGTTGACCAGTTCATAGAAATATTGTGGACATTGCGCTTGACTGAGCGATGTTATGTTAGAAAGAATAATCGATGAAGTAACATTTGATATTGCCTGGATCAAATTGTTCTGTTGTTGAAGAACCACTGCAAAATAAGAAAAGATTAAATATAATGCACATGCAAACGATGTGAAAAGTATGACAATAATAAGTATCCATTTGGAGATATCGATCATCATGTAATCCAGCATGACCTAAAGTCGAAATCATTATTTATTGGAGGTTATTTCGATGATTTTACTTGTAAAGGCCCGACAAATGGAATAACGGGCAACAGAAAACACATTCGACATATACTAGCCACATTTCCCATTGCAAAAAACGCCTCGGCTAAGTTTTGTAGATCGCCACTCTTCCAGTAGAACCGATCTGCATTTAACCAGTATAGAACATGTCGAGTTTGAGATATGATGTACTCTTTTTCGACATTTGTCAGTGTATTATAATGAACAAGTCGATCCCAATAAGCATCGGATTGAAACGTATTCATCGCCAGACGAGTGTAGATTATTGATGAATAGAGAAAGATGAAGTAGAATAGATAGAGAAGATTCATAGAGCAATCGACATAATTACCTGAAGAAACAGAGAGACAATTCGATTAAAGCACTCCGATTCTTCACCTACTGGGAACCTTTAAGTAAACATGCAATCCTACAGTGACTATTTGCTTAAATTCACTGCAAGAAAATCCAATGACCCATATCGATGTAATAATATGAAAAGCATTTGGTATTAGAGGACGAAGACTTAGATCACAAGCGATGACCGAAGAAATTGTATAATTATTTGCATTATTATCCAGTCCAATAATACGATTTCTTAACTGAACATTTTTATAGATCAATCGAATGTAATTCATGTAAATTTTCAGATCGTGATCGGAGAGAAATTTTGTTTGTTCAAGATAACTGGCCGATACAGAACTTGATGCTATAATTAAGGCAATAAATATCAGATAGGATGCAATGTACGCTTTGAATTTCAGATTGGGTTGTTGACACTGCAATAAACGATCATCAGTTGCAAAGATTACTGAAACGACAACATGATTAGACATACCAGTGAACCCATTTTCGAATTTGGAAAGAAGTAATGAGCAATGGCCAGAAATGGAAAACATATCAGGTAAGTAAGATAGAAAACAACTCGTTTAAAAAAATTAGTATTCTGAGAAATAGGTAAATGTGCGTACCAATGATCACTGAGCTTTTGTTGACAGCTCGAATGCGATACAAATGGTTTCTCTTTGTACTGAATAGCAAGATCAAATCGTGCAAGATTTTCGTATTTTTCTTCATTAGGTAAACCAGTTTTGTTTAAGATCATTTCTAATTCTTCGTATCCTCGAACATTGTCGAGTAATCGTGCTGTAAAGATCGACAATTGTGCAGCTAGTTTTCTATACTCAGCCGCATAATAACGTTCGGTTTTTGCAAGTTTCCGTAGTTCGTGACCCAACTGAAATGCTTGTAAAATTGGATCAGGATAAAGTAGTGCAATATAAACTTCCGATGCTAGGCCACGATATGCTGATAGGCGATTTTGTGCTTGTCGAAATGGATCTGTCTGGGACTCTCCAATACATTCAGTACAAATACAGGTGTTATGATGAGGCTTTTTTATGCGTTCACCATGGGCTAATAAGTAGTGAACAATAGGTAGACGATTGAATTGTGCAGCGAGAATAAGTGGAGCTAAGGAATGATTATATGTAGATGTTATTTCAGAGAAAGATAGATATATGACGGTGCTTTTCTATTGACTTACTTACGTCTGAACTGAATTGTGAGTCGTCATGTGCTTTGGGATCAGTTGGATCAAGAAATCCACCTACAAAGGTTTGATAGATTGGATGTTTTAAAATTAAATTTGCGATATTTGTATGATCTAAATAAATTGCCGACAGAAGTGCATCGCGATATTGTTCGTAAGGAATTCGGTCGAGAAGAATTTTCACAACTTCATAGTGTTCATTTTCAATTGCTAATTGAAGAACACTTTTGCCCATCTTATTCATAACATCAGCTTTAACTTCGCCTTCTTCTAATAGTTTATAAACCAGTACATAATTTCCGTTTGAACAAGCAAAGATAAACAGATCTGTTAGATCTTCAAAGGTTCGATTTCGATAGGTATATGTGGTTGTTGAGGATGAAGTCGTTAGTTTTTGATACGCACTATGTCGACGACGCTGTGCCATGTTGTTTTTATTTTCAAAAAATAGCTAATATTTCAAGAAGATCTTGTATTAAATAGCTCGAAGATTACTGATCATCAACTAGCGGCAAATAGCGTGTGAACATGTGAGATTATCCCGAGTTTAGAGCTCACGCGCACGTTCTTTCCTGATTTTTTGCATCAGATGCTGACAATAAACCCTAGGAATGCCGTAAATACTTTTATAACTTCTTTATCATTGGGAAAAGTATGATTACAACAGCAATTTTTCTACGCGTGTCCATTCAAACCAAAGAAAATAGTTGAAACATGACTTTTTAACATTTGATTCTCCTCCTGAATCATTTGTAGTTCATCGAGAACGTGATATCGTATATCCGATAATTGCTGCTGATATTCCATACGCCGTGTACGTTTTGATGACTGAGTATCGAACGGATAAGATTCAGCAAGATAACGTAGAACAACACAATCCATGATCTCTTCACTAGTCGGCTTCTTATGGCAATTATATTCATGTGGAATATAATTTAAGCTTCGTAAATAAGTTTCTTGTGTACGTGTTGTTTGCTTCGTTATTCTTGACGAAGATTTCTTTCGAAATAATGTTAGTAGATGCTTCGGTGTTGGAACGAGATTCAATGGAACAGGAAGAATATCCGGATCTTTGGAAATATACTTCATGTATAATTTTGCACGAGCAAACTTCCATCTGTTCAATGCTTGCTGTTTAGTTAAGCTATAGAGACGTTTGATATACGCAATAATCATCGTGATAAGAACAATACGGGTACCAAATGCTAATGACCCGTAGAGAAATGAACCGACGGTTGATGTGAAAGTATTTAACAGATAATAATCATGTGTATGATTCATAGACGACATCAAATCATCGTTCGTTTGATTTGCGTAGCTCTGAGTCAATTCATTTTGAACAACGCCAAACAATGTGTAGAAAACATTGATGATTGAACGTTTTTGATCACCGAAACTTGTTACAATTCGTGCGATTTTCCGATTGGTATCAGAGATATTCAGAAGAACATATCGGTATTCTTCTTCGTGAGAATAATAAGAAAATAAATGTAGGAATGACGTTTGATAAGCAACGAGGAAAATAAAGATGAATATAAACCAACGATATATAATCTTACTCGTGATGATTAGAAAATTTAGTAGAGGACCGAAGTAGTCACTAATTAATAAGAAAAAGCATAGATGAACAATGGAAAAAACGAGTATCAGTGTGAATACAACATCTGCAAGAATTCTGATATCGTTTCGTTCGATATGCTCCTTGATGTCTTTGTATATGACAAAACTGTTTTCATACCGAGATTTGATTTGTCTATATTCATCGGATAACTCACTTGCTGAAAAAGAAAACAACAGTTTCATTGTCTCGAAGAAAGACTAATGCATCATACCATTGTGTAAACGTCCGAAATGTTTCCATCGGTTGATATCAAGAATGAATTTCCATTCGAGATGGCTCTGGATTGCAGCGATTGTAAATAGCAAAACGTATAGAGTAAACAAGATCGTTATTGATAGGTCCATAAGTCCCAACCGTCGTCGTGTACAAATTATCGTACTAATGTTTTCTTGAACATAACCAAGCATCCAGAGGAGAAGAAGAATTTCTAACGGTGTAATTATAGTTCGTTTACAAAACAAGCTTTGTTTATCCATTTCTAATAAGCGTTGATAATACAAAGCAATCTGCGGATACTCATCTTCCAGTAGAGTTTTATAAGACTTGAATATACTGGAAAAGATTAACATTAAAAGAAACGACTGATAAGTGATTGAATGTAATAACATTTGAATGACTGCTTGTTGAAAATACCATCGGCATCGACGTTCGAAATGAAATGGAAACCAAAAGTAAGCGATGTACATTGGAATGTATATGATGAAGTAATAGAGCGACACTAAAATTCGTTTTTGCAATGTCCCTGATCGAATCCGTTCGATGTTATAATACCATAGCTCAGTTAAACGTTGTTGTGTGGTAGTATGTGTAATGAATTCTTGTTGGTTATGTTCAATAGCAGCATTTAATCGTTCGCTGGTTAACAACAATTCGAGCTCTGTTTGATTTCGAATATGATCAAGCAGATGTGTAGTAAAAGTCGACACTTGATTGAATAGACTCGAATATTCACTTCGAAAATGAGCTTCACTTTTGATCAGCTCCGAAAGATCGTTGCTTAGATCAAATGCCCTAGTGATAGGATCCTTCGATGCTAATGCAAGATACACAGCCGATGAAAGACCGCGATACGTAGAAAGACGCAATTGCGAGTGACGTAGACTATCACTGGAGCCAGCTGATTTACATTCATTACAGGTGCATTCGATATTATGGGGAACTTCAATACGTTCACCTGAAGCAAAAGCGAAACGAAAGAAGACTCCTTCGAAAACAGATATTGTTTATTTACCTCGCTTCAGAAAGTCGTATAGAATTGCCGTTCGATTGTACTGAGCTGCTAACTGAATTGGCCGTACAGCTGCAAAATGGGACTCGTCATAGGTCGCTACTGTATCCGTTTGCCAATCAGCAAATGTTCCGTAAAAGCATTTAAAAGTGTCATGCTCCATAATAATTTGCGCGATTTTAGTCGAATCGAGATAAATGGCGAGAAGAAGCACTTCGCGAAAATCACTATACGGCAAATGATCGAGTAATATTTGGATTACTGCTAGATGGTTGTGCTCAATAGCAACAAGGATCGGTGAGAGTCGTTGATCATCTTTTGTTGTCGAAATATCCGCATGGTTAATACTACCATTTTTCAGGAGACGTTCGACAGAAAGATAATCGCCATGAGAGCAAGCAAAGAAGAACTCATCATAGACATCTTCGAATGATTTTTGCATCAATGATGGGATCTTCATGATTGTGAATAGATTAACACCATTATTGACTAGGTTTTTATATATTTATCAATGAAATGATAACAGTGTATGATCTTTTATATAGAACAAGAAACAGAACATCACGTTTTTGTTATTTTTCTATCGGAGACTATATAGACAAGTCGAATGACTGATTTACAGTATAATTAGTTGTATGAAAGAAACAATTCCAGAGACTTTGTCATGCCTATATCCATGTTATTCCAGGTATCGACATTGAGAAAATGAGTCTCGAACTAATGTCAATATTACATCCTACGTTTTGACACTGGGCTATTCAGATAGCATTTGTCAATGTTCTCATTTTCCCGTAAGCATGTACGTTTATAGTTTGAGTAAATAAAATGCCAGTACTCGTATTTGATTACTAATTCAAATCTAAAACACAACCAGGAACAAATCCTAGTCATTTTGGTTTTTCGTGTGCAACTATTTCAAATGATAAAGAAAACGAACGACGTAATAGAAAGCAATGCTGCTGTTTGAATATTTGTTATATAAAAGAGTCAATAAGGCGAAGAGCATCCCTGTTTCCTTTTTTTTTCTTCTCAAACGATCGTAAAGTATGATTGTTTAGATAATATAATTCAATTGCGTCTTTGGCAAAAGTACAACTGAGAAATGCAATTGCTCGAATAGTTTATGTGATGGGTGTGTCAGTTGACGTCTCTCTTGTAAATCGTAATGTGAAGCTAAAGTGCGTAAGAGCAAAGTTTTAGTTAAAGGGGGTGTGTACCCGTGCGAATATTCGAGAGAGAAAGAACGAAACAAATGACGAAAGAAAAATGTTTACTGAATCGCTCTAACAACGATGAATCTACGATTAGCTACACTTTGTTTGATGTTTATGGATACGAAACAACAGAGTAAAGGAACGCGATTCGTACGATTCGTTTTCTTTTATGAGAAACTTGGATATCTGATAACGTGACATCAGGCTAAAGTTTATCAGAAGATAAGTTTGGTGATTTATTTGAGAAGCAGTCATTCTTTGATTATCAGTGTTGATTTATCTCTAAAAATAAGTCCTAATTCATTGGATCATCTGCAATTTTCTCTCAGTATTCACCAACTGAAAAGTACGCAAAACGATATGCATAGTTTTAGGATTGAAGACAAGGAATACATATGCTTGACACCTACGCGATATGTCCATATATCGGCTCATATGACGACAATGTAAGTGGTACGATAAAATTGAGTAAATATTCGAAAATACAAAACCAATGGCGTTATTTGTTTTTTTTTATTTGTTGTTCTTAATAAAATGAGCAAATGAGAATTGCCCATTGAATCAGGACGCTGATACACCGACGTCACTACTAGGTAAAGACAACGGAGTATATTCGTTTGTCTTTCTGTCACTAAACCGACTGATACAGCCATTGAAATGTAAAAGTGAACTGTTGATATTCACCGAGCAATGATTTATCAGATGTCCTTTGTGACTCATGAAAAATTAAGCTGGTATTAGATGAGTGTGACCTTGTGGATGTAAGTGGGCTTTGTTCAGCTCACATGATATCAGAAGAACGTGACACTATCGAGCCGTGATTATTCATCTCGGTTTTTTTTATCGTTCGACGCAATATTCAAATCAAAAGAGTCATTTGAAAAATAACAAAAAAAAAATTGATACCGAGTTCTACAGATCAATGCATCGTCATGATGAAATAGAGAACTTTCGATTGATTCGTTAATGGTAATGACGAGACAGAATATTCGACAGCGGAAAGAAAGAGAAAAAAATCAATATACTACACCACCGTGTGTGTCAGTCTGAATAGTTTAACACAAAGAACGTTCTTGTCATTTTCTTTTCTTCCTCCACCAAATACACTCTCTGACGAACGATCGACATGATGATATTCAACTGAATTTTTTTATATGTTTAATTTCTTTCTTTCTCTCTTTCGCCTTTTTTGGCTCTAGTCCATTATCTCTACCGATTGATATAAAATGTGGAGAAAGAAAGAGAGAGAATTAGAGAAAAATCAACCAATAAGTGAATATTTTTTCGACACACCCCCTGGTATTCTTCTCTCTCTTTTTTCAACCATTTCGTCATACGCGATGATGTCTCTCAAAACGATGATATTATAAATATCGACGATGTCGAACCATTTCACTACATATTTCAAAGAAAAGCTAGAACACTTTAAATTAGATTACTGTCATCAGAAACTATTTCATCTTCTTCAATGGATCTATTTAGTAAGTAGCACTTGATTTGCTTCACCTATTTCTAACTTTTGTTTACTTTCATTTTCAGGTGCATTGAACAATATACAGAATCATTTCTTCAACTTCAAGGTTGTTCAACTACCGAAAAGAAAACAATTCACCTTGAAGGAAGTCTCGGCACATTGTACAGAGAATGACTGTTGGATGGTGATCAAAGATCTCGTCTACGATGTCACGGAATTCATGCGAGAGGTATGCATCTATCATCCAAAGAACTCGATCATGATTTACATTGTTTTAGCATCCCGGCGGTTCTGATATCATGCTCGAGTATGCTGGAACGGATGCAACGATGGCATTTGCTGATAAACCACATAGTCTAGATGCATGGATTATCTTAGAAAAATATATCATTGGCGAATTGGTACCAGAAGAGAGGATGTTTGATAACAAAGCTTCATCTTAATACTTCTTTTTCTCTCATTTTCGGTACCTTGTAAAGTGAATTTCTGTATCACATCTGTGTATATAATGTACAGATGATTGTATATATTTCTGTAGGTGGATATGTTTTATTCTTTGTTTCTCTTTCTCCAGTAGAACATTTCTTTTTTTTTATACTGTCATGATATATCGCTTATTGAAAATATAATATAGACTATAAAATGCATAAAATTTGAAAATATTAATGCGGCCATCTGTCACCAGAAGTTTAGCTCCGTTTCGTCTGAGAACGATGTGATACGATACTTCTCTTTTCTACTATGCAAATAATCTTTCAAGTTTCTTTAGGACATAAACTTGCCATTTTGTTAATTTTTTTTTACATAGCGTGAGAAAAAAGACATCGATGTCAAATATGTTTCTTTTTTTCGCTTAAAAATATCGATCGTTAATTAATAGAAAGGAAGAAGAATCAAGATTCCAGCGGTGGTAACGTATTCACATAAGGATCTTGTCCGAGTGATGTTGGCCAACGTACGCCGAATGAATGTTTCGGTGCTGAATGTTTATTTGATAAAAATCTTCTTGAGTCATGGGCGCCGGGGCCGGGTATCTTATCTAGATGATACACTCAGTCAAAAAGACATGAATCAAACATAAAGCGAAGCTACCTTTGATTTGTATAGCAGCTATTTGCGTACCACCGGTACGTGATTTTAGTGTGGTAAAGGTATTCGTTGCCGTTAATCTATGAAAAGCTGATATCGTGTTGTACGTATCCGGACTAGGATTGTTTTCTGCAACTAATATTGGATTTGTATGAAGACGTGCAGCAAGAGACCAAGCAGGAAATGTAACTTTTGATGTTTGATTACCCAGAGAGGGTTTCGCTTGGTAGTGAAAGGGCGATGGCCATGCGGTTTCTCGATCAAAGTCAACTTTTGTTGTGTATGGATCCGTATGTGCAAACCATTGTTTTTGCCACCCAGTACGTGCGCCACCGTCTGAAGTTTAAAGAAAGAATGTTTCGACCGGAAAAATCTTTTGCTGAATTATACTCTTTTCAACTAAACATCGTGAGCCGAATGTATAGGCGGGCGCATTCTTTTCTCGATAAGGTCTCCGTGGTAGGACATATGAACATGGAGATGGACTTCCACTATCCTCAATATACTGAGAAACGCACTGCCCAGTTACTGGATGTGACGACTGCGTCTTTTCTCTAAATTCATGGCAAGAGAAAATTTTTTTGCTTTTTCTTGCTCAATGGCAATTAAATACTTATATCGAATTGAAATATCAGTCGCAACGGTATGTGGCGTGTATCCGCGTGGTGAATTCAAATTATGTGGCGTGGTTTGTAATCGTTTTTGCTCTATTTGGGAGAAAGTTATTGGATAATATCATTGTAAGATTTTCTCATGCAAACCTTGACTGTTCTCTGGTTCGAAGTCTTCTGTACGACCGAGTTCGATTTGAAATCCATCGGAATCATCGAATTCAGGTTTCGTAACGGGCGGTTTTAGCACTGGTCGTTGCCGTTTCAATGCTAAACGTGCTGGCACCAACAAACCTTTGTCTTTAAGTGAAGTCGTCGAGATTTTCCGAAGTTTTGGTTCGTTGGTTGCTGTATGATGAGCAAAATCATTCAAAGACGATCTGGTCGAATTATCATGCGTATTTGTTACTGCTGGAACAATAGTTTTAATCGTTACTTTGGCCATAGTGGCATCAATGATTCGTTGTGTTGAAAACTGATGTGACTGCTGCTGTGCTCATTCCATTTGATTTCACGTATTTTTGTATAGAAATGTGAAGTAACTTAAACATGTGATTTCACTTTTTTACTTCTAGCAAGCAGAGAAAGTAATTTGAAATTTGTCTTCTGTTTTTCTTCTGAAAACTGCCAGGTGAAACTCGTCTTGCTCTCTTTAGAAGTGTTGATTGTGTTGCACGCTCACATACAAATACAAACGAACATTTTTAACTAGTAAACTAACAGAATGACTGACTGAAAAGACACTGAATAAACACACTCGTCTGCTATTAAATGTCAGAGAAGAAAAATATATTTTTACATTGAGAACATATAAAAAAAAATAGGTGGCGGATCTATCGAATTGATCAGTAGATGTGTTGCAGAACTTGCAAGTTTCTTTTGAACTTGACTCATGATTGGACTTGGAGAAAATACAATTAGATGCACCAGAGTCGTATGTAAATGCTACATATGAGATGTGTCATGATTTAATGGATGAAAAACAAAGAAAAACTGTATGAAACAGATGTGCTATTCTGTTGAAGTCATATTAGCGAATCAGATGTACAGAACTGATTTGTTTTAAATAGGAGATATTCAATTCGGAGTGTTTTGCTTCAAGATATGTTAATGAAAACCTAGATATTCGAATGTGTTACAAAAATATCTGTTCTGTTAACTATTGTTTTAGCCTTGATATAAATGAATTCAAATGATTGCCTTTTGGAAGATTCTATCAATAGCTTAGAACGTATTGCAGAGTGTGTACTATGAATAGAGCTGGTAAGATGTATCAAAACGTAATTCTGTGCTTTGCAAGAGAACAGCGATACACATACACACAGCATGCAACGAAATATCATTGAGAGACAGAACAGAGAGCAAATCAAATAATTATCATTAAATGTGCAAAAATAAAATAAAAATTTATACAATCTATATTATCAGTATGAGATTGATGTTTGCTTCTCGGAATCGCTGTGTATTCAACTGCTTATTTCTCGACAATCCAAGACCATTCGTCGGAATCTATCTGCAGAATTTACTCGTGTCGTTGATGTTTCCGATGGTTTAGTTGATTTCGTAGACGTGGTTGTCGCCGATAGAAGTGGATATTTCTTTAGTAAATCTTGTTGTTTAATAGAACCCAAAGGTACTAAGACAGGTGAATCAGTTTTGATTTTTGATGGAGCTTTTCGATCGATTGCTAAGCGAGGCTTAGTTGGACCGATGGGATCCGCGGCATATGCACGTAAAGGTCCACTAGAACGCATTTCCTTTGTTGAAACGCTATCGATCGATAACCGGGAACTTGTCGTTGAACTAGTAGATGAACGGCGACTAGAGTTATCTTGTAAGGAGGTTTGCCTAGATGTGGGATTACATGTCATTCGACGAAATAAATATGAATTCAATTCTACCTTTGTAAAGTTTTCGCCGGTTCAGGAGAAATTCGTACATCAGCAGTCTTAAATACTTCTTTCTCAAGTCGATTACGTTCATCTTTGAGTTCTAAGTTACAAATATGTTGTACTTTCAATCTTAAAAGACGCGTAGATGTGATCCTACCTCCAAGAGTTGGTTCTCTGAGGAGACCTCTGGTTTTCGAACGATAATCCGCTTCTTCTTCTAATTTTTGCTATAATGAAACAAGATAAGTTACCTAGATCAATATATACATCTTACATGTAAATATGTCACGTGGAATTCAAGTGTTTTAATATCATCTCGAATAGCTTGTCGTAAATGTTCGATCATATCATCGAGAGTAAAATCTCCCAATTTATTCCGAACGGTATCAACATCGACAGACGAAACTATTCGCGGTGAAAGTGGATTGGCAGTTTGTGTTTCATCAATATTAGCCGCTGGTTCAGGAATAAGCAAGACAGGTGTTTCTCGTCCTTGACGATCTCGTGCAGATACAGGTCGTTCACGAATACGACGTTCATCGTCACCAGTACCGGTGACCAGCGCATAATTAATCGCGTTCCAGTTATGTCCACCCGATAGACGACGTCGAAGGATTTGATCATTATTTGCACATTGTTCATGAATATGTTTAACGAAAAACTCGATTTCAGTTGTCAGTCGTTCACGTAACACCGGCGGCTCAGCTAGAGTGGGTAGAGTTGGATCGATACATGGCGCGATTGTTTCATTCCTAAATTACCGAATTAACTCAAACATGAACTTATACGAAATTTCATCGAGAAAAATACCGATAATCTCGCCAAATTTCAAGCAAACTGTCAATTTCCCCTTCAATTTCTTCGCATTGTTCGATCAACGCTTGACCCAAGTACAACTTTACAAAATCACATTCAGCAGAACTCAAACTAGTTAATAGACTCTTCCACGTCGATATCGGTTTATCATATGGAACAAAGACGGAAGAATCCATCACAACGAATAAAAATCTAAATCAAAATACACAAGTTCTTTTTTTTAGCTCGAAGCATTGTTATATTATTTAAAGTTCTAGAAAAGAAAGACGACATCCTCATTGTCCAAGTCTCTTCACAACACCTCCGAGAGTTTCCTCCTTCACAGAGGTCGCTTTTCCATATGCCTAAAAGAATTTTTTGTCACTCTTCACTAAATAATCAACCATCTGTGCCTGTGATCCAAGTAGAACATGATTTGCATCTGAACACATTTTTCGACGTGCTTTATCGATAATTTCATGGCACATTTTCGGATGATAGTAATGTTTTAAACCAGGCTCTACCGCCCGGAAAATGGTACAATTCGTTGATGCTCGACTAAAGCGTTGAAATAAATCGACATCTTCGTATCCCCATTCTTGATTGTTCGTTTGCCAGCCACCAATTCGATCTAGATCTTGTTTACGTACAGCAACATTTCCATAACCATAGATGGAAAAGCTACCCATTCCCGAAACAATGTCAGAGCTTGATCGATTATTGACAGTGAACTTATTCGAGAATAATGAAAATATGATGGGAAAGTAGACGAAACACGGTGAAATAGCTAATTGATGGAGCATCAAACGACGAGTGTTATCCAAAGCTTGGCCCGTGAAAACGAGATCGACATCGAGGAAAAATAATATTTCTCTATCGGTGAATAATTTCGAGGCTAATTGACGTCCGAGTCCACGATTGTAAGATGTTTGATTCCGATCGACTAGCGATATTCTCACAATCGAAGAATATCGACTGCTGAACTGGCGGATATGTTGAGGAACGAATTGGTTTTGTGAAGCAAAATAAAGTATACTCAGAGTAAATTGATTGCAACGAATAGGATGGTCCAGTACTTCGTGTTTGAAATGTTCTAGAAATCGAAATAATATCGGATCTTTGTTACTGGAGACAACAATGAGGTTCAACAGATGAGCATTTTCATCGTTTTCTTCAATAGAAATTTCTCGATAATCGAGATGACGTTTGCTCACAAATGCGTGTCGAAGATGAAATCGTTTTCGAATCAGCAGATTTTGAAGAAACGATGGAAGATTCAGACGTATATTCAATAGGATTTCAATAGTTGCTTCTAAACAATATGATGGTATGACCCGATGGTAGCCGAATAGAAATTGACCGGATATTATTGACCAATTGAACGAACGTTGGTGCCAAACCAATCTGACTCTTTCAACATAGGATTTGACTATTTTCTGTATGTAGGATCTCCACCTGATATCCATTAGTTGATAATGGGCATCGCGAACAAGATCAAATTCCATCGTTGTTGTAAATGTCACATAGTCTTTCTGTTCAATCGGTAGCTTCTTGTGCAAACGCACTTGTTGGTCTCGTTTCTTTCGAAGATAAAACGCGAATATCTGGTAGAATATCTGTTGATCTTTAATCGGATGTATAGTCAATGCTCGTGAAAGAATCGTCGGTGTTAAATCAGACGCAAAAGAATATCGAGGACCGTGATGATGGTAGAAGAAGTCTTTGGCATCGTATGCATTCGTACAGTTGATATGAAGGTGGTTTAATATACATCGACCTAATTCGACATCTTCATGTGTCGTCAAAATTTCTCGGTTGTAACAGTGATCAAGCCAAGGACCCAACTGTACTAGTACTTGCTGCGAAAGAATAATCCCGCTACCACCCATACAAAAATACTAGAAAGAAGAATTAAATGTTTCATTCAGTAGCAAGTCAAAGTACTACCTCTCCAGGTAATAAATGGATAGGAGGTCCATTTCGTCGTCCAGTTCCACCTTGCCCTATATAAAAAGTTCGCCTATGATCGAGAGACTTTAACCATCGAACAAGATCTTCTATGTTAACATAAGCATTATCATCTAAACGTAAGATCCATGAAGTTCTTTGTGCATAGAACATGTGCATGAATTTCATGGCGTAGAAGCTTTTCTTCTGAGGTGGATATGCATTCTCGACGTGTTTTAATTTAACAGTAAACAAGCAGGATTGCATTGAAGGAGTGATTCGAAGAAATAATTTTTCAATCGATTCCTCTGGAATAGAAAATTTCTCTTCGATGAAAATAATAATCTCCACTTCGTCTGTTGCCAACGACGCCCACGTATTGAATATTGAAGGTAAATAAATCAAAAGACGTTCGTAAGAAGAAAGGATCGCAATCGTCAGAAATATCTGTTTACTTTCATTTCGACATGTTTTCATTGTTCGATATTGAAAATGTTCATAGAATGAGAATTCCAATCTCGGTGTTCTTGGCATTGTCGTTGATGGACATTGGAATTGAACTACCGCTGACCAGTAGTGAGTACCAATTATAAAACCGATGAGCATAAAACTGATGCCAAACACAACGGAGTTCCATGATCTACGCAGCATGACACCATCTGTCGAACGATCGACCGGAGAAGAATGAGAGAAACTAAATATCCAGCAACTTGAAAAGAACATTTGTCAATAGTTTCAAGGAGAATTAAAAACAATTTCTTCCAGATAAGAACATTTGTTTCTTCTTCTTAGCAGCTGTTTTGTGAGCATCACGAAAATTCGACATTATTTATTGAATTAAAAAATAAACAAATATTAAAACTACAACTTCATACACCGACGACAAGAAAAAAAAAGGACAAGCTTTCAATAAATCTAGCCTGGATAAGATCAGTTATTTATGGTTATCATGGCGGCCGCTTTTGCTTTGTTTGCCTTTCGTACGATATAGCTGAAAGTTAACCATACCGCGCACACCACGAACGTTATGTTCGATACCTGGTGCCCATGCACGGCATGTAACACCGATAAGACGATTCAGTGGTAGATCATGAAATTGGACCAGAACAAACGGTTGAACATGATCTTTGGCATTACTAGAAAGATCGAATATCAAAGATAGTCATTTGGTTTCCTTGAAAATCATTACCGATAGGGAAAATAGTAATTTGGAATGACACCGAATTTGTCTGAACCAGATGGATACGATACTGAATAGTAAGTCATCGATTTCAATGCATCATTATCAGCAACATTCTATTCAATGAAAAATCGATGCCATTTATGGAATAAATCAGCAAGAACTTTTCTTGTGCTAAAACTATTTACCGTTCCTTCGCATGTGACGTATACATCAGGATTCTGAGTACTTCGATTACTATGAATACCACGAAGTTTTTGTATATTTACTGGTAAAACACCCGTACTTGGTTTCCATCCATAAACCTAATTAACGCAATCGATCGGTGGAAAGAAAAGCATCGATGAATCGTCCTACTTTGTTCAGTTTGACAAGTACGCAAGGTTTTTCTTGTTTAAAACCATACAAATTATTGTCCGAACACGGGTGGTCATTAGTATTAACGACAGAAAACCAGTTGAACGCACAAGCAGTACCTGCTGGTAAGTCTGAGGCTGGATCTACTTCTGTACAATTCTCAATTTTTGAATCACTGTTTTGAATGAGGAAGACATCGCGGAAGAGTCGAAGAGATGATGCGATACGGATTTGTTCAGTTGGATCATCGGATACTCGAACAAGACTATCATCGATAAGTGGTTGCGGTCGAAACCCCATTCCAACTAAATATATAGAGAACTATTCAAAAACGATTTCCAATGTTTTCGATACTAACCAACGGCTGCTGTACTCCGAACAGCCATTGTACTTTCGGTGTTATGATATCGTGGCTCCGTACGATCGAGAATCGAAGCAAATATGTTTAGTAACACAAGAAAGAAGCAACCCAAAAAGAAGTAAAACATCATATAAAATGTTGACAGTTTAGCTAAAACGAAATATATATATATGCAAATCGTTAAGTAAGCCAAAAGAAAAGAAGCATCTATCATTGTACTTACCCCAATTTAAGGCATCGCGGCCGAGAACCGTTTTCTTTCTTGGATCGTACAAAAACCGCAGCATATTCTGTATAACGCTAGGTTTTTTCTCCGATTTCTCATTAGATCGGCTACTTCTTCGTTGATCAAGGTTGATATGGGCCGGTGGTACTGCAATATCATTGTCCGTCGTCGTTTTCCCTGTCATGTTGCCGGCACGCTAGGTACTTTTTATTTTCCTATTAGAACGCAGAAGAAAAATATGTGAGAACGAGAAACTTACATTTAGTAATAGGTAAATGATGAGAGAAAAAATCAATAGAATTATGTTATATGTGCATATATAAACGAATAATGGTAATGTTAGTAAGTATGAATGCTTTCAAGCGTATCCATCTGATGAATATTTTTTGTATCATTTCTCTAAGAGGGAGAACGGCAAACACACGATCGTTTACTTTTTCTGCTTATGCAGTCAAAGCGAGGACATTTATTTAAGTACAGATACAAACATTAAGAAAAAGAAGAAGGAAAGAAACGAACGAACCATTATTATATCATCAAAAAATAATGATGATGAAAAAGATAAAGTTTCATCAAATGAAGTATTAATAGTTGAACAGATGACGATTCTGGTATAATGATTATTTAGTTTTTCGGGCCAGTCTGAGCCGTTCGTAATAAAGTGAACGTTACCATTCCACGACTTGTTGTACCTTCAGATAGTTGTTGAATGTTAGGTGCCCAAGCGCGACATTGTACATCAATCTTTTTTTCCATTGTTAAGTTTTTAAATTGTACCAGGACAAACGGTTCCACATGTTCCTTTGAATTCCTACATGAACAACGTAAGTGTTTTACATTGAAATCATTTCAACATTCTTACATATAGGGATAGAAATAATAAGGTAAACCACCATAATAGTCTGAGCCCAATGGATTTAGGAGTGAATAGTACTTCATAGAACCAATAGATTGTTGGTCGGATGTTTCTTTTCCATTGCATGTTATGTAGATGTTACTTTCACGTAAATCAATTGGTAGAATTGCATGACCAGTCGCATTTGCTACGGCAGCACTAACATCGCCGGGTGCTGGTACCCAACCGTAGATCTTAGGAAAATGACGCTGTCAAATGTATTAATGTTGTCTTTCTTTTATCTACCTTATTCAATTTGATTAGTATGCACGGTTGACCCGCTGTCCATCCGTACAAATTATTTTCAGAACAAGGATGAGCTATAAAAGAGAAAGATAGATGAGTAGACATATTAATCTTCAATACTATCGCTGGGAACAATATCATTCCAGGACAATTGACATGAACGACTGGCTTGCAAATTCGATGCTGGTTCTGTTGGACTACATTCTTGTAAATTAGTCGGATCATATTGCGTAAGATATTCTATAATGAAAAAAATCAATTATTTCGCTATTGCGACCATTGTCAGCAATCTTTTTACGTATTCGATAGTTTCTCAACGACGAAACTGTATCATTTTGTGCTTGAGAGCCATTATAAATCGTTACTAAAGTATCGTCGATAGTAGGTTGTGGTCGAAAGCCCATTCCTATTATAGATTTGGAATAAAAACTCAAACGTATGACACAGTTAATTCAGACGAACCAATATGAACTACTCCACCGTCATTCATTTCACTATTGTGATACCAGTATCGAGGTTCTTCACGGGAAATAATTGCACCAAAAACAGCGACCATACCAGAATAGAACAGGCCCAAGCAAATGTAGAAAAAGAAATAATATATTGCAGTTTTAATCCAAAATGAACTTGAATTGCCAAAGAACGTGTCATCTGTTTTATTATAGATGAAAACGCGTCCCGATTCGAATAGTTTGATTGCAGTATTCTTCAAACGATCCTTCAATGGTAATTTCTCTTCATTATCGTCATTTGAATGTACGACTTCGATGTCCTCCGATGAATCCGTTTTTGGTGGCATTATCTTTTTAATACTATTGATAGAATGTTACTCGTGTGCTTTGTTTTGTATATGTCTACGTCGGTCAATAGACGCCAAGTAAGTAAGTGGTTAATTTATGTTAGAATACACAGAGAGAAAAGAGAGTTATAACGTGATGGGCGTTCGACCGTGACCGCCAGTCATCAATAAGCAAGGATGTTTGAAAAGTAAAAATACAAAATAAGGCTATTATTTCATTCTTCTTTGTTCATATTTTAGTTATGTTTTATGTTCAAAGTCGAAATGATTAACACGATAACCTAATTTGTAGTAAATGTGTTTTTCTTCGGATATTTTCGTGGAAAAACAGATGATTTCCTTAGAAAATTACCTTTGATGCATGTATCACTAGCTTCGAGGTCAAGATCGACTGATAAACGAAAAATGACTCTCAGTTTCAATCGTCTTTGAGCGACATCGTACGAATACATATTGCTTCACGAATGGAGCGAGTGATTATTCATATCCTACTACAAAATTGATAGGATAATTATTGAAAAGACAATCTCTTGGATTTGAACGAAAACAGAATGCAATCATCATTACATGACGATAATGAGGGTGATGAAGATGATAACGACGATGAATTTAAGCGTATTTTGCTTCCGGTTCTTTCATCAACTATATCACCGCTTCGTCCATCAATAACTTGCTCGTCCTATCGTGACAACAATCAGTACAATCAATTATTCTTTGAGAGCTGTGTGCAAATTCGAGAACAACTAGCTCATCGCCGTTGGCCATTTTGCCCAATTTATTTACTACATATCAATACCTACTGTCATATCGATCATTTTGCGATTCCAGCAGAAATTGCTCTTGTCGAAACAACCTTATGGCCGCAACTGTACGGAAATACTAGTAATGTGCAATCAATGAATATTTCAAGAAAAGTTACTGAGCATTACGAGCGATACTCGAATTTATACAAGCGTTTCAGTACGATTACGGATGATTTTCATGATTTTGTTCATCCAGGCGATCAACTACCGACTGGCTATCAAGCTGACATTCTCGATCATTCAAGACGCACACACGGTTAGTATGAAAAGAGATGCATTAATCTTTGCATTCAAAAACCTAATCATCTGAGTGGAGTGAACTTGAATGAAGACAGATTTCCAACAGGAAACAGCAGAATGACATGCATTTAAAAAGCAATTTTGGAAGCCATTAATGTAGCTTTTAAGTACGTTATTTTTAGACGTTTTATTGACATGAATTGATCATATGTGGGAGACTGAGAAAAATAGTTACTCGATATGAGTGATGAGTCAATTGAGCAATCAGTTTAATCGACCAGAATTCCGAGTGAAATCACGTTTTCCTTTTCTTAATTAGGTTTACCATGCACACCGTATGAAAAGATCGGCACTCAAGATTATAATCAATTGTTGGATGATATACATGAAATGCTCGGTTCATTATGTGATTTCCATAATTATATCGATAATGAGCCGATGCCGATGTTCTGTACTATGGAATCATTCTGGTCGACGAAAGTTGCACTCGACTGGATCTATGATCATCCGACTACACGAGATCGTATGGATGATTATACATTGTATCCACTCGAAGCATTGATAGCCGTTATTTATGAGAATTATTATAGTCGAGCTCAATTCAGATGTGATTTAGGTGTTTTGATGAGGTTGGTTTTTGGTGATTCTGCGATCAAAACGAAACTTTTTTATGTGTTCAGGAAAACTCCGCAGCAACCAGTTTTGCACTCTCGTGCATGTGATTATCATGGAATACTTGAGAATAAATACTGTGCTATGGCGCATGTAAGTGAAAGCGATAAGCAATTACGTTCACAGAGATTCTATTCGGAAAATTTGACAGGTCCGAGATCTATCGGAATATTATATTTCATTAATGGCTTATCTATATTACACATATTGTGATCATAATTCATCCACATTATTACCTTATATAAAGGTCACTTATCGTGGAAGTTTATCACTACAACAAGAAGCTTATTGGTCTGGTAAACAAGAAGAATATAAAAAGATCAAGAAAGACAAGTGTCTATCGTCAGGCGTGACTTTGTCGTCGCCATCGTCATCATCAGACGGAAGCTTGAATGATAAATCATTTGCTGATGTTAATAAACCTGCACTGAAAACAAAACGATTTGATCATCGCCAGCCGTCTTCCATCCGTACGTAATAGTAAAATACGTTCTTTCCTCTCTCATCTAACTAAACATGTCATCCTTAGAGGAAAATTCTGAGTCAAATCTAAATCCGTTTGCTAAACCGTTCAATACTCAAACGGACCGGCAAGAAACGACAACACGTTCTTCGTCTACTAATGACAAAACACCAGCACATTTAGTAGTATTCGAACCACGTTCTATTCCATCATGTAATCGATCAGATCCGATACTTTATCAACGTATTGATCCTCGATCATGTGAAGATTGGGACCAATCTGACCCAACGACACATTAGCGAGCTAATAATATTCAGTTATTTTTCTTTCTTTCTGTAAACGCATGCTATTTTCCACCTTTGAAAATACATGGGAACAAAGAAGCCCGAATTCACTCGTTTGAATTTGTCAGAAAACAATCGGCTACGTTCATCATTTCATTCGAATGAATCTAAGTTTAAAGGCCAACGTCATGTACGTATGCTCGCTCGATTGTTCTTACACGGTGAATAGATTGAGTGAGTTTCTTTCAGTGATCGTGTCGCACTAGGTACCCAAATAATCTTTCGGATGTTCTTTCCAAGGCACTTTTTAAAACCAGATTACAGATGGTCTGCTTTTCTAAACAGAAACTTCTATTTTGAATAGATGTGATTCTCATCGGTGAACAATAGTAAACAGACGGAAATCACTAAGAGCATTCTTCTTGTAAATGTCATTTTGATGTTTGAAATCTTTTGCTTACGTCGATAACGGAGAGAAAATACTGAATCTGTCAATCTTCCTCAACTCTTATTCAATGAGTAAATAGCCTTGCAATTTATCTTTGTTATGCGTAGGCGTCTGCGACTCGAAGCTTAAGGATTGTATGGTGGGAGTACTTCTGCGATTCTATAGATAATTGATGTTGAAAATCATTGGGATAGACTAACTGATCGCTTTGCGATAGACTGCCTGCGGTTACAAGATCATTAAGTAGATGAATAAAATAATTTTGAACAAGGACATGCAGAGCAAAATGACGAAAGCAAAAGAAAGAGAGAAAAAGGAAAAGATGAACAATATAAGAAATGTTTCTCACTTCTTCTCTTCTCTCATCACATCGGAGAGTATCTCATCTACACACTACCTTTATATCTGATTTTGCTTTCTATACAAATTATAATGTCGCTTCATTGGTCATTCATACCACTAGTGATTTCGATCATTTTCTTTCAAATCTCGTTCCTTCGCGCAACACCCATTCATTCGGAGTTAACAAATCAGATTATTGACGACAATGTCGACGGATTTCAACGTGCACATAATGGTTATATTTATGCAATGAAAAACATTGTTAACGAACCAAATACTTACGAACGAATGAAACTGCTTAATCAATTACGTGAATCGCTTAATCGTTTGTGCTTAGCGGGATATTTTGGTCCATCGCACGCGGAAGCTTGTAGACATGTCGTTGATGTTGTTCATCAAAGTTACGTAAACAACGATGATGAAACTCGCGAATCCTCCAATGAAGCGCACGGTATTCAAAAACGTTTCTTTTGTAATGGTTTTATCGGTTGTAAAAGCGCCTCGGGTTGACTAGCATCGGAGAAGCATGATGAAAAACGAAAATCATTCTTTGAACATTTCCTTTCAAGGAAAGTAATTCGATCATGAAGTTTTATTTGAAATCAGTTTCGAAATAAAATGAAATCAAAGCTTTTTCGTTGTTGTTCTTCTTCTAATCATTCGCTCATTTATTTCTTTATTACTGATAACAGTTTCGTACTCTCACGAATGCCACTTTCTAACGCGCCATGAACAGTCGAGTAAAATTTTTCATGTGTTGCTTCACCAGCAAATTGTATACGAGGTATCTGATGAATAAAAATAAACATATATACTAGTGCATTACTTTACACCTGCAAGAACAAAATAGAGTCAAATCATCCTTTCTACTAAGGAAGTCTGTCGTATTTCCGGAAAGAGAGAGAGAGAAAGAAGGCGCAACTGGTATGTGAATCCTTACCCCATCTGGTGCATATGGTGTGCTTAAAAGCTCTCCATCTTTTTTTGTTGATTTCGTCGAATAATATGAATAGGAACCACGAACAAATCTATTCGTATGCCATCCGCTTCTAAAGATCGACTATAAGTTATTCAACTATGATAAATGCTCTTACTTTACGATGTTAATTGGTAGATTTGATTTCGACGAGATATTCAGAAAGTAACACAGCACCTCGTGGCAGATCTGTCCGATGATTTCATTCGAAAAGTTCTCTATTAATACTGCTGCGGGCCCACCGAACCAACAGATTAGAACAGGTGTATCTGTTGATGGTAAGACATCGTACCGATGAATCGCTTCAACGATTGTTCGTATATCGGTCAGATCGTTCAATGATTCAGATAAAGGTATCGGTAATGATTTTTGAGTATGTAAAAGAATCATTTCTTTCACATCTTCTGGCCAAAAACTCTTCTCGTAGACCAAAACAACCTAATAATTCATTTGAAGTCTTATTGATCTATGCATGTTAACCTTACTTTATTAACTGTGTCAAATCCAAGATTTTCTACTGCCTGACGTTTTTGCTCGAGAAGTTCTTTCTCCGTGGCGAATATCGACGAAAAGTTTTCTTTTAAATACCCTAATGAACTCGTCCAGATCACATGATCACAGAGAATCGTTGTAATTTCATTTTCAGATGAATGATTTAGATCGCGAATGTCGACTTGTAATCGATGACTATCTTGAAGATATTTTACTCTGACCACTTCGGAATTTAAGCGTACTCGCTTCTCATCAGGTAGAAATGATTTCATATAGGCAATAAACGAGCGATATCCACCATTCTGAAATTCATATGCATAGTCTCCATCGAGGTATTCAAATGAACCGTAATCTAAACACGCGAAAGTCATTTTCAATGCGAACACTCATACTATTCACCTGCAAGACTAAGATCGGATAAACTTGAGCAACCGTTATCAATCAATTCTATTTGATTGAAATAATCGATGAATGCATCAATAATATCATCTGAATAACCCAACGCTATGGACAGACGTTTCTTAAAATGTTCTACTAAATAATCCGAGAGCGAATGATGTGATGTACGTGTCTTTTTCTCGAAGAAAGCTGCAGCTTCTTCAAGAATTGCTTGCCAGACAACAGTAGCCTTATCGAACAGGTTCGAATCGATGACCGTTTGATTCGATGTCAGTACCAACGTGTCTGTTGACATATCAAATTCACCTGTGGAATCCTTATTTCACACATTATACATACCATTGGCTGTCTCTTCACTTACAGGCATGATACAATTCAGATTTTGACAAACATCATAGACAATATTGTTCACTTTTCCGTGAATGAATTGAGCTCCCTACATCGAATTTTCAATTGTGAACAACTTAAAGATGATAAAGGAATTTGTTTTACCAAATCAACAGCGACATTCGGAGCTAATCAAAAGAGGTCGATAAGAATATTATTACTCGACTGATGATGAATGAATACGAACCTACGTCAACCGTACGAATGCGACCTCCAAGATAATTTTGAGCTTCAACAAGTAAATAATCAACATCTAAACCGAATGTTTTCGCAGCACCCAGACCCGCTGCACCGCCACCGACGATCACGACTTTCACAGATTGCATTTCTTTCACGAAATGTTTTCTTTATTTTTCAAACGCTTAATCAGTGCACCTTGATATCGTCGTGTCTTAAGGAGTAGTTTCTTGCGAAAGAAACGAAACAAACGAGTTGATAGATGTCGTATGAATGAGTCATGAGGGCTTTACATGTAAAAGTTGTGAAATAACAAACTAATCCCTTCCCTTAAGCCGAATTTTTTTTTATTGATATCACAATGTTATTTCATAAAAACAAATAAAAAGTATTGTTCTATGCAGTGGCTGCTAAACCTTTTTCCAAAATATTGAGAATAATCACATAAATAGGTGCAAATTCCTTCTGCTGTCGGTTTCGAACTGTCTGGACGTAGGTGTCTAACGTGTTTCTGAAAAGAAAACAATATTGACCATAGTCAGAAAGACTAATGAACGTACTTTATCATTGTTAGACGATCGTTCATGTTCGGATGCTCGTCTAACCATTGCATATAACGAGAAATCGACCAGTTCATAACCTACGAACAAGCATGACTCAAACTGAGACAGTTGCAAGTTTACACACAATCATACTTTATGTGGTGAACGTAGATCATCAGGTGCGCGTGCAAAGAGATGATGAAGAACAACGTCGTATGGCACGACATCACCTACGACGGAATTATTTTGAAATTCGTCCGTATTTAGAACCAGAAGTGGGCGGAATGCTTTCAAGATTTTATAATGTTTTCCTAAGTCGGTTAATCGTCGACAAAATGGTACTAATGCCAATTCCATTTGTGCAAAATCGGCCACCAAACGCGTCATGCCACTTTCACCCAGCGGTCGCACGAGACTAACATGTTCAATGAACAACATAATAGCTCGGCAAGCAATGGGTGCAAGGCTAGAAACGGCGAACATCAATGGCAAGTTCTTAACATCAGTCTGATGAAACTTACTTATCATACATAAAATTTTTACATTGAAATTCATTAAAATAATCTTTCTCAATGCGAATTATGAATTCTTGCAACTCTTTCATGTATAATGAACTTCGAGCGTCTGAACTACTTGGTGCTACTCTAAAGGAAATGCACAAAATAAGATAGTTATTAATCACTAGTGACCGACATACTGTGAAAAATCTTCGTTGTGCATGGTAACAAGGATAGCTTCGATGCAATCAGCAACAGAATTGAGAAATGGATGAATAGCTGTATTCATTAACGAATGCACACACTAAAACAATGAAGTATAACAAAAGCTAGTTCAATCCGTATGTTTCTCATACTTGTAAAGCGTTAGTGATGCGTGTCACTGCAGCGGATGACAAATTTTGTTGTTCCGAAAGCATCTAAATTAAGATGAAAATTATTAGAAGAGTTTATCGGTGTAAATCCAATCGAACTTTATTGATCATTGCACAAAAATTGTAGAGAATGTTAATGGCGGAAATGTTTCTTAATTGAGCAGGTGTTGGTGCTGATACAACCTGACTACCTTCACTATCTGTGCAGATCTGAAAACAGAAACAATTGATATTCTTCGACAAACCTTTTCTCCATGCTTACCGATTGTTCACATCTATATGAAATGCAAACATGATTAAGTTAAAAGTTGAAAAGTAAACGAACTTACTTGGCAGCAAATAATTGAATACTCTTGGCTATGTTACGTGCTACTTTATCAACTAAGATTTCACTAACTGTTGTCACAGACAATTCACTAAGGGGAAAAGACCGAACAGATGACTAAAGATTTTGCATGAGAATTGAGTAAATGTCTTACTTAACAATAACTTTAACAAGATTCTCCAGTTCCTGTTGCGTTGGTAATAATTTCATTGCACTGGTACTAAACATGAGATTAATCGGATCAGATAATCGTGATAATGATATTGACAGATAAGATTGTTCGAAAATATCGAAACATTCATTCAATTGTACGCTTGTTCTAAAAGAAAAAGAAGTAGTTTGCATATCTTTCAACACACAAAACAAATCCAACTTTTGCTTTCCAATGATTTCCTCAGTATGATTCGATTCTTCATTGATATTATCCATTTCGATATCACTGAATCCTGTCTGTAACTGATTCAGCCGATTAATAATTTCATTCTGCGATTTCAATAGTTTTGGGTATTCTCCTTCCAGAGCTTGTTTCATGTGTATTGAATCTAAAATGACAGTAATACATCGTTCTTTTTCCATTGACGAGAATATGTTACCTGCAACAGATGTCCGTAACTGTTCGCGCAAATATTTCATTGCATTCAGCCAGAATTTTCCTACAAGATCACCTGAATGACCGTTCTAGAACGACACAATTATCGATTAGTTTTCACCGTCTGTTTATACAGAATACTTTAATTAGTTCTTCAATAAATGTTCCATGAGTAATTGGATCTTTCTTTTTAGTCAGAACTCGGGTAAGATTGTAAAGTTGGGCAACTTGTACGTACAACAGTTCCAAAATTTTTTCAATATTTGTCCATAGTAATGCACGAAATTGAGGTGTATTACCAACACTTGGCATTGTCGATCGTCCGGGATTTGATGCTGCAAATCAAGTGAATTTAATTGGAAGGAAAATCACTTCGCATATACATACGATCACGCGTTTTCGACAATTGTTTTAAATCGAGATAATCAGAAACTTGACTTTGAAAATCTTTGATCAAACGGTCTTCAATCGATTGAATGGAATCGCGAAGGATACCCAAATTATAGAAAACTTGTAATGCCGTTCCAATCTGAGCGGGATTCTAGATTTAAAGAAAAGCATGTTTTCTTCTCAATAGAACTGCTTTGAAAACGAACCAAATGATTGAGACCATTGTCGAGAATATCTTGCGCCTGCTTATGAATGTCATGTCGAGCTTTGAAGACGAACTGAAGATCCTTCTCCACGATATCGATACCCGTGAAATCAGCGTCAACGGTGAAATGATCTAAATCAAATTTACATCTGATTCGATTATTGATAAGCAATATCGATTATTACCTAGTTCGCTTAAACACTGCGAAGCTTTCACTAACTCAATCTGCTGTTGACCTGTACTAGTAGACGAGATAAATTTTCGTAACTTGCTAGTTTGCTGCATTATTCCTTTGATTCGTCGAAGAAGGTCGCACGTATTCTATACAACGAGTAGACAAACAAATGAACTATACGATGAAGACAAAGATTTTACTTGAAGACGGGTTAATTGGTACTTCCGGTTCAAGATAATATTGTACGGTTCAGTGACTTTTGTCGCTATACTAAACAGAACATACCGGTTGAGTCATTATGTATAGGCGAATAAATTTAGCGAACCTATCAACCGTTGTTTTCAATGATTTGATTCTTGTCTGCATGTTTTCTAAAACATCTTCAATCGTTCCGATCGATGATGCTTGTCGGAACAGAACAGGTGCATTTGTTGACACCTGAAAGAAGATATTTTCATGAAATGAGTAACACCTGATCGAATCCAAACATTTACTTGTTGTTTAATTTCGGCATCAAGTGTTCGTATCAATTCGTTCAAATGTTGTAGATAATCTGTGACGATTTTTGTTTGTAAAACATTGGCTGAAAATGACTTGATATCAAAATCATCGTCGAGAAAGTCTTTAAATGATTCTAAATAACACAAACAAGTGCTTTCTCGCTGATCTTTTCTCTATGATGATTACCATCGTCTAAAATCGTAGAATCCATCTACAAACAATTGAAATCACGGCTGGAAAGATTCGGTTCGAAGTGAAAGAAAACTGTCTTTTTCCTATTTGTTTTTTTTTCTCTTTTTTTTGACCGTTTTTAAACGTACAACAATCAACAAGATAGAAAGAAAGAAAAATAAGAAGAATATGACAAAACAACAGGATATAAGTATGGTTGTGATCAAGGAACGAACAAGTGTAGTGAATGAAGATCAACGTATATATAAGAAATAGAAAGAAAAAGAGAAAATAAAGTACACATGTATCCGCAGTTTTCGACCGAGACGAAGAAGAAGAAAAATGCAAGACAGATTTAAAAAAAACGAAAAGAAAATGAAACTGGAAACTATAACAACTATTGGGTCAATGCAGTAAGTGTGTTGCCACTTGAGGAGGATGATATATCAGTAGATGAAGAATTAGATGACGACTGATCATTATGGTCATCATTGTCTTCAATGTTTACTAGCGCCTAGAACACAAAATACAATTTAGAACATGGTTCGTTGTTAATTGAGGATACCATATGAGAGAGTAAAAGAAATCGTTTGCAAAATAGCGATTGTATAGTTTGACAAGTCGATAGTTTTAGATGAACGATATGTTAGATTTGTTTGAGAAATGTGATTTTACAATTATATACACAAGTGCATAGATTTCTGTTAGAACTGTCAAAGATTAAACTTTGTTTTGCTGTCGGTATCTGGAAATATGCCAAGTATCACAGATTTTCAAAGCCCAAATATCCGCTAATTCGCTATACCGATACAAAGGGCAAAGAAATAGTCAATTTTTGATGGCGTCAAAAAGCGATTATGATTGCAGCAATTACCCGAAGGCACAATGGAGCGTAGCAATGAACAAATGCAATTAAGATAGCTCACTCACGAATTAGATTTTTGAAAAACTAGAAGGATGAAAAAACAAAACAAAAGTTCTTAACCGTCTTGCTAAGAGAAGGAAGACGTGAAAGTGAGTCTGGCAAATTTCCTCTCCGTCTGTATGAGTAGCATCAATGTGAAAACAGTAAGTGTGTATATTGGCAGAAGAGGCAAACACAAAACAAGATTATATTTGTATATATTTTTTGTGAATCGAATATATAATTAGGTGAATCAGATGATGCATACAGAGCGACACCCAACAGGCGAAACTACGAAAATGAATTCGAAGAATAATACCGCGTTGATGTTGTTGCATTTCGCTGAAAGATACGTATGTTTGGCTTTTATACATGTATCTCCGAAAGATTTCTCAGCAAAGAGAATCAAGAACGAGAAAAAAAACGAATTTATATTTACCCCAACACCGGAATTGCTATGCGCATGTGTTCCTTTTGTCAGCGATTCCAATACATTTTCGAATACTGACCGTCTGCGAAAGATTGACAAGTTCAAATGTTTCTTAAGTTTTGAGAGAATGGTCGCTCTTACTTCGATATAAATCCACCGCTGAACGGAAGTGAATCACGAATGGATGGTTGTTCATTGAGAAATGTGACAACTTGCTGCCATAAGGTGTTTGGGTCTAAGTTGGCTTTATTTGCACTACGATTATAGAGATCTAGAAAAGAAATGATCAAAACATTCAAATTATCTATATTTCTCGTTCGTACCGGTAGTTTTCTTTCTTATTTCATTGTCGATTGCTTCGTCTCTGGCTTTACCATCGGCAGTTGGTGTTGGCGCATTTTTGAAGGCGATTATAATAATACTCATGTTATCTTTACTTCCCTAGAAAAGTGACGATATTTAAATAAAAGAAAAAAGAAATGATTGTGATGAACGAACTTTATACAAACACATATCAAGTATCGAATTACAAATTTCACTTAGATCATCTGTGACTTGCATTCGTGCAATTATATAGGAAGCTAATTCTTCATTAGTGACCACATCCCAAACTCCATCACAAGCGAGTACAATAAAAGCGATCTGTTCATCTTGTTTACTTGAGTTATTAGTCGATAAGTTTCTTGTATGGCCTGTTATTTCTGGTTCAGGTGAGACAAGTTGTTGATCATGCCGTCGGTTTGTATTGTTTTTGTATTCGAAATCACCAAGAGCACGTGAAACGGCTAATGACCCATTGACACGTTGAATTAAAACAGTACCACCGGCTTCTTGTATACGTTGACGTTCAGCTTGATCATTTGGCTTGTGATCTTTGGTTGCCAGAAGTACGCGACCTTCATTGGACACAAGAATACCACGAGAATCACCAACATTTAAAAAATAGATTCGTTCGGGATCGATCAAACAGGAAATAGCTGTCGAGCCACTTCTATCATCTAAATCATGATTAACAGAAAGTGAAGTAGTCAATTCTCGAATGAATATTTTCATTCTACCTGGATTCGCAGTACGATTTTCCTCTCTCCATTCACTGTCAAATTTGAAATAGGCTTCTTTGATCGCGGACTCGAATTTATGAAATTCAAGTTGGGAGGACATTATTTGTGATGTTGATTTCGAGTCGGTTATCAATGTATTCAATGATGATACAATCCGCGTATGTAATTTCTCTGAAGCTTTGGAAGCTGTACGAAATCCAGCATGACCATCGAAGACGCCGAAATACGACCAACGGGACCAACGATTATCGTCTAATTTCAGTACAGTTGCATGTGCATCTTCCATTTCCACTCTATATTGATGTGAGACCGAAAAAAAAACTCTCCGATGTAAAGAAAAAGATAGAGTCATACCTCCATCCTTGCATCGATCCAAGACCATACCGAATGTCATCGTTTTTGCCTCGGTCGTTATGCTTTTCAACTTTTGGCTTTTCCAAAAATTGACCCATTGGCCTAGATAGAAAAGCAAACGTACATAATCGTCATATTTCAGCTTGAAACGTTTCTTCCGAACAAGAAAATTCACGAACTTAATATGGCAAATACGAGTAGAAGCATTCAACGAAGACAATGAATAATGATGACCAAAAGATCGACGAGCAAAAGACACAGCAAATCGTGCTAAACGTCGTCGGCATTGATCAAAGATATTTCCATTTTCACTCATATACTTTTTTATTTGACAATACTCGCCGTATTTTTCTCCTTTTAAAACTATATCATTGATATTTTTTAGGGCTTCTGTCCTCTTTCAGATAGATTTTTATCGCTACCACCTGACTCATATACCCAACGCCGATTAAATAGGGGCAAATCAAAAGGATATTTGTCTTATGTATCAGGAATATCCAGGTACTATAGTACGCATTGCAATCATATTCAAACTAATCTCGAGAACACCCAGGTTAGAAGTTGCAATTATATCATAGCAAAGAACTCACCTATCGGTTTATATTGTATCAGAAAAGTGAACTAGTTCGCACACACACGCACACTTGAGATAATGTTTAATTGCAGTTAGAATTAATAGATGCTCTAAAAGTAGAAACGCGTGGTAGACGACGATCACGTGAGAATGTCTTACGTGCAAGGAACAAAACATTTATATCTAATTTACTTGGAAAGAATATGATCTCAGATTCTAGAATAAATTGAAAATTTTCGAGGTAGATAATTGATGTGAAAATGAAGTTGATATCGTGAAGAGCATCAGCGACGAAAGCTTACATATCGATAAATTGAACTAATCGAAGAAACACGTAGCGTGTCTCTTCAACCATACTTGTTGCATAAATAAGATAAGAAGAAATTCGAAAACAAACAAATAAAATGCGCTCAAAAACTGATCTATTGTAATCATTCTATATTTCGTATTCTCGGCATGGACTCTATTCAGCCAAGGTAAACGACAAACTCATTACCTATGCTATGTAACTAAATAATTCAAACTCAGAATCGATATTTCCTTTAAGAAAAGGCTTTTACAGGTATGTATAAAACAAGTTCAACTATGAAAAGATTTTTCAAAAGTTCTTTTTGTGGATGTTGTCAAGATCTTTTTTCTGAAATAATAATATTCAAAAGAGAAAATGTCGTCTATCTCGAAGAAAATCTATTTCATTCGAGTGTATGATGATCAATGAAGCGAAAAAAAACTCTCGTTACGAAAATGGTTGATCATCATGGGTAGACAAGTTTATACTGGGTTTACATATACCTATCTATATATATATACTGTATATTTGTTTGTTCTTTCGTTCTTTCCTATTTGCTCGTTGTTATCGCCATTGACAATACAAGTTTGTTCTCTCTCTAGCTTTCAATGAAATACTGTTCGATGATTGGTTCTGACACAACTACTCCTGTAAGCGCAATAGTCAACGTCTTCGCGTGTCTACTTAAAAACCTTGATTTCGACGTTCGCACGAGCTCTGTAGCTTTGAGTAAAAATACTTTTTTGTCAGACTCTTCCTTCGCCCTAAAAAAACGCCTAAAATCACCCTCGCTCTATGAGGAACGGTTCTTTCCAATGAAACGAACATTGTTCACAGATAGATCTTGACTACTGCTCACGATTTCACATCTGATTTGCGAACTTCTACCGTACTATCATCGAGAAAAATGCTAATGAAGCACAGTTCACCTGTCTAACATCTCCTTCCCTACCATCCATTATTTAATCTGCTTTAGTTTCTTTCCTTCTAATACAGACATCGAAAACGAATAGAAAGTTTATCACTTGGAGGAAGCTTTATTTCACACATTTGACAGCCAGAAACGTTCGCCGTTTCGAGTAATTTCGCCCTCGGTCGCGCCGAGAAAAAGTAGTCCCTGTATAAGTAAACTGTTTAATCGTCAGAGCAAGCAACTGTATACGCATCATGTCGACTTATCTTGATCAACTAATTTGATTGAAAAGTGTCCGATTTGGGAAATGTAAATATATGAACTGTAAGAAACACAATTCGTTAATTTGAATAAGATTTGACGATGAAGCAGTCGGTACACTTAATATAGTGGAATAATTGAATCGGTGCGAAGTTAGCACCGGAAAACGATTGGGAAAATCTCATCTGAATTTTTTTCTTATACAGACAAGTGCCTAGGAAGACTTATGTAAAATTTTCCCAATCGTTTGCTGGTGCTAGCTTCACACCGATTTATCAGTCTTACTTTATGAAGCATTTCCAAATGAAGCGGATATGCTATCAACAGATGCAGGATATCCTAGTTTTGGATTCGCTTATGAAAGCTTTGCAGCCTACTGGCCAAGCGCAACTCGATGTTGCCAATACAAAGCTAGAGGGAAATGCATTCGAGTTTTTGTACATTATTGACCTGAATTCGTTATATCTCTCATCAAATTAAAGATGAACAAATTAAATTAAATTTTATTCGTTTGTCGGAAAAGAACTTTAGATGATTGTGCCAACAGTACATTAGCAGGAGTCAAGTGAACATGAGGTACAAACTATTTATTGATGAAATACTTTGTTTCCAAATGAGATAGTACGCTTCTACATGAAATATAGCTTTCGAATCAATGAGTTAGTGAGTGATGCATTAATAATATTGATAAGATCTGCAATGTTTTCAATTTACTGTTGATATGAACCCGTTTTACAATAAAACTTTTCGTAAAAAATAAACATCCTTCAATCTCTAAAGCAGATTTAGAAGTTTATGTTGTCATTTTCTCAAATAGATTAATTTCTGCTAAAGATTATTTTCGAGCTTCTCTCCCAATAGGAAATATAAAATAAAACAAAACAATATTTACTGCGTCATCAATGTGGATGATTTTCGGACGAAGATTGGAAGTGTGATTGAAAAAATCTTGCTACAGAAGTGTACGAAAAGTGGACAACAAAGTTTGTTTGCTGTCCAGAGTTTTAACAAGACGATATAACTAGACGATTTTATCAGATATTTTCAAAACTTTCTCAAAAGATTAATTGGATAAATTCTATAAACATATAATCTCTATATATTTCACAAGATAAAGTTTTCAAACATAAATCGTTGAAATCACTTGGTCAATATAGTTAATCGAAACCTGTCAAGAAAAAAGTTGATAACAACAGTACTTGTTTGTTTTTTCTATTTCCTCATTATATACGCGCTTTGTCTTAAAAAATATCCATTCGATGGATTTTCGACTAATCAAAATTGTTTACAGATGACACCTAGTACATTTCGTTGCATAGGTATAGGAGAGAAGAAAAACTTCAGGTACTGCGTACTGATTGCAATACAGTATAGCGATTGGATATATATGAGATCAACTGATAACACAAAATATTTAAAGAAGAAACGAAAGATGAGTGTCTTGTTTTTTTTTCTTTCGTCAATTCAGATTTGCATAGTTAATTGTAAATATTTGAAAAAGAATGCATGTTTCAGTGCAGCATCTGTCATTTAACCCATGAGCTGTTGATTGAATTTTTCTGTTTTCTTCTAGCAATGATTTCTAGAACAAAAATAGCTGCTTCAAAAGTTGTTTTATTAACAGAATTGAATTCGTCGAATCAAGATGTATCGTCCAATTGTAAATATGAACAGAAATTATGGGACAAACTACGACTTATCGTCACTGACCTTCATTATTGTTGTGAAACAGTCGAATTAGATAAACTTGATTTTCAAGAATATGAATCTGTTGATAAATTTCTCAATGCTGCTATTGTTATCATGGTATGGAGCGATTTGGTTATTTTTGCTAAGGAGATATTTGTTTTTTTTTCTGTCCTTGAGGATGTTACAAACGCAGAGCGTCGACCTACGTTCATGTACCACAAAGGTAATCGTGAAAGTATCAATTGTATGGACGATATTGTGTTAATTCAAGCGAACAGTGTGGAAAACTATGCAGATATACAAGATTTAAAAGTAAAACGTTTTATCAGAAATATTTATGTTTTTACGTTGGTATCGACTATAGACAACATGTAAAATCAAACGATTGATCGTTTATCGGTATGATGAGAAGAAAGATGCGTTCTATGATGTCACGACACAATCGAAGCAGTCACCGATATCACTGAAGAAAAGTCTTCGACCATTGCTGAACGAAGCAGCAAAGAATATGGAGTAAATTATTGCTAAGTGGACTTGAGCTTTGGAGTTTGTTACTTTCTTTTTCTAGAAAAGAGTTATCTACTCGCTATTTGAATCTTATGGAAAAACATCGGAATAAATTTCATGACGAACAATCGCAACGAGATGTATGTAACTCAATGAAATCTATTGGCTAATTCATAAATATCCTTTTAGTTTCTACGGAAAGAGATTTGCGATGAAATATTAACAGAAAGAAATAAAAAATATGCAACACCAATGTTAATTATTAAGTTAATGTACGCTTTTCGAGATATACAAGTAAGACACAGAACTATAATCGGTACATAGAATTTATCTTATGCTTCAGGATTATCCCTCAATGATTGAATTGATAGAACGTTGTGAACAATATCCGAGTGTTTCAAAAAATATACAAAATAATACCATGATATCATATCTAACTGCGTTTGCTCATAGCCGGTAAGGAAAGAGAGAATCAGGTTAGGTGAATGTATTGTTCATCTGTTCTTATTAGACGGAATGAAAACAGCGATCGAGATAAAGCTTTAACAATCCTCGCAAGATTATGTCAAACGAAACGATCGGAAAATGAACTATCGAATGATATTATTTGTTTATGCGGAAGAATTTATAAAGATAAATACAGAGAATCAGATTGCCGAGATAAGAAGGCACTAGATAACGCAATTGAATGGTACCGAAAAGGATTCGCTGCTGACCCGAATATTTAGTAAGTCGACCATTGAAAACCTTTATCTCTTCTTTTGCTCCATGTCAATGTTTTATTCTTAGCGCTGGAATTAATTTACTTTTGCTATTAGCTACAACAACAGATAACGTTACAACGAACAAAGAAGCTTATGATATCAGTATGTCAGCCGAGGAATAGAAAATTCGACATGAGTGCAATTTTAACGAGAGAACTCGAATTGCAAATCACTTTTGTCTCAACAGATGCATAATTCATTGTATTAGTTTATGCCGCTTTTTTTTAGTTAATCAGCTGAGTGTATTACTTGGGAAGAAAAGTCGTTCGTTGAGAGATCTGAATGATTACTGGGATGTAGCCACATATTTTGAGTTACACGCTGTTCGACGTGATTGGCTGAAAGCTTGCCAAGCAGCTTTACATATGTATCTGCTCAATCCGCCGATTTGGCATTTGAAATCAACAGTAAATAATTTAACAATTCTTCATCAAGCGACACGCGTACGTGATCAACAAAAGCCGCACGAACAATCACAAGAGCAACCGAATCAAGAGAAAATCTACAGTTTTTGGATGGATTTTTTTGATGACGCCATCAGTTCTTGTTCAACATCGTCCAAAGAAAGAGAACTACCTGCACAGATACCTGTAAGTCATCCAAAACTTCTCATTGATTGATTCGAAATCGAGCATGTCTTTTTGAAATTAGATTCTCGTGTGCGATAATTACGAACACATGTCTGGAGAAGTCTTAAATAACATCTACGTCGAAGCATTGTTACAATTGAATCTTCGCACGAGTAGTGGACGTGAAAATTTGGTCATTCGAATACTTGAACAGCAAAATCAAATACACGGAGATCATCGTGTGAAGACGATCCACATGAATTCCATACGGTCGATTGTGTAAGAAAGACTTGATTTTGGTATTTGTCAGTAACGATGATATTTTGTTCGTTCGTTGCTAGAAATCTTAAACCAGACAACCGAGGAATATTCTTGTTTGCATCGGAAAACTCTGAACCATTCACATCGGTCGATATGCAATTATATTTCTCGTCAGCCGAACGACGAACAGCGTATGTGACTAACAAAATCTTCTCAAGTCATATTCTGACTCTTTCATATAGTTTCAATGAAATAGTGTCCAAATATCGAGTCGAAACGACTATACCGGAGGTCAAAAGAGACTTTGAAGTACGTAATGATTTGAAACGGTTCGCTTAACAAATAAATTAAAATTACATTTCTAGTTGGAATTCGATCGCGGCGAGTTTGGACAACGTCTCGTGCTAGGTGATGGCAAATATGGAAGAGTCTACCTTGCTCGAGATCGTAAAGGAGGCGAAAAAGTGGCCGTTAAAGAAATTCAAATGCGCAATTCAAATTACACAGAAGTTCTCGAGAATGAAATCAAAATTCTCTCAACACTCAACCACAAAAATAGTTCGTAGTTTATTGATTACTAAAAAAATAAGATAATTTCTGATTTAGTTGTTAGCTATCGTGGATCGGCGATCGGATCGAGTAGAGGAGGTCCAGTTTTTCAAATTATTATGGAATATGTCGACGGGTAAGACACAGATTTTCTCTTAGTAATGTAAATTAGACAGTGTGCGAATTTTTTTTAGTGGTAGTCTTTTAAAGCATTTGAAATTGAAACCATTTTCCGAAGAATCAATTAAAAATTACACTCGACAACTCCTGGAAGGTGTTCAATATCTACATGAGAATCGAATTCTACATCGCGATATCAAATCTGCTAATGTACTTCTCAATTCGAAAGGGTAATGACTGAAAACTGAATTTTCATTTTCAAGAGAAATTTGTTTCTCTTGATATTTAGGGAGATAAAAATCGCCGATTTTGGTACATCGAAGCGTTTAGCAGGATTGCATCGTTGTCTTGAAGATGTTGTTGGTAAGATGAGATGTGTAGATCAGATGGACAAACATATATGTTACTTTTGTCCTTTTCCAGGAACTCCTCCTTACATGTGTCCCGATGTTGTCGTAGTGCCTGTTATGGGCTATGGACCTGAAGTATGAAAAGAAACTCGTTGTTTCATTTACATGTTTTATTCCCATCAATCCAGGTTGATATTTGGAGTGTTGGATGTACAGTCATTGAAATGGCAACAGGAAAGAATCCATTTCATCATATAGCTAATCAGTTTAAAGTGTTGCAAAAGCTTGCTGATGAAAAGCTGCCACCAGCAATTCCGCCCGAATTATCTGATCTGGCGAAAGATTTCTTGGCCAGGTAGGAGAAATAGCCTAACTGATATCGAACATATCTTTATCTTTAATTAGGTGCTTTGAACCAAACAGTACGCGTCCGTCTGCGAAAGATCTATTGAATCATTCATTCTTAAAGTACGTTGCGAAAGAAAAAGATAAAAGTGTCACGTATCTAAAGGCTCGTTCTATACGAACAAATGAATCATGAGTTCTCATATTAAAAGGATAAGTTTGACGTAGAAGAATAACTTGCAGGTCAAATTCTACGTTTCTTCTGCTATATCGCAATGAATGTAGCAGACTTTTTTTCGTTTAGAATCAACAATACTCTAGCACGAGAATCGAGTTGCAGTAAGTATTCGTATTTCTGTTCTATATATTATAGTACATATATCTATTTTATATTTCTGCAGATCATGTCAACGATAGATGTTTTAGGTAAGCTTACTTGAGTCAATCTGTTCTAATGACGTCGAAAAAGGCAAACGATCTCCTCTACTTCATACTATGTTTTTGACATGTTCCTTTTCAATCAGCTTATAGTTAATCTTACCTTTCACAATGCTTATATATTGTATTCAATAGTTCCTTACGTCTGTCGGATTCATCGTCATCTTTGCTAAGTAGTCACGTGGCTTCCGAGTGAGATCTATTCGCACTGTCTCATACAGAGGTATAAATATGTACATTTAGGCAACATCACAAAGCTTCAGGTCAAATTTCGGTTGATGACCGTCGTCGATCACAATTAGTAACTATTTTTCGCGATGATGATAATGAAGAGATGGTAGGAGCAAGGTTCGCATTCTATTGCTCATGAATTTTCCTCTCTAGCTTATCGATAATTGGATGTCGTTTATCACAGAGAAAAGAGAGACGAACCTACTAAATCAAGTAAACCTGCTTAGAAACGTACTCGATTACTCAATAATGATAATTGCATTCATCTAGGACAAACTGGCAATCTTACTAGATGGTATTTGCGATTATTTGGACAAAGAAAATGCTGATTCATTAAAACAAGCATTAGGTAAACAAAACGATTTTTGACTAACGTAAGATATTCTTCTGCACCGTCCGATACTATCTAGACAAGATTTGTGATGAAACAACAATTGATGAACATCTTCAAATGGATCTCGAACAGTCATTTTATCTTTTCATCAAAGCTGTATGGTTTCTTTGTCTACACGGACTACATTTAAATACACTTTCTAACTTTTTCTTTTTCAAGGCAAATAGTGTACTTTCCAAAATCAACGATCTTCCTCCGTATGTGTTGTTTGCTCTCGACAATATTGTTCGCCGCATTGCTGAGCAGCTTGTTGGTTTTATCAGATCAGGTAGAGCTTTCTCGTTTTCTTACGACTGCAAATTTGTCTTTGTTTGTGTTTTAGATTTTATACCTGCTGCTGTCTACAGAGTTCCATCGACACCGAACGGCGATCGCGCCAGTAGTGTTGATGAATCAACCAATGATGAAGTCACACGTTTATATCAACAATATCGTAAACTTGCTGAGAAAAATCGCGAGTAAATAGAGGACAAACTGGTTCACCTTGTTGCGCATGCGTGCGTTTATTTTCTAGAAAGCTCTACGAATTAATTAGTCTTGAACGTAAGAACCACACAGATCTGACCGGACTAGTCAATAGTCACAGAAATAATTCATCAAGGTAAGAAGAATAGAGTAGGTGTTGATGAAGTTTTTGAATACGAATCTTTCTGATTTTCAGTGAAATCGCTGAAGTATTTTTGCCTGCTGACTCATTAACACCAAAAGAAGAACCGGTAAATGTCTTATTTATAAACATAGCTTTATAGCTTCTAATGTTTGTTTAATGTAGAACTCATCGATATTACCAGTGATTGAAGAATCTAATGAAAGTCCAATCATACCACCGGCAAATCTTTCCAAAGGAATCAAGTAATACGAAAATATGTCTTTCATTGCTGACCATGCACTTCTACTTCCGTTTAGACGTTCGCGTGCACTTTTCGAGCTGGAACAAGAGCATGAAGCTTTATTAACCGTACACACTTAAACAATCTTCTTTATTTCTGTCATTCATCATAGACTCTGCTCTTCCCTCGTGGCAGATTGTATAACCGATTGCATTTTTTCGTTGTTGGTGCCATCGATGAACTGAAAGTCCTCACGATCAAAAAGTTTTTTTGCCTTCGCGCAGAACCTTCGAGTTTAAACTACGTTTTTTACAAGTAGTTTATTTTGTACTCTTGAAACATTTTGTATACACGCACATGTCGTGTCTTCTAAATCTTTACATTTTTTGTATTATTCGTGTGATATATGATGCAGTTGTTTTCATCAATGTACAAGAAATATGTAGAGAAAACAGACACGAAACAAAGATGCTTGTAGAAATATTTGCTAAGAAACACAATCATGTACACTGACAGATAGATTCTGTTCGTCTGTTACATCAATGTATTGGCGTATGTTTGAATCTGAAGAGAAGATTCAAGAATGGTTGATTATTGAATTTTGTCTTATCATATTTTTATATGATTATTTTGAACACACAATTCATAGATCGAGTGTTCACTCATTGATGGAAAACCATGCGTCAGATGGTTAAGTTGTATGATGTACACATGCATATTCATCGAACTTGTTCTGAAAGATCTCAGAAAACCGCGAGATGGATAAAGTCTCACGGTAGATGAATTCCTCAGATCATAGTTTTGTTTATTAATTAGTTTTAACTACGATTTGTTTTGAACAGTTGTGCGGTGAAATGATGGTCCGCACGTTAAAGGAACATCTATTATGACTGTAATGTTCATTAATAGCTAGAATCATTCTCATCAGTATCTACTTGCTCGATTTATGTAACTCGTCGCACATTAAGCGAATATTTACAATCTTACATTTGATTCAACTATTTTATTTATTCAAAACCACTGGAGTCATCAGAACTGTGAGCCAAGTGCTTGTAGATAAGTGAATGTTTTTATCAGGGTATAGGTCGATTATTGTATGAAATAAAAAAATAGTAGTAACGTTGGATGACTTCACACGCGTCTTGCATAGTAACTGATTGCGACTTACGACAGCTATAAATATTGTATTCGTGTTTTTCAGCTCATCTTATGGACGTATTCTCTTTCAATTTAACAATAGATACTATGCCATAGATGTATAAGTAGAACCATCACTTATTTATTCATTTACTCGTCCAGGCCATGATGATATATTTCGGTGTTGATCATTGACGAACAGTTGTATAGTAAGCATACAAAGCGTACGAAACATCAATTCATCTCTGTTGTGAGTTGTTTTACAAAGAATGTCACGCTACTGGTTAATTTTAGATTCACATAATAGGTGAAAAACAAGGACGCATGTTGTGTTCGTCTTTCACATTATTTTGTCACACGAATTCAATATTTCAGGAATCAGTTGAGGAACACACAGTTCATGAATACTCGTTTTCCAATGGCTCGTTACTCAAATAATCCTCTCACGTACATCAGAATATATTGCATCAATGTATTGATAGTGACATGATCGATGAATAATCACAAATTCTATCAAGACCGAGTTCATATATTGGACCATTTTGAAGACAATGCATTGAATACAAGACATGTTTGGAATCTAAGCCAAACCGGAACAGGTTTAACAATACCAAAAGATGTATTTGATCTCCACGTGTACATAAAAGTAGAAGTTCACTCTTGACTTTGAATTTGACCATCAAGTGACAGATGAAGGGATGCTATCAATAGCACATTCATCTACTCGGCCATACAATGAGTTCATGTTGGATACACGGCGCTAAATAGATATCATCAGCTATCCGTATGAACGCCACGACACTTTTCATATCCATGATCGTTTATAACTTGAACAAACTGGATAAGAATCTTGTAGAACCATAATTGAGCGGCACATGGAAAATGAATGCATCTCACATTTTCGACAAGATCTACCGCCAGAATATTATTCATCTATTTCAATTGAAGTAGATAGAAGTCGTTAATTTGATCGATGACTGAAGACTCTATCGATCATAAATAACTATAACAACTATTGTATTCATATATGAATGCGCCAATCAAAAGAAAGGCTTTAACTATACGGGTCTAGTTAAGGCTAAATATTGAGCGAACAAATACGAACAAGTTGAGATTGAAATTGGGCACATGGATCTCCTAAGTACGAACAGTTAATTATTTGCTTTCTGTACCACACATGCCATCAATCTAAATTTCGAGACATTTTAGTACGTACTCGTTATTAAAGTTCTCGCTGTTTCATTGTGTTGTCTATCGATTCTATTGATATGTTGATGAAATTGTTCTTTGAAATGCTGCATTTCGCGATGGTGCTCTTTCATATGCCTCGACAATTGTGATACTTGCTCTTTGAGTGCTTGATTTTCACTAACTAACGAAGAAATTAACGGCCGTAGGGATTCATATGAACATCGCTTTAAATGATTGTCAAGTTGACTCCGGGGTCCTGTCCATGAACATTTGATATCACTTGCGGGGCATGTCACGATTATCGATGGGCATGAATGCTTAATGTGATTATTGAAATCACCCCTTTCAAGGCCAGTTTCCCCACACGCCGTGCATTTAACTCGTAGTTCATTCAATACATCGATTACGATATCTTCCGTGATTGATATAAGATCTTCGGAGTGTAGAATCTGACGACATTTCGGACATGATGAACTACGTTTCAGCCATTGTTGAATACATTGACGACAAAATTTATGTTTTTTCCTGCAATTCGTTGAAACGGGACGGATAAATGGTTGGTCGCAGATACTGCATTTCAGCGCGTGGTTGATCGATTCTTCGTTCACATATTCATATCCAGTATTACTAGTCATCTGTGTAAGAAATTTCTAAGCTGATATACTTGCATCATCAAAAAAACTTACATTCGTTTTTTGTACTCACTCGTAGATAAATGAAGCATTGCGAAAAGTTAACGAACCTTACCTACGAAAACAAGAAAATTTGTCACTTTCTTGCCACCTCACACATAAAAGAGCAATATGATATGATAACTGTAGATATTTACATTGGTCATATCATCATACGTGACATTCTTTTCGCGTTATCTTTTTTGCCTTATATTTAAAACGCCTTTAAAGTAAGAGTCATCAAGAAAAGATGAAGCACATATGTAAACACAGTCGCAAATGATTAGAAAGATAAACGTCAGCATCAATAAAGCATATTTAGTTATCTTGTGGACACTTGTCAAATTTACTTTCGTTATACACTCTTTGCGAGACTTCTTCTTAGAAGGTATGTCAAAGTTGGACCTGCATTGACCGAGAATATAAACTTCTTCGAAACAAGCACCTGAAATAATGCTGAACAATACGGCACGACGAATTTTATCGGCGAAGTTGTTTTTAAACATCGAAGTAAAGAAATAGAAAGAATACTAGTGTGATTCGTCGGTAAACCCTCGATGATCTTTGTTCTTTCGTTCACAACATTATTCGATTACATGTACGAAGTGTATATATAGTCATACATTTGTATAGAAATACGTCTGTGTTTCTTTTCACATTTGAACCATGTATTGTATAATAGCTATCGTCTATTTTGTGTTAAGTGCCAATGCGTACAAATATCAAAGTATTTCTTTTTCCGATTAGGCAATAGTGACTTATTGATCTGATTTTCTAGTTTTGTTGAACGATGAGGAAGCATACAATCCATGTAAACCAGATTCTGGTGTGTTCTACTATCCACATCGAACAGATATACATCAATACTATCAATGTGATGAAGCTGGTAATGCCTATCTACGTTCATGTGGTGCCCTCGTTTGGGACGATCTCCGTGTTGCTTGCAATTGGCCAGATGCTGTAGTTCCTCAAGCTTCTTCGAGTATGTAATAATGAGCATAGTTATGATAACCGATAACTGTGTTTTTCCCAATGTTTCAACAGGCACTGCATTACCATCAACAACTACAACAGCAGAAAGCACCACTACCACAAAAAGTTCGACAACTGCCAAAAGCGCAATCACTACATGTGGCGAAGTCAATCCATGTGGTGAACATGGCCAATGCGTTGCATTACGTCGACGATTCGCATGTATCTGCGATGATAACTGGTTCGGTCGATTATGTGATAAACAAATTGACGAATGTAAGTTCATTTTTTTCCCATTCATTCAGCAATCAACACGATATTCCTTTCTCTTCGATCAGTAACAACACCAGCATTAAGTCTTGATCAAGTCAAAAATCAATCCGACTCTGAACAAACATTCTCCTTGCCAGTATATACAAAAGAAGATTCGAAATACATTTTCTACGGATTGAAAGGTGATAAAATTTCCAATTTCGTTCCAGTACAAAAACGAATGATGGATCCCAAAGAAATCGAAAACAAAAACAAGGAATCAATCTCTTCGGAAAAAGTCGCTTCGTCCAACATGGTTCCTGAACGTCTTTCAAAAGGCGATATGAAATAATAGAATCAGAAATTCTAATCTGTAATATCTAATCAATTGTTATTCTTTTTTCCATGTAGATGTGTTCAATCAAATCTTTTTTCTTCTATATTCATAATTTCACTCAATTCAATAAATCGTTAGAACATCACATTTGTATTTCTGTTTTAAGCAAAAGAAGATGCACACGTATTGAACGATACAGATATATGAATCAAAGGTTTTATTGAGAAGTCAGAGCATATAAAAAAAGACAGAGTTGTAACCTAATAGAGATTCTTATCCTACGAAATAATGAGACGATGAGACAACGAATAGAACGGAATGTTTTTTCTTGAATACGAAATCATATCTTCGATCAGTACTGATTGAGAATTGTCGATACCTGTGTGTTAATATCGCGTAATTTGCCACGTAAGTTTTCTTCTTCAGTTGTATATGCTTGTTTTTGTATTTTGCCAGTAACAAACTTCTCGGTATGACCGCTTAGTGCTTGCGTGATCTGACGTTGCTCTTCAGCAAGTTTTTGAAATTCTTCGATCTAATCAAAAGAATTGTATGAAAAGTTTTCACTGAGAGGAAATCTCACCACAGCAATCATTTCTTTGTCGTCAGCTTGAATTTTCGACTTCAAACCAGTGAAGTCTTGTTGAATCACTTTCAATTCATTCTCAAGTTTTTTCCGTTGTTCACTGTAAGCCTTTTGATCTTTGTTCGTTTTATACGCATGTAGAGCATCGTCTAATTTTTGATAGAAGCTTGTTCGTTTCACATGATTATCTAAGATTTGTTTCCATATCTGTTGAGTACGTGTACGGAATTCATGATTGTCTTGATTTTGAATCGAGAAATTCAATCGACCTAAAACTATCACCAGGCAAAACAAAGCAAATAATGAAACAACAATCAACATCGGTTCGTGTAACAACATGATCTTCTCGAATGTATAATGAATTTCAAAATCTTGGATATGTTGAAAAAGTGCATTGTGTTTAGTGATGACAATAACTGGACGGCCAACGGTATCTAAATAAGTGTAATGCTTTTCATTCGGTAAACGTTTTACATTCGAATCATAGATCGGTGGATAGAATTCGATATTGTGCGCATGTTCGGGTAGCACGATTTTCACAGTCACTTGTTCGAGTAATTGATCATCGTAGACGTGATCGATTAGACGCATTTTTAAAATGTATTGATTTCCTCTGGAATAAATTACATGAAGAAATACCTGGCATGAATGATGAATCACTCACCTGTTGAAAAGATATTGATATGACGGAACGTTGTAACCGATAACATAATGGGTATTCCAGCCGCCATATAGTGGAAATCGAGGACGGAGTTCAAGTTCGACCTGGTCGTTCATTTCTCGTACATTACTCGTGGAAACATTGCCAATTTCATCACGATAATAAATATCACGTGCAGATGCAGGCAACGACATCTAAGCAACAGAATAAGCAATGTTATCTGAGAGTCAATTGCATCCTTGTCTTACTTTAAATGACTTCACAGCTGATAAACTATCTTGCCGTCGTTGAAAATCCAGTCGAGAGAAAGGTCCGACTAGTTTTGCACCACTATGATACATATCGACGGTTTCCTCAACAGCAATATTTCCCCAATGTGATACTTCAATCCACCGCTGGAAGTTATTGACGGTTAAAAATGCGTTATTATTCTCATAGTGCAATACAATTTCATTTTGAGAATAAGCTGGCAGATCTGCGTACGTGCCATACGTTATTACTTGCTCACTTTTGCTGACCGGTTTGGGAGTTTGAGTGTACGATTCGGCACGATCTGTTGGTAATGTCACGCGTGTTTTTTGTGTTTCGGTTGAGTATTTAGAGTAGTAATAGGCATTGGTTTTGTATAAAACTAGTTGTCGTTCACTTTGGGTGATTTCAGCAGGATACATACGTAAGGCATGAACATGAACAACTTCAATTTCAAGTGTCAATGTTTGACTTGGACGAAGATCGTGTGGTAACTCGATACGATACATTGTTCCTCTATAAATCAAAAGTAGAACACTATAAAACAGCTATTCTCTTACTTGGTTTTATCGGTATTTTCTTGTTTGATTGGAAGAGCGCCTTGATCATCACTGTTCTTCCCTTTGACCTAAAACAAAAGCAGATTAGTATTATGCTCATCGTTCAACGAAAGACATACGATCGCGCCAACATAAGCAACGTCTTTGACATGTTGTGGTTCAACGTAGTAATCATAATAACGTGCGGGTTTCGTCCCGCGATTTTCGAATGTAACCGTTATTGTTTCTTTTGGCAGATGTGAAACAAGATCAAGCGCTCGTTCAACTTTTGTATTAAATAAACTTTCTTGTTCTTGTCCATCCGTAACAATAGCAATCGCAAAGAATACGCAAAACAAAGAAAAATGCATTATCTAAAAAATACAAATTGATTTCATTTATTTTGATCGAAACTAAACAATCAAAAACACACACACACACACACACACGCTAAAATCGAATCATTAACATTCGATTCTATGTATAAAAAAACGGATGAGTTTTGTTCCATTACACAAATTGCTTTACCGTGATTGACGAAGCTTGATTTTCGTGATTGTATGCCTAAATAATCGAAAAATCAATTAGATTATATTCGAATTAGCAATTGGAAGTGTTAATTCAATGTGAGAGTTTCGTGAAAAACAATAAGTCGGTGAGTAGTGACATCAAACATTACTTCGATTAGACTTGGTCATCGAGTAAAGGAAACTAAAGTGTTCTTCCAAACTTGTAGAAAAGAAAGTGGAAAGACAATTCAATTCATACCTGGTCATTATTTTCCATCAAATCATCTTGTATATCATGAACAGCATCATGAACAGTAGCTACAACTTTCACCGAACAAACTTGATTCATTTCAAGTTTTTCTAAAACGTCATAATTATAATCTGAAACGATATTTTTTTAAGTATTTGTTGGTTCGTTTTGTTTATGAATAGCCTACACCGTAGATTGCATAAATAGATTTTGTATTTACAATCATTCAGTTCTTTCAATGTTTGGAGAAAGATCTTTCCACCACTGTAATCCAATTGACTGATTGACGAACAATCAATGATGATACACGTTGCGATCGAACAAACGGGATTGAACTGTTTCGGATGAACTGTTCGATGTTGTCCTGTTTTTAAATCAATACCAACAGCATCTAGCAGACTTTCACGGAAATAGTCGGCATTGAAGTAGATAATCGGTGATTCAAAACGGAAAATTTTAATATAGGGAATTTCATGAACCTGAAAGAAAAGTATTTTAGTTTGGTAACAAATCGACGTCAAGAAAGATTTACATTGCTAAAACGTTTTGCAGTTTTGTATATTTCACTCCGTTCGTATTGACCAAGAATCGTTGTCCGCGGTCTAAAATTTCGGAGAATGAAAGAAAATTCATGTAAGGACACAAGCAACGAACCGAAACTGCCGAAGTATGACAACAATAAGTGATACTATAATGCCAAGGATAAGTCCATAATCGACATCAAGTATAACGGTACTAAGGAATGTAATAATCCAAACAATCTAAAATGAACACACTTCAATTAATGAGGTACTTTTCTTTCGTTTTGATTTACCGCTTCTAATTTGGTGACATGACCAATTGTACAGATATCTTTCATTTGCAAAAATAAACCTTTCAATGCAACGATAATAATCGACGCTAAGCAAGCCTAAGAGAATCGTCGTGCGTGGTTCATTCATGTTCAATAATCAATTACCTTTGGTAGAGATTCAAACAATGATCCTATTTGTAAGATAATCACAAGTAGAAATGCACAGGAAATCAAAGCAGCTGCCTATATAAAGTTCAAAATAAATTGAATCAACAGTGAGTAACGTCGTTTTACTTGAGTTCGACCACCGGTATTCACATAGACACTTGTTCGAGATAAAGAAGCTGCACTTGCGAATGATCCAAAAAATGAGCCGATTACCTATTTGCAAAAGGAAAACCATTGTATCGATTGACATCTTCTAACTTACATTGCATAGACCATATGCGGCTAATTCTTGATTCGAATTGACTGCATATTTAAACTTTTTCGCGTATATTTTTGCTAATGACATGCAAATAGCAAACGAAACAACAGCAATAATAAGTGCATCTTTGATTAAACTGGGCATGAGTACTAATGCTGGAACTTGTGGTTTGCGAAATCTAATTAGAAATCAATGTAGTAAATGAGTTTCACTAATTCTTCAATTTGACTTACCCACGACCGATTGTGTTGACAATCTTTACTTTATACCGACCATTCAAGTCAAAAGCATACGATACTACTGTGCCGATAATAATCTAAAAGAAAAGAACGAATAAAACGTTGAAGTACGTATTATTTTTAGATTACATACCACAATTAATTCGATCGGAATGGGTATTTGTACTGTTCGAAATAGTTTGATTTTTTTCAGCTGTTTTTTATAAAACGGCTCGAGGTATTCTTTCACAACAATCAATGTCACTATTGCACATACTGATATGACTAAAGTAGCGATATTCGTTTTCTTTAAACTGCTAAATATTTCAATATATGTCTAAGAAAAACAAAAACAAGAGACGATGTTTCTGGAAAGAAAGAATTCGTTTTACGTAGACAATATTTAGTGGACCAACACGCCGCTTCAAGGTTAAACCCAAGATATCAGGAACCTGAGATGTGAAAACCAAGACGGCCGTCCCAGTTGTATAACCACTGATAAATGTATCGGAAAGAAACGATGTAACAAAACCAAGGCGAAAAAAACACAAGATGAACTTAAAAACAAAATAGAATATATCGCCCGTCTCGTGAAATATTATTGATTACATGTATGATTCCGACTGTCAGAGCCAACGTGGTTGCAATGGTAATGGCATACTCTGGGTCAAGTGATCCATCATTCGCTGTACTATTTGCAATACTTGATTCAAGGGTAGCTGAGACTCTTTCTGCGTTGAAACGATCGACGACATTACCTGTCATCAAGCTGATGACTGCAATGGCACCTGAATTACGAACAAATTATTGTCGTTGATCAATATTAAAAAGTAAGATATTAACCCATAGATAAATGTCTCGACGTACCAAAAACAGCATAGATCAACGCCGGAAAAAACGAGACATATAAACCTGCATGGTACAAAAAACATATTGTCTTTTTGTACATATAATTTCTTACCCATAATTGCTGGTAAACGAGCCAGTAGAGCGTACGCCATACCTTGTGGAATCTGCATAATTGCAACCTTAACAAACAAACTGAGGTGATCTTTATTTCAGAATACATGATTACTTCATACCGTAAGTCCCGACACTAGATCGTTCGGTAACCAAGCCAATTCGTAGATTTTCAACCACGACAAAAAAGGAAAGAGTACTTTCAAATATGATTTGCCACATTGTTTCGAAGGTATACATTTCCTTTTGAAATAAGATTGTATTTGTCCAACAAGTACAATTGGTGTTCGGTCTTCGTATGCTGTTGGGATAAATACTTTATCAAATGATTTCTGTGTAATCACCGGTCGATCAACAACGATGTGATGATTTTCATCGTGGAGATTTGAATGAGATATGTCACGATCAGCATCCGATTCACCGGGCATGTCTAAGTACATCGAAGCGAACGTTTTGTTGGTTACACTCGAATTGAATTAATCTTTCCTCTCTCTTACACCGTACGCAATTGTCCTTTGTATCGTATTGAAAACATAAACGCATGGTGAAATAGATAAATACACGATGAGAAAGTGTATCTTTTCCTTTCCATTTATATTTCTTGCTGCACTTTAAGCACTCGATTTATTTTGGTTTTGTTTTTATCTTACATCGTGAACCGTTAAGAACATTTTTACGCGGAATCGTGCTGTTCGTAGAATAGAGTCGGATCGATTTGGTTTAGGAAGCCAATGGGCGTTGAAGAACTATGTACAGCACCATTCGAAGAGTTATTCACCTGTGAAGTGCCAAAGAAGAGCACAGCGCAAAAGAGACACAGCGAGCGCGTCGATCGAATGAAAGGTGATGGAATTGACCAATAGGAAATAGTTTTCATTTTAAAAATTAAATTAAAGAATAGGTTTCTCAATTATGTTTATTTCAATGATTTTTGCTTGAAACCACTGTTTATTAAAGTGCATAAATGTTATATCGACGAAGTCAATCTCGTTGTCACCAGGCAACACAACGTAAGAAAAATCATTAGATGGATCGTGAGCGTGTGTGTACGAAAGAGAAGAGAAGAGAAGAAAGAAAAAGAAAGTTCATTTACATAGTTAAATGCAAACCCATGTGAGACAAAACATTTAAACAGAAATGAAATCTGTCGAAGACGAAAATATACTCAAAGATATAGTAAGTATTCCTAGTCAAAAGTTAACTGTGCGTGTCTGTTGACTATAATCAATCTAGGAGAATGTCTACTTTTATTATATTCATATTTGTTTTTCCTCTGTTTTTAGTGTGAATCGAATGGAATCAATTACAATGCATTACAGCGTAATAGTGGAATTGACTCAAATATACAAATACTTGAAATGTTTTTTTCTGGTCTACCTCGTCTTATAAGTCTGCAACCATTTCCGAACCTATTCAAACTCGTCATTGTTAATCAAAATATTGAACATATCGAAGGCTTAGATACGTGCGTCAATCTACGAGAACTATGGATTACAGAATGTAAACTAACAGTGCGTACCTACCTTGTTTTGGATTACCGAAATGTTCGCAAGCGGATTAACTTCAAGTATCCAGTTAATGAAAGAGAAAAATTCTAAATACTTATATAGACTTCCTTCAAAATATGCCATCGGAGAGAAAATAAGAGAAAAACTTACAGTATAAGGACATACAGTCAGACATTTCTTGCATAGAACGAAGTATATTGAAGCTGTGACTCATGAGTGTAAAGGCTACTGGATTCAGTGTAAATAGTACAAGCAAGAAACTGATTAAACATATACCTTTGAAGGACTTACTACTTAAAAAAAACACCGTCATTGTTATTTCCTTTTAGTAAATATGAAATATTCGGTAATGTTGTCGAATGAATTTTGTACTTTTAGAGAATTGAAGGTCTTAGCCGATGTAGTCGTTTGCAGCGTTTATATTTGTACGCCAACGCAATAACAACGATCGAACATCTTAATGGATTACAACAACTCGAACACCTGTGGCTCAATGAAAATTTGATTACAAAAATTGAAGTATTCATTTTGTTTTGCTTTTCTTGTTCGCGATTGTTGTGATTATCACATCAGGGATTAGCCAGTGCAAAACATCTCAAAGATCTTAACCTTGCCTCGAATCAAATCAAATACATCGGTTTGTCTCTCATATTTTCGTGTATTATCAACGAAGTTTTTCTTTTCTCAAGGCATGTCTCTTGCAGAAAATACCGAACTCGAAGTGCTAAACCTTGCTGATAACAAAATCAGTTCCTTTCAAGTACATATTTTGCACGAACGAACATACCAACGAGTCTTGTCTATTCTAGGATATTACTTTATTGACCGCATTACCAAAACTACGTAACATTGCATTCAGTGATCCTGTGTATGGCGGAAAAAGTCCCGTGGCGTCCATGGCGAATTATCATGTTCATATCTTATACCATTTACCACATCTTGAGTATATTGATGGGGTGCATATATCGACCCGACAAGTTGCTGAACAGGCTGAAGTAAGAGATAAGGATTTGCCTTTGTTGAAAGGTCATTTTGGATATTTCAGGCAACCGTGACAAAGAAAAAGATGTGGTATCACATGAAATCGAAGACATTAGAACGTGAATATGATGAATTCGAGACTCGATTAAAACAATTACGAAAAAGGAATGAACATATACCGGAAGAACATATCCGTTCATTGATTAGAAGTCTTCAACAATTAAAACAAGAATTACATCTACCGGAAAAATATCAACGGATACGAACAGGTGGTGATGTAAGTGAAACGACTTTTAACCGAACAGAATCGGCTTCGATTTTCTTCTCTCGTAGAATAAAAAGGAAAAAATCGAAAAACAAATTGATATCCTTCGACAACGAGTAGTTGCTTGGCAAAACATTCTAAATACGTAAGATTTTCAAGACGATTAATGAGATAAACATTCGGCACGTTCTTCCATTCTAGTCTTACTGCTCAATATGAAACTGCTCATTTTATTTTACTACAACAAAAAGCTCAACTTGCATCGCGTATTCAATTAGAATTAATCAGTGGAGGAAATATTCGATTTGAAGAAGGCACCGTTAATGATGTTTGGTAAGGCAAATGAATCTTTTCGAACACCCGTCAATTCTCGCTCTCCATTAGGTACAACGCTACAAAAGATCTTCTACTCTCACGTTTTTGTTCGTCGATTTACAATCGATATAATATAACTGGTATTAAGATTCATCGGATCACACGATTGTTCAATCGACCGAAAAAGTTACAATTCGATCATAATTTGGATTACACTCTCGAAGAGGAAGAGGATTCAATCAAGTAAATGATAACGAATCGACTCTTTCGGAAAATGTTCTTTGTATTTCCCACTAGAACAAAATCGATTCAATCGAAATTAGAATACTTATTCTATACTAGTCAACCATCGCGACACGATCAGAACAATCATATGCATCAATTCACAACAATCGAATCGATATCTGAACATGGCTTTCCCAATGTTGAATTATATAAAGTTTGCTAGTTTATATTGTGTACTTGAAATCTATGAAGACCTTCATTAGGCAATGGGTCAAGAAGAAGCCATTCCATTCTCGAATTCGCTTGCTGTCAGTGATTATCTTCGTATTGAACAAGCAGGCTTCCACAATCGAGATAAATATCGTTTTGGTAATCTATTTGATTCGTTGACAAAGACTCTTCAACTGTCTCCTAAACTTAAAAGGTAGTGTTCTTTTGGCGAAAGTGTACATTGGCTCATCAACAACATTACCAAAAAAGGAGTTAGTTGTTTTTATATGCAAACTACATAAATCAAGGAATATTTTATATCTTTACAGATTGCCATTTCCTGAGTATCAAGCAGATTCAAGGTTCGATTGTCGGTGATGAATATTGTTTGAATTTCTCTCGTACATATTTAGTATATCATCTAAAAACTTTCCTATTCAAGCCAGTGTCACCCGTCACGTAACCTTTCCGGAGCGTACATCTTCGAAAACTGGTAAAAAATGCATAGAAAGTCTCGAATCTTCGAATTCACCTTTTTCCTTATCCTAAGAACACTGCGATTGCGGTGGCCTACAACAGCAATGGTTTGTCTTCGATCCACTTCATGCCTATGCTGAATATATAATTGAATATGAATATCTATTCTCCGTATGACATTCATCCTTATCTGGTTACGTCGAATTTCGCTTTCGTTGATCTTAGGTAGCGAACAATACGCTCAGTGATCAACTTAGTCGGATTAAACTTGGAAAACTGGATGAATTAACAATAACCAACTATAATGAAGAAGTTCATCATGATAATTCTATTCTTCCATCGAAAGATGAAGATTTGTCATTGAAAATGTTCGTAAATCTTTTGCATTTCGTTTGTTTCTAAGTCAAATTTCCTTCTAGAGATGAGTTGAATGAAGAAATCTTATTAGAAATCACTCACGAGAAGAATTTAGCAAACATAGTCGAACTAAATCTTGCTTGCTGTAACCTGCATTCAATAAAATTCCTATCGAACTTGAAAAATCTCCGTTCTATTAACTTAGCATTCAACGAACTCGTCAAATTGGACGAATTATGTTACTTTTATTCATTAGAATCAATTGATTTAAGCTATAACAAATTAGTAACATTCGATGGAATGAAAGGCTTAACGAAACTAATCTATTTAATTGCAACGAACAATTTCCTCAAGAAATCACTAGATGAAGTATTGACAGTAAAACGTTACTGCCCAAATGTCAAACATCTTGATCTACGTGGGAATCCATTTGATAAAGTAAGAAAGGTAATTCGAATCTTTTCGACAACGTTCGCTTATATTACCTTAGCCGGAAACCTATCGTCCTCGTTCGTTGGCATTATTACCTAATTTATTAACACTTGATGGTATGAACGTAAGCCCTAGCGAACGAGAAGACGCACAAGAATGTCAAACGGATGTATCATGCTCTCTTGTAAGTTAAAATATCAATAAACTCCGTTAGTACTAAACTCCGTTTATCTTTACTATAGGAAAATTTCATTCTTCACAGCCGAATTTATCCTTTTCGTCCGCGAGATTTACGTAGTTATTTCATTGCGAAATACTATGATATATATACAAATGATCCTCTCGGCATCCATCAACCGAAAATTGATGATATTTATTGGATGTCCAAAGTGACCAGCTTATGTTTGAACGATGTTTATCTGACTCAATTACCGGATCTTAGCAACATGATCTGTTTGCGTTGGGCGTCATTTGACAATAACTGTTTAACAAAAATTCAAGTATAATTATTCATTGAATGAGAAATGACTCACTAAGTTTGAACTGCTTTCAGGGATTGGACAATCTCGTTAAATTGGAAGAATTATCGATTGAAAACAATTTTTTGAAAGTTATTGATGGTATCGACAATCTCTTGAGTTTAAGTCGATTAAATGTTTCTAAGAATGACATCGCTGACATCGAAGGACAAGTGATTAGTAATCTTCCTCGATTGTCATACCTAGCTCTCGATCATAATCGATTGCACAGTCTAGCAAAACTAAACGGATGTTCGACGTTGATCGAATTGTATGCTGGAAATAATCTAATCAAGAACATTCGAGATATATTCCATTTGAAAGTAAGTTCAGTTCGTCTTTTCGTCAATGTTCGGATATTTTCTATGGAAAATTTTAGTCATTATCGAATTTACTCATCTTGGATCTTTGGGGCAATCCGATTTGTCATGAGGCGGATAAATATCGTTTGTTCATTATCTATCATTTGAAATCATTGAGAGCATTTGATGGTTTTGCGGTGGAAATTCAAGGTAAGAAGAATTGATGATTTGCCATGTGAAGATTAGATCGATTGTTTAGAAAGTGGCGAAGCTCGAGAAACATTTGGAGGCAAACTAACTGCAGATTTTATTGTGGAAAAACTTGGAAATAGCAATTTTTCAGGTAAAGACTTTGCTCATACGTAAATGAGACGATCAGCGCATCTTTGACAGATATCAAACATCTTGAATTACCCCAAAGTTCAATCCGTGGTGTCGAACTGAATGCACAATTTCCTGCATTGAAATGTGTCAATCTTGAACACAATCAATTGACTAGCTTCTCAGGCCTTATTCATCTACCGAATCTAAAGGTTATTTCTGATCCGAGTCAATTCGTTTCGGTAGTCAATTCGATGTTTTCAGGTACTCTGTTTGAATTATAATCGCGTGGAAAGTATTCTTCCACGTCCAACCAAACCTCGACTTGATCATCGTGGAAAACCCATCCCCGAAAATGTGGATAATCGTGTTGTGCTGGAAAATCTCGAGGTTCTCCATCTAGCGTATGTGTTCCTATTAAATAACTAACTTGGCTTCTTCTCATGGCTCATTTTCTTCGTAGGTATAACAACATCTCCGATCTAATTGCACTCCAATTGAATAAAATTCCATCTTTGCGATCGTTGTTTCTTCAAGGTAAGCATTTGTCCGTGAATTCGACTCATCTGGTTATTGATATATTCTTCTATAGGAAATGAAATAACAAAAGTCGAAGGTTTAGAAGCCTTGCGTCATTTACGGGAATTAGTATTGGATAAGAATAAGATTCGATTGATAACGGAGACGTCATTCTACTTTCAAACCAATCTAGTGGAATTACATTTAGAAGAAAATCGCATTCGAGAATTAACATTTTTTGATCGTATGATGAAATTAGAAAAGCTCTTTTTGGGTTCAAATAAGGTTACAGTAAGTATCAAACTTATTTACCGTTGAAAGTCACTCATCAAATCAATTTTTCATTGACAGGAAACACAGGAAATCGAAAAACTCAGCTTACTTGTGTGTCTCAACGAATTATCTTTGACTAACAATCCGGTAAAGGAGAATTCTTCTCGGAAAATTACTGACAATGTTTCATTTCAGGTGTCGCGCAAATCTTCTTATCGATTTTTCGTGACGCACAAATTACCTCAAGTACAGATACTTGATGAGCAATTAATTACCGAAGACGAACGATTCCGAGCTGAAATTTACTACACCGAATCAGCAGTGAGTATGAAAAGACATTCACTAGTGTCTAAAAACAAGTTAGTCTATCCAACGAACAGATTTCTGTTTGACAGAAGCGCAATCTTTCCGCAGAATCGAATATTTGAATAAAATTATCTGGAATGACATTGACATTTTTCTCCTATTTCAATTTTCTAGCAACAGGGTGCATCAACTGGGAATGTTAGCGAATATTTTCCTGGATTCTTGAGCTCAAACCCTCAGCAAACACAACAACAACAACAACAACCTATGCGAATCAATCAACTAGCGCTCAACGATGGTTACGGTAGTTCCTATCTAATTGATCAAAGTAGGAAAGACAATGTCTAGACTTCGTTCACTCTTGTTCCGTGTTTAGTTCGTCATCGACAAATGCAGATTCGTGCTGCAGCCGCCAATATCGGAAATTCCAATGGTAAAAATGGTAATGCGCGTTTTTTACCTAATGATCGATAAGTATCCAAGTAGATAACTTATTTTCCGAAACAGTTTTTTCTTCTGTTCTCTTTCCTATGCATGCTACTCATTGTTTTTATTTTTTTCTTTGTAAAAATCGAGTTCGTGTTGTGTATATTCGAGAATAAAGACGAACATGCTTTAATCAATGAAATAAATTATGAACGAGTAAATCTTGGACTGAAACCTGTTCAAATGCATTTAACATTACAACTCGCCGCTGAAAAACGTTGTTCGAATCGGGATGAATTACTCAAGTCTTATGAAAAAATGCTTTCCAACACTTATCGAACTACTGACTGGCCAAGAGAAGAACATTTAAACGAACATTTCCCTCTCGGTAATACAAATCCACTGTAAATCAATTTTATCTACTCAAATTTTTACAGTTAGTGAAACACTCTACCTGTATGGTGAGACGATCCACGCTGAAATATTTCGAAAATTCTTCTTTCTTTCCAATATGTATCGAGTTGATTATGTCTACATCGGTATTTCTACTCATGAATATAAGAATCTATCTGCTGGATGTATTCTCAATGGTTCATCGCGGAATTCGATATCTCACCACCGTCGACTTCTTCGATTACTTTATATTTTAATTAGCTGTGGAATAGTACTACTCTCGTTGATTATTTGTAGTATTATGAATGATCGACGACGTGCTAAACTAGAAAAACAACAAGAAGAATTAACTTTTAATAAACAAGTAACTGTTCCGCAAAAATCAATGACAGTATATGTGGATAAAGATCGAAAGTCTTCGGCACGGCGTGGAGATCCGACTCGTTTGACAATGGCACGTTTACAATCGATCATTGATGAACGGCCATCAGCTATACATAATTTTTCTCCGAGTTCGAATGTAAACTAATAGTCGACAAACTTCACTCTTGATCGATGAGAATCACTATCGCCCGTAGAACTAAATGGAATTGGCTTAATCAATGATGATGATCGAGGAGTTGTTTCACTATTAGTTAGACTACGAAATGTCGGATAGAATTGATCAGTAGCGGTTGATCCGAATGAATGGTAACTTTTCGGTAGAGTTTGCTGATATCTAGACAATAAGTCTAAACGGATGGATGGTGTTTCTTCGAACGCTTTGAACGTTGATGACAATGACGGAATTGTTGATAATGGTGGTTTAGTATTCAATGTCGAAGGCAATGTTTGACTACGCAATAAACGCGTGTGAGTATCCGGCGTTTTCGGTAGTTTTTGTATAAGTATTGGATTTGATTGAATGTTTATTGGTGGTGGCAAGAGAGACATTTCTACTGATGCTGACGAATGTGTTTTCTCATATTGTTCACGATAAGTTTCAATGATTTGTAACACAATGATGAAAATGATCGTACCCATGTAAAATATGAAAATACAAATCGCGATGTAAACGAGTGAAAAATATTCCGGATGAACTTCAGCTTGTGTAACACAAACGATTGCAATTGCAGCAAGAAAAAGATTGAACACACCAAGAACGTAAACGAACCGTCGAACTAGCAGTGTTCTCACATATTGATAGAAGCTCGGCGGCGAATCTAGTTTATTCGTGGCATTGTTCTTCATAGTAGTTGCATTCATTAGAAATACTGATGATTTTCGGCGTCGGCATCTTAATGGATAGACTTCATCTTGTATTGACAATATACTTTCCATAGTTTTAGCACTAGTCTTGACGTCTGCTCACATATGCTTGTGATCTTGTCAAATATGTCTCGAGCACTAGCATCAAATATCAAAGAGATCGACGAGTATGGAGAAAACGTTCTCATGAGAATTTATTCCGTTTGTTTCGGTGTCTATTTACCATGTAGAATATACTATTCACAACGTTCATCTTTCTTCTTTGCGTATCGAGAGACAAATATATGTTTAGAAGAAGAAAAAAAAGAGAACTACTAGTCGTATTTATTTCCCTTCGTTCTCTTTCTTAAGCTGGGGAGAACTTGCAAAAATTCATTAAATACAATGCTACATAGAATAAGAAATGCACCAAGAAAAAAAGCGAGCGATTGAATTATAAAAGAAAACAAATAAACTGTCTGTTTCAAGTAAAGCATATCCAATCAATGGTTCGATACGCATCAATGGCAACAAAAGTGATTCTTCTCTTGCTTCTGTGTCAACAAGTTATCTGCAACGATGATGTTGATAAGATACTTGTTTTCCATCCAACCGACAAGTTGATATGACAGTTCGAAGTGTTGAAAAACGTCAGAAACATTAAGAGATCGCTTACACTAACTTTAGGATCTTGTCTTTTTCTCTTGATATCGTTTGTCTGACGTCATTATGTGATGTTACTGGCAGATATCATTCAAAGACACTTCAATTACCTCTTTCTTTCTAGCGTATCTCGAATGTAATGTATTTCCAGTCCACACAGTAAAAAGAACAACAGTTCTAAACATCATATGCGTATTCGCATTTCATGCCAATTATCAACTCTTGCTTCTTTCTTCATATCTTTCTTCTCAGTAGGCGTAACATACACGTATTCTAGTCCTTAAAACAAAAACGAAGACGAAGAAATGTCTGATAGAAAAGGATGTTTCGCTCGACAAATGTGTAATTGACACCAAGTATTTGTTTTACTTCGGAGTGAAAAGAAAACCGACCGATGAATTGAATTCTAACTTCTTCTTCTTCAAGAAAAAACAAACCTAAGCAAAGTGGTAGACAAATGTTTCGCCATTTAATACACATAGTTGTCATTTTGATCATAATGGATCTGACTCAAATTACAGTCGAAGACTTAACTGCACAGGTAAATGCACAAAGCCATCGTTTTTCTTTGTTTGAAGGTCAATTGTGGAATGAGAGCAAAAGGCATTTCATCACGAGTCAGCTGCATATTTTTCTCGTTGGATGAGAATAAGACAATTATTTCATCAATCCTAATCGACCGATTTGCGCATATTATCAAATGAGAAGAGTGCGAATGACTTGTGGAACTTTTTGTCGTTGTAGAACGATACAATTCTCGAAACAACATCGAGTACAACCTCGAAAATCCCATTCAGCGAAAAATATAAGGTATGCTTATCTTGATTTCAGTTGTTCGAATGCAATCAAAGAAGCTTAGGAGATAGAATGAGATTAGTTATATTATATTTTAGAAATATTTCAAAGCAGCTGTTTCGAAACAGAAAGTATGTATGTATTGGGGACAAATCACTGCATGCAAAACGAACACCTTATTTCGACAGTTGATTAGAGCGAGAAAATCATCAGATGAGCCTTCTTTTTGTTTCGATGACACAATTACTACCGGCGATAGAAGATAATGTTTTTATATTCATAGATCTAATTTGTATTTCGACATAGATATAGCGAGATATGTCCGTGAAATAGGAAAAGAGAAATATATATCAAATGTACAACCGTATATATACATATAGACGCTTGGATATTATGTGTTGTATGTGATATAGTATTGTTTTATCAATAAAGATATCATCAGAAAGTTGGATGTTTCTCTTACAGATTCGTTTTTATTTCTGAAAGACACTTTTGTTTTTAAAAGCATGACAACATCTTGGCTGCTTGCGCTTCTTCTCGGTTTTGATGATGTAAGTTTTTCCTCGCCTTACAAGCAATCTCATCTGCAGGCAACCTTTCGATAATGTGGCGATAAAGTTCGATTTCTAACTTGTAATCGGTTTCCAAAGGAATACAAGAAACAGATCTAGGATCTATTTATAGTTCGTTTAATTATCACAGATCTATATTATGATATTTACCTCGATGAATCTTCTAATCAACTGCTGACTTCACATCTTTTCACTAATAGTTTGACTCATTGATAAAAGGACATTTACAGCCGTATTTTAACGAACAACTGTTTTCTCTAGGGTACTAAAACAAGCAATATGACTAACAATGGCACATCTTCAGTCAAGGTCAGTTACTATTTTCGTTGATATGAATATACGAAATTTTCTCACGATTTTAGCCAATTCTTCCACCACCAAATAAGCTTCTGCACGAATATTTACGTTGTCGTCAATTGGATTCTACTCATAAGCCATCAAGTAAATCCCTATTAATTAATCCTAGTACTTACTTGTGCATGTAATCATTTTATTCAGATATATATTCGTGTCGATATGAGTTTGAAGATGATATTCGCGTGTGCTGGCCGGCAACGAGTAACAACACATACGCAACGGGTGTTATCGAATATAATCATGGATTTGATAACTTCTACGATGGTGCTCGTAATGGAATCGAAAATTGTTTGTTTCTTTTTTCTTGTTTCATTTGGAAAAGAAGAGACTAAATGTGATGGCGTTCTATTCGTCTAGGCACTTTACAACGCTTTTGCCAAGAAAATGGAACATGGGCAGCGACTCTTTCACCTGATATACAATGTAAGACCTGTTTTGGCGATGGTCGTCCAGTGAAAGTAAATGAAACATTTGAAACATCTCTTAAGATATCTATTAAGCTTTTCTCCAATGTAGTTCAACTCAATTAGTATCATGATTGAAACGATGAGCTTGAGTTTATCTCTCATATCGTTAACTATTGCTGTTTTATGCATGATCAACGTCAAGTATGTTTCATATTTTTATGTAAAACTATTTCGTCTTCAGCCATCAGATGTAAATCGAATTGTCTACCCTCCTCCTCGTCCCCGTAAACCTCATTTTTATGTTATTCCACCTAATATGCCGCTTATATGCCGATGTCTCCTTACATTTAGACGACTTCATTTACCCCGTAACCTGCTTCATATGCATCTGTTTTTTGCTTTCATTCTTCGTTCGATCGTTAAACTCGTGTTTATCCATTCAATTATCGGTGGTTATACTCGTACAATGATCACTTACACACATGATAAATGCGGAAATACTGAAATTCTTTCCAAATCATCGAGTTTTTTCCAAGTAACTCAAAAAAAGTAACTTCTTGTTTTATCTTGATTGATTCAAATCTTATCTAGGTCATCGCGTGTCGTACTCTATCGTCTTTGTTCTGGTATACCGATGCTGTTTCTCAAACATTCATCTTTTGCGAAGCAATGTTCCTATTCACTGCGCTAACAAGTCACTTATTTCGTGATCGTGGCTGTTTACTATTCGTTTTATGGGGTTGGTTAAGCCCATTACTTTGGTTAAGCATATGGATCATATCGCATGTTATCACCGATAAAATAAAAAAGCGATCAACATGTTGGCTAGAGGCGGACAACACCACCTATTTCTACTATTTCTTCTATGTTCCATATGCGTTCTATCTTTTGGTTAATTTCGGTATATTTCTCTATTTGGTTCGACTACTCTATTCGAAGTATCAATCAAACAGTGCACAAACAAATCGAACAGGCAATAGGTAGGCGATAAACTAGAAGCATAATTAACATTACAGATATCAATCTGCATTGTATTGTAATCTGACATGTGGTTTTTGCATTCTTCGTAGACACTTAATCAAATCAATACTGATTTTAATTCCTTTGTTTGGTCTTCATTCATTATTTGTCATGTGGGTTTTTTATCATAAGAACGAAGGCCATACCATCTGGTACTACATTGCTGTTATATTCAAAGCTATCTTCGGTGATTTACAAGTACATATTAAACGAATGAAGCCGTTAACATGTTTTCTTCTGTCGTATTTCATAGGGATTCTTCACTTCGTTGATCTATTTTTATTTCAACACAGAAATTCGCTACGAAGTTCTTCGACAAGTTCAACGGACTTTGCTGAGTAATGATACTGTTCGACGTAGTTCAGTTGGCGATACCTTATCAACACGATTATCTGTTTTTCGAATATCATTCAGTCGACATCGACATTCATCTATACCGAATCGAAATGAAAGACGTCGAACGAGACAAAGTTCGTTTTCACCACCAGCTAATCTGGAAACAAGGCAAATCTGCTGGAGAAAATTTTTGACATTTCTATGCCCATGTCTGTTCAATCGAAATCGAACATTAAAACAAAAACAAGAACTCCATCAGTTGCCTATCAATGAAACGATTCAACAGCAGCAGCAGCAACAACAACAACAACAACAACAACAACATCATGAGGTTATACCAGTTATTGTATCAGGTGCTATACCCGATGATGATCTTCCTGGAATTACATCACCATTATTAACTCAAACACGTCCATCGAAGGGTACAATTGATAACGACGGAACAACATGTGATACATTAATTGTAAAGAATGGCATTGAAGATGAAATTCTTTCCGATGAAAACGATGTCACTATACATCAATCATCGTACAATGGTGAACATGCATCGAGTATATCAAATCATACGCCATTATTACCACGTAATCATGTTCTGAATCATGATCATCGATCAAACAGTGATGAACATGCAGAGGCAAATCGTACGATGAAAGATTTTAATGACAATAAATAATTAAGATAAACTTTTGTCATTATCATCGTCGATAGAAAGAAACGAACTTGTTGATATCTAAGTTGACTCCTACGTTTATCGTTTGCATTGTGTATATTTATATATGTTTAGAAAAGAAGTGTTTTCTGCTGTTCTTTTCACTTTTTACATTCCCCTATTGGTTGATGTTACTGAGAAATAAAAAGGCAAGAAAATTCTACTTTATTCAATCACTTCACGGAGTGAACTTCGTTCGCCACATTTCAATGGTCGAGGTCTTCGAACATTATCCGTCGTCACTAATAGATCCAATGTTGGCATATTTCACAGAGAATATTTATCATTTACCTGCAGAAGCATACGTAGGTGACTTGTCTTCATGTTGCATAGCAGTGATCAATCGGAATACTTCGGACACATTTCGGCCGACTTGGTGATCATTAACTGTAATTTGTCGAAGAATACCTTTGTCGTCAATGATAAACATTGCTCTAAGGGTATCAAAATAGGTCAGTTGAGAAAAGCTTGCAAAACAAACCGATAAGGAGTGCCTTCTTCTGCATTAAGAACACCATAGCTCTTCGCAATCGCCATTGACTTATCTGCTATTAAGGGATATTTTAAACCACGAATACCACCTTGTTTATTCGGCATGCTTAACCTAAGAGATACACTCGGTTAAGTTATGAAATATTCATTCGATTGAACGAACCATTTCAAATGACTAAAATGACTTTCAATCGAACAAGCAACAACCTGTGTATTCATTTCTTGGAACTCTTGTAGATGATCACTGAACGCAATGAGTTCTTAGGATAAATATAGTTATACAAGTCATAATCTGTTAACTAAACGTACCTGTTGGACAAATGTATGTACTAGAAACTCAAAATAATGAAACAAAATGTGATAATATCTTGATACGAAATCGATAACTTACAAATTCATGGGAAAAAAGAGTAAAACTAGATATTTCTGTTTGTAATCATTTAATGATATATCAAAGACTTTATCATTAAGCACAGCTTTTGACTGAAAATGAGGCGCAGGCTGTCGGAGACGAGGAAGCTCCATTCAAATAAATCTACTAAAAAACAAATAAGATATCACGTCGTATAATAGCTCGACTATCATCTATCGTGATCATGTAACGCATGACTGAAAAGAATACGAATGCATAGTGACAATACATATCTCTACATCTACCAATCGCTGTGTTTTATTCATTTGCATGAAGTGAAGTTCGAAATGAGATGCACTCCGAGACAACAACGATGTTCGTTCATGTTATTCAATGGGAAACTGTCATGGTAGGAAAACGATTTGGATCTTGTTACATCGGGCTGTTGCGTGAATCAGATTAAGGAGAATTCATCAGAATCAAACTATGATAATATTACGACAAGTTTTTATTTTATATATATATATATGAAAATAAAAAGTAAATTGTTGTTCTTATAAATCAGATTTTGATTGTTTGCTACTAGTTGAAGTCATTTTCGAAAAAGATTCCTAAAATTCAAATAGATTTATAGTTGGTACATAAAACAACGGTAAACTTACACGTTCGGAAGGAGAAGATCGAGCTGAAACTTCGAGAGCATAAAGAAACGGAATTATTCCCGCACAAATCGGTATGAATGTTAGTAAAAGTATATTCCATTGGCTTCCTTTCGTTTGTGGAAACGCAAAACGAAATGCCACTAAGAAGAATAAGAAGACGTATCAACAAAACGATTATTCACTGAAATCTTAATCTTACTTCCGAATAAACCAAACCAAGCAATCAATATTGGAGATAAAAATCCCAAAGAAACGATCATGAAATATTCATGAAAGATCGCAGAAAGAATAACTACACAAGCCGTTGACAAATTTCGACTACCAGAAAATATCTATAAACACATGAACGACAGTCAAAGTTAATGAATCGAAGAATGAAATTACTGTGGTCAAATCTTTGTAAACATAAACATAAAGCCAATCATGTACAATAACATTCCAAGAACGCCAAAAAGTTGCAGCTGATGTAAAATTCCACCAATCCTATAAAACAAATATCGATCGTGTGACATCGACGATGAGAATTTACTTCGTAGAACATCCGATCCGCAAATTGCAATAATTCGGCAAATCCGTTCATCCAACAATGGAAAAAGCCGTAAAAAGCTGAATAGAATGGAAATGATTCATTCCGGTATCGATTAAATCAAGCTATTACTTAAAATAATAATTAACGTTCCTGGCAACATGAGATCAAATATTGCTGTGATAACAAATTCAAGCGTTATTTCATTGACTGCGAAACATTGGGCGAAAACTGGCATCCAATAATAAGCAATGAGCTGATAAACGAGAATAAGAAGAAGGAGAAATTGACCAAACATTTTCCAGGCTACATTCCATTCAATCGTCGATGTACGAGGATACGTATCACGATAGATTAAAGTTGGTACGAACAGAAAATATAAATATTGATGCAAATGACTCAATTGTTGATCTGGATGGAAATTAATTGAAATTTCAAAAGAAAGTGACACTTTGAAGACGTACCAGATGCGCTTATTGTTTGTTTACTCATCTTTCTGACATTCTCACGTACAAATGAATGTACTTTCATTAATAGTCGCAACTAGAACCAGACCTTTATAGTATGACTAGAAACTATTTTCAATTACTTGTTCGGCAATGATTATTGCTGAAGACACAAGTGGTAATTGATGATAGATTATCTGCCAACAAGGTATAACCATTAAACCCGCCAAATAACAAATATAAATCGTCAACCATATCATATCATACGATCCTATAACGACATTACGAGAATTAATTCCGTCAGATCTGCGATGATGTGTCCACATGTATGAGCCGTAATAGACTCCAAAACTTGCAGATAGAGTCATGAGAGTCCAGACGAGAACAACGATATGTAATTTACCGACTGTCAATGATAATAACTCAAATGTCCAGTTAAGTCTAGTGATAAATGAGGAATTTTATTTTAAAAACGATAAAGGTACTCTTTTACCTTCCGTAATGTAAAAAATCGTTGACCATGTGCCGTAATATCATTATAATAAATCCAGCAGCAAATGCATTTCGTACACATTTGATATGCGAGACTTGAAATAGATCTGTTAGCATAGAATTTCGAGCGATAAATTCTCCTGTTCTTCGACGTTTAATAGAAATCTTCAAGGAATGTACGGTTCCACTATGTCGACGATTAATCGTCGGCATTTCTTCTTTTACTTCACTCATAATTTAAATAATGAATCAGACATTTATCAAATGCACTATTCACCATATAAAAAGATGCCTACGCTGTCATCTATAGAAAAAAAGAACACAGCCTGCGGTGCGCCAACACGTGTATTTCGTCGAAGGAATAATATATGTTCTAACTACTACGGTTCACTGAACAATACTAACTTGCAGAACGATCGATCAGAATAGAGTAGATGTACATACGTGCACTTTAATGCTTGCTTCATACACAAACAATATGGGATGACTCAATGACAAGTAGACTGTGTATAAATTTACAATTCTTTTTCTGTGTGTGCGTTCGATCCCTTTTACCGTGAATAAGAAGATAAATACCACAATAAAACGAACGACATAAGAAGACACAGAAGAACGTGCATATAAATTTACGATGTCCTACTGGGATTTACAAAACATATTCTTATACAGTAATTTATTGGATGCAACTGAAGGTCTGAGTGTTCTCTTGCGAGCTAAAGGCGTCCTGCAATCAAGCAGTTCTTCGCTCTGATTCGGCAATATCAACTGATTGACTCTGACATACGCATTGATGTTGATGCGCAAACTATGAATCATCGTGCGGAGGGCGCTGGTAATCGAATTTGACTATACGAAAGACATATATAGAAGGCGTAAAGTAAATAGAAAAAGAATTGCAATCATGATATCGATTGTTACTGTTGAATTACTTGAAATCAGATACCTCGCGTCCTTTTTTCAATAGTAATTATATTTATCGTTAAAAAAACCTTTTGAAATCACTAAGGAAACAGATTGTAATATAAAACATTTAATTCAAAAACACTCATGCCTATCAAAAATCAAACTAATACCAATGAAAACCGTTCGTTGTTAAATGAAGCCGAAGCCAAACCACTGATTCCATCGAATAGATCGAAGCAGAATGACTGGCTAACAAAACAGCTCAAACTTGTTCATGATAAACATGTCAGAGCAGTGCCAGGCAAGACATGTCGAATTAGTTCTGATTCCACTGCATACCGTGTTTAGGTGGTTACTATACTGGGTTGATAAATGATATGCATAAAGATTATGCAAACTTTACCGAAAAGGGGACTTTTCTTCAAATGAAATATCTCAAGTCAGTTATCCAACAAACGAAACAAACGTCACAATTGATTGATCGTTTCAACGAAGAAACACGTTTCGAAGAAAGAAAATTAGAAAAATTCAAAGCACCGATTACATTCAGTGCATCATCAATTCAATGCACACTTCCATCAGATTACCGTCAACTAGAGAATCTCTCGTCATTGTCGTTTCTCAACAGATATACAAAACCTACAGCTAATCGACAACAGATCATTCTTAAATTAATACGAAAACTACAACGTGACATAGTGATCGATCTCGAAGATGCCAAAGATGTCGTTTGCGAATATTTTAATTACAATAAAACATATGATGATATACACGAATTATTCGATTTCCTCGATATCAATTCACTGAATTCACTTCAAGCAAGTGAAATCGTTGTCATCTGTTGCTATGCCGAACGTTATTTTTTACATCGATTAAGTCAATGTGAAACGTTCTCTTCCCGACGACCTTTACAGGAAATAATTGATTTCGAGTTTTTAAAAAGAAAATTGCATGGCATTAAACTGTGCGATAGTCTACAACGATTGTTAACGACTTTACAAGAACCAACTACGAGAAAAATATAGCTGCGATGTTTCAGCAGTTAAAAACGAAATCTACAAACAAAAAAATGAAGTGTTTTAATTATGATCTTTGTTCTTTTTTATTCTTTTTCTCAATAATCGTTCGTTTTTGAGCTAGCTCAACAAATCTTTCATGTCTTCGTTGGGTTAGTTTGATTTCTTCGATCAGAAGCTCTCGTCGACGTTGTTCACGTTCAATACCGTCCACATCGTTATTTTCTTGATGAAATTTCATTGCCGCTTCATTAACACTTAAGTCATCGGTATACTTATCGACTTGTTTACTCAACCGTTCTTCATGTTTTTCAACAAGACTTCGAGTTTGTTGATCATCATTTAAAATGAAGACGATTTCGACATTTTCAGTAATATAATCACGGAACGAGAATTTCGATGAAGTAGAGGAAATATCCGACGAAGTTGATTGTACGATACGAATATTATTCAAACGGGTCATCGTACGGATCTCTGTTAGGTAGGGTTCGATAGATGTAGAGAAATCTTCCGAGTTATTGTGAAAATGAATAATGATATCTGAATCACGTGATAGACGAAGCATTTGCTTGAAATATGTTGTATTTTTTAGGATTGAACGAACGAGTTGAACTATTTTCGAATCCGTATGAATGACATGAGAAGTTTCCTTTGTTCGCATAGTTGGATATAGTTGATGTATGAGATAACCTTGTTTTCCTTGTGTTAAGTCATGCCATAATTCTTCAGTCATCGAAGGTAGAAATGGATGGTAAAGGATAAGATATTGTTTAAGTAGATAGTAGAGTAATAGTTGAACATTTGCCTTCGTATTTGGATCAGGTTGCTGCTTAAGAGGAATCTTGCTGAATTCGATGTAGAAATCACAAAAGTTCTTCAGAAATGAATCACGTAGGCTTGTAATGGCAAGATGAAATTTATAATTCTTTAAGCAATCATTAACTTTTCCTATTGTGTCATTCAACTCATTCAGGATCCACCGATCGACCAGACGATTTTCCACTAGTTTTTCTAATTTTTCGTAAGTCACATTCGAAAATTGTTCACTTCGAAAATCCACGTCAACCAGAGCAAATTCTGTGACGTATTTGTAAGCATTCCAAAATTTATTACAGTAACGTCCGACATAGTCGAATTGTGTTGGGTCAAAGCGTATCGATTGTTGAAATATATCATGTGATAAAAGACAAAGTCGTAAACCATCGGAGCCGATCGGATCAATACCTGATGGAAATTGCGACGCTTGAACACGTTTCGCACGTTGAATTTCCGTACGGGATAAATGCGATTGATCAAGACGTGTTTGTAGACATTGAAGACTTACGCCATCGATCACGTCCATCGGATCGATAATGTTGCCTACAGAAGAACAACGACTTTTTCAAGAAAATCATGAGATTGGCCTACCTAAGGATTTCGACATTTTCTTTCCATTTGGGTCGCAAATTAAACCGTGAAAAAGAACTTCGTGAAAAGGTGTTTGATTGGTTAGTTTCAAACTCTAAAGATTCGAGGATTGTGTACGAATAATTATCAAATGAAGAAACATTTACAAGCATAACCATCCGAGCAACCCAGAAAAACATGATATCGTAACCTGTATCTAGTAGTGTCGTTGGAAATTCTTGAGAATTTTCATTATGAAAAATAGAAACTGGCAGTAAGCCTGAAGAAAACCATGTGTCAAGTACATCTTGATCCTGTACAATGTGAATCGCATCGGCTGAGATATTTGGAAATAATTGAGCTGCTTTTAGTCTGGCTTCTTCCAATGATTTTGCTCCAATCCATTTGCAATCAGTTGACTTGGCATCGATCGAACAACGATACATTGGAATCGAATGTCCCCACCAAAGTTGCCGAGATAGACACCAGGGTCGATTGTTACTCAGCCAGTATTTCCAAACTTTACGTTTCGATGATGGTGTCAATTTCAAAGTATCATCATCAACAATCGACGATGCTTGTTGACCTGAAAGGATCGCAACTATAGTACATTCTAGCTACAATACTCAACTTACACATCTCATTTGTATCTAAAAACCACTGTTCTTTTAACATTGGTTCAATGACATCACCAGTTCGACTACAAATCGGTACAATCATTTTCTCTTGTTCTTTTTCGCCTCTTCTTAATCCTTGTTTTTCCAAGATTTCCAGTACTTTTGTTCGTGCATCATAACGATGTAACCCATTCAATTCTTGATAATAGGAGTGACTTGACTGAAGCTGCACCCGCCCCTGATCGTTTAACATTGTTCGAACAGGCAAATTGTGTTTTATTCCCAATGCGTAATCAAATGCGTCATGACCAGGTGTTAGCTTAACTGCACCAGTGCCAAAATGTTGATCCACATCTTCATCAAATACGATTGGTAGATGGTCATTTGGATTGAATGGATTCCGAACAAATTTATTCTTTAATGATTTATAACGAGGATCCTGCGGATGAACAGCAATACCTGTATCAGCTAAAATCGTTTCTGGTCGTGTTGTGCTAACAACAATTTCACTGTCTGATTGTTCATCGACAATTTTGTATGCTACGTTATAGAGCACGCCTAATTCAATTTCTTTCCCATATCCAGGAACGAATAGTTTTTGTCGCCCGTTGATTTCTTTCGAATCAACTTCAATGTCGCTGACGACAGATTGTAATTGACAGCACCAATTTACGATTCGTCGATCACGATATATCAGACCGTCGTCATACAGACGTAAAAAAGCATCACGAACACATTCCACAAGGTTTTTATCCATAGTAAAATACGCGTTCGACCAATCGAATAACGGACCTAAACGTTTCAATTGCGTTTCAATCGTTTGTCGATACTTTGAAGACCATTGATAACATTCTTCGAGAAACTTTTCTCTTCCAAGTTCTTCACGTAGTCTAGGAGCGATATGCTTTTCCACAATCACCTGAAAATGCATTTCAATATAGATTATGTTCTTTAGACAAATCTATTTGTACCTGTGTTGCTATTCCAGCATGATCATAGCCGGGCACACAACGAGCATAAGATTTCCGTTGCATGGTATGCCATCTTAACAGAGAATCATGAACGCATGTCGTTAGTGCATGTCCTAAATGTAGAGTCCCAGTTACGTTCGGCGGTGGGAAAAGCATTACAAATGGCTTCTGTTGTTGTTGTTGATCCTCAAGTACTGAAGGAAGGTACGAATTGGTTGTTGCTTGAGCAAATATCGATGCCCATTTCGGCTCAAATAGGGCAGGTTTATGTGTTTTCGACAACCATCGGTAGGTGGTCAACCGTTGTAAACAACGATTCAATAAACAAGTTTTAATAAACATTTGTTAGGTGGCTCTCCTCGAGAGTCACTTCGGTATATATCTATCTATTATATCAAGCGAAACACGAATATATACATACGAGAGAAAACGACAGAATCGAGAGAACAAAAGGTGTTAACATGCGCCCCTCCATACAGTGGAACGTGTGTGAATTTGAATGTGTGTGTGTGTGTGTGTGTGTGTGCGATGACTAATGATTCTATCATTGGTTCTGTTTCGGTCGACGAAATAATGATTATCGTGACCAGTGGTTCTGGTAGTTGTCGCTGTTGAGTGAGTTTGTTTTCTTTTTTTTTTTGTTTTTTTTTTGTTTTTAATTTTGCTTCCAGCGTTTGTAATATTGACTGCGTGTGAAGTAACTGATCGGGACTTTCTTTTCCCCATGTTCTCTCAGTTCGTCCGATTTGAAGTTGATTGTCACTTCGGATTTTGCTTCATTGATTCGGATCTGGTGCGTGTGGTGGACTTTGTCTTCTTGCAGCTGTGCCCTGATTTTTCGATAATCGTACCGATAATAGATGGGTCGTATAATTCGATGTACAAAGTCAGGACGAGTGCGTTTTCATCAGATTCACCGGAAACTCATTAATTTTCTTCATTGCTTCTTGTTGACTAGCATGTAATTGTCGGAGCTCCATCGAGGTAAAATCGATCCAGGCATCAGATTTCGTCATCTTGTTCGTCGAGGTTTGTATTCATTTGTATTTCGTCTGCCGAGATATTTCTCGGTGCTGTGTCTTTTACTGCCAGTGAGGACATTTTCGTATAGGCCGAATGTGTAAATAAAGATCTGCACTGATTTCTTCTGCTGTCCGTCGGATATCGTCCGCGACGTGTGTGGATTGGTTTACAAAGAACGAAAAAGAAAATTCGAGTAGATGAAAAATTCTTACAGTTTTCGGCTGGATAATTCCGATGATCCTAATTAAAATTTTCGTAGTTGATTGTGTTCCACTCTCTTCCCGTAATGGATGAGAAATAAATCACTCTTTCCGTTAGGATGAGTTAAGATTCCCAGTAATTATCCCTTCTTTTCAACGAGAAAAAGTAAAAGAAGAGTGGGTCACGGCACCAATATGTTAGGTGGCTCTCCTCGAGAGTCGCTTCGGTATATATCTATCTATTATATCAAGCGAAACACGAATATATACATACGAGAGAAAACGACAGAATCGAGAGAACAAAAGGCGTTAACAACATTCATTCAAACAAATCTATAAGCACATTTGTATGTAAAACTGTATCTATAATTCTGTCAGTTTCATCCGTATGTATTCCAAAACAAGACAAAAAAAACTGTTTACACAAAACTTGCTCATTGAAGAAAGATTATGAGGTGATGTTTAAAAAAATCAGAGACAGGTTTAGTTGTTGCATTGGTTTTCCTTTCTTTTTTTTCGAACAAGATAATGTTGATTGTATTCAACTAACAACATGAAATAAATATCACTCAGGCAAGAGAACAATAATAATATATCGAAAAGCACACACAAGCAAGAATAAAAACAAATTTGAATGCAATGCTTTTTCGATCAAGTAAACAATCTTGGATGGTGAGAAAAAAACTACGATTTGCTGTTGGTGTTAGAGTAACTGATGAGGCCTTCTCAATCAAGGTCGTATTAGTTGTTGCAACTGTCTTTTTCTTTTTATTTTTGCGAGACCGTAAGACACTTGAAGATTGAGCTTTGTCGCTGAAAGAAGAAAAAGAGAAGCAGGTAGAACAATAATTGATTCTCAAATGATATTTACTCATCAGGCGATAATTTATCCTTGGCAGTTTCGACGAGAACAGCCTGTGGTTTCTGTTCTTGGATGATTGACAGTGTTTCGATGTTGTTCTTTTCATTTTCAGATGGTATTTCACGTGAATCTTCATTTGTAACTATCGGGTTGACTTTTCTAGCATTTGATGCTCGAGATTTTTTCTTTGTAGATGGTAACTTATTTGTCTCGGTACGTAATACAGCCGGAGTGCATGCTTGTTCAAGTGAATTGACCGACTGTTCTTGTCGTTTGAGTAATGCTTCAGATTGTTCGGATCTCTTATTTGTACTCATCAATGGTACATGATCGATTACTTCACTTGCCGCGATAGTTTGTTCCGATTTCTCGAGTGACACTATCGGTGAAATGACCCGTTTCTTTGATAATGTAACATGCTCTTGTTTGTCACTTGAAGCAGCTGGTTGAACTGGTTCGCTGTCTGCTTTTGTTGATGACGTGTGGATAATATCAAAAGATCTATCACGTTTGTGTCCTGTTGCTTGCTCGTTTGGTAGTTTATGTTGATCAGATTCTTTCACAACAGAGACTGGTTGTTTGTTGAATGTTGAAAAATCATGGTTTTCTTTATTTGACGATGCAACTTGCGGAAGTTTCTTCACGTTATGATTGGATATTTTACTGTTAATTGCTGTCGATTTGTTCACTTCATCGTTCGACTGTTTTGTAATCATAATGACAGAGTTTGAAACAATACTTTGGATTGGTTCATCAACGATCGGTTGTTCTTCTTTTCTGATGATGGGAATGAGATTCGTTACCGCTTGTAATTCCGCTTGTTTATAATCTTGTGGTTTGCTGATTGATGAGATTGTCGAAGGTGCACAGTCAGATTTGTTATCTTCCGTTTCTTCAACTTTAATTGCTGGTTGTTCGTTAAATTTCGTTGGTATTTCATTAACGATTTTCTTTTTTACACGTTTTTTAGTTTTATTCTTAGGCACTGTAGACAGAATTGGTTCATTGGTGGCAGTTAGTGGAGCAGATGTGTTATTTTCATTCAATTTTTCTGCGCTTTTTTCGTTTGACAAGATAATCGATGCTGATTCTTCCATTGTAGGTTGTTTTGATTCTACATCTGTCGCAACAGATGTTACTGTTATTTCCGGTTCAGGTATTTCATTAAATAACAAAAATTCTTCGTGTGATCTTTCCCGTACGGTAACATTTGCATAATCAGACGAATTATTGTCAATAAGTTGTTCAACGTTTTCATGGTTTACTGCAGATAATATCTCGTCTATGTTTGATGTGTCAGTTCGTTGCATTTCTTCGCATTTAAGGGTGATGTTTGAGGAAATTTGCTCTTGTTCTGATACGATTGGAGACTTTTCAGTTTCATCGGATTCTTTAGTATTTTCATTGGAAGGCTCACCTATGTTCAATGGTTGTTCATTTTCTTGTGGCTCATCGAGTATTGTAACAGGTTGATCTAATGTTTCATTTGTAGGAATTGAAACTTCCTTTTCAATGTTTTCATTATTCTCAGATTGATCTTCTATTTCGACGTTCAGTTGTGTCTGTTGCTCGTTTATAGGATTAGTCTGTTCAACTGTTGACGTGGATTGTTCGACATTTTGGCATGCAACAACTGATTGGTCCGATTTGCTCTCGTGTTCATTTGAAACTGGTAACGATACCGATTGGTCTGATTTCCCTGGAGTATCATTAGGTGAAAGTTGTTTTTCAGCTATTATAACCACTCTGTTATCATGACTGTTCACAGTAGGCAAGTCACTAAAAGAAAAATATACAGACTCCGTAGTAAATCTATGTATATTATCGATGTGACATTTCAAATGATAAGCATTCGTTCCTACACACAGACTCGCCTTCGACGATGCAAAAATTGAATTATCAACTGAAACCTTAGAGAGTTTCTCATTAGCATGAACAATAGAGTCTTTATCGCGCGACTTGATCGAAACTTTAACATATCTTATGCAATAGGTCAATGACATCGTCTTATCCTCTAATTACAAATTCTTTCTTTTTCAATACCTTTGTAAAGTTTCCGTTTTCTCCCATTGATTTTTTCTTTCTGACCGGCTATTACGCTGTTGCTGTTCTCGTTGATCGTTAACTAATCGAGGTTTTTCTACTGTTCGTAAATTTGTTGATTCACGAGGACCACCCGCTGATAACACTGATTGGCCTCGAGAATTCATCGGTAAATCTTTATGTCCAACTGTTGAAATGTGCTGCTGCTGATCGTCTTCAATACAAGTCAAATATTGATCATTATTATTAATTACATGTGTCGATTGTCCTACAAATAAGAAATACATATTGATTTAATCTATTGCATCACCATGATAAAATGATTTCATTGACATTTACCTGTTGATGAGATGCTTGTTTGAATAACTGTATCAAGTATTTGTTTAGTGTAAGGATTACTTTGTAATAATTTACTAGTATGATTCGTTTTAAGAATAGCGAGTATATTCTGTTGTAATTCAGTAAAATATCGAAACAAACATCGTTCGCTTTGATCTTTTTCGTCGATTGCTGTCAACGTGTCAAAACAATAATTAGAAATGGTCAAACATAAATAAAATCGTTGTTTGTCTTGTGAATGAGCAGTTTCTAGCTGTTTCAAATAATCGAAACATTTCATCGTTAAGTATTTTATACTCAATGGTACTAAATATTTAATGATCATCGATAAATAATAACCATTAATCCATGTTTGAAGATAAAAATCTTTGATATAGACTTGAATCGAATTGAGACTTTGATTCAAGATGCTGTTCAACCATTTAACAGTGACACTGCGATCTTGACCACACCCTAGTAGCGTGTTTTCTACGAAACAGTTCTTATTTGTTATGCGAAAGCCTGGAAAATCGAATGTTTTCATTATGATCCATAGTAGAGCGAGGATTTGTTTGCGGTTTCCTGAAACGATTTCGTGTGGCGAAATGTTAATATGTTGCATACGTGATTTTAAGTAATCTAGGACGATCTGCACGTTCGTTAACGAATGAAACCGTGTGTGACCGCGTTCACGTTTGAATTTGCTTGAAGATAAAATTTCGATCAGATCAATTAATACATGTCCATTGGATAGATCTTTGATAAAATCATTGATATGAAGTTGCTCATGATCTTTTCGCAATGACAAATGATGATTGATGAATTTGAGAAAATTTGTTAGTTGTATATCATCCATCCGTTCGTGTAATTCTTCGATACGTTTATTTGTATAATAATCGTTGCTTTGTTCTCCTGATGAATGCCGAAGAGTTGTAGATGTTTTGTTTCTTTTCTCGTCTGAGCATGTAGACGACGAGATGGAATTGGTACGAAGAGAAATACTATCCCTATTCAAGAGCATTGATGTTGAAGCACGCGATGACGATGGAATTGGACAAGGCTTTGTTGACTGATCAACATTCGAGGGATTTTTTGTGGACGACGACGCCAAGGACGAACACCATCCACATCGTTCAATGTATGTTAACATTATGAAATAACAGTACTCATTGTGGGTAATATCGTTAACATAATTGAGATTCTAATGGCAAAATAATCATCACCGACTAGATTTCACGATTGAATAGCACATAGATTTGCCACGACTGAAAATACAGAAATTGGATGGGGTAATATATGATGAATGAAAGTAAAAAGAGAAAAAAAAGCGATTAGTAAAAAAGAGAGAAAGACGAAGTAGGAAAGAAAAGGTCGTTAACTGACTATGTGTTTCAAATTCGCATAACAATGAGAATATGTTGACGTACTTTTTCTTCGCGGACGAAAAATTGACTAAACACATACTAATGAAAAACAGCAGTTGAATTTATTCGAAAAATAAACATTTTCATCTGCTTTCTTCTTATTCAGCTGATTATATTCGATACTCTACTCACAGTCAAATCAGTTTCATTCTTTTTCTCTGTCTCGTTTTTTCTACCGTCGGCAGTAGCAGTAACGATTAATGGCGCTATTTCATTCTGTTGTTTCCCTCTATATAATTTCAGTCTCTCATCACTCACGCACGCTCTCTCTTCTCGCCTACTCATTCATTTTTTTCCAAAAGAAAACAGTCGAATTCAATGACGCTTCTGAGCTGATGTTTCTCTTGTGCTGCTGACAAATTTCTCATATTTTGTCGCGTCAAAGAGAAATGAGAGTAACAAGAAAAGAAAAGAAAAGAAAAGAAAAGAAAAGAACAGAGAATTAAATGTGAGCTGGCATACGCGGCAGAGAAGAAACAACGATCTTTTATATTCATTTCTTTCCGTTTTTTCTTCTTCTCCTTCTTCTGTCTATCATTATCTTAATGTATATCAAGACTTGCGGTCAATATTTGTTCACCAGAATAAATACCGGATACACTCACCTAATGTCTATAGACTATAAGAACGAACCTTCGATCAGTCAACGAAATATGCTCGATAATGAAAATGGTTACGGTGACTCCTATTACTATGCTTGTAGTATTCGTTGAGTTAAGAAGAACATGTTCATTTCGCCTTGAGTGTTAACGGGTGTAAAATGGCCACCGACTATTAGTTGACTAAATGAAAAATTACTATTACGTGAGGTATACACAAGGGAGGGAAGGAAGAAAATGAGCTGTTGAATACATCAAATTGAGCAAATAGCATAACACATATAAGACAATATAACGAAGGAAAGAACGAAAAGATTGAGTCAGACTGACGAGCTTCATATGTTGATTAAATAAGAAAAGAAACATTCGCATGTACATCATTTAGACACGTACGTGTATATTAGCTCGAGGAAATCTATCTTTTGACTTAGTTCAGGTCATTTTTCGTAGCACATAGGAAGAGGTGCAATAAAAACGGCCATGCTTTTTCTTTATAATCGCCTCGCTACATTAACTAGTTGAATCATGCAGAAGAATATTTATTTGACGCATATTTGAAAGAATCCTAAAGAATAAACTATTTGTGTAAGAAAGAATTTAAATTATATGAACCAAAACTAAACAAACTTTGTTTTTTCTCGTGCTATTCGATTATAATATACACAAATTTCACCGTCTGATGCACCACGCTTCAATACTTGGATGTAAGTAGAAGGGGATACATGACACCCTCAATCATTCGATATATAAAACATGAAATCATCATTCGTCTGTGTCTCTAAAGAAAACTGTGCGAATATTAGTGAGAGTTCCTATTACTCAGTGTAACATACTATTAGAGTAAAATAGTTCTTTTGGGGGAGAGGAAAGAAGGTTTAAGATTATGATGCAAGCGGATATACTTAAAACATCACCTTCTATGAAACATAAAAACTCTATACATAAACAAACATATGCAAGATTGTTGACGTTCTTTTGTAAACATAATATTTTTTGTCATTACATAAGTACTTACGATGATATATTGATGTATATCAACACAAATAACACTTTAGTTTGAAAAAAAGGCAGTGGCATTCACGATTTTTGATTAAATCCACACGACACGGCATTTTGTTGCTGAACACAATCGACAGTATGCGCATCAACCGATGCGGTGATGTTCTTCGTTGCACCATCTGAATATTGATTCAGACATACAACAAAAAATTCGTCACGCAAAAAACGATTTAAAAACCAAATCTTATCCGTACGATCGATCAGCTAACTCGTATTTCCATTGGTTGAAACTTTCTACCAATCAAAATATCTTCCTTTGCCTCTCCGAAGAAATTATATTAGAAAATCTTTAATCGCATAGAGTATTTTTCAATAAATATTTCGCTTAAAAGCAATTTTTTGGAAACTATTTCGATTTCTTTTTCTCAGATATCCCATTGACCAATCAATACGTTGTTTATTGTTATTTATGGTTGCACCTCACTGACATATCACAAGGAAGAAAGATAACGCTACCATTTTTATTTGACATTCATTTCATTTCGTTGTTTTTCATTGGAACTATTTCTTTCGTATTACACATAAAAGAGAAATGAATGGTAGTAAAATTATTTTGAAAGCAGCTACGAAGCTATCGCTCGATCAAAGGTATGTTCCAGACCATAATTTCCCACTGAATTCATATAATTTAACGACTGAAAACTAGATTCGGTGAAATTGCGAAACAAGCTCCTCCGACGCCTCGCATTCCTCAACAAACAAATGTTATAATTCCGCAATCTCGCCGGGAATTATTTGCAAACAAACGATCAGCAACACTGAACATTGCCACTCGTCTTAAAAAGGTACGGAGTTTTTTCTGAAATATTCGTTGTCACCAAGGACACTTGAAATTTTCACATTGCTGAGATCAAATCTAGTTTTGTTTTGACTTTAACGTCTGATTCCTTCTAGAGGAGTATCAACTATCGACGTGGTCTTGATAATAATGCAATTACAAATCGGGCATTTAACCCTCCTCGTGCACCACGTGTATTTCAACGTCTCAGCGGTGGTAATCGAAGACGTGGAGGTGGTGGTGGTGGTGTCAATTCGTATCTTTTCGGTGGACAAAGTGGAATGGGTGTACGACTTGGTGGGCAAGGTCGAATTGGAAGTATGTTTCAGTGTATACAGTCGGAAATGAATACATCGGAATGCCTGTTTTCATAGCACGTATATTTCGTTCGAAACGACGTGGCTTTCTAAACAACAACATTGGTGGCCGTTTTGGTGGCTTTCAAAGACGTGGAAATAATAATAATCAAGGTCGACGTTTTGTCAACAGGTAAAAGATTGTCAATGATGGAAAAAGTAAACGAATTCTTCGGTTATTCAATTAGACCAAATCGAGGTCGTGGCGGCAATCGCGGCGGCGGTCGTGGCAATAAGGCATTTTCACGTGGTCGTGGCAATGGTCGAAATAACAATCGAAATAATAATAATAATAATAATAATGCAAATGTCTCAAAAGAAACACTCGATAGCGACCTTGACAAATACATGGCCCAAACGAAACTTGATACCGATTCAGTTGATATGAACGCTGTTTAATTAATTATTTAATTACTCAATAATATTAATGACATTATGAAGGCAAATAGAGGAACAATCCAATTTATTGTCGTCTTTGTATACTAATACCTTATTGTTCATGTGTGCGCATATCTGCAACGATAGATGCTTGTCTCTTTGTTTCTTCTCTTTCTCTTTTTTTATTTATCAACATGTCATGAACTATTATCCTTATATCATCATCGCTATAACAAGGCAGAAATTACAGCGTATGATGGCATACATTTGTTTTGTTTATCATTCATGTTACATAATAAATCCCTTACTGAAAAGAAATTATTCTCAAACGTTTAATGTAGAACAGGTTTGGTATTGATATCACGGAAGGAAATCACTGGCGGTGAGTATGAAAACGTGTTGTAGTGAAAATTCAATTGGTTTCTGTTCATTTCAGGTTATGATTAGTTTGAGAAACGAGGAAAAAATGGATCTTAGTTAACTCAATCATCTGACCAACTGATAGGTAAGCATTCAAAAGTCGTGTGGTTCTACCCTGCTTCATGACATTCGAGCAATAGCAGATGTACGTAAGAACGCTTTCCAGGGGTCAACTATATTCTAAAATATTTTTGCAATGGTAATCACCGACAAAAGAGCTAGAGAAATTTCACGCCGAGACGGCAATTTTTCCTTCAGTGAATCATCGCATGGCAACAGACGTTCGATCCTTGATGAAATAGAAATATCGCACATAGCTTCATGCATTCGCTTTTGCAATTAAAAATAATCTTTTTGCTTTGTTTAGATAGGATCCAAATGCGCATGTATCAACATTGCGAAAACAATGGGCATAGAATAAGTGATGTTCTCTTTGTTGCAAAGAAAGAGCCAAGTAGTAATCCACTGAACATCGTACAAAAAAAATGTAGAAATGCTGTTTGGTTGAAGATTTTCGCCATTGAGCATCGATGTTTAACTCGATCTAACTGCACGAAACATGGGTTACACTAATCGAGTCGTTCGTGAAACGACAATGAATTTGAAGATTTCTAGTAATGAATTGTTTGATCGAATTAATTTTTTTCGTTTAGTCCATATTCAGAAAATGAAGGTGTAGACGGAGTCAGTATGAATAACAGCAAACTCTTCCATTTAGCGATGATTTATCGACAACTATTTGCAATCAACACAATAATGTATACACGTAAATTAACAAGTCAGCGCAATCTCGTCTATTTACATGTCGTCAAGTTCACCATACTATGGCACACTTCTGGCTGTGTTTACACTGAATAAAAGACTATAAACCCAATTTTTTTACTTTTTAATAAAATTTTTATTATCAATGTCTCTCTGATAATAAATATGTAAATACTCACGTGTTGATTATTCTGCAGTTAAAATATTTGAGTTGATCAAATATAGAAGACGTGAATTAATGCAACTGAATGCTGTTGATGTCCAGTGCCAATGATAGATTTTCGCTAATCATGGTACGATCTAATGCATAGGAACATATGCACATAACTTTATACATAATTGGTAATCCACCTCCACAAAAATATCTGGTAACATATTTTCTCCAAATGAAAACCAAAACAATGTTATATTAATATTCTCCTTCGTCGGAGTTTCTGCTTCAGAGTCGTACGATGACAGAGCCTAGTCGTTCAGTACGATGGCTACAAATATTTCTCACATTATTCTATGGTCAAGTTATTTCAACTGGTATTTATGAATACATCATTCAAGGTATTTCCGGCTTGATATCACGTCTTCGACCAACCTACGATTCAGTTCTTCTGATTGCCCTCGGTTTACTCATGATTTCATATGTTGTATATGCTACATTAGCTCTATGGTACTGCCGCACAAGAATGTCTATTATTTCCGTACTGATCTTGATCTGTATTCTTGGATTGACATTAACGAAAAGTATTATTGAGGTTATCAATATGGGTCGAATTCCACTGCGTATGGAATGTATTCTCATACGATCGACTGAACTTGTTTTACGAATCATCGGCATTGTAGCTAACATAGCCTTTATTATCTGTTTGAAGAAGAAGTATAGACCAGAAAATTTTAAGTAAAATAGAGTCTGAGATAGTAGTCCGCAGACAATAAATACATATATACATATCTTTTTTTAAGTGTATAAAAAATGAAATAAATATTTAGAAACGAAATCTCCAAATATTATTCAGAGTTGAATTCAAACGTTGAACTGCTGATTTGTTTTGGCCAGTCGACGTTTGATTCTGGGCAGCTTTGTTGTCTTCTTCTGGTTCGGTGCTTTCATTATCGGCGACAGATGTGCTAATGTCAATGATAGGCCACGGGAAACTGTCACCAGCATTGATAAAGACAGTTTCAAATAGAAATTTCATAATTCGTCTTTCATACTCATTCGGATCAACCACCGAATATTGGCGACGTCGATTAGGATCGGTAATTGTCTTCAATAAATGTTCCATCGATTTCATACAATCATATGTCTGAAGTATATCAATGATAGCTAAGTACAAACAAACACGTTGATTATTTCGGTTGACGATGCCTGGGATCGGAAGGGAAGCAGATGCAATTCTATCATTATTGTAATAAACACTTGCATCGAGTTTATCTCCAAGCATTTCTAACGGTTTTAAGTACGAAACAGGTGAAGTTGTCGGATCATTTAGAGAATTCGACGGTAAGCTAAAAAGGCGATGTTTAATGACTGGCATCAATGCGAATCTCTGGCTCATATGGAGAAGAGCTCCTATGCCTGCTGCGGGCCGTTGCTGTATAAGATCATCGTTTGTCATATCTAAATGTCTAATACCTAATATCAAGGAAAAATCCGTTATTCGAAGCTTTTTCAAAACTTTCACATCATTGGATACTACCAAATGCAGCCGGTGATAAACACTGGAAGGTATACGTATTCCATCGGGGTATAAATCTGTGAAATCGAGATCTTTCAATTGATGTAATTTATCGACGGATAACAGTCCAGCTATTTTTCTTTTCATTGTCGAACCTTTAAGATCAAAGATTTCGTTGACTTGCAATGATGGTGTAAATGCATTGACCATAATTGCAATGTAAGTTTCAGTCGTCGATATCGATGTTGGAAAGCGTATGGAGTACAAACCAACATAACGATTCAATATCGTTGGACGTTGATTTAATTGCAAATGATAGCCACCTAGAATCTGCATTAGTAAGCGTGCTTCGTATTCACGAAGAGTTTTCAAGATAAATAATTCATCAAATGTCTTATACATTAATGAACCGCTTTTACCTGGATTGGTAAAATCTTTGAAATGATGCTCAGAAAATGATTGACGAAAAGTTCGATTTGGTACACCAATATCGTCACGTATTTGATAGAAAACAGTAGGAGCTAACGAACTGATATCTAACTCAATTTTATCGATTGATGGTGCTTCAGAGTTCTGCCGTTCATCATGATTTGGTTTGAATGTATAACGGCGGGTATGATACACGCGATGTTCAGTACCAATTACAGTAGTATCGTTTTCTTCATATTCGTTAGGTTCCCGCAAGATATGATCAAGTAGGTCGACAATAGCATGACGTAATGAACGGCCGATTGTTGATGCTTTCGAATTGATATAGCTCAACTGAATAGGGGATTTGATATATGATGCAATGTGAGAGTTTAGTGGATTCCAGTAATCATAACTGTACAGACCTTCGACTATTTTGCTAGTGCTTGCATTGACATGATCATGATTATTATCCATTTATCGATTCACACACAAAAGGATGATTTACAAGAGTGATTTATTCTATGCTTCAATGACTATGACTAAAGAATAAAAGGCGCATATCTATTTATTATTAATGATCGCAATACAATTCGTAGAGTGAATCATACATTGCGTTGCAATACTGAACAGTCGTCTTCTTTCATGTGAACCAATGTCTAGTAGCAATGGCAGCATGGAGTACATTTTGTGTACAATGACAATAAGTAGTTTTATCGTCGCTCCTATGAATTATATGACACATCTTGTATTTATTACGAAAGATTAATTATTCACCAAATGAATAGACCAAATATCTCTTTCTACTGCGTCTCTTGTCAAATTAAAACATAATGTATCACGTAATATTACGTACAAGTTCGTGGACAAAATTTCAAATGTTAACGATAAAACACTAGACTGCGTTAATCTTTTTATTACTAAATGTGTCCCAATTGGACTCAACCGAACGTGTTTAACAGTCGTCTAGATCTTGTTTGTAAGATCAAAAGAAAGTAAGTCAGATAGGCATACATCAAAAGCGATTCGGAAACTGGATTTGAATTTGACGCCTATATAATATCAAGGAATCTTAACGTGTAATCAAAAGTTACTGAGGATTATTTTTCTGGGTGTTTTTCGCATCTCTTCACAGTGTCAAACATCCGTTAATATTCCTATTCCCCCCAAGAGCTTCCATATTCTCTCAAATTTTTGAGTACTTTCGATATTTTTGCATACCGAAAGCGATAAAGGAGTTAAAAAAAGCTGAAAAGAAGGATTCGGAAATGTATGAAGCAGTACGAACTGGTGACAACATCATGTGCGCTCACAAATGGTAATGATCAAGGGTCTAGAATGGAAAAAACATCTTTATAATAAAATAAAGTGTATTCTACAGGTAAAAGTCAACTCATGATTGTTATTCTGATGGTGAAATTAGTATCTCATAATGAATTCATGCTGGACATTCATCATCAAGAGAATATGATTTATGAACATTAATGAATGACATCAATTATTATTACACTTGCACTTCTAAAAAGCAAATACGTCAAATTCTGGGGAATACGCATTTTGTACTGAAATAGCTTACTCTATATCCCAGAATATGCTTTTCATTAATACATTGACACCTACTACTGAACGTTTCATGTAATTTGTCATGATTTTAGTGAAGCTACTATTTAACTTCGGCGTAGAAGTGCTCACCCATTGATTTGTAAATCAACTTCAATCTCCAGCATAACTTTTGAGAGTGCGTGTTACACCATGTTATTAGTCTTTTAATCAACAATTTTTGCCTGTAGAAGTATGTGTTATGCGCATTATGATTTTAATGACGTTGCCTGGCAGCCCTCATAGGCATGCATCGCACCAGAAAAGCAGGAAAGTGCAGAATGGTAATTTATAAAAATCTCTTTTTTTAATATTAAATTATTCTTAAGAAAGCGTGTATTCAAAAAAAAGAACAATAAAAGAAGTGCAATCAACTAACAGACAGCATTCTAATGGCCGAGCACATCGATAGAGCTGATCTCATCAACAATATTCGTTATAATTTCGATTATCTTGCAAAATTCCTCAATTTTACTAATGAAGACATCAGCGCATTGAACGCACTTGCGCCAGTTTTATTTCCATGTATTCCGTCCATTGTCGAAACCATCTACAAGAAACTCTACTCGTTTGATATCACGAAGCAATATTTTGTTCTTCGGAACGATAATTTCGAGAAGTTCACCGAGCCGAACATTGAAACCGATCATGCCGTAATATCTGCTCAAACGGAGTTTCGAAAAGATATGTTAACTATGTATTTAAAACGCGTACTAATCCAAACCGAATGGAACGATGCATTTTTGCAATATTTATCTCAAATTGGTGAATTGCATGGACACAACAAACACGCACCGGAAGCCAATGTTCATTACATTCATGTCAATGTATTACTTGGCCATCTCGAACATCTAATTCTCGAAGTTATATGGAAAACAGAAAGTATAGATGCAAATAACAAGCGTGCAAGTATCCGAGCTATTAATAAATTCTTCTGGATACAGAACAACTTCTTTACAATGCATTATGGAATACTTTTGTCGAAGAAAGCCTCAAAATAGATCTTATAAAATATGAACAACGAGATGCTTTTTGACTTTTTACACAGGATGAATATCAAATAACTTCTTTGTCTCATGTGTGTGTTCGTTGATGAAGAATAATGCACGTTTTATAGTCTATAGACTTAATACATTTGGTTACTGAATATAAGCGGGCCATTCTTGGATTTTGTGAAAGTGAAAATAATGAAACAATGTTTATTTAATATTCACCATGTATGAAGGATGAACGTTTTTGCACTTTGCCAGATCATAGAGATGGTCTGATGATAGTCATATGATCTAAAATCCTTTTTCGTCGAGTCATATTCATCAGTGTCGGATTAATTCCAGATGACATTACTTGTTAACAAATAGGCATTGAAAGCTATAAATAAATTTCAATAAGAGTGATCATTGTAACCCGAAGTCCACTTAAAAGAGACAGTTAAGACTTAACTGAACAATTAGTAGCCAACTAATTAATGTACGAGATCGTAAATTCTATTATTATATTTCCAAATAGCACACATTCCCTGTCATAAAAACTTCACCCCATTGTCATTGTCATTGTCATTGCTATTGTCACTCGCTCGTAGCATCCTCATTACGTTCAATTCATCATTCATGATAACTTGCACAGTTAGGAAGTACATAAAAAAAGATTCATGCAGAGTTAATTATAAAGTACTTTCAAACTATCATCCAAATGAAATTATATGAAAGTAAACTGCACATTTAATTGTACTTATTAAGTTGAAGATAACTGATGTATGCGTATTTTTCATTATGAAAAACTCTCGTATAAGAGTTGAACTTTAGTTCATTACATAGAAAGAAACCTTGATAGTTCTTTGATGAATACATGCAACGTTTCAATCTACTTGATCATACGGACTCTTACACGATAACAAACATCATATATCTACAAAAGACTATAATCGGTTCAACGATACGATTACGTCTCAATTAAGTCTATTTAGTCGAATCATGAATTCACTATACTGATAGAACATTCTCCGTTTTCCCAATTAGCAAACCTCTACGCATATCTCCTGTAAGTTGATGTGCCTATCCTATGAGCGAGTATAAAGGAGGGGGTCAACCTGTGACGCTGCGTAACAAAAAACTATTCATCATTTCTATCCTCTTAATGTCAGAAATCCAACTAGGAAGAAACGGTTCAGTTTATTTTTATAAATGAAAACAAGACGAGACATAGAGGCCTATCGGGATTAACGGATTTGTCTTCTCAAAAAACAATGATTTACGGCAACAAGAGTCTATCCAGAGAATCTTCTTATGAAACACATAAGACGGTCTTGGTGGGAAGAAAAGAGAAATTCTCTGAGAGTGCCTCCCATTGTACTTATAGAAGGGAAAAAAGACAGATTAAACTTGCTTTCTCTCTCTCTCTCTCTTAGAATTTCGAAGTCATTATTTCTCTACCACGATGACTGAACACATCGACCGACCCCGTTTAACTCACGATTTGCGTTATCGTTTTGATTACATATCAAAATGTATCGACTTCACTCCTGATGACATCACTATGCTTAATCGATTAGCTCCGGTCATAACTCCACTTCTTCCAAGTGTCGTCGAAAGAGTTTACAAAAAGTTATATGCTTGCGATATAACACAAAACTATTTTCTTCAACGCAACGACGGTTTCCAACAGTTCTCTCCCAGCAAAGATACTGGTAATACGTTAATATCAGTTCAAGTTGATTATCGGAAAGATATGTTGAGCGTTTATCTGCAACATGCCTTGAGTGAACGCGATTGGAATGATACATTTCTTCAATATTTATCTCGTGTTGGAGAAATTCATACGTCGAAAGGTGGTTCGGCATCGATCAACGTGGATTACTTACATATAAATACGTTGTTGTCATTTCTTGAAACGACATTCATTGGAATTATTTGGAATACAGATAAAATTGAAGAAAAGAAGAAATTGGATGCACTGCATGCGATTAACAAATTTTTCTGGATACAAAATGACTTTTTTACAATGCAGTATGGTTTATCATTCAAAGAAAAGAATATTTCAACTGTACCTATAATCAATTTTTCTAAATGTTGGTTTCACTAATTGTCATTCTCTCTTATTTTATATATGTATACGCATGTATATATATTCTTGGAATAAAATAAAAATAATTCAATAAATGAGTTTCGCTTTATGCCAAGGGCAATGAAAGCCCAAATTATGTTTCACAAGTTCTATTTTTGCTTCTTTGAGGGCATAGAGATTTTCATGATTTCGGTAATTGATTTATGTGTATACAAGTCGTGAATTAACATCATCATCTGCAAAACTGCCTTTTTGTTGAAACGAACAATGATGTTGACAAACTGTCATTCATTCTCGAGGAAATCCACTATTTTCTGAATTCAAAATCTATTATGACTATCCTAACCGATTTCATCTTGTGAAAAACGACATTTCTTACCCATTACGCACTTGAATTCTTCTATTTAATAATCCAGTGATTACTGTCTATAAAGCACATAAGAAATATGGTCTTCTCTGTCCGGAAAACGGCAAGAGTGATTTTTACTTTTAGTTAACTTTTTATTATTGCTCCACCTTCACTTTGACATATATCAGGCCCGGCCACATGCTGTATGTGATCTCTAATTGACTTGATTGATTAAACCTTTTTCTACTGTTTCACTTTGTTTCATCGGATTTCGCTTCCAAATCCGAAAATATGATTTGCTACACGCTTACCTACGGTAACAAGTTTCGTTCTGGAAAAATGAATCAGGTACGACGATAATACTGCTGCTGTCAGAGTTTCTCCTTCCGGGTCAACCAATAATATCTTCTACTCGAGCACTTTCTCACTAGAATCACCAGGTTAAGTCAAATACACTAGGTCAGTACAACATTCTGAGAGGAAACGCGCACAAATGATCCATATGTTTCAAATTTGTAGATTTTACTCAAAGAGCGAAATTTTTCTAGGCATTCTGCATTGATTAAGCATGTGTAATTTCACATCTATTTCATATAATAAACTAATGGAATGTCAATCATGGGCGTCAATGCTTTTAACAGATTGAAATCGATTGTAAAAATTGTTCAAACACTTCTAATTTTTCATTCGAGCCAAAGGAGAGATAATGTTTTAATTACTCCGTAACATGCAAACACAAATGATATATTCTTGGAAGAAAAAGGTTTTTTTTGAAACGCAGTTCTTTTGTTATTCTCCTCATTATGCACAATATTAATTATCCACTCTTTCGAACTCGAAGTATGGCATCTGAATTGAAGAGATCTATGTGACAACGATTAATCGAATAAGTTGACTTCGTTCTAGTCGAATTTATTTTACTAAACAGAAGCGAAAAATTCGATAAGCTTACATTGTAAACTAAGAATAAAATAAGATTCGAAATTATGCTCAATTAAGCTTTCTTATGGTAATATGTGCCATATCACGCGACAGAAAAGAAATAGAAGAAACATTAATTAACAGTAGAAAGAGGAAAAGCGAAAGTAGCAATTATATTCGACTATAAATTTAAAAAACTTCACGCCTTTTCATTTACCGAATGGCTGAACATGTCGATAGTAGTCGTCTCAACAAGGACCTTCGCTATCGTTTCGAATATCTTTCCAAATTTCTCAACTTCACATCGGCTGATATCACAGCGCTCAATACATTCGCAACTATCATACTGCCACTCATTCCGGTCATCGTTGATTCTGTCTATCGAAAACTATTCTCATTCGACATAACCAAGCAACATTTTCTCATCAGCAGCGAAAGTACCCTACCAAAACGCACCACGTCTGTAACATTAGAATCTGCACAAATGAGTTTTCGGAAAGATATGTTAAGTAAGTATCTCAAGCGTGTATTAACCCAACGTGAATGGAACGATACATTTTTGCAATATCTTTCTCAAGTCGGACGAATGCACACCAATCAGACTGGCTCAACATCGATCAATGTTGATTATATCCATATCAATGCTCTACTTGGTTATGTAGAACAGCTATTAATCGATGTTCTGTGTAAGAACGATAGTATCATGGAAGGTAGTAAATGTGGAATTTTAACGGCCATTAACAAATTATTTTGGATACAAAATGACTTTTTCACTATGCACTATTTTAAATCATTAACTAAAAGTTCCAGCTTGATTGAAACGCCAACTTTAGGGAAAAAATCGAAATGCTGTTGGATATGAATAGAATTCAATTAAAGGAAAGAGGACATTGCACTGGTTTGTTAATGAATTTGTTCTATTTTAACATGAAGGCGAATAGAAAACCCTCAAAACGATGTTGAAATGATTAATCCCATATGAAAGTGGTTTTCAATTATGAAAGTTCGCACTTGAGTACCTAGTACCATAGGAGTGCCGTGTAGGCTCTGATGTCTGAAGACTTTGGACGTGTTATCAATGCAGATGCTCTTTGACAGGCAAAATGTGTTGATGTTGCTGATTATCATTGGAGAAAAGTTAAAAACATATATATATTATTAAATATTCGTTAAATAATAAATCAAGTAAAAATAGACAGATGGCAATTAATTCTTCATATGCTAGTCAATTGTTAAATATATTCCCTCATTTGTTTGATAAAGATTAGCAATATCCGTAGAGCTGTCACAACATCTTTTGGTAGGAACTATCTGCGTGGATTCAGAGCGCGAAAGAAATTGACAACTGTCAAAGGACTCCAAATATTTCGTAGAAATGAGACACTCGACATTGCTGTCAATGGATTTGTCGATTTTGCCTCTTATATAAGTTATATTGCATATGCGATGAAATGAATTAAAATTCTTGGCTGCGTAATTTACATAAATGATCCTCTATGCAAATCGTGTCATAGAACTTAATATGATGTTTTCAATCTTGAGATCTTTATGTAATGAAGATAGGAATGTCATACTGTCATTTGATTTTCTTTGTATTGAAAAAGATTAAATCTACACTCTGACCCTCTTTGAGATCACCTACCAAGAATAGGCATAAAGAACCAAATCGTATCCTCAATGAGGATTTGGCAGTAATATAGTTGAACAATAAGAAGTCTATTTTGAGTTCATAAATAACCAAGGTAGCTTTATTATTGCCGAAGAATAAGATCAGTCTCGACACAATATTTACTTGTGTCGATAATTGCTTACTAAGATCTAGTAAGGTTCAAAATGTTCATTGCAGTTCACGGGAAAAGCCTTCAAGTTCGATGAATGATAGAAAGCGAATGTTACAAGTCCGACATGTGTGACATGCTCTTCATTATGCATATTCATGATCTCATGCGACGAATCCTTGCTGACATTGCTTCTAGCTAAGCAGCGTGTAAAGAATTGTGACGATGTAATTCTACGTATAAACAGTTTTTCCTTCTGTAAGAATATACAACGAGATCAGTTTCATGCACTGCAGTCACTGCAAAGCAACAAACACTTTCTATTCATATGGAAAAAAATCAGGAACTTTTGTGTTATTCTTATTTTCTCTCGCAATTATTCATTAAAAATAGGAAGAAAATGGGATTGCTTTCAACTACTAATTCGGATGAAGAATGCCTTTCTTAATAATTAAAAGGAGCGTTTGACGTCGTAGTCCAAAGCATCTAATTAACACATTACTCGTCTAACGCGTAAAGCAAAATCGAATCCGTTTGTATTCCAGCGACATTGACATTGACTGTGAAATCAAGTTATCTTTATCTCCTACGGAGTAAAAAGAAAGAATATTACGATCGAAACGAGAAAAAGCAACGACAAAGCAAACACATGACATTAGATCATTTACATATCTAGCCTTAGCATGACTGAACACATCGACAACAAGCGAGTGAATACTGATCTTCGTTCTCGTTTCGAGTATCTTTCCAAATTTCTCAACTTCACGTCCAATGATATCCAAGCACTCAACGCTATAGCACCGATACTTTTCCCACGCATTCCAGTTATTGCTGATACCGTTTATCGAAAGCTGTTCTCATTTGACATAACAAAACAATACTTTTTTACTCATCATCAAGGCTTTGAAAGTACTTCATCTCATGCAGATATCGACGTCGCATTAGAAAGTACTCAAATGAGCATTCGGAAAGATATGTTAAGTATGTATCTCAAACGTGTATTAACCCAACGTGAATGGAACGATACATTTTTGCAATATCTTTCTCAAGTTGGGCGAATGCACACCAATCAGGCTGGCTCAACATCGATCAATGTTGATTATATTCATATCAATCTTTTACTCGGCTATTTGGAACATTTACTTATCGATGTGTTATGGAAAGCAGAAAATCTCGATGATGCAACGAAGCTTGCCATGGTCACGGCAATCAATAAGCTATTTTGGATACAAAATGACTTTTTCACAATGCATTATTTACTGAAAACAAAAGAAGACCTCTCGTCAACGGAACAGATCAGCAAAGACACTCATTGCTGTTGTCTGATCAACTGATCAATGAAAAAAACATCATTGAAATTTATTCTTGTACAAAGTTTTCCATTTAGATTGAAGTCAATTGTAAATATAATAAACTTGACTGAATCCACTTGAAACAATGGCGCATGACTTGCTGTCGATGTACTACTTCAAGCGTTAAAGTAAAGCGTCATGCAGATTAGATGAATTAAAGCTGGAGCAGTTTGCATGGATGAAATAGTGCGGCTAGAAGGTTGCTTAGAATGATATGGATGTCTGTAATAAGAGAAGAAAGTCGGGAAAAGTTCAGATTAGAACTTTCAGCTAATAATTTTTCGTCCAAATGTTTGTGTAGGTTTTCCAGGATGAAAAGCGATGCTGTTATTCAACGAATTATGGATTCTTAAAACTATTCACAAGTTCTTGTTTAAATATTTTAGTACATATTTGTAAGCGGACGTATTAGCTACGAAGTTATGATTGGAACAGACCAGAAAACTAACCTCCTGTCATCAGACACGTATCCTGTCGATATTTTCAAGATGGATAGATAATTAGGAACATATGATTTATCTCTTAAAAGAAAACATCACTGACAGCATAGTTAACATAATTATTCATATTACTTCTCAACGATTCTCATTTGGACAATCTTCTAAATTTTGCAATTCAGTCAAATAAATAATCAATGATCTCCTGTCCGGAACAATCTCTCAACTGTCTTTGTACTCATATAGGCTAATATGCGCGAATAAAATTTTATAATAACCTTTAAATACAGAAATCAATTAGTATTCATTCTCTATTTATATGCATAACAAATAATTTACATAGAAAGGAAACTTTCTATTAAATATATTTACTTCCCTTGTTGCACCTATTCTCAGACATAATTGCGTGAATACTTCATTGCTTCGAGCTGGAAATTCATTTAAGAATGAGAACTCATTGTATCTTTACGTATGACTTTACTATTAAGTCCTAGAAAATCATGAAATGTGTAGGTGCATTTTACCTTCAGAAAAAAAACAATATCATGTAAATTAATGATCTTTAAAGGGTAACAATCAATTCTGTCGATGGAACGAAAGAGATCGGCCGACGTATTTAGAGGATCATTGTCGACATTCTCCATAAACTAAATGCATAGTTTTATCTCATTCCGAAGTGAGTTTATTTATAAATGAAAAACAGATCGAGCTCGAACTAAAATAAGGTTTAATTGTATTCTTTTTTGTTATTGTACTAATCTATTATATAGTCTATGGTTAGATCCTGTGTATAGTAGTGCGAACTACTTAGGTCCCCCGGAAGAGATAACTTCCGTAATAATTTCTCGTGTGTTATACCAAATGAATCAATAGTTTACTTAGAAGCCTTTCGTTGAGAATTGAACCTATAATTGGCTAATTACCGAAGCCAAAGAACAACGCAGTGAATCTGGCTCCAAAGAACTTAGAGCAGGAAATAGTACTTTAGAAAACAGTGCCAACAACTACTTCCCAATCAATTTATTTATTAGCTCATGCTATAAAACCACGTTTCCTCGATTTACCATCTGTCAAGTTAGTTTAACCGAGATTTATTCGAACTATATCGACGATGTCTATCAGAAATTCAGAATGATCTAAGCTGCTTTTTTTTGTTTGTTGATTGATAGTTCTATCACGAAGGTCATCTCCTTTTTTTTAATGGCACAGATCATTTAGCATGTCATTTTGTAAATGAACAGAAGAGTCAGAAATTATCTTACGGGCAAAAAAAAACGAGTTGCATTACAAGGAACCATCAACTATTTAGCAGACATTATTTAAATTAATTGACTGTATATCCCTAGATCAGCTATCAATCCAGTTTGTTGATAGCATTACATGCGAAGTTTGTTGTCTAATTATAACTTCGTGACATTTGTATATATGTGTAGATATGTAACGGAAGTATCTATAGACAATTCGACCATGATGGAATATTGCTGACATTTCTGAGTATTGACGTAGATATGAAACATTCATATACTGCCACGCGACATTACATAGATCTATCTCGGATACTTCATTAAAAAGCTTGCTTTAATAACAAAGAAATACAGGATTATTTTTCGGTGAACTGTGTTAAATTTGCATCAGTCGAACTGTTATCATTAGCTATCAAGCAGAAGAGAAGAAGGTTGAGTACGAGAATGTAAAACATATAGAAAGAAAAATATTTCCTGATCATTAAATACAATCAGCAGTAGGCAGATGGTGCATTGCTATTGGATAAATATTCATCACGTAAACATTTCTCTTCCTCGTCGGATCGAAAAAGACGTAGTGCAGAATAGATCAATAGTAAGTGTTAAAAACGTACTCATTCTCTATGTAAACTAATACAAGATGCTACTTCGACTTAATCGACAGACTAATATCCAGATCGAGAAATGTCTTTTGGGAATAGTAAATATAAAGTCGAAATATCACGTTTAGTCTGTTGGATCATCACGCTTTCTTGAAGACATATGTTGACACGGTGTTTCATATAATGCGCTCGGTTTAATGCTTGAAGATAAACTGACTCATTCTAATCTTTAGATTTAATGAATTTCTATTAGCGATACTTTTTTTTCGGTTGAATCAAGAACGAGCTTATTTTTCAACTGTAGATTAACATACATAACTCTGCGCCTGAATAATACAATAAAACATCTTTTAACGGAAGTCATTATATGACAAAAGTATTCCACATATATGATTCTTTTCTTTTTCTCACTACATATCTGACTGACATTCTAGAAGGATAAATAGTAAATCTTATCGCTCTCTCTTTTCTTGTGTGGTTGTTTTCTTCGTTCTTTCGGTGCCTTATTTTTCTCTTATTTATTGCAATTGAAGAAGGAAATCTTCAGAAAATTTGTACTTTCTTCATTTAAGTAATTAATTAACCAAAATACAATGACCGAACGTATCGACAACAAACGGCTCAACACTGACCTTCGCTATCGCTTCGAATACCTCTCGAAATTTCTCAATTTCGCGTCCGATGACATTGCACTATTAAACGGTTTCGCACCGATACTATTTCCACGTATTCCCGTGATCGCTGATAAAGTCTATCGAAAGCTCTTTTCATTCGACATAACAAAACAATACTTCATGATCAATACCGAAGGTTTCGAAGGTTTCCTGCCGACGAAATCACACGGTGTCTCTTTAGAATCCGCACAAATGAGCTTTCGCAAAGACATGTTAAGCATGTACCTCAAACGTGTATTAACTCAGTGTGAATGGAACGATACCTTTCTGCAGTATTTATCGCATATTGGACGAATGCACACTAATCAAGCAGGTTCAGCGTCCATCAATGTTGATTATATTCATATCAACGCTTTACTCGGTTACTTAGAACAGTTATTAATCGAAGCACTATGGAATGATGAACATATCGATGATAAAATTCGGCAAAAAACTATCATGGCAGTAAATAAGTTCTTTTGGATACAGAATGATTTTTTTACGATGCACTATTTAACGATGTGGCAAGAAACTCCAACTGGAAAGGACGCATCACCGAAGAAACATAAATATTGCTGTATATAGATGAAAACGCCATTTTGCTTCGCTTTTGATTGCATAAATTTGACCACTTATTGGTAGAATTTTCGAGAATATTCGACTTCGAACAGATTATGTAACCGCATTGATTTCACTTCATCATATGATCTCTCTACGTACATGCGTGTTTATTTCAAAATGAATTTTTGTACTGTCTTTCTTCTTTGCAAATAAATAAATTTAATAAAGAGAAGTTTGTCCTTTTGTTACATTTACATACATTTATTTGGCCTCGATTATCAACTTTATATGCATGCATCGGAACAATGTATGTACGAAGGAATTCTCTTTTATTTCAAATTGTACTTCAGTGAAAGCATGGAGAATGATTGTGATGACAAACAGAAGAAGAAGATGAACAACAATGTGGTGGATGACGAAGGTAAAACATTCTTTTTCTTCTTCTCTATGTAATCCGATATCGGATTCATTAGATGATGAATAATTACGTAGAATATCGATTTCCGTTTTTAACCAAGTGTAAAACACTGAAAGAAAAACGAGACTGAAATTTGAACGATACTCGCTGAACTTTAGGGAAATTAGTTGAGACAGACCGGGGACAGCTAATGAATATTCTCACGTTTCCGATGTCCTGAAAAGGAAAATACGTAGGAAGAAAAAAAATTGATGAAGTATTTGACTAATATTAACGTGTATATTTAACTATCAAATAACAAGTAGTTGAATGACGACAATGATATATGATTGTGTTGTTTTTTTTTCTGTTCACACCTTACATGAGTGACAGAAGTGAAGAATTGCTTCTTTGTACTATTTGCTTCTCGTAGTTTTATCTGAATCGGCATCAAGTATGTCATCACGTCATGAAAGTGTAATTTGTTCTCATTTGTTAAATCTACCCAATCGATCACGATCGAGTAGTATGACAAGACGTCGATCATCAACAACAGATTTTCAAGAAGCTAAACAAGCGAAGGTACATACACCAGACAAAATACTCATCGTCAATGGGAAATGTTCGAAAGTATTTAAATCAATCATCGAAGATTGCGTTGAAGATTGCATCATCGAATTTCCAGGTGAAAACTCCGTGTATGTTTCCAAGCCTGGACATGGCATATCGATACCTACTGGAAGTAGACAAATAACGAGTAATCATCCCCGAGAACATAGTTTTCCTCATCATTCGCCAATGAAGTCATTTCATCGAAAAAGTTCAACTCAACAGCCGACAGGGATACGTGTCAGTCAAACAAGTAACATTTCCTTAGCAACAACTGCTTTTTCCATTCTTAGCGCCGTCCGTATGCGTTATCCATCAATTCAATCACGTTTTTCTCTCGCTGAAAATATTTCCGAAGAAACAAGCGATGTGCAAACAGCAAATCCAACTGTACGATGTGATTCCATCCAATCTCCTTTATTACGTGAAGAGACTATATCGCATCAATCAAATTTCGACGTATTCTCACGAGTATCTTCACCGACTCATCGGAAACTTCCATTCACGTCAACATATAAATCATCTCGTTCGCGGAAAAAAGATTATCTCCTATCTGACTTAGTCATGTTGGGACCAGAGTATTTTGCTCATGAGTTTAATCTGCCACGAACGTCACGCTATCGAACAGCTACATCAGCCAAACAACCACCCCGATCGGAGGAGAATCGTAATAAAATCGTGGAGAAATACGAAGAGTTCGAGCAAATTAAACAAGATCTTTTCCATCGATATCTATGGACACAAAATCCACAAGTGGCCTGCCGCATACGGCCATTGCCGACTTACAAACGTAGTGCCACGTCTATTATTTAATTATTCACGATATCTCACAACAAATGAATTACAAATCTTCATAAATAAAAAAGTACAAATGTGGCAGTTAATTGGTTTATTTTATTGTGTGCTTTTGATCTATGTATTAATTGAGAAAGAATGCATGAAATACTCACGAGAGATGTTTTTCAATATATGCACCAGGTAGATCGTGACATGAGCATTTCTTTTCTATTCTCGACGGAAAAATAATTGTCTTTTAACAATATTCAACTCAAGTTGTTTGGGTTCTATCTTGATCAATTCGATCCCTCGCCAATGTATAAATAGTCTTATTATATAAACAGATCTTTTTCTTGTTTTATTAACATAAAAAATCCAACTTTTGGCTAGTTGCATAGTAAAAAAAAAAGAAAATTCGCTTTGAAATATCATAAGTTAACACGCAGTATTGGGAATGAATGTATTTTAATCATCAATAGCATCATAACCTGCGGTATTCGATCGTGAACACCGACGTTTCATAATAAAGATCAATGCAATGAAGGCGACTAAACATGGTAGAAGAAGACTGAAAACGAGTGCGAGCGTAACAAATTGCTTGATCGAATCCATTTCGAGAATATCTAGGCCAGCTGTGAATTGAATAAACGAATAATTAGATTTCACGAAAAAACCTTTTGTAAACAAAACAAATATAAATAGACGGAGGAAGAAACCATATGAACAAACCGTCATTTGCTCGGCCGAGTGAAACATTGAATGCTGATACGTATGTTTTGTTGTAAAGAGCTTTGAAAATGCCTTGATCAATTGATTGGTCGAGGCTGATGTTATTCTTTAGATCATATACCGTCATTAGTGTGTTCTTCTCGATAGAACGATCGGCGCTTTGATAGACAACTGGTTTCCATAACATCGATGAAGAGTATATTGGACTGCGAGATTTGATTTGCCAGACATTGAATATACCTAGAAGGAATATGATGAACGAGTGAAATTATGAGCAGTGCTTACCCGGTGTATATTGATCATCGATATACTTTGATGTTGACAGTTGTGTACCTTCGACACCTAACTGTATCAGATAGTATTCCATAGCAAATCGTGTGTTCTTTGACGTGATGTTATCAGCCTGTAGAGCGATATTTAGAAAGTAACTTTTGGGTGAAGAACGTAGTTTTGGAAATTTAGTATCACGTGTGTCCTCACCGGGATAGTTGATATCAATCGTCAATAAGCCAGTTATCTAAACCAAATGTGCTATCCTCTTGTTTCATGAAAATTCTAGATTTACATTTTTCAATGGTAATTGAAATGATGGTTGCGTTACGTTCTTATTATCACGAGTCAGGTTTGTATGCAAATCATTTAACCAATAGGATTGTATCGACGCATCATTCTCATTCAAAATGCCTGTGTCGTTTTTATCATCGAATTGCATTAAACGTCGAGCGATTAGTGAGAACGAATTGAGTGGAACTGTGTCGGCAAACGAAATAGCGCCCGAATAATTTCCCGAAAACAAAGCTGTGTAATTCAAATGTGGACCGTAACCTTTCTTCGTTTGAATAATACTGATCGTTAGTTCATCCAATGACGAATACAGAATGTGAATCGTAACATCGGCAAGATAATGATATGCATAGAATATAGCTGGATAACCTGGAAGTAAACATTCAGGTAAATCACAACCGGGATTGATCACGAATGGAACCGAGCAATGAGAAGATTTCGTAAGAACAGTGAGTAGAAAAACTACGACGACAGGAATCATACGCATTGATGAAACTTTATATCTAGAAAGGGAAATATCGAATAACATGGTGGGAAAAGTGAGCCGCTTTTTTCTTATTTTGACAAGCATTAGAATTTCACGATAGATGCACTGTCTATCTTAGTATTGACAATCTACAAACAATAAACAGTTGTATTTAGAATGCTTTTATCGTTGGAAAAAAATCATCAAGAACACCTGACTTGCATTTTTCGTATGACAGACGAGAATGTGAACAAAAATAGATTTAACAAGAAAAGAAAGATATGTACAAAAAGCAACTGGATTAATAATGTTGCGGTTTTAAATAAGTTCGAGTTTCGTTGAACTCCGTCCAAAGTAGACGTGGTCCGTAATAATCAATAATATAATGCGAACCATCTGCAGGAGTCAAAACTTGAAGTGCAATCAATCTTTATCGAAAGCAAGAAAACAAAACAGAACATTTTGATCGAATCATTAAAAATCTTGTTCTACTTACAAAAAATCGACTAGAGCACCTACTAACATAAAACCGCACGTGAATAGTTTCAATAAACCAGTGACATAATATCCCAGATAGAGACGATCAATACCAAAAACACCTAATCGAAAATGAAAATCTTTAGTTTTGCCATCGAAACAAGAAACTTCATACCGAGAAATAATGACAAAGCCAACGTTGTTCGATAGTATTTTCCATTTGTCCATCGACACGATGTATTTCTTTCGAATACATATCCATCAAGTGTGTCATTGTAAACACCACCGTCACAAACAATCCCTGGTGCTGTATAGCACTGAATAGGAGCCATATCAACGAACTTCACTTCATCATTCCAAGTATAATTGTATCGTTTACAACCTCGTGGTTCTTGAGTAGATTCATCTATTGTCGGATGTTGGCAACGATATTGACCAACTAACAAATCACTACATTTAAGGCGAGTTATTTGCTCTTGTTCGATATTGGATAGATCAACTGGATTTACGATTAATAGACATAAACATAGAATACGGAGCAGCATGCATATAAAATTGTACGTAAACGAAAGTCTAATAGACTAAGACTAACTACGTTATTTATTTTCACTTGTCAGCTGTTATTCATTCATCAATGAACGAATCTATTGATACGTCATGATAGATTGCGCTAACTGTCAGTCGACATTATTCGACAAGCATAGAACACTACTCAGTTGACATTATGGTCCTTTTTGTACAAACAAGTTAATATCGATATCATCATTGTATCAATCCTATCTATCAACACAAGCTTTATCTGCTTGCATGTCACAAATGATAAATCGCCTTTTTGTCGCAACAAAACACTCTATAAACTGATAGAGTTCATTTTTATTTCACAATATAAAAAAGTTTATTTATTCATTCAGAAATGAAATAATTCTATCGCGCCATTGCTGGATTAAGAATACAGCTTGAATATTTGAAATCATAGTAAAGATATCGGTCAAACTACATGCACACTCATGCATCAATTTCATCAGCATGATAATCTCTCATTTCGCTGATTTAGTCGTTGCACCCACTGGAGCAACAGGCGTTTCCCGAATAGTTGATTGATCACCTGAAAGTTGGCCTTGATTTTCAGCATCCGCTTTCTTGTGTGGGTCGCTTGCTGGAGTTTCCTTACCAGCGATTTTGGCATCAGCAATGTCAGCTGCTGTCACGGTTTTATCAGCTAAATGAAAAGAAAGTTTCCATCGAACAATACAGAATTCGAAACTCAAGATACTGACTTGCTGCCGATGAACTCATGATTGTTTCTCTTTTGTTGCTGCTTCTAAGAATATCGTTGTTGTCAGTTATGAATTCGAAAGTGGTAGATATTGTCTCTCCTAGTGTTGATGTATCTACTTTCTCTTCTCTCTTTCGATGATATACATGAATCTCTCGTTTTCTTTTTCTCCTCGATAGAATGCGAATAGAGATGAAAAAACAGTTTGCTGTAAAAATTCGAATTTATTTGAATTTATTAGAATCAGATACATAGTCAATTAAGCAAAACAAGAAGTTTAGTGAATACCTTTGTTTGCTTTTTCGATTTCATTTTCCAAATCTTTCAATGAATTAGCATCGTCCTTATCTAATGTATATGTTGATGCTGGCAATTTCTGCCCTTTCTTGAATGTTTTGTCTTTCTTATTTAAACCAAAAAGGCCCTTGACAAAATTGCGTTTGGCACCTTTTTCGCCACGCGCGATACTGAGCAATTGAGTCAATTTCGATTGTTTCTCCGGTGGAAGACCGCTTTGTAAACCAGCATTTTCCTCTTGATCGTCATCTTGATTATCAGCTGCACCTTCATTATCATCATCATCTTCATCCTCTCCCTGAGCATTTCGATTCGCTGGAGTTGTTGTGACACCGTACTTATCTTTTGATTTATTCTTGTCACCTCCAAATTTGCGATTAGGTCCATTACAACCAAGTAAATTCAAAGCCTGTTGAATTTGGGGATTGACACCGCCAGCCATGTACGCCATTTTAACGTATTTATTTTCACAGACGTCATCCATGTTCTTTGCAGCTAGTGCTTGTTGAACAACCATGCCGATGGCAGCACCTAAAAGTATTTCGAGACCAAAAATTGCAAATAGAAAGAGGAGATTTGCGATGGAATTTACTGAGCATGGTGATCACGACTGGATTCTTCAATAATTCACGAAGTTTCGATCGTTCACGTGGTGACATATTCGCATCGATATCCTTAGTGGATTTTGAACTACCACCGAATAATTTTGAAATAAGACCACGTTTCTAAGTGAAAAATACAACTAGATTGAAAAAAATACTTTTCGTCTGATACGAAGTGTACATGAATAACGTGACTTTGTGTTGCAAGAACAGTTACAGCTAAGATCCAAACAAGAAACAATTGTCGAGACCACATTGTTTATTCCTTTTCCTGGTTGAATAGATTATAAAGCAGACTAGAAGCTTTCACTTGTTTATATCTGTATTTGTAGAGAAGGTGATGACGTACATATATCTCCCAGACAGTTGTGCATATTATTCTTATTCTTTTATCGCTTAATAGACACTTGCCCATGATAGATGCATTTGTTCTAACAGAAATAAAGAAACGAACGAGATATGTGTATGCATTCGTATTTATATTCATTGTTGTTACGAAGAACTCTGCTCTCATGCAGCATGAAAACTGAAGAAAAGTGCGTGTGTATCAGTAAGCGAATGTTCACTGACAGAAATTATCGAACAATACATTGTTTTATTACGTCAGAAACCTTAGGAGAAGGGTGACAGATGCATTGGTGAAAGACCACGGCTGAGTCATGTGTGTTGTATTTGTTGGGAAATTACAATGATATAACGTGAAAGAACGAAAGCTGAAGAGGCATTTATTTCCACAGTTCTACATAAAACGAAAGTGTACGCGTTACACTGAATACTCATGTGCCACCAGAAGATTATTTAGCATGTACTATATCAAAAATGTGTACCGTTAATTCATTCTACAATGGCTTACAATCCTATGTTAATAGGATATTTTCTAATAATCAGACCAGTCGATCTCTAAGACATGGCTGTTCGATTGGCAATAGGTATGATAAAGGAAACATATGATTTAACCAAAACGGATGTAATCGATCAAGTCTATTGGTTCATTATGTTTATTCTGAGTGCACATAAATTATTTGCGCCGCGTCTTCGTCATCATATATATATATAAGATTGCTGAGTATTGTTTTTCAACATGCCAACCATTCCTTCTGACGCCTCTGAACGAAATTATGCATAGACTTGAGACCAAAGCAAAAAGAATTAACGACTCATCGCTAAAAAACTCTGTAGCGAATAAAGACATAACACGGTCCTTGGAACAACCATCTAACTACAGCCAACCCATTAGCAAGGCTACTAATTCGGCAAGATCTGACGAGGAAAGGTTCCTTTTTCCAATTCGAAAATATGTGCAAGCGGTCATGTACGCTCGTTTTTAGAACGACATATGTAAATACGAACAAAATACCTTGCAAGCTGCGAATGAAGGTAAAAGATTCGTTACATAATTTATATAGTGCAAATCACACGTGCACTTATAGAACAAGAACTAAGGGTACTAGTATCGAAACTACAAAAGAAACGTAATGAAACAATGCTGGAAATGCAAGAACTGTTGTCAAATATTCGAGCGCTCACATCAACACCGGAAACGCTAGAGAATGAAATGTTGTATTATTCACCTCCACGCTATTACCATATGTTAAACTTTCGAACTGTGTCGAAAAAGTGCATTATTTTATGAAAAATTTATAACAAAAATTCATAGCGATTTAAGAGTGATTGATGAGATTCATGACCGAGTGCGTAAAACACTAACTGAAATTGTATCGAGACAGATTTCTGAATGGCGCCAGACGCAAATGGAAATATATGCATTAAAAGAGGAATTATCATTTTGTCCACCCAGAACAAAGAATCCCTTTGTATGGATACAATCGAATCGTCAAAACTATCGTACTAGCAAAAATAAGTTATCACCAAAACATCAACTGATATATGGCAGACGTTAATATTCATGCCAGTTCATTCCGTACGACTTAATTATGATGACTATTTCAATAAATGAAGATAAGTAAGACATTTGAATGATTTTGCAAAAATCAAAATGATTTATTAATTCTAATTGAAAAAAAAAACAAAAGATTCAAACAACATATGGTGATTAATGGCAAACAATGTCTACGACTACTGTTTTGTGTTTTGTCTGTGTGTATATCGGTAATAGTTATATCTCTACGAGTGATTTAATCGCTTAGAATATCAGGTCTTTTGCAACAGGTAAGTTCTTGAAGAAATGTAGGAGAACATTTGCATAAGAAAGAATAGGCGTCGTCATTGGATGCCTTTGTAAGAGAGAACCAAACAATCGATGGTAGAGTCGGTAGGGTGCCAATGCAAAATGGGCGACTTGATGTGATTTGACCAGTGCATAACAAGATGCATGAACATTATTCACAATGATTGTACCTTGTTCAGTTAACGGAGCCATAAGACCTTGTTTGACGACATCATTGATTTCATTAATCACCTCCCATTGAGTTTCGTTTGTATGTGAAGATGTGGAAACGAGAATTTCATCACCTACGGCTAATTTCTCTGCCCAAACGAAACCGTCTTTACGACGATGAATGAGATGACGTCGTGACAATTCGATGAACGATGTCTTCGTACGAATATGTTTGTACAGCGCATGTTCATTGACATCACGGTGAAGAAAAGCAATAATCGGTGAATAACTGATTTGACCTTGATTGTTGATCACACGAACTTGTGTGCCGACTTGTAAAGATGACAAGGCAACTTTGCCATTGTTCAGAACGTCGACAGTTGCATCCGATGGAAAACATTCCACCTCTAAATAGAAAAGATTGTAACTCAATTATACTCAAAAGTAACGTACGTTCACAATAAACGCCTTTATTCTTATTTCGACATTGACAGTAAAATTGATTATCTGGTTTTCGTATACAATAACCGCCGTTCAAGCATGGCGATGGGGTGCATGGATCGTTACTACACGTAGGTCCGGAAAATTCCGGTGGACAACTGCAACCGCCGTAGGGTTCTTCATTTGTTCGAATACAAGTACCTAAAAATGAGAATATTGTGATATTTCATATCTATTTGAAATTAAGCAAACCTCCGTTCAAGCACGGAAATGCTGAACAAAAGTCTGTTGAGTCACATCTTGGCCCAGCAAAACCTGTTTTGCAGATACACTTATTAGCTACACAAACGCCCTAGAAGAAAATTTAAGCAAATCTTTTCCACGATATTTCTTATCTTACTTGTGTTCCGTGACATGTGGCGTCGCCGCAAGGCACGTAACTAAATTGATTACAAGTTAAACCACGAAATACTGGCGTGCATAGACATTGTGCTAAGCAAAGTTTCAATAAGAATTACATCTGAACATATTTCATTCCTTACCTTGATTATTTTCCAACAGAACACACGTTCCACCATTTTTACTACAGTAAAATGTACGAATTCGGAAATCACTCTATTAGAAGTAGTTTCTTACCAAGGATTTGGATTACAGCTCACAGCTCGAACCGATATTTCACAGTAGAGACCTCGATATTCAGCTGTGCATCGACAGTAACCTTGAAGCTCTCCGACTTCAACGCAAGAGCCATCATTCAAGCATGGACTCGATGAACAATAACCGGTTGGAAATCGAAATGTCGGAGATGTCGTATTAAACAACACTTCACAATAATCTCCCACATAACCATCACGGCAAACGCAAATGCCCTAGCAAAAGTTAGAACAAAAACAAACATTCTAATTTCTCTCTCTCTCTCTCTCTGTATAGAAAATCGCACTTTGGTTGTTGCGGTGTTTGTAACAAAACAAGTTCCACCATTTTCACATGGATTAGTTAAGCAGAAAACAAATTGCGAATGGTTACCCGACGCAACAACTACATTTTCACTCAAATCACCAGTTCGCTGTGCTGGTTCATCATTAGCTGCATTTCCTAAAGTCGCAATGACTGCTAATGTTTCCGCGTCAAATTGCTTATATTCAACACGTGGTAATGTTCCATTTCGTTTTGGTGCTGATGTTGATTTAGCCGTTTTATATTGACAATATTCACCCGAATAGCCACCCGAGCAGTTACAACGTGCACCATACGCTAAAAGAGAAACGGGCATATGTTCATGTTTAACAGGACACGTTTCCTTCCACAGACCAGTTTCGATACAGATACCACCGTTCCAACAACTGTTGGCTTGGCACGAAAGTAAAACTCGGCAGTCTTTACCAGAATGATTCGGTGGACAGAGACAAACATGATCGAAATTGGCAACGTCAACACAAATACCACCAAACCAACATGGATTCGCATCACATGCGGATGTAGTATTACACAAACGTTGGCATGTCTCACCACAAACACCCTAGACAATAAAGCTCAATCGATGACCTCAAAATCCGGTTGAACTATTTACTTTTGCACAATGACAATTTTTCTTTATTAAACCTGTAGGTTGCCGTACTAATTCACAATCACCACGACGACAGTCGTCTGTTTCGCAAAAGTCTTCAAGAAAAGAGAACAATAACAAGAAAAGCCACTTCCTGAACATTCTTATTTACCAGCATTGATCAAAGAAAAACAAAGCAAATGAAGGCAAGCAAGAAATAGAAAAATCTAAATTGTACTTCTTTCATAATTTCATTGTTTCAAGCGTAATCAATTTGCCTTACCTTCATCGGTGAATAAAACAGAACTTCTCCTACTCAAAAGACGTATTTTTTCTCAAATGATTTTAATGACAATGATCAGCGATCTTTTTTCATCTTATGCAAAGTAGGTCGATCGATTGAATGCGAAATGTATGCACAAGTTGATCCTGTTCAAATGTTAACATAGTTGAAATGATGATACAAGACGTTGTGTTTGATTGAGAAAAGATGACATAAGTAATCAAACAAAAGAGTGATAACCTTAGGCAAGGATTTGATTCGAGTTCTTTTTTTTTCGCACGGCCCTGTATTAGCCGAGATTAGTAAAGAGAAGAATTCGAGTGCGAGTTTTCTTTGAAAATAAAAGAGATCAATGACGTATACGAATGACCTTGCCGAAATTGAAATATGCTAATGTGAAATGAGAGAATGAGAGTTGGTGTTCAGAGGAGAAAAGAAATAGACGCGTATACAAACAACAGATACAAAGAATGATAAGAAAACGAGAAGAGAAAAAGATTATTATAAAGTTGGAGTAGGCAAAATATTCTAAAAAAATATCTATTAAATCGTTTCTTCCGTAATGTATTTTGTTGCTACATGATTGGTACTAACTAGGACATCTTGATTTGCATTTGCTCGTTCTTTCCACGGTGTAATTGCCATATGAAATCTCTAAATGAATTTAGAAAGAAGGAAAATGCATATCGACTCATTCAAGAAAGTCTATTCTTACATTAGCTAAACTTCCTTGTTCTATTAATAATTGATAAATAGCAACGGCTGGAATAAATATTACCGACGATAAAGCAAACATCCAACCAAGTAAATGACTCCATGTCGGATACTAGACACAACATACTCGTGAATTCATACAGTTCGGAGATAAAGAAAAGTACGAACCTCGTAGAAAAACGGATCCGTTGGTTTTCCATATGTCGGACTACTGTGTTGGATTAAGCCCGATAAAATGATACCCTAATGTGAAGAAATTTAGTACGCAAGAAAGTTTCGGTAGATGATCATCATTACTCCAAGAAAAACAGGTGCAGCAATACACCATGTTCCCAGCCAAAATCGTCCAGGTTTGGAGCCGAGCATTTGTTTGACATCCTCGCTTATACGCCGTATTCCATAGAGCCAAGATACCGCTATAGCTTCGAAAAAGACAGCAATGATGATGGAATAAAATGCTGAAAGTCAAGGACAGAACGAATGTAAACAGAAAAGTAGTGTTTCAAGCTTTCGCTTTTAGTTACCAGCATAGTTTTGTAGTAATTCGACGAAATAAACTCCAGCGTCAGTACAACTCGGTATTCCAATGAGAAAATAGAAGAAAAATAATATACCAACAAACCATTCTCGATGTCGTCGGAGAACCGGAAATTCGTCACTCAAGGCAGTTATTATTGCCTCGCTTCCGCCAAACTAGAAATCAGGAAAAGACCAAACAAAGCGTTTTCAATTCACAAGACACAACATAATACGCACCGATGAATCTAAACCAAGTGTTAATAACATTAAGAAAAAGAATACCGCCCAAACAGGCGCCCATGGCATTGTAGCGATCGCTTCCGGATAGACAATAAATACAAGGGTCGAACCTTGTTCAGCAACATCTTTTATGGCTCGTCCAGAGATTTCGCTCATGTAACCCTTGACAAAGGAAAACGAATTCCAAGTAAAATTTTGCAAATAAGAATCTCTCCTACTAGAAACATGAAGATGACGAAGCCACTGGCAAAACTTGTTAAACTATTGACTGCAACTGTGATCATTGCATCGCTAAAAATGAATGGTGCATCTATTTCGCGAGAAACCAATCGTTCTTTCATACCGAAAAACGTTATGATGAAAATCATTGTAACTTGCAAATGCCATTAGGACGCCGAAACCAGGTCCCAAAGAAAAGAATGTTTGTGATGCGGCATCAACCCAGACTGATGCTTCACTGAGTTTACTTAAATCCGGACGTATATAATATTCGATGCCTTTCATTGATCCATTCAGGAAAAGACCACGTATCATCAGTATTGTCAATACAACATAGGGAAACAGTGCCGTGAACCAGACAACCTTGAAGAATAGAATTTCGATGAGTTGAGCGAGAAAAAAATTTAAGAGACGAATGTTTAGTTGTTGGCAAACGTACCTTGCCTGATGTTTTGACTCCTTTCCACATTGAAAAATAGCAGATCAGATAGATCAAAGCAAGACATCCGACATTTTCCCAGTTAACATTGCCAGGATGTTCTAAAGTCAGATTACGTGTTTGATTCAGACGGTACACTTGTAAACTAAAAGACAATTCGTTTCCATCATTTCAAATCCAAGCAATGGATCTCTCTTTACTGGAAATATTCTTGCGACGGTGACACGATTCGTTGTTGGGTTAATTTTTCCGAACAATTTTCATAGAGTGCCTTTCCCTCAAACGATGTTTGTTCATTATAATTGATTGGTAAATAAGCCATTGTATCATTCAATGTTTCATTCAATTGATTGATGCATCTTTCCAGAAAATGACGTCGTGTATCGACTGTCGAACAATCGGGCGTATTCCATCGATGACCTAAAGNTTTTCCTTCTTCGTTTAAACGATACTGATTAGAATGTAAATGAGCTTGGATTTAGAAAGCCGGATGTCTAAATGAAAAGCACTATTTACCTATTGCCGAGTCGATCATCGTCGGACGCGTTTCCGTCGTCCAAATGGTATTAATAGAGATCGATTATTCCTATATGCAAAATGAATATATTGGCATTAAGAAAAACGTTTATCTTCTTTTCATCAGTTCGAGAAGGATTAGATTAATGACGTAAATAACAAGAATTCGATATAACAATAGTACTCTAAAAATATCGCTCTAACAAAAAATGCGTAATGAACACTAACGTTCTTACGGCGTTTGGATACCAAACCTGATAGACTTATGTTCCTATTCCACGAGAAAACTGTAATCTTCTTTCTAGTTGTTTCTCATCTTGGAAGACAAAAACTACGATGACTGTGGATGGCAGTATCAAAATGACTTTTGACACGCATCTATGGCACTCATACACCTACGCAACTTAACCTGTCAGGAATACACGTGTGTCCTTCATAATCAGTTTAGACTGGATTACATTTATTTGAATAATAATTTTTAAAACAAAAAAAAAACAACTTTCGGATAAAGAGTTCTGTTTAAAGTATTAGAAGATTAAAATACTCAGTTTGGCGCGATTCTTTTCTATGTCCATTTCTCTTCGTGCACGATTTTCCACACTGTCTGCGCAGTTCAATGAATCAATCGAACGCAAGATATCTGCAAGTTGACGTGCTCGAGCTGGTCTAAATGACGACTGCCGATCATGCAAAATTGAATCTTGTTTTACACTTTGCTCGTCGCAATCATCGTTTTTTACAGTTGATAACGGTGCAATAACTTTCTCAATCAGTTTCGAACGAACTAAATTATTTAAACGAGTATATTCACGTTGACGAAGTCGAGCCATAGTTGCCGTATGTGACTCAGGAATGTTTGCACTGTTATTTATCGGGTTAGCTCTTTTAGGTAACGGGACATTCATGTGTCTACGTTCACGTTCATTTGACGACGATAGTTGTGGATGAACAATAGGCTTTCTATAGGAAAAATAATCGGTAGAAACTTTGAATGATCACTATGCAACAAACCCTGTATCATCATCGCTGAGAAATGACTTGGCATCGTCAAAAGGTGCATCGAGTTCTAGTGAAAGACCTGTGGTAGATCGCGATAGGTTTGTTGACTGTCGTGGCAAGCGTTCGTTTGTCTTCGTTTCGATGGATTGGCGGCGAAGTAGTGGTAAATAGCAGTTTGAAGGACTTAAATATTTTTCTGGATGAAGCCGAAAATCCCGAAGAGACGACTTCGATACGATAAATCGTGATGGGGGTCGTTTGGGAACCAACGACTGTGAACTTCGACTAAGACTCGATGTCGGTACGGATGATACTGTTCGTGTGAAAGGTGCTGAATTTATTGAACGACCCTTGTGCAAGGAATTAATTGAGAGAGTAATGGGTGCAGAGATTATCGTTCGTTGCTTTGGTTTTATTTCATCATTTGTACTCGAATCAAGGAGCAAACTTGTTGGCTGAACTTCACTCGAATCGGTATTCATTTGAAATTGAACACGCCGCTTTTGAGCATCATCATCGTCGTCATTTACCGGTATTTCACTGGCTATCAGCGGCTCAGCTACCTAAGTAAATATGTAATCAACATTATTGACAATTTACATCATAAAATTTTACATCTATCTCAAGGAAAATGATACGACTAAAGGTCATTTTTCTCTAGATGTAATAACACGATCATATAACAAATTAGAACTCTTGAGAAGAGACTCTTTCACATACATACTGTATTTTCAGTGGTCAGACGTGGTTCATTCGTTTCGATCATCACATTTTCATCTTGATTCAACGCAGCAGCTGCTTGTACATAGGGACTTGCCGATAAACTACGTTTTGCCGGCGGCGATCTCGTGAATGATGACGATTTTGAAAGACTTCGTTTCGTTCTTTTTGTTTGTTCACTTGAACTTGAGTGACTCCCTTGACTCTCATGTGTATCTGCATATTTACAACATTGACGAACATAATTCAATATGCTAGAACAAAACGAATCGAATGTTGCATATTAGAAAAATAACAAATATCATACTCGATCATTGCTTGATTATGTTTATGTCGCAAGGTTTGTCTATTAATGAATCCTTTTTGTTCGAATGTTCGTTGATCAATCGTGTTTTGTCTTTCCATACCTAACTGAAGTAGCTGAACATTGAGCAGTCGATTCGTCTGTTTGTATGAACTCTCAGATCGTTTTTGTGCAGAAGCTGTTCCTAACAAAGCAGTTGCTGCTGATGCGGTGCTATGTTGAGTCGGAGTCGTTCTACGCGATGCCCAACATTCGATACGTTGTTTTCGTCCGCTTAGATAGCCTAGTCGAACAGAAGAAGTCGAACTTTTCTGGTTTTCGGCCATAGTAACGTTGTATTTCGGTAAAGTTGTTGATTTCGATATTGTTAAGTTTGCATAAGCAGGGTGGTAATTTGCCAAGAAAATAAACGCCTAATCAAAGAGGTAAAAATAATTCAAATAAAGAAGACGTTTTTTTAAGAAGTAAAAAATAAAAAATTTAATTGACTCTGTCAATGCAGTACACGGTCTTATCAAGTGTGTATGCGTCTCCTCCTGAATGTAGGATGAAAGTTGTTTGTCTTTAACCGTTGAGTTTTTTCCTCATGTCATATAAAAATAACAGCAGATGCTGGTCTCCAAAAATTAGCTTTGGTAACATTCAGAGATAGAGAGTTTGTATCCAAGACTAACTTCTAAAAGAGTTTCTTACAATAATTCTCTTTTAATCATAGCTGAGCACACGATACAAGTGTATATAATCGTTGTCAAAGAAGAGAATGGTTTACATCGATAATCGAAAAATAGCACTTATGACAACAACAATAATACTCTTCGCACGTTGTTCAAATATCGTTTTTTCAAGAAGAAAAAAAAAACGACGTCATATCATCCTTTATATGTATTGATCTTTATTCTCGTCCTCTCGCTTTCATTTCTTCCCTCTCTAATGTCATTCGATATAGATGATGTTGTTGAGAAGCTCTAAAATCACATAAACGAAAATGACTTCAATGTCGACTTCGCTTGTGAACATTAATCAGCCACATATAAACCATGTTGATGATAGGTAAATAACCAGCGTGAAAATAGCAACTAATCAAAATAACGACAAACGATTGTTAATCGACTACCTTGAATACATCATGCTTCGGAAGAAAAATATTGTTATGTTACATACACAAATTTATGGTTTCATACGGTGTTAATATTTTCCGTGGAAACTACGGTCTATCCAACTGTCCCTTTCCACAAGCACTAAAAGTTACTTCTTGTGTTCCTGAACTGTTGAGCGAGTAGACTTTCATGTTCTGGTACGCCAATCGTTTCTCCGGTAGATGTTTTTACTCAAAAGACAAATTTTTAATAGAGTTTCAAATCAAATCTGTTTTTTAATTTAAAATGATTTTTTAAAAGATAAAATCCATTGATTTCTAAGATGATGTTGCACTATATTCTTTGATAAGATTACCAGCGATGACCAATCGTTGAACTAAAATTCAATCAAAACGCCATTCGTCGTTTCTCAATCATACGAAAATTTTACTTTCACTTGTTCCTTCATAGATCTCGGTGATTCTTGCGTCACGATAGTGACGTTCAGCTGGCATATCGCTCACATAACCCATTCCACCTAAAATTTGTATGGCTTGATGAGCATTGAATGTTGCACATTCCGATGCAGCCAGTTTTGCCATAGCAGCAAATTTTGTGAAGGGTTCTCCTTGACATTTTAATGCTGCAGCTTTCCATGTCAATAAACGTGCAGATTGTAAACGCATTTCCATATCTGTACAGAAAAAAAGTATTGTGTGCAAAATTCTGAACTTTTCTCTCTAAGAATCACACCGGCTAATTTCATTTGTATTGCTTGTAATTGAGTCAATTGTTTGCCAAATACTTGCCGTTTTTGGGCATAATCAACAGCACAATCAAGTGCCGCTTGGGCTATACCCAATGCTTGGCCAGCAATACCAATACGGCCTGAATCAAGTGTTGTCACTGCGAACACACCCTCGAGTGAGAAAAGGGAAAAATAAAATGTTTGTTTGTTATACTTGCAATCTTGAATCCATCGCCTTTTTTGCCAAGTAAATTCTCCTTGGGAAAGACGCAATCCTCGAAAATTAAATTGCTGGTGGAGCTTGCTCTGATACCTAGCTTGTCCTCTTTTTTACCCAAGGAAAACCCTTCTGTTCCCTTTTTAACAATGAAAGCGCTTATGCCTTTGTGTTTCAACGATTTATCAGTTGTGGCGAAGACGACTGCCGCTTCCGCCTCGTGTGCGTTGGTACTACAATAAAACGAGTGTTAACTCTGCAAATAACGATTCAGAGATATTCCTACATCCAAGCTTTGGTACCATTCATGACATAAGTAGACTGATCATGCTCTTTGACCACAGTACTAGCAGCACCAGCGTCAGAACCATTGCCTATCAAACAGTACACAATAATCCTTGGTTAAAAGCAATTACAAAACAAGAGTAAGAAACCTGGTTCCGAAAGAGCAAAACATCCAACTCGTTCACCGTGCAAAAACGGCTTGACAAATTGGTCAATTTGTTTCTCGTTTCCATATTTCACCAATGGACCTATGTATAGCGACTAAAGACAAGATTGTCCACATGAAATCGCGTTGACTTCAGATAAAAATTCAATCTCACATTATGTGCCGACATAATTACACCACAACTAGCACATCCGCGTGATATTTCTTCCATAGCAATTGCATATGCAAGTGAATCTAAACCTGAACCACCTAATTCTTCACCGACTTCTACACACATTAAACCAAGATCACCCAATTTTTTCACCTAAATAGACAATCTTTCCGACTCGTTTCTTTGACGAAAACAATCCACAAACAAGATCAATTGGATATTGATGCGACTTATCAAGCTGTGCAGCTACGGGTTTTAGTTCTCGATCAGCAAAATCTCGACATGTTTTTCTGAGCATTTCGTGCGATTCTGGAATGGTCATTAAAGATGAACCAATATGCGTCGACATTGCACATTGTTGAAAGACAGCGGCTAGAATGAAAACATTTCACCTTCTTCATTCGTTCGTTTTCAAAGAACAGCTTTCCTATCACCTCTTTGAGCGAGTGCTTTTATTAAATGATTGGTTTTGGTAAACATCTGAAGAAAACAGAAAATAGAGTTTTGTTTTTCAAGATGCAGGGTTTGTATTTGTATAGACAAAAAGGAAGAAGAGAAAAATAGCACTGTTGAGAAAAGTCCGTTGTTCTATTTAACGACATATTGCTTTCACTACATCTTTGATTGCTGTCACGGTTTTTATGTCGTGTTCGTTTTGTAAATATGCTTGTGTTTCCTTCATCTTATTTGTATTGACTAGCACCAATGTCGATGAACGGGTATTGTCAATCAACGGTTGTAAATACTTTTCGATCAGTTCCAAAAACACTGTCTCATTATAATTGTAGAGATTGATGTCGTGCAATAAATCTTGATACTTTTCAATCGAGTACTTATTGAGATATGAACGAATGCAAACACCGGTGACTCGACCTAATGTGGCGAGATGTTCAGTGAACATGCAGATAGTTAGATTTCGTGCCGCTAATATTCGTTCCGGATCTAATTTGATCTTGTGTTCGACGATATTTTTCAGCGCTTCCATCGCACTGGAGTACGCCAAGTTCAATTGCGAGCATTGATTGATCGAAAGAAGAATTACGTTGGATTCAAAATCGAAATCAAATGCGACACCATAGGCATAACCATTTGTGCGACATGCTGTCCATAATGGGCCGTTTTCCATATCGAGATAATTACAGAAGATCATCAAAGGAATGAAATCAGCTTGAGATATTGCAAGTCGTGTCCAACGGATAACATAACTAAACGCAAAGAATAGACGTCATTCTAAAAGTAAGAATCTATCTGATATTACCCAGATTCTTCATGCGGACTACCAATAATAGCTGCAGGTGAGACAGTCTGTATGTGTTTTCCTTTCGTATCCTTGTTAGCACTGGACTCAATGTCGACTTGACTCTTTGCATGACATTCTTTGATAAATTGTTCGATGATTTGCCGATTGTCTTTGATTAATTCAACGTTTCCACATACGGTTAAGTGTATCTGAGATAAATTCTTCCAGATGAACTTTTGAATTTGTTTCAATTTCGATATAATTTCGTTCTGATACTTGTTCGGATGTTTACAAATCTTTTCCAAGAGATTTTTTTGTAAAAACATATTCATTTGATGATAATAACTCTCCGTATTCGTTGAGTGAATCAAGGAATTAAAATATGCTTGATGAACGGTTTGACCATCTTGTAATACTTCGATGAAATTCTTCAATTGTTTTTCACATTCTTCGAGAATGATCTTATAATCATCGAAAACACTTCCGAAGAGAGCATAACGAAAGTAATCCATCGTGTTTTTGCACATTTCGAAATTGTTCAAGGATTGTAGTGAGACGATGAATATGTCGAGATAGTGTCCGTGAATATAACTAGATTGTATTGGCGATGAAGATGATTGACCATTTGAAACACTGTAGTCGAGAATATCACGTGAAATCAATTCACAGAAGTGATATTTATCTAGTTGAACATTATCGTATCGTATTGCCGTATGAAAAAGTAAATTGGTAAAAAGCGGAAGATACAATTGTAGATCTGAAGCGAGCTGTTTGATTGGAATATGTAAAGTGTATTTGAGAAAATGGCTGTTTGGACTGTGAAATAAATCAAGATGCTTTCCATTGGTGTCATATTCAATGGGCGGAAGATGTAGTTGATTGTCGAAAGAGAGTAATGGATGAGAAATTGTTGCACATTGAGATGTCGATTGCTTATTATTCAAACGAGCTTGCTCAAGTTCAGTTTTCAGTCGTTGAAGGCCATCAGAACCGAGTGAAACGAAGCGTTCCGATATTCGTTGTTCATCTTGCTCTGAAAGAATAAGTTCACATGAACGACAAGCGTGCCTTAATCGAAAGAAATACGCTACATTACCTTGTTGTTCAATCAATAGATCACTGTTCGGCTTGAGTAGAATAACTGTTCTTTTCGTTGAAGGCCATTCGAGAAGGTACTTCTTAATCAATTCATGCCAATACGCGATTGGCTGTTCGAATAAGCTTTCTAAATACTTTTTATTTTGTAAAAATTTGTGTAACTGCTGCTCGTCGTCATTTTCGTTGTTAGTTTTCGGTACGGATAATTCCGAAACATGATCGAGACAACATAAATCTATCAGGAAGCCGTACGGTTCATTTTCGATTTCATTCAAATGTAAATCAATTTTCTTCTTTATATTTCGTCGTAGCTGTGTGTAGAGTTGGTCATTATCTCTTTGACAATCGATTATTGAATAAAGAACAGATGAATATTTATCTGCAACCATCGTTAGATTATCTACCTCAACACCTAAATGAAAAGTGATATCGTATGCTTATGTAATGTCTATGTGTACCTTCGAAAACAACAACTAGAACTCTTTCCGGGTAATTGAACCAATCGTGATCAATTGACGAGCATAAAGTATTCGGTATCTCCATAAATTCCTTGTAAAAAATGGAAATATCCTCGTCGAATAGAGTTGTTAATAGAACATCCAGTGCTGTATAAATTTCCATTTCATAAATCGATTCTAATCGATAACCGAAAGCAACTTGACCAAGATTTTCATCATTGTCTTCAACAGGGTAGAAAATTTCCTTATATTCGTTCATATGACGGTGATTGATGGAAGTGTCAACTTCAATTGTTGACCATAAGGTTGTAGGTGACGATGGAGCAGACAAATCTTCATGCGAGACCATCAATTCCGAGTCACAAAATGACGAATCGTTTCCATCGGTAGTTGTTCCTGTTGTTGTCAAGTGAACAGATAATTTCGTTGTGTCAATAGGGTTCGAATCTGCATTTTTCTCGGATGAGAGCGAGTTCTCATCAAGACTGGCACGTTTGATTTTAATGAAAGGAAACTTATCGTTATTGAATTTCATCTTCTTTCTTAAATTTTCATTCAGTGAATAGTCCAGCGAAATTCGATGACGATTTTCTAACTGTGAACAATTTTCGTCTTCAAATTTACTTAAAACTCCTAAGATCTCATCAATTTGGATTCCGCCACCACATAGAATAATCGCTAAATTATTCGGGACATAATATTTCTGATGAAACAATTTGATTTTATCTAACGTTAACTCATTCCGTATGGCTTCTAATCGACCGCCTGATTCATAATAGTACGGTGACTTATCTGACCATAAATCACGTAAAACTGAATAGAGAAGTATTTCATCCGGTTGATTTTCACTCGATTGAATTTCGCTGTAAACAACACCGGCATCATCTCCTGTTTCACCAGATATATGATGCACTTCCGTTAAATAGCAATCATTTGTTAATAACGGATTTAATATGTGATCAAGATAAATAGGAAGAAGTTTTAATAACGACTGATGGTTAACTGTCGTTAATTCATACGTTGTCATATCACGATACGTTGTCGCATTTGTGCCTAAGGAATAATATTGAGCAGATATATAATCGAGATAACCTTGCTGAGGATACTGTCGACTACCCATGAAGATTAGATGTTCTATAATCAAACAATTAGCATACTTTTCATTGAATTTCACATTCTTTTACCTAATGTATGCGCACATCCCGTATCATCGTAGGGTTTCGTTTGTACGCAGATTTCAAGTTTGATTAATGGTAATGGTAGCTTGATATGGTATAGTTTCATTCCTGTTTTACTTGATTGATATTTTTCCACATTAAATGTCGGTTCGCAGTAGGATGAGATGAAGTTAAAATTCGACTGCAGACGAGCCATTTGTTTGGAATAAGAACAAATCCTATAATTAAGAATTCGAATCATTCATTCATTCATTCATTTTCTCTTCACTTCGATATTTCAATCATCTCGTTTTCTTTGAAATTATTTATTTCATTCTAAAATAACAATTGTACAATGATTAGCGCAATGGACAAGTGAATATTTTAATAAAAAATAGAAGACAGAGAGACAAACAGAATCATATCACATCAAAGAAGAAGCAGGAAAAACGAATAATCAAATATGAGCGTGCGTACGTGAGAGAAGAAAATTTTTTCACAAAAAAAACAAGAAAACGTTGTGAGTGATGTTTGTAAATGCGAACACATTTGTGCAAAAAGAAGACTAGAGTAGAAATAAACATTTGATCGTGCACAAAGACAAAAAAGAAATCAAATAGAACGATGAATTTTCTCTCTATTGCATGGTATTTTCTCTCTTTTGTTCTATCTGAGCAAGAAATAGAAAAATCAAGCAATCAGATAAAATAATTCACAACTTGTGTGATCGAAATTGATTTTATCAATTGCTTTGAATAATGACGTCACATTCAAATCATCAGGTAAACGCGTTAAAAATTGTAAACAATGAAATGTATCTAATTGACAGAGCCGTTCTTCGTAGAGAGATAAGATGGCGATAGCCGTACGAAAAATAAATGCATCACCATCGCGAAAAAACATATCCCAAATACGTGAGACGACATCCAGTGGTAAAGATTTCGAATAGATTGTAAAAAACCAGTCCAATGCAAAACAATTCGGTTCGATTGACATCTCAATGAAATGTGCACTTAGTTTAGGTAAATGGAAGTTCAATAATTGATTGAATAATTCCAAATACTTCTCCATGTTATTAAATCGATAGAATGTTTGAAAATAAGAACGATGCATTAGATTTGAAAAGCAAATAAACGAGTCGTAGAGATCAAGATTTAGTAGAAACATTGCGGCGAGAAATGCTTGGCCTTGAACGTATCCGATTTCAGGACAAAAATATACATATATACAAAGCAATAATTCAAGATATTCTAAATAGAAGTGGAAGCTCGAATTGGCTGGTGTACGGCACGTTTTACTGACCGTGATAAGGACCATTTTGTTGAAAAAGACCGAGCTGAGGAAATGTTCGTGAGACATCCAGTTGGATCAGTTCAAAATAGGAACTCGTCGTTTCTGTTGAATGTGACACCGTCGTTGGTAATTGAGGAGATGCTGAATGATTACTTCGAGCATCCTCGGCCTAGAAAAATCAAATAATAATGTTTTACTCGAAGATATTCCAATTACTTGTCGCGTCTCTTCAAGCTTCTCCTTGGCCATTTGTTGAAGTTGACTAAACAACTCATATGTTATGCCAAGTTCATTTCCAATAGCCATCTTCCACACTTTTCCTCGTACGCCTAAACCAACGAAAATAGATACGTTTATTACGTTGCTTTCTTTTCATACGTGGTGGTAAACCGTGCCACCATAACTTGCGAGCTTTGGCGTTTAATGCAGCATCTGAACAGTTGTATATACTTCCGTGTTTGTCCCAATAGGGTAAAATCTCTTGTGTCCAGATCTTCAACGATTTCGAAACGAATTCTTCGCGTTTTAGTTTGAGCCGTTGACGTTGTTGTTCTTTTTCGTTGAATAACTGTTCAGCACGTTTAGCTTCGAAGCACATTTTTTGATATTCAACTTGGTGTTTAAGAGTTTCTTCATTGGACTTAGGTGGTAAATTCGTCGGACGATTTTCAAAGATTAAACCAGTACTACTTGATTTCGCTGCTACTTTCATAGATGACGTCGATGAATTGAATCGATTTGAAAGACGAGATAGCCAACTCGAAGATGCTGAATGATGATTATTGTTAGTAATAGTTGTCGATGATGACGATGTTGTTAGAAGAGATTGTGTAGAAATCTTTCCTGTCTTTGATGGAACCGCGTAAGTTGTTGTAGTTGGTAGATTATGCGACGTTGCCTCGCTGGTTGTACGATCGTCGACCGTTTCAATAGTGTGTGTTCGCGTTGTGTCAGTTGATTCTTGACTAGAACGACAAACAATTATATGAAATAATCAAACACAAAGGTAAATCATTCGATTTCCCATGATCACATGATAAGAATGAGTAATATTGATCTGTTTGCAAACGTAGCTTCCTCAATTTCACGATAATACAAAGCATAAGAAAAGGTGTAAAGATTTTCCTTTCTTATCTCTTTCGAATATTTGATATGAAAGAAGAGAAGACTATTAAGATATAACTTACATCGTAGCCGTTCGTTCCAGCGATGCTTCAGAAGCACTTCTCGATCGAAAGACTTTTCGTGTTGGTGTTACTGCTGGCGGTTGTTCATCTTCTTTCTTTTTCGAGGAGAAAAACGTGGCGACTGTGTTGGCAAAACCACCTTTTCTTTTATAACTCTTATCAACATCTGCCGTTTGGTCAATCTTATCCGACGATGCACAACAAAACTCATTCAAAAGCACGCTATAATTTGAGACGGAATAGTTCGAAAGACTGTTTTTACGTGACCGACGTTCGCCACCACCTGCTGATAAGCCTTGAAAGAGACGAAAAATGAAGTTCAGATACATAGGAAGCAGATCGTTTACCATCAGTGTTGGACTTGGAATTTTTTCGTGATAATCTTGGAAGTTTGTCGTCGACATCATCTTCATCATCGACAACGAACTCAATTTTCGAATGCAGTTTTTGATTCGGATTAGAATTCGATACGGTATATGATGAAGATGAGCATGATGATGGTGAAGACGCGATTTGAAGAAAACTATGATGATGTTCATTTTCTTCATCGATCGGATCGGTGTGTGATGTTCCATGACTAGCAGCACTCAACGTTTTGTAACCAGAATCTAACGAGTTTGATTTACGGAAATATTCGGAATTCGGTGGACAGGAGGACAAAGCTGACGATATGATTTTTTCGTTTGTAGTTTCATTATCTAGGGAATAAGATGATGATGTTGATGTCGACGACGACGATGATGCTATAGATTTAATATCAATCGCACATGCGGATTGTGAAGAACGAATTGATGGAAGGGTTTTTTTCGTCGATGGCAGACGTTCACTTGAATGAGATCGATATCCCAATGTTGTGGATGTCATCTCTCTAAAGAAGAAAATTTTGAGAAAAATATCTATAGTTTTATCAAAGAAATGTTTCGTCAACGATGATAAGAAAAAAATCTCGAGGTGTAGACAGGACATAAAAACATTTCTATTGACAACCAATCAAGAGAAAAACATGCATAGATGTCATTAATGTTCTCGTTATAACGGACAAGCGGTACTTTCTTTGTCCTAAGTCATCAGTTCGATCATTTCATTATTCGTGAAAAGAATGGTAAAAATGGACATTTTCTTGAGAAAATCGATAATTGAACAAATACGTTTGTCTTTTTTTCTTCTCTAGAGAAGAAGTCTTGCACCAAGTACAGCTGCGAAACGCTTGGTTGATACCAGTGATTACGAAGATGACTCGGATGACTATGATGACGATGAAGGTTCGAAAAGAAATGGAAAACGTAAACGAAATGAAAAACCGAAAAAAGCACGTCAAGTTCAGAGTATTTCTATGAAAACATCTATCTTCTCATATGTGTCAGGTTTATGCCAATGCGAAAATTTCAAATAAAGGCTACGACACAAGCCAATTCGTTTCATCTTTTCGTAAAGCACTTGTTCCAATCGGTAATCAACCATCGTTTACCTTCGGAAGTGATAATAGCGAACATGTTAGTAGACAAATCAACGAAGAATAATGAAATCATTTATAAATCGATTTTAGGAAGCATTTATTCGATCATTTCTTGCTCAACCGTTTAAAATTCCAATTCCGAATTATAAAGGACCGATTTCTGGTCGTGGTTTGGGTGTTCGACGTATGGGTGGCCGACAAAGTTTATACGATCCAGAAGAAGAAAATGCTCTAGTTTTATTCATACCGCCTGAATTAAGTGAACATGATAAACTTAAAATCGATAAGTAGGATTCGATATAATCGAAAGGAAGACTTTTGTTGGTTGATTGGTTTATCTGTTGAATTTAGAGATAAAGTGCAAGTACATGTTGTTGTTGATCCCGTTTTATCAAAAATACTTCGACCGCATCAACGTGAAGTAAGCGATTCTTCGTTGTCTCAGATCCCAACGATGTTTATTGAATTTTAGGGTGTTAAATTTCTGTACGATAGTGTTACCGGCATTCAAATCGAAAATTATAATGGCTGCATCATGGCCGATGAAATGGTTAGGAGAAACACATGAAGGCAGCGAGCCATTGAGAGTATTGTATTTTTCAGGGTCTTGGCAAAACATTGCAATGTATCACACTGTTATGGACATTATTGGTATATAGGACTGAATGAAATTCACTTGAATCGAAATCCTTTTTGTTCTTGTAGCAACAAGGACCTGATTGTAAACCAACAATTCAAAAAGCCATCATTGTTTGTCCAGCATCGTTAGTCAAAGTCTGTATTTGATTCATTTCTATTGCGTTAAGTATACCTTTGATGTTTTGATCATAGAATTGGGATAAAGAAGTTCACAAATGGTTGAATGGACGTCTTGGCACAATGCCTATTGATAGTGGTACAAAATCAGAAATTGAAACACAATTAAGTATGATTTAACTGCAATGAAAACGGATGGAAGTACATTTTGCGCTAAAATTTATGCTTGTAGAAACCTTCATGTTGTCACAAGCACGTCGTTCGGCGAGTCCGGTTTTGATTATTTCCTACGAAGCTTTTCGTTCACATGCAGCAATTCTTCATAGAGGTCAAGTCGGTTTGATCATTTGTGATGAAGTATGACTTTTCCTATTCGAAATTCATACGAGAAATATGCAATTTCTCCACTCATCATCCAGGGACATCGATTGAAAAATGCTGAAAATCAAACGTACGATGCCTTATTCAAACTCGATTGTCGTCGGCGTGTTCTGCTATCTGGTACACCGATTCAAAACGATCTTTTGGAATACTTCAGTTTAATTCATTTCGTCAATAGTGGTATTCTCGGTAAGATAAACATCGAATGACTTCGATGGTTGCCAATGTATCCATATATTGACCAGGTACAGCCAGTGAATTTCGAACCAGATTCGAAAATCCGATCCGACGTGGCCGTGATGCTGGTGGAACTGATAAAGAAGTTCAACAAGCTCAAGAAAAACTCCAGGAATTAAATCAACTAGTCAATCGATGTATTATTCGACGTACACAAGCGTTATTGACGAAATATCTACCGGTTAAAAGTAAGTTGTTATCGAAAAGTATCACTAAATATACAAATTCTTGCCTAGTTGAACAAGTTATATGCTGTAAACTAATGCCATTGCAAGTAGATTTGTATAAGAAATTTGTGGAAACTGGTATGAACGAACTTGGTTCATCCAATGGAAAGTTCTCCCAATCAGCTCTATCTATTATTACTAGTCTGAAGAAATTGTGTAATCGTGAGTATAATTCGATCTCCAATAACATTCTGAATTCAACAAATCGATTCAGATCCTTCACTCATTTTCGAAAAATGCTTGGAAAAAGCGGATGGCTTTGCAAAATTGCTGCCGTTATTTCCTGCTGGTTACAATATGAAAACAATTGATCCCGTTTTGTCAGGTATAACTAATCACTTGCTTTCACCTGTCTTATCTATATATTTTACAGGCAAAATGATTGTATTGGACTATTTACTTGCTGTGATCAAAGCAACGACAAATGATCGCGTTGTACTTGTATCAAATTACACACAAACATTAGATGTTTTCGAAAAACTGTGTCAACAACGACGGTACGTGAAAAACTTTAGTTTCAGTACTGATTACAGTTTTGTCTATTAGATATCAATTCGTTCGTCTCGATGGTTCGATGTCAATTAAGAAGCGAGGCAAAATTGTCGATACTTTCAACAATCCTGAAGCAAGTCTTCTTCTCTTGCTAACACAAGATCTATTCATTCTTATTCATTCTAGAGTTCCGATTTTATCTTCATGCTCAGCAGTAAAGCAGGTGGTTGTGGTCTTAATTTAATTGGTGCTAATCGCTTAGTTATGTTCGATCCTGATTGGAATCCCGCTAGTAAACATTCGTTTGCCTATTCAATTCAATCATTCATATCTGTTTGTTTGTAGACGACGATCAAGCGATGGCTCGTGTCTGGCGAGATGGACAGAAGAAGCAATGCTATATCTATCGTCTCATTTCTGTATGTGAATATTTAATTATCTAAATATTATTTAAAATTTGATTCTGTTTGAATGTAGACCGGTACACTCGAAGAAAAGATCTTTCAACGTCAAGCACATAAAAAAGCGTTGAGTAGTTGTGTCGTCGATCAAGAAGAAGATGTCGAAAGACATTTCACAGCTGATGAATTACGAGATCTGTTTCGCATCAATGAAAATACTCGTAGTGATACTCATGACAAGTACGAAAATAGATATTTTCATTCCTAAATGCATGATTATCTTCTTTTTTTCTCGTATTAGATTTAAATGTAAACGATGCATGAATCAAATTCAGGTTAAACCACCACCCGATGATGCAGATTGCGGATGTGATCTTTCACAATGGCATCATTGTTGGGATAAACGCAATTTAGTCGATCAATTACTGAAACAAATCTGGCGGGATGATGTCATTTCATTTGTTTTTCATCAGAAATCACACGAACAAAAGAAGACCGTTTAAGGGGTGGTCTTCAAATGCGAACACAGAGAAAATTTCTATTTTTTTTTTGTATGAAATGAAAATCTTCTACAATGTATTCTCATCTTTATCTTGCTAGCGACGTTTACGTTTTAATTTATTCTATATATGTGTGGACTATTCTCATTGTTTCTTCCCTTTTTTGTCAAACAAGCAAAATTACTTTAATCTGATGTACTCTAGTTCATAATAAATAAATATATACATAGGATATGGATAAATAATTCGGCGCAATGGAATCAATCGCTTAGTTTAGACTACTATCTATTTAGTAAGAAAAAACAAACAAACAAGAAACATCAATTAAGTCTTTCGTTGTTGTTCGTTGGAATATCCTAAATCTTCCCATTCGTGTTTTTTCATCAGATTTCTAAACAAGATATGAACATTGATGGCTACAAAGAACTAGGAAGATTTTTCTTTGTTTACCGATCCATTCGACATTGAAAATAATCTTTGGATTCTGCTTGACATAAACTGGGTTTGTTATCATTACGCGATAAACACAACATATATTTCAACATGGTTTCTTTACATTCACCTAAACAGCTTTCAAAATGAGATATTCAATTTCCTGATAGCAAGAATTCCAGAGGACTTGTTTACCTTCATGATCCAAAGGAAAAACGCCACGTTCTGGTTTCGTTGGTGAAATATATTTCTGTCCTAGTGTGTAACTTGTCATCTTGAATAAAAAAAAATAAAGTGTACATATACACGCAAGATATTGTTTATTCTTCGATTTGGAAAAAAAAACTAGACTTCGGGTTTGTCTTCTCATCACAGTTCGAAAATGTAAAGCAATTTTGAGTGAAAACATTCTGCGGAATAAGAAAAAGAAAACAAATCGAGTATGATTTGTTATTTTGATTCGTCAATAAGCATCCAAGCCAGCCCAGTAATGCTCGGAGTATCCTTCTTTACAGTGATCAATGAGGATTTTTCTTCGTTGATCACAATATCGAGTTTTATCCATTAATTGAATGGAGATATTCTTCTCCGCATCGATTTCGGCCTCTAAGAAACCGGACAAGGCTTCGGTTGCTCGTTCTAGATCAGCCTGATTTTGTTCGAAAACTTCGGCTTGATTGTTTCGATACAAATAATATGCAAATGCATATGTATATTTCAATGTTCGACGGCATTGTTGAAGAACATCAAATGCTTTGTATGTTGCTTGTTGCTCGGTGAACGTTTTCGATTCCGCTTGCATTTCTTGGATGCGTTGTTCAACTTGATTAGAATGATTTGTCTCTAATTCGAGCGATTGATTGTGTGCTTGATAACGAGTGAAATAATGCATGTACCGGGCTAGATTTTCGCGAGCTGATAATTGATTGCTATTGACGCCATCTTCTCGAAAGACATTACATTGGCGTGTGGCATGATCTTTCCAAGGACCTAGCAAATGAACTGATATTAGAAAGAAGGGAGACACTTTTCGGTGAGTGTATACATACCAAAACATATCCAGCAGAATTCATGAGCACATCCTGGCTTTCGACAAGCTATAGAAGAAGAAGAGTTTTATCGTTTTGATAATAGTGAGAAAATGATGTACTCATATGGTTACAACCACCGTTCTTCTCAATACTTGCATGACAATTTGGACATTCTTTAGTATCTAAAACAAAATCAAGTTTATTCTGGACTTCTATCTTAACGGACAGATTTAATTACTTGCGATCAGCCATTCACTGGTCATTGATTCATCTCGATTTTTCTTCTCCCATTTAACTAACAAACTGCATTGAATTGGATCATGCCATTGCTTTGAGCAATGAAAACAAAATGTTGTTTTACACACATCGCATGAGATCATTTGCGCACAATCTGTCAAGTGAGAATTGATTCTGACTAGAGTCGAACAGGAATTACCGGGACACCATTTCGTTAAGCGATTGGTATCGACATACGAATTGATCATAACTTGTTCATAACGTTTTGTTAGTCGTTCGTCATGTTTCAATAATCTCAAAGCTTCTTCATCATCAACAATTTGATTACAATTCGATGGACACGAAATTTTCTTGACATTCGTAATATTTGCCAAACATGACTGAAGATATAGCCGCCAACATGGTAAACAATGCTTATGATTACATGCTAAAGAGTAAAACTCGTTCGGAGGTTTGTCTGAGTAACAACTAAAGAGAACGAGACAAATCATTGAACTTGTTGAAGATCATTGATTCCTACGTTTTACACGTGACAAGATTAGGATCCGATCCATCACTTGGCGCGGGTGATGCAGGAGTCAAGTCTATTGGTGAAGAATTAGGATTAGGCAGTTTTGCTTTAAGAAATAATCGATCCGGATCGTCCCAATAGCGGTCTACAATCAAATTATGCAAAAATTTCGTATGTTATCTAGAAAAAGTCATCTAACCAGTCAATAGATCTTGATCCCAATGGAAATGACTTAGTAGTAAACGCACTAGTGTCGTTGATTGTAAACCGAGTATTTCGCTAACATCTCGATTTATTTTTTGGATTTCTTTTAAAATATCTTTCTCAGATAATAAATAGTAGATTGCTTGTTCATTGGTTAAAATGGTCATTGGGGAAACATGTCTACGCATGTTGGGAGATTTCAGATGATAATATCGAAATGAATCAGTTCACGCACGGTAATTGCCACACAATTCGTTTTATATGAGTCAAATTGCTTTAGATGCTACAATAAACGAAAGTTGATAGGATAGGTTGGAAGGAAACAGAGGAGAACAACAAATCAAATCATATGTAGACTTTAGATGAGTCAGTAACTGATGTGAGTGATCTTTGGAAGGCGACGACATCTGCATAAAAAATAATTGCATTCTCGCTACATGTTAGGTGAGCTGTAAAACAGATTTATATCAGAAAACGTATTAAAGGTAACATTTGTATGCGCTGATTGTTGTAATTGTCCATTGGAATGACGAAATTCAACTGACTTTCTTATTTATTACGCAATAACATAGACATGCCTCTCAATGATGATGGATGATTTCATAAGCATTTGCTATGAGTGTAACTTTATGGAATCGGATATTTTTCATATTTATTTTTCACCAAAGTCGAACATTTCCAATCAAAGAAGTCGATTACAATAAAATAAACACATAACAGTCCACGAGACCAAAAGTTTTATCGAGTAATTTAACGAGATTGAGTTCGAATGTTTGCAACCATTCATAATAGACATCATACGGTGAGCAATAACCAACGCACTCTGATAAGGTGCAGGAGAATTTCGATTCGTTAAAATGACAACAGTGAGGTACTGTTTAGGAAAACGTAGAATAACATTACGAAAGCCAGTGGTTTCTCCTGAATGCCATATCATGTCTCCACTTACACGCCAGCCCATCGCATACTGAGTTCCGGGGTCATCTGTTCGTACTGCTGCTGTCAACGCCAAGTGTAAATATTCGCTGTTCAGTAGGCGATTATCGTACAGTGCAACATCCCATTTTTCCAAATCATTAATTGATGAATAAATTCCACCATCACCAAGAACAGCACTTGTCTGACTTTGATCTGTTCGAGTCCATAGTTGATTGCGGTAACTATAACCAAAAGCTCGATTAGACACAGTGGATACATCTTTTTCATAGGCTACCGTTTCATTCATTCCTAACGGTAGAAAGATATGTTCTTTGAGGAAGCTTGCAAAAGTTTTTCCTGATACTCGTTCTACAATAAGTGCCAATAGGGTGTAACCGCTATTGCTGTAAAGATACTTCGAGCCAGGTGGTGAGAAATATGTCTGATTCTCCGTCGAAAGGATTTTAAGAACATCCGCATCGGATAGTTGATAATTAGGATCAGTACCAGGTGGAATAATATCTTCGTAATCAATCAAACCAGATGTATGAGTAAGCAAATGGCGAACTGTCATAGCCTTTGTTACTTCGGGTAATTCGGGAAACCATCGTTCTCGAATTCGATCGTCTAGCTGGATTGCTTGATAATCATTCTGTATGAGTAATAGTATTGCTGCAGCAGTAAACTGCTTTGTCACTGATGCTAATCGAAAATTTGTTCTTGGAGTCGCATATGTTTGCGCTTCGATATTCGCAAAGCCATAGGAGCGTCGAATAATCGTCACATTTTGATGAATGACGAGAACACTCGCACCAGGAACATACGTTTCATCGTTGGAATAATCTTGCATGAGATTATCAACAAATAGTTCATTGTCATTTCTCGTATATGCATAGCTTATAGACAGAAGACAACTTAAAAGGAGTCCATAGAAAAGCAAATGTTTCTCTTCCATACGTATTTTTTTCTTATGATTGTCGTGTCAAATGATATTGTCTCGTTTTCGTATTAACACAAGATAAGAGGAGATTTGTTTGTCTATGTCTGCTTCAAGATTAGCCCTTGAAAGAAAAGGTGATTTATGGGAGATCATAAAGTCTCTTTTGTACACGGTTTCGTCATTCAAGGTGAGATTGTGGATGTCGGGCACGGCCAAGTCAAGCCACTTTTGCTTTGCCCATTTCTGCTCATTCGTAGGAAAAAGCCAATTCTTTTTAGAACAGCAACCGTTGAGATCAATCAGTGATCATTGTTATTTATAAAACAATGAAATTGAACGAAAAGGAAATATTTCGAGAACAAAAGATATCATTTATATCTAATTAAGTGAACTTTCTTTTATACTGTAATCATAAGATGAAGAAACACAATGGTTGCCGTTGTTACTTCATGTTTATCTTGCTTGTACCGATTAACTATCGTTAATTTCTTTAGTAATGGAAAAGCTTCCGCAGTGACTACAAAGAAATCATACGCAAATGGATGCATGAAATCCTCCGCGTATAGATTATGAACTATCATGAAATCTATGAGAACGTACGTGCATACAATCTATAGTAAATAGAAGCGAATAAATATGACACAGACGTTATGAATATTCATTATCGGCAAAATAACATCGAACACCAAATCCCCTTTGAATGAGAGTACCTTTTTTTATGATTAACAGCTGGCAAAACTTCTTCCTACAATGTGACATCTTCGCTGATAACATCGAAATTAGATACTTGTAGATGTGACACTTCATCAAAAATAGCATTAGGCAAATGAGTACTATCAATCAACAAATCTCGATCGTCAACAATAAGAGATAATGTGATATCTTCTACTTAATTGTCGCATTTGGCTGTCATATTCATTAGCTAGACGAATTGAAACCAATGAGAAACGTTTTAGGTCAGGTATTGTTTTCTAAAAGGAAATCAACATAAACCTCAAATCACATACCACTGATCATTGAGAAGAGCAAGTTTGTGCAGTTCCGAATAATATCCAATACGAAAAACATGATCTATTAATGATACATTCAGAGTAAGAGATTGATTGTTGTGCCGAACTCTAGGTAATAAGTCGAGACAAAATCGATCAAGTATTGACTTTTTTTTAAAATTAATTCGAGATGGGCCAACATACTGAGTAAAAGTTATGCCGCCAACCAGTTCATCAATTTTTCGACTTACACCGATCAGTGAATACAATACATTCACGTTATCCGGCCTATTGTAGATAGTGAGCAGTAGTTCATCGCAAAGACTAACAATGTAAACAGGTGCGTCAGCCATGTTGAATATGGATGACCGCTGGAAAGCGAATAACCTATGATCTATACGCATATCCGCATATAATCTTTGTTCATATCTAACGTTGTCAACAAATATGATGATCTTTTGTCATCGTTAAGTTTGTTTATGAATGAATACTGGCGTACCGTCGAAAATAGAATTATCGCGAAGAAACGAACGCGTTTGATTATTTTTCCGCATGCTTTATTCTTGTAGAAATGATTGGCAGTTGCGGAAAAATGAAATTAAAGATCGAATTATGATTGGCATTTCAAAACCGCTTGACATGGAAATTAAGGCGCGAGAGCGGTTCTTTCTCTCTTCAGTAGTGACTTTCTTACCACAAGCAATCAGCTTCTATATTGACTTGTTCTCACCCAGTATCCATTCCAATTTAAAAGCTTTCAGTTTTTCATTCGACAAAAAGACGTCCTACTGATGATCTTCGGTGAACAGACGATGAAGAGAGAAATTAGGGCAGAAGATTATCGAAATGAAGTATCATCTTATACTGGGTAGTTGTTGTCGATCATTATATGAAATTCAATGGGAATAGTGTTCTGAGGTATATTTTTGTATCGCAAAATTTCTTCTAGGTACTCTTTGTACATTTATAGTGTCAGGAGGATGTAGTCACTATTGCTTTAACGATATTTCGATTTGGGCGATGAAAAGTGTGTTAGATTCTCTGTCGAAAGAATATCGAAAACATGAGCATCAGATGAAACAACATATTGCTAACCAACCAGACCAAATGTATCAATAAAAAAATGACGAATCACCACATCTTTTGTAACTTCCGGTAGTTTGGGAAACATCATTCTCCAATTCGATTGTCTTCTCAAATATTTGTTTTTGGTGTCACATGTGCCTGCTGTTCAATATCCGCAAAGCCATAGGAGTGACGAATAATTGTCATATTTTAATGAACGACAAGAACAGTCGCACCAGAAACGGATGCTTCGTTGTTGGAATAATCTTGCACGAGATTATAAACAAACGTTTCATTTTCGTCTTTTATACATGCATAACTTATAACGTTCTCATATTTATACAATATGAGAGATACTCTGTTTGCTTATGTCTGCTTCAAAATTTGTTCTTGAAAAGAAAAGTGACTTATAGTAAATTACCAAGTCTCTTATTATATACTGCCTCATATTCTACTAACTAATGGCAAGAATTGAATTTCACGTCAGGAACATACATGATGTTCAAGATGATGCGTATAATCTTGAAAATGGAACAACGACCGATAGGGTAAATTCACTTGCGGTTATGCAAATATAATCGGAGTGAGCAAAATGTTGTCTGATTCATGAATGCGCAGTCTTTTTATTGAATTTATGGCGAATGAAAAAAACCCAAATGTTAATAATCGAGAAAATCTGGATTTTTTCCTAACGTCGGCGTCCTACGATACCATGAGCAAAAAGCGCTTTTTGAAGTTCAATAGGAATTGAACGTTTTGGATATGGAAACGAAGCGTAACGGGGACGGCCTCGTCGTAATGCTAAGCCTGATTTAAGGCTCGGGGAGTAGTATGGCAAAATCATCGATGGTTGATAACGCTGGTGGAAGAATTGCGACCATGGATTGGAATAGACGGATTCTTCATAATCAATTGGATAGATGTTATTTGTATTAGTTATCATTGGATATTCGTTATCACCTAAATCTTCATAGGAAAGATCATTATAGGCCAATGAATTTTGTTGATAATCCGGTTTGCTAGGCAACCGATTAGCTGATGTTTGATGCTGATTTAAGCAAACAAAAGTGATGACAAATACGGTGAACAAATAGTAGTTGGTATTCGACGAAGAAATGAACTAGAATAGTAGAAAGACGTTTATTTTACTGAAAAGTTTTTAGCGAATTACTTGATTCATTGAGAAAGTATCGAGCGAGAAAGATCAGTGAAGATGATAATTGAATCTGAAAAGATAACATTCGGATATGATTTCGATCGATTGATCAACACGAAAAAGAGAAAAGAGTGCACGTCATCCGCATTAAAGGTATAAATCTGAAACATGTGTCATGTCGTGGACACTTTTTCTCTGTTTCTATCAGGAAATTTGAATCTGATGAAAGAGCAAAGTCGTAACCAGTTAATGTCTCTGACAAGTTAATCTAAGAAGAATCACACTATTCAGACTTATATTTATATGTCGTAAAAGATCCACCTTCGTCTTCCCGCATACATCCTCATATGGCTGGAAAAAAAACTAACTCGAGAATGTTACAGAAAGAAAAGAAGATCAAATTAAATACAGTAACGAATTCTTTTTCTCAATATCTTTTGAACACACTCATCTACTCACAATGTCAAATATCTATTCGATATATGGTTATATCGACTATAAAGAAAAAACAACAAATGATTTCTATTAGTTCAACGTTGAATCTGTCTGGAGAGTTTCATGTGAATAATAACTCGGTTCACATCCTAAACGGACATAATTCTTTTGTTTCTCATTTCTTTCAACCAGCTGTCTTCTATATGAAAATTAATGAATACAATTGGGTGGTTTTAACAATGCAAAACTCATCTCTGGAGATCGACAATATAGAGAACGCTTAGTAATAACATTCTAGCGCATTATTTCCTAATCAATCTTTGTATTACTAACGGCGTGAAAAAAGTTATCGCGAACAGAATGACCCAATTTATCGATCTTGATCAAAATATGTGAAATAACATTTTCAAGCCTATAGCTATCTTTTACTACGCCCAGTATTTATCAGTACACTTAAAAATACTTTTTTTAATTATAATACCTCTGGAGAAATGCAATGAGCCGTGTCAATTAGCAAAGGTTCTACTTAGTATAAAAATGCAGCCCCCCACCCACATTCATACCTCCATAATTACAGCACACCCACTCTTGATTTTCCTCGATGTAGTCTATGAAATTGATGATAATTCGGTTTTCTTAATTTATATATACATACACACAGACACGTCAGAGATACCAATCTCAACAGTCATTATCAGCTTGACTTAGTAATGTTTGCACGAATGAGAAAAAGGAAACTTGAACATCTGCAGTTTGATTAAAATCATGACTCTTCTCTAAAAGGAAATCTAACACATAGTATTTTAAGTTAAGCTGACAGAATCCTTCCGTTTTGTTATGTGTCTGTGATTAAACTGTATCATATCAGCAAGTTGCTAACAAAATGTGTGATTACAGAAGATTTCCTTGATTTAAAGTATTTCAACATATCAGTAAATCCATGTAATGTGGCAACACAATGACCGCGGATTTGAAGTCGTCGCTTTGAAATTTGGCGATTGTCATCCTGCAGAGCATAGCAATCCACTCGTGTATTCAAACAGTTTGATATATAGAGGACTGATTAAAACTAATTATGTCTATGACACTAGAAGTAGCTTTTAGCAGGGAAACAATTTTTCTATGTGCTATACTTTTTGACAGCGAGCCTAATCAAACCTTCGAAATTTGTAACGTCATCCCGTAACGGAAAAATGAATATCTTTTTTTTCAATCCGTTCGCGCTAACTATGTATGGTGAAAACAGAATACCTAAAGCTAGTTTTTCACGGGGTGTCTAATTCATGTGCTTTTGCCTGAAAAGCTCTTATGGCGGCTTTATATAACGCAATGACGCTTTTACGCCTATTCTTCATTTTTCATAATTGTATTCCGTGACTTTTTTTTGGCAAAAGTACGATCAAATCATAAAAAATCAACTAAAAAGGGTACGCCGAATGCATCGCATTATATTGAAAAATATGGGAATTGAATTTTTTCGAAAATTCGGCATAATTGTTGATCAAATATTGGTCACAACTTCGAGTCTTATATTTTTCCCTATAATTCTGCGAAATCAATGTCGTTTTTTGGCGCTGATCGAATATGAACTTGTTTTTATGACTAGAACGTACTTTTATAAAGAACATTGTGTAAGGAAATATGAAAACGTCATCGTGTTGCGAGAACATCATCACATTACATTGATAACGCAGGTCCCTAGTACAAACTACATGTGGATTTGCTTTTTTTTCTTCTTCTCTTTGAATAGTCCAAACTGTTGACTGCCAAATGTGTATAGAACATTTCTCACAAAGAATTATTCTTTAGCAGAAAAATGAACAGTGAACAAGCCATTCTCGACTTTTATCCCAACTCCATCATTGCGTTTCGCGCTGTATCTTTGTCATAGTAGTTGAACAATTAAGCCAGTTGAACTGAAGTTTTCATGGATAGTCAAGAGGCACAGAGATGCATCATTTGATGAAAGAGCCGAAACTCTCAATGTTATATCTTCTGAGAAGTAACTAGATTTCCACCAAAACCCACTGTGACAATGGAATATGTGACAACTGTTTTATTCCATGATTAAGATATGAAAAACAACACATTCTTGTTATAAATACAATCAAACTGTTTCTATATGTATCATTTTGAAATTCACTGATGAATCAAGATGGCTAGAAAAAGAGAAGTAAAAATAACATTAGTACAAAATGTAAAAGTCAACTTACGGTAAAGTTCATAATTACATGAATTTCACCATGAGATGATAAACCAAGATGGGCTGGTAGTTTGACCCATTCCTCATGTTTGTTATCATCAAAGACATGTTTCAATTTAACCTTGCCACTTCCAATGGAATCTCGACCAACTAAATCGTCATCGTAGACAGCAAAATGTATTGTATCATCACCTTTATGTATGTTAAATGTAAATCGTTCGTTCCATACTGGACTATTAGAATTTTTCACCACTTTTGTACGCTGTCGATACTTCTTGTCCAAGTAAATTTCCACATAGGCATCATTTTGACCGATGATGTCACGATCTTTAAGATTGCGACCTTCGACGATGATTACTTCTAACGTACCGTTTGGCATTGTGTTTTAGTTTGAATGTCCATATAGATGAGTGGCTCGTGCTTTTATAGTGAAAGCAATGAATAAGTGTCCTTGGAATTTGTCCGTATTCGTCTTGTTGGTTTAGAAAGTATATTTGTCTTTTCAATGAGTCAAATTTGTTTTGAATGTCGATTATTGATTTTGATTCTGTCGAAATCTAAAAGGAATGCGAGATGAATAATGATGATGTATGCGAAATATGCACGCAGCAAACTTTTCAACTTCTATTTTTTGACCGTAAAGAACAAGGTAAAAGCAATGGCTTCGAAAAATAAATTGACAGAAAACAAATATTCGAAAGTTCATTTATGAATGATAGAGATTGCACAGGTGTCTGATTTTCCTTTTTGGTCGATCAGGAAAACAATCAGTTAAACGAATAACTGTGTGGGTATGCTCTACTTGATTCTTTGATTGATTTTCTATTGGTATAATTATGTTTAATCTCAGCACATATGTATTATTACCATATTTTAACGCAATCATAACTGATACACATTCTGAAACTGAATTTTATCCGATTGCTAGGCAATAGTAGCGCAATGTTTCCATCAAATGCGCTATTTTAGGAAAATTACGTGTCAATGCATTCAAACAAACGACGAAATATACAAGTGATACAATATATGTCATATCCTCTTCCTTAATAGGTTCGAATATGAAAAATACGATCGTGTAATGGATATTAAATGATATTTTCATGAATATACGATATGAGAAATAATGATTCATGCACTTTTAGTTGGCTCGTTAGAGAATCACTCAGTGGTCTATAGTCGAGAAAAGACCAGAATCGAGCGCCATACGTTGATTAAATTATTTCGGAACATAATTCGTTTCATATTAGAATTCGAGGCAAATGACGGCTGTTATGACGCCTAAAAGTAAAGGAAAAAACATCTATGCGAATGAGGGTGATGTATCAGTTGGTGTTGTTTTTTTCTTTCTTTCTCAACAATATGACTAGTGAATTGCATACCAGTGAGTGATTCATCGTACTAAAAAACGTCGGTTTGCCTGATCTATATATTCCTCGATCAGTTTCATTTTGTTTCGAAGAAAAAAAAACATGCGTGATGAGGAGTTTGATAAAGTTCCTAATATTCTTTTCGATGGAGTATCTTCAATAGAAAAAATTGGGTATCCTGGAACATTAATTCCATTAACCAGTGATACTCGTGCAGTTCTGTGTGGAAACGATTCCAATAATGTTATTATTGTCGCTACACGATTCGGCCACGGACGTTGTTTAGTATTTGCACACAACGGTTATCCAAGTATTTTCTTCAATGTCAAAGAGCGCAATGAGCGTTTTGTGAAAAATTGCCGACAATGGCTAGCGCATGGACATCATGCTGAGTTTCTATCGATCGATGATGCCGACTCCATGCATAGCATGTCTACACACGGCAAAATCCTTGTTTGGAATGGACATAATGCAAAATCTGATGCTTTCATGAATGATTTGGTAAGTGAACTTCGATTATTTCTGACGATCTTCCTTGAACGAATATTTTTAGTGTAATTTTCTTCAACGTGGCGGAGGTTTGATCTGTGGAACAACTGCGTGGGGCTGGTTACAAACGAATAGTGGCAAACTTCTAACTGATTTTCCGTTTGCTCGTTTCTGCGATTACATTGGTGTCAAAGTGACCGACAATTTTGCCGACTGTTCGGATCCAATTGAGTTTCGAGCAGATTTAGTTCAGTTCAAAAATGTTTATCATGTTGTCAAAGATCTAGCTCGTGATCCAAATAATCTCCGAGATTTAGCTATAATCGGATCCGCTGTGAAAGAATTAGGCGATACATTACCAGGAGTGCCAGTAGAAACGTTACATAATATCGTGATGAGTGCCGGCGACGATATTATTCCAGTGAATACATGTCCAGTTAAAAATAAGAAATCCCGACAGCAAACAACAGGCATCTGTGGAATTATGTGTGGTCTGCCAGGCATAAAAGCACCGGGTAATCATAGTTTCTCTTCAATTGGTGTGACAAAGAGTTTCATACAAAATCGTAGGCGTTCGACATTTCCCTGGTGATTTCGATCGACCGCCACACATTGTAACAGATGTACACTATCGTGTTGAATCGAAGGCAAGCGAATGGTATTGCACTGGTAAAAGCAAAAACGATGTGCATAGGTCAAATTCAAATTTAACTCTACCCTTCTTAATTAGGGTACTATGTCGTTGCTGGTATTCCCATCCAAATTGATGTTCTAGACCAACAAGGATCTAGTGGCTGGTCTGCACGAATCGGCTGTCATAGTGACGACCTTGGAGTAAGCTTCGTCGATGATTACTTGCTTGTTATCTAAAGAAAGAGTTTCGTTGACTGATAGAATTGTGATGAACTTCGTCGTTGGCCTTGCATCTCCATATGCAAACCATTATCTTCCGGGAGGATACAAATGAATTCTGCATTCGGTGGTCTACTTTTTCTTCAAAGTCCCGAAGGTGAATGCAATTCCATCATCGTTAATCTTCGCCATGTAGTCTTATCACCTATGTACGATTTAACCGACCAAAATCGTTTCGAAACTTGGGATTATAAGCGCTCACACGCTCAAGGTCTATGGGCTGATATTGCTGGACGCTACATTGTGTTTAATCTACCTTCGAAAAGTGTTTTACATCTCACAGCTCCAGAACTAGATCGAGCTTTAGAATTTTGGGATTCCATTATTCTCGCTCATCATGACTTACGCGGAACGAAACCGACTAGTCGTGAACGAATTGTTTGTGACGAACAACCGTCCCTTGGCTATATGCGTAAGTGAACTAAAACTATTGACTTCTGCTACAGCCTTTCCATGAGCAACGTTTTTCGTCATCTTTTAGATAGTGGATATCCGATTGTCACGCACATGGACATGAGCGATCACACAGCTGAACATTTCATATTCAACAGTGTACACCTCGAGAAAAAAGGAGCGTGGGGTTTATTTCATGAAATCGGTCATAATTTACAACGAGATTGGTGGAGTATGTATTTGACTTTCTCTGTCAGTAGAACGATGAATAATAAACTGCTCCCTATTTTTAGCATTTGATGGCACAACTGAAGTGACAGTGAATATCTTTACTTTGCATGCTATGGATAAGATCTGTCATCTTCAACCATGGATACATAGTTGGTTGCAGGATCAAATTGATCGAACAAGAGAATACATAAACAATGGCTCAGATTTCAATGAATGGAAAGATAACCCCGGTGTAGCTTTATTTATCTATGCTCAATTAGCTCGCGAATACGGATGGGAAAGTTATAAAGAGGTGTTTCGTAAATACGAAGAAACTAAGCCGAATCTTGACTCTGATGAAGACAAAATGGATTATTGGGTGAAGATGTTTTCTCAACAAGTAGGTCAGAATTTAGTTCCATTATTCAAATTTTGGGGTTTTCCCATATCTCAATCCACAATTGACGAATTGACCGATTACCCTATTCCCGAAATCGCTGATGATTTCATCGAGATGGCACCTGAACGTTATACTGTTTAGTGATAAACTGTGAATTTTTTTCTTCCAAATCTATTCATTTCCGCATTATGAAATTTCATGTAATACAACGTGTCTTTATTTATCAATAAAACTTGAATTTTTTGAACCGCTCGGTGGCTTTTTTGTTACAGTGAATAATAGATCATGATCTTGCTTTTCATGCGAGATTTTATTCGAATAGCGAAATGCTGGTCGATCCTGCCGAATACCATCATGAGTTCGAGAGAAGAATGTTCGAGAAACAGTTGGATCCCTAGGATAAACACTCACAGATCACATCCCGTAAAAGTCAAACTGCATTACTTCTTCAAGATTTCAATTGCATCGCGAGTTTGACATGTACGTGAATCTTTTGGACCATAGACAAATTCTTGTAGATCAAGACACTAAAGCGAACCAAACTAGATGAAAAATGCGATAAGAAATCTTCTATACTTCTTTCAAATGCTCAGCTGCATTCAAATATTCACATTCACGTAAATAAATAGCACCTATACGTGATTCGGTTTGAATAAGTTCTTCAGAGAAGTCGCCATATAACTTTCGTTTATCCGGAAGACTTTCACAAAGAATATTCAACGCTTCCTGAAACAAGCAAAATTAAAGCATACACTGAAATCGAATGAATTGAACTCACCTGGAATTTTTCCATTTTCGTGTAATAAGTTGCTAATTCATCGATTACTCGCAGAACATTCTTATCATTTTCTCCATTCACTTGTCGATACACATCGATTGCACGTCGAAATTTTCTTTCCGTATTATCTACATAGTATTAATCGTTGCCAATTCAACACGAAAGTAGAAACTGAGCAGGTACCTGTTAAACGTTCTGTTCTCACTCGTGCCTTTCCCCATTGGAATAAAGCGTTTCCTAATTGATATTTATGTACATCCGATGGTGCATGCTGTTCTTCTTCTTCCGCTAATTCAACGGCTCTTTTGTAATAATTCAAACCTTCGTTGACATCATGATTAAAGTTGATGAAATAGAATCCACTACGCAAATAAATGTCGATTTTTTGCTTGATCTGATCTTCTGAAGGGTATTTTTCCAAAATTTCAATCATAGCTTTGACAAGTTCAATTACACTGGATTGAAATTCTTTTGTATTAGTCGTAACTGCGTCAAATTTAATGAATAGATATGCGCGATATTTCTCATCGTAGTCGGACGAGCTCATTAATGGTTGTAGCTTCTCAAGATATTCTTCAAGACGATTGAGATCATGATCGATATGGGTTGTGTCAATGGCTAAAATATGTTTGTTTTTTGTTTTATTATCACGTTGTAATGACAGATATTGTTTAGCTTGTAAAGAATATTTAATTAATAGAAAGTAAATCTCGTATGCAAGTAAATTTGACACGAGATGATCGTTCGTTGGTTGAATATTCATTTGTTCAAGGATTTGACGAGCATTAAGAATGTGAACTTTCGCTTGAGGCAGTAAATCTAGACGAAATATAGATTACCGGATATATCCAAAGGAAAATCTTACTTCTTTGGTCGAAATAAAATCTACCGAGATTTAGATAAGCACGCGCATTTTCTAGAGATGCTTCACCATACTCAAGACTGGTGTATAATTGCATCAAAACAAGAGACTGTAGATGTTCTTCGAGCTACAACACTGAATATGAAGCAATATGATCGTTGGCAAGAGAAGAACATATACCGTTGAATCATCTTTTCGTAGTTCCATTTCTTTTTCCAAACTTTCAATTTTTTCCTTTGTCGAACGAAGATCCAAACCACCGTAAAAGATGGTACTTTCTGGGAGGAGTTCTACAGGATCTTGGATCGTTTCTGGTGAACTTATATTACTATTCAAGCTTGAACGACGATTGCGCTGTCGTCGTTGACGACTGGCACTTAACGGTCGCGATTTGGGTCTATCAGTTTCGAACAGAATCATACTTTGCAACACTCGCGAAATTAACCTTACTTTTCAGGCATTGTCACAACCAGGGTTCTGTATTTCGAAGAGAAGATCTACTAAATATGAGACGACGAAGTGTCAACAGCCATAATCAAACATTCAGCGTATAAGTTGTCATGAATACCGTCTCGATAGGTGGCAGTATTAGATGTAACGAACAGTTAGGCTCACTTGTGCAAATCAGATTCCCTTCTCTAACTATTTATTCCACTGATAGAAACAACACTTATTCAAGATATTTTCTGTACGGTCGTTTATTTCTTAAACACAAGTGATAAAAAGTGAAATATTCGATAGAGATGTGTTTTTGTTTTATCAAAATTTTGTTAACGTCGTCGTCGACCGATAATTCCGTGAGCAAAGAGAGCTTTTTGAAGCTCAATTGGAATTGTGCGCTTATCAAACGGTATTACGTTTATATTACCCAAATGAACAGGCGCTGTTGGTGAATAATATACATGATTATTTCCTCGCGTTGGATTGTATTCTTGTCGAAATAATCGAGACCAAACACCACGTCGAGTCAAGCGAACGTCATCCGGTATATCACGTTTCAAAACATATACTTTTTCCTGATCACAATTTATCCATGATTCTTTGTTGTGACCATCGTTAGCGAATACACTATGCGTCTTCGTACAAATGATTAGAATAAAAAGTGCAAGGCACAGCTGCAAATATGAAGTTGTAAACACAGAAGCGTTCAGCTAAAAGTACAGAAGATTTCAGAGGTTGGCTTGATGATTAGATATGTATATGTATTACCCGGCTCATTTGAAGTTAAGTCTTTTGACTGCGGGGGATATATAATGGCTTTTATATATGTTACGTGTATATCTATGAAGAAGAAAGGAACGTGATTAGCAGAAAAATGATGCCAAATTTCATTAGAATCGTGGGCAGATCAGTTAGTGTGATATATCGACTATCCAATTTCTTCTTAGATCTTCTACGTCTAAAGACTTTCTAGTACACTTGTCACGCTCATTGAAAATCAATTTCAATGGAGAGAACGGAAAAGAAAATATTTCTCAGATATTGTATCCTTATTTAGCATAATCGAGAACAATTCTTAGTAATTAAGAAGAAAAGGCAATAGTCGAAACTAGTCTTTTCCGTTGTTCTTGGTGTTTTCCTACCTACAGCAATACTAAAGCGATCTACGTCGAGAAAAATTGAGAAATAAAACCAATGCACTCTTTTCTGTAACATTATCTTGTGTTAAGAAAGTGTCAAAGAATAAATAGACTGAATAGACGACATGTATTGAGCCGATTAAAAAAGAGTTCCAAAGACACCTACATTATCAATGGGAAAATTCATTCTCTTGTTTGTCATCATTCATTTCAAAAACAAACAGACAATAACCACATGTTCAAAACATCACCTACGTGATCTTTTTAAAGATTATTTCTATCTGGCAAATGTCACTTCGATTAGTTAGGATCGTCATTCATTTCCAGAACTTCTAATCATTATTTGCCATAATTAAATCTTGTCTTTCCTTCTAAAATTAGTCTTGTGAATACAAACTATTGTAATTTTTCGCTCAAATGTCCAAAGTTTATCAGGTGACAACACTAAAAATCAAGATAAGATAATGACACAGACGAAGACATGATCTATTCATACGCAACATCATCTCTGATGACAATGTTCTCTTTCTTCTTACTTCTTTTCGTCGTGCGACTCAATTCAGTCGATTCGCAGTGCCCATCGATTGAATTCTGTGAATGTGATAGTGCATATAGTACCATCACATGTGATGGCAATTCAGATAATCAAACGGATAATACATATTTCCCGTCACTTTCATTTTTACCACCTATGGAAGAATATATTTTTTCAAATTTTAAACAAATTCAACCAAACGCTTTCGAAAATGTCACATTTCCATCAAATCAATCGATCACAATTCGCTTGATTAACATTTCAATCATCCATCCCGATGCCTTTTCAAATAGTATGATCATTCCGGACAGTTCAACTCTATCTGTCGATATTGAACAATCAACAAATTCTTCGAGTATTGCATTGAGACTCAATGCATTCAATCATATTCGATTAAAAAACCTACGTTTTGTTAATATAAATATGTTTAATGGCCGTCCGATATTTGATACAAGCTGTTTCGGTGAACAAGTCGAGATCGAGGAATTGATTTTTCAACAATCAGGTCTGACAGGTTTCTCGAATAGTATACGGAAACCAGCTAATGTAAAACGTTTATCAATTCGTGAATGTCCATCCTTCACACAGTTAACAGCTAAAAGTCTTCCGACATTTCTCAGTACAAGCGAATCGCTGGAAATTTCGACAACCGGTCTTCAATTGATCAACTCTCATACATTTCAAGCTTGGTCACTGGTACTGAAAGAACTAACCATTCGAAATAATCCGAATTTTAAAGTCCTTTCATCGAACATGGTCGATGGCGTGCTAATGGAACTGGAAAAACTCGATTTGAGCAACAATTCCGTTGATTCTATCGTCGAAAATTATGATTGGTTTGCATATAGTTATATAAAACATTTAATTTTAAAACAACAACAATTAGATTTGTTCCTTAGAACAAAACTGCTAATGTCTTTATCACGTTTGAAGATCATTGACTTTTCTGAAAGTTTCATTCAGAATAGCACGCAGGAAGATCTCATCGAAACTTACGTACCATCCATGCGAAACCTCGTTTCAATGAATGTTTCCTATACAAATCTAACAGAGCAGATGATTATTGACTTATTGACATGTTTGAGCAACGCAGCCAATCGAACCATTGCAGTTAGTTTACTTGGTCGTACACTTCACGAGAGTCATTTTTGTTCATATTTTAATGTATTTAGCAAGTCACCGAATTTGTTACGCTTAGAATTGGATGAAACACACGAATGTAACTGCGTTGTTGATTTATTCTATCAAGATGAGTTCGTTCAAATAGTTAAAAATGATTCATTGAAACGGCCGCAATGTTTACATGACATGAGACGAACACGTTGTAATATACAAGAACAATTGAGTACATCAAAATGCTCGATAGCTATGCCCAACCCTGATAAACCAGATAGGAATGGACGAAATGTGGGTAACGAAGCATTTATTGGCATTATGGTTGGATTGAGCGTGTTTCTGCTTGTGTTGTTAGCCGTTGGTACCGGTGTAGCATATCGAGCACGAGCAAATCGACGCATGACAATACTTGATATGGAAGTGCCGATCGAAAATCCGTTAGCAGTGATAATCGAAGAACGTTCCCAAAAATAACATTCATTGATATTTTTTCTTCTTTTGCATATTGAAATGTTCTGTGTAATTGTCTTTTATTTTTATTCGAAAAACTAAACGATTCTGCGATGTGAAAGATGGCGCTTTGACGAAAGATTTGTATTGGCGAAAAGAATGACTATTAGTCTTTGACTGAGTCATAAAAATTATCTTTTTTTAGAAAAGAAACCCACGAACGAATTACACAAAAAAGACCATCTTTCCTGTTGATATCGAATATCTATCGAAATGGCTTGGGCTTGCATTATGCCTGAGGAACTCAAAGTGGTTCCACGAGGTCTTGTTTGTTTAGCAAATCTTGATACACGTCATCAATCTGTACATCGTTCGATCTGGGAACTGCTGGAAAAAGAACGTTCGAATGCTCCTCTATGCTATCGACTTGTCGACATCGATGAACAATATCCACATAGCAAAGCTAAAGTTTGTCATTCGAAATCTCATCTCTTTCGTTAAGTTGAACTTTCTAGCGTGCAACATATGAATGGTATGTTCCAAAAGGAATACTAAAAACCAACTGGATGCACAAACACCTGCATCTGATACCAAGCTTAGTTGTCATATTCTTCGAATTGGATTGGAACGATCCGTTATTCAAAGAAAAACAGAATGAATTAAAGGACAAAATTGACATGGTTAGGTAAGTCATTCAAATTGCGTATGTCTATTGATGTCGATTGTCCAATGTTGTTAGAACGAATCTTGATGGACGTGGAGCAACAATATCAGTCGTATTACTTCAAAATAAAAACAGTTTTCCAACTGGTATGTGTATTGATCTGCGCCCATAAAAATTTCTATGAAATAATAAAAATAAACTTTCAGTTGATGATGTCTACAGTTCTGAACGTGACCAAATGGCTAATACACTTTGTACTTATTTCGATATACCCAAACGTTCACTCTGTGTTTTACCCGTTCTTCCACAACCGGATAATCTCTCCGCATGGATAGACAGGTTTGTAAGCTCGCAAGTGAAAAAATTCGTATCCGAAGCTGTGTTTCTTCAGATTAGAACAAACATTCATTGAAAGTAGTCAAAACTATTATATGAACGAGATTCGTCGTGTGAAAAAACATAAAGAAACATTGAATAACATTACACACCAATTATTACACATTCGTCACCAATTCAAAGTTGGTTTCTTCTCCGAATTGAAACAAGACATTCCAAGTGCGTTGAAAGCGTATAAAAATGCATATAGTTATTTAACGGAAAATGCACGAATTCATGATACGAACATATTAGAAATGAAGATGGTCGCCGGATTTTTAACCTATAAAGTATGTTCGAGCCAGACTTTGATAAAAGAAAGAACTTCTCGTCGATTAGATTTGTCGAATTTCATTTGAACTGTCCCAGCCAGTTGAAGCGATCAATCACTTTCGTCGTCATGCCGATATATTCAAAAGTAAAGTCGGACCAGTTGATCTAGCATTTGAACATAAAGCATGGCTCTCAAAACAGTAGTTATTCATTTGGAAACATTCTCCAATGAGAGGAGGCGAACTAAAAATTCATTTAGATTTCAAATATTTGGTGATTTGTTTGCGCTTTGTCCACAAGCAATTCAAACGCAACACCCAGGATTTTATTATCAAGAATCGGCATATCAATCGATGGCACGAAAACAAATTGCGCAGACCACATGTCGCCGAGTTGAACAAACTGATTTCGATCCCAGTGAATTCCTGAAACCAACTGAATTCTACGGACAACGACCATGGAGACAACACCATCAAAGTAAATTCGAGATAGAAAATAGATCAGACAATCTAACTTGTGAGATTCGCTAAAGAAATAGTCACACTATTGTAGGTAGAACTTTAACTAAAATACAAAAAGGTTGGTAAGATGTGGTCAATTATATACTAATGAAAAATCAAACTGATAAACTATGTATTGAACAATGGTGACGGGCAGACTAAAAAACGAATGTAAAAATGTCTTCTGAACTAAACTGAATTTATGAAGATTGAGATGTCTATATATATAACTCGTATACAATTTCTATCAATTTACTTTGCATGGGAATATCGAAATGCTATGATAGAGAAGGAATATCTACGCTTGTTATTAGTTATGTTTTGTATAGACATAACAATCTAACTGAAAATGATACATTTATCTGTATTTGCTTGTTTACTGGAAACCGTTGTTTCCTTCGAATAGATATCGGATCTAGTTTTGGCTTTTGTGTTAACTGCGTTTTTATTCATAATCTATCAGTTTGCTTTCTTTTCTGCTCAGCAGCTGATATCGTGAGTTCAAGATTCTATTTACTAAGTATCTCTCTTGATTCGTCTACAATGAAAGTATTGGTAATCTTAGATTTCGATGATTTCTTTAAGGTATGGAAATTAGTGATGCACAAAAAGAACGTGAAGCAGTGGCTGCATTACGAGATGCAGAGTCTCGTGTTAATCATTCCGTATGTTTAATAACATTGTGTGAAATAGGAATGTTTGGAGAAGATCGAGTTTTTCTTGTAGGAATTGATCATTTCTCTACTCGTTCTGGCAATTAATGATTTTAAAAAGCATTCATCAAATCGAATGAAACTCTATTTGAGTATGTTGCTCAGTTTTGTACATTAACTTTCGAAATGTTTCTTTTAGTGTATGACTTAGCTGAAGAATATGCTTCAAGCAAAGACTATGACAAAGCTTTAAAGTAGTGATGACATCGAACACGATAAACACGCCGTGTACTTTCATTATTTAGTTATTACAACCATATTGTTCAAGCTTATCGTGCAGAACAATGGTGGCCGATTCTAAAATCGATCTTACCATCTGCATTGAAGTAAATTATGATTGATATGCATAGAATCATGAATATTTATTTGTCTTCTGCTTTTCTCGAATAAAGATGTGCATATTTAAGTGCCAATCTAGAGAATTGGATACGGTTTAGTTTGGAGATACTGAATCCAAGTATGAACATATCTATTTCTATTCAAAGGTAACGATATATTCATTGATCTAGATATCAATTTACCCGTTCAAGTCAAGACACAAACTCAAACTAATTTAGAAAATTTGCTTCGGAAGGTAAAGAAGAAATTCACGCTTTTACTTCATTTTCAAAATTTGATTTAAAGAGTCTTCCACCGCAAGTTGAATCTACTATACCATCGAACGATGACAAATGGAAAGTACAATTAGTCAAACAAACGATCAATATTGACGCTGACACACTCAAAGGACTATGTACGACGATATAATCTTTTAGAAATCGATTATTTCATATCGAATTCTTTGTTCTAGTCGAATGTAAAGTCTACTTCACTCATGAAGCTGTATCAGTTGATTGTGAAATAACATTACAAGTTGCACTTAAGTAAGATAAAAATTATCGATGATAACCTCTATTGTTACATAAATAACGTAGAAATGGCTTCCCGTTACCGATCGAATTCAATCAGTTGTCAGTCTCATTCAGTCTAAAAGAATATGATGGACTCGTCTGTGTGACAGATCCTAAGCAATTAACATTCGCTCCAAATGAACAACGAATTCTATCGTTTAATTTCAACCCGAAGAATGATCATATTCAGCGATCACTCGAAGTAAGAGAGAGAGACAGGAGGGACGGGGGAGAAATCCTCCAGCTCTTTAATAACTTGATTTAGGTTGCATATGTTTCATTGATTTATGGAAATGCGAATCAAACATGTATTGATCTACAATGGCGAAATAGTTTACACGCAATTCCAACTTTCCAACCAACAACATTGACTCCGAAATGGCGAACGAAGGCGGGACATGTCTTATGGGAAAATTTACCAATGCGACGAAAAACAAAGTAGAAAAAAGAATTGAAAAGACAAACATATAGTCAATTTCCATCAATGCTGTTTAGTATACTCATGAGAGCCGCAGAAGTACAGCTGAGTATTGAACATCAACTGCCAGTTCTACTCTACGAATCATATCCAATCAAAATTCGTATAAAGAATCATGAAAATGTGGACATACACAATGCAACGTAACGCGCTTTTTAATCATCAGCAGAATTAAGTTTATCTCACAAACATTTTCTTTTGCAGCTTGACGTGTACTTGTTCCAATACAGATGATACTTCTCAAACATTGGATGACAGTAAATATGCATTTGCAATGTTTACTCTCATATCTTTGTATTTTGTTTAATTTTCTAGCTTTTCTTTTTTATTCAACGGCAGACAGTAACAATGAGACCACAACAAGCATTTGTTCAATGACATTGGAGACAATCAATAAAGATACTGAAGTACGAAATGAAAAAGGAGAGCTCATTCATTCATTCAAATCTTTGTTTGCTTCTATATTCAAGATCGAACAAGATTTGTACGTTCGATGTAACAGCAATCGTTCTCGAGAGATTATTATTCGGGTTTGTTTGATATGATAATGAGAAACTGAGCATTGAAATCTTCAATTGATTTTAGCTCTCCTATGAACGATTAAATTTGCATTGTATGAAAGAAATAACTGTTCCTCTTAGCGTGGTTAATCCATTTTCAATACAATTTCAGACGATGGGAATGATGGTAAAGATCTTCAGGACTATATTGACAAATCGATGTCAATATTGTGATTCTAGATGGAACCTTTAGCGTCCTTACATGCTCAAGAGCCATTTATTTTAATGATTGATACAAAATGTACATCAGCAATTCCAATTACGATTGTTAGTAGTAATTTGAAACCTGTAAGTAAAAATTTCTCTTCGGAAACAATTGAATCCCAATCTTTGACCAACTTCTTTTTCATCTAGAGTCAATTCATCGTTAACGAATGCGCCATTGAATCACAGATCAACAATAGTAAGTGTTCTTTGCTATGCACATCATTGAGCGTCCATTTCCATCCGTGCATTTTTTTTTCTAGCTCAATTAAAACTAGATGAAGTAGTAACTGAAGGCTTTTGTCTTCGTACTCAACCAATCGCTACACCTGTGGTACAAAATCTTCTGGTTGGTGAATATAGTTTATACTGGAAACGGTCTGTTGCATCCTTTTCATTTCTCAGCTTTTTTACTCCATCCATTCTGTCATTATTCTAGATCTAGTCATCCGCAAATTCCCGAACTATGCACGACATTTTCTCTATCCGACTTTAATGTTGAACAGCAACAAATTTTCATTGAGGTAGCAATTCCAAATCATGTTCCATTACAAGAACCATTTCAAGTCAATTACCGTATCCATAATCGTTCGAATATTGTCCACGAATACAAAGTCAACCTCGAGCAAATCAATCTAGTTGTAGCTGTTTCCGGTAGTACACTAGTAATTAACTTTGAAATTCCAAAGAAATATGTTCTAGTCTGCAAACTCGCCTATTTTTAGACATCATTACTTGTTCCGCCGCATAGTTCATCCGATGTTAATTATACATTAGTTGCCACGCTATGCGGCTTTGTGCAACTACCGAAATTTAAAATATCAATGATTCGACCGCAAACACAAGAAATTGATGAATCAATTGAGAGAACCTTGCCTACTCACATCTTTGTTGTTCCATCATTGAAAACTGACCAATAGATTTCAACTCGTTTCTTGTTCTTTTTTGTCTAAATTATTGATTTGATTATTCGTAATAAAAAATTTTGCCTCTTTTTACTCGATTTGATTAAACATGCGAACAAATGTGTTTTTAGATGTTTGCTAGAATACTTCAAAATCGGTAAGATTTTCACCAGACTGTCTTTCACATACCGAATATTCGCTTTTGCAAAGTTTACGGTCAAGCCTTCTCACGTCACGATTGTCACTCAATACGAACACACCCTTGATTGAACAATGTTGGCAGTGTCAACGGCAAGTAGACCGAAGCGAATGTCAAACTCACTGTCCGTGCGAAAAACATGTCATACTGCCAGTCCGATCCGAACTCGACTACTTTCGCCTATTTGACTTCTCACGCTCATTCGAAATCGATACGAAACAATTGACGCGAATCTTTCGAAACAAAATGAAGCTTCTACATCCTGATCTGTTTACCAATAAATCTGATGTAAGTAAGTAATTCTGATAACACACCAGTCTCTTCTGAGAAGAGAAAGGCTCGTTCATTTTATAGACGGAAAAACAACACTCTCAAGATCAATCTTCTTTATTGAATGAAGCGTACAAAACTTTGCTATCGCCATTAGCACGTGCTCATTATTTACTCAAATTAGAAAACATCACTTTAGAAGAGTCGCCTGTACAACTCGAGCCAGATTTCCTCATGCGGATTATGGAAATCAACGAAGACTTAGCCGAAATTATCAGCAAGAACGAATCATTTCCGATGGAGTTGGCCATCGAAATGCGACAAGAGATCGATGACCATATGAAACAGTTATCTACTGCTTTGAATCAAATGGATTTAACCAAAGCTCGAGAACTTCTTGCACGATTACAGTATTTCAACAATATCAACGATAAACTAATTGACCTAGAGGTCAAACACGGAATTATTTAATAAAACATTGTTTTCGTAAAAAGATCACATAATCAAGCTAAAATAAACCGAGAGGATGAAGAGAGAAAACGTGCGCTTAAAAAGCATTCAATACGAACAAGAAGAAAAATCAACACTTCTCTAGTCTCTCTTTTTTTTACATCATAACACAAATTCTCTTTCTTCAATTTACGAAAGAATGAAAACATTCTAAACGGCAATGACGACGAACAAAAATAACAATCAACATCATAATTCAGATCGACTCGTATAGACATGGAATCGAAAAGAAAATTCTTGTCAAGCCGTAGTCTGGCGTTATATGGTGGACATGATGATGAAATAAATTGTCTTGTTTTCTCCAATGATCTCGAGATACTTTTGACGGCGTCAATCAACGGATATATTCGTCTTTGGAATACAGTGTTCGATCATTTAACATTTAAAATTCATGAAAATGCAGGTATGTCACAACAATTTTGTAATCAACCGACGTGAGTTTGTTTTTCTTTGACAACTCAAGGCCTTATTCGAGCATTGGCTATTTCAAATAATGATCGCTATTTCGCATCGACGGCCAACGATACAAACGTACGTTTGTATGAAACCAGAACAGCTTGCTTGCTGTACACATTTTCCGGTAAGAAAAGTATTTGAGTATCACATCGGTTGAACTTTTCGTTGAATACTGAACAGGCCATACACACCCGGCGGATTGTCTGCACTTTTCAAATGATAGTCAATTAATAGCAAGTGGGGGATGGGATTGTCGAACATTACTATGGAATGTGATCGTGAGAAATCGAAACGATATATTCTAATGTAAAAACAGTCTGTTTATTCAATAGACCGGAGAGCAAATGTATGATTTTCATCATCATACAAATGCCGTACAATCAATAACCTTTCACCCAAGCTTGAATTTGATGGTAAATTTAAAAAGATTTGCATCTGATTGATTGCAACTGTGTCTTTCTCAGGCCACTGGTGCTCATGATAACACGGTGTTTTTGTATAATTTTGATAAACCATTGCCAGTAGTACCTGCTATACTTCAAGGCCATTTTGGAAATGTTCGTGCGCTGGCTTTTTCCAAGTTACCTTACTTAGTTCGTATCTCTTAGCCCTGTGTAAACGATTATTTTCGAATGGATTTTTCTTCGAAGGCATCTGCCGGTTGGGATAAAATCATCATTATTTGGCAAAACGAATGTGCCCGAATACATGCTCGTCTTTTCGGTCATATTGGATGGATTCAAGCGATAGCATTTCGTGATGGTGACAATGATGATGGCTCGATACTAGCGAGTGTTGATGACGAAAGTGTTTGTGTCTGGAATATCTTAAGTGGTGATTGTATTCATCGACTTTCGGTAAGATTTTCTTTGTTTAAAAGGATGTTCTTGTACGTTCATGTTTTATTGCAATAGCTTGTCAATGATTTGACCTGCTTCGTGAGATTTCTACCAGAAAATGGCGGTCTATTGGTAGGCGGCGCTGTTTATGAACTACTTGCCGATCAATGTGTACATCCGAAAGCACGAAAACGTACAAAACACATACGTGAACCCGCAACCGGCGAAATGATATCAATACCTAAGCAACGCACGACATTATCACGACGCGCAAGTCGAGAAAGTAGTGCAAAGAGTTCGACGACAATTTCATCTCGACCATCAACAACACGATCTATACTTAGAAAAACGCTACCAAATACTTAATACTCTTCTTGAGTATCTAATATGAATTCATCGTCCTGAAACGCTGAAAAATATAGTACTAAAATCGTGACATAATTCACAGTTGTATATTCAATCTTTTACGACGCTCCGTTGATCAGTGAATGTCATGTAATATGCCTTGCATTGCTAGTTGAAATCTTATATTTCATAGGGAAAGTCTGGTGTGTTGAGTTGCATTGCACATTTAGCGATGTTTTAATGTACCGTCAACTTTTGAGAAAAAGATAATTATGAATGTAATTGTACTGTACACACGTAGTTCTTTTCTTGGTGAATTTAACGCATATTCGCTTGAAAAAGTGTACAATATCCCAAATAAAACACTCATTGGCTATTCAAAAAATACTTCATGTGTCTCGTGTCTCACATATTTCAATCTCTTTAAAATAAAAACAATAGAATACGGGAGTATATGCCATTGAATTCATTTGGTAAATATTAATCCACTAAAATATGCCAAAAATTCTCGGAATTAGACAGTACATAAGCGCTTGCATATAGAAGAATATTTGTTGGCAAGCCCATATGCAATTATTATTTATTTTACAATGTTTTCTGTGTTGTTCTCAGAAGATACGTGTTATAAAATGTTTCAGTTGACACAAGAATGAAAAAGCGAGACTGATTTCACGATCTCTCGATGTTTTGTCATGTTTCATTCCTGTCACATATGACGTTTCCAGGTGACCAACTGGGTATTTTTTAAGTATGTAAATATACGACCTATTGCGCATGCCAACTTTTTCCCACAAAGAAAAAAACGCTGAATTTATCATTGCCTGTTTTACCACTTGTGATCTTTCATCTTACGGTTTATTGATAACTACTAAGTGGAAAAAATACGTATTTAATTGTGTCTTGAGATCTTGACTTTCAGCGGGGGTCGATATGGATCAAGGAGAATATTTATATTCGGGTCATGCGTGGCTCAAAGAACACCTTAATGGAGTGGATGGCCCTCTGTGGAAAAAAGCTAGAAAACTGTTTCTGTTCAACATGGAGTTGTCCTCAGCACTAAATCTATTCAAATTTGATTACAGAGCAATTCAGAGAATTTCTCGTCCAGAAGGTGTAATTATAATTGGCTCAAAAAAGATCGATCTCGATCCTGATGAACCTCGAGAACATCAACCAGGTCATTCATGGACAGATGATGCCCAACAGTCTATCCGCACGCTCATGGATAGAATTGTAACTCGATGGATACCAAATTACATTTTTCATGATAAGATCAACATGAATAAACTTCATCAGAGCTTAACACATGATCCTCTGCAATTCGTCCGAAAGACTTATGGTAAGTTTCGATATGATAGGATAATCTGGAGTGAACTTCTTTTTTTTTTTATATCAGACGAAACTTCGGTTGATGTCCTTTCCTATAATGTGAACGAAGCGTTTAAATTGTATCAAGCGTGTTTAGTCCCATTACACTATCATGAGTTATGGAGTGAGATAGTGAATGACTGTAAGAATGTTGTGACAAAACTCGAAGATCGTGAAACGGAGATCGATGCTACGTTATTCTATGATCGCCCAACGCTCGATGGACGAACCCAGGCCGCACTCATATTTGGAACAAACCGTGTCACTTTTGGTAAGTCTTTCTGTGCAAGCTATGTTCGATTTTTTCATTGGCTTTTAACTTCTAGACGATGGATATAGACCTTTGACAAGAAAACTCGGTCTTTTCGATCTTGTCCTTATCACAATCAATGGTAGAAGCTACTTCGGAATAGTTGTTCACGTTGAACAAGTTAAAGTGAAAGACTACAACGGTCATGACACTTCGTCGGACATTTCAAATAACAATAATCTTAAATTTGATTTGCATACAACGATTGGTATTTATGTTTCAGAAACATGTTCAAAGTCTGTTGAAAATTATCGTGAACAGAATAACAATGAAAAATTAAAAATAAAGAAACTAAGTAATATAACATCATCGAGAAGAATCATAAGTGCCGTACACAGTCTAAATGAGTGGCAGCAGTACCGAAGTTTGCTCAAACCGACGATCGACGATCCATATTTTCAATATCCTGAAGAATATGATCCTGTCTATACCACTCCGGAGAATAACTTCAATTTGGCACAATCAAAAGCCATTAACATTGCGAAATGTATGCTGGGTGACATTCAAGAAAGAATGCATTTGATACATGGTCCTCCTGGTATGTTGTAGTTCTTTCTCGTATTCCTGGAAAACACCAGTGTTTCCTTTGGTATATTTAGGCACAGGTAAAAGTCGGACCATCGCTGGTATCGTGTTGAAATTACTTGCAAAGTTAGATAGTAAACACAAGATTCTTTTATGCGCACCATCCAATAACGCATGTGATGAATTATCACGTCGTGTTTTGGACGAATTTACTAATCAGGGAGTTTCTTACAAACGCGGTCAGTAATTCAAATTTGAAAGAAAAACCTTTCAATTTTACGAATTGAATTCTGTTCTAACAGGTACATTAGTTCGTATCGGTTGTCAACCACCTGATGATTATAGTCTATGTGATCATTTTCTCGACTTTATGGTTCTACAGGATATAGTCGATTTTTTGAAAACGGATCAAAAGTATAGTCCCAAAATTGCGCATGAAACTGAGTCAAGGCTTATACGGCATGCAAAAATAATTGTTTCGACACTGAACTATTGCGGTAGTGCTCGAATGCATCAATTAAAATCATGCACTGAATTTATCATCATTGACGAAGGTATGCTGAGCAAAGAAATGTATTGTGCATATAGTAAAAAGTACTTCTTTCAGCATGTCAAAGTTCAGAAGCTGATTCACTATTGCCGTTTCGATTCAGATGCAAAAAGATTGTGCTCGTTGGTGATCCTCAACAACTGCCACCGTGCGTTCTTAGTGATGCGGGCAAAGCCTATGGCTTATCTCAATCATTATACAGTCGTCTGTATTTTCAGTTCTACAACAGTTCCAACTGTCCAATCACAATGCTTGATATTCAATATCGAATGCATCCCGATATATGTCAATTCCCAAGTGAATATTTCTACTCAAACCGTTTATTACCGGACTCTTCCGTTGAAGAGAAAATGAAAGATTTTCCTCTAAAACCCTTATTTGCATATAATATAACGAATTCATCACATCAATACGACGGTGCGAAATCATCTTTCAATGTAAACGAAGTTCAATGTATCCAAAACTTTTGTCAAAATTTGATCGCATATTTTGTTTCGCAATCTACATCTGATTCATCAAGTGACATTACAGATGAAGACGACGGTGAGTGTAGCGTCTTCTCGGAATCTGATTCAACATTCAGTAGCAATACAGACAATGGTAGTCTACGAGACCAAGAAATTCAACCACAAGCACTACAGCATTTGCCTTATAACGATCCTCGATCAATTTTCGTTCAAAAAACAATAGCTGTTATCACACCATACAAAGCGCAAGTTCGTCTTCTTGGACAACACCTTCCACCTTACATCGAAGTCATGACGGTCGATAGTGCCCAAGGCAAAGAAAAAGATATCGTCATACTTTCGTGTGTACGTAGTGGAGGATCAATCGGCTTTTTAGACGATATGAATCGCGTCAATGTTATGTTAACACGGTCAAAGAAAGCCCTCTATGTTTTTGGTAATTTAAGCCAGTTAGCAAGTCAACATGAGAGCTGGAAAGAATTTCTTGCACATGTTCATCGACAACAAGTGATTTCTGATGCCAATAATTTGCAAGTTGATTTACCATGTCGTTAAAATCGAGTCATCATCTGTACATAGAAAGTGTCCATAGATTTGTATTTTAAAATATAATTTTGTAATTTACGTAAATCTGCTCTTTGTTAATAAATGAAATATCACATGTTCAGCATTATTGGTTCTTAGACGATAAATCGATTCATAGCACATCATTTATTTAGGAACATAGCCTACTTGACCGAAACTAGATCACCTGGGTCCATTCCTATGCGTAGAATATCTGATATCATAATTTTTGTTTCGAAAGATTCCGGCTGACGCAATTCGATGCTATTAGCTGATTAAGAGAAAGCACTGCAGTCAGACATTTATCTACTTATCTATGAGAGCTCCAAATAAAGTGCATTCCTCGAAGCAGTACCTATCTTATTTTGACTTGCCATGCTTTTCCCTTAATTATATCAAACTCAAAAACAATTAGGTAGATTAAAAATAAGTAATACTACGTCTTCTTGATCGTATGACTAATCTGTTTACGAAACCCGTACGAAAACCAACATTGATCAATACCACGGTCGGCTGTCTTACGTAAAGTACGTAGGTGATTTGTTTGTCAACTGAAGAAATTAGTTTTCATTCGAAAGATTGTTGCATTTCCGCAACACTGAACTTGTGGCGCTCATCTATAATAAACATGTCAAGCAGAAGAGAGCGGAAGCTAGCAGTATATTGCGCTACTTCGCTTAGTATCTTTGCGTTGTTAGAGTTCATTTCCATTTATATATTTATATATATATTTCTATATTTGATGATGTTGGACGGCACCATAAGAACAATGTATCATGTCATTTAGTAAAGTTGATCTAATGTAAAACTCAAGCAAATTTTTTTTGGGAATTTTTTATGAAATCGGATGCAGTTTGATGCGCCGAATACGAATATGTATGATTTACTCAGATAAAAGGTTTTCTTCCCACTGAAAATCGAAGATTTCAAAAAAACTGGTTTTCGACTAGGATTTAGATGATAGGGCTTGGAGAAAAAACTGACTATAGCTTTGAAAGTTTTTTCTCCTGATCCACCATCAAAAATTGATACTAGGATTCTAGTTTATAATTGATCAGCGCATATCTTTATTATTAAAAGAATTTATTTCTGTCGACATACCGACCAGTCGAGTGAGCCTCATTGAAAATGCATCAACTCACTCTTTAATGAAGATAGACACTTATTTCTTTCGCCATTCGAGTCCTTAGATGCGCTAGATATAATCTACATATCATGTTTGCTTAACCCACTTTCTACTTCAAAATTTCCTAGGTATTTCGCGACCTTTCCTATTGCACATGCAATTTTTGACTTTTAACAGCGTTTTTCACTTAAGTTAGTTTCTTTTCTCAAATGAAATTTCGTGATTATAGAAAATAATTCGATAGATTTTTATCATTACAAACATGAAACTTCATTAGAGAAAAGAAACTAAGTGAAAAACGCTGTTAAAAGTCAAAAATTGCATGTGCAATAGGGCAGGTCGTGAAATACTCAGGAAACTTTGAAATAGAAAGTGGGTTAAGCAAACATGATATGTAGATTATATCTAGCGCATCGAAGGGCTCAAATGGCGAAAGAAATAAGTGTCTATCTTCATTAAAGAGTGAGTTGATGCATTTTCAATGAGGCTCACTCGACTGGTCGGTATGTCGACAGAAATAAATTCTTTTAATAATAAAGATATGCGCTGATCAATTATAAACTAGAATCCTTGTATCAATTTTTGATACTGGATCAGGAGAAAAAACTTTCAAAGCTATAGTCAGTTTTTTCTCCAAGCCATATCGTCAAAATCCTAGTCGAAAACCAGTTTTTTTGAAATCTTCGATTTTCAGTGGGAAGAAAACCTTTTATCTGAGTAAACCATACATATTCGTATTCGGCGCATCAAACTGCATCCGATTTCATAAAAAAATTCCCAAAAAAAATTTCCTTGAGTTTTGCACTAGATCAACGTTTCAACTGATTCTTGAATCGGTCACTTTTAAGCGTAGTCTTCTTGCTAACAATTTTATTATTAGATTCTTATTATTATTATTGCAGACGTAGTCTAGTGTGCGCATGACAATTAGTCAGCGAATGAATCTTGGATAGCAATTGGCATCATTACGAGTTAGCTTTTCCCGTGAGCCTCCAAGACAAATCCAGAGTAGTACCAGATGAAGTATTAATTGTACTAGCGTTTATCTTTAATCCTCTCTCACATAGTTTCGCATAGATTTCTTATATGGGATATTAAATATCCAAAAGGTTGATTTCCTTTTCTACTAGTTTCGTTTACAATTCGAGGCATTCATTTTTTAAGAAGATCCTACGCATTCAATTAGATTATTTTCGAACAATGTCGTACTTTTGTTCCGGAGCGACGGATCTACTCAAAACTTACTTTGAGTGCATTTTGGCGCTTATGCCTTTCATGACATTGATAGTATAAAATCCTTTCTTAACTAAAATCAATAATTTTCACTCATTAGGATTTAAACCAAAATCACGCCCAACGAAATCGTGCATCTAACCCTAATATTAGTATATTTTTATCTTCAAAAACTTTTCATTTCAAATCATAACCTGAAGATACATGTAGTAGCACGAACTCCACCCATATGACACTATCGACCCTCTCTCGTCAGTATTTCACTTGATATTTACGTTAGAAACATAATCAATTTTATTTCAAAAGTATAATTAAATTATTTTTTGATAAATCCAAAAATCTCTTCAAATAATACCTTACATGATTCAAAACTTCTCTTATGTCACCTTCTTTTCTCCGGAAGGATTGTCATGCGTGAAAATATCAGCTATCATAAGAGCCTCACTACACTCGCAGTATAAATATCTTGATTAAAATAGATAATAACGAGAACAGCTACGAATAGCATCGATGGAGTCCATCAGCTTGTGTTTTGAACTTGATCACTCAATGAAAGAATTTTACATTTGTTTAGATTTTCTTTCTCCATACATCATCTACCTGCCAAACACAAGCACATCAAGATGTCAACTGCGGCAATTGTCGATGCTCAAAAAAATATTGCTCGTTATGGTTTATCTATTCTTCTCGTTTTTGGCAATATAGGCAACATTCTTACCATCATTGTCTTATCTAAAACTACAAAACAAAAGCCAAACTCATGCTCATTCTACCTACTCTCCGCATGTATTTCCAACTGGATCGTCATCAACACTGCTCTTGTCTCCAGCATCGTCGGAGTCGATCACATCGATCCACAAAATACATCGAATGCCATCTGCAAACTCAGATGGGCTGGCACTCATGCCCTTCTCATGCTCTCCAGAAGCTTCAGTGAGTCCTCTATCATCCGCCCCTTTCCTCTCGCTCCGTATAACAGCTCTATTCTAGTGATTGCAGGATGCATCGATCGATGGGCACTCTGCTCACAAAATGCAACTATCCGAATGTTCAGTCGACCACGCATCGCCATCCGAGTCATCATCATTCTCGTCATCGTCTGGACTCTGATTCCTATTCATCTAGCAGTCTATTTCAGCAATAATACTGGTCGATGTGTTGCACTTGCAGGCACTTATGCGTTCTTCTATGCCATCTATTCGTTGATCGTCATCGGTATCATGCCACTGTTTCTCATGATGTTCTTTAGCTATCTGGCTTGGCACAACCTACAAGCGATTCGATCTCGAGTGACACCGACACAAGGTACAGTCAATCCGGTGAGTCAACACGTACAAATCCATAAACGTGATCGCGATCTGATGAAGATGCTGAGTGGTGAAGTACTTGTGTATTGTATAACAACGATTCCGTATCCGATCAACTTGATATACAGTGTGTCGACTGCTTCTATAGCTTCAACGAAGAGTCCGATTCGGTTGGCGATAGAATCGCTGGTCGGATACATTATAACTCCATTATTGAACTTCATGTACTGCTGCGTACAATTCTACGGTAAGACGATACTGGGATCGTTCTAATAATTAGGAGAGTATGTTTTAGTGTACGCATTTGCATCCACCAGATTTCGGCAAGAAGTTCGCTGTCTGTTTTGTTCGACACCTGAGAAGAGTAATCGTCTGGTGGGTGACACAGCACAATCGGTACCTGGAACAACTAGACGACAACTGAATGAAAACACTTAAGTAACGCATGAAATTTACAATACAGTAAATTTTGTGAAAACCTACGTTATCCAATAATCTCGTATATGTTGTGATAGTGAAGATACCTTGTTGTATTGAAAGAAAATCATATAGAAATATGTGTTCTTTGTTAATAAATAGATTCTCAATGAATACTTCGAAAGAATGGCATAAACTACATTGTGGTCTCACACATTACGTGAAGCAACGCAATATTCAGGGAATTTACAAAAGTAATACAAGTTTTTTTACTTGTACGTAGCAAATTGCCTCATGACGAATATTGAATATGACTTTGAGTCTAGCGAGCAAATACCGAGGTCAACTAGTCGACTTTTTCAATATGATTAATTAGCATCATGGCCATGTATTTTGATCGCATCAAGCAGGTTTCATAGTGTTAACCAGCAGTCATATATGAAACACATAGGAGTATATGGCCGAAATAGAAAATTAGCTTTCTATTTGTCTCAAAATCACTTAATTTACATAGTGTCGAATGGAGACAGTACACAAAAAGCTTCTGTTTGACTTACATTTCAATACAACTTAAATTAAATAATGCATCTATTCATAACTATATAATTCAGAATCCAATCAACTTTCATTGTCATTCGAAAGACACCGAATTATATATTTGTGAAATTTAGGCTAGCGATTTTCGTTATAAATGAAATATATAGCATGTGCCTTTTCTTAACTATTTAGTATCGTTTGAATTTCTTTTTTTCACGCCTATATGAAATAATGACAGCGAGTATTAACCATTGTCGCTGTTAACGTTCAGACAAACGAGGAAAAGAATACAAGGTACACAGATGGGTATTACAAATGGCATTTCTCTTTTGACATGTCTCTCGTACATGACACAGGAAATCGACTCTAAAAATAATCTTTTTCATTCAGTTAAGCATTGTCATTGGATCAAGTATGACTAATCCATTACTATTCGATGCAATACAAGAGGGTATCACACGCTATGGTTTATCTATTCTTCTCGTTTTTGGCAATATAGGCAACATTCTTACCATCATCGTCCTATCTAAAACTACAAAACAAAAGCCAAACTCATGCTCATTCTACCTACTCTCCGCATGTATTTCCAACTGGATTGTCATCAACACTGCTCTCGTCTCCAGCATCGTCGGAGTCGATCACATCGATCCACAAAATACATCGAATGCCATCTGCAAACTCAGATGGGCTGGCACTCATGCCCTTCTCATGCTCTCCAGAAGCTTCAGTGAGTCCTCTATCATCCGCCCCTTTCCTCTCGCTCCGTATAACAGCTCTATTCTAGTGATTGCAGGATGCATCGATCGATGGGCACTCTGCTCACAAAATGCAACTATCCGAATGTTCAGTCGACCACGCATCGCCATCCGAGTCATCATCATTCTCGTCATCGTCTGGACTCTGATTCCTATTCATCTAGCAGTCTATTTCAGCAATAATACTGGTCGATGTGTTGCACTTGCAGGCACTTATGCGTTCTTCTATGCCATCTATTCGTTGATCGTCATCGGTATCATGCCACTGTTTCTCATGATGTTCTTTAGCTATCTGGCTTGGCACAACCTACAAGCGATTCGATCTCGAGTGACACCGACACAAGGTACAGTCAATCCGGTGAGTCAACACGTACAAATCCATAAACGTGATCGCGATCTGATGAAGATGCTGAGTGGTGAAGTACTTGTGTATTGTATAACAACGATTCCGTATCCGATCAACTTGATATACAGTGTGTCGACTGCTTCTATAGCTTCAACGAAGAGTCCGATTCGGTTGGCGATAGAATCGCTGGTCGGATACATTATAACTCCATTATTGAACTTCATGTACTGCTGCGTACAATTCTATGGTAAGATGATACTGGGATCGTTCTAATAATTAGGAGAGTATGTTTTAGTGTATGTTTTTACATCGGCAAGATTTCGAAAGGAGTTCAAAACATTATTACATCTCAGACATATAGATATAAAATTGAGTGATCGTCATTCCGGATCTCATGTAATGGTACATTAAAAGAAGAATAGCAGAACAAGAACAATGTCAATAATATTTTTGACATGCATTTCATTAATGTCTTCATGCAAAAATATATTTTTCTTCAAAAAAAGATCAATATTATCTTTATAAAAAAATAATAGGTCCATTTAGAAAAGTGCATATAAGAATCAGATTATGAATGAGACTGAGAAAGAAACGCGAGCATTACATACTATCATTTTCCACGTCCAAAGAGAGGTTTCTTCTTGGACATTATATGTTCAACCATATCGTTTTTGAAATCTGTCCATTCTTTGCGTGTCTCTTGACTGACATACTCGTGATGAATATCATCCTGCGATAAATGACCAAAAGTACGTTTTGCTATTTGTAAAATTAATTGCCGTGTCAGATCAGGTAATTCTATGACATCAATCAAAATAATATCCCAATCGGTTTACTACTTTCTCATACCTAAAACCTTCTCTGGTCGAATGATTCCCAACCAACAATGAGTTGCAGTTACGATTGTACAAGTCTAGAAAGTATTTCAGTCGAATTGTAAGGCATTTTCTCAAATATTTATTACCATGGCCTCTTGTAAGATAACACTGATTTCACCGAACGAATCTGGAGCTGTGATCTTACCCATCACTACTTGTCGTAGTTGTCGACCCTCAAAAGAGCCAAATATAGTTAAAATTCGAAGTGAATCCGAAAACAATGCATCAACATACTTTGGTACCGTTTTGCTCTAGTTTTACTACATCAACCTTTCGTAAGACATGGCATTCGCCCACTTTCAAAAAAGCAATAAATGGACAACGAAAGCCTTCACTAGCAATAACTGTAAAAGAATGATACTTTAGCAAGAATGTCTTCTAAAGCGTAAGATCTACTTGTATTTGGAGGATAATTTATCCATTCGATCAGATGAAGAAATTCATCGACAGTTTGTTTCGACCATGTTTTATACTCTCCACAGGAAATGACAAGGGAATACTTTTCTAGATATTCTGTCTGTTCGAATTTCTAATGAGGATAGAGAGAGAAAAATTGAGGATAAAAAATTGAAAATTCTTGATATTCTAACCTTTTTCACTGTAATAAATTCGTCCTTGTTTATCTTGAGAAATTCCGTACGTTCGTCGGTAGTGATTACCCAAGTTCTACAAATCAAATAGCCTCTTGCATATGGTCATTTTAAATATTACTTATATTTGCTTTCTGGTGTTGCTATTAACGAACCAAAGCTTTGTCCGATGGTCAGCTGAATCGAAATTTGATTCCATCTTTCTCATATCAAAACTGTTATTAACATACCGTTTGTATCGATGGAGGAGATGATAATGGTGGAAGTTGTGACGAGGGTGGTAGTGTTGTGATACCACCTTTTAAAATGAAGAAATAACCATTTGTCGGTAACACTAATGAGATTTAAAGATAAGACTATGAACGAAATTTCGAACAGAGCAACCTGGCTGGTTAGCTTCGTAACATATTTCTAAGTGCGCCAGTTCAATCGCTTCTCGAAGGATCTCGGCCCGTGGATCGAGCGCCATGAATTCTGGGAATTGTGACATTATTTGAAAAATTTGATCATTCTCTGCATTTGTTCGTTGAATTTGTCTATGCAAAAGCAAGCGAGAAGATTTTCTTTCTCTTATCAGTTGAATTCAAACTTCATTTACAATTTTCTTATAAGTTGTCGAAGAATTTTGATGTCACGTTGAAATGGTGTGATGTCTTTTCCAGCACGCCCTACTGATCGATTCAATAAAGATGATTGGTTTTCAACCGGCGGTAAAGGCAATGTTTCTGTCGTTTTTGCACCAGTACTTTTATTTCTAAAGATTACAATTATCTATCAACCTACTCTGTTCTTGGTCTTACCGAGATGTCCACGTTCGTCTCGGTGGTGGTGGTTTCAATACAGATACATACTGTTTCATAAATAGATAATGTGTTTCTTCTCTAGAATAAATGTATATGCTCATCTTTTCGAGAAAATATTTCTCATCTGATCTTCTATAGTATACCTGTCCTCAGGTTCGTTGGATAGCGCTTGTAATCGTTTTAGCTCTTCATAGTCAACAACTGATTGAGATGTTCTCAGACTTGAGACTAAAAAATATCGATCAAAATCATCCATCATCTTCTATCCTATCGACATTTGTTTACATGGATAGGCCACTTGTTTTGCTCGTGTGCATTGTGGAAATAATTCATTTTTCTTTTTCTCACTTGGAACAGTTGATGAAATCACCGGTGACGCAATTAACATGATACTGCTAATTGATTGTCAATAATTAATAATATCAGTTTCTTTTCAGTAGAAAACAAAGAAGGCAAATCCTGTTAAATTTGTCTTCCGTACAAAACCATTCGAATATATGCTTGCCATAGTAAAAGCCTCCAATTGATCAAAGAAAATTCATTGAACAATACTTAAACCAATCACGATCAAGATCAGCACAGCAGTAGCAGCTGATATTGTTTTATATTTACAAATGATTTGTTTTTTCCATGGATAAATCGACGATAAACCGAAGTGTACGGTGAACCTTTTCGTTGTTTACCGCTAAAAATACGTTGGTTTGTCGATTTTTCGTTTCTAGGCTTTGAATGTAGTGACAAATCAACCAGCGCGAAAACCTTCGAACCAAAATGGTGAGATTTTCCTTCTTCTATTCTCGCTTGAATCATCAATTGATTTATTTACACTAGATCTACTTGCAAAAATTCGACCTAAACCAATCAATAAACCGAACTTAGTCCAACAACTCACCCAATCAACGACTATTCAGGTCTCTTCAGGGTTAAAGTAAACTATCCATGAACTTGAATCATAAAATCGAAATAATCGCCATATTTTAGAATACTGAATACACGAATTCAATCTAATGCTGATCCATCCTATCAACCATTAGTAATGATTAGTGATGATGATGACGATGATAATCATTCTAAGTTAGTAACATTCTTCATATGGATCTTCTTCTTCTCGTTAAGGATGGATGCAAATCTCTATATTGACAAAAGTTTTTCTTTACTCTAGTCGATGTTCGATCATCGTTGTAGTTCCCAATTGTACCTAGTCTTAACTCATCATATTTGACAAGTATCGACCACGTAATTGAACTAGTTTTTCAATCCGATAATCGCTCGTTGATACTTGGAAGGCTCTATGGATATCATTCGATAGAGACTAGAGTGACTTCTGACAGATAATTCACTAGCTTTTTTCACTTTTGATCTATTCGTTTTGTTATTTGCTTTTAGCGAAGAAGATTTCGTCTCACCCGTGCATAGATTGACACGAAATGAATTACGTGAAGAATTACGAGCGTTTCGTCAACATGAAGATTCAACTAATAATAGCACAAATCATGCTTTACTTGCCAATGGCAATGATGATGATGATGACGGCGACGTAGGTGATATCGAATTTCGGACTCATCAAGTCGTCAATCGTACTGTTTGTTGTTCTCAAAATCCATTCTCATGCAGGATGAATTCTTGCGTTATATCATAATCGATAGCATCAGAAAAAGCAAAAAATAAATCTTCTTTGAAGTCAGATAGTTCGTTTTATTGTTCTCGTTGTTTTATGAATCTATTTTCTTGAATAAATAACAAAAAAGGCCGCTTTTTCAATACTGATCGAAAGTTTCCAGTAGTGTTTTGCTTCTTACATAAAGGTTTTGAAAAACATTCATTTCTTTCCTTGGCTTGAATGACAAGTGTATTACATTGATTTCATATGACATGTCTATTTTCTTGACACATGATGATTGCCATGAAGGGAGTCTATTTATGAAACGACACAACGATTAGATGATCATCATCAAGAATGTTAGTCAGCAAAGAGAAGCTATTTAAAAGGTATTTTTCGATCGAAAACAAGTGCAAGTGTTGTTTATCATATTGTTTCGAAAGCACAAAACACACGAAAAGCGCAATGCATTTCGAACTGTCAACTCTGATCATTTGAACATTTCATTTTCTCTTCTCCTACTTTACTTATCACGTTCATATCAAGATATGCACATATGAATCGATACGCGCGCATGTTCATGTCTCAATCGATCAATTTATCTTTCCATCTTGCTAAATAGTTAGACAACGAGAGAAAAATGACATGTGTATACACGTACATGCGCGCACTTAAGCTGTTTGAATCTTGTAATCAATTATTTCACTTTTCCAAGGTCTCTTATGTATAGTTGAGAAAGATATTATTAGACAAAGATTATAATCAATTAAATATGATCAAAACAGAAGAGAGAAAAAAAAAGAAAGAAATGAAAATAGTTAGTCAATTCTTACTAAAAGAAAACGAAATAAAACATAATACATGTTAGTTGAAAATCTAAATTAAAAGAGAATAAGAAAAGAAAAAGAGAAGAAAAGAAAAGAAGGAGACACATCATGAAACGAAACTTTATCGATGTTCTAGTCTAGATACTGTTCATATAATATAAGAAATAGCAATGTTTGCCTTTCCTAGATTTTGTGCGGATGCTCAATGTTGAGACTACGCATTGGTGGCTGTTGTTGTCTGCTCGTGTGTTGTTGTTTGAACGACGGGAGCTTCAGGATCAGTGATAACGACATCACGAACTTCAACCCTTTCGGGGGTTGGATGTGGAACGTGTTGTGTTTTCACGAGAGCCTCTCCAATAGGACGTCGATGATCGTATTCGGTTGGAATGGCTGGTCGTGAAACTACGACGTCTGAAGCTGGTATTTCTTGTGTTAACGGCACATATTCGGCCTGTGTAGTGGTAGTTGTCGTTGTTGTTGTTTTCTTTGTTGTTGGATTCAATTTCTTGTCGGTTAACCAAGCATAGGCAAGAAGCAATGGATAGAGTAATGCAAGAATCATAGCGAGAATCGATAGAACAGTTGACCAACCGAGGCCAGCACGTGTATTGTCAAAGACTTGATCGTAGCCTATGACTGGACCATAATTACTGTGTGTAGACTGTTGACGTTGAGGAGCTTGGTTTGCACTTTGGCGGGGTTGTGGCGCATAGGGAGCACCACCTGGATACAAGTCTGAGTATGGTTTAAACACGTAGTTGTTCAATTCATGAGAAAATTCTTGATAGTGTGTGGCATTGTGTGGATGTTGTCCTTCTCCTAATGGGTAGAGTCGATAAGTTTCATGTGCTTGACGACGAACAACTTGATGTAATACGCTTTGTTTGGTACGTTTGCCACGGTATGGTTCATGAGTGAGACCGAGCTTACCGGTGAGACGTTGGTGAATATGTGGGTAAGCATCAGCTAAAGATTGAGTCTCACGTTTAAGATAAGAAAGAATTAAGATAAGGCCGATGAATAAGAAAAGAAAAGCAAGTATGGCCAAGCCAGCAGCTGCTAATCTGAGTAATGGATTGAAATCTGTTGAAACCAAAGCAGTTACCAAGAGGGCAAGACCAAGCAAAACCAATGCTGCAACTTCGAAGAAGATCACCCAGCTCCAATAGGCATGTCGACGGCAGTGGCAATAATCAGGTGAAACTACTCGACATGAACAAGTGAGAAAAGCACCACGAAGGGTTGATGTTTGTGATAAACAGCGATGAAGAGAGTCTTCATCAGCATCAAGTCGTGGAAAACGTGTGCTTGCCCAGAGATCGAGTTGTTCGTCATTATTAGCATAGAGTTTGATGTTGCGGGAATATAAGCCATATTCTTGGTCAAGGCGGCTATCGTTGTAGATGTGTGCACGAGGATAACGGCTATCTTGAGAGGTCAATGGATCAATATTTGTCGATTGCCATTTCCAATGGTGAGAAAGGACAGCAAGTAATTGAAGTACAAAAGCAGCGATAGCTAGTAATAAAGCAACAGCGCCCAACAGACTAAGGAGTTTTCTAGCCTTAACGGGATCAAGTGGAGCGGCTGGCTTTTTCTTTGCAGCAGCAGCTGTGGTATCTTTGGCTTTCTTTGCCATCGACCTTGTTTATTACGATGGTGGTTTTTGTTGTTGTTGTTTTTTTATAAAGTGGTAAAAAGTGATGGTGGTTACAGTAGTGCGGATATGTCAGTCAATGGTTTATTAGCATGAGGTGGTCGTCGGCGTTGTCGCTTGTTTTCTTTGTACAGTATTCTAGTGATAGAAAAAAAGAAACGGAGACAGGGAGAGAGAGAGAGAGAGAGAGTAAAACGAACGCGCTTCAATCTAATATCATATCTTTGCCATCATACATTTCTCATTTTTTTCTCTTTTCCCCCTCTCTTTGCACATACGTATATGAGTACGATGCATAAATCTAACCACATACGCGCAATGATATTGCGGACGTTATTGAGAAAAAAAGGTGCAAATAAATACGTAGTAGAGAAAAAAGCAAATCAAATGTTAGCAATACTTTTCGTTTTTAATGTTGATTTCTTCTTTCAGGATGACTGACGACCATAGAAAACAAATATAGTATCTTATCCCCACCTTTTTCTGCTTCCTTCGATATGAAATCTTTGTTTTTTAAAGGCCGTATGCGGTCTCTTTTTATTCTATCTATGCGCATATACACTTGATGCAACGAGTTACCTGTGTAGATGCATCTTTCTATCCTTCATCGAATACCATATTTAACAAGGTCTATCGTTATGAATGAAAACGAATATGCTATTTAGACATGTACAGATATCATGAATGTATCTCGCCTTTTGTTATTTCTTTCTGATCATCATTGTTCTTGATATAATGGATGAGAGACAGTGTATATCATAACTAATGAAAGCGAAGAAAAAAATCTTCATCTTTGCCACTGATGCGATATGTACGCATATGAAGATTTATGATTATTCATTTGAATTTACACAAAAGCTCACACGATGCACATACTGCTTTATGCATCATTTACTTAAAGAAAAAAAAAAGGGAGCGTAATATCTTCATGTGATTGCACACTGTCAGTTGATCACTATCATTATTCGAAAAAACATCAATTATAATCGATGCTAACGAGAAAAAAAATTTTCTTTTTACGTACAAGTGCGTGTCCAATGTTGATGATGATCTAGTATAGATAAAAAAAAAAAAGAAACTGCTAGAGAGTGAGAAAAATAACCTAGATGTAATTGTATTTTTTTCGTATATACTTTCAAGGTCATAGGATTGATTAAATATTAACTGATGAAAATTAATCGAGTATTTAATTAGGTTTAGACAATATTCAAATTTCGCCGATGTTTATCAAACCGAGAGAAAACTGTCTATCGAAGTCTGGGAACATGTTCTTCGAGTAAATATTGATTATAAAGTCCATTATCAAGCCAATGTTTATCCAAATGATTTATTTTATTCGAAATGTATGGAGACAAAAGTAATAATTCGTTTTTGATTAATACGATCGATCATTTTGAAAGGAAAACAGCTAGAGTGAGTAGCATGTGACGTAGTGAGAATACCTAAGATTGTCTCTTATGATAGACATTCGAAAACAAATACGAACAGAATGAATTTTCAAACGCTTCTATGCTAAGATCAATGCGTACAGGTTCTGCGGAAGAAGAAGATTGATTACGTTGATAATCACATGCGTAGAAAGCCGCAATCGTTTTTCGCTTTCAAGGATAGGAAATAGTCCATTTTCCCCTTATGAAACAAAAAACGACTTAATGGTGAAAAATCACTGATCAACAAGGTCTATTGCATTTTATTGTCAAGGTAGCTGAAAGTAGATTTTCGATTTTTTTTAAACGAACAGTTTGATATCTACAAGATTATATTGATAGCGCGTATGTTTATTTCGACGATCAGATCACGTTACTCTGATATGAAATGAAAGCAATCACATTCACTAGATATGTATAGATCATACAAAGAAAATTTTCGATGGGATTCGTGTCTTTAAGGAATGCTTAGTCGGACAAAAACTCGAAGTTAAATAACACTTATCAGTCAGTGAATGAGAAATCCTTACTGATATATCAATGGAAGGACATTGTGTTATAGATGGCAATCATTCTAAGTCAATGTCTGATTGAATACATTATCTAATGCTTCAATACAAGGTCTAGTTTATCTCACGTCAAAAAAAAATGCGAGAGAAAATCAGTTTGAATGCGAATTGGCAACTTGTTTTATCAGTCAATTCTGTTATAAGTAAACCAAGTTATGCATTCAAAGTATTTTAGAACGAAAATCGATTTGTCATCAATTTGACATTCTCTAACTACGTGTATTCGACTAATGAATGATTTCTTTGAAATAATCGATGATGTTTAATTTATTTGTCTGGAGCAATTGTATCGCAATGTTTTCACGCATAGAAAAGCGTGAAATATTCGATGTAATATACGAAGTCTGCTGATGACATTCATCCATCGAATTTCTCTCTTTTTTCTCCGTCTTTGTCAATCATATAAACTGAAAATGAGTGTCTAATTATAGTAAGAATTGAAACCGAACTTTTCTTCCATATATTTTCGTCTTGTTGCATTTGTATATCAATAAGTATTCAGCGAATAGGGATGGACATGTCTGGTAGTAGTTTCACCAAGTAAAACGTAAAATTCACTCAAAGAGAGGAGAGTCAATCCCAGATTTAATTGCCACCTCGTGACATTTTATTAGTAAATTATATTTGTCCTAGCGGCAAAATTCGGATATACTCTGTGCCCTTTGAAATTATTCATCAATGCACAAGTGCGAAATACACTGAGAACACAAGATTTATTTGCCACTACAATAAGTGCAACCTTCGCATCATCTTCATGCTGTCTGATTATTATTCTGAACGACACACACTCACATCATATTCAAATGTGAACAAATGAAATTATACGATTGGTTGATTTTTTTCGTCCAATCATATGTGAAACATCGACCTCTCCGTTGATGTCCGTGAAAAATTAATCTCTTCTTGTAATAATTAATGATCTATTTCTATCTATTTTACATTGAAAGATGATTCGATTTTTTTTTCTTCTATTTATTTATTTATTTAATTTCAATTTGTAAACATATGTCATTGATAAAAAGCATTGTTCTTCTTCTTCAGCATTGCCCAGCTGTTACTGTCGAAAGAAAACAAAGAAGAAAAAAAAATCTTGTTTATTCTTTTCTTCTTCCGTCATTGCTTTTTCGTTCGCTTGCTTTCACAGTGTGATTATTTGACACAAAAAAAGTCATTTTTTTTTCTTTTCTTTCTCTTAAAGATATTTATTTCCGGTCAATGTTGGATTGATTATTAACAATATGATCCGACAACAAGACCATTTATTATCATTATTATTTATTTAATATTTCTAATCATTTCTTTTGTCCAAACTCAAAACAAAACAAGCAAATATCCTGAAACATGAGCGCACCTTGCAGTCTTGAACATTGTCATACAAATCTCTTTGCATTGGTAATTATTGATTAAAGATCTTTTCTCTCTGTTACATCTACTTTGATCATTTAGCAAAGTTTAAATGATATGAAATGGAAATGTTTTCGGCGGTCATTGAATTATCGTCTGGAACCGAATCATTACAAAGATCCGGTTTTAATCGCCTATTGGAATGCTCTACGTGCTGATACTCTATGTGCATGGAGACGTGTACTAACGGATGATGGACAAAAACCTGAGAAAGAACTTTGGTTGTTCGGAATCAACGAAGATTTACCATCAGAATTACCTAATTTACGACGTAAAAAACATTTGTATTTCTTTGTGTATCGATAATCTAAGATTTTTATTTTCATGTTCAGCAATGCATCAAGCGAATGGTTCATGGAGTGAAAACGCTCTTTCCTACGATTGTCGTTCGATGCTATTCAAAGCCTTACATAATATGATTGAAAAGTATGATCTTGATAACAATGATCAACCGACGAGAATGTTCATGAATATGTTTTTGTTAGATATTTATTATCGAAAGGTTTTGCTCGAATTAACAAATGGTTTGTTTTGCCACTCAATGATCATTCGGATGTTAAAGTGCCCAATTTTTCATTCAATTTCAATTTTTTTCTTCACGGAGATAATAAAGTATGTGCAAGTGTTGATGTTCAACGGCATCGATACATCTACAATCTGACAACTAAAGACCTGGAGAAGACTTCACCAACGAATGGTAACCTAACTGTGTTGACAAGAACTTTCTCTCGACATCTTTGCTTTCTTTACAGTTATTTTGGCACCGTACGGTCTGAATGGAATGCTCATCGGTCATATTAGTAAAGATATTGATATGAATGCATTGAGAGAAAATTGGGAACGAAATTACCCTGTTCGACACATTGATGGTCTACCCGACTTTGTTGAAGTCACTGCTGGTAAGTAGTCTACCTTTGCTTCTCTCACGATATTCAATCGAGAGTATTTTCTCGAACTACATTGTTATTATGCCTGTCGTTTCGGTCTATAACGTGAGGATGACTGTAGATTAAATATGGATAGAATTGCTGTAAACAGTTACGATGACGTTTGTTCTTCGTATGATGATTGTGGAGCTGTTGCTCAAGAGTATCAAGTAATATAAGCTTGAAGGGAACGATCAGACGTCGATCAGATTTCAATAAACAACTCAGCGTTATCTGATCCGAAAGAATCGATAGCCGAATGATGATTCTTTTCGTTTGTTCGTACGGAAATAAAGATGCTTCCTTTTTGTTCCGTTTAAATGATTTCTTTTGAATCATTTCTAGGTACTATTCGAATGTTTTATCCCACATGTTATGTATATAAAATCGCGCCGAATGAGGAACCATCTCCGAGTAATGAAACAGCAACAGCAAATAAAAAACCAGATATATCATTGGCGAAAAAATCTAAAATTCCAACATCATCCACTGGTACATCATCTTCGTCTTCATCATCGGCGCCGACAGCAACAACTACACCATTGAATGTCGCATCAAAAGATACGAAAAATGATAGTGGACTTATCAAAAGTCTAGCGAATCAATTATTAATTAGTGCTCAACGAAATAATTGTGTTGATCTTGATAAAAAGTATGTATGAAAATGATTCTTTCGTCTTTTCGTAATCTTTCTCATTTTCTAGACAAGAGAATAATAAATGCTTACTAATCAATGATCCAACGAATCGTCGCACATGTCGGTGTCACCAATGTTTAGCATCTAATACTCGGTTATCATCGTTTATTCCATTTCATCGCCGTCCTCGCACTACTCCGCCCGTTCATTCTGATCCGTCCTCGATTCGTACCAAATCTGAACCTATCAAAGCCGAAAATCTTTCTGAATGCATTGAAAACACAAACACCTTAACTCAGAATGATGCTATAACATCTCAATCGACTGCCTCACCTCTAGTTAACAATCCCACTCCTTCGAATCAACAGACAATCAATGATAAAACAACTGAATGGGCTGCTTCTACACCAAACAGTGTTATTGCTAGTGGTCCACCATCAGTCCTTGCTCCAATAACAAATCTAACATCTGTACAGACCAATTCTCCTGCACCAGCTACAGCAACATCGAGAGGACTGAAACGTTCAGCGACGGTTGCATTTGATGATCCATCAGTTGTAGAAGACGATGAAAGAGAGCTTCACAAACAAACGTATGACTTTCATCGAACAGATAGTTTTCTACAATTGCCACTGAAACGTTTTCGTTCGGATGCGAACTCAACAATGAATAACATTCAATCGTTAGCAATCAATAATCCGTCAACATTTACAACAACTGATCATCTCTATCGACATGGTCAACCGACTCCACCGAGTCCTAGTCATTTATTACCCCGCACAGATCCATATGATTTCGATGACGGTGAGGATTCAGCATCTCGAGCAAGTTATCCACCATCGACCCCGACAGGTACGAATCGTCAAAATCAAGCATCGTTCTATCCAAATGACGGTCCCTCGATGGCCGATCTCGATACAATCATTGATTCACATGATACCAACGAAAATAAGAACACCAATTCAAATGTTCTTTCACACATCCTTTCAAATGGTGGGATTAAATCACCTATGCGTAAAGACAATTCACTTGTTCATCCACTTCCACCACCACCTACTTCCTCAAATCTATTGAATACCAATGGCAATTCATTCCCAATCAATAGATCACTCAACGGAGGTTAGTTTCATCCCTTTTATTTTCTAAGTAAGTTCTTGAAATATGACACCAATGTTTTTTTCACTTTTTAGTTTTCCATGAAATGGAACAAATTTATAACACTCCTCCCGGCTCATCCTCTTCCGACAAACTTCAGGCGTTGCACTCTCCCTATGCCATCATGGTTGATAGTGTTAGTAGTGCTGCTTCCACATTTGATATGCTCAATCAGTTCAGCCAGGAATCTATCATAGCTCCCTTCGGATCGATCACTGTCGAAGATCATTCATCTTATCACGCATTGAAGAAAACTCTGCTGACAAAGTGTACCAAACGTTATGAACCATCGAACTCGTTCTCTATAACAATCTCATCCCATCATAAACCATTGAGACATTGGAAGCGAACATTAACAACCAATGATTATTCAGCAAGTCCATTCAATAGTCAACAGATCGTTCGACAGCAACATACACCACGTTCAACAGATATACGAAATACATCTATGTCTATATCAAATGTGCCTACTCCAAATATATATTCTCCCATGAACAATAATCCTTCGATTCGTTCAACAGATTTACAATCATCACCGTTTCCAATACGGTCAGTTGGTAGTGTACAAGCTATCAATAGTCCAACACCATATTCTCAACCGCCAATAGTTACTCAAGCTGAAGTTGACTCGCTACTATTCAACGTTCTATTAAATGATAGTATTTTGAACTTCTTTCGAGACATGAACTTCGATTCATGTGTACTATGCGCATGTACACCAAATGAATTGAACATTCGCGGAACAGATTCAACAATGTATCTGGAAAAACTACGTGATTTCGTTAAACCACCGTCAACACCAACGTCTGCAGGTGGCCCTAATCCATCGACTCATTCACCTTTCCATCCGCACATGTATCCTCATCAGCAATCGTCGTATCACATGCATCCACATCCATCAATGTATCCACTACAACAACAACAACAGCAGCAACAGCAACAACAACAACAACATACAATATCATCGACGAACAATAACAATAACAATAACTTATGCTCATGTGGGTTTTCTGCTGTTGTTAATCTACGATTGAGTTACTTATCTGGATTATTCTATGAAGACGAAGTAGAAATCACTGGTATTAAAGCTGATTTAAAGTATCGTACATCTAAGGATCAATTATCCGTCAGTTTATTGGAGTTGATCGAACGCAAGGAATGCTTACCATCACCGTTCGACCATTTCGTTAATAAGAATGTTCAAAGTGTATCGATAAGCAAGAAAACTGAGCCAGATATTTCTCAAATATTGAAACAACCGGTTTATCAATATGAAAACTTAGCGTGCCGTGTAGCAATCGAACAATCTCGAAGTATGGTCAACGGTTCAATCAGTGATGAGTTAGAAAAACATCATTGGCTACATCAATGGTCGTATGCGACGTTTCCATTGGATTCTGATCAACAGTTAATTACTATGCTACGTTCTTTACAACCACTGCTAGTTGAAGCATTAAAGAAAAGAAATGTCAGTGGTCTATGGAGTACAATAGATGGGCCGTTAACATGGAAATCATTTCATCAATTGCTCTACGTCCAAAATCAACATGTACAACTCGAAGATCAAATCAGCGGTCCACAACCGATCCCATATGTTCTTGCTGGGCTTGATCGAGAATGGGTGATGTTAGCGCCATACAGTCTCAAGTTTTGGGATAAATTATGTCTCGAACCTTATTCGAAAGGCAAAGATATCGCTTATGTATGTGTAGTGCCAGATAATGATTATATATGCTCGATGACCAAAACATATTTTCGAGAATTATCAACCCATTATGAACTATGCCGATTAGGTTTGCACAGACCATTGTTAAAAGCCTTCTCTGATCAAGGTCTCCTACGTGTAACACAACCAACGAATGATTCAACACCATTACCAAATGTTGACCAATGGTTTACAGACCATGAAACTACGCATCCCCTTGGAAAACGATTGAAACTCTACGCTCAAACTATCAAAGGGCAACTATGTAAGTAGACATGACACTTTTTCTATCTTCATCTTTGGCTGTTTTCGCTAGATAACCTGCTATCGACACAATCGTTTGATAATACATTATTAGAAGAAGGTTCAACACGTCGCGATGTATTTCGTACTCCAAACGATCTTTCCAATCCATCCTCCTCTTCATTTGATCTTCATACATCTACTAATGATCTGACGAATAGTGGATATGCACTTTCGCCTTCATCGACATCATCATCCACAACGACAGCGTCGACAGCAACCGGCAACAATCTTCCAGCCAATAATATCTACACCACAGGATCAGCGACGAGTGATTCTCTAAGTCTATCCTCGAATAATGTTTCATCATTAACCAATGGAACATTCGTAAACGGCCATCAAGTCGATCCAGTTGATTTGCAAGCATTTGAATCATTTCATCAGGGACGAACATCGAATGATGATCAATTCTTTATTGTTATTTACCTTATTGATACATTTCGATATGAAATAACAGCAGCAATTACCGACGAGAATGGCACTACTAATAATACAACGATCGATGATATGATGGACGCCTATGTTAAAAAGGCTATTTTCCGTGCTTATATGGATCTGATCAAGGATCTATCAGATAAAACATGCATTCGAGTTAATATTCAAGTAATTTGAAATCATTTCGGATTGTTACGAGTAGATATAGCGGTATCATTTCTGCTTAGATCATTCCATTCGAATCGATTATAAGTCAACAAGTTGAATCGGATTCTGAATTGCGTTTAACTCAATTGAAACGTTTAGCATTTAATGTATATGGACAATTAAAGCGAACCATATCTTACACGACAAGAGCAAAATCACTAACTGGCTTTGGTCCAGCTGCATCCGAAGAAAAAATGCCAGCCAAACTCGTGAGAACGGATTTATACATTTATACTTTCTCTATCGAGATGGTTTTTTTCTCTCTCTTAGGTTATGCAACTCTACACACCGGCATATATTCTTTCACCGAAATCTGATTTCCGTTTCAAAGCCTTTGCTGATATAAGTGAACAGACGAATATCAACGGAAGCATTTTATTTTGTTCATATTGTTTGTCTGATGATCAACGTTATCTACTGGCTTCATGTTCAGATGACCGAGGAGAATTGCTAGAAACATGTTCCATCAATATTGAAGTACCTGACAGGTAAATGTGAAAATAGAAGCATCAATCAACAATCTTATTCGAAATTCATTTCTAGACACCGAAGAAAAGTACAACATGCTCGACGAATTGGTTTACAAAAACTATGGGATTTCATTATGCGAGTCGTCACAAGCACGACCATGCCATGGAGAATTGTTATTGGAAGATTAGGAAGACTTGGACACGGAGAATTAAAAAGTTCGATACGAGATTGACAAATCAGACAAATGTAATCGAACTTCTCGTCTTCTTCTTTAGGTTGGGGAATAATCCTATCGAAAAAGAATCTTGTCCGTTGTGCAACATTGATACGTGATTCATGTCCAATGTGTCATATTTTACGTTGTCACGATCAGCCTGTTATTTTATCTGCTTGTTTGATATCAATGGAAGTCCATCCATCATTGACTGTTCTACCCGAATCATTAGAACTTGGAGAAATGCGTGGAACACAAGTACCGAGCAATAATGCGACGACCATGCAAAATGGCGGACAAATCTTAGACGATGTCTCAGTAACACATATTCTCACTTTACCCACCTCAGCTTCTGTACAGGTAAATATATGGCAATTTTTGACAACGAGAGGAATACGCATATGCTCGAATTTATCCGTTTAGCACGTGCAAACAATGCCTCGACAGAATGATCATCGTTCCACAGTTGATAACGAAGATGATCTCTTCAGTAAATTGTTCGAGGATCTTGATCCGGAAGGACCACCTAATGAAGCATTCGATAACATAACGTCTCCAACCCCAGTTGATATCGAATTTTCTTCAAACTACGGTCTAGACATGAATCACAATGGAAATGCCAATGTTCTGTCCGGTGGCCATCATAATCGTCTGGGTAATTCTTCCAATGCCCAAAATGATTACAATGGTAATCATCCATATGGCAATTCTTCTAATGGTGGAAATCTCAAATCAAACTCGTACCAACATTTCGAATATGAAATCGATATGAATGATCATCCATCATTACATCAACAACCATTAGCATTGGGTTTTTATGTTTCAACCATTGGAACACTAAATCCTTTGCCTCTATGGATGTTGCATGGAAAGTTGAATCATCGAGCCAATAATAGTTGTAGTGTTTTCAAAGCGACACTACATGTCAGTGTTCCCAATGCTCAACATTCAGATGATATGTTATTCGCTCAGAGTAATGATCAAAAACTAACTCATCCATTAGATTCGAATTACACATATGTTGTACTAAGGTATGGGAAAAACTTCGATGAATGCCTTTTGAAAGACTAATTTTGTTTTTCAGACATGTTTTGGAATCGTACAATCGCTTATCATGGTTATTAATTGATGCGAAAACGAATGAACGTGCTAGTTGTTTACCAATTCATATGGAAACTCTACTAAGACTATACCACGCTTTCGTGAAATTTGTATGATATAACATCGAACAGAGTTGGATTTCTCGCACGTTTGCTGTTTGATGCAATGTTGTTATATCATGTGTTTAGTTCTCTTTTCTCTCGGTTTTCTTTTGTCTTGTCGTTCACTTTTGTAGCCATATTGGCGCATCGGCACGATCCTTGTTTGTTTCTATTATATAACAGTAAGTCGATTTCTTCGAATTTGTCGATTCAGACAACGGAGATAAATCTAAATGCGTGGATGTGAATCAAATCAATCTCTCTCTCTCTCATATACATATATCTTTCGTTTTCTCTTCGTGTTTTCTTGCGCTCAGTTTTTCATAGAAATCCAATACATTGATGTGCGTTGTTGTTGTTATTATTATTATTATTATTATTATTGCTGTTGTTGTTGTTTATCTTTAAATTCTGATCTGATACGTCTATTAAACTTCTTCTTCTCTAGAATATATGAAACAGATGACTCGCACTGCATGTCTTTTCCCTCTTTGTACAGGTGTATATTTATTTTTAGTGTGAGCATTTCTACATGATCTATCTCTTCTGCTTTCTACATGCATACATATAGCTACCTAGATCAATCTATATGTATATGTGTGTGAATGTCAATATCACTATTTTCTTTCTTGCAATGTTATTTGTTTTCTTGCTCTCTCTCTCTCTCTCTAAATATAAATCTCAGATGTAGTGAACATACAAAAGCAGCAATCACGTCCTTTTTTATATAAAGTTTACTTCCGTCAGTCCACGTCTTCTCTCATAAAAATTATTTCTATAACACAAACATTAAAAAAAAAACGATTGTTAAAAGAAATGAACTACCGATATTTATACAATCGAATCGGACACATCTGTTTCTTTCGTTTTCCTTTTTCTTTCTTTGTTTGTCTGTTTTTTTTTCGTTTTTTTCTGCGCGTGCGTAGTAAATCATGTAAACCCAAACTCACACTGGAAATAAAAAGAACGAATAGCGATTCTTGAATCGTAGAAAAAAAATTCCAAGTACTTTTTTTTCATAAATCCAGCACATTTCCATGCAAACAATGACAAGTCATCAATAAGAACTGAATGCTTGATTTAATTCATCCGGTCTGCGGATTTAATGATCCATTAAAAGTCGACATCAATAAGCAATGAGAGTGATATATCGAGAACAATTCGACTGCGAAGAACTATGCCGTTCTCTTCAATGTAACTGTTTGGTTGAGTGATGGCATGAGATAATGTTCATTTGGTAAAATCGGAGAAATATTTTTATCCATCAACACCATAGACGCGTGATAAAGTGCAGATATTCTATCCCCTTTGAAGAAGGGGAAATCATGTGTGTTTTTCTGCACTTTCATCGACTCTGGCATTCTTTCCGATGATTTTTATCAGATCTATTTTGCATGAAACTAAGTACGATAGGACTGCATTCTAACTGTACCGACAGAGTATTTTCGTGAGGTTATATTCAGGACACTTCGGCTAATCACGTGATTGTTGATGATATCATATGAACAGAACGCACCGTGATGCAATATACTCAGTATAATTTGGAAAAAACCATCAGTCTTCGCAAGTTCGCTTTGTAATAGATTTAGTCTAGACGAAAGAAATAATAATAGTAGCGTATATCGCACTGATAGATGAAATTACACTCGTCAGTAGTAGCTCTATTTGATTCGATCTCAAAAATAATCTGTAAATGCTGCCATAGGAAAACGATTTGTCGATATTTTGATTCAACTGCACGGACCTGTTATGCAAATTGAAAGATAAAGATATTGTTACATCTCTCAACGAATAAGTACGAATGATAAGCTGATCGATAGTATTTCTGAAATGAGATATGAAAGAATGCATGGAACAACATTTCTTTTTCGACACCATTATTCGGCTGTATGCATTTTATTGATTCTTTTTCCAATATTCAATTCGATTACTAAACAAGAGAAAGTGTTGGTATCATTTATTTCCATATTTGATTTCCGTCGAAATATTGATAGGCATTAGTGGCGACTGATTGACTTCGAAACTTGTTTTTATTCCATTACTTGAACTCCCTTTCTCGTTGGCGTTGATCATACTCTATTAGATCGTCTGTCTAAATCGATTTGGCTATGGAAGACGAAAATGTAAAATAATCTTCCGTTGAAAACACATCTGACATTTATTTACAAACTAGTAGAACCGATATTTATTTTAATGTGATGTAACGAGAGAATGCGAATAACTACTAATCGATAAACTATGACATATGTCTGTCGTTTGGATTTATTCAGTTCGACGACAACATCATAATCAGACATAGAAATTGGATGATCTAACTCCTCTTCTGCTCTTCGCTCTTTTTCCTTTCTTCTCTTTTTCTAGGCTATATAATAAAACCAATAACGAATAGATCGTATCGGGTTAGAAGACGAGAGATAAAGAATCAAAGGATTCGATCAGCACACGTTTAACACAACGTACTATTACGCGCACATCAACAACAATTAGGAAAAGTGAAGATTGAGATAAACCAGTAATCGAGATTTTTCCTTTTTCCTTCAGATATAAACTCAATCAGTCGATAGATTATTGCTGCTTATTTTCCAGTACAACAAATACAAACCAACAAGCTCGGAGTAAGTTTTTCAACGTCAGCAAACGATGACGTAGTTAAATCAACACGTTGAGCAAGATATCATTTTCTATATGAGATTTTAAAAATAAAATAAAACCTACAGCTAAATAGAACCTTGTCAACGTAATCTATTCGAAAAAAGCGTAGGGGTATTGTACTTATATGAAGATATAGTCAAGAAAAGAATGTTCGATAGTTTGTAGAGAGAATCATTTGGGTTATTTTCTGTTTTCTTTTGCAATCAACACTTTCTTTTCGAACATTAAGACGATGATATTGATGTTTAATCACACATGAGGTTCTTTCGAAATGTTGATTTCTGAATAAGTTGTCCCATCCTCTTTTCATTTGTCATAACAGCGCAATAACTTTGTCTAAAATAGTCTACTGTTGTTATTTTCAGTAACGATGAATAATGATCCTATAAACACAACCTTTCATCCATGAATTTGCTTTTAGAATTGAACTATGACAGATAAAAAGGATTCAACAGCTGAAGGAAGCACAAAACTAGTGGAAAAATATCTTAAAGAAGTTGACGACGAAGAAGACAGCGGTATGTATAACAAGAATTTTAGTTATTTTTATCTAAAAATTAGAAAAGGAAAGTATTTTTTTATGTAATCAGATGGAAGGGAAAATCCTGGTTGGATTCCCATGTGAAAAACGATTCTGACGTCAAAAGCGTAGCAAAGTGCTTTTCATAATGACTGTTATTCTGATTAACTTGTTTCTTTTTTCTTACATGGATAATTCTATTACGTATCTTCTGTCATGAACACATGGATGCTTTCTATTTTCCGTCATTATCTATCATAAGACGTGTTAATGAAGCATGAATACCAATAATTAGGCAAGAAAAAAAAACCGTTCAATTCTAAGTTTAAATCGAAGACAGCATCTCTTTTTCTTTTCTTTTCTTTTCGACATTCTAACCAGTATTGCGTATACTATCTTGCTTTTTCTGCTGTCATCATCAACGCTTATGATATCATTTGACACATGCTCATATTCTCGTGCTATATTACAAGTTTTGGGTCTCTGACTTTGAGAATGAAAGCAGAACGTACGTCGATATGACTTCTACGGATTAATTTTTTTCGTGTGAATGCTTCGTCGACGGATTCGATTGAAAATAACGAACGAAAAGAAAGCATCAACTGTCTGTCTAGTACTTGAAAATCAGACATTTTTTCCTTTGAAACATTAGAGTCTTGATTGTTTCCTCTTTTTTTCTTTTTCTTCTTCCTACATTCTCTTTTATCTGTCTTTTTCACCTTAACGAGCCGGCCGAGAAGAAGAGCAACAGTATCGGTGTAAAACTGGAAAGCAAGCGTAACATCAGCTCAATTGAACACCCTACATACCCACATGAGACACGCTTTACTTCAATCTATCATGACCTCTAAACGGAATCTTAAGTCAGTAACAACGACAACAACAGCAGCAGAAGACTCATCAACGATCGTCTCTATTTCACAGCAACTTGTCAGACAATTAGAAGGAGCTATTGAGTGTGAGTAAGCATCTGTATATATAGAACAACAAGATCTATTTTCAATATTTTCTACCAAATGCTACCCGATGGAAGACAATAGAAAGAATTAGGTTACAATTTTTTGTTTTACTGATTTTTTGATCTTTTCTAGCTGATGAAGATGATTCGTCGTCAGCTCCTACGGCTCAAAGTCTCGGTGTACGTGCTCAAAAAAAACTTCTCGGGTAATAAACATCCGATTAATCTGATATTCCGATAGAGGAAAATTCTTGTTTATTGCAGCAAATTTTCATCGAAATCAGTGGCGAAAGTATTCATCGATGAAACAAGCGGTCGTGTATTGGACAATTTACATAAATTAATACGTGGATATTCCGGTAACAAGAAAGAAGCGGACAAGCTATTGAAATCAATCATTAAAACTATCATCAAATTGGGTATTTTATACAAAAACAATCTCTTCAATGGCTTTGAAAATCAACTGATCGAAGATTTTCGGAATCGATTTCATGCATTGTCGAAAGTGATCGTTACCTTTTATGAAGTCGATTACACATTCGATCGTCTTTTCCTCACACGCATATGTAAAGAATGCCAAGAATTAACGCATAAGATCGTTTCAACACACCTAACACAAAAATCTCATACGCGCATCGATTTCATTTATAATTACGTCTCGAATTTACAATTCATTGATTATGTTTTCAACCCAAATTCAACCACCAATCGTGCAATTATTAAAGATATTGTTGGAGACATGCATACATTGATGGATGCAGGATTACTTTGATATAGATTCAAAATAAAAGCACAACAAGCATTCGTGGATTTCTTTCAATATACATTTGTTATTAGAAAACACAACTTTCAATGCTTCATCCTTTCTCTTTCGCGTTAGCTTTTCTTTTTTTTACTGCAACCATATATATCTTCTTTTTTTAAAGGAAAAATATTTATATTTATTTATTACTTCGGCTTAAATGAGTGCTTATTGTATGTATATATATATATAAATGAAATTTTTTTCTTTACAAAAAATCATAAATACACATTTGTCTTCTCATACAGATGATTTCATTCAAGTCGTGTTAAATTATTGTTAAAAATCACTGAAAAAAAATGTTCTTTCGACAAAAGGCAAGACTTGTCATGCACGGTTATGACAATAAACCTTCACTTGTAACCTGACTCATTGATACTTAATTGACACAGACAACATTTATTTGTCGATTCCATATCCATCCGTTAGATGTGACAGTACGTGATGAGTTGACGCTCTACACTCTGAACGAAAATCATCGATATGCATCCATTTAACGGTGATAAAATCGAGTCGAGGAGTCTTCTAGAATAAATTCGACTACGTCCCTTCATAACCTTTGATCTTGACTGCGAGAAAGAAAGACAAATAGATGTTCTTCAAATAAAACAAAAAACAGTTTCGAAATAGTATAATATTAATATGGAAAAATAACAATGTTTTTATACAGTGATGCATTGCATGTTTCGTAATCGTCTTCTGTTTAGCTATTAGAACATTCTATAGTCACATGCCAGATGATGACGATGTCCGACTATACTTGTTCTCCATCGTTCTCAAACAATTCCGTTGTAGTACATTCATGTATTTTAGCTACTGTGCAATAATGACACAAAGTATGACTAATTGTCATAAGGTAAGAATGGCGACTGTATGAAACAGACGGATAGTTTTGATCAAGGCGTATTTTCTGTCTCATACAAATAACTCTGAGCGATTGCCCTCGATTTCATGGAAAATTCTTTCATAGAGTTTGAAATCGTCACGAGATAGAACGCTTGCGTGATGATCAATACCTTGATTTCCAATCAGCCATCGATAGAAATCTACAAAAACAGGCGTATTTGAAAATTTCAAATAAAGAATAAAGTGAACTCTAACCAGAAGAGTTTCTGCTCGATCGATTCAAAAAATCGGATTGCTTTTCTTCTTGCGCAGTCCTCAAGACTGAAAAATAAAATGTAAGAAAAAAGTAAATAAGAAAAGAATAAAGTGGAAAGAGAGAGATTTGAAATTATGTTCTTGCATACAAACATATACACGACAACTCCATTTATATTTTTATTCTATTGTGCGTTTGCTTTGTTTTGTTTGCATTTGTATCAGGTGCACTTCGGCATCGATGTAACGAATTTTACTGCCGATTATTGACTCACAAGATAAAATTTCGATGCGATGTCGACAACAGCGAAAAATCTATCGAAATCATTCACAGCAACATTCAATGGAAAACGTCTGCCACCCATTGCGCTCACTTCGAATCTAACATCAATAGCAAACAAAGATTTACTTCCGAAATCTATATTGAAACATTCAGATGCACTGCCTGACGAACTGCAAGATGATGATCAGACGATTACTAGTGCTGATGGTGTGTTAAATTCGAATTGAAGTCAGATGATTCATCCTTTGATTGTTCTAGACGATCGCGACACTCCACGGATCAGATATCAAAAGTATATTTGAACACGAAGCGTTTTCTTTTATTGCTTTGTTATTTTTGCATAGATCAGGAGAAGAAATAGATCTGTTTCTTAACACCTATCCATCAAGAGGTAAATATCAATATGTGCGAATATCTCATGTTGAACATTCGTTGTACTTCTAGATTATACAGTTTCAAGATATTTGAATTCCGCGTTCGTAGAATGAATTGAGGGCTTGCTTTCTCTATTCAATATTTTGCTATTTTTTAGTTGCCAGAATGCATTGAATCATGGAAAAAAAGCAGATTCTATAGTCGGTAAAGATTTAATTAACAGCAAAAACTCTTTTCCTATTTCGTCTCTATCAATTCAGATACTCTTTTGAGTTCATGCAACGACCAGAATGCAATCATCGATACTTTTCCAGCACCACTCAGTGATCGAACGCCAGTATGTATACATTTGAAACTTTTGTTTTAAAGAAAAATGAATATCACATTGTTCTTTCCGTTTCTATTTTACCTCTTTCTTTTCTTACACAAATATTAAAAGCGTTCTGAGCTTTCTTTTTTCATTCTTTTTTTTTTCACTTTCTTTCTTGTTATTTAGTCGTCTCGTTACTGTCGTCGGTCTTTAAGCAGCGCTTGTAGTCGTCGGTCGTCAATTTTTTTTCCTCAGCATACGACTCTTCCAGTTGATTCCAGTCAACTTTGTCGAGAAGATACTTTTGATATTATTCGCGAAAGTATTCATGCCAACATTCGTTCATCATATACACCGTTACCACCGATACAAAGCGATTCGTTAACAAGCACATCAAAATCTTTACTTGTTTCTCAGACGGATGTTCAACAAAGTATTTCGCCACCACTGATAAATACTGCAGACATTCAGGATAAAATCGAGGAATACAAACAACGTCTACTTCCCAAAACTCCTTATAATCAACACCCAATGTCATTGGCAGAAAAAACGACGGACACATCTTCTACGACAAGTAAACCAACGGTAGTTAAATATGATATTTCACCAAGATTACAAAAATCGAATGTGGAAAATCGTCGAGTGAATAATGCTGAACGATCAGTTCCTGCTGCACCGATGAAAACGAAAGTTTCCATAACGGCGACTACAACTGCGACGAACACAAATGTTCCACGAGTTGGTCAATTCTCTCAAGAACTTTTTCAACCACAATCGAAATCGAACAAAGCAGTTTCAGTAACGACAAATAAAAAAGCACCAATGACTAATAATAGAATAAAGATTTCAGCAAAAAATCATACACCAAAAGCGAAAGTTACACCAACAGTTTCAAATCAAGAAACCGTACAAACTACGAAGTAAATCATTTCATTTTTGTTTCGCAATTCTATTTTCTTTCTCTATCAGTAACGTCATTCCTTCTCTTTCGTCATCTTCACCATCTGTTTTGCTTACTGTATCCAACGAAACATTTCAAGTGCCAAATATTATCACAATAGAAACCGAGCCTTCTGCCAAGATTAACACTGAAGCTGCACCCTCACAAGCAAAACAGCCTAGTCCATCTGTGGTGCCACGACATACACGCCATACGTCATCCAGCTGTAGTAGTGCAAATCGACATTCATATCCTGTACCAAAACCGCTGACTCTACAAGGAGAGAAAACAGTGGAATGTGACTATCCTCAAACAAATTTACAGCCGGTTGCTTATGCAAAACTCAGCTGTGAACGGCGCGGAAGCATCAGCATAAAGCCTCATGCAGTCATCACTCCGTTATTCGAGGAGACCAATGTGTACATACAAAAACCTTGCATTAAGTCAGAACCGACACCATCAACAAATCCATCAACCGGCAAATTTAAGAGAGTACGGCCAAACTCGATAAAAAGTGCAAAATCAAAGAAACCAATTGTGATAAACAAACCGAAAACAGCAACAAAAGCTGCTAATAAAATTGAAAAGAAATGTCAAAGTACCAACACAGGTGCAAGTGTGCTTGCTGTGGAGAACGTAAATTCAACTATAGACGAGCACTCACAAGTGACAGAAATTGATGAAGTGCCGTTATCGCATTTATTTGACGTACCAACTGTTGATGATGAAGATATTCCATCGTGTTTTTCTCCTACTGATCAACTAACGATATCACAAACAACACTCTTGACCAGCCTCGGCGATATTCCCGTACGTATCATATACTATTTTCCTTGTCGTTAAAAACACAGAGAATATCATTTTCTTCTATATTTAACAGAGACGAAACAGCGTTGAATCCGTTCAAGCGCTTCAGATCGATCCCGTTCCGATAGCAAACATTGAGCCGTCCATTGAACCTATTTTACAACCGCCGTCTAAACTCATTGAATCTTTGTTACCCAACGCTGATATTCGTGCTCTCTATGGAATCGTGCAAGATTCTATGCGAAAAGATCAATCTATCCGCTCGATACCGACGCAATCAGTTGAACAAGAAGCTACAACAAGCAATCCAACATTACCACATTCAACAATGAGCTCATCATCTCACGATAAAACCTTAACAATGGCAGCGACAATCAGTGCTGCACACACGTACAATAGTACAGAAACAAATCTCTCCATTCGGCCAGCCTTACGTGTTGTCGAAGATAGTTTAAATAGTCGAGGTAGTGAAACTATTGATTCCACTGGGAGTCATGAAGATTACAGTTCGACACCATTATGTACAGAAAATGATTGTGATGAAATTTATCGCACCGCTCGAAAAGGAAAACAAGTTGGAAAAGGCGTAAGTTACTTGACGCAGAATCCAAGGGGGAAACAGCAGACTCCAGGATTCCGGGACTCCGTGGACTCCATTGGACTCCATTGGACTCCAAAAGGGACTCCGGAAGGGACTCCAACAGGATTTCACAGGACTCCACTGGACTCCAAGAGACTCCAAGGGACTCCAAGGAATTCCAAGGGACTCCAAGGGATTCCAAGGGACTCCAACATGGAGTCCGAAAGGGACTCCAAGAGGGACTCCGGGGACTCCACAGGACTCCATGGGACTCCAACATGCCTGGAGTCTGCTGTTTCCCCCTTGGCAGAATCGCTGAAGAGATAAACTTTATTCTAATAGGCATATGGCGTTGTCTGGTCACATTTAACCATTACTGGATGCGTTATTGCTGTGAAAGAAATTGAACTTGATGAAGGTGATAGTGAACGTGTACGCGATGACTACGCATCCGTACGAGAGGAAGTCAATATACTTCGAGCACTCAATCATTCGTGTATAGTCAAGTAATAAATTGGAAACTAAACGAGCAAAACCAGAATGTTGAGTTCATCATATTTTCCGTAGATTTCTTGGTATTTCATTGGAAAACACGCATTTAGTTAAAATCTTTATGGTAAGAAGAGCCAAAAGTTTCAATTCACACCCCAATGATTCTTCTTTCGTTCAGGAATATCTTCCAAATGGAACAATCGAGAATTTACTCTTATCTTTCGGTCCATTTCACAACGATGTTTTGAAAAAATACACGAAACAAATTGTTGAAGGTGTTGCCTATCTTCATAAGAATAATGTTGTTCATCGGTACATATCTTCTGAAATTATTACTTTTTTTTCACTCGATGTTTATCTAGAGATATAAAAGGCAAGAACATTATGCTTGACATGGAAGGCAACATCAAATTGATTGATTTCGGTTGTGCGAAACGTTTGAAAAAGAATCAAAACACACATTCTCTTCGACAGATTCTTAAATCAATGAAAGGTTCGATAAAATAATCGTATTCTTTTGTTCGTTAGCATATGTCTCATTTTTAGGCACGGCAAACTGGATGGCGCCAGAAGTCATAGCTGAGACAGGTCACGGAAAAAAAGCAGATATTTGGTCTATAGGTTGTACACTATGTGAGATGGCTACCGGTAAACCACCATGGTCATTTGAACGCAATCATGTGGCTGTTCTACTGATGATAGGTAATGTAGACTGTAGTTCGAATTCTGAAACCTAATGAACGTTTTTTTTAGTCAATGGTACGAAACCACCAGCAGACTTGCCCGACAGTTGTCCTGAATCAGCTCAAAATTTCTTCCGTTTATGTTTAACGCGTGATCCAGCCCAACGGCCAACGGCTACAGATCTCTTAAACCATCCGTTTTTAGTCTCAAAAGAGTGATGCATTCACAATGATACTTTTACCTGCAGCGAACTTTCGTCTTTCATCTGTTTATTTACTCATTGTATTTTACAAAGGATGAAATCGTTTCGTTTATATATGTATATATACCAATTCAATGTTTTGTGTGCATTTTTTTATACCGTAGTTGAAAGTAATAATCTCGTACTGTTATACCTTTATTTAATGGAAAACTTCAGAAAAAAAACATACCAAACAATCATTTTGAAATAAGATGAGTGTGAGTAGTTCCCAGAACAGAATCTATTTTTCCTTCGCGATGTAAACGCATCCGATTACTAACTAATTCCGGGCATCGATACTCATGACGTAGCTGTTGAATTGTTGGAAAATGTGCTTTCGTTAATTTTTCAATTCGATCTTGGACACGGTCAACGGATGAAATCGTGTCTTCTTCTGCAAGATTTCCTAGAGATGAAGTATTGGGCACGCGTAGATAAACATCACTCAGATTAAAGCTGTTCATAAGCGTTTTCCTTTGATGCAAAATCTTAACTTTGGTTAGTTGCGGTAAATGAATCGTCTGACGCACGTTGTGTTTCGTGGCAGAAGAGTTATCCAATGATTCAGTTGACATTTGAGATTGTTTGACAGTATCTTTCTTCTGCCGAACTTTAGTTCGTTTAAGCATTGTTGACACATCTCGTAGAGCTTGTTCAGAATAACCCGAGTTAATCAATACATTCGATATCGTATCGCCTAGGATAGAAGACGATGATGATGATGATGATGATGATGATGATTGTATTGGTACAAAAGGTGTATCGATATATAAGTTAGCCATTAATGGACCAGTAAGGTGGCGAAGATGGCCGGGGGATCGAATCCTTGGCTTTTGGATAGTAGAAGACTTATGGTAATTATTATCAAGAGGTTGATGACATGAAACTGGCGGTGGTGGTGGCGGCGACGCTGGTGCTGTACAATAGATTTCATAAGACTGTGTTCGAATGACTGGCAATGTTAAATTAACTCGATGTATGGGGCGAGTGCGAGCGACCTCCTTTTTCATCGTTATGGTGTTCTTCTTGTCTGCGATGAAAAGCAAACTTGGTATAAAAAAAGAAACTTTGATTACCTTTGCTTTTCTATTGTTCTTCGTTTTATATATGATCAAATAAAACATGTTTCGATTGATCAAGTCTAACGTCAATTTTTCCTCTGAAACCTTTTTTCATATTTGACTTGTCCAATGTTTATTTACAATTTAGATTCACATATCAATAACCATCTTGATCAGTGAACGAAAGAAATTAAGTGAAAAAGAGTCCCTAGTGATTTCTTGTTCATGTTTTTACTACCGCGGTGGTCCGCCTCCAATTAATTCTTTTGTGACCAGCAGCCACTTCCGCTCATTAATTGTACAACACTGGACAGCTGTCTATTTCGTTGGGAGAAGCGAAAGGAAAGCATATCATTCTCTTCGCTTCTCTCAATTAATTCTTCTTGACGAGATTCTTGCCATTTTTATTGGATAGAAAAAGAAGTCCAATGTTATCACTGTCGCTCTGATTACTATTGGATGATATTAGAAAAAGAACAGACAACATAATCAGAAAAATAATCAAATCACACAGCAAGCTGAGATAGAATCGATGAATGATAATAGATTGTCGAAGGTGACGTATGATGCCTCGCTAAGAAAAATATTGACGATTGGATCATAATCAAACAATAACATTGAATCTCATACTTCGAGTTTTTATAATCACTTGCATATTGTTAATGATGATAGCTGATTAGCATTTCTAGATGGATGAAAAAAGTTAGATTTTTTTTGTTCCATTGCTTTCGAACCAAAGTTGCTTGAACGAGAATAGGTCTTGAAGACCTGGAGATAAACTCTGTCTTATACAATATGGTTGCTATCAAGAGATGATATTCAGCCATGCAATTACACTCTCTTATCTCTGTATGTCGTCTCTCGCTCAGACAGTTCGAGAAAAAAGAACAATTTCGAAGTTGTTGGTATTTAGGTAACCTTTAAATAAAAGAACTGTCATCTCATCAGATCGAACCAGGTATTATCTTAATCTCTCATTAGATGTATTCAATGATAACAATCAATGATATACTACTGGTTGATGTTTATACTCAAGCACGCGCATACGTTAGAAAAATAATATCTCTCTCTTTCTCGCTAACTTTTCATCCAATGATAATTCTCAAGAAAATAATGAGATATCTCTCTCTCTTTCTCTCTCTTACTGCGTTTTACTCAGTAGGATATGCAAACGATCATTGTTATACTCTTATTGGTTCTCAATCTTCTATATTAATCAGAATTTATTTCACATCTCAGATCGAATTTTCTCCTTTGGAAACGAAACAATGACTTTTACCGAAAAACCGTTACCGTTTTCAATCGACGATATTCTCAAATACGAGAAATCCAAATCGTCAATCTGTCCGAGTTTTATACCACGATCCTATCCACTTACGTCTTTGATTTCACCAGCATATCTCTCGTTTTCAACGTCGACTAAGCATTTATGTTCCGGTAGGAACGTTGAACAGAGAAAGTCTCTTCTAGTCAATGCACTTTTAGAGCATCGATCAACATCCTGTAATTCAAATTCACACAATTGTCATCTATCAGCATTACCATTAAATTCAAGCTATCCGAGTTTGGATACATTTATTCATCATCGACGTTGCCGACGAACGCGAACAGTTTTCTCTGGTAATCATAGAGAGAGACTTTATATAGGTGTACTCTCTTCTTTCTAGACGCTCAATTGCTTGGTCTGGAAAAACGTTTTGAAACTCAAAAATATCTTTCGACACCTGATCGTATCGAACTAGCTGACATGCTACATTTATCTCAATTACAAGTCAAAACCTGGTATGTACTCGAGATGTTCCACAATCAGCGATATATTATGCCTTTTAGGTATCAAAATCGTCGAATGAAATGGAAGAAACAAGTATGAATCAGCATTTTCATTTCGTCTTTCGTTCTTCTAATTTGAAATCATTTTTAGGTTTTGCAGCAAGGATGCAAAGAAGCACCAACAAAACCAAAAGGTCGTCCGAAAAAGAATTCAATCCCATCCTATGCTGAACTGCAAAGACTTGAAAACGAAAAACAAGCTAGTACTCTAACGGTTTCATCTTCATGTACATCAGACGACGACGAAAACACATCACATTCAATGCACTACTCGGACGATGATGACGATGACGATGATCACGACCAATTCATTGATATCGAACAATAGAACAACAAAATCCGAGTTTATCAGACTATGTTTTCCAGCATTATATACACGTTCATATATTCTATAAATTATTTGATTTTATTCGATTAGTGTTCAATTAACTAGTTGTCTTCAGTTATCTTATAGCTAAGAAAGCATGAAAAATGAGGAAAAACGAAACATTTAGCTTAGAGAAAGTTCATCAGTTTTGTCTATGCATGTTATTGAAGAAAAAAAATGAAGAACTTTTTGTAACAAACGCACTAATTTATATATAAAATATTGCTTTAATCGAAAATTTTTCGCTAATCTATCATCACTTCCAGTTAAGATATCTTTGATACTGCTAACTCCAACGTACATTTGAAATTCATCTATAAATATTATATTCCAAGCACGAGCGGAAGTTTGTGCTTATACACGAATCGAAAACGAAACAGAATCTGTACAAGAAAAACAATGACATGATAAATAAACCATTGTAAAAGGTATCGAACACATTCTAGAGTTAGAAAAATAAAGTCAGATGATGATTTTGTTTCCATTGACTAGATTGATTTCGAGAGATCGAAATGAAAGAAGAAGATCGTTTGATTTTTCTAACAAGATGTCATCACGAGGCAATTGCCGCATAATTTCGTCTGGCCAATGCAATCATCATGGCAATATGCACCGCATTTTTTACAAGCAATCAATGGTTTACATTCACATGTACATTTATAATTCATTGCTCGACTATTGGCTAAGGATGCTGCGAGCGCATCGAATAGTTGTTGTTTGCGTGCTAAATCGGTTCCATTGGGTATTTGCTGAACTTTATGCGTTGGAATTTGTTGTTGAGGAATAAATGTCGTTGTTGATGTGGCTGTTGGCACACGAACAGTGGTAGATATTGCTTGTTGTTGAACGAGATTTCCAATGGTTGTTGTCGAGGATTCTAATGCGTTAGTCGTCGTTGTTGTTGGTGATTCACGGCGGATAAGCTGTTGAAAGAAGACATGCTGTTGAGGTGTTAATGTCGCAGTTGCTGTAGGAAGTAATTTGGCTGGTTGTTGTTGGGGAACGTTGACTACGAAGGCATTCAAACGAGCCTGTAACGTTTGTTGTTGAGGATTACTTAATCCTGACGAATCATTGCGTGCAACAAGTAAAGTCGGACGTGACAATGTCGAATCGTAATTACCTGGAATAAAAATTCATAGAAGATTCTGTTTTGCTGGAGCAAATGCAGGATGAATTTCTTACCAGTGTCCATAGATTGTTGTTGAAAATTGACCTTTGCACCTTGATTTTTTACAACTGCTCTCAAAGCAAGCGCTTGAGCATTCTTTGTAGGTTGAGAAATGTTCGTAGTCAACCAGCTCGATGTGGATTCATTGTTAGTTTTTTTATTCGTTGCTGGTGCAATTGGTGAATAAGATGTCGTCGATGGTTGATGCTTGACAGGCGATGCAAGAACGATATGCATTGGTTCAGCGAATTCACCGTTGGTTTTGATTAAAATTTGTTGTAACGATTCGCCATCGAGAATCGGCTTCTTCACTTTTTTGCCTTTCAGAATTGCTCCACTTTCTTTTTTGACACGCGGTGATGCATTAGCTGATTTCGTACCCTTCTTTTTTGGTGTGCTAACCGGTGATGTCGTGATGGAAGATGCTGGAATTGTTGTTAGCATCATCGTATTTATGCTCGGTAATGATGCTGTAGGATCAGAAGAGAGAAATGCCAAGAGATCATCGGATGAAGACTGATATTTAACTGGTGACACTAAAAGCAAAGAGATTTCTCGTTTAGGGAAAGTTTCCGGTAAATATAATTGCTGATGAACTTCTTTCTCGTTCGATAGAAACTCACATGTTTCGGTGGAATGAAGGGTTTGATTTTGAGACGAATCACTTTGAAACTCCTGTTTGATGTGGGTGGTGATATTTTCTACGATCATTGTTGTCTGTGAATCGACTTGATGCGCTTGTCCAACGGATTTGAGTTCTTGCAGAATACTATCGAAATCAAGAGATATTTGAGAGTTTGAATCGATCGGCTGCTGTTGTTGTTGTTGACGATGAAGATGTTGCTGCGAATTCGGTTGTGAGCTTGAGTGAACTGCTGCTGACGCACTTATGTTGTCGAGCATAGACTCAGTAAACGGATCAAATGTTTCAGAAAACTCGTCAAACAATGAGTGTGAGGTAGAACTCTGCTGTTGCTTGCGATTATCGGTATTCTATAGAGAGAAAAGAAAAGCCATATTTGATATCAATAGAATGTCATTTTTTCTTCTTCTTCTTCTTCTTCAATATGTTTGAAAAAAGTGTAGTGCAACAAACCTACACACATACGATCGATCATCAATTTTCTTCTTTTCTTCGTTATATATTGTGAGTTCATTCGAATCACATTCAGCTCTATTCTCTTTTTTTTCTGTTCTTCATTCTTTTCTCGTCCCATCTTCCGTTCTCTTTTGCCGCGTTCGTTCTCAATGTCAGAAGCGTATACGATAGTCAGTCGGTTCGACGTCGTCGTCGTCTTTTTGTTGTAACGATTAAACACAGTTTAACATTTCTCTACTACACATATATGGGTATTCTTAGCTGCTGGATCGTCGGTGTCGACAAAACATGACGAGAGGACACAAGCATGCGAGGCATATACGACTCATGATTAAGTTCAGTGTTCACTTTTCTTTCTTCGCTCTTTTTTTCTTTCTGTGATTAGCAGTAAGTCTTTGAGAACAAAAATAAGAATAATATATGACACTGATATGCGATAAAATAGAGAATAAGAACGACAAGCAGCATTAATAGTGAGAATGCAGAGACGATTTCAATGACTTGTACTAGTGATGGAAATAATGAGAGAAGAGAATTCTAATCATGACGATGATGTATTTCAAAAGCTGAAAACAAAAGAAAAGCTACTTGTGTATTTATATCCTTGTTTTTCTTTCTTTCTCGTTTTTCCTAGACTGAATGGGACCAGTGTTGTGACTGACGGTGCACCATGTCCTGTTTATTTTTTCTTTTTCTCTTCTCGTCAACACGAAAGTGCTCATAGAAGTGATTTTTCTTCGTTTTATCTCATCTCGGCCTCACATTGCAAACGATAAACATGAAGGTATTTTTGACTTAGTAATCTTCACGCGTTTTACATATAGACTAACCGTCAATACTCGTCCAGAGAATCAGGATAAGTAAGAAGACAATCGCAGTTTCACTGAAACAAGATTTGAATAGAAAGAAAGAACTGAAGAGAGCGTAAGAAGAATAATAAGGCGTGTGTGTAAACTTGTCCGCGAAGAGTGAAAGTTTCTTTCAACAAAAAAATACATATGTCGAAATTCGAGAGAACAAGAGAAAACTGATGGCGACAAAACATACCAAAAGAAAAGAATTAGTTGACGATTGATTTGCCAGGAAAGATGCAGGTAAGATTATATTTGATGTTGGATATTGTTGAGTGTTGGTTGAAATTACCGATTGACTGATAGTGGGAGATGACCTAAATAAAGTTTCAAAGGTGAACTTTGCTATTCTGTGTAAGTATATAACAATCATTTCGAAATAGTCGAACCTTGTCAATAGTTAATAAAAAGTAATTTTATTGGTGGTAACGAAAACGTCACATGAATACACATAGGTATCTATAGACAGTCATAACTCTGCGTTAACAGCTGCGTACGAAAACTAATGGCGAGATTTTATCCTTTGATCGTATAATTGATAAAGTCATATTTAGAAGGCAAGTTTTTCTCTCAATTTGACTTTATCTAACGCTTTGATCTGATTTCACAAGCGCGTGATTGCCTAAGATCAATCTCAGAACATTTCTTAGAACAGATTTCGTTCTACTTTCATCGTAACTATACCGAGGCAACGTGAAGTAGATGAACTGGACACAGAAGAAATCGACTTACATTGTTCGATGAATGGGTTCATTGTGTAATCTAGATTCAGTTTTAATGCTATTTAATGCTGGACTACCAGGAGAATTATCTAAAGAAAAGTAAGCAGTCATTTGGTTTTGATTTTTCGTTGTTAGTGTTGACTTACTTATCGTCGATGAAACGGAATTTGAAGCTGCTAAAGCAGAAGCTAAAATGAAATCAAGATTCTTTTAAAGAAAAAAGACATAGTTATGTTTTCAAGCAAACCTTTTCGTTTCAAAGCAAGTTGTTCTCTTATCTGAGCTAAAGTACGCGTTTGTTGAACAGCTTGTGCTGGTTTAGCCGGTGTTTCGATGATGCTGTTTTGTTCATTTTCGTTCGTTTGCATTTCGTATGTTGGTGAAACGATTTTTCGATTTGATTCTTCGGATATACGATTATCCATCTCATCAAGCGATGTATTTTCCAGTAAATCAATTGTTATCAGTGATGTTGATTTCGAGATTATTTTCTCGTCGAAATGAAAGTCAAAGTTGTTCGTTCATTCGAACAAAACATTGATTGAATTTGTTTATATTCTTCATCATTTTGAGACAATAGAATACAAATAAATAATACCATCAGTATTCATCGCTAAACCAATCAGAGAGGAGAACGCATTATGTTTAAAACACTTATGCATTTGTACTGTAATGTACTGTTTTAGATTAGATGGAAGATGTCAATGAAGATGGTTGTTTTTTCTTCTGTTGGAGAACAAAAACTGAGCGCTGAAAATTGATTTCGAAAGATATTCGAATTGAGAAATTTTCATCGGTTTATAGATTTGCATTTTCCTCGAACGAATTCATTATGACGACAAAAGGTGGTCGAAATCGTAACGGTGGTGGTTATTCCGACGACGACGATGATTCGCATAACAAATCTCAACAACATCAGCGTTCATCATCGTCTCGTCATCATCATCATTACCGTCATCATCATCGTAGTGACCGTCGGTACGTTCAACAACCAAATCAATCTTTCCAACAACAATCCTACGATCCGAATAAACGTCGAAAATTAGGCGGTCTCAATGATGAGGAATTAACAGAAGATAAACTACAAATAGCTTTGTTCACATTAGGACAAAAGATTGATTCAACACTCGAACAAACTCTACGTGATCTTTGTACAACTCTTTGCAACGATCTATCGAAACATAAGAAAACCATTTTCGATATTCTCAATCAATGTATACAACTAGTACCCGAACGTGTAACCATCTATTCAACATTAGTTGGTCTGTTACATGCATCTGTGATTACATTTGGCTCGGATTTTCTTGATACATGTGTCAGTGCATTCAAGGAGAGTTTATTATCGTACAAATTCGAAATCATTCAACGTTACATCCGCTTCTTCTCGGATCTTGTCAATGTCAAACTTCTCTCACCATCTTCAATCTTAGCATTGTACGATACATTAATTGAAGCTGCCACAGAAACCAATATACCGCAAGTTCGAACGGATTTTTTTGTCTCATGCGTTTTAATTGCTCTACCCTATTCGGGTAAAATTCTGTCGGAAAAAAACAACACAGAACTAAGCCGGTTACTCTATACCATTGATAAATACATCTATAATCGATCGAAAATTCATACGCCAATCCTTCAAGTTTGGTCATCGATGGAACCGCATCCTCAAGAAGAATATCTCGATTGTTTACTAGCACAAATCAAACGTTTAAATCAAGATGAATGGGCAGAATCGCAAATCTTTCGGCCGTATTATTCCTATGCAGATACGTTATTTAGCGATGTATCTGCCTCGATCGTACATGATCTGCCAACGTTAAATATTCCTGAACATCGAGATGGAATCATCTATCCACCACCGAAGATTGTTTTTCGCATGTTTGACTATACCGACGTACCTGAAGAATTTGTTTTACCAGGTGCACATGCCATCGAACGATACCTGATCGAAGATGAAATATCTAATATTTTGCATACATATCATACCGAGAGAAAAGATTGTGCGGTGCAATTGACGCAGATTCGCTCGAACAATAAAATACCATTGAATTATATGATTGTAGAGGTAGGAAAAGAATTTCGAAAGAGTGAAATTTTGCATGTTTTGTTCGTCGTTCTAGGTGATTTTTGGTCATTTGTTTATGTTACCACGTCCGCATCATTTAGAATTATTCTATGGTTCACTGTTACTTGAATTATGCAAACTACAACCATCGACATTGCCACCGGTGTTAGTTCAAGCGGTTGAAATGATCTTCGAACGTTTAAATACGATGAAAACTGCCTGTATTGAACGTTTTGTCAAATGGTTTTCTTATCATTTATCAAATTTTCAATTCACATGGGCATGGCAAGATTGGATTGACTGTTTAGATGAAAATCCTGAATCGCCCAAGATCAAATTCATTCGCGAAACATTACAACGTTGCATGCGACTCTCTTTTCATCAACGTGTTATCGAAATTGTTCCCGAACAATTCTATAAACTCGTACCAAATAAACCATCACCAGTGTTCAAATTCGAAGAAAATGATGCACCTGTTTTCGGTTCGGAATACGCTCAATTACTGGTGAAAAAGATCAAAGAACGAGCTCCGGCGGAAGATATTCTTCGCATATTAAACACAGTTCCAAGCCCGTCGAAAGACGATTCGAGTCTGGTTACACCGTCGTCATCAACAGTCACTCAATCATCGAACGAATTGACTTATACTATGGTACAAATTGACATATTTGTCTCTTCACTTCTTTGGGTCGGATCAAAATCATTTACACATTCGTTTGCAGCTTTGGCTAAATATCATCAATTGTTCAAAATTCTTATTGAAAGTGAAGAACAACAGATTCAAGTACTCAAATCCATGTATGAAGTCTGGCCAAATCATCAACAGGTGGGTGTAGCAGAAGAGTAGAGCCTTGTTTGTCATAAGAGTGTTGATTTGTATTGATTACTTTAGATGATGGTGGTTTTGGTCGATAAATTAGTTAAAACACAAATTGTTGAATGCTCGGCAGTTGCCAATTGGATATTTTCCAGTGAACTGGGTACTGAATTAACGAACTTCTACATTTGGGAGATTCTATCGTCGACTATTGAGAAAATGAATCGACAAGTGGAAAAACATCATAATGAATTATTAGACTTACGTCGTCAGTTGAATATTTCTACAACTGTTCAATTGGCATCGAGTGCATCGTTACAGGCAGATTCAATGCCAACTGAGGCAGCAACTGCTTCTTCAATCGATGAGAAGCCTTCGGACGATGCTAAAATGGATGAAGGTGAAACATCAAACAATGACGAAGAAAAGTCGAAATCGAGCAGTTTAAAACGACGACGAGAAAGTGACGACGATGAAGATGATGATAACGAGCGCAAAGATTCAGCTGAAAAAATGCAAATCTCACAGCCACCCATAGATGAAGCCACAGCTAAATTACAGGAAAAATACGAAATGGTTGAAGAACGTCTATCTCATGCGCGTGAACAACAAAAGTAATAAAGAAATTCTTGTTTCTCTAATAATATCATGCGTGTTTGTTTTCTAGGAAACTTTATCTCATTGTATTTCAACGTTTTATTATGACATTGAGTGACTTTCTGAATGAATGCGAAACCAAAAATGTTGATCCTGTGTCAACACCCTGGCTTAAATGGATCATGGAACGCTTGCAAGAAATCTTTCTTCTGTACCATGAACAAGTGTTCCAATATGTTTCTACATTTGAATCATTGATTTTCACATCGGATATTGACTTTTCCATACTGGAAGTATTCCAACAATTCTGTGCTCTACGTGCTTAGAAACACCACATATGAACATACAAATTGACATTCTTGTTCTTCTTTTCTCTTCTTTGTTTTGTTATTGTCTTTCGATGTTATGTGTTCAAACGAGATAGGAAAATATCAAAATATAACTTGTGTATATGATGCACTCAAATAAACAATCATTGTTCATATCCTTTCTCATCAGACACAATGTAAAGCCAAGTCTTTGAAATCAAATCCAATCAATGAAAAGTTATCTGATGGTAACTCAATCTGTTGATCAAATGTCTGTCTGCGACTAACCGATGAGGAAGACAAGATGGAATAACTAGCAACAGATTTGTTAAGATTACACAGTCAGGAAATAATTAGATCTATCATCTTTCTTTATCCATGTAACTAAGTCTAACCTAGAACAAACCGTCGTTTTCATTTTCAATTGCATGAAATCTATGAGCCATCACCATGTATAGTATCTTCTACCGAAAAATAACAAAGAATTCATTTCGCATTTTCCCTAGAACTAGAAAAGTCAACATACATACCTAATTTGTAAACTTCGTGATTGATCTAACTCTATTACATACGTTTATTAACCAATGACATTCCTATGACTAAATAGAAGAACCTTGTCTATCACAGATACATTCTTTTTATCATCCAGTCTTGTTACATCATCTGATTTGTGCAAGAATATCTTGTATATCAATGTTTTCAACTAACAGATAAGGGTTTTGCTGTATTATCATTCTGTTGAGAGATGTCGATTGAATGTACTTAGGATTTTCTGAAAATTTATTGATTTGCTTTTTATCTCGTTAAGAGAATAGAATAACGATATATGTGTACACATATAGAGAGAGAAAGAGAAAGACACGCATATACAATGAAATGAAAAACAGCAAAGGCGGTTTTTTTGTGTACCTAGACAAATATCTTTCTATCATCCGTCGACGACGATGATGAAGATGACGTTGCTGGTGAATGTGTTGACGATGACATAATAACATGATTATGTGTCGTATCAGACTTAGTCGAAAGACGAATAACTTCAAGTTGAGGATGATGACGTTCATTGTTAGTAACTGATGATAACGGTGTATGCATATCTTTAGATTTTTTGCCATTACATTTCAATCGACGATGAAGGCGATAAGCTAGATCGAATACTTGACCAAATGTTAACATGATCTAGAATAGTACAACCGATGATATATTGATCAGAGAATGCAAAATCGATTACCTCAGTAGACATTGCTTCGCTCTTAACAACGAATACATGACAATAATGATGATAATCGCCACCAATTGACAGAGTAGGCGATGGAGGTAACGGATGTTTATTGTCAGCAGTTGAAGCAATTGTAGTGTGGGAATTTGTGTGAGACATTCCATTGGTCAATCGATGTTCACGTGTAACATAGGCAAAATAACGTAAATCAGGATCTTGACATGCACAATGGATCGATCTGATATCGTGAAAGCAAATCACCAAACGATCTTTGGTATGTTTTAAAAATTCGACACCACGAGATGAAATACTAAGACCAATGATTGGAAGAACGCGTGCATATTGAGTTGACTGCTTCAATCTTGTGATTGCTTGAGACGGAATGGCTGTTGTATCATCGGATGACATTTTGATCGCTGTTGAACCTAGTACAACAGATAGAATTTCTTTTTCTCATTTCATTTGACTTTTCTCTTCAAAGACTACGCAAATACATTTGTATTTATTCTTAGTCTAATACGATAATCTACTCAAAATTCACATCCTGTATTCTCGCGCAAGAAAGGTCTCATAGTGACCTTCGTTTAATACTTAGTTAACGTGTTTGCGGTAATTTCATAAGACTTCTCACCAAGCTTACCTAAGTAATTAACCCAATAAATACACGCTTGTTCGCCAAGTAATCTTTCGCGTACATGCGGCCATCTATATGGTGAGTCGGTCTGATGTTGCACAGTCAAATGTGCCGGTATCTCGATATCATTAGTTAATGTTGTTTCATCTGCTGTCGAAGGTACTGAGAAGGCAATAACAGGCATTTTAGGCTTTTTCTCCAGAGAGTCAGTTTGTATCGATGCGGATGATGAGGATAAACTGGTCGACGAGATCGCTCGTTTAACGCAAGAGTTGGAATTGAGTGATTCATTGAACATTGTTTGAACACCTTTTTCTTCGGATGATGTAGTTGATAGACCATCATCAAGATTATTCAATGATTTACCAGTCATTGTACACATTGAAATTTTCACTGTGGACATATCAAATATTTGTTCGAGCTTTTTAGGTGACTGCTGTTGTTTACAATCATAAAATGGATCTTCTACGGATGCAGACAACGATTGTTGCCGTTGCTGATGTTGAAGTAGAGATATACTCGAATGGCACTGACGACGTATACGAATCGCTTCAGCATGATCTCGTAATATAACTGTCGATGATGACGACGGCGACGATGATGATGATGAATGAGAGGAAGATATAGTAGCCGTTGGAACAGTCGAAGAAGATATTAGTTCTTGTTGTTTGGTCTCATCGTCTTTCTCTCCTGTAATAACATTCATAGTTGATGGAGGCATGACAGACGCCTGCTCACTGTTGTTATTCTCGTTAGGTAATAATGATGAGACTGAACGAAAGAAAAGAAACAAATTGTTAAGCTATTAGTTTGAATAGAATGTATATATATATATATGTACATCTATCTAATGATTGACATGATCAAATGGAATAGATCATTTCTCTTACTCTTACCTTTATCTTCAGCCTCGATTTCATCATCATTATCGTTCTGATTCACTCTACATTCATCAATACTCGCCAGTGGTTGAGTAGATGATACAATTTCATGTTGATCAATATTATTCATCGTCGACGAGATTGGCTTCGCCCAATAATGATTCGACGACGTTACTGATGATGATTTAATTAGTTGATAATCGTCTGTTGAACTTTCGTCAGTTGAACAACCAGCTAATTGAATACAGATTGAATTATGTTGATTTATATAATCGTTGTTGTTGTTGTTATTATTATTATTTTGATTTAGTAAGGACTGTAGATGTTTCTGAGGACATACCATAGAATTCGAACGTTTGAGAAGAATAATACCGATATTTTTATTGTTAGTTTCTATGGATGATTGATGAGTAAAAACGGGTCGATTCGAAGCTACAGGTACTCGATAATTAGTTGACTGCGAGCTAATATCTAATTGTGATGAATAGTTTTTTCGCCGAAATAAATTTGCTCGATGTTTAAGACGATTAAATGGTTCAACGAGTTTCTTGCTCGTAGATAACGGAACTGGTAGGGCCTAAAATGTATTCGAAAAAAAAAATCATGCATCACTTATTTAACGTGCGCAATTGTATGATAGAGCAGTTTGATACACTATGTAGAACGTGTTCGGGGTACTTGTACGTACTACATGCATATGAGAAGAACAATGATAGGGAGCATGCGCACCAAAAAAGACAGAAAAAGGGAGAGAGCCGTAGAAGGTTATCTTTTATGACACGCGCACATATTTGTACGGTGATTTTGCCAGCGCTCCACCCTTCTCTGCTGCTCTCATCTCAGGGCTCAACATACACACGTATAAGAAGTGAAGGCAAGCTGAAGAGACGATGAAAGATGGATCGTCAACGTCTCCTTTTTTCTCTTTCTATCATATACATATATACATATATGTGTGTATATATATATATATATTTATATATGAACAGTCGACCTTGGCAGTACATGCAATTGATGCTTCTTATTTCTCTAGAGAAAAGAGACACACGGATGGTATGATACATACCATATCGATTAGGTGAATGATTTATCGAAATCGAATAATTCGTTTTGGTAGCGGAACATAATGTTCGATGATCGTAATGATTTAGTGTGTTAAAAGGATCTACTGAAGTGTCGGCTTTTTTATCATCTTTCTTTCATAAAACAGTACCTAATGTCTATTTACAAGTTACATATTTATCTGTTTCAAATAAAGAAAGAAAAGATCAATATTAAACCACACCAATCGAACTTAAGCAATACTGTCCTAATAAAAAACATCAATTTCTTAGCAGAACATACCTTGTTAATTGGTCCACATGTTGTTCTATTCAATTCAGTGCACGATGCCATTTGAAAGAGAGATCTTAAAGAAAAAGAATAACAAAATGATTGACTATGATCTATTTCAATGTATATAGAATAACAATTCTATTCTATTGACACACATATCGATCCAGGAACAATTTTTGATTCTGTTTTTCTCTGTCCACATTGAAATATGATTCAAATAGATCTGCTATTGATCATGTTCGAATACAATAAAGTTTATGCTGAAAAATATGCGAAAAGTATGGTGAATATATCGACGAAAAATGTGCAAACGAAAAAAAAAGAAACACAAGTGATGTCTAGATCGTACATCAACGTCTAATACGAGAAATATAGCAAAGCAGAACAAGATTTGGTTTCGGCAGAGTTCTCTCATTTTTTTTCCTTCCTAAGATACCCTCTGTCTAGACATATCAACAACAAATGTAAATCTATGAGTTTCAAGCACGTAAGAACGAAGATGATGCTATTTGAATCACATAGTTTCGTTTTTCTCTTCTTCTTCTTCTCTTTTCTCTCCTCCTCTCGTCTTATATAGATGTTCTCCTGTGTATATTTATTTTAAAAGATACTTGAGAAGGCGACGTTTAGTTTTGTCTTCGCTGAACAGTGTCTATCTCATTTGCTTTGGATTAATGAACAAAAAAAACTGATGACCAGCAACAATCACAAGAGTTCGAACAGCTCACTGAAGGAATTCTATCATCATCAGATTAAACAGATAAAACATATATAAACAATGAGTAAAATCAGTTAGAAGAAGAAATCCTTCTAATCGCAGAAAATCAAATTTGATTATATCATCGCATTCATTCCTAACAAAATTGAACAGTGTCATTCATACACGTGATGGGATGGATGGGTGGATGTACACATCAATGCATATCCATGAAATAAACAAATAACAAAATATTACATCTTCGCGATTCGATCATATCAGTTCTATGTAGGCGATTGAATGTATCAGCAGAAAAATAGATCTAAACTTGATTTTTTTATGCGCATTAATCGGTCGTGTGACTGTTGATTTGTTTCTTATTAATTAATTAAAAAACGAAAAAAGAACAAACAACTGGAAAGAAATTTGATTGATATCAGATAACGATCTGCCCAAAATAACTCGCTATTGCGTTCGATAAATCGATGTTAAATTTCATTTCAAATGTCTGTTTTTCTGATTAATGTCAAAAGCTTTTGCCAGTACCCGTGAAGGACTGAAATGAAATCATTACGAAAATCAATGTTGAAATAAAACCTTTCGTCTTATGTTAATCAAGAATTACCGATCAATCAAATTTCGAAGGATAAGTTGAAAGATTGGAATAAATCAATTTCGAATTAGCATTGCATTTCTAAATCCATTAAATCAAGTTTTTTTTAAAATTCCATATGCAAAAGAAAAAGCGTTTACACACACGCACACACAAAGAAATGAATACAGTACATTCACTCTAAAAAAACACATTGTTAACACTCAGTTGTTGCCTGTATATCTGTAGTTGTGTTATTGGTCAAAGCTGGCGAGTCAGGTTGTTCCTGTTCCTGCTGCTGTTGACGTGATTGATTCTCATCATCGATCAAGTTTTGACCAGGTTCATTTCCTATCGTAGCATCGATATTCTTATAAACAATTGCCGAAGGTGATGATGGCGTAATCAATGCTTGTGATTGACTTTTATTGCCTATGAGTTGACCACTATGAATACTACTTAGCATTTCCGATGAAGCATAACGTGGCGCAGTGACCTGTTGATGATGAATCGTGGGTGAATTGAAATGTTTTTGTTGTTCAACGATTTTCTTCTTCTTTTGTCGCCGTTTGAATACTGCTTTCAAACGATACCAAAGAATGACAAGTATGATCGCGGCTACTGTAATAGCTAGCAAAGTGCCCAGCACAGTAAACAGCTTTTTGGTGTTATTCGCAGATGTTTTTGGAGGTTTTGTATATTTGTAGTACCTGAAAGGAATAGATTATTAAATAAATGATCGAAGATAGTAAATCAAACCATGGTGTAGTTATAGTTGTTGTTGGACGTTCAGTTGTTGTTGATGAGGTTGTTTCGGTTGTTGATGTCGTTTCAGTGGTTGTTGTTGTTGGAGTTTCGGTTATCGTCGTGGTTGTTACAGTTGTCACTGTCGTTGTCGTGGTCGTTGTCATTGCATCGCAATCGAGAAACATTAGCTTGTAGTCACATTTATCTTCTAGCCCACGAAGGATGAAATCATTGGTGTTCAGAAGGTCATTTTCACGAGAAGAGTGTTCATAGAAAGAGGATGTTTCGTTGAAAATGCAACTCGGTGTTAACCGTAAATAATTCGTATGATACTTGGTTGGCGAATAGACGGGATTTTCATCTTCGTTGGGATTGTGATATAGATAATGAACATTACACGCACACGAATATTGCCGCGGTGAGTGAAATATTGTTTGATTCGTACGTGAAAGTAAACAGAAAGCCACATCGCTCAAATCAAAACTAGAGAACAAACGAAATATCCATTTAATTACTGTCAAAGTAAACCTTGATGTTATTTCGAGATTTGTCTTGGTATGTTATTATTAGTGCTATTCATTTTCTCTATCAGACACAATCAATCAAAAATACATATTCCATTCGGAAAATAAGTTTCTTTTGTTATCAACAAAACAAATATGTTGATGGAAACTATTTTGACAATTGTCGTTTACTCTCCTTCGCTCGCGCGTCGAGATTTATTGATTTCAATCTCCATTCATAGGTATTTTCTGTCTTGCTGACAGGCTTAAACTTCATACATTCGATGAATAGTTCTTTATCTATGTTTCTTTTGTCGAATGTCATTCTCATTCAGTCAGTCATTGTCAGTAATCATCACACACTCTCAATGAAACTCATATCCTGTGCAAAGCACTCCTTGACAAGAGAGAATAAAAAACCATATTCTCTATACATCTATACAACAGGAGAATGACTGCTTGTTAAATTGTCTCTTAATCATAAAATACTAGGCAAGATATCTATTAGCTAACCAATAAAGCAAGTCCTTGTGATGTAAACGAACGGAAAATACTTATGTCATAAGTAATAAACATCGAATCAAGAGATGACACGTTTGTTTTGTTAGGTTTTACTGCATGTAATAGCAACTGATCTTTTCATCAAGTCAAGACAAGGTTAATTTCTCTTCAAACTTACTCAGTTTTGAGCAGATAATTCACATGTAAATTAGCTAAATTCCACAGCCAATAGGAATTGAACGGATCGAGATTTCTCATCAATTGTACGCTGTGTAAGTAGATTTGTTTTAACTGAGTTAAATTATTAAAAGCACTGGATTCAATGAATTTCAGTGGATTGTTATTTAAACGTAAAGTATGAAGATTAGTTAAATATTGAAACGTGTAATTCGTTAGTTTCTCAATTTGATTATAACTTAAATCTAATTCATGGAGTTGATTCAAATGATGAAAATGTTTCCATGTGAGACTTTCGATCGAATTGTTAGCTAAGGATAAATTAGTTAATGAATAGAGATTCGCAAACGCATACGCTGAAAGATATTGAATACGATTATATGTTAATATTAACCGTCCTTCGAAGTACTGCAAATGCCGAAATGCATAGGCATTAATTGATTTGATTGAATTATAACTTAATTCAATTTGATCGGTTTGACTGTAATCGAGATTATTTGGAAAATAGTATTCGGTTAAATTCGTGGTGTTAATACTGGAAAGGATGGTATAGATTGTGATGTAGACTGGCAAATTGTTTGCAGTAACATCCATGGTGACGGTTTTCTCAGGTAGTTGAGAAGAATTTTCATCGCTGGATTCGATTAGCCGCCGAGATGTTTTCGCTTTCTTCTGCCGATGGATTTTTAATGAGCGCGATGGTGGACTGCTGGTTTGATAGGATGAACTACTACCAGTAGTAGTTAACATGAAATCGTATTCGAGAAAATTATCGGGTTGATGTTCATTGGGAAGATTGGTTTCGTTGTGTTGATCCAGAAGAAGTCTTTGATTGGTAAACCCATGAAATTTCGAGGCTTGAATGATAAATGTGTAGATTCTCGAGTTCGAGAGGATGATTTCCGAGATTGGACTTTGAAAGTCAACCAGTTTTATGTATATATTCGTAATCGTTGTTCCATAGAAAACTTTGCCGTTTAATTGGAAATTTAATGTACCATACGTATCCATATGTGATATAGCTAATTGACCGATGTAAGCATTAGTGAAAGCATGATCATTGATGAGAAGATTTTGAACATTGAAACGTACTGTTCGAGCTCGAATATTAGCGAATGCGAATCTATGTATAGTTAAATTGTCGTTGGGTGTTTCAAATGCTAAACGATCGTACGGGACGATTGCCCATTGATAATCCGTTGTTATTCGAGATAATTGACGGCATCGTAGACGCGTTTCATTCAATGATGAGATCGGTACACCACGTGTACGTTGACAATGGCAATCACGTGGAAGTCTCAATAATTCACAAGCAGTTTTGAAATTGAGTGATGAAGTGATATTTGTCGGGAGGAGAACGAAGAGCAGTAGAAAACGAAGAAGAGAGTGACTAGAAGAAAAGAAAGTCATATGATTGTATTTTGGGATTTGTTCATCGAGGACGTTCGATGAAAGTGTCTAGTTTTTCTGTGTGCACATGTACTCGAAGATGAACTTAGTTAATTTGAATATGTGTGTGTACACAACGAGTCAAAACATGTTGTTGATCGTATCAACAAAATCTACAATTTCATCGAACATGAAGAGAAAAAGAAGCCGATGTTTCTTTTCATGGTTGCCGACGTCTAAACTGTACGATCCGAAACGATCATTTCATCCTATCTCGATTGCATATCATTCAACAGATATATGTCAATAAGATACATACCCGATCATATTCTTGAAACTTGATGGAATGTATAATAACAGAAGAAATAGATAATCGTTTTCTTGAATAGTATTTAATGAATACGAATCAATTTGATGAACAGACGGTATACATGTATTCACATGTGGAAAATAAATTTGTTCATTGAATGTCTATCTTACAGTCAGTCGATTTCACGTATGCAAAGAAGAAGAAGGAAGGCGGGTGAGAATAATCAAGGAAGCGAGAGTACCGTTGTTGTTTAGATTATCGACGCTCAATAGAATAACCACAATTCGCCGCATCGATCATCTTTACAGCTCTATTATAAGCGCACACGCACAACATACACACATCTATTTAGAATATAGAGAGAGAAATCAACGACGAGCATTGATGAGTGACAAACGTAACCAGACACACATTGTTGAATGCTGGGTTCGAGCAAACTAAATAAAAAAAATGAGCGGATAGCAGGTTACGAAAAAGCTAAAAGAGGAAACTCTCTTTCTTTTTTCTCTTTTGTCTCTAACACTGTTCCTGTATGACACAAAACTCTTTTGCGGAAATGGCAAGCACCTATACGTTCTAAGTGAGTAGACAGAACTTTGATCAAGAGCATTGGAAGTGAATGCTCGTCTGCGGTTCTGCTTGAGAAAATGGAGAGAGAGAGAGAGAGAGAAAGAGAAACTCGATTATTCAATATGTGATTGTCCTTGTAGTGTCATTATTTACCTGTTATCTTATTAATACAAATCAACTTGTTTCTGTATTTAATGTTCAGACATAAGTTGTCGCTTTTTTGTCTTATTATTCATGTTATTCTGACTATCGTACTAGTGCATTGTATGCAAACTATTATCAAGATTGCTTAACGATGCGAAAGAATGCCACATTGCCTACTTGTCATCGGCATCGGCTTTTTCTGAGTTTTTCTGAATCATCAACCGAAGAGAGAGAGAGAGAAAGAAATACGGCAAGACTTTGGCAAAGAAACCTAAACGAGGAGCAACGAAAGACATTGTCGATCGTCTCCTCTCTCTTCTCTCTCTCTCTCCCTTTTCTTTTTGTTCTTCTATCTGCCAAGATTAACAATTCGGCCTTCTACGATTAATTAGTAAATGCTTGTGGTCTTTACCGCTATTCCATCATCACTACTACCATCATCATCATTACTGCAAATCATTTTCTTCTTTCTTATTAATGATATGATTTGTTTTTATTCGATATGTTGTCTCATTCATGTTCAATTAATAAAAAGTTCCGATATTTGAACATTAACATGCATATTGGAACGATTGACTATTATCAGCATTTATAAAAAAATAATAGTACACGTAAACATACAATCATATCATCAAGAACGAGAAAAATCAACAAATGTCAATAAGCTTGAGATGCCAAAAGGCTTTTTATGTTGTTTTTCCATGTACTTGTTCATTATCAACTAGCATAAAACATCTCCAATGATTAGTTCGATCAGTTGATGTGTTAATAATTCATCGAACAAGGCTCTGATCCGAAGAAGTTCGATTTCGTCGTCGTCAAGCAGATTCAATTGAAAAGGACAAATCATTTGTCTTCGCAGCTCGAGTTCGAAATAATCGTTTTCTTCTCGCTCTTATTCAAGTATCATTAAGGGAAGAAAAAACAGCACGTCAAATCGACTATAAACGTCATAAAGAGAAAGACAAATGTACGCCGGAAGAACAGTTCTTTTCGTTCTTTCTTGACTTCTTCAGGCGTCTTTAAAACATAGCATGCATGAAATCCCTTGATACAGAAACAATTGCTTGGCTCAGAAGAAGAAAACGAGCTAATCAACAGAGTCTTTTGTTTGCTCTTCGAACAAAACAGTACATAATAGAGAAGAACAAACTTTGGGGATCTTATCTAACTTTGTCAAGATGTATTATCAATAGGATTTTGACTATTATTGATTAAACTGGTATGAATAGAATGCCGAAACAAAAATGAGAAGAAGAAATAGACGGTTTCTTTGTTTACATATGCTTGTACAAATATTTGTATGTCGTCATTTGATGATGAGAAAAGAAAAACAAGCAGCAACGGATAGACCAAGATCGAGTCTCTTCGAAATGATTTAATCGGAATCGATTTTCTGAGAACAGATCCGAGCATTATTTAATGATTCAATTAGTACAAGAAGAATTTTTCTCGAAATGAAATTAGCATTTGACACAATCGATCTGGGTTCGTTCTCTTCGCATGTGAACACCTTCTTACAGACTGCTATCGCATATTCTTCGTATCATTCATTAGACGATCAATTGTTCTTGTTTTGTCCTTAGGCAATAATCATAAGAGCAGTTGCAGTAAAGATGTTTATAATAATAATAACTCCAGCATAACAAATATATATAGATTCGATTTGAAATATAATCAAACAGATTGAGAGAAGATTAATCCTGACAGCTTTCTATTCTCTATCTTGAGAAGTCATTAATTCTTTTTTTAGCAACGACGATGATGAAATATAAAACTAAATCATGTGCGTTTCTTTTTCCATCTGACAATGTTCATCTTCTAATTGTTAAAGCAGTTATTTCTTTAGTTCATTGGACGTTTTCTGCTTAACTTCTTTTGTATATAGGCGATAAGTTTAGTCATCGCCTGACATTGGTTTCTAAGAATCAAGCGCAAGAATTAGACGTAGCAAGGACGTCGAGAGATGTCTTTGCGTGGTTTATCAAATGCATCGCTAATGAACGTTTATAATCTCACTTACGCATTCTAATTTGCGAAGATTATGTGCTCATTTCGAAACAATCCTCAAGTCAAATCGATTGATACAAACAAAAGGAGATTTCCTGCACATCGATGCTGAGCTTAGATTGATTAGATGAATAATGATTGATTGATTATATTAACGAATGAAATGAGTCATATTCGATGTGTATTATTAATAAGTAATGATGAATTAAAGACTATTCTTAGCAATGAGTCCTTGTGATCTGATCTATCTGTCTAATGTCAATGAGCGTTTCAGGTTTGATAAATGTTGCGCAAATGTTCGGTAAGCTTTGACACAGCAGGTCTGCAGAAATATGTTACACTTGTTTGTACGACGCAGCGACCTGGACAATAAATGACGCGTGGTACGCATGCTAATAGATAAGACCAAACGTTTCTGCATGACACTCAAACCAATCTTCTGATTCCATCGTTGTACTTGTGATAGTGCTTTCAGTGACTAGCCTAACCGTAGTTTTGTTTTTCTCCATGATATATTATTCAGTCCTCGTAACCAGACCTATTGACAAATCTATTACAACAAGAGCAATAGAATATGCACTGAATTCCAAACAAAGTAATAGCAAATAATGGAGAACATTGAGTTGGATTTTTCATTTACCTTCACTCGAGTCCGACATTCTACAAGAATGTTTTTTAATTATATGACGTATTCGATCTATCATATCGGTGATGAGTAAAAGTACAAAGTATAAATTTATGCTAAATTACCATCCCAGTCAATTTGTTACTTTATTTCATAGAATAGTTTGGTCACCTGTAAGTATTCGTCATGTGAAATATAGAGAGAAGAGAGCATGACTTCATCACTGACTAATTGTACCGAAAATTATCAATCTAAGCAGATGAAGATTCTCCGAACAACTTACTGTTGTGTTTGAAAAGCAGTTCGTATATTCGTATTAGGAATATCAAGATTAACGAATGATTAAAATGAAAAATGAAACCTTTTACTATGTTCATAATAAATGTAAATAACACAAGAACTGCAATAACAATATAATTAATAAAATTTTAGTACGTCAATAGTGCAAGTTCGAGTTCAACAATGCAATTCTGCGATGTGGTTTCATTTATACGTTCTTACTCTTCATCCTACAGGCCCAGTCGCTGTAGTCGTGGAGACAGTTGTAGTATTAGCAACTGTTGTTGTCAGCGTAGTAGTGCTACTAGTGACGGTTATGGTTGTATTTCCAGATGAAGATGTAACCATAGTTAAATTTGCACTATCATTTTTTAATCCAATACCCAAACCCAAACCCAATGACATACCAATGACGATTATAGCAGCACCAACACCGGCAGCGGCTACGACTGGTGTATATTTCCAAGGACTCCATGCGCTCATCTTGCTGATGGATTTTAGAACGGTGTGTTGAAAATAAGATGAAAGAGAATCCTAATACGTCTAGTTACGATCGAGTGATTGCCTATTTTTGTTTTCTCTCTACGTTTGGTGGTGTTATTATGAAATAATATTTTTGTGATACGTGAAAAAAGAAAAATAACATGTCGTTTGTATAGGTGAATAGAAAAACAACACAAGTTGTAAGAACAATACGCATCTGTCCGCTTGGGTGGATAAATATTAGTTAAAAGCAAAATATTTTCATCATTAAATGATCCATACTTTATCTTTTTTCATTCAACTCTCTATTGTACGATTTTAAGTGCACGAGCTTTCTTTGACATATTGTAATAACCTGAATTCGTCGCTTTTCATACAATTTATACGATATCTAATGCAATTATACTTATCACTATCTTTAGATATACCCCTTAGATACATTCGAATATATGTTTTAGATGAATTAACTTTCAGGAAGGGAGGATTTGAGTACTAAATACAGAAAAAATATTCGAGTATCATTCGATAGTCATCGGACAGATTTAATGTTACGGCGGTTTAATTAACCAACCACATATCCTATTTGCATCACTAGATTAGTTATTTTTCATTTTCCTTCCTTTCGTTCGACGACACGTGTAGGAAGTGAATGACACGCAGTGCGAAGATCGTTTTGCTACAAAAAATAGGGTTTCTTTTTTGTTTTAACAGATTAAACAAAAGAATACTGTGCAACGATTGAAAAAAAAGAAGTAACAAGATAGAAAACAAGAGCTTAATGAATCGATCATGTCGTTTTTTCCATCGCTGGCGATGTTTTCTGCTTCAAATTCGATGTCTTTTCCATGAATGCTTCCTAGATACAAATGGTATTAGAGCGAGATAAGATAGTGAGATGGCAACGAACCTTATCATAGATCACACGGACGACCAATGAACAGCTAGGACACCGAGCAGCATCTTCCCCACTTTCAAGTTCTTCCTAAAAATCAAACTATCTTGCTAATTTCTCCGTATGAGACGAACTACTATTCACTTTTGTAATCTGAAATCGATCTCCACATGGACACGGCCAGTAGTACGTTTCGGATTCTTCATCGAATTCAAAATCTAAAGTTTTGACATATCACGAGTTGTTTTGAGTTTCCTCGAATGTTACCTTCGATTTCGACTTCATCATGAAAGGCCATTATATGAGAATTTTACAGATAGCGTAAATCTGAAAAATACCATCAGATCATCGAAAACTTGATGTATATCAGTAATTTACATGGATATATTTAAACGACAGAAAAAAATACAGATTGATTTCAATTCGACGGAGACATCAACAAAAAACCTCAGTGAGTAGTAAATGAAATATAATGTATACATTTAAACGCTGGAAGATAAAAAACTAGCCGGTGCATCATATTTTTAAATAACATAAAAATAAACGAAACTGTCCATGAAAACGATTGATACGCGATAGAGTAAGGATTGTCTTGGCATTTAATCTTTGCGTTTTTCGGAATTTTTATCCTTATCTTCCTTGTCTGGCGATCTACTAAAAAGATATGCAACAGCTAGTGCTAAACCCGATATTACCACACCAGTCGCAGCCGATGCTCCGACAGCAACTTGTACCTGAACAATACAAAGATAACCAAATCTACCTGCACAGTATTGTCTTACTTGGCGACTACTTGCTTGACCATAACGACATTCTGTTGCAAAATGTTCACAGTTGTCGTATACCAAATTGTAACCTTCTTTATTCAGAGCGCGACGAGCCTTATCTAATATGACATCAGTCTCTAATGGTCTAAATCAAAATTTCGTAGTTAGAATAGACATAATATACAAGTCATAAAAATTTTCACAACTCATCAAAGCTTTTTCACATGATTCAATACTGTAATGTCAGTCTTCATGGTACATACTTCCATTGGCCATCGCGATAGTTATTGATTCGAGCTTTGCCACCCAAACCAAGAACGTCATCTACTTTTGATTGAAGAATAGTTGCTTTATCAAACTGTGTACCGGAAAGTGTGAGAAAATTGCCCCAGAAACCAACTGACTTTCCAATACCATCATGATCTCCCCATCGATGAATCACAAAACCATTATCTGAATTGATAATTGTTAAGAAAACGCCAAGATGTCAAACGGCAAACTTCACTTACCAACATAGATAGCCCAGTGACTATAGGCTCCACGAATGAATTCAATCATATCTCCTGGCTTGGCTTTGCTAAGCAAGTCTTCATTTTCTTTCGTATTTTCAATTTTAGCTACTTCAGCCATTTCCGTTTGCGAAGAAATCTACAAATGAATGATTTTTCAAAACGGTTTATCACGACTGACGTATTTATACGAAATAAACAAGGGAAAAAAGTCAAGTTTATAGAACAATCTCGATGACGCATTGAGAACTGGAAAGAAATTTCAGTAATAATAATCTTATGACATTTTCCCATGCTCGGATTGGTCAACACAACCCACCAATCATACTGCAGATGTTTGTCAATTCGTAGTTTTACTTTTCATAAATTTTCATCATTAATACATGCAGATCTTGTTTTCAATGTAGAAAAGCGGTCGTATATCATCGGTAAATTGTTGTTAGTTCAGAATATCAATCGTATGAAGAAACCTGATCATTATAGTCCAAAATTTGTGGAACGCGAGTACGTTTGCCGCGAAAAAATATCGAGTTTCTGTTTTTTATCATGAAAGATCAATCTCACGTTCAATAATTGTAGTATTATTTTACATTTTGAAATTTAATTCTGTGTTATACAAACGGTCAGTACTCGAAATTTGAACAACCGTGCAAACACAGTTAACGAATGCTTCACTCATTTTTGTTTTCTTCGTCTAGATCTATCAGCAGCAATAGTATTGAGTAGCAAATCGTTCAGTGATGGCATAGAATTTCAATAGTACAAAAAGAAAGATGAAGAGAAAAAAAACAAAAAAGAAGAATCATACACATTGAAATAAAACAAACAAATACACACACACAAACTTGATTTTGCGCACGACCCACTAAACGCTCAGACTTTCGGGTTTTCTTTCTGCGAACTCTTCTGTCATCTTGGTTTTAGTCGAGAACCAGCTCGATAAATATTGATACTAGATTACCTATCTAAAACTACAAACGAGAAACTCTTGTCGTCAGGATAACTTTTGTAAGAAAGCGACGAATAAAGTTAGAACAACGGACGACCACGATGGTGATATGATAGTTCTAGCTGAAGCAGAGAGAGATGTATTACTTCGATTCGGAGACATCGATTCAGTAATAAATATCAATGATGATGTCGATGAATCGGCAGAGGAAGGCGGTAACGGTTGAATTTCGAAGCAAGGTGGTGTAGTCACGTGATGTTCGAGTAGTTGAGATACTGGAGAACTCGGTATGGAAGAATTCCTTGATATTGATGATAATGTCGGAACAGAAGGACGTTGAAGTGAACCATTTTGTACGTGGCATGAATCAAAACAATGTGGTCTATAACCATAATCACTATTTCTTACAATACCACCTAGGTAAAGGAAAACAGAGTGTTTTAATCATTTTTTCTTCTCAGAAATAATTACCATCGCAAAAAAATAATGGTTGTCCAGCGAATAATGGCTCACGGTCACTGGGTCGAAATGTAGGACAAACACGTTCGACTTCATCACAGATCGTTTGGCAAGGCGGTATACGACGATTCCGATGGAAGTATGGAATTCTGACTGAACAAGCCCATATTCGATATGCTTTCTAGAATACAATTCGAAATCAACCGGAGATTCAAATCAACTAGAACTTACTTGACAATCGGCAGGGATAATCGAGTAGCGATTTTCGTCCGATGCTGAGTCGATTGCCTGCATGTAAACAGCAAATGATTCCGTCGCCGTTCGAGCTTCTTCGTCGGATTTTAGTAGTTGAGTTAGCTTCTCTCGACATTCGGATTCGGTGGTCGTATTGAAAAAATCTTCGCTGACTATTTTTTGATCGATTAGGTTTGAACAAAAGGGTAAATAGTTTGACTGGAAAAATGGTCGATCCATATTGTCGAAGATTTCGGTCGGTAGTCTTCGTGTACGACAAGTTCGCGAACATAGTCGACTGATCAGGGAATCGTCTATGGGTAAACATTGTGGTTCGTCCGGTCTGGATAAAATTTTGCTTGTGGACGGTACTGATACTGGACGTTTTAGCGTAGTTTGACTTGCTGACGATGGCATGAGGGTCGTTGACGCATGTGTTGACATGATTTTTATTGATGATATCGAAAGAAATATGACTGACCAATGAAGATGATTGGTTAGAAGAAGCAATGTTACCATGTAGGTGAGCAAATGCTGCACCATACATTGCTGCGGCCGAACGCGATGCCGCCGGCGATGTTGCCGATAATATTTATTAGATTTAACGATAGCCGATGAAGAAGATTCGAGAAAAGAAAATGATGTTTTCGATGAGAATGATAAATCGTATTCAAGTTCTTTTAATTGTTTATAGAAATACTCTTGTTGATTAGGTAATGAACGAGTTCGAATGTCATCGTCAACATCATCAGTGACGAGAAGCACAGACATGGCACAGTGCCCTCTTGTGCATGATTAGCCTACAAGAAGAAAACACAAGTATTGGTTGGATGCATTAGAAGCATGTATTCTAATTCGTGACTTACTCTTCACGAAAAAAAAAGACAAAACAAACGACTATCTAATGAATGATATGACTAGTAATAAGGTTTTTTCTCTTCTTTCCATTGATCACGTAGACGATATATTATGTTAATCTACTATTTCTCTCCATCGAGAATGAGTGTTTTCTTTTGCAACGGTTTTTTTTTGTGTTCAAATGACCTGAGAAAACTATCGCTAGACAGTTTATTTTAACGTGCACGAACGTATGCCTTGAAGCGATCATTTCTGATGAATAAGCTAGAATAAACACTGACAATTAGTTTGACTTTTTTGTCAACCATTGCTCGTCGATCGTCAAAGACATTGCCGTGATTTTTCGTACAAGTTTTTGTCACATCTTTCTTTTCTTTTTCATGTTTAATTGATGAACGAATGTCATTTTGTAGATAAATGAGAAAATCTCGTGACAAATTCAAATATTTTATTCTAAACGTTAATCAACATAGAATCTTATTAACAAAAGAATGCAAACTACTGTTTCAGAGAGAATCAGACTAATAATATTTTGTTCAACAAAATGTAAAGATTTTTTTTCGATGGAAAAACGATAGATGTCACTCAATTGATTTCTATTTAATTAACATACGCTAGAACCGTCAAAGTAGAGTTTGAAAAGCGAGAAAAGAAGTAAACGAATCGATTCTTTGGATACCCAGACAAAACAATGCACTTGAGCGGAGAAGAAAAACAATCGTTTGAACTCAATTTTCAGTTCAAGTATAGCGAGATTTTCTTATTACATGTATCCGGTAATCTTTGATTGCAGGATGCGAATATTCTCACTACTGAGTTTCTGCAACAGCTTATTATTATAGTTTTTAAAAGCAATTATACTTGCACCATCTATAAGTATCAATTGTAAAATGAGACGAGGAAGTTTTCTCAACTATATTGATGAAAGCTGATATATTTTCGAAGGAAAATATAGTTAACTATTACTATTAGAAAAATATTGCCGTAGCTCCTGTTTTACCTTCGATAGGTTTCGTTGGTAAAATTGCTAGTTGTTGCTGTTGTTTTCCTTGTTGTTGAGCGTACATCTGCAATCACCGATGTCATCGAAATGTTCAACGTTGTGTCATGCGCTTGATAATCCACAATCAGATATCTTATCTAGAACAAAAAATATCGTTCGACGACTTGGAGAATTCCAGGAACGCTCTTTTGTCTCAGACTGTATGTATTTGATCATGATCATCAAGTCAAACTTCAATTACTAAACACATACGCGCATACAGTCGTCTTCGTCATCATTACACATAGCGGGAGCCAAAATTACAGAAGCGCGTTCTTTCTCTCGCTCTCCTCGTTGTAGCCAACAGTATTGCTGCTGCTACCACTATTTCTATCATCTCTATTATTATTATTTCTTTTGCGCTCCTACTCTGTCTTCGTTTCTCTTCTATTCTAGCCGTATATAGTGGTCCTAGCTGCCACGACGACTGGGTTTTTCTTCCTTCTTTCTTTTTTTTCTTTTCTTGTTCTTTTTCCCCTCATTTCTTTCTTCTGCCGATGCTAACGTTGTTTTCTATCAGCAAACATACTATTCTACTGACTGGCTGCTACAAGAAGGAATATGATGATGAACGAACATTTCGCTTCATGGTACAGAGAAGAGAGAAACCAGGAAAGACAAGAAGGCTACCGCAGCAACATTCTCTCTTTTGCGACACAAAAGCCTGTTCGTTCTGATGTTCTCTTTCTTTGTGATTATTCTATTACAGGCACCGGGCCTATTTCCTTTTCCTCATTCTATCTCCTCCTTCTCTCCTTGCCATTTCAAACTGGACATAAACAGATAATTTTCATCAGTAAATCGAATAATAATATATATCAACGATTATAGAAATGTCGATGATAAATACGTGTAAATACATCAAAATAATTTTTCAAATGAAAACTGTACGGCGCAGAGAAAACCAAAAATAACATATCAAGACCGAGAATACTGGAACGTGAAAGATACTGCAACACATACACGCGTATAGTCTATGCATCTCCGCACAATGATTGGACATTCTCCAGAGAGTAAGATCACATTCACCACCGTTGCGCCTTCGTCATCATCATCATCATCTCATTCGAGCCTTCAAATTCCTTGACATGTTCTTCGTTCGTTCTCGTCAACCCTACGCTCTCCTTCCTAGCTCTTTCCTTCTCTAATATGCTCGTCGCATTCCCGTCTCGTTCATCCTCATCATCCGTCTTACTTGAGAAGAGCGCGCGCGCGAAAGAAAGAGAGAGAGAGAGAGAGAGAGAGAGAGAACGACAATGACGACAAGAACGATAATTCTACTCAAGAGAAAACGCAATGGTTCGCAAGCTGAAACCGGGACGTAACGTCTAAGAAACATACACATGCTACTTGCTGGTTTTAAAATCTATCTTTCACTGATCAATACACACTAGAACTGAAAACGCAACACTTTCATCAAAAACATCTTACCTGCTTCTCTTCAAACACTAGAATATTACTTTCACTCTTCAGACATTTACAACACTTCATTTCGACGGCAAAGAAGCGTTTTTCTCTGCTAAAAATACATTTATACCTCAATGATTTTTACTTGGCTATAAATTTTCCATTTTCTCATGTATGTAAAATGTAATGGAACAATCAGAGTGTATACGAACAAAGATGTTTGAAAAGGAACGAACGCACAGCAGCACGACAAGTCTTATTTCCGATTCTCACCAACCAATACATCTATTGTGTAAGCCGACAGCCTTGTATAAAAAAGGGAAAAGGAAAAAAGGGTACGCATACACAATGCCTGCAGCGTTACTCTCTTCCCCCTTTCTTTCTTATGGCTAATGTATGCGTTTAATCGAACATTAAAAGTCATCGCAAACTAATTTTCATGATACAAGTTATCTTTCGGTTCACTTCTACATTCGAACGTGTTTGTACATACAGATAGTACTTCGGAAAGCTAATCTAAAGGACGAAAAAGAAACAGAGAAACTTGATACTCTTTTAGCACATATTAAACATGATTGATTGTTTAAATAACGTATAGAGTCATTGTAAAAAGTCATCTATTACCAAAGATATGTTTTCTCTATTTCTTACATATGCTTAATCGTGCACTTGACCTTTCGTTCTCCGGTAATACGAATAAATAATCATTTCTAATAATACAAAACGACACTAAACTGCTTACTTTACCATTTAACCCATAAAACGACAATTTGTATGTTTTCTTTTTTCTATAGCATTTTTTCTCTATGCAGCACTAACACCCTCAATCATTTGCTATTTCTGTTTATATGTCTATTGTTTAGACGGTACTCTCTATCATTCTGCAATTTGCTCTCCTGTCACACTGTGTCCCGTGTGTGCCATTGTCAATCTCACTCAAACTACCAGTCAGCCAATATCGTTTATGGAATATCACAAGCGCTTGATTATTCTTTCGATGTCAGTCTAAAAGCATTACGACAAACTACAGTCTAGAATTGGACAATACCGAACGACATGTTCTCACCCACACAAACAATTCATTCATCTATCGAAGTTATTCAGTTGTCTATCTATCTTGTCTCAGTCTGACGACGATGCAAAAACCAACTGTCGACAAGAGTGATGATAGACTCGTGATTCGCATTTTCCAGAAATATGTATCTGTCTTAATATGTATAATTTGAAAAGAGAGAATGGTAAAATCAGTTATCTGTGCCTTCTCAACATACATGTATATATATAGAGAGATAGATAGATAGATAGATAAATAGCCATCTATATGTTTATCAGAGTGGAATTTCTCGTTTCCCCCATTCCAGCCAATATTGAAGAGCTAATTGTCTTTACCGCCGTGTGCAATGAAGTAATATTATTCCATAACATCAACAAAACAACATAAGACAATGTTTCTCTTGCTTTTTCTACCACCATCTTCCTCTCTATCCTATCTTCTTTTTCATCTGACTTAACGTCCATTAATATCGTAGCTTTTCCTCGAAACTAAATAACAAACTCATTCATCCTACGAAATAAACTAGAAAGTGAAAAAGTCCTCTGTTCGTCTTTACCTATTCGTCAAGAACATATACAGTTGTGCCTGTTCTTAATAGAATATGTCTGGAAACAATCGAAGTTTACATGACTGACATTGCACCGAATGATTTCTATTTCTATTCTTCTCTTTCTATTTCTCATTGCGAGTAGTTTCTTTTTCTTTTCTTCATATATTATGATTCAATTCCTTGATCATTTGACCTCCATCGTTTTTTCCGTCTATATATGTATGTAGTTCATTTCTATTCTCATAGTTTTTTTACTCATAATCAAGAGAAAAGAAAGTAATGTTGGTCGTATTGAAGGAATAGAAATGACTGGTCTTGTCTTACTAGTTCGATGTCATTATCGTTATATAGGTTTTTCTTTTTAATGCCACGATCGTGACTTATTCGGCAAGAGAATGAAGAGAGAAAAAAAAGGAAAACCTATTAACAACTCGGCAGCTCTCTCTCTCTGTGTTCTCCTCTTTTCAATACTCATGCTCGATTTTTTTTGCTTCAGGAAAGTCTTGGACTAGTAGCTACACTGGCTACAAAGACTCTCATTATTGCCTGGATATCGAAAGCGAAATCTTTTCAATAATGATCATAATGAAACCATATGTTATTGAACTTCTTTTCAGCCGTAAAGTACATAAAAACTCCGTCTCGATGGGCGGCATGAAGAAAATAAGAGGAAAAGAGTTAACTCAATAGAACGTGTTCAATTTCCGAGAATTGTCAGATATTCACAGATATATCGCATTCAATAATCTTTTTCTTTGGATTCTCATGTTGTTATATTCATAGAATTGACTACATAGAAAGGACTAAAAAAAAGACTACGATATAGAAAATTGCATTGATCTTTATTTCACATTTGCATTTTTACTTTCTCCGTAGTCACATGCTTCAAATCGAATATCTTTATCTTTTTTGAATACATTTGAAAGTTCTTCTGTTAACAATTTATGTAACGATATACCATCATGCTTATAAACCCACGTTTGATTAATAAAATCGTACCGTTTAGGTCCGCTAAATGGTGATGATAACCATATTTGTTTATTCGGGGTTTGTTTGTTAATGACATAAGTACCGAATTTCTCGAGTTCGACGGTTAAAACACCATTGGAATAAGTTACGTCTGATGGTAATTTATGTTTTTCAAGTAAAATTTCAAAAGCTTCGGTCAAAGATTCTAATGTTTCATCAGCTATGGTTTCGTATTCGATTGGTGAAAGAGAAGATAGCAGACGGATAGTCGATCGGTAGAATCTCGGTGTGACTGAGAGAATATTTCGGAAGATAGATTTCGTCATCATGATGATCGTTCGAATAAATCTGGAATCATACGTGCAATATATTCATTTTTTTATAAAACGAAAAAAGGGTGATCACAGGAGGAAAAAAAACACTAGAGAAACAAACACATCGATTAAAGTTCAATCGTTCTTCTTTTTCGAGGATAAGTAAGAGGCCAGACGTTCGTACAGTTCTTTTGGTGATTCAGCTTTGGGTACTTCATAATTTTGACTCGCATATATGCCAGCATATACGCCGAGAGAAAATGTGATCAATGTGCGAAGAATAGCCATTCGAGTGGCGGTAAATTCGTGTCTATTTGATTGAGATTTTGATCTAGAAAACAAACGAACGCAATTATTTGTTTTGTCTTTAACAAACACACGTCGAAATAAACTTCTGCTTCATTCTCCCTTCGACATACTGTTCGCACGTAGCATCTGTTAACTCAATCTATTCAATTTTCTTAACGTACATTTTGATTAGTTGTACAAACATTTGCGCTTCCGATCAAATAAAAAACATTTATTAAATCCTCTTCTCTAACTTTTATTAATCATCAGACATAGTTCGTCATACAGTTGAATCACTTGCAACTATGAACATTGTCACGGTGGATTATGAAAGAGAAAAAGCGGTGCATTCATTCTGCCATGGTTCGATCTCATGATCAGTCATAACTTGTATTTCGAAGCGAAACGTGGACGACTTGTGTAAAGGAAAAAAAACATGTAAATACAGAATATATTTTTTTCTTATGTAAGGAGAAGTTTTCTTCATACAATGCTTTGTACAAAGTAGCGCTGTACACACACACACACACAAACATATATAGACCATCTTGCACGAATGCTACTAACTAATATCAAGAAAAAGAAAACAATAGATACATCACGACTAAGTGAAATAGAGAAAGAAGAAGTTTAGTCGTTCATACTCCTAGAGTAGAACGAAATAGAATAGAGAGAGAGAGAAGTGGCAACTAAAAGAAGAAGAAGAAGAAGATAACGAACAATAATGACAAGATAATTTATACACAAAGAATTTCATATTGTTCTCTTTCTTTTTTTTTGAATTCATATTATTTTCGACCCGTATTTCGGTGATATGCTCGTGTACCAATAAATCCTTCTTGATCGTCATGAATATCGTCATCTAAAACATTGAAAAACAAGATTGATAAATTTAGCAAATCGAGATGTCAAAAGAGAGGTGTAATCATACTCATATGTGTAACAGTTGATTTTGTAGCAAAAATTTTACGTCGTGAACGATCATTGACGTCTTCATAGACATCTTGACGAGTTGTTGATTTGACTGCAAATGCGCGACGTTTTGTTGGTGGAGACGAAAGTTCCTCTTTTGGAACGATTGCTTGAGGCTGAATGACAGACTGTGGTTGTGGTTGTAGTTGTACCTGGACTTGCTGTGGTACGGATACGTGCGATTGTTCGGGTTCATTGGTTGTTTGGATGATGAATTGTTGTTGAGATGGTGCCTGAGTAAGAACCGTGTATTGCGTTCCACCTGGTGATGTACACAAGGTAGCAACTTGTTGTTGTTGATTGGGATCAATTTGTTCAATAGTTAAGGGCGTGTTGGGGTCGATACCAGCCTGAGCAAGTAACGCTTGTAGTTGATTTTGATCGAGTGCGAATGGTGAAACAAATGTTTGAGGTTGTGCTTGTTGAATAGATATTGGCTGGCCATCTAGAATGGCAGAGAAAACGACTATTTGCAAAAAAAGAAACTTTAGCATGTTTTCATACCACTATCAACGATAATAGCACCTTGTGAACCAAGTAATTGTTGTGCTTCTTCAGTTGATAAGAGAACAGTATGTTCAACACCATTTTCGTCAATGATGTTCGCTGTAATTGTACCAAGTTGTTGAACGATTTGTTTAGCTGCATTATCATCACACTGAATCGTTTCTTCGCCAGCAATATTTGATGGTGTTTCATCGACCATCATTGTCATATCGTCATCATGTTGTTGTGCTTTACGACGTGCATCGGCTGCCATTGTTACATCAGCAGCAGTAGCTAGAACATGTGCAGCTTCCATAGTATCTAAATCTGTATTGTTTGAAGCCGTATTATTCGTATGTTTATTTGCTAGATGTTCATCATTGCTTGCTTGAATACGGCCCGGTGGACGTGACCAAGCAAATGGTTTCGCATTATTTGAGTAATGATCATTAGTTGAATTGCCTGATGGATTTGTTGCCGACGGCTTAGGAAGAATCTTTTTCTGTTTAGGAGCATCGACAGGTAATTTAACTAGAAACAAAAAAAGGAGAACTGTTATACAAGACTGTTTGGCATCATCTTACCTTGTTGAACAACAGTAACAGGAAGCACTTGTTGTTGTTGCTGATCCGAGGTTAACACGGACAGAACTTGTTGATTTTTTTGTTCTTGCTGTGGCACATTCACATAGAAAATTTGAGATTGATTGGAAACATCGTTTAATTGGGAATCATTCATTTTGGTTACATATGTATTTCCACTTGTATTATTTGCTGTTGTGACTGATGAACGTGTTTGTTGTTGATAGTAGTCTTCATCCTAGAAGAACATTTTCAAAAGGAAAATTGATGATAGGAATAGAATATGTGTGTGTGTGTGTTTTAAATATTCTCACCGAATAATGTTTGGACATTGTTGATGATAGATGATGATGAGGTTTGGAGATTGTACTGACAGGACTGCGACTAGTACTACTCGTACGACGATTCGACGTCGATAAACCCAGTGTAGCTGGTGTTGGGCGATAACTCGATGATTTGAATGGCTGAGAAAACACACACACACATATATACATATATAATCGGAATAGTGTAGAATTTATTTCCCTCTTTTTCTTAAACTATTTTTTGACTCAATGAGCTACAATTCTGTTTCTATGTAAACTATTGCTGGTCTGAGGATAGTACTTCGTAATCGTATAGAACTTAGCTGGAATGTGGTGAAGAAAGAGAGAGAAATATTTTTGGATAGCTTTTCATTTACTTACTTTATATATTGGATGATTGCCATTATTAATTGCAATACGACGTTGACCGCTCATTGATGACAATGGTGGACGAACATTGGTATTTCGACGATACGCTTGTGTTAAGCTCATACGACGATTTTTATCATAATCCTCGTCATCGCCCATGTCATAGGCTGGTCCTACCAGAAAAAAAACAGCATTTTCTTCATAACACATGTGATGTCATCATCGTTTTCCTTACGTGACGATCGATATGCGGTTTGTTTACGTGGTCCATATCTTGAATTCATTTCCTCGTATTGATCATAATCATCGTCGTCATCATCATCATCATGCCATTGTCGACGTGAACCTGGTGGACGTCCACGCATACCTGTTCCACGTCGTCCTGGATATGTACCGCGGCCTCGGTAGCTAGGTCGTTTTGGTATATATTGTCCTTTGGGTACGTAATCGTAATCGTCGGGCTCCTCTCCAGCTGGCGGCACATTACTTTCATCGTCATCTTCTTCATCAGATTTTCCTTGTTGATCGTTCATCCACTTCGGTCGTTTGATTTCTGGCTGTTGTGATTGCGGTGGTAATGGACGTGATTTCATTGTGGTGCTTTTTACCGCATAGATTCGTGGACGCGGCTTATCTTCAGTTGCACCTGTGCCTGATGCAGCTGCTGCAGTCGTGGTGGTCGTCATCTTTGGGCCTGCATCATTGTAGGAAGGAACAAAATCATTTTGAAAAACATTGTTTAATGTTATGACAGAACTTGATTTCTTCTGTTGTGCATTGTGCTCTGAGCTATCATTAAGTGTACGTTTATTAGTTGTTGTTGCTGTTGTTGTCGTCGATGATGATGAATTGTCAACTGGTTGACCAGATAGAGCATCAAAGTTAGTCAAACGTGGAATAATAGCACGTTTGCGTTGAGCGGTCGGATCGGATTGAGTTGACGAATATTCTCGTGGTTCATCTTTCGGTATACGACGTTTAAGAATCTCAATAGACATTTTACTTGAACCTTTCCAAACGAACTCAACGGAATCGTCACTGAAGTCGTCATCTGATTCTTGCTGTCGTTGTGATGGTGGTTGAGATGACGTTTGATGCTGTGGTGAGCCAAATTGCATAAGATCTTTTTCATCAACGGCGGCTAGTTTTTCATTATTACCATCGTCATCATTGGGATCATTTTTGGGATTGGTATCAGTAGACAATGTTTTCTTTTTACTATATCGACGTTTCACTGATTGAAGCGGAACTATATTCTCTGTTTCCATTTGTTGTTTTGATTTTTCTTGTTCGTGATCGTTATCTGCTATACTCGACATTTTGGTTTTTCGTCCGCGCTTTTTCGCCGTTGAGATTTTCTCACTTGCGGATGTATTGGTTTGAGACACTAGACGTGATGCTCGACGAGTAATTGGTTTTTCGTAAGAAACTTTACCTGATCGTTTTGATTTGATGGGTAAATTTTCTTCGGTCCCAGTATCACTTTCAACGTTGGATGAAGACACGGATGTACGTTTCGGACTGGCGTCGACTTTTGACGATTTTGCTGCTGGTGTTGGCCGAGCGCGGGAGGAGCGTTTAGCTGATATTGGCGTTAGGTTTTTTCGCACAAGCACCGGTTTTTTACTATGGTCCTCGTCGTCTGATTGAAAAGTGTATTTATCCGGTTGAGTTGAGAGAGATTTGGTTACTGCTAATGAACGAGTTGACGGTCGCTTTAATGGAGATAATGCCGTTGACTTTCTATTCATGATGATAAACGACACGCGATCAGCATGAGCTTGTCGCGGTCAAGAAAAATACCGAATGAGAAGAAAATATTGACGATTATCTAAAACAATCAATCAGTGTTCAATAAAACAGATCATCATATCAAATGGTAAATATAACAAGAAATTCGTGGTAGTTACTGATAAGCTCAAATAATAGATAACAATTAGAAAAATACACAACAAAATTGAAAACAACGAAAGATATAATAAATAACACCGGCAAGATAGGATTCAAGATTTGGAATTCATAACCGTTTATCAAATTCTATTCTCTGTCGGAACAAAACAAAATATGCCTATCATTATCGATTTAGACCGGAGGAAAAAATCAAATTGCCTATTAAATCTCGATATGAATTTTCTCAACTGCTGTTCGCACTTCTGTCGCGCTAACATTCAATGGCCATACTCCGCCTAGAATTCCTGCTTGAATCGACACTCCATGTGTAACAGCCACATCAGGATCGATATTAACATTTGGTTTCTTCTGAAAATAATCTGCAATTAACTCTCGAATTTTTAACATACGTGTCGAACCGCCAACTAAAACAATTTCATCAATATTGTTAACTGTTAACCGACTATTAGTATCATCATCATCACCACTGATATCTGAATTGATATAAGCAAATATTCTGTCTAACGGCTCGCGAATCTTTCGAAATAAGTCTTGATTAATTTCTTCGAACTTCTCTCGTGTGATAATCCATTTCGAATCTATTAAACATTGATTCGCTGTTGATAAATCAATTTTACACTTTTCGACTTCGATACGTAAATGTTGGAGGAAGAGTGAATCGGTTTTTTTATTGGAATCTTCAACTAGCGTTAAAATATAATTGAATAAATTTTGATTAAAATCTTGACCACCCAGGCGATTGTTTCCTGCCATTGCTTGAGTTGAAAACATGCCATTTTGTACAGATAAGAGACTAACGTCCGTCGTGCCACCGCCAATATCGATAACCAGAACGTAGCGAACGTTTTCTTTCTTGTGAAAACCGTAAGCAAGAGCTGCTGCTGTTGGCTCGGATATAATTCGTTCGACTTTCAGATCGATCAATTCTGCAGCTCGTCGTGTGAATTGCCGTTGCAAGTCATCAAATTCAGCAGGAACGCTAAGAACACAAAGTTTGATTTTTGCGATCTTTAGATGTTGCTCAACAAGTTGTTTCAAATATTTCAGGAGCAGTGATCCGACCTGTTCAGGCGTAATTCGTGTTCCATTCTCTGATATGATGAATTCGACGTAACCTTGATCCGTTCGAACTAATTCAAACGGATAATCTTTTTGAAGTTTTTCAACTGATTCTAATGAAAATTGCTTTCCGATGAATCGTTTGGCATCGTAAATCGTATAGTTAGGATTTGTTTCCATGTGATCGAATGCATCGTAGCCTAATAATGTACTACCATTGGGAAGAAATGAGATAATGGACGGTAAACATGAACGATTGCGTTGAGTAGGAATAATTTCAACTAAACCGCTTATGGCATGATAGATACCAACACACGAATAAGTTGTACCTAAATCTAAACCGATAATTTTCGGTTTAGGTGCTGGTAACAAGTGCTGGCCAAAATAACCAGCAATAAGTAGAACAATTAAGCTTCCACCGATCAATGTACATGTTGTTTCAGATGAAACCATGATTTATCTCGAGACAAAAGAGGGCATGTGTAGTCGGAGAATAATCAATCGCCATCTTTGTTTAGTTGTCCTCCGAAGTAATACGTTCACAGGTCAACAACAAAGCGTATCATGGACCAATGGTATCAAGCAAAGAAAACGATACTTTTCAACGAAAATTTTTATTTTAAAATAAAAAATCGAATGGAAATTTGTCGAAATTTTTTTTGGGTTATATATCCAATTTTATTACCGACATCTTTTCACGAAAACATGCTGATTGGTGGAAAAGCACACGAATGAAATAAATTGAAACAGTTTTTTTTGCTTATTCTTCAGATTTTGAAGAGCGAAGAGGTCGGTTATCACATTTATTGTAGATAATAATCTGCTTCTTTTGTCTCGTTATGTTAAATGTAATTAATATCCTGTTTAATCTTTAACAATCATCTTGAATGACTCAATTATTCAGTCGTACAAAGCCGAATAAGGCTGATGAGACTATTCAAAGAACAAAAGAAAAAATTATCGATTTAACGAAAAGTCTCTCTGATCGACAACGTTATCTAAAGCAACTATCTGGTAACCTATCATCAGCGAGATTATTGGAATTGATTTCTTTTTCTTTAGAACAATTGTCTATTGATGATTTACAAGCATTTTTCAAAACTTCATATCAACATATTTTTTATCTTTTCTTTGAAAACTTCAGTCAAATCGAAACGAATATTCCACGAGCACGTACGTTGTCAGAATACGAAATGAACTCTCCGCACGGTTCTCTGCATTTTAGCTTCAAAACAGAACCAATCAGATTTCGAATACGTAACCAATTTACTAGAGGTAAAAGAACAGGTGTATTGATTAAACTGATCAACGCAATAAGATTTCCTTTGAGAGCATCTACTTGTGAATAACAACGCACATATACATGCTCAGGTGATAAATAACGATATTGTTATTATTGTTATTTTCTGTTTTCGATTCAATTCTCACCTTGATCTCATACGTGACTAATTGGATAGCGTATGAAATAGTCCGAAGGAAAATGTTTAACTCAATTCATTGTCTAGAACTAATTAGATTTGCTATTATCTTTCTCGATATGTGTTCCATTAAAATACCAGTGTTAATGTTATGACCTTCTATGATACCCTTTATATACAATGAGTATATGATTTGTTCTAGCGTATTCTTACACTACTACCAACACTTGTGCATCAAAGATGGCAAGCTCATTGTATATGCAATGTAATCAAAAGATATTTTGTCGCTTCCAGCAGTCCACAAGTAATGAAGAGTTTTTCCGTTGTTTCTATTCGAGAAAAGAAAAGTAATTGGTCTAATTATGTTAGGGTGTTGCACGTGGTATGCGACTTTTTCTTCTCTGGTACCAAATTTTGGGTAGCAATGCGGTTGAAGAAGAACATGCGATTTTCAAAGGATTGATACGAAATTGGAATCAACCATTAGTTGGTACGCGTGTGGCGGGTGAAAATGTCAACACTGATGAACAGCCGTCAACAGCATTAAACGAACTATTTCGCACGCCACCTGGTTTGTGATGAAAAATATTCAGATTTGTTGAGTGAATGTCGAATTCATCTAGATACATTTCGGTGGGCGGATAGTTTTCCGATTTGGCCGAAAACGGCGTCTGACTATGATCCAACAGTTGATCGATGGCTTTTCTTCATGTTACACACGATCTCGGACACATGCAAACGTGTTCTGTGGGATTCCAATCGTGAACTGCGAATACAAAAGCAAGAGGAATGTTTTCGCTTTCTGTTCGAAATGTTCAAACGCTATTACATGCCAACGTTATTTCCGACATTCATTGAACAAAACATTTACGACTTTTCCGCACCGAGTAATATCTTTTAATAGATTGACATGTTCGGACGACGATTCTTTGTTCGTGTTTTCTAGTGACGATTCCAGAAACAGTACGAATTGAAAGCGATGGATTGAGAAGGCGACAAGCATGTTTATGTCGAACGGCATTTGTTATGTGGTTATTGCCATTTCTTAATGAAGAACAAAATCGAGATAGAACCTTGTAAGTTGATTCGAAAAACATTATATTAGAGTTCGAGATTGAAATTCCGTTTGCTTAGAACTCGCGTGCCAAATGCAACGTTAACGACGCAAGGTGTTTTAACTCAATCGACTGCATCGGCGAGTACAGTTACTGGTCCGTCTGATTATTCATCCTACTCGAATGAACTATATCATATTATAACGGGAGCATCATCAAAAACCCAGCCGACATCGTTTCAGCAAATAGTAAATATGATTGGTCCAATAGATAGTAATACATTAGAAATTGGTCAACACGTTCTTCTATCTACACAAGAGAATATTAATTTTATTCATGAAATTTTTCGACAGGTGAGAGCAGAGGAATGACTTCGATTGAATAATGTTCTTTTCGTTTCAAATAGAGTTATCTTATGTCCGGTGAACACGGTTTAGCTGCTTCGCATATTCTTCGTACGGTGAATGATTGGATAAAAGTTAGTTCGTCGATCCTTAATGCTGCAATCTTACGATTATTTCATTTTTCATTCTAGGAGAAACATTTACGACCAGTTTTCATGCTCGAACCTGAACAACGCTCATCATCGAATGACATACCTGATGATAATCATCTTCGTTTAGGTTTAAATCGTTGGTTGCAAATCTTTATCACTCAATCATTTTATTTGTTTCTTGTTCGACCAATATCAACACATGATGAACAACAACAGAGTCAGCAAGGAACGAACGCAATACAATCCGAACCTGTCCTACGTGAGAGATCACTCGCTGGCCTTGTCACGTTCTACAAAAAACTTCCACAAAGACATACACCTGATCGAACAACATGGTAAACCTAGCTGATCATCTAATTAAACAGAATTTTGATTTTTCTTTCTGAAATTTTAGGGACTTAATCTTGAGAGTTATGTTAAGAATCGTTCGATTGTCATTACAAGATCGTTCACCATCGAGTTCCAACCATTTGTATATTGAAAATACGATAAAAGTACAGAAACAAAATACCTCGCGTGAACTATCAATGCATCTATTTTTGTTTCTTCTTCTAGACTCTTCTCTTTCTATTTCAATCCGCCTCATTATATGTAAATGTCGAATTATGGAATAATTTAAGTGATACCTTATCATCAAAAGCAATGTGGCCTGAAGTTATTGATCAGTGGGATGTAAGCATATTGTTGATAAATAGTTATTTGCATAAATTCTCATTTCGAATAGTTATCAATGCGAGCGTTAACAAAAGATCTCGGTCGCCTGGTTTATAAGGTTGAAACTGAACCATTGATAGCTACAAGTATTCGTCGAGGTGGAGCGACAGGTGGTGTTCGGCGAACAGCCCAATCTGTTCCACCAAATTCTCTCGATTTAAATTCAACAAGTAATCGTCGAGGACGAACGATCAGTTCAGACGAAGATATTGATGCACCGGATCAATCAACACCACAGCAGCAGCCAACGAGAGCGTTGATTACCGAACAAAACCGTTCAGTGCGACGACGAACAAGTAGCGATGATAGCTTACCACATTCGACAACGACGACATCGTCATCGATGAGCAGCCGAGTAAGAGAACAAAACAAATGTCTGCAATTTTCTTGATAACAATGCAACCTGTCGTTTTCTTGTGTAGCCACATTTATTAGCAAGCATTCCAAGTAATCAAATGGGTGAACAACAAGCAATAATGGAGGGACCATCGATCGAACAAAATTCACTCCTATTCAGTCCTAGTGAATCATTATTATCAGCTCAACAGCAACAACATCAGCATCCTTTGACTATACACATAGCTCAACAGACACGTATGATCTACATCATTAAATATCTTGTCTCTCTCTTTCAAGCGTCTCTTTTTATATCTCTAGCGAATTCTCATATGAGTGATATGTGTTCGCCAAACCATGCACTCGATTCACCGATGAGTGATGACTACAGCACGGCATCGACTGGCGTACTCGATACAAATAGTTTGAGCGGCATTGGTAGTGCAGACATGTTAACTGCAAATTACAAAGGTAATAAAATATGTTCAATGAACGCATCTACTATTTCTATTGACTAGGTAATAACACCCACACAGCAGAATCCCGTTCGACAACTGTATCCGAATCCACATCGGCATCAGATCACCATCAGCATGTATCGCCACCATCCTCACGTGATCATCATCCTCTCAGTCAATCAACTGTTGATAGTCTTCATTCATGTAAGAAGCGATTTTCATAGCTGCTACATCTCGTCGGAAATCATTTTTAGTCCCTCAAGATACGGCTACCATTGATAGTATTGATACAGCAGTGTATTCGAACGAGCAGAATTATGAATCATCCCGTTTGGCACCTGAAACTGCGTACACAGCTTGGTTTCGTATGCTCGGTTCACTTGGAAATATCAACCAGATTCGTTCACCTGAACAACACAATCGAATAATGAAGACAATTTTCGATATATGGAAAATGCTCTGTCGTGTAAGAAGGATATTTGCATATCGATATGCTAATAAAAAGTTCCTATCAATCATAGATTCATGTGCAATCAAAGGATACCCAACACGGAGATTTATATTTCGATGGGCCACCCCTGTTAATATTTGCTCCATGGCTTTTCGAAGTTTGTTAATGATAAGATAAAAGAATATTTCATCAGTCAAGTTTTGTAGGCGATTCAAACACTACCAACCACGCATCGTGAAGGAAAACTATCTGCATATAGGTTACTATGTTCAATGGGTGTTTTCAATCATGATACTCCACCACCAGCAGATTTTCTTGATATGTTTTTATTGACTATTTATGAAGGCTTATCATCAGGAGATGAAGTAAGTTGCAGTAGTGTTAAACTATAGTTGTCAATAAGAAATAACACTATTTTCCTTAGGATATTATTCATGTGATCATTAGTTCGTGTAAAGTCGACTTTTTTCATCGATGTTGGCCATCATCAACGTTATTATTACCATTATTCACTTCGGCTTGTTGTGAAATTGGTCAAAAACCGTGTCTTGTTGAAGGAAAAACCGTATGTCGAGATGTGTTCTTAGGATATTGTTCTATGCGCTCTCTCTCTCTGTTTGCTTTGAAATAGATTCCAAAAGTTGAAGCATTGACTATTTTAAGTAGTCTTGTTTGTTTTCCAAATCATTTCGAACAACTGGATGTTTTATCGAATAAAGAGAAAGAGAAAGAATATGTTCCTGTAACAATGGATCGCACACTTTTAAAACGTATGATCATGCGTGATTTAATTAAAGCGTCCCAACTCGATCCAATGCTCGAATCACGGTAAATGCCTTTCCTCAAAGATCGATTTCAAACTATTTTTTTGTCTAATAGAGAAATTGCCTTGTGTGGCTTAGCGATATTCCTTTGTGAAGAACTAAAACATCAAAGAATGGAGTCACCAATCAAACCATTCATTCTGTTCACAGTTGAATGTTTACAGGTTAGTATATCAGCTTCTCATTTTATTCGTAAAGATAGACATCTTCGATCACTATAGAATATATGCATATGTGTATATATTTATCTTAAAAGGGGCAAGTTAATAAGCAAATATCTGTAGAGAAAAATCGCCAGGTAACTATAATTGCTGCTATTGCTGTCGATTCAATGCATAAAAAAACCGTGTAATTGATATCCTACTCCAACAAAACACATCATATTAATGCTTATAGAAAATTCAACTTTGTATAATGTTATCATTCCGATATATCAATAAACCTTTTGTTTTTCATAATCCCTTAGAAGAAAGAAATCAGTATTACCTACAGTGATTCACTGTCCTATTCAAATTATCTTACACATCCCTTCACGCGCACTTAAATTTCAGTAGTAAATACAGTTCAATAATTTCCATGTTCATTCTTCTAGCCCGCTGATTCCACAATGTTCGCAGCTGATATTCTTCGTTTTCTTGCATCCTATGCTCCATTGTTTATTTCACATCGTGATAATCAACTGGGTGGTCTGTACACAACTATCATCGATGGTCTCATAGCATCCTTACGAGCAGTTATTCCACGTGATGTCGGTGCACTAATGCGCAATAATGTTCGAATCATCAAGTCATTAGTATTTGCATTACTCGATTGGATCCTTCATGTTCCGACAAGTTATCTTCAACAACAACAAACCACACGTGACGAGAATAATCATGAAATTTCAACGACTGTTATCCAACGAACCTTTGCAATATTAGTCGATGTTTATCGTTCGACAAATTCATTAATCGACGAACAAACTGTTCAAGACAATGAACTCACATTAAGTCAATCGATAAAATTATGTTGTAAATTCGCTATTCTGTTCCTACTTAATGAACATTCGCATTTTCCTTTAACGGAGAACGAAGCATCATTGGCCACAACAAACGTTCATGAAGGACACGATTGGTCTAATTCAGCCAAACAGCTCAGTGTTTGCAACGAAGAAAACTCGAATGTCAATCAATCCGATGAATTAATTATTCACTCATCAAATATTCAATTGTTTGTCATTCATGATGACTTTCTCATCTCATTCATAGAAATTCCAAATGAAAAAGCTAATGAATTAACAACTGACAATCAACAATTTGTTTCTCGAACAACTCTATGTCGAACCATAGTTAGAGATCTTTGTGGAAGGTATTGCTGGGATAACTATGCATTCAATATCAGCTCAAATTCCAAAGCGATCACACGTCCATTCAATAATCCGATTGGTAGAAAAATCTTATATGCCTGATGACAGTTGGTGTATGAAGTTCGTTTTTTTTTCTCTCTAGAATTAATACTGCCAGCGAAATCTACACATAAAATTGAAGAAACAAAACGAGGAATAACAGTATTGGAAAAGTTTGATCCTGAACAACCACCGACATATCGAAATCAACCACCCAACGCTGATATTCTGGATAAAGTAACGCTGAATTTGCTCAAGAGTTGTTCATTATCAGATAATTTCTCTTCGATAGCTTCTGCAATTTATAACAACACACAGTCCCGAACTAGCGTTTTACAGTGATCGAGCGTTAACAGATGTTGCTCCAACACCAGCATTGATTTCCTCTCATGATGAAAAAGCAGTTATGAGAATGATCACTGAACAAGAAACAGCTGAAGAGAATTACGGTAGAAATTCAATCAGCGATCTGGTGTTGTTTTTTTATCGATAACAAATTTTTTCTGTTGAATTAGATTCATCATCATTTGGAAAAATAGAACGACGCATTGAACAACCTTCGCCATCTTCTCGAAACGATCGATTTGCATTATGTCGATCACATATGACTCAACTTGGTTTAATGATGTTTGAAAATCGTCAAAATATCGATTTGTTAAATACATCAAAAGCAAATCGTGATCAACTATTACGTGAATTAAAAAATCTAGATACACTAAATTGTCGTGAAACACATAAAATCGGTATGATTTGCAAGTTTGTCTGTGAAAGATGTTCATTCTCTTTTTTCGTAGCGGTTATCTACATTGGTTATGGTCAAGAAGACAAAACGAGTATATTTAACAACACTCACGGCAGTTCAAACTACGAAGAATTTCTTACACATCTCGGTTGGCAAGTTGAACTATCAAAGCATACTGGCTTTCGAGGTGGATTACATCCTCTGCCGAATACATATTCAATTTATTATGCTAATGCACTTGTGGAAATTATGTATCATGTCGCGACTATGATTGATGGATCCACCGATGAAGATCGATCACGAAAGAAAACACGACATATTGGAAATGATGAAGTTCAAATTATTTGGACAGAACATTATCATGAATACGATCGATCAATTATAGCCAGCGCTTTTGGTGATGTTTTGATTGTGATACATCCGTTACCGAATGGTTTATATCGAATCAGAATTGACAAAACCAGTCAAGTAAATCATTTTGTTGTACTTTATACGTAGGAAAATCATTGGAATTGATCGATTGATTTAGACAACAAATTTCGGCCCATTGTTTGATGGTGCAATTGTAGATAAACTCATTCTTCCTGAATTAGTGCGAGCCACAGCCATCAATGCTAGTCGTGCACGTCGTACAACACTAAATAATCATTGTGAATTGTAAGTTTTCTTTATAGGTCGAGTTTGTCCTTATTCGTTTGATTTCTTTTAGTTACGAAGAACGTTATCGTATAATCAATTCAATCATTCGCACACATAAAAAAGAGACAACATACGAGGAATTTCTTGCCAAGTCCTTTACACCATTAGCTACCAAAACGTTGGGTAAATAGCAGATCAATAGTTCGTTTTCGAATAATAATACAAATTTTCAGTTCGCCGTTATACTTTTATGGATCTAAAGGTGGGCGAGAAAGGAATGATCTAAACATAAGAAAAACTATCGCTCGGAAAATAATAATGATGATGATATACAGCTAATTTCGACTAACCTATCATGCTAGCCACTGGGCATCTTACTGATATGTAGAATGATAAACATGAAATATAAATTGTTGTCTTGGATAATCTATAATGGCAGTGTTTGCCTTTTTTCTGTTTTAGCACACCAAACAGATGAGAATACAAAACCCGCGAACCCGCAAAATGAGCGCAGGGATGGTCCTTCCAACAACGTAATGCATCCGTCAGCAAACATGTCGACGAGTAGTCAGAGAATACGTCCAACAACTCGAAATTTTCCTTTTTTGACACAGAACGCTAATACTGTCCCAACACCAATAACACGTCGCTGAACATTTCTCTTCTCTGTAATTTATACGTCTTTTCTTTTCATAACAATACTTTTTTCGTCTTTTTCCAAATCAAATACGTGTGTGTGTGTGTGTGGTTTACAGTGATCATTTCATCCTACATATATTTGTATATATAATTGATCTCACTTTAGAACAAAATAACCACTGATGATCAGTTTTTTCGTTTTTCTCTTCTCTTTTAAAAAAAAAGCATTCCGATCGTTTAGAAAAAAAACAATTATATAATTTATATACTTTTCTTAGCAATAACTTTGGTTATCAACACGTTCGTGTGTATTGCTCTTCTTGTTATCGCTTGAGTGTTTGTGCTGAACGATTCTGTTGGTTTTCTTTTCTTCTTCTCTCTTCTATATTTATTATTATATACGTTCTTTGTTCCGGCCAAATCGCTCAGTTAGAAACATTTTTATTAAAACAAGTTGGATTTAAATTTGATGAAATACCGGCATACACAGTTTTATTCTTTTATCGTTATCAAACTTGACAGTCATATCACGCGTTCGATATTCTCTAATGGTCGCGTTTTTATAAAAGATGACAAAAAACAAATCAATGAATCTATTTTCTAATATTGACTTGTGTTCTCATCAATAATCTACAAAATCCGGAACTGGAGGTCTTTGAAACAGTGAGAACAATCGACCAAATCAAATTTTATTGATCATGCTGTATATATACATCATTCATTGCTACGCCTCTGCCATTGAATTTGTTCAGTTTAACGATACTTTCCATCCATACGATAAGTTGCTATTTACATTGTTCGACAAATCGATTCTTCTGGTAGTGGCATCAGAACAGTATAGCACATATGATTTATTGTGTAGACATTGAACTATTTATTGTTGCATAGTTATCCATCGATATTCGATCGACGAGAAGACATAACGAGTTGTCTTAGCTGAAAGACGACGTACACTCGAATGAGTCTTTCTTGTACAGTGTCACATGCTGTATACTTGTGACCTCTACCGAGAGATCTTCTTCGATAATACAAACCAATCACAAGCCAACCATTCATTGTATTCTGTCTAAAAATAAATAACCATTTCACAAAAATAAATTACACTGTACTCTATGTAATATCCCTCCAAGTGAGAGCATACTGATAAATAAGCGTCGTTTCTTGTTATTTCATTCATTTTATTCTATTTTCATTGTTGGAGTCGGTCGAATGTGAGTTGTTACTATTTTTTCTTTTTTGATTTTAGATTATTCGTCGTTGTTTCGATTGTAACTAGTTTCAAATGTCGAAAAAACGGCAGAGAAATGCATTTGTTGACGAACAAGCGGAAGAAGATTCGGGCGAAGAAAGTGACACTGAGAAAAAACAACGGATAGCTGCTATGAAAAAACTTAAATCCAATCGGCCAAGTAAAAATACCCACTTGGAAATTTGTTGCCTATCAGTCTGTATTTTTTGTTTTGTTAAGTGAGTGACGATGATGACGATGATGATGATGCCGATGTAATGGACGAAGCAACGGCTACAGAATTAAAAAATTTCATCGCTGAACCTGGAGAGGAAGTAAGTGAAGCTCGTTCGATAGGTGAAATATTTATGCGTCTTATATATTTCCTAGGAAGAGGAGGAAAATGCTAATGACCAATCTGGTTCAGGAGAATCAGACGACGAAGATGATTTCGATGATGATGATCTAGCGTAAGAGATTGAAATTGCTCGACTTTTTCCTCTATTCTAAACCTTCTCCACAATAGATTGATCCAAGAAAATGCCAAACCACGAGTAATTGTCATCGCAATTTGTTTTTCACCTTTGCGACACTAATTATGCTATATTCTTCATAGAAAACACGGGTACAAATCGAAGGTGAAGATAGTGACGACGAAAGCCAACAAGGTGCATTACAACATGAACGAACATCGAGTAGTCACAAACGACGAGATGATATCGATGTAAGATATTCCGCGGAGATTTTTGTCTGTAAAATAAATAAAAAAACAATGATGGTTTCTTTCTAGAGACAAAGTGTACATAATGATGATAACGACGATGGTGAGAATGGAGATTATGAAGATGATGGTAACGAACGAAGTCTTGTCACGGCTCTGTTGAACTCGACATTCGTATCTTGTTATAGATGACTTCATCGTCGATGATGAGAATCGACCATTACCGAAATCATCTCATCGAAGAAGTCAAAATGCACCGTATGAAAATGATGAGACTTATTCTGTGCGAAACACAAGAAATCTTGTTTTTCATTAGAAATATCGCCGAGGCACAAGCTATATTTGGTGATGATTTCTCATTTAATGATATCAAATTCGATGAAATAAACGACGATGCTGAAGATGAAGAAGACGGGGAAGAAGACGAAGAAGAAGAGGAGGAGGAGGAGGAAGAAGAAGGAGAAGAAGCAGCCGAACCAGAATATGATGAAGATGGAAATCTGATTGAAAGTGTAAGTAATATTTGGTAGGTTAGGGAATTTGACCTATTTGATCTACTTTAGGAATCAACAACGGCAAAAAGGCAAAGAAAACGTAAAGCTCAACGGCGTAAACAAAAAGCTGAAGAATTATTCGAACCTGAAGAATTGAAACGCGGTTATCTAACAGAAACAGATATAAACATACGAAGAATCGATAAACCGGAAAGATTTCAAGTTAGATATCAACTGAATTTAAGTGAAAAATCACTTTCATGTGCTCTGTTTTAGTTAAGGCATATTCCGGTCACCGAAGCAAAAGAAGATGAACTTGAGGAAGAAGCCGAATGGATTTATAATGGAGCATTCCTTAAGCCTACCCTTTCTCTTCAAGTAAACCAAGATAATTCTTGAAAATAGTTCTTTTAACTTCGATTGATTTTAGCCCGTCGATGAAGATACAGCAAAAAATATCCAAGTGAAGAAGAAAATCAAAAATGCGTTAAATTACATTCGTAATGATTCATTTGAAGTAATCCTATATTGATTCGAGACATTTAACAAGATGATTTCTTTCAGGTACCGTTCATTGCATTTTATCGCAAAGAGTATATTGAACCTGATCTGAAAATGCAAGATCTTTGGAAAATATGGCAATGGGATGAAAAAGTATGTGACAAAGAAGATTAGATTCAGTTTTCATCGAAATTTCTTTATTTTTAGTGGATGATATTCAAGACTGAAAAGGATAAATTGATGTCAATGTTTGAGCGTATGGATAAATATCGAAATTATCAATATGAACAATTGGGTGATACAAATGAAGAAGCACTGACCACAAAATTGCTGACAGATTGTGATATTGACAAGGATCGTCTAGTGCGCGCACAAACTCTCGAAGAGGTCACCGATTTACGCGATCAATTCCATGTATATTATAATGCTGATATACCAAACATGCGTTTGCGCGAAAAGCTGCTCGAATATCGTGAGGAACGCGAAAAACGTAAGAAGTTAATAGCAAACATGGAGCAGAACGACAATGATGAACAACCGTTGCCAACAATAGATGATGAAGATGAATTGGACGAAGAAACTTTAGTTGATCAAATACGTGATCAGTTGAATATCAAAGCACAACCTAGACAAAAAACTGATTATTACAGTGCTTGCAAAGAAGCGCATTTAGAAGGTCTAGTGAAGAAATTCGGTTTGAAACCCGATAAACTAGGTGAAAATCTTTACGAAAGCTATCAAAAGAATGAAATCGATCAATATCCCATTGGACCATTAGCCACATGTGAAGAGTTTATCTGTAAACAATTCTCCAACACACAAGCTGTCCTACAGGTAAACATCAGCTTCTCTTACTTGCTGGTAAACATTCGTTGTTGATTTGTTTTAGGCTGCGATCTTCATGCATGCACGTCAACTATCCCTCGATCCATTAGTGCGTTACGTTATTCGTCGTGAATACACTTTGCGATGTATGATCAATGCTCGGCCAACACGTCTTGGTATGCAATCGATTACGGAAGATCATCCTTGTTATACAATCAAGTATCTGACGAACAAACCGGTTAATACATTCACCAAAGATCAATTCCTTCATTTGTATCAAGCTGTTAAAGATGGTCTGATGACCGTTGAGTATTCCATTGATAATAAAGGAATTTCTCATACTTATGCCGATGATATCAAACGTTCGTATACACGTGATGAATATTCCGATAATGTTCTTGAGTGGAACAAGATTCGTGCAATGTGTATTGATCTAATGCTCACGAAATTTCTCTATCCGAAATTTCAACGAGAACTTGAAGAAATTTTACTTGATGAAGCTAAACAATATGTTATGAAGCAATGTTCAAAGTGTTTGAATGACTGGATCAAAATGGCACCATATCGTCTATCGAATGATGAAAATGTTACAAGTATATCCGATGCTGGTGTACGAGTTCTATCAATCAGTTATTCGACCGATCCCGATGATGTTTCCTTTGCTGTTATATTAAGTTCTGAAGGACAAGTAATGGATTTCATTCGTTTACCCAATATTATGTTACGAGATAATTATTCGCCGGAGAATCGAACGAAAAAAGATAAAGATTTCGACGCCATTCGAGAATTCATCAAGCAGCGTGTTCCTGATGTTATCTGCATTGGTAAGACATTATTTGTCATGCATCAATGATATACTTTTATCTTTGTTTGTCTTCAGGTGTGGAAAGTCGCGACGCATTCTATTTACGTACACGCTTAGAAAAAATGGTTAGTGACTTACAACATGACGAAGAACAATTCCAGAACCTACCTGAGCCGATCAAAGTTCTTCTATGTGATACCGAATTAGCCAAAATCTATAGTAAATCTCGTAAAGGCGAATCCGATTTTCGTGATTATCCTTCTAAACTTCGTCAAGCAATCTCGCAAGGACGTTGCCTACAAGATCCATTACTAGAATTCTCACAGTTATTCAACTATGATAAAGAAATTCTTCTGCTTAAATTTCATCCATTACAACATTTGATCGATCGAGAAAAACTACTGACTAGTCTTGAACAATGTTTAATTGCACGTACAAATGAAGTTGGTGTCGATTTAAACCGTTGTATTGCATATTCTCATACCGCCAATGTTTTACAATTTGTCTGCGGTCTTGGTCCGCGAAAAGCAACACATTTGATTAAACACTTCAAACAAACCAATTCACAATTAGAAAATCGTACATTTCTCATTGTTAATTATCCGATGGGGAAATGCGTGTTTACGAATTGTGCAGGATTCATTAAGATCAATACGGACGCTATGAAAGAAAGTAATTCATATATTGAAATCTTGGATAGCACACGTATACATCCGGAAGCTTATGATTGGGCACGAAAGATGGCTGTGGACGCCTTAGATATCGAAGAATCGTCCGAAATGGAACCGAGTGCTGCCTTGGAAGAAATCTTTCAAAACTCTGAACGGCTGAAAGATCTCGATTTAGATGCATTTGCAGTCGAATTAAAAAATACTTCTTATGGAGATCAATCGATCACTCTATATGATATACGTGCTGAGTTAACACATCGATATCGCGATGTACGTGTTCGTTATGAACCCCCTAGTCCGGAAGATTTATTTCATTTTATTACCGAAGAAACGCCGGAAACATTTCATTTGGGTAAACTCATTCAATGTCAAGTTTATGACTTTGCAAGAAGACCACCGACACGTGAACAACTCGAAGGTGCACAGCCAGAAAAAGACGAAGCAACTGGAATGTTGAAATGTCCATTGTGTCATACAGAACGATTTCACAATGTCAAAGAAGTATGTGACTACACGATCGAAATGGAAAACTTTGACTCGTACGACTCATTTTCTTTAGGCATGGAATCATTTTGACTCAAAGAACATATGCAAAGGAATACCAGGTAAATACAATGGGAGTCATACAGTGTGGATTTACAATGATAATGAAACTGTTTTGTATTTTTAGTCGGTGTACGCGTTCGTTTGGATAACGGTTGTACAGGCTTCATAAAACTTCGTGATTTATCTGACTCCCCAGTGACGAATCCGTTAGAACGAGTGAAATTGCATCAAACTATCTATGCGCGTATTTTAAACATCAACATTGAACGGTTCAGTGTGGATTTAACATCAAAATCGAGTGATTTACGTGATGATAAAGAACGCTGGCGACCACAAAAAGATTCATTTTATGATCGTACACTTGAAGCAGAAGATCTGACTGAAGCAGAAAAAGATAAACAATTGAAACAAGCAGCTAAAGAACGTAGTTTTATTAAACGCGTCATTGCTCATCCATCGTTCATGAATATAAACTATACTGAATGCGAACGCATTCTCGCAAGCAAAGATTTAGGCGATGCGATTGTACGGCCAAGCTCCAAAGCAGCTGATCATTTGACAATCACATGGAAATTGGTCGATGGTGTTTTGCACAATATCGATGTTATTGAAAAATCGAAAACGAATCAATTCTCGTTGGGTAAACGCTTGTTAATTATCGATCCACGTACACAAGAAACGGAAGAATTTGAAGATTTGGATGAAATTCTTGCACGTTATATCAAGCCGATGGCAGACACAGTTGCTGATATCATTTCGCATAAATATTATCGTAATTTAGCTCAACCATTACCATCCTCGACACCATCAGGTGCAGCGACACCAGCACAAGCAACAAATACAACACCAGCAGCAACAGCAATAACTTCATCAACTTCGGGTCTACCACCATTGACGAATGATGCACAACGAATTCTCAATAATCTTCTCATCGAAGACAAACGACGCAATCCGACACGTATACGTTACTACATTACAATATCGCGTGAATATCCAACAAAATTTCTTCTGTCATATATGCCAGCGCGTCGACCCGTACACGAATATTTTACTATTACGTCCAATGGTGTTCGATTTCGTTCGAAAGTGTTTTCATCGCTAACGGAAACATTGAATTGGTTCAAAATTCATTACAACGATAACGCAGTGACACCGTCACCAATGCGTCCATCGTCAACCAACATTCGCGCTCCACCATCACTACAGCCGCCACCTTCAACTCATTCGATGTCAATATGTTCAACTCCACTCACGTCTGGTTCATCAATGGTTTCATCTGGTTTTAGTCAACCACCACCGCCCATGCCTACGTCAGGTTTCAGTATCCCACCTCCAACAGCTGCTGCTAGCGTTCTACCGACAGCACCGCATACCGGCATGGTCACAAGTGGCTTTAGTCAACCACCCCCAACTATGGGTACAATGCCAACAGTTTTGCCACCACCTCAAATGATGATGCCGCCTGCGAATTTCTTTGCTTATTTTCAACAATATCAACAACAGCAACAACAACAGCAACAGCAGCAGCAACAACGGTTTTGATGGAACTAATTATTTTGTTTGTTTTTCCTCTTCATCTATGTATTGTACATAAAGAATAATAACTTGATACATTGCTGTTCTACATTGCTTTCCTTATTATGATCATTTAACATGTTGTATAACAAGATTTCAAAGAAAAAGTTGTTTTCCTCTAGCTAGTGACATGCGTGATGATGTTTGTTTAACGAAAAAAACAAAGTGAACGTTAACTAATTTTAGTAGTAAGTCAAAGTAGATATGCAATGCTCCCATAGGAAAAAGTAGTTTATTCGGAAAGAGAAAGCATTCAACCATGTTGAGATTTTACAGAAATTAAAAATGTTTTTACTTTCATACAATTTGTCCGTATCGAATAATCTTTAACTAACAAGAAAACTAACCAGACAGATTTTGAATGAATCTATTCATTCACAACCCGAAATCAACTCCAGATTCGATAAATCAGAGCAAAAGTCAGTATTGTCATACCGAAAAGAATTAACCGCAGTATAATTGACAATCGCTTTCGGTATAAGTCACCATGATTTCTTGACAGATCTATAAATATTGTCCATAGACATAGAATGTAACCAATTAGAATAATAATAAAAGTAAGAGAAAGGTTCCATAGTAGACTGGTCATGTAGCGAATTGTATGAGAAAGAAAACGTCTTTTATATATTCAGTGCAAATCAAGATTTCGAGAATGTTGAGAGCAAATAATCAGGACAATAAATGCAAATCCATAAAAACTTCTTTTGATACTCGTACCTGATAAATGTGGATTGTTGGAAATTCCTTTTGTCAGTATATATTAGTTACCAACTTTAATAATAATTCATCTATTGTAAGCGAAACCCCTGTCTGTTTTCTTTTCCGACTGTCAATAACGACGAGTAAAACGGCAACAAGGTCATACAAGACAGAAAGAGAAACGTGTTTTTCTAAACACACAACAAATCAAATTGTTCTTCAGCATAAAAGTGCACATTACATGAAAGAAAGAAATGAAGGAAACTCAGGGAAGAACAAAAAAAAAGCTTTCCTTCTATTCTAAACACAGTTTTAATTCAACATAATCTAAATATACGCCGTGCTTTGCATGAATTGAATCATAATTTGCCATACATACATAAACATCGCATGGTTGATCGCCATGAATTTCGACAAAGCCTATGCTTTGATAAAACCACAAGTTTGTTTTCGTTAAATCACAATAAAAACATCTGTACATTAATGAAAAATCCTCTTGTGTCCATCGCATGTATGCCGTTTGACTCGGATGAATTTGTTCGGCAACAGCAAAAAATTCCGTTGCGCCTAACATGTAAGGTAGGTTTAACTTCATACGCCAGATAACATCGTACTTTCCGGGAAGAATGTTTTTGAAAACTGTTTCGATATGTAATGCATAACACAGTTCAAGCGAGTCTTTGATATGTAGAACGTAATCATTGAGACTAGATGAATCGGGAGTACTTACGTAAGTTCGATTGGTATCAAACGAAAAACGAGTCAATTCCGAAAAGGCAATTTGCTTACGTTTCGTTAAATTGAGATAGATCAATTTCGATCGACACGCTTTATTAACGGAATCGGACAGTGGAATCGGATCAGTAAATATAGATGAGGTTTTTATCAAACGATACCATATTGTATGACCGAATTTTTTACGAGTAAGATAAGACCAAAAATCATTACTAGTCAAAAGTGTATGAAGACGAGAACATGTACGAGCTAAACGATGTATATCAGCAACAGTCAAATAATCACAAATACGAAACCAGAGTGAATCTATTAGATCATTCGACCAATTCAATAGAGTTGGCTCTTCGGTACTCATATCTATAACGAGAAAGAAAGTTCTTAACTGAATTACTTCCGATAATGTACATTGCCCTCCGTCCTTTTACCTAATCAAGACAAATCAGTCGATCGTATTACTCTGATCGTACTCTGGAGTGATAATGATCGTATATGGTGTATTCCATGCTCTTGAAGAGTCAATGATTATTACATTATGAAAAGTCTGTAGGATTATCACAAGGTTCTGTCCTTCGCTTCGCTTTCTGAGATGAAGCATTAAAAAGCAGTTGTCTTCGTTGTTATTTTTAACTGCAAAAAAATGACGACGATTAAACTTATTTACCTATACTATAGACTCGTATGAAGGCATACAATAGAGAGAATGATGGTAACAGTCAACTGATAAACGAGACAATACTTGAGTATATATATATAAGTAGAATATTATGACATACCAGATGACAAAAAAAAGCGTTGAAAGAAAAAGAAAGGATAGATAGTATAAAATCTGAAACAAGTGTTTTTCTTTCGTATAGTCTGGCTTTTCGATAGTTGATCTTATTTCAAGAACTCCAGTGTGTCTCCACTTCACTTCTTCCTTAGTGAAGATGATTATCGGAAAAACTAGAATAGCTCAGGTTTCGTTTGAATACTTAACTATAAAACTCATCAGCGTTGTTTGTGCAGATGTGAGAAATCACATAGGAAAAATACAAACACGTTGGACGATCTCGCGTTCGCTATCGGTAGGAAGAAAATCCAATGTCATTTGTTGTTGATGATTTCCGTGTGGAGAAGCCTCACAAATTGTTGTAATCAACGCCATGATACTCGCAGAACGTACAAATCTAATTCCTAGTTATCCCACATTGCCGACAGACAACCAACTGTCACTCATGTTTTTATTTTTTATCATTCATGATTGGCTTTGATTGTTGTCATTGTAGTACTTCGAAACGGAGATCTCAATTGTGTCATTTGCGCCGTTATCAATTGATCATTGACTTTTCTCATGATCTGTTTATTTGCCTTGTGGGCTCATCTCATTTTGAGAAGCAATCGATGTTTATTTATAAATAGCAACGAGTTCGACGATCGTGTGATATTATCAAAGCTTATATAGGGGAAAACAATCTTGTTATGCCAACATACTGAACTTCGAAATCAAGGGATACATTGATCGAGAAAGGCCTTCGCATAAGATTACACTCGATGTGTAACAAAGCATATTCCTTTCGAAAACTTATTTCCTGTCATAGTTAGTTACTAAATACAAGTCGTCAATCCTGAATTGCATACTAATGGAATGAATAGCGACATCGAATGACAAGTTGTTTTTGTTAAAAAATATGATATATGTATGATAATTATTTAGATGTATTTTCTGGATAATATAATTTCGAGATGCGAAGGAAAATAACATCGGTTTTGTTTGTGTCCTTAGAAATCTCTAATGACATGGCAAGTCAAATAAATAAGAGCGTTTTTTGCGGCGAAGATCAGTTAGTGTTCGAGTTCATTAAAATATTTCTGTCTTTTCTTTTTCATTCGTTATCGTTTGTATAAAGTAATTTATCAATCCATTTTTAATCATATCAAATATCTCTGATCACATACTGTCTATATTCATCGAAAATAATTGTTACCTTATTCACTTTTCATCATACATCATGGTGAGTGAAAACGAGTCTCGATCGATTTGAGTGTCTCCTGTCATCAATATGAACACTACATACGAGAAAGTCGTATCAAAATACAAGAATAGTTTTATCATGAATAGAGAAAAAACTAACAAATTTATGATGCAAACAGTGCTGTCATCAATTCTCACTCTATCGTAAGATGGATGATCTAACATATGTATGTATGCATGATCTGATAAGTATATATCTCGCATGATGTGTTCATCATACTTGAGGAAAATAGTAGGAGGAAGAGGAGAGAGCGACGGGTCAGTTCCTGACAATATCATCTTAAGGAGATTTGGCAGAGCGAACTATATAACTGACTGATTAAATGATGCATGAATACGAAGAGAAATTCTCTTAGTAAGATAAATAGATGAATGAACGGTATGTTTTGTTTACAATGCAATCATCCAGCGAGATAAGAAGGCCACAATGTTCAGTAGAAACAACAGAACAAAATGAACATTTGTTTATGGCAATCTCTCGACCGATGTCAATCTTCTCATTCTTAAATATGTGTGTCAATGTCAACGGTTTATTTGACGTTCAACATTATATTTATATGTTCAGATGTCTCGTTATGAAAATGGACAAATGATGTAAGATTCTTAATAATTAGTTCTCTTTTCTCCTCGTTCTATCGTTTGATGTTCAGTAGATAAATCGAAAGATTGCTCTAAGTATGTTTTGATGATAGTAGTTAACATCTTTCAATCGGTAGTCAACTAGCAAACTCGCTTATGATAGTCTAATCCCAGAGACATGTTCTCGTTTGTTCATCGTTGACTATCCATCAACGAGTATTATCTCCTCTCTTCACTCATTCTTATTAGTTAAGACTTAGAATCATATACACAAGAGTATAAAACAAAAAAAAAGTCAATTAGGAAGATTACGTTGTGAGATAGATTGATGTTTTATAATCAGAAAAAAAGACGAAGAAAGAGAGAACGAGAGAATGATGTATAAAAAAAATTTGATAAGTGAATAGTGATTATTGACGTATATCTTTCAATGTCCAATAGATCTTGTTGACATATATGTATATCAAGTATTATTACCATCAGTAAACTGTCAGTAGTAATAAAATGCGTATAATTCTTTCTCTTTTCGCCTTGTTTACATCATTCTGTTAAGATGACTGTTCAACGAAGGAAATGGTATGTGAACGTTGACTAGGAGCAGCCCAGCATGCTTTTACATATATTTAGAGTAATACTTAAGAAAAGAATGTTGCTTGTATGAAAGAGAAGGGAATTGAATATGTTTTCTTTTATTGTTTATGACCTGACAAATCGTTATGACGTGAGAAGGTAAGCGATTGATTCTTTATATGTAACTAAGTTGTCTCTCGTGATTTGAGCAATTCTATACAGTTGCATGTGAATTTCTTCTTGGTTATATTATGTGAAGAACAAGGCGAAGAAAAAAAAACAAGTTGTTTTCTATTTTCTCTTGAGTTACCATTAATAAAAAACGCGTAATTGAGTAGAATGTCGAATACAATAGTTGTTCTTTTCTTTTTTT